TCAGCAGTAAGTCGAGAATCTGGTACCTGACATACTGCAGCAAGTGTGTAGTATGAATCCGCGCAATGGGTAGATGCCGCGAATATCAAGTTGACAGTTACAAGTGCAGTCACAATTGATGACTGCAATTGCGACTGTACATATCCGTACTACGTACATAACATTCTCGTCTATTTTATTCACCCCCCTCTTCTCGGTTGTTCTCCATTGTGTCGCTTGTGGACTGTCTCCAACTGCTCCATCTGGACACTAGCATCGGACTAACTAGTAGACAGGGGTTGGATCTTGCTTCTGACCCAACAACGCCTACGTAAATTGATCGTAACCTTGCACAACTGATAATGCCTTGCAGCCTGTCAGGAACCATCATGTCATCCTTCAGTCGTCGAGTCAATCACCACGATGCTTCCCTCTTAACTGAGAATGCGGGGTTGGGTTTGGGCTTGTCTTTCGGCGAGTCCCAGACTCAGTGCGAGATGATCTCGATTGCTCAGAATTGCCCGTATTGTCCGGATTAAGATCATGAGAGACTGTATACGGCATCGCGTTGAGTCTTCTGAATCGCTAATGCAACACTTTCATTCGTTGTGCTTGTTGTGGAACCGCTATGTTTCTGAACCAGGGCCCCAGTCCGAAGGGCGACTGTCTCAAAAAGAAGGCAAGGACCCTGAATTTTTATCCTCCAGGCGGGCACTGAGCTCTAGGCTCTGGCATAACGCCATGATGACTGTTGTCCCGAACTTGAGAGCTCCAACTAACCAGTGCCCTGGGCCGCCGTCGGGAAAAGCTCTGTGTCATTCTAGCTGATAGCAGTCCGACAGGGACATGCTCTTCAGCAACTCGTTCGAGGCCTGAGGAGGCGCTATTCTCGTGAACGTTCAACGGGCGCGGCGGCTTCAGAGTTGAGGAACCCAGGCGCCATGCCAGGGGACAGGGCCAGTGGATGACTGGGGGCACCCAAGAGACGCCGAGGCTGCTGTTTGTCGCAGTTCCTGGGGCACAGTGATGGATATATCGAGCATAAGTTGAACATAGCTCACGGCTTAGCATAAGCTTAGACCACGCATTGAAACAACAACAGCACACACGAGGCAAGCGGGCAGGGCTGTTGATGGTCGGATATCACCATGTTCAGTGCAGAGCTGATGTCGACCGGGGGCTGATGAACTGCTCTGCTGCGGTTGAGGCAGTTTTCCAAACAACAAGGAACCGGTTTCGGCGGCTACAAATTAAACTTGGACCAAGATCCCAGCAGCCGGTTAACGTCGTCATTCCTCAGGTCGCTCGCTCCAGGAGCCAAGAGCCAAGGGCTAAGAGAGCTTGAGCTCCACGCCTTGGATCCCCGGAATACACTCCAGCAGCACGGTCGCCAATAAGCGGATATGGAACATGGAAAAGGCCCTGTCTGCCCTGTCCTCTATTCCAAGCTTAGAACACAGGCCCGGCTCCAGAAAAGGGAGACGACATTTTGACATTTGAACTGGAGCAACAGAATGGAGTCGTTGGGGGCCTTTTACTTTTTTTGCCCCGAGACAAAGAGGAGCCGAGGACTAACGTTGGCTGATTACGAAGACTGATGGACAAAGAAAGGGTTTGGTTACGAGTAGTGAAAATTAAATAATTATGTATTGACCTCAGGGTCCTACTCTCAAGTTCAAGGGAGGGAGATTCATCACACGCAGGGAGAGATCCATTTGAAGCCGAATCCATTGAGTCGACTCACAAATCACTCCATTGGTTTTATAATTCTGACTCGTAGCCTCTCCACGCTTCGTTCCGACCTGATACGTCTCAGCTGACACGTCCATATCGAGTATCTACCGGCCCGTATTGGACTATGGAGCATATACCGTCGCTGTCTCAACCATCTAGGAGGCAGGTCGCAGTTCCGATTTTCTGGTGGCCAACCAGCATGGAAACTCTCAGACAAAGGCGTTCACGGTTTCTAGTTTCTTTGTCTATACCAGCTCATCGAGTTTGGTGAACGCCACGGCAGACTGGCGCGAATTGACTTATTATTGTCTAGACTCGTCGAATCGCGGCGCGACGGTGATTTTTCTGAGCGAAACCAGAGTTCGGAAGATGCACCAAGCCACAACAACGCGATCCCGATGGGCTTGAGTGAAGTATTCACTTGCTGATCGGGAGGCTTGACTATAGCCTCCGGATTGAGAATTGAAGTCAATTCCAGGGCTTGGGCTGTGTAAAAGCCAACGATTTGAACGAGGCGATGATAAACCACTAGAACAGCATGCAGATGTTCTATACCTATTCATGCTATAACAATACTAAACAATGTATAATCTAACTTACTTTTTTAAATAAAGAAAGACGCCTCCACCCTGTAGTGAACCCTTTTCAGTGGCTTAATGTGGATTGTTTTCAAGATCGATTTCTTTGAGACTATCAATACTATCAACAAAGTCTCAGCTGCAGGGTGAGTTTCTTTGTTTAACGATTGTGCATGTCATGGTATCCATGCTTTGAGTTGATCTGTCTCGGTCGAAAAAAGGGTCTTGTTGTTCTCGTGATATTATCTCATCTCTGGCCTCGCCTTCTAATTCTTGTTACTGGGTCGACGCAAGGTCATGGATCCAGTTGTTGGATTAACATGCAGGTATCGCGGGACGGAAGAAGGCAGAGCAGGCCTTGCATGGGTTGAAGTATATTGTAAATTGACAGTCTCACCGCTTCTTATCCCAGGGCGATGATGTAACCCGGTTGGTTGTCGCATAGAGTAGATAGATGCATTGGGCAATTGTGTAAGATATCCTCAAATGTGTCAAGGCTGACAAGGGTGCGGAACCAGAAGCCAAAGAAGGAACTTGGTGTCCAAAATAAACCGTCGATCATTTACGCAACGAGATCAAGTTTGTTGGAATATCTGAGCTAAATCGAGATTGAACAAAGGCCATAGAACAGGATGGTCTATGAATAGCAGAGGGTCGAGTCTCGTGGGATATCAGTTTAAGACAGACAAAGACAGAGACAGACAAAGACTGTAGAGGAGATGGCGTTTATTATTCCTGCCATCGAGAACTGTTAATTTATGGTGACTTTTATGGTGGTATTCTTTATGCGAACTGGAACTTGCTTAAACGGTTATGTCTGTGCATCCACATTCATCAATCTTAGCTCTCGAAGCTGGGAATGAACATGACAGCGTCAATTAATCAGTCGATCGGGTCCAAGACGTTACGCTAGGTGTTGGAAGACATTCATTCAAAGAAAGTTAACAATATACCAAAGAAAGTATGGAGGAGGAACCAAGTTTGATGCAAAACATCCAAATCCGACTGCATATCATCCAATTCAAGGCACAGGTTCACAAACATAGCATAGCTCTAGCGGCTTTGCTCTGCCCTGCCTTGGTTAAGGACAAGCTCCCGCACGGAACCTCAATTGCGTAAAGTTTGTACATACGTACATACAGTCCATAACTGCATCACTGAGATATCCATTGCCCTGGTCAGCTAAGCGCCATACAGGTTCAGGGCAAGGATCTCTCCCAAAGGTCCAAGGTGAGAATCCCCACCTCCACTGAGCAACCACGCGCTGCCCTCCTGGGCGACGTCCATTCAGCAGCGTCAGAGGCCTGGAAAGTGGGCAGCCGTCTGGCTGGGGAGGGGGACAGGCGAACGCTGTGATTTGCTTCAGCAGGGCAAGGGCCTCTGTCTGCTGCTGCAGGACTAGCTACTACCCAGGTAAGCTAAGGACTAAAGGGAGCTGTTCTGCTGCGCTGTGCCTTGTGCCTTGAGGCCCTGAGGCACGGCATCTCATGTATCCAATGCGGGATGGGGATCTAAGTGTGGGCTCAACCCATGGATCAAACAATCAAACACGCCCCCTCAGCTTGCACACGCCTCTCGCGCTGGGCGTGCAGTTCACGTCCACTAAACTCCACTGTAAGTCGGAGCTCCCCAGCGACCCCCAGGGCCCCAGCGAGCTCCCAAATCACCCCTAACAACCTTGGTGGGATAGCCTGGAAAAAACTCCAACCCGGCTCTGGCTTGACCTGGACTGGGCTTGGGTGAATCCATTCAAAAGGCTTCTGCTCCCGCGTTCACATCTCTCCCCCTTCCCACCCATCCCGCTCGACATCACTTCAGAAAGGCAAATACAGATACGGTTACGGTTAGCCATCTTTACAACCGACTTGGACAACCACTCGTTCTTCCAGAAACAAAAAATACTTCAAACTCAACTCAATCCAACTTAGTCTTTCCATTGGACACTGCACCAAAGCCTCGGACATCGAACAGCGTTCTTACCCGTGGCCGATATAAAGAAAAGGAAACGCATTTAAAGACAAGGCAAAAAAAAGAGGGGAAATTCAATCTTCAACTCTCAGAAAGAGGCTTCTTCTGTCTTGGTGTGCTAGTAGCATTGCGGTACTCAAGTAACCTTATCTTGTCCGTCCTGTACTGTGCGTATTTCAGCCTGTGCATATTTGGTCCTCCGCCATCCGCCCAGCAACGCAACGACCCCCCGGTCAATTTGGCACCTGGTCTCGTTTCGTTCTACCATCTCGATCCCTCTCGAGATAGACTAAGACCTGGACGTCTCTTTGGACGCAACTTGACTCTTGCCTCAAATAATCGTAACGACTCCTTTGTCTCCCTCGACTCAAGCACGATTACCTCCCCGTCGAGTCTCGTTCGTCCCTCATTCAGATGTCATTCGAACGATTATAACGACCGATACACGACATCGTCGACCCCGCCGCCATCCAATTTCCCATCCATCATCCATCTAGTACTTGGTTATCTACGATCCTGTTTCCATTCAGACGATACGATAAAATACCTTGACCAGACGCTAGTTCGATAACATTATAGAGGTGTTGCTGCAGCATTGACTTACTGCAGAACTACCTCTTCAATCTTCAATCGCCGTGTCTTCAATACCGAATAGCTCTTAGTAGCAGACGTGCTTCGGCAGAGCTCGATTCAGCCTCGAGTTCCATCGAATCGTCCCGCTGCTTCATCTTCACCATCACCATGGAAGCTTCATCTCCTTTAGCGGCGCTGCATCGCCCGATGCTCCCTACCTGGGGTAGCCGAGATGTCTTTCGTGGACTCCCACACTATGCTACATCATCTGTCACATCAGCCAGCATGAGCCTACGCGAACAGATGCACAAGCATTCTAACGGCGACTACTTCAACGTCAAGGACGTACGGGGTTCCTCACCTGCTGCGAGTCTGGCTGCTGATCTCTCTCAGAACTTCCGTCTTGACAGCGACTCAAGGTTCGTTGTGGTGTTTGGTACTTCGTCCGAAAGTGCATTGATTAACATGTTTCCAGTCCCAAATTCCCTACTCCTAGAAGAGCACTCTTCACTGCCGGCATGATGGGCAGCATGGGAGGCCGAGGTGAGCAATACCAACACGGTCTAGAACACAGAACTTGGTGGCTAATTGGCATGTTCTTATAGATTCAGTCACGACCCCCCCACTTCCATCATCATCGCCCGCTCCCTTGGCAGAGCTCAAGGAACTAATGGAGATTTCACCTCTACCTCACAAGACACCTTTCTTTACGCAGTTCGAGATAACTTCTCCAACTCCGGGGTCGACTCCAGCCGCTGACGACGAAATGAGCCTTGACTCACCGGCCCCTATCTCCCGGCAGTCTTCCTTGGAACCGCCCAAGCCCATCATGGCTGAGTCAGTCTCATATTCCCACATTCCTTGCGGAACTACAACTGACGTCTTTCAGAAACCGTAGAATAGCTGTGCCACGACGACCATCCCTAACACGGATGAAGGGTTTCAGTACATCGGCTGTGCCTAGTCGTCAGACTGACGCAGACCTGCCCCCATTCCGCTTTGGTGCTGGCACTCGCCTGAACCACACCAGTTCCAACCTGTCCCTAAGCGAATGCTTCGAGTCGACATCACCACCTCAAGAGCGCAGGCCCGTATCTGCCAACAGCCCCTGCCCTGGCCTATCTGTCAGCCGGACTAGACCCCAATTTCTCAACTTTAACGCATGCTCCCGTAGCAGCAGCAGCAATGGCTCTCCTTCTATGAACTCACATGCCCGCCGACATGCCAACCCCTTTCTCAGAAACCGAAAGCAGTTCCGTCGGTCATTGAGCATGTTTGAGCACCCAGCTGACGTCATGAAGAGCAACTCAGATGGAGAGGAGACTACCTCTCCCGCGCTTCAATCGGTTATGGATGTGGAGGAGGCTCAAGAGCCCGTTCTCCCCCATTACCTCACTGAAGACCCCACCGATACCATTCCTCGTATCTCTCGAGAGACCCTCGTAGACGTCTTGGACGGCAAGTACAGCTCCCACTTCGATCAGAAGATTGTGATCGATTGCCGCTTTGAGTACGAGTATGAGGGTGGCCACATTGATGGCGCTGTCAACTACAATGACAAGGATCTGCTCACAAACCAGCTCTTCCAGACTCCAATGGACGGACGAACTCTACTCATCTTCCACTGCGAGTACTCAGCTCACCGTGCTCCCCTTATGGCTCGCCATGTCCGATCCGAGGACCGCACCGTGAATGCTGAGTTCTACCCCAAGCTCACATATCCTGAAGTGTACATCCTAGATGGCGGATACTCTGGTTTCTTCACTGAGCACCGGGGCCGTTGCTATCCCCAAGAATACGTTGAGATGTCAGACGAGGCTCACCAGCGCACTTGTGAACGTGAGATGGGTCGACTGAAGTCTCGAAAGGGTCTCAACCGTGCCGCCACCTTTGCCTTTGGTCAACGTGAGCCTTGTGTTGACGAGTCACCTACTGCTCCCAGCAGGCCTCAATCTCGAAATCTATCTGCACCTATTTCACTTCTTGGTGCCTCTCCTATCATCGGCGATCGATCACATGCTCGTCGTATGGCCTCTTACTAGACATACTGATTCTTGCGACATGATCCCTTTTGCAAGTGGCAGAGTCCGACTTCACTGGTGCTGGTCTCACCTGGTCTGCTCTGTCAAGTCTATGACTACCATCTTCTTTCTTCTTTGAACAATGTTGTCAAGGGTATTCCGCATCCGACCTCATCCATTTTGACGAATAACAATGCTCATCCCGACCATGGCGCGATTGAACCACTAATACGATCCCGGTCTTCGGCAGCATCTACCTTTTCAACTAATTCTCACTACGATTAATTCTTATTTTCCTTTGTTCACATCACCACGACCGCAACGACTTCTTCACCTTTAGACCACTGGCACGAGTTCTCACTCACCGATTGGAATTTTCCTTTTTCTCACACGTTTTACGCATCAACAGACGGACCCCAATCGATTCATTTGTCTTTCACATGATTACGTACATGGTTCATGGGACCTCATTCATAAGGGAGCCAACCTCCCCATTCTGCATTCGGGCGCGCATTATTCTTTTCTTTCCCTTTTACTCAACAAGCATCTGCTTTGGCGATTTCCGGACCTGCATTTTTGGCTTCTAAAACATGTCTCAGGAAACAAGCTTTCCCTGTGACAGTGGCGCTGTTCGCGATAGACATTTCGATACCAGTTGTCTCGGCCTCTTAGCGGCTTCACCTCAGGGGTTACCAGAACCCCCCTGTATTTTCAGAAGCCGAGTGATCGCCAGGTACAGCATGACTTGCATATGTCATTCGATACTCTATTCGGCAGTCTTTTGATACCAGTATCCTAAACCACATGGATACCTACCTAAAAATATCCCGTCTGCGCATATTGTCGCACCTATACCCCCTCAACCTGACAGAACGGGAACGGTTACACTCTTTCATTTGTTCTTCACTACATATTTAAACAAACCCTTCCCACCAGAGATTCTGGGAAGATGGAAAACATACCCTCAGGCCTGGAATGTATATATTCTTTGTCCGTAATAGGCACAGGCTGTATATTGTGTAAGCGGTAGCATGAGAGACTGCTATTGCTGAACCTTCTGTAGGACTAGCTGGTGGACTGTGGAAAACGCCGCCGCTTGGCTGGCGAAAAAAGTGGTTTTACTACTTGTACATTACATTAACTTAGGGGGATATATCCCTGGCTAGTAGATACCTGCATATTGAGGGCAAAAACAGTTAAAAGTTAACATACTTACTTCTACGTCTCTTTTCTGTGACTTGGTCTATTCATGTTTACACTGAATTGGGGGATATCATTGATATGCTCATATGGCTACCCTATCGCTCTTACTCGATCAAAAAGTCTTGCATGATGTTATAATGCTTCTTAAATACGGCATCTATTTTGCTTCGTCATTCTAACGCTAAGACACCAATTACATCGAAGAAGATCGTAGTGTCATAAACCAAGAAACCCTCGAGTCCACCCAAACCCCTTTTGGTATAAACGCCTCCCATGCATCTCTGGTATAATACAAATTTCCAAGGTCTCAAGCCGCAGCGTCATCGCCTTCTTCCAGAGTGAAATCCCATTCCTTGAACGCCTCCCGGAATGCCTCCACGTCCTTGGTCTCTTCTTCAACGGTTTGTTCGCAATTTTTCCAGATGATGCGGTTTTCAAGACCAAGAAGCTTGGCCAGCACGCGACGGCCGAATTGCAGATCGAAGCGCATGTCTGAGGGCAGAGGCATGACGAGGGCCTTGCCCTTAATACGGTCCTCGCCGTCATCTGCCCACAGCCACACGCGGAAGAAATCACCACCAGACTCAGCTTGCTGCTCAAGTGTAAGGTCGCGCGCGGTGAAGGCTGGATAAGACTGGTTCTCCGCCTCGACCTTGAAAGCGGCTTCGGCAACGCCATTACGGATGAGGTCGGCGGAGAGGGGCATGAGTTGCCAGATGAGATGGACATTGTGCTCTCGGCTGATCTCCCATGTGACAGCACCGAGTTTGTGGGAGCTCTTGCTGGCGATTGTGGCCTGGATGGCTTCGCGGAAGCGTGTCATTTCGTTATATGTCTTTACGGCCTCGCCTGCTGGATCAGCGACAGGCCCAATGCTAGGAATTGTAGGGTTGTGCGGTAGTGGGATGATGATCAAGTGGCTTGGAAAAGAAAGACCCTGCTCCGCAAAGGTAGTAGATGTTGGCAGAGGGCCCTTGGCTGTAGAGATATAGGCATCGTCCCCGATACTACAACACATGTGGGCAGACAGGTTGGGGTTGGAGAGACAGAAATAGCATCGCTCGGGCCCTGGAGGAGGAGATCGATGGCGCTGCTTATGACGGCGGCCTCTGTGCCCCCGGTCATTATCATCACCGCCATATCGGCTGTACGAATCATCCTTGGGTGCACGCTTCTTGGTTTTGGGATTGAATGGTGATGCTGTCGCGCCAACGGGCACTGAAGCGTCTCCCTTGTTGAGACTGAAAGCATACAGCGCCTTTGCTTTTGCTTCATTACCGAAAGGCGCCATTGAAATGAATCGCGTGACAGAGGTGTCCCCTGTCTCCTTTTCAGTGGGATGCACGAATGCTTCTCGCTCGTAGAAGAAGCCTTCTGGTGAGGCTGATAGATGATATCGCGGCTTGAGCGCAGCGCACAGTTCCGCAATGGCTTCCGATACAGGTAGAGACGCTTGGTGTGAAGGGTCGAGGGCAACCTGAGAGCCAGTCCAGACACCTGCTGGCCATATCGATGTTAGGAGAATGTCTGCGATGTTTGCGCCGCGCAAGCTTTTTGCGTCGTCTACTGTATGAAATGGCAGATGCTGTTCTTTGGACAGGCCGGCAATCAGATTGGGGTCCAATTGGCCGCCGAGAGCAACAATTCGCACACCATCGGAGGTTTTGGTGATACTGCGCTTGCCCAGGAAATGCAGATTCTCGCAAATTTCCTCTTCAGCTTCGACCTTGGCGGCGATGCGTGGGGGTAGAGGGTGGCTTCCGATAGTGAAATAGGTTGGTAGAGGGACTTCAAGGGTTCCGTTGAGAAGCGCAGTTACTGTGTCATCATCTTGTGTTGCGCTGAAGACATCGCCAGTGAGTATGGCCATAGAGAAGCTGTTCTTTGAATGCAGGGTTGCCAGCTTCTTGAACGCAGGTTCAAGCTGACCATTGAGGCTGCCCAGGACAATACTATTCAAAACAAGTCAGTATTTCTTATCGAGTGAATGAGTCAGAGTTTTTCTTACACTTTAGGCGCAGCCATATTTTTTCTGGTTATGTCAAGAAGTAGTTGAGATATCTCACGATTACTTATAAGTCGAGAGAATGCGGATGAAAGAAGCTATGATGAAAGTGCACTCAGAAGCGCGTCGAGTTGACAAAGATAAGGGAATGCGGCGCGAGTGTAATTGGCTGGAGTGGGTCCTCCCGCATTAGCGCCGCCTTATCGGTTTTGCCGCTCATCAACCGATAAAAAAAGTTTTGGCGGGGACGCCTTCCGCGGTATGTGAAGCTCTTTTTCGCAGCAAGATTTGTATCTTCAATTTCTCAACTTCTTTGCAACTTTGCAAAGGAATACCGCCAAGATGCCGGCCAACTCATCAGGGCGCATCGCCAAAGTGCGGAAGAACAAAAATTTTACTCCTCATCAAAAGAATCACCGATGGGAGTCATTTACAACTAAAATCTCCAAATTCAACTCTCTACAACCACTACGCAAAGTTCGCCGTCACGACCTCGATAACGAAGACCTTTCGACATCGACATCTTACTTCCAGACTGGACTGCAAAAATGGGGAGAACTCAATGTCTCAAAACCGTTCTCTACGTTCAAAACAAGGACATGGCCGTTGTGCGAGAGTCTTCCCCAGCTCCTCCATTTCGAGCAGAGGATAATGGACCTGCTGGCCGATTTCATAGCAGGCCAGGATAAGGAAGCTTTGGAGCCGCTACTAGACCTTCTTACCGCCTTTTCGCATGATCTAGGAGTTCGATTCGAGAAGCATTACGGCAGGAGTTTGGACTTGATTGTGGCTATTGCTGCGAAGCCACAAGATGTTGATGTTATCGAGTGGACGTTCGGAGCTCTCGCCTTTCTGTTCAAATATTTGTCCAAGCTTCTCGTTCCCGACTTGCGACCTACCTTCAAAGTCATGGCTCCGCTACTTGGAAAGTCCCGACACCCTCCTCATATTGCTCGGTTTGCAGCTGAAGCACTGAGCTTCCTGGTTAAGAAGGCGGCCGCCCCCTCACACCGCGACATAGCTTTGAAGCGCTTGGTCGAATGCGCACGAGACGATCTCATCAGCATCAAGGATGACCGCCAGTTTATCTTGTACAAAGATGGACTGATGACAATGTTTGCCGAAGCTATTAAGGGTACGGATAACACCATCCACTCAACTGCCCCTACCATTTTCATGGCTCTGGTTGATGCTATTCCCGAGGACGAGCGCACCCTTACTGAAGATACAATCTGGACCGACGTTGTTTGCGGCGTGTTGACCAGTGTTATTCACCATGCGACTGCCGACACTTTTGGAGAATTTGCAACCGGGGTCCACGAAGCGATTCGAGCCAATATGGAGCGGGTACCCTCTGCAGAATGCCAGTGGCAGCACGTCCCTCTGATAAGAATATATGGCATCCTGGCTGGTGTTCGAAAGGGTTACCGTTTGGGTGATTGGGCACCTATAATCAAGAACTTTGTCGAGATGCTTTCCAATGTTACGAAAGCTGGTGTAGTGGTGCCGCAGGATGCTGCAGGCGTTGTTTGGAAGTCTATTATTGCCAACATTGCGATTGTTTGGCACCATGCGCCCATTGATGCTTTAATACCCCATATTGTTCCTCTAATTCAGTCACTGAGCAGGGAACCATTGATGAAATGGTTCATACCCTTCTGCTCATACTTTTGCGAGCTGGACGCTCAGCGTTTCGCAAGTCTATTCCGCAACGATTTCCAGAGGTAAGACCCTTGGGTGGTTAATATTGTTACTTCGACTGACGAAATGATCTAGATTTATCGCAAACCACTGGTCCGAAGAGCCCAACGAGGATATGCTCTGCATTCTATTGCCCAAGATGATTGAGAATCGTGCTTTTCCCCCAGCTGGTGAAAAGGATAGCTGCAGGATGCCGCAAGCTTGGCAAGATCAAATTGTTTCCAAGTTTGAGCGCCTAGAGATCTCGCCATTTCCAGAAAGAGGGCCTTATAACAAGGATCCCCAAGTATGGCGGGATAGATGCTTGCCTAAATATTCGGCTTTGCTTCAAATCCTTGAGCTGACGGCAGTTCACCCATCGACAAATGCCCGTATCGCCGAACTCCTTCTCAGGAAACTCAAGCTTGCACTGCGCCCCTCTTCTACGCTGGCATCCGATGAGGTCCACTTCATTGTTGGCCAAGGATTCCATGCTTACCTACGCATGAGCAAGGCTGCTGGTTCCGTCGACATCACTCTTAGCCCTCTCCTGCGAGCAGCCGTTCCACGCTTCTCTCAATCCATCAGCTTTCTACATGCGTATCTCACGTACGAAGAGATTCTGCAGGGCAAGGAAATCACCCAGCGACAAGAAAGTACGAGCAGTGATAGTTCATCCAGCGAGGAGGATCCAGTGACCAAATCATTGATCGACAACTTGGGTTCCCCATCGCACGATCTGAGGCTGGCATCCTTGAATCTACTCAAGGTGCTCAGCCTGGCACCAGACAGCATGAACACTGTGGAGACTATGATTGAAATTGAAGAAACCCCGTTAGATCTTGCTCATACCAGAACGATTGCCATGCTTCTTCGCAAGTTAGGCCAAACCTATGCTTCGTTTGAAGAGAACTCGTGGCTTCAACGAGCTGTGCCTGCTTTCCTCTTTGGTCTGCTTACGGTCAAGCTGTCGCCTGTATGGGATGACTCGGTAGAGACTATGAAGCAAATCACAGAGACCAAGGCTGGAGAAGAAGCAGTTTGCGAGATTGCCTTCCGCTGGTTGAAGGTACCTTCAGCTCGTTGGGGTCCCTCGCAACCCGAGACTCAAGGCCCGCATCGCGTGTTCGTTTCCGATTTTGAGTGTACCAATGTACGCAGGCTCGAAGCAGCTGCAGCTGAAGTGGAAGAGATCATCGACCACCCAGATGACCTCATGCTCCAGAGTTTCGACGATAAGAAGAGGACCGCGGAGACAACTGCAGGCAACTCTAGATCACGGGCGCTCAAGGTGTTCAATGCCATTCCTTCGATCGCCGAAAGGAGATCCCGTCAACTTGTGCCGCATTTTCTGGCGTGGGCGAGCGAAGACCGAACCCCTGAATCGGTTGACGATGAAGAGATCTCTGAGGGAGCTACTTGGTCTCTTGCGGATCGAAAGGCTATGCTTAGCGTGTTCTCCCAATTCATTAACCCCCGAGTGCTTTACCAACATGAAGAGGTTTACCCTGCGCTTCTACAGTTGATGGAGAACGGTGACGTTGAGGTCCAAAAGGTCACGCTCAAGGCCATTCTCGCTTGGAAGCAGGAGGCTATCAAGACCTATAAAGAAAACTTGGAGTTCCTCCTGGACGAAGCTCGGTTCAAAAACGAGCTTACAGTCTTCCTTCAAGACGACACTGCCATCAAGCCAGAGCACAGAGCTGATTTGATGCCTGTTCTCCTCAGGTTGCTTTATGGTCGAACCATCTCCAAAAAGGGTGCGGCAAGTGGTCGACATGGCCTGCAAGCTACCAGGCTGGCGGTCCTCCGAAATCTTAGCGTCGAGGATATGGGCAGCTTTTTGGACATTGCCACAGGCAAGCTTAAGGATGTCAAGGTCGTTGGCGCCTCAAAGAAGATCTTTGATGAACCCATACTCCCTGTCCGAAAGCAACTTGGTTTCCTGAACATGATTTCTTCTGTCATCTCTGAGCTTGGTACCAACGCTACGCCCTACTTGGAGACACTTCTCAATGCTGTCCTCTACTGTCTTGTCTTCGCCTGCCGACAACTTAGTGGACAGGGTGTAGACCCTGAGAATGCTCCTGAAGAGGAGGAGGAGAAGGCCAGTACACAATCTCTTCTCAGAATCATTCGATCCACCGGATTGAAATGTTTGATTGCACTCTTCCAAAATGCCCAATCCTTCCAATGGGCACCATACCAAGATATCATCCTTGAAGATGTGGTAGCACCGAGACTAGAAAACTTGCCTAGCGAGATGACACAGGGAGTTTCTGGTATGCTACAGCTCTTTGCTACTTGGTCTGTTCTCCCCAGAATTGCCCTTTTCTTCGCACCGCACCCTAAGGTACCCGAGGGCATCCTTCCTAAGGTCATTGAATGTCTGTCAATCGAGAAGGGTAAGGACGAAGTTAAAATCCATGTCTTGAGTATCATTCGCAACCTGGTTAAGCTTGCCACTGCGCCTGTGCAGGAGTGCGAGTTTAATGAGCTCATTAAGGTAGAACTTCTTGATCCGAACTCGAAGGCAATCCTAAACCAGATCTCTAATGTTCTGGACATGTCTGGCATCAGCAACGATCTCTTGGAGGCTTGTGTAGAAACAATTCTGGTCATGGCTCCTATCGTACAGGATACTGGGGACGTTCAGGCTGTCATCAAGATATCTATCTTCCTCCTGAACCAACCTCCTCGGCGTGTCAGTCCTAAGCTTAAGGGTAGAATTCTCCTTATTGTCGAGGAATATGTCACGCGTTCCAGTGCCTTGGAGAACCAGTCGCTTCTTGACGAGGTCTACGACACACTCTCGTCTCTCTTCAGCTACTTCAGGGATCGGGAGAATCGACAGTCTCTTTCAAGGGGTCTATTGGCTATCGCTGGAAAAGACAGTAGTCTCCAGGAGGTTGCTGACATCTGCGCCAATCTCAACTCGTTCAAAGAAGGACGCATTGATGAGCCGGATTATGATAAGCGTCTTGCCGCCTACAACTCCATCTCGGTCGATCGAGAGATTCCATTGACTCCAAAGCAGTGGCTGCCTTTGCTCCATAACTTGACGTTCCACATTCGAGACGCGGCGGAGTTCGGTATTCTCTCATCTAACTCGGCCGATGGACTTCGAAAATTCACCAGGGATGCGGCAGCATGCACGACCGAAGATGCAAAGCAGAAGTTTGACGCTCATCTTAGGGATGTCCTAATGCCTGCTCTGTATGCTGGTGCTCGTGAGCCATCTGATACAGTTCGAAGAGAGTACCTCCGAGTAATGGGTCATCTTCTGTCAACGATGCCCGAATGGGAACCCATTGCGGACCTCAGCGCCTTACTGAATGACCGAAATGAAGAGAGTAGCGAGTTGACTTTCTTCTTCAACATTCTCAGCCCTGCAACCGCAAGGCAGTTGGAGGCTCTGCACATCCTCGAGGCTGCTAATAAACAGAAGGAAATGGGGAGCCAGAACTTGGCCCAGTTCTTCATTCCGCTCCTTGAGCACTTCATCTTTGGTCGTGCTGAGGGAGTCGATGACCATGGTCTTGGTGCTCAAGCAATCATCACCATTGGCAACCTCACAAGCTCTCTGCACTGGAAACACTACCGCACCACTCTTCAAAGATACATCGGTTATGTTGAATCTAAGCCCGAGCAACAGAAGCTGACCATCAGACTCTTGAGCAAGGTTGCCGATGCACTTGTAGACGCTGCTGAGAACGCTTCTCAGGAGCGCATGGAGGTGGAAGAGGTCGACGCCACCTCATCAACCACTACAAGGCTTCCTCTCACAATTCCAAAGGCGGATAAGCTGAGTGTCGATGTCACCAACTTCTTTCTGCCTTCCCTCGTCAAGCATCTTCACGAGAAGGACGAGTCAGAAGTCAGCTACCGTGTACCCGTGGGTGTCATAATCGTTAGACTCTTGAAGTTGCTGCCTATGGAACAAATGGACCAGAAACTGGCCGGTGTCTTGACTGATATCAGTCACATTCTTCGCAGCAAGGCCATAGAGGCTCGTGACATGGCTCGAGACACACTGGTCAAGATTGCTGTTATTCTCGGGCCATCATACTTTGGCTTTATCCTCAAGGAGTTGCGAGGCGCCCTGACCAGAGGTTATCAACTCCACGTGCTCTCCTTCACCATGCACTCGCTCCTGGTTGCTGTTCTCCCCTTGTGTGCACCAGGCGATTTGGATTACTGTATCAGCTTCATCGTGACAGTGATCATGGACGATATCTTCGGTGTCATTGGTCAAGAGAAGGACGCCGAGGGGTACACCACTCAGACCAAGGAAATCAAGAGTAGCAAGAGTCAAGATTCGATGGAGCTAATATCGAAGAACGCCTCGGTCAGCCGAATCATTGACCTGGTCAAGCCACTGCGTGCGCTTTTGATGCAAAAGGTCGATCTCAAGATGGTCCGTAAGCTTGATACTTTGATGGCGCGAATTACAGGTGGTCTCCTGCAAAACCCTGCTGCTGAAAGCCGCGACACCCTGGTTTTCTGCTATGAGGTCATTCAAGACGTCTACAACTCCCAGAAGCCCGAAGTTGAGGAGAAGCTCGACCCTCGAGTCAAGAAGTACCTTGTTCAGAAGGGTGCCAAGAAGAGTGGCGATCGAGGCAAAACTACAAAGCACACTTACAAGTTGATTCGCTTTGCAGTAGATATCCTGAGAGCGATCCTGAAGAAGCACGACAGCTTGCGAACTCCTGCCAATATTGCCGGTTTCATTCCCATCCTTGGTGATGCCATGGTTGGTGGAGAGGATGAGGTCAAGATCTCAGCCTTCCGCTTACTTGCTGTCATCGTCAAGGTACCGTTCATCGACGATGAGGGATCGAAGCTGTACAAGGTTGCAGTCAAGGAAGCAACCAAGAGCATATCCATGTCAGTCTCTACAACTACCGAGGTAGCCCAGGCAGCTCTTAAAATGTTGGCCGTTGTTCTTCGCGATCGCCGTGACATTCCTGTCAAGGACGCAGCAATCGACATGCTCCTTGCCAAGTTGAAGGATGACCTCACCGAGCCCCTTTACCGCCATGTCACATTCAACTTCTTGCGATCAGTTCTGGATCGACATCTGGAAACTGCTGCTGTTTACGACACCTTGGATTATGTTGGCACTGTCATGATTACCAACGATGACAAAGATACTCGTGATCTTGCTCGAGGCGCGTTCTTCCAGTTCATTCGTGAATACCCACAGAAGAAGGCCAGATGGGCCAAGCAATTAAACTTCATTGTCGCCAACCTCAAGTATGAGCGCGAGGGTGGTCGTTTGTCTGTTATGGAGATGGTTCACTTGCTTCTCATGAAGTCATCGAACGACTTTGTACAGGAGATTTCCTCCACCTGCTTCCTCCCGCTTTTCTTTGTTCTGGCCAACGACGACAGCGAAAAGTGTCGACTTGCAGCTGCGGGACTTCTCAAGGAGATTTTCCTCAAGGCCGACAAGGAGAGGACTCTGACATTCCTTGGACTTGTGCGAACGTGGCTGGACCAGGATGGAAACGAGGCAGTTCTCAGGCTTGCCTTCCAGGTCTTTGGCTTCTACCTTGAATCGAACGAAAACGCATCGAAGAACAAGAAGGACTTCAAGCTTGTTCTCGAAAAGTTCAATGGTGTTATTGAAGCAGAGGACATCCAGGAAGTTGACGGAGAACTCTTGGATGCGGCACTCGGAGTTATTCGAGCCTCTCTGCCTGTGTTCCCTGAAAAGGTTCTGTCGAGCAGTAGTGAAGAGATGTGGTCCAACATCACTAGATGTCTGTCACACCAAGAAGGCTCAGTCAAGCTATCTGCTATTGGTTTGACAAGCTCTTACCTCGCTGATTTCGCCCGGCAAGCCAGCAGTGTACCTGTTGGTGAGCCGGTAAAGGGTAGCCATGGCCTCACGCTTGATCTACCAAGAATACAAGATCTAGTAAGACTTGGACTGGGTGTTCTCTCAACCCGAGACATTGATGAGAAGCTCGGAGCGGAAGCTGTTCAGGTTCTTGCCTTCTTGGCTCCTCATCTCCCTGTTCGACCTGTTACTGCAGAGGATGAGGAGGCCGAAGAGGATGAACAAGAGGAAGAGGAGGAGGAGGAGCAAATCGAGGAGAGACAGCGCAAGACGGATCTCCAGCATTTGTTCTGGAAGCTGTCACATGTCATTCGACGAGAGATTCCTCCCAGGGCTGTGGCAATTACACCCAAGATGGCTGCAATGGATCTCCTCGAGACTGTCTGCCGCAGATCTGAGTCTGATCGCCTCCGACCATCTCTCAAGACTATTCTTGTGCCCCTCCACAACCTCACCGATCCTTCAATTGCACCTCCTTTCTCCAATGACGAACTGTTCAAGGAGAGACATGAGGCTCTCAAGACGAGGGCGCAGATCCTCATGGAGTCCCTGCAGAAGAAGTTTGGTACGGCCGAGTACTCTACGCAGCTACTCGCTATCAGAGGCGAGGTGAGGGCAAAGAGAGAGCAACGATCAAGCAAGCGAAAGATTGAGGCCATTGCACACCCGGAGAAGTATGGACGGGATAAGAGAAAGAAGTTTGAGAAGAACAGAGACCGCAAGAAGACGCGATCTCGGGAGCAGAAGGTTATGCGGCAATCGTTCAAGGGGTGGTAAACAAGATGGATGGTGTTGCATCAAACGGCGTTGGGGATTTGTGGCATCAGAAATGTTTCCTGGCGTTATCTTATAGACATGTAGTAAAAGTCGTTTATAGAAGAAGTTTGAAAAACAAAACACGGCCACTTTGAAGGCTCGCGTTTATTATAATTGTTCCTGTCTATGGAGGAGGGTATCCCATCAACGCCACCCAATGCTTCGGCTCTATCGTACAAAACTGTCTCTTTTTTTGGTTATATTCGTGTAGCTCAATGTCCGTAGATCCTCATGAACTCTCAGACTTTCCAGTCTCTTTGTCTGCTGAGAGGGAATCCTCTGGCCAAAACTCGATGTCACCATCTTCACCCAGGCTGCCTCTCTTGACGAGCTGACCCTTTTCCCTCATAAGATCTTCGACGGTGATTTTTCGATCTCCAAAGATGTTCAGGTGGTCGCTGATAATATGTCTGTTTCGGCACTCTGGACATGTAATGAGCGAAGAGCCGAAGTGGTAACCCTGCTTAGAAACGTTGTGGTGAGAGCGATGGCCGCAGGGAACGCAGGTGAATGACAGCTGGTAGTGGGAAGCTTTGATCTCGGGCCTTGCTCCTTCACTTTTGGGTGCCTCGCCAGTCTGCGTCTTCTTGGGATCTGGCTTGGCGTATGTTTGAGGGGATGGTCGAGGGATGTTGTGCGCTGCACGGAAGGATTGATGGTTGAGGTTTGCGACTGGGCGAATGGCAGGCGCGCGCAGGAAAGAGGGGAGGCTCCGGGGCTGGTTGCGCAGTTGCCGCAGGACTGTAGAGGCGAAGGAAGGAGATCGTGAGGCCATTTTGGGCGGTTTGTGTGGTTTGGGGTAAGATGAAAGGTGATGGCGAAATCGGAGCTGCCGTTTGGGGGAAACGTTTTCAATTAAAGAAGGAAGGGTCTTGGGTGCGAGACGTCATTTGTGGGGCTGTCATGTCGGGACGGAGCGTTGTGGAAGGCTAGCGAATCACATCGGTCCTGTCACTTACACGGCTCGACTCATGTGAGAGGAAGTTATGATGATCGTGCAAAAGGTCGAATAATTCCATACTTCTCGCTGAAAGCCATTGTATATTCTATGAGCGTCATATGTACTAACTTGGGGCAACAAAATCGACCTACTATCCTGCTTAAATTCTCCTTATTGTTGGGACATCTTCACGCAACTGTACAGCAAGGAGACGTTGGCCGGGGAGGAGTCGGGGCAGGCGCAATGCTTAACGAAAGATGGTGCCGTTTTCCTCTGGTTTGGAAGGCGGGAACTGTTCCCAGAGTTCAGCCAAGAAAGAGTCTCCATGTGCTAGGGACATCGATACTCCTTCGCTTCCCGTGATCAGAGGCTGTCGTCGTCCCTTCCTTTCCTGTGTTGCTGAAGCCCGGCTTGTTACCTACCTATAAACAAGAATCCCCCCTCGCATTTCTCTTCTTCCTTTTCTTCCTGTTCTTCACCATCATCCGGCTTCTCTGTCGCTCTTCTCTCGCTTTCTATCTTTACGGTTTTTCTTGATCATCATCATCAGTTACTATTCAACAGTGCACCCAAACATTTCCCATTATCAGAATCACCCCTACCACTGTTGCTCACACGAGTTACAACACACTATCTCGATCACAACACACTTCATCGATCGAAATCTCAGCTTCCGAGATGCAATACCTTCATGTCCTGGCCTCCCTGGCCTTCATCTCCACCGTCGCTGCCGTCCCTTCCTTCCAATGTGCTGGTTCCGTTGGCATTGCTCCACTGGACCCCGATCTCGACATAGGCTTGCATATGATCAACGATGAACGCAGAAAGTCTGGACACTCTGAACTGGTCTGGGACAAGGCCCTTCGGGATTCTGCTTTATTGAGGGCATGCCAGTTGGCCAAATCTCACCTTACTGATCATCACCGACCCTCGGGAGAGGCTAGATACATGGAAAAAGTGGCCACTTGCCACTCACCACCAATGACACATCAATCAATGGCATGGACTCTCCAGACCGCTGCAAACAGTTGGCTTTTTGTAGGGAAGCAGAGCACTGGGGATACCGTAAAAGATGCACAGTTTGACTGGTCTCACAGGGGTATGTGATCTTGCTCTTTCCAAGCATGTTCAAGCTAACAAAACAGATCATTGTCTATCACGCGACGCAACTAAAGTTGGATGTGCCCGAACACAGAACCTCACCGAATGCATGGCATTTGTGGTGTGCCAATTCGACTCAACCCAGTAAGTTGATTGTAGCAGAATAATTCGAAGCAATTTCACTGACATATTTATTTCAGGAGTGTTGATCTGTGTCCGGAAGTGGGCGATGAATTCGCCAGAACACACAGTTGGCTGACAACTTGACCCACCTACACAAGGACTACCTTTCACACACCGGGAATGAGGCGGGTTAGCACATTGGTAAACAGAGTAGAATATTGTTGCTCAAAGTTAGTGACACAACAGAATTAAAAGCATTAATAGATTTTCATCGTTCACTGGTTTTGAGGCTCCAAATACACCTCCACAAATATTGGATGTTGTATGTGACCGTGCAGGGTAAGCGGATACACGCTGACATAATCCTCCGGCTTAATGTGATCCGTGCTCCCCACAGCAAACTGGTGGAACAGCGAGCGACGCGATTGAGAAAAAGGTCCCTAGTTTCGCGACTCCATCAAGTATCGAGCCTTGAAGTCATCACGACAGGCACGAAATACCCACCTCTTTCGCCCCTCCTGAGCAGCAACTCGATAATACACTTACGAATATTGTCGCGTAAAGTCTGCGAATTTCGCCTATCACTTATTCCTGGACCGCCTCAGGGCAAATAGCGATAGAAGTCATCGCGTTTTGGCATAGCTCCCTTTTCCACAGCATGAGATGACCATCACGGTCTCATAACAACCACAATGGACCGATCAAAGCCTCAAGCGTTCTTGTCAAGCTATGCGCCGCGACTCCGCGCTTACAACAATTCGCTCCTCACTCCCGTCTTACCCAGCAGTGTGCCCACTGGCCCAGTCTCGCGGACTACGAAGCGAGGGACCACCATCATAAACTATGCTGAAGATGGGTACGACGACTTGGAAGACGATAGTGACGATCCTCGAAGACGACCGACAGGCCTGCGGAGTTTGCGCAAGGAGGATTCGATTAGTAGACAGGACCTTGTAGACAAGGTTGGCAAAGATACAAAAGAACCTGTCGAGGTGCAAGGTATCTGGCGCGAGTGGATAGTGAAGCATAAGCTACTCCGAAGCGATCAGCAGAATGCCATTCAATCAACCTTACCTTTGACACTCATCCCGATCCGAATCGACCTGGACGTTCCTGCATTCATCCCTCCGGCCCCGTACCCAACGCCGAACCCTAATACGGTGGACACCTCGCTTCCTCAGTATCGCCAACAGGAGGCCACAGTGCCTTACAAGCTTCGAGACATCTTCTGCTGGAACCTTCACGAAACCCTCATCTCAACTGACCAGTTTGCCCAGACTCTGGTGCAGGATCTTGATCTCCCGAACCGACAAGCAGCCATCGCGGAAATCAGCAAACAAATCCGGACACAGCTCGAGGAATACTCAGGTGTTGCCCTCCATCCGTTGTTCCATAGCGACCAGCAGGCCCCCTTGGTGCCACAGCCCGCGACGGCCGCACAAACGCCACGACCAAGTTTTGCGTTCAAGTCTCGGGACGACTCTCCTGCCTCCGCTATCCGGGGCGCTTCCCGGCCTGACACGCCGGCGCAGACAGGAGGCGTGGCCACGCCTGCGCAATCCCAAGTCCCGGATGTCACCGCAGAGGCAATGCCAATTCTTCCCGATTCCGACGACTACAACCCTGACGATACATATCGGTGCATCATCAACCTGAACCTGAACCTGGCGTCAATGCTCTACACTGACAAATTTGAATGGTCCTTGTTACATCCACCTGGCACTGCTGAGGCTTTTGCCAAGGTCACTTGTACGGACCTTGGATTGACAGGAGAGTGGATCCCGGCAATGACCCATGCTATCTACGAGGCTGTGCTGCGGCTGAAGAAGGAAGCGTGTGAGGCTGGTGGTCTTGTTGCTGGATGGGGTGGACTGCAGCAGGAGTTGCCCAACGACGCTGCTCACGGCTCAGAGGCTGGCTGGAGATACGACCCGGAGCATCTCGGAGATGACTGGGAGCCCAAGGTCGAATTCCTCAGCAAGGAGGAGATAGAGAAGAGGGAGGGTGACCGAGAACGTGAAGTTCGTCGATTACGCCGTGAGACGGCACGGTTCAGCTCTACGACTGGTATGCTTGGAGGCACGCCATTTGGTGCACCGATGGAAGTCGAGGAGGAGAGAATGGGACGAGGCGAAAGATCCAAGAAGAAGCGACGCTTCCGAAGCTTGAGTCCGCTTGGACGAGGTGGTACACCCGGCGGTCGAGGCACACCAGATGTTGGTGGATATGGAGGCGGCGGTGCTCTGACGGACCAAGAGAGATTCCAATGGCGGTGCATGCACTGCAGAATATGGGGCACAAGTGTGTGGGCTGTAAGAGACGGGCCAGCAGGACCGAGAGTGAGTCCAAAACGTCAAGATCCGATCAACTCATTGCTAACATTACTTAGACCCTATGTGCCAACTGTGGCTACCTCTACGAACGGGATCAGAAACTGCCTCGCCAGAGTAAAAACCTTCATCTAGCAGATATTCGTGGAGCTTAGGAAAATTCAGACGAACAATCTCGACCAAAGGCAGCTTCTGATGCTCACAAGGATCGTACCACAACGACACCATGTAAGAGCAGCGGAGCTTCCAGTCGAAGGCAGTCTTTCTCGGAACAACGACGTAATGGAACGGGATATTCTCGTTAACTGGGAAAGGGGGAAATATAGTGGCAACGCTTCAAGCTGACAGCGAGCGACATTTTGGGAGTCTTTGTTTTTGCGAGCAAAAGCTTTTGGGGGCGGTGGAAATTGGAAGGGATGTTTCTAAGGCGTCTGGGGAGGATTTGAATTCCTCAAGTAGATGATGTTTTTATTATTTTTTATACGACGATAATTGCGAGAGAGGAGGATGTAGAGCACGCATCCTTGTAGAGTACCTATATTGATACAGGTGGTGTTTAAGGGGTGCTGGTAATACCTCTTTGGGCACTATTGACTACTAGGTACACATTGAATTACAGTTGAGTTGATATTAAACAGAGTTGTAGTATAAGTTGTATGTTTAACATGTCAAAAACCTAGAGGTAACGTTAAAGTGTAGCCGTTCAGGTAGTCTAGTTGTTTGTACCTAGGTCTGCAGGTGAAATTACTAGTTGGTATCACGTGTGGCTGATTTGGTCGGGTTATAGTCAAACCATGACAACCTCACTCCCCACAAACATCACCGCATCCACTTGGGGGAAATACGTATCATCGGCATGAAATATGCAAGTCACATATGGACCCTTGTTATTGCAGCGTATTGAATTGGCTATGGAACCACCCACGCGAAGCTGTGCCACGCTTTAGGACACTCCGGAGGATGCACCTCCACGATCTTAATCCGTCTAGACGGCGGCCTACCGCTCTACCACACCACAAACAAACACTAACAAACGCCCCGCATGTCTGAAATTGGCTATTCTGCCCCCTCCGGAATATCTTTTACGTGTGGGGTACACCTTTGATTGGAGTACCGGTCGAGTTGAGGATGCCCCCAAGGCGGTTCGAGCCGAAGATGATGGTCCCTTTTATTGCAGGGTTTCCAACTCCGATGCCATTCATTGGCGATGTTCCGTGACTCAAAAGGGTATCCCATTCTAGGGCCTCGGCAGTCTGAGACATCCATCTTGTCGTTGCCAGGGTTTCGAAAGTAGAGCTTGTGGATTACAACCGTTTGCCATTGAGTTGGCAGCAGCAAGTAACTTCAAAGGGCTCTACAGTAGAGTGTCAACCGCCAGGAACTGCTTGGAGTACCAAAGTACGGTAGCAATCAATTTGATCTTTCCCTGCGCGTTCGTCAACTGTCACATGAGACCACCAGTCAGAAGCAAGATCTCCCTGCCTGTTTGGCAATGTTCTAACTTCCAAGGTTGACCAGCAGCAACATCCTGGTCTATAGTCGGCATATGACATGGCCGTGACCACTATCTCGGTCATGATGTGTCCGAAACTGCTGAATCTGGACGAAGAAGCTCGCCCTCCTCTTACTCACCTGTACTATGTCAGGGGTTTAACTTTCACAACCCCCGCAACGCCCGGCAGCTGACCAACAACTGCTGTTATTCAAGATGAACCTTGGCATACCACGAGCGCATGAACATAGCCATTTTGATGAAAGTTCGTCCACGATACTTGCAAACGCCGACTGGTTGACTTCATTTAAGCGGACGGACTGACTCCCGAAGTACCGTACGACACTTTTACGCGGACAGCTTCATTTCACTGCACGGCTTGCAATCATTCAGTTAGTAAGAGCAGATGAGTGAGTGTGCACCATGGAGCTGGAACACATAGCCCTAACGCTTCTTGTTATGATCTACGGACAAAGATATCAGCAACAACGCCACTTGAGCATTCCATTGCCCAGAAGGGACACTCTACAAGTTTTATGATGTCAATGTGCTCTTCACTACCATGAACATGCATCGCCATTGAATATATCGCCAAAAAGGGATTGGGATCTATCCGGAGCCACGGCCCCCCAAGGCGATGTTGACTGAGGAGCATTATACCCGTCATGCTAGGCACTGGTGGGTCTCGAGGACAGGTTTCTCCATACTGAAACCAGACGAAAGATGTAACAGTGCTGCATCCATGGTAAATGCTATGGCCCAAGAGTGGAATTTGGGGAAAACATCTGGGGCCGCGGCCAGAAACAACAGATTGTGGGGTTACCTACCTAGCCTCCTGACTCGATGCCACGGCTAAGTAGACCTGACCCCAGGTGAAGATCCATCTGGTTAATATGGCGAGGTGACTTCTACCTTGCTGTTGCCTTTTTAGGGATGGCTATCCGAACACCTCACGATCTCCGAGAATTCTTGTCTGAGTCTTAGTAGTTCGCGGCATAGATGTGATGGAAGCGACGGCCCGGACAACGAACCATGTTCCTATTCCGTTCAGAGCTTCGCCAGAATGATGGCTCTCCAGCCAAGACAAGTCTGGATTACTCATATCTGGGTGCAGTCTCAGTAGCCTGAAGTATCAAAGTCCTCCAATGAGGGGGTATCGTGAGCGCAGCCTCTTCGGAAGCCATTCAATGATCTGCTTCGGGAACTACGGACCGGCCTACTTGTTTTCTTTACCCTTATAGGAATCTTGAGGATACTCACTATACGCCACTTTCAAGACTATTGCGGATATCGGCTCAGTCAATAATTGCCCCTGTACTCGTCGTACCTCCGTGGCTCTACTCGATATGTCTCCGCCTTGCAGTTATACTTCGCCCGAAGTTAACGAGCGAGGGCCTGGATGACCTAACGAGGATCATCATGCCCTCGGACTATCAAAGGGGTGGCGGCCCGGGGCCCGCCTTCGTCTTGGGAGATGTGAGATTAGAGCCTCATCGGTATTGCGGCTTCACTTGTTGATCGTCCCATCACCTTGCCAGTCCAAGGCCAGGGGTGAAAGGATACGATCTTGCTAGCTCCAGATGATCTCGTCCAGGCACGGAGTTCAGGTATATAACAAGCTCATATCCCCAAACTAGATCAACCTCACCACACTCTTCATCCCATCCTCTCCAGTCAGCTCCCACTCATCTGTCCAACGGTCCAGCTTCAGTCACAATGTATCGCGTCATCGCCACCGCCTCGGCTCTTATTGCAGCCGCTCGGGCTCAACAGGTCTGCACCTTGACCACCGAGACCAAGCCTGCCTTGACTTGGTCCAAATGTACCTCCAGCGGCTGCAGCGATGTCAAGGGATCCGTCGGCATTGACGCCAACTGGCGATGGACTCATCAGACATCCGGTTCTACCAATTGTTACACCGGTAACAAGTGGGACACTTCCGTCTGTACTTCCGGCGACACATGCGCCCAGAAGTGCTGTCTTGATGGCGCCGACTACGCCGGCACCTATGGTATCACATCCAGCGGTAACCAGCTCAGCCTCGGTTTCGTTACCAAGGGATCTTTCAGCACCAACATTGGTAGCCGTACTTATCTCATGGAGAATGAGAACACCTACCAGATGTTCCAGCTCCTCGGCAACGAATTCACTTTCGATGTTGATGTCTCAAACATCGGCTGCGGTCTGAACGGTGCCCTCTACTTCGTCAGCATGGACGCAGATGGTGGCAAGGCTCGCTACCCTGCGAACAAGGCTGGTGCCAAGTACGGAACTGGTTACTGTGATGCCCAGTGCCCCCGTGATGTCAAGTTCATCAACGGAAAGGTAATTTTCACCCCCAGTATAAGACCCAACTCCAGATGGATGCTAACAAGTACCTAAAAGGCCAACTCTGATGGCTGGAAGCCCTCAGACAGCGATATCAACGCTGGTATTGGTAACTTGGGTACATGCTGCCCTGAGATGGATATCTGGGAGGCCAACTCCATCTCCACCGCTTTCACTCCTCACCCTTGCACCAAGCTCACCCAGCACTCTTGCACTGGCGACTCTTGTGGTGGTACATACTCCAACGACCGCTACGGCGGAACTTGCGATGCTGATGGTTGCGATTTCAACTCCTACCGCCAGGGCAACAAGACCTTCTACGGACGAGGATCTGACTTCAACGTCGACACCACCAAGAAGGTTACTGTCGTCACCCAGTTCAAGAAGGGCAGCAACGGCCGTCTCTCTGAGATCACTCGCCTGTACGTCCAGAACGGCAAGGTCATCGCCAACTCCGAGTCCAAGATTCCCGGAAACTCCGGCAGCTCTCTTACCGCTGACTTCTGCTCCAAGCAGAAGAGCGTCTTTGGCGACATCGACGACTTCTCCAAGAAGGGTGGCTGGAGCGGCATGAGCGATGCTCTTGAAGCCCCCATGGTTCTCGTTATGTCTCTCTGGCACGACGTAAGTTCAAGCACATCTATCTCCCTACATTTACCATGATATACTGACTCCTATACGCAGCACCACTCCAACATGCTCTGGCTCGACTCTACTTACCCCACCGATTCCACCAAGCTTGGTGCTCAGCGAGGCTCTTGTGCTACCACCTCTGGCGTTCCCTCCGACCTCGAGCGAGACGTCCCCAACTCCAAGGTTTCCTTCTCCAACATCAAGTTCGGTCCCATCGGCAGCACCTACAGTTCCGGCACCACCAATCCACCTCCTTCCAGCACTGACACTTCCACCCCTACCAACCCCCCTACTGGTGGCACCGTTGGACAGTACGGTCAGTGTGGTGGCCAGACCTACACCGGTCCCAAGGACTGCAAGTCCCCCTACACTTGCAAGAAGATCAACGACTTCTACTCTCAGTGCCTGTAAAGCCTCAGCTGAGTTATGTCAGCCATGGACTGAGAGACGACATCACAAGAGAATGACGATCGATGTGAAGTCTTTGAACGAGATGAGATGAAACTTGAAGTTGACTTGTGCGGAAAAGAGGTTGATTTTCAGTTTGTTGAAAGTTTGTTTATGCTCCTTCTTGTCTTTCGTTTTCATCGCGCGAGTAAAAAGCGACTTTTGCCCCTGTTATTATATGCGCTAGTAGAAGAATAGTATCAACTGTCGTTATCAACATAACTGCTATTTGTCATACCGTGAAGTTTATGTGTCCAATACTACTCTAAGGACCAACCAGATCTCCTCGGAATCTCGAATCGCTTCTGCATGCCAAGATACTATGTTGGACCAGGATTAATCTGGCCAAGCATGACATGTCACAATCGATCTTACCAACACCTCGTTACTCATAATTATCGACGCCCCAGTTTACATAGAGTCTCCAGAGAATTGCTCCAGATGTCGAGTTGTAGGTGCCAGGATCTGGTTCTGATCCGATATAGGACACAATACAAATAACTACATATTATTTCAAAGAACGAATCGAGTGGTACTTCTCAGATAATTCAGCAATGCTTAAAGGATTTGACATTATATTCTGGTTAATCCAATGCGGGCAGATGGCAACATATTTCGCTTTCCATGTCTCTCGTAAGAAGACCATAACTAAGACTAGATACTGCTTTAGATCTCATATCATTTGGATCTATATCGCGACAAAGATTACTTAGACGGACTCGCGCTTCTCGTTTTGCTGAACCTCGGCCCCATCCTTCAACTCTTGGGCGTGAGGCTGAGCTATGTCAATGCCGAGCATCTGGGCTCCCTTCTCGCTGTGGTCGGCTCCGCCAAAGACAGTGTCCATGTGCTCAAGCGCGATACCCTTAGTCTCAGGGACACAGAAGAAGACAAAAATGCAAAGCAAGACGTTGACACCAAAGAAGAAGAAGAGACACTTGAGTCCGGTCTTGGCAAGGAAGGTAGGGAAGAACTGCTGGAAGATGGTGTTGGCCACATTCTGGCACTGAGAAGCCATACCAACAGCTTGGGTTCGGACATTGGCGGAGAAGACTTCACTAGTCCACATCCAGACACCAGCACCCCATGAAGGCTTGTAGAAGAAGCTGCACATGACGAATTAGTTATGATCCCCAAAGTCTGAAAGACAGGTTGCAACTTACATGAAGAGATAGAGCATGACGACGATGCCGATAGCGGTGGGCTCGGTCTTGGGGTTGGGAGTGGCAAGACCAATAATGGGCACGATCAACATGCAAACAGCCATACCGACAGCACCGACCATGAAGAGCCAGCGACGGCCAAAGCGATCGGCAGTCCAAACAGCGTTGAGGGTGAATAGGATACCCATGGTAGCCCACAGAGCGTTGATGAGGTTGATCTTCTCAGTTGAGGTCCAGACCTCCTTGTAGATGGAAGTAGAGTAGGTGTTGAGGGTGCCCTGGCCGGTGAGCTGTTGACCAACGTTGAGAACAATAGCAATGCCGAATCGCTTTCTGATAGAAGGGTCTTTGAAGAGCGCGCTATATCCGGGGCTGATGGCCTCCTTCTCGTACTCGATAGCGGCTTGAATACCCAAGACCTCTTCTTCAACCTCTTCCTCTGTATCTCGGATCCGACGAAGGGCGGCTCGGGCAGCATCGATTCTGCCCTTCTTGATGAGGAACCGAGGGGACTCAGGTTGGAATGGGAGCAGAATAATGACGATGATAGGAACGAGGACCTGGAAGATGACAACCATGCGCCAATCCCACTCGCCGAGCTTCTCTCGGTTCTTGCCGCAAGCGTAGTTGATCCAGTAGGCGATGAAGGCACCGACCGAGTAGAAGAGTTGCCAGAAGGCCATGACCTGACCTCGGATCTCAGCGGGTGTGACTTCGCCGATGTAGACAGGACCAGCAGCTGAAGAGAGTCAGCACTTAAATTCACATAGGAATATTATTGATGATGATTGACTTACTGAGAGCGGTACCCTGGCCAATACCAATGAGAACGCGGCCAAGAATAAAAACTCCAAGCTTTCCCTTGGGAGCGAAAGCCTGAACGATGGCGGCGATGATGGTGATGAAGCAACCAATACCCATACCAGCACGTCGACCAAGCCAATCAGCCTACACGTTGTGATCAGCACACAGTCTATATCAATATTGCGTTCGCGGGGAGCATACCAGGGGGCCACCGATGAAGAAGCCACTGACGATGGCACCAATCGTGTAGCATGTGTTGATCAGACCGACTGTGTAACTATCTTTCTTCTGCGAGAGGGAAAAACATGGTTAGCTACTATTGTCCACAAGCATTCGAGAAGGAGAATGGGGTTATGCTAATGACTTACAAGGTCAAGATTGAACCAGTCAAGCCAGTTTTGCGAGGCTTGAAGGGCCTAAGGGATCAAGTTAGCAATGAGATATCAAGTAGATATCGCGTGCTGATAATATGCATACGTTGAAGACACTGGAATCAAAGCCGTAGAGCGTCATACAAGACGCTGCCACCATGGCAATGAACCAGTTGTAGGTTCTCGTTTTGCTAGGCATATTGGCGGTGTTGGCCCAATTCCTGTGTGTGGTTATTTCTCAAGGGTCCTCGATTATTTCAACCAAAGATCGAGAAGGCTCAAAGGAGGAGGAGGAGAAGGATTTGAGGATAGGTAGTGGGACGGAGAGAACAGAGGAGAGAAAAAGGAAAGTACGAAGCATCCACAGTCTTCTTTTTATCTTTGAAGACGAGAAGGAGCCCCGAAGGTCTAGAGCTATGTCCCTTCCCCCCAGACCCTAGGACTAGGTGCCTTCCTGTAACCCCAGACCCCAGGTTGCGGTCGCGTTCGCGATTGCGGTTATGGATACGCGGACGGACACACCTTCCCCACCATCCACATCCCTCTAATTGTATGTATGCCTCCCTACCCAGCAAAGGTCTAGCTCGATAGACTAAATATAAGCCGAGTCAAGGCAAGGTAGGTAGGGACTTCAGAGTACGAGAAGTTTCTGTTTCCACTTCAATCTGGTGACTTCAAAGCTTCCAGAGTACAAGGTGCTTGCGTTGGAACAATAACAACCGTATCTCGCTCGGCCCTTGATACTTGACGATAAGGCAGGTCTAGTATAGGTAGGTACTTAGTATAGCAAATCAATGGACACACGCTTCTTATCGTTTATGTTTGACTTGTTCGCTTACCACAACCATTGATGCATAGTAACTTGGTAGGTCGTAGTTTCCACTTTTCTATTCCTTGCTGTTTCCATCGCTCGCCCGTTGAGTCTTGCTAGTATATACCTTAATGTATCGTCGAAACCCCCGCAACTACGGGATACGGGAGGACTCATTATGATGGATCCTAGATCGAAACCCCCAAAGTTATGGTCCTCATTTCATTCCCCCACGATTGATCAAGTCTGGGGTTGACGACTAAACCAAAATTCCATCAAAAGCACCAAAGAATGACCGTCTTTCATCAGACGAGAGGCGCTACTGTCACTGCGCCGTGCCGAGTTCCGTCTGCCCATGCCGTTAAACCCCTGTCAACTCCTCCACCCGCTCGGCACGTCTGTCAGTTTTGGGTGGCATGCTCAACGCCTGTTGGAGCAAATCCGTACCAAGTCTGCTCCCGTGTGTTTTGACGTTAGACCTCGACTGGCGTCCTGGACTTTAGCGGTCTTGGAATGGGCTGGCAGGCTGGCCTTGGGGGTGTGGAGAATGGGGGGAATGCTGTCTTGCGGCTGATCTTGGCCTGCATGGCCATATCGTGTGGTTAGATCGCAGGGCTTCAAAAGACACGATTGGTGGAATATATCAAGGGATTCAATTTCTCCGTCACATTAGTCTAAAGTCAACTCTACCCGTGCTAGACCCGTTGCGAGCCTCGCTTCTCCACCTCCACGATTTACGATTTGGCCTCATCCCGTGCGGAGTAATAGACCGCTTGTCGTTTCCCTGCACATCTTTCCCCGCATTGGATTTGCCTTGGATATGGAGACGAATCTCGGGTAAAAAAGCACAGCAAAGATAAGCGGCTGCGACAAATCCACGGGCGATTTGTTTATGCTGTTGTGTGATACTATCAACTAATAAATGAACCGGGCTGTCAGTCAAGGGTTAATCTAGACCACAGCGTTACAGTAGGGGCGACCTTGCTCCAACTCAAGGACACAAGGATCTTCAAATTACCTTAATTAACTATGGGAGTTTATTGTTAAGATTCATGTACATAGTATATATGAATATGCTTTGGCCAAGTTTCACTATCACTTGGTTAGATTAGTTGTTTGCACAACATGGCATCAGGCCAAGACTTGACCCCCCCTTCTCCGGCCCGACCCTACACCCTCTCACATGCTCTCGATGGGACTTCCATCTCGACAATAGCACACCATGCCAAGGAATCGATTGCCAAGGGCGATCTATTCAGGGCAATTTGGCGCCACTGGCAACAGCTTACTACGCACATCTCGGCTTGGGGGTTACATGAGTTCCTTCGCTAGACTGGTCCTCTGAACAGGTGCTGGATCAATGAATGCAAAACTACCTCGGCTACAGGTGAACTTAACCTATACACCAATGTCCGCAACAGTATCCTCGATTTTGCCAACAGAGTCTGGGAACAATATCTGTCTAGGTCTTCCTCCTTCAATCTCAACCTTCATCTTCAACCTAGAGAGTAGACTGACTACCACGACATAGCATTGGAAAGAAGAACGAAACAACCAGTCCCGGATGAATAACACGATAAACGATTGTACATTGATGGGCTCGCTTTGTTTTGATGTGCATAAACACCTGATCCAAACCCATATGTTATCGAATGTAAGTTGACTACCTATTCCAGTCAAAACTATCATCACCTTGCGGGCAAGAAGACGTCTGTGGTGACAAGCCATGAATTGTTCGACTGCCTCGTGGTATTGACTCTCTCTTGCAAGATCATTCCTCCGAATGCCCTATAAAACGTCGCCCGAAATTTCATCCATAAGGAACGACATTAATCATCATTGTTGCAACACCAGGTTCCACCAATTCAATCTCCTAGATTGGTGCGCGTCTCACATTTGAAAACCACCCTGATACTGTAACTGATACTGTTCCCGAGCAGTATCACGTATCTGTTTTCGCCTCGACAGTCGTTCTACTGTTTCTTGCGACCTCATGCCGAAGCTTTCTCTCCAAGTCGAAGCATCTACCCAGCGATCTCCGTAGGTATCTAAAGTCTGTGAGACCTTGTCCAAGCATCTCAAACTTCGGTCGAGGTTATCTTCCCCACTCATTCCTTGCGGTTGTAATCGTCTTGGGAGTGGAGGGGCGGGAGCAGTACCAGGGCGCGCAATTGGAATCGGCACCGGCATTCCTGAAAGAAGCATGTCTTCCGCATCCCTTAACACTGCGAGAAACTGGTTTACCATAAAAAAGACCCGCAAGACGTCGTGATACGTGTAAAAGCCTGAATTCTGTGCACCGTGTGCGATATCATGAACAGTGTCAAGGTACGCCATTGAATGTTCAAAAATCAGAATGCGGTTATAATCGGTGATGCTAGGTGCCCTGGCTGAGGGTGCAATGCAATAGACATAACTGTATCTCAGCTCCTGTTCAAACAACTGTCGGATTTGAGGAGGAAGATTATTCGGCAAAGTATCTTGCCATTCCCGCATGTCGAGACACATCTTCCAGATATAGGAGATTGGGTCTTGTAGAGGGACTGAGCCGGATTGATACAGCTCCTGATACCAATGAGATTGTGCTCTTCGAAGTTGGAAAAGCAGGAGGGCAGGGTCAGCTGGCTGAGGGCCCGTAATGGCGCCCGAGACCGAACTCTTTCTTGCGTTACTGGACGCTTGAGGAAACGCAACATTAACCGTATCATCAGTAAACGAGAACGTCCGAGCATGGACCATACTGATGGCACTATGAGGTATGTTAGTGCACGCGTGATTTGTCAGACAGAAGGCAAAGAGGGTTACCGATCGAGAGCATATGCGCAGTAAAAGATCTTACGCCGCATGTCCAGGGAAGATTTATCAGACACAGAAGACAGAGGTGGATCTTGATGAAAGCCAAGGTCAACAATTGCCCGCGCAGTGAATCCTATCAAGTGCCAACTGTCAAAATGAGCAGGGTCCAGCATGGCATACTGTGTTAGAAGCAGGAGCGATTGGATTTGTGTCACATATCCCGGTGTAAGAGCGCCATCAGCATGATTCATGGCTCTTGAGGCATACTCAAGGCCAGTAAGATAGTGGGTATCTTGGCTGCGTTTGCTCTGGGCAGTAGAGCCAATGGCAAGAACCATGAACACCATCCAATAGTCCGAATCCTTGATTGTGCGGTCATCTTGCTGATACAAGTCATCAAGGGCGGTCAAAAGAGCAGTTTCCGAGAAGCAGGGGAACAGGGAGTAGACGTTGTCCATGTAATGCTGAACAAGCGCATGGGCAGTCTGCCTAGGCGGTAAACGGATCTCAGGAGATTCTGGAAGGGCATCATTCGTAGTGGCTGCCAAAACCAGTCTTGCAAACGTCATGTTTGTTGATGTAGGCTCAAAGTCCCGGGTTGTAGCATTGACAGAACTTTCCAAGCAAATCAGTTTACGAGCATGGGTTAGACTTCATAGCTAGCACTTACAGAAACCCGAAGTCGGAAACGAGAGAGTTGACGTCGGAAGTCTCCCGTTTTTGAGCCGCCTTACGATGTATGGCGGCTCGAATAAGAGCCAGAGAATCTCTGCGGTCCATTTGCTGCGCATTGAAGGCGGATGCATCCGTATCATGAAGTGCAACAGATGCCTTTCGTGATTTGGCAAATTGGAGTCTTTTTTCGAGCTTTTCTATACGTAACTCCAAGGCAGCCACATAACTACAAGCAAAAGTTAGCGATGCTTGGTAGATTCGACCGTTAGGCAGGCAATTGACCTTCTCTCCTTGCCTCTAGCGAACTGATCATTAGCTGCTGAGCATTCAGTCGAGCGACCAGCTTTTTCGCAAGCTGTGCAGGCTGGCAACTTGCCATCACACTGCATGGTGGTTAGTCTTGTCACCCAACACATGCAAAAATGTCTGTTTGCTCACCTTGACTTTGGCAGCACGGCCTTGTTGTTGAAACAAATTAGTTTTCGTGGTATTTGTAGGGATCCAGGCTCAGAACTTACACCGGGAGCAAGCGGAAACAGGCCGCGACACTCTTAATAGAGGATTATGAGAGAAACTTGCACGGGGCATTTTGTTACAGCCTGGAAGCAGAACCGCCAGCTATCTTATCACCTGCGTCTGTTAGAACACTAGAGGGGTAGTGTTATGTAGAACCCGATCAAAGGACTGCGATAGTCGCAACAAACAGAGCGTGACAAAAGATAATAGTTGATGGGCTTAAGTCTGGGGTGGCGGTTGGAATGTCGTCAAATTTCTCCACTCGGAAGCGGGACACTCAAGACCAGGAGAAGCCAAGGCGATTTCCAGAAGGGAATGGACCAGGGTCAAGTGATTGGTCTTTGACCTCGAGATCGTGCCCAGTAGTATGAAGAGATTGTTATGTTAGCTGGGCACGTATGGTCTCTAGCCGCCTGCCTGTAACCAAAAGCGTAGTCAATTAAGGGGCATGGGAAATGGGCGATTGTGTTGTTGTGCGGCGTGCGGGCAGGCAATCCACTATGTCGTGGCGTCGTTGGCTGGTTTGAGTCGTGAGTGGATGGATGGTTGCGGGACAATCTAATGACAGAGGAATGATATCCGTAGTTAAGTTGCGAACTCAATGTGTCGAGGATCCTTTGTTTCAGGGATAGATCTTAAGTTGGAGTCGAATAGAGGAGGACTTCGCCAAGGTACCGATAAAAAAAAGAGAATTATAATGTCCTGTAAGTGAGAATGGGAGTAAATCACCGAGTCCAACTGTCTCATTATTGTCAGGTCTTGTTCCTCAAAGTTGTCACGCTTGGTGGGGCAGTAGATGAGGGATGTGGGCACGGCTGTACGGACAAAGTGACACAGTTGAAGATGGACGTGTACGAGATAGAGACAACTGTGGAGTTGGGCAGACCTGGGTTGAGGAAACAAACATACAATAGCATGTGATCAGGAAGCTTGAGCTTAATGTTGATGTTGGCGTTAACCGTTGGTTGGCGTTATGTTGTGGTTTAATTCATTCACAACAAAAGATAAGACGACCCTTCGACGAACCGGGTCATATGGTATGAGAAAGTTAGGTAAGCCCAAGTTCGGCGGGTAGAAGGAAGGAGCACCTTAAGGCGTCAACGGACTACCCAAGTTAGGCATTTCCCGCGCAATTCAACATGGAAATCACTGAATACCTACCTATACATTCAACACACATTACTCATCAATAGAATAAGCTGAACTTTACGACATGTCAAGATGGATGCGCCATGAACCCGCCTTAACCAAAGAAGGAGGACAAAGGCACATGTAAGTCACTAATGCACGATGCATCTAGACGGACGTCTCGGATCCCTCCTCCCGATGCACGTCAACTCGATACAATACTTTAAATACGGCCGAAAAGCCAATCTACTACTTGACCCCAAGAATAGCGTGAACTCCAGGAACTTGGATCTTTCTCCCAAGCTGTACGACGGATCTGGTACCCGAATAAATGACCTATCTATTAGACATTGGCGCCCAGGTCTGGGCTCAGGACGGCGACTAGATATGCCGATTGCAACTGCAAATGACGAAGTGGGTGAGCTTACTGCATCTTGGGTCTTGTACATGTACTTAGAAGGGCAATATAGTCTTCAACATTCCCACTGCCAAGCGGGGGGTCTCATGATCATTGAGGGAGGCTGGAAGTAGCAGAAGAAAGGGCCGTATCTGCCTGCCTGCGTGCTCGGACAAGCTTCATGTCCACTAAGGATTGCCGAGTTGCAAATTACTTGACCCATAGGATGGCGTTAGGTGCTGCTTGGTAGAAGTATGATTTACATCATGAGCCCTACGACTCGCAGTCCGTCAATGGCGACGAGTCGCAGATAGATACTCAATTTGAGGGGCAAGAGGGTTTTATGACATGATCTTGAACTTTCTAGCCTCATTTGAGACATGCCGGGATCTAATTTGACGCGAGTATCCTAAGATCTTGATATTTAGGTAAGGAGATGCTGAGATGCATCATGCATGTCCTGGAATTGCCATATCGGGCTTTACCGGACAGCTTCTTCTATATCTACCATTCGCAATGGATCTTCGCTAAAGAAACACAGACTAATCCACGCGGGGTAAAAGCCAAATTTCCATCCGAGCTGATAAGATGAGATGAGATTGCTGGAGCTGATGAAACAACCAATGTGTTTGTTAAGCTACCAAACAGGTAGACAGAACCTTTGCTCTCACTCTCGCGCCACGAGAATTGTTAATTATACCGGCCCAATAGAGGACTGCTTAAAACGTAATCTACGGTTTGCCCATGTCATATAAATTAATATCGGCCGAGTCCTATTGTTAATTTCAACACATGGCCCCTACTAATATCGGGCAACTTGTCTCACTAACTAGTGGTGATGCGTTGACATACCAATACCAAACCTCACTAATAACTAATGGTTCTTGCCCGGGCCGCATTCGACAAAACCTCATATCAATTGCGGATTTCGTTTACCACACGCTTCGTTAAATTTCCAGGGTCTCATTAGCGAGCGCTTGAGCTCTGCCCCCCCTCGAATCCACGTCTCTCCGCTAATTCGAGGTCTCTGAACCGGATTCCTCTAGGTACTAGTAGGTAGAGGAAACAATAAAACAGCCAATCACCAGGTACCACCGACTGACGTTCCTTGTTGTCTTGCCCCTCCTTCCGTCAATAGGAGCCTGCTCTTTTGACGTACATCCCATACACAACCACTTTGCTTGCGTTTCCTAATGTCCTTACAGCATAATCGTCTTCGCTATCTCGTATCTTTCTCCTCACCACACGTTGCCGATAAAACATCAGTTCTGTTCTTCGACTTACTCGATCATCTTCATCATCACCACCATCATTCGGCTCCTTCTGCGACCCTAGACCGTTTCCGTGCCGTACTTTAGTACTTGCGATTGTGCCTCTTTGCGCGCCGGCTTCACGATATTGATACACAGTCCTTGGATGCTTGCGCGCCTCTGAAAGAAAACCCGACTTGAAGGCGTCGATTGCGCGAGCACGCCCAATGAATCCAGCGGACATGTTTCGACCAGGCTTCGGCCATGTCGCTCCCCGCCAAAACCCGGTCTTCATGGGCCATCCTCAGCTATCCGCCTTGCAGTTTCACCAGCAGCAGCAGCAACAACTACAACAGCAGCAGCAACAACGACCGCAGACGTTTAGGAAACCAGTGCAACATACCGACGAAACGTCGGATGGTGATGGTTCGGCCCACCGCATCGCCCATACTCTGACAGCCTGTTGCCGTTGCCGACAGGTACCTACCCACTTTCGACTTGGTATTTGAGTTTCCATGCTAACATGTTTATACATAGAGGAAAACCCGATGCGATCCTACTTTGCCCCGCTGTTTGCCGTGTGAACGATCCGGGTCTACCTGTGAATACTTGGATGCCGCCAAGGGCCGCAAGATCAACCGGTATTATGTTATCAAACTACAGGATAAAGTTAGGCAACTTGAAGCAGAGCTTAGCCAGTTCACCGACGACGAAACCGACTATCCCAAGAGCAACGAAGACATGGTACGGCCCGGTGGAATGGTCCGTCTCAATGGTGGTGACGAGACCCCTCGATACCTTGGACCCAGCAGTGGTATTGCAATGACACGTTTACTTATGGAACAAGCGAAACGATACACCGACTCCAAGCGCATCTCCGATCTGATACCCAGTGTTCGCGCCAGGCAAGCTCGAATGCAGTCTATTCAAATGACCGGGCCTTCCGCTAGGAGAAAGAGCTACCCCATGATAAGCCAACACCCAGCCGAAAGTTTACCTACGAGGGCTGTTGCAGATAAGTTACTGGAAATTTTCAATCAAAGAGGTAGGCCGGAACAATCAAATGTTCCATATATGGGACGTGGAAAGCTAACACGTTATAGCCCAAGTTTTCTGGCCCGCCCTACATGAGAAGGATCTGCTGCAAGATCTCGATGCAGTCTACAGTGGTGATACCAATTCATATCGATTGTTCATTGTCAGAATGCTCGTGGCAATCAGCTTACAAAAGTTGGACACTCAATATGCTGGCCTAGCAGACAGCTACTATTTGGCAGCAATGCAATTATTCGAAGATGTCGTTCGTCCAAAGGACCTCAAAACCTTGCAATGTCTTGTTCTTCTCGGCCAGTACTCGCTCCTCACTCCCACCAGGATGCCGATTTACTACGTAATTGGCCTGGCAGCCAGAATATGCCAACAGGAAGGCCTGGCCAGTGAGAAGACCATCATGTCCTACGATTTGGACGCCAAAACGATCGATATGAGACGAAGAGTTATCTGGACTGTGGCCGGTATGGAATATGGCTTGGCGCACAGCATGGGTAGACCCAATAATTTCGCAACGGGAGACGATCGCCTGGATGTCCAATTCTTTGCGGCTGTCGAGGACGAGAATATCACTGAACAAGGTATACAGCCTGGCCCACCCAGCGAACGCAAACTTGTTGCTATCCATTTTTACAAGATGAGGATGTGCCAAGCGGAAATTAGAAGAGCCCTGTACGAGAAGAAGAAGGATGAACCAAAGAATGACTCACATCCCTGGTTCGCGAGCGTTGAGAAGATGAACAAGGACTGGCTGGACGCATCACCAACGAGCCCCGAATGGTGCAAACCTTGGTACGAACTCGCTATAATACTGCCACTATTTATATCTAACATAATCTCTTAGGTTTACTGGCCGATATCATCAAATGAGGGTATTTATGTACAGACCCTCTCCGCAGATTCCAAAGCCATCTCCTCGTGCCGCTGCTATTTGTTATGAAAGCTCAGCATACATCATTCAGCTGAACGCCAAGCATATGGAAAATGGCCTAGACGTTACGTGGGTTTTTCTTCTAACAGTGAATATGTCTCTCAACACACTCCTATGGACCGTCTCGTACCCAGAGGTGCGACAAGCACATTCTCGTGATGAGGTCGAGAACCTTATCAACATCTCGATGGACGTGTTAGATCGCTGTGCGGAACGGTGGCCAGGGAGTGCATCGGCCTCACAACTATACTCGATTTTCTCCAAAGCCTGTCTGCAGGGCTACGACGAACGCCCTATGACGGGGCAACTTTTTACCACGCCTCCATCTCTTGCAGATGCGAACTCGCCCGAAGCCTTCCAGAACAGTATCCAGCAGGCCTCTTATCAAAACCCACCCCAGTTCAGCCACGTCTTCAATTCACCACCAGAGGCCATGAATACGTACGCATTCGACCCCAACTTTCCTCCACCCCAGCCCAGCTTCAGGTCCAACTCCATCTTCTTCAACCCTGCCAGCAACGAGCCCACAGGCCGGAGATTTTCCTATTTCCCGCCGGACTTTATGCAACCCGGCGAAACAACAATGGATGATCCAACACCGCCAGCTACGACAACTCCTGAGCAACATATGACATCACCTCCGGATCATCTCTCTGAGCAGCTGCCAACACCTCCAGATTCCGTCCCGACCGGGGTTTTGGCGACACCGACACCTAGTAATGCTCTGTCGCCCCCAAACGCCATGACAGCAGGCCATCCTACCCCCGTTATGCAGCATACATCACCTGCCGGAATCACGATGATGCCCGTACAGACAAGCATGTCCCCTCCTATCAAGATTGAGCCATCTCAAAGGGGGCCTACGTTTGCTATACCTCCAAACCCTCATGCTGCTCCTCAACAGAGGCCCCTGCCTGGGGTGCCCGCCCCAGGTAGCACCAACGATTGGTTTCTACCGCCTGCTCCGTTTATTTCCCCATATGCCTACAACAACATGAGCCAGAGCTTCTACAACGACTCTATGGTCAACCCCGGAAATTATGGTGACATGTCAAACTCTGGCCTTGGGCTGCAGAATGTTCAAGGCGGGAACATCCCGCCACCCCAATTCGATTATGGCTTTGCTCGCCAGGGTAGCCTCACTCAGTCACAACAACTTGAGCTGATGAACGTACTCGAAACAGAGGGCATGGGGGATATTGATGCTTTCCTTAACGGAGGAACTATAGCTAACAACAGGTGGTATTAGGCGGTTAGCGGAGTTTGGTATAACATTAACTCACGCAAAGTATTGGTATTTTGGAACGGATTCATCCGATCGGCGTTTTGTGGGCATTATAGCATTAAATCATAGATTTGAAGGGACGCTGAGATAAACACCTGTGTTTATCAGGCCACCCACTATACTAGTTCTAAGACTTTGTTCCGTTAAAAAAGATTGCCCTGCCGCCAACATCACGAACAAACATGCGTAGGACGCAATCGTTCTCATTGTCGATTACTTCATGTCATAAGAAATCCTGCCAGAGTAGGCAATATACCAACCGGCTGATGAAAAACAAGTAGCAAAAGGAAATTCTGGATTAGTAAAGAGTCGTTATCATGACCGCGTCGGTTTAATTCTCAAGGTTCAGCTTTACCGCAGAGTCAACCAACGCCTCTGGCTTGTCCCCAACCTTCTTTGTGCGCTTCTTGCGTCGTGTAGTGCCTGTGACTACAGGCGCCTCACGCACCCACTGCGCAATAAGGGTAGCCCTTGCGGTACATACGGGATAGTCCTTAGTATCGTCGATGGTCCATCGCTTGATGCCTGGATTGTTAGTGGCAGATGCGCTGTGAGTTGATGTGCCGTTAGCAGCAGCCACGGCGGCGGCTCGGTCTTTCTTGGCCAGCTTCTCCCGGACTTCGATGGCAGCACGGAAAGTATCTTCGTCGCATACCCGTTGGTCGTTGAGAGCATCGCGGACTCGCTGGCCATGCTCGCGCAAGAGCTGTTGGCGTCGCTCATCTGAACTGGGCACATATGACCCAGCACTAGAGCTGCCATCGATCAGTGATGCAGCCGCAGCCGCAGCTACTTCTCTAGAAACACCATTGTGATGCTTTGAGTCTTCGGAGAGCATGGGCGCAAAGTGCCCGTAGTAAAAAGGGAGAGGCGCAGGTTTGCAGAGGTTCTCCCATGAGTCACTGAGCTGGAGCCAGCTGTCATCCGCACGACGGAGGATTTCCATCCAATCCGACCGGGCTGGTGAGCGACTCACTTGGAAGATCGGGTGTCCATCGGCAAGACGTGCCACTCGTGCTGCCATATATGTGTGGCGTTGAAGTTCCCTGGCGGAGGTCTGGGCGAGACAGTGGCAGAGTAGGAGCGAGTGGAGGGCATCGCTCAGAAAGGGATGATAGGTCAACAATTCGCATGTTTTCGGGATCTCCGGTGGCTTGGTTTCCCCCTCAAATTCTGACAACTCCTGGCTAGGGTAAGGAGGTAGATCTACCGGCGGCACGGCGGCGAAAAGGTGCGACACGGGGTAGATGGCATATGGCTCGGAAGAGTTTGCTGCCTCGGATGATCGGGGGCTACGGACGCCTTGGGCAGAGAGATTAACTCGGTCATTGAAGTCCTTTATAACGGAGGTTGGTAGGTAGGGCGCGTACTCGAGGTGTGACATGAAGGCGAGCAAATCTCGAAGCGCCCACTTGGCATATTTTTTGACAAGCTTTCGTGACTCTGTCGGTTCGAGGAGCGAGTTTTTGGTTCGATCTGATGGATTTCCGCCGTTGACTTCCAAGTCAATGTTACTATTTGAGTTGCCTTCATCGGCATGTTCATTCGGCTCCCGAGCTACAGCTCCAGAGATACCGTTCTCAATGTACTGGCAGGCAAGAGATAGGTAGGCTACGCCGCGGAGGAATAATAGCTGGCTTCCTAAACTACGAGGCTGATCATCCTCAGCCGGGACGGCTTCTAGACGCCATCGTTTGCCCCGGAGTGCCTGCCCAGACTCTGCCTCCTCCTGATGTGGCCGATGGGGCTGCTGATGTGTTCGGCATATTGTGAGGGCGAGTGTAAGATCCTGGGTGGCCCCTAGATAATCCTCCCTAAATGTCTTGACAATGGCGCGTGTGCGAAGGGCCTCACTTTGTTGGGGCCTCTCTGATATGATATCCGTCAGGGGTTGCAGGCTTGTGGACTCCACCAACTGACGGGAGGGTATCTTTTCATGGAAGAAATGTACATATTTGGCATCGGGATCCTGAGGTTTGCGATGTAGCACGAGGGCGCCAAGTTCGTCTACAGCTGACGCACCCTGCATTGCCGCAACACTACAGGCAATTTCGTCTAGATGGTACGCCCGACTAAGCTTCTGGCTCGCGTGCTCCCTCATCCGAAATCTGCGCTCGGGGGTCAGCTTTACACCATGCGCTGGTCCCGTCAAGCCGAGCGCAGACATAGAATCTCGTCCAGGCAGGCCGCCGTGCACGTTGGTCAACAATGGCGAGGCGATGTCACTAGCAGCTCTCACGGTGAGGTTTGTTGCTTCTTCAACAAGACGGCGGATCTTGAGCAAGTCGAACATGACGGCAGGGTCGATAGGACGAGGTCGCAGGGTATTCCAGTTAACGTTAACGGTTGATTCCAAGATCTCGAGAGGCATCTGAAGCCAAGGTCCGTGAAAGGCAGAGATATATCGCCAATGCCTATAATGTTGAACGTCAACGTCATAAATCGGCTGGATCGCAAAATGCAGCGTGGGGCAGACCCAGTGTCGCAAAGGACAAACCTACTTATTTCGACATATATTAAGGGTCTGCAAAGACGAATCCGACGAGTTTTCTTTAGCCTCCTTTTGCTTCTTGGACCTCTTCTTGGTTCCTCCATTTGTGCTAGTAGTGTCTGAGGGTTGTGTATTGGTCTGCGAAACGTCGTCAAGGGTCGCATTCTGCCCCTCACCAGTAGAAACTCCCTTGCTCTTTTTCTTTGCCATTTTTATGGTCGCAGCAGCTGCATGGGTGCTAGAAGCGAAAGCAGAACATGCGTAAATGTTTTACGGTCTGAGGACCCCAAATCGGAGTGCTCGTAGGTCGCAATGCGTAAAGCGATCAAGGGTATGCTGGTATGTTGGTATTGACGACGTGGGGTACGAAATAGATAGACAACGTGGTCCCGATGGTTGCATGGGGATGAATGAATGAATAAATAAACAAATAAAAGAAATTGAGTGAATAGAGATTTCTTGATTATTGAACAAAGGAAGGCCTCCAAGACTATGTATGCCCCGAAATGAATAAATCAAATGTTTCGCTTAGCTCTGCTTTGGTTTGTATGAATGATGGTTGTCGTCTTTTTCCGTGTAGGTAATTTTGAGGATGATGAGAATCACGTGAAGGCAGAAGCGCAACCAGCCAAACAATTAGGTAGGCAATCTGAAACCATAAATCGATCTCAATTCTCAGTAATTAACTTGGATTTGATATTCGGTATTCGATTCGCCGCCGCAGTCTAGTAATCTATCTGTCAACCATGCATGTTGTACAACAGCCTCAAGTTAATGAGCAAGGATCCAAGCGAAGATATGATGTCAGGTGGCTCGCAATAAAACCCGCACACCAGGCCGAGTTAACAGAAAGGTTTAGTCAAGACTCTCTATAAGTCTAACGAGTTTATTTTGTCTTTACGCCCAACTTTATATGGTAAAAGAGCTTCAGTGTGCCGGTTATTTTGCTACCCACCTGGATGTGTGCATGGTTCAGTTCACTACCTAATGTTTCCGTTCTCAGATGCTGTACTTAGTAAATATGGATACTTCTCCCGTAAAGGGACCTCTTGCGATGTCCCCAGCAATCGCGGAACATTTGTGCTTTTAGTGACAAACTCATCGCGAAGGAACGAAATCAGGGCGTGAATATCACGTTTGGTGGTCATGGCACCCAAACTTGCGCGAACGATGCTGTAGTCGTCAGTTGGTGAGCTTCACATGGCATTCAATGCACATACCCGGTTGGTCTATCATGTATGATTGCTATTTCACTCGAGCCGCAAGCATGGCCACTAGAAAAAATGCGATTCCATTCCCATTCCTCAAGCTCAAGGGCTTTAGTAACACCACCAGGGCAGCAGACGCCTGGATATGCATCGTTAGTCATTGCAGGATAAACGTAAACGACAACAGTTTACGTGGCTGTTCTTACCTCCAGCTCGGATATATACTCCAGCGTCATTGGCGAGTCTTTCGGCCTCTGGCCAAGGTACATAAGTACCATCCTCCCTTAGAATATTGAAAGCAAATGTAGGTCCCTGGACTGAAGGGTCGCCGTACATAAAGGGATTGTCCACGTATAGTTCGATAAGAGGAGATCCATTTCGGTGCTTCAAACCCGTTAAAAGTTCATACAAAGAACGGGCAAGGTAGCAGCAATGTCGAGATATCATATCCTGCACCCGGATGGTTAGTCTGGCACAATCTAATGCAATTATAACTCACCATAGAGCCATAAAGCCTGAGGTGCGTATCGATGGCAATGCCAAGTGCTAATATGCTATGAAACGGCAGAGTGCCATCTTCCAGGCCTTCGTGAAGTTTCCAAGACATATACTGATTCCCCAGTCCAGGCACTTTCTTCATAACCCTGTCTTGTAACGGCGACAGTTGGGTTATTGTTCCACCACCAAAATATCTGCGTAAACTTAGTATATGACCAGATGATCGCCTGACCACCAAAGCCCCGAGGTCTGGAAATCCAAATATTTTGTAGAGTGATAGGCAAGTGAAGTCAGGCGCATCTGAAGGATCCTCGAACAACGAACTGAGAGAGCCAGTCATAGCCAGCGCCGCTGCATCGAAAAGGGTGTAGGTATTTCGCAGCTGAGGGCTTTTTCGTATCCTTCCTGGCCAGCTCTTGGGCAATCTTCGACCACTAAGATTCGACTGGCCTGGATATGCGAATAAGCCCAGGCTGGTTGGTTTTCCTCTTCGGGCATGACAGCTAAAAGGCCGCGATATCCAATCTTCCACACCCTCATCGTCTTCGAAACAATGGTTGTCCCCTGACGTAAGTGCCCGAATACCAATGATACTGGTGTGAGCTTCCTTGTGATATCCGTACCAGAAGCTCTTTGTCGGCGTGTTCTCTCCAAGGTCCCGAAAAGCGTCAGCAACTAGCTTAATACCTGCTGTAGCGTTGGCGACAAACACAAGGTCGAAGTGTTCTGGGTCAGCACCGAAAAGCTCGAGTGTCTTTGCACGAACACTATCCACCATATCGCCCGATAGTTTTGCAGGGAGGTTTTCAGAATGTGGGTTGCCCCAGAGGTTGCCTATCATTGCTTGGGAGAAGCCGGTTATAACAGATCGAGCATATACCGTGGCACCCCCATGATCAAGATATGCCCCTGTAAGCCTGCATTAGTATATCTGAGGAATGAGAAACGACGAGGGTGGTACTGGCACACCTTGGGCCATATTAGGATATTCATATTCTCGGAAATCCTCGACTGAAGAGTTGTATTCCATTATTGTTGGAGTTGCTTCCAGTCTTGAAATTTGCCCGAGTGTTGTGCGTGTTTCTTTCTGGATAGTCAATTAGTACGGAACATAATTATGGCATTAAGATCACGCAGGGTGTCTTCGAAGATCAACTACAGTAGTAGCCGAGGCCTCGAGTTCATATGAAGCGAGATGGCCAAGCCGTAGCACACATAATTCTGAGCGTCGAGGTCAACAAGATGACGTACCATTATCGAATAGTCCTGCAGGTCATCCGCATATGACGAGGAAGGATTTATTTAAGAAGGGAGACTTGAACTTTTTCAGCTCCCCGAGAGAGCTGGGGCAGTCTAGGAATGGCGGTGGTCCCTCGATGAACAAGTATCGAACATAACATCAAGACCAGATGACAGATATCGCTAAGCTGTCTCCGGAGCGAAGAGAACTGAGTAGTTAAGGAAGTTGGGAGCAAAAAAAGAAATAGCCACCTTTCTCAGAAAATGACTATCCAACCAGGATGGGATATATCAACCACACCAGTTCGCTCAGCTCGGCGCTTCGCACGCAGCTCCGCCTGCATTTGTGCTCTGGGGTGGCTGGGTTTATCATCATTCTCCGTGTCCGTACCTGGAAACTAATCACAAAAGAACTTCTAGTTGTTTGTCAAGAAAGGGCCAAGGCCAATACTGAGGACGTAGGATTGCTTTTTTGGGAGGTGGCTTATGTAGGGGTTTGAGCTTGGAGGATGCCGAGACTACCAATGAAAGCCAAGATCTAGCAAGCTGGAACCACAGAAAGACCTCTCTGATCGAGCAATACCAACTGACTTGACGCCGTGAGTCTTGATCAAGATCCAAGAGCAACTCCCGCGTTACGGCATTGAGTTCAAGCTGAAAGAAGACCTATGCAGCTAGATCCTTGGTTCGATGGATCAGTAAGCTCTAGTGTCGCCTGCATGCGCTAGGCCCGGGCCTCGAGCATTGATCTGCGCAATTATGGGGGATAAATCCTTGAACTCCGGTGATAAACATGAGCAGCCAGCCCTCGGGGGAAAATAAAACACTGGCAACAACTCTACTACAAGGTATCTTTAATAATATTATATAAGACTATTTTCTTTTTAATATAATATATCTTAATTGTTATAAAGACTTCTTCTAAAAGTCTATTATTTTTATATTCTTAGTATAGAATTATTATAAATATTCTAGCTAGAAAGTCTAATATGTAGGAAATCTCACATTCGGTGTTTTGTTTCCCCTCGGGGCCAGCTTACATGCAGCTATGGGGGCTGTGCACTAAAATAGGTAGGTCGTTACTTGGGGCATCCATCTGTTGTCGAGAAATACCTAGTAAGAATATTGTCAATCTCGATGGGAGGCATTGAGACGAATTACTGGGCCAATCAATGATGGGTTGTACTGCTATGTATTGAAAAGAAGACCGAGTAAAGGGCTCATTGAGTTGTTATACCCGGCAGGCCATATTTAGACCTTTACTTATCATGACTGGTGGAGAAGACCTATCAAGGCAAGAGATAGGGTTTACTCCGTACCTGAAATAAGAATCCTAGATCCCGCCAGAAACGGATAAAGGTTATTTTTACGTTTATGTCTTGTTTAATGTTCTTGAATACTAATCCAAATTGTGCCTTCAGACTAACGGCTCGAGCCTCACTCTATTCATTAAGTTCATCGTCCAACCGTCAAGTTATGTCACAAGTTCACTTATATCATACGCCACACCCGTTGCAGCGATCAAATAGGATTCCTTTTTATTTTCTGTCTGTTGAACAGCCCGGAACACCCTTGAAGCTCGTACCACGCAAGCTTTGCATAAAAGAAACAACAATGTGCCTCCACGATAGAAGTAAAAGTGTAAATGTACAATCAACAAGCTGCTAAATACATTCGCAGTACCAGACCCATCTCAATCATTCAGTCCCATTACATCACCAAAGCAAGAGCGAAGACACCGGCCAGGGCCAAGTTGATTGGAAGCGCCATTGATGAAGCTCCGTTGGGGCTGACAACATCAGTCTCGGTCGACACGGGCTTCTCACCACCACTGGTGCCTGAAGGGGTAGGCGTCAGGGGAACGGTCTCGGTAGGAGTAGGGAGATAAGCAGGGGCAGAGTAAGACTCGTTGGTGGCGGGAGGCTTGATCTGGGAGACAAAGTTGGCGCAAGTTAGACGGGTCTTGTTGGCGTAGTGAAGCACGAAAGATCGGTTGCCGAAGAATGCGCCGATGCCCTCCTTGGTCGAGGCATAGTAGTCAACGTACTCCGTCTTGAAAGGGTCGCTGACAATCTTTCCGTGCTTTCCGCTGTTGTCTCCGACCTGGCAAGACGCAGGGTCCTTGGGGTCACAGGGAGGATCCTCGCCGCGAGCAAAGGGGTCGAGATGGGCTAGAGTCGCGGTACAGTTGCCATTCTCAGGGACAGGCTCGACGTGGATGTGGTAGGCTGCATCAAGGTCAGATATGGCTAAGTGGGAGGATTACTAGAATACTCACTGAAAGGTCCGCCCTCCTTAGGAAGGTTACTGAACTCGACCTTGAAGACAACACCATGGCCATCGTCGGAAGCTTGAGCGTGGACGAATCCCTTCACGTTTCCATCGATCGCAGTATCCTTGAAGAAAGGCTCTTTGGGAAGCGTAGCCTTGTATCCAACACCGGGTGGGTTGTCGTTGACTCGGGGAGCATCCTGAGCAACAGCTTGACTAGCAAAAGCCGACAAGACGACGGCGGCGACGGCTTGGACACGCATTTTAAATGAGGTGGTAGATTCAGGTGATGTGAGTAAGCTGTGTAAGCGAGCAGGTGGTGCAACTTAAGGCAGTCGTAGGATGTTGGTATTAAAAGGGTGAGAGATATGACCGCTGGGGCCTGACAAATTTATTTTAGGTGCTGAGACTGGCTCAAGAGTGAATCAATGACCTGAGGTTGAGATGAAGAGCGGCAGTGGCAATGTCAGTGAAAGGCAGCTTGGGGAGGCTAGAGCTGACTATATATAGCGGGAGGCGCTGAAGCTTGCCTAGACCGTCATCACCGGGGTCCGGGCAAGAACTTGGCGTTGGACTAGGTGAGCATCCCAGAGGATTAATCAACATGGATTGGCTAAAAGCAAGCAAGCCGTGACAGCCAGTTGCCAGCCAAAGCCGCATAAACGAGGGAATGCCAAAGTCCCTAACCCACGTTGGGCAAGGTCTGGTATGAATTTGTTCCTCGCGGCAATGCAAGAGCCAAGAAGAGAAGAGGCTCTTCGTCTCCAACGAATGACTTGCTTGGCCCCCCAACGCGGGGGGGAGAAGATCCATTCTTGGGCCCTGCAGCAAGCGATAGTGTCTTTGTGCTGGCATGTCTGCCCGACGATTGGTCTTCACGGCTCATCTTCCCGCGAGAGCCCGTATTCAACTGGGAGGGAGGTTGTATGGCGACGTGGCTTGGGCTTTGCTTGTTTCAACGCGCACGGCGCCATACGTTTGCTCACTCTTTGATTCATTCAACGGTCACGACATCCTGCGCACACTGCATCGCATCAGCAGCCAACAGGCTAAGCTCTGCGGAGTAGGCTCTCCAAGCTTCTCCCACTCCAGGTTCGGCACACGGAACCCCATGTTTGCAAGCTAGCAGCTGGGGGCGGTGCATCACTGACAGCCCGTCAAGGGGAGGGCTGCGTAACCTCACACGGCGCCTAAACAGCATGCTGCTAGGTCTGGGCTGAAGATCTGGCTGTGTTTGTGTTGGTGTTGCGCGAGAAGCAAAGCAATAAAAAAGGTTTGCGTAATGATGGCATCACGAATTCTTTTCAGGAGATAATTGGCTTCCAGCTCCGAGCCTTGGTATTGCCGCATCCAGACTAATAAGCTAGGGTCTGTCCACGACAAGCAATGTACAAGCACATCATTTCGATTGCTACTGTAACGGAGAAAGGTCCTCCGCAATCATTATAGTGTCACTGTCAGTTTAAGCATGAATACGATACAAGACAAGGCGATCATATAAACATTTTTGCTGACATGTTTCGTCTTGTTTCGTTTCGTTTCGTTTCGTGTTGGGCTCTGTAATGGAGGTGTTTGTGAAGTTATTGGGGCTCGAAGCCACCGGGCCTTAGTGCCAAGGTCGCTTACACCACCAATACCTTTACGCCGTTGGGCGGCGTTGGGGTCAGAAGTCTAACTTATTTTGATATGCACCACGTTCTGTAACATTCAATAGCGTCCACGATACGATCTTGAAAGTTCAGGTGGCTGCTAGCTGCACAGAAAATACACACACGGTAGTCTGTTCAATGTGGTTAAACGCATGTGCACTTGTTAGCTCTCACATCTCTTTGATATCTCAAGTTTCAGAATATACAAACAGGACACCACGTCTTTCGTTGCTTCTTACCCGCCAACAACATATCTCAATTTGACAGTTACACCGCTCCGAGTGTGAGTGAGCTCGGACTTGAGCCAAGCCAAGCACTCCATAGGATTTCGCAAGGTTCTTGTGCCAGACAATCCGTGTAAGAAAGCACATGAGGATCGTGAAGTGGAGTTGATACTGAGCACTATTAAGTCACAAGCTCACTCTTTTAGTATCACAATAGATTAACAAAAGGAGTAGGAAATGAGCTAGATGCACGATAGAATTTGCGTGACGATGACCATGTCATGTCAATTTCCGACTTACAAGATTCCGCTGATGTGGTGGCGTATCTGATTGTGGAGCATTTGCTTTGTGGCGGTGCATCGGAAACGTGGCGCACACGTCAGCCTTACCAGTGAGGCAGGAAAAGGAGCTCAGCAGCGACACATTGACGCATCACCAGCTCTGAGCTATAGACATCAAAGTCGCAAACACCAATCCATCGCTTCAAACCTCTTAACGACACACCGATCGCTCATATACTCTCAGTCTTTCCATCCATCTGCCCATCATGAAGCCCGTCGTCAGCGCCTTCAACGCGTGGACATGGTTCGTCACTCCCGTTCAATTGCTTCAGCCCATCATGACAAGGCTAACATGCAGCTTCTAGCACCGTCCTCTCCGTCTTCGCCATGATTATTCTTAGCGCCCTTGCTGGACTTTACCGAAGCGGACACGAGGAATTTACCACCGGCGACCCTGATGAGAACAAGTCTATCTCTAACACCATCTTTACTGCCGTCATTGTCTACGCTGTATGTGCTCCCGCGCGCGAAACAATCCGACACCTGCATACAGAAATAAAACATGTCCTTTGCTAACACACACAAATAGGCTTTCTTCGTGTTCTGCGGTCTCCAGGGACTCCTCCACGCCCGAGAAAGCCGCCGAGGCGCGATCGCTCTGTAACACTATCATCCGGCGAGTAGAGCACGACACGGAACAAGGCGTTCTGGGAACATTTATCGATTTGAGCTTGGGATGGCATTGTATTTGAAAGACGAGCATCACGGGTGCTTATACTGGAAAGTGAGCACGCAGGCAGGCATGAGACGGTAAACAAGACGCGTGTACCTGGCTGAGGACGCGCGATGTACGGCACATTTGATTGTTTAGACGGTTGATTCAATTTTCATTGTTAATTTTGACACTGGCTACATCATACGAACCAGAAAATACCGTTATACTGCGTAAACATAGCTGGCTAACAATTAGTTCCGTCATGCTTCCTAAGCACTTAGACCATCGAACTCTCATCAGCTCTGGCTTTATGTTATGCATATTATATATATAACCTAAAATGGTAACTTTGAGATCATACAGATGGTAACCTTGATTTTAGGTTCCACAACTGGATTACGTCCTGGTCGGTTGGTGGTTATCGGCCGGACGTTACGGATGCTGTAGGCTACGGACCGGCGTGGTGGGGCCGCCCCGGATGCTGCCGAACTGGATGGAAGCCGTCTTTGAAGGTTTCATTGTTTGCAGCATTGTACGTCACAGCAGTCTAATCAGACAACTCAATGAACATCTTTATCGACATACATATGCGCCCCTCTTTTCTGTAAGAGATATCGTCATCTTCGCGTGGAAAAGTGAAATTTATAATAATGCCGGGCTCAAAATCAACCGTCAATAAGTCATAGCATGCGGATCACGATCGGCGGCTAAGCTCGGACTTTCTGCGAGATATTGCAGAGGAGCTCTCGTATCATCAACCACAGTAGCAGATAGCTAAGAGACAGTAAGAGCCGTCAGCACAATCGCTATTGCTTGGCTGGACCCGTAATGTGACGACAAAGTCTTCTCCCCTGACTGTAGTGTCGTCATCGATCGATCTTCATCATGATTCGGATTGAATGCTCCGTGTGTCGCTTTGCGATTGAGTATTAAACAGAGAAGGCTCTGCTGCAGAAATTCTGAGGGAAGCTTGTTCTCTTTAATCGCAACAGTTATAAGGAAATAATCAACAGCACATCTTCCAAAATGACGACACAAAACTTTAAGAACGGTAATTTCTGCCGCTTGTGATACCTGCAACACATCGACTGACTGAGAACCAGAGAAGGACATTCCTGTCACTCACCAGGATTTCCCTGGTACCGAGAGGGATATGCCTAACCCCCAAGCCACCCGAGACGAGCTCCCTGAGGCCGGCGGCAACTCAAGAACATACCAAGGCTCTGGAAAGCTCAAGGGCAAGAGGGCCCTGATCACCGGAGGTGACAGTGGTATTGGTGCTGCTTCTGCTCTGCTCTTTGGCCGAGAGGGTGTTTCAGATATTGTCATCGCCTATCTACCAGAGGAGGAGGAGGATGCTCAGGACACCAAGAAGCAGGTCGAGAATGAGGGTGCCAAGGTTCACCTCATCTCTCTTGACCTTTCCAAGCAGGAGAACTGCAGAAAGCTGGTCGACTTTGCTGTTGAGAAGATGAAGGGAATTGACATTCTGTTCAACAACGCAGCTTGTAAGTTGACAAAAGATAACACTATAGTTGCAGGGACTAACAACCGTTACAGATCAGATGATGGTCAAGGACATCAAGGATCTCCCTGAGGAGCAATGGATACACACCTTCAATATCAACATCCACTCTTTCTTCTACATCTCCAAGTACGCTCTCCCTCACATGAAGGCCGGCGCCACCATCATCAACAACGCTTCCATCAACGCCTATATCGGCCGACCTGATCTCCTCGACTACACTTCAACAAAGGGCGCCATTGTGTCCTTCACCCGAGGTCTCAGCAACCAGTACGTCAGCAAGGGCATTCGTGTTAACGCTGTTGCTCCTGGACCTGGTATGTTCCCTCTTACTGCTAACCGATGTAATGTGACTAACAATGCACAGTCTGGACACCTCTTATCCCCGCCACAATGGACGACGATGCGCAGAAGCAGTTCACAAGCCCCATGGGACGACCTGCTCAGCCTTCAGAGATTGCTACCTGTGTAGTCTTCCTGGCGTCAAGCGACAGTTCGTGTGTTAGTGGACAGACCATTCACTGCAACGGCGGCACTGTTGTCAACGGTTGAATATTATGATTAAAAGCTACAATTAATAATTATGAACTTAATATAAGATTTGAGTCAAGAAAATAAAAAACTTCCCTAATTTGACTTGCCATGTGCTTCGGTTCCTCGGGGACAGTGTGATATACAACATATCAACACCGTACATGAATATGTTCCCGCGCCTTCACGTCCACACTAAGAACAATGAGATGATCTAGTTTCTTACATGATGGTGAATAACTTCCTGAAGTTTAACTTATGTATATGACCACCACCGACATACTCTATGGCTTGCTAATCACTTGCATAGCCTCATCGAGCTTTGATTGTTCCTAAACTAGGCCGTACACCTCTGAAACTAACTGTCAGAGCATTTCACCAACCTATTTCAATAATAGTCCGTTATGAGGCTTATAAACACACACACACTCCAGCTAGAGTTCTTCGCAGGGGGCACACATCGATATGCCATATTATCTCATGTTTGAGGAAGCGATGAAGTGTCTTTTCAGGACATGACTTCAGTCGATCCTGACGATGCGTTAGAGCTCAGCCGATATAGCAAATTGCGCGAGAGCTGTAAGATGGCCCGATTACTCAAGTTTGATTATATATGGGTAGATACCTGTTGCATCGACAAAAGCAGCAGTGCTGAACTTTCGGAGGCCATCAACTCCATGTTTCGTTGGTATGCCGAATCGACTGCCTGCATAGCCTTTCTCGAAGACGTGACTCTCTCGGAGTCTAAAGAAGCGACAAAGAATGCCTTTGTGAATAGTCGTTGGTTTACAAGAGGCTGGACACTTCAAGAGCTTATTGCACCGGGCAAGGTTATCTTCTACGACCGAGACTGGAACCGATTGGGCACCAGAGCAGAGCTCAAAGACGACATTAAGCCTATCACTGGAATCAGTGATGAGCTGCTCAATACTACACATCATATGATGGAGATCAAACAAAGACAACTGGTTCAATACTCGGTCGCCGAGAAGATGTACTGGGCTGCCAGACGAGAAACGACACGACCCGAGGATATTGCGTATTGCTTACTTGGCATATTCGACATTAATATGCCTCTTCTCTACGGCGAAGGGCAGACCAAAGCATTCAAGCGTCTGCAAGAGGAAATCATCAAATCTACCGACGATGAGTCTATATTTGCGTGGAGGCAACCTCGATATCGAGTTGTAGGGAAGACATACTGGAGCCTTCTCGCAACTAGTCCTTCTGCTTTCGATATGGACCACGCCTCGAAGGATTTGAATGGCTTGGTGCCTAAGATATCTAAATACCTGTCACTTCGATCGGGGACGTCAACGTCGATGACGAACCGTGGGCTGGATCTTGAGCTTTCCTTAACACCGTTCCCCGTTGACAAATCCGGGAGCATTTTCCTCGCCTTCTTAAACTGCGAGTTTAGACAAGGCCAAACGTCTATCAATCCGGCCATCTTACTTCAAAGGGCAGCTTGGGATAAAAATTCGCATTTTGTGCGCATACGTCCGGACATACTCGCGCTGTCCATGATGAACAGCATCATTCTCCCTGACGAGCTTCTAAATATCATGAGAGGAGGCCAGAGCGAAGTCTTGCAAGAGGCCGTTCCGAGACAGGTATTCGTACCGCACAATACTCCTGACCTCAGGTACCTCAAGGGAGTGATATTCCGTCCAGAGATCAAGGAACTCACAGAAGGGTGTGGACTGGCTGTTAGGGTGCGCTCTCGATCACCAACGTGGCAATACTTTGTCGATGCTCGCGGAGGCCCTACAAAAACACATGAATCCTATGAGATCAACTTCGACTTGGCACCTGGCCCTTCACTAGGTTCTTTAGAAGCCCCTGTGGTTCTTGGAGTATTGGAACTTGACTGTGGCAGGCCAGACTACAAACAGTGCTTAGTGGTTGGACTAGAGCCTCTGCTGCCCAACCCTTTCCAGACAACACCTCTTTACTTCTTACCGTGGTATGCATTCGAAGAGCAGGATTGGATCGCAAGGCAGGACTTTACAAGGGTTATGGATAAAGCGCAGAGGAGGCTGGAGTGGGAAACACCAGAGGTGATAAAAGCCAAGATTGGTATTGCAAGTAGATACTCAAGCTTGTTCTATAGCTTGACTTTGGAGATGGAGACGAAGCGAAAGTCAAACACCTGGTTTTGAAGATACATCTATTATTTGATAATATGGAATTTAATGCTGTGCTGCAGATGTGGCTGTCATCTCCAGTTTGTTGTAAACTGACTCTGGCACTTCAAACACCCTTTCCTCGAATATGAGATCCATGTTCAAGAGCTCTTCATCAGTAATATCAGGTCTCTCGTCAATGACCTTCTTCAGCTCACGAGCCTTATCCGTAACATCTTCAATCTCTGAAATCCACCCATTTGCCCAGTGTTCACTCAAGGCCCCCGGAATCCCAATTTGTATACTTCTATATGGCAATACCTCCAGCTTCGGTGTCCGCTCAGGATCCCATTGAATCCGCACCTCGCTGGACTTCTCACGCTTCTCGCCAGCGCTGGGTTTCTGAGCATGGCTTGACAACACGCCTCGCTCAAGCAGGCCGATGAAGTGCTCGTGTTTCATGCGTAGAGCGAGAATCCGAGATTGGTCGGGGTCTTTAAAGGAGTATCCAGCTCGGTACATCATCCAAGCCCAGCTGGGCTTGATCCATGTCATTCGACCTGGTTTGAAGTCTGGAGATGCATTGAGTTTCTGAGAGTCTACGGCATCCTTGGCGATTGATTCTTTGTAGGCTTGGTAGACTGTTATGGTAGTGTCGTTGTAGCAAGCGCGTATCTGGCGGTAAGGTGGAGATGAAGGTGAGGTTTCCATCATGGGAGTGAGGATGATAGGAGCTGAATTGGTGACTATATGATAGTCATGGCCATGGTATTGAAGGAATTCTACTTGTTATATATGTCTGGCTATGGTCATGTCTGTAGCTCAAAGGTTGCTAGAATGATGAGTCTTTCGGCGAGTAGGTTAGTGGTGGCTCGGCCGCGTTAGTAGGAGATTTATCATGAGCAATTTTTTATTATGCCTAGCATGTCCGAAATTTTCTCTTACTTAAGAAGCCAGTATGATCCTGCGATCCAAGGTGATGACTTAAATCAAAGTGTTTATGATTGAATCTTCATCTCAAGGTAAGGTACAGAGTAGTATTGCTCATATGCAGACGGGAAGGCCTGGGATCTGGAGCATGAAGATACGGAGGGGCACCCACTGTAATAGTGGCGACGTCACAGCCCAAGCTTCCCTGCAAATATGCTGTAGGTAATCAATAACTAGGTACCTAGGTAGGTAAGGACCAATCGCCCCGCTGTAGCTCCAATAAATGCCCGCCTGACCAAAAGCTGGTTGTCGTGACTCGTTGGACTCGTTAGGCAGCTTGCTTAGGGAAGGAGGGGTCTAGTCTTTGCCATGTGCCGCGTGCCGCTACTGAGGAGCTTGTTGGGAGCTTGCTGGGTGCTGAGTGCCCTGCGACTCGAGGCATCCGTTGCTGAGATCTAGCATTCTAAAACGCTGACCAGACAACATCGCCCAAATATTGTGATATCTGTCGACCACCTGTGACTTGACTAAATACTACAGCGATCGATCACTCAAGCTCCTACCAATATCCTCAACGTCGACGAATCACTGCTCTATCATCTCACCGAATAGCTCCCCGCTTTACATCCGAGATACAGATTTAGGCTTCAGCCTTGTAGGACAGCGAATGGGCACTCTTTCGTCCCACACGAACCCATCCCTTGCTTGAACTATTCTCAAATACTTGTTTATCCGCCAACAACTCTTCGAAAGCTTTGCATGTCTCCGCCGGACCAAACTACTTCGTCATCCAGCCAGCCTGTCTTGGACGAGACGCTGTCTAGCAAGCCCCATGTTGAGGTGACGTCTGCTCAGGACCCTGCGGTAGGGCAGTCCAAAACTACAAGCGATCGCGACCATGACTTGAACTTGGAGAACGATGCCGGAACGGACGATAATCTGATCGACTTTGGCGATCAACCATCTGACACCCCGGCACAGGAGGATAAGGTTGACGCCGTTGAGGATCGTCTCTCAGAGAAAGCCAAGGGAAAACAAGCTGCCGATGACCAGCAAACCCCGACCGAATACATAAACACGCATACCTCGACGGCAGCTAGAACTAGACCTACCGCGTTGCCTTTGTCGAACGATAACACCACTCAGTACCTCACCGCCGAACCATCCACTTACGTTGACCCCACGCCTGCGACCCCAACAACCTCTCAACCTCCTTCACGAACTCCTTCAAATGCTGCGCGCTCCCACTTGTCCAGAGATCCATCTCCTTCAAAATCAGATGCCGAGGATGACGAGAGACGATACACAAGCGAAGATGATCATGAACCTGGCTCAAGGTCCGAAATCCAAAGTATTATGCAGCAGTTCAGCGAATTCGGTGGTGGCCCTGGGGAGGAAGAAGTCATGAGTCCCAGACTGGAAATTGCATCACCGATGCTAGGCCACTCTGTTCAACACCCACCTCGAAAATCTAGTCTGGAACCTCTTGCGCCTACACTGTCGGGTCAGATGCAAGGCTTACGCATCTCTACAAGTTCCCCTCCCGATGAAACGTCAACCAAAACTGGCGTTGAAGATCTGGGACCGCCTGTTCCTCCAAAGGACGGTGTTCATGGAACGCCTCCGCGGCCTAAAACGGAGCGCACCATGAGCGTCGCTTCTCCTAGCTCGCCGGCACAGTCTTATCGACCTCCTCCTCCTGAACCCGAGCCGGAACCTACTCAACCTTTTGACTTTCATAGATTTCTCGAACAACTACGAAACAAGAAGGCAGATCCTGTGGCGAGATACCTCAAGTCTTTCCTCTCCGAGTTTGGTAAGCGACAATGGATGGTTCATGAGCAGGTCAAGATTATTGGGGATTTCCTTGCCTTTATCGCCAACAAGATGGCACAATGCGAGGTTTGGAGGGATGTCTCTGATGCTGAGTTCGACAATGCTCGCGAGGGGATGGAAAAGTTGGTCATGAACAGGCTATACACGCAGACATTCTCACCTGCAATCCAAGCCCCTAAACCCATCCCAGGAGCCAAGCCCAAGCGCAAGGGTGGTGATATCCCTCTCGGGCCTGGTAGACGAGGTCAGCATCAGGAAGATGTCGAGAGGGATGATATTGTGAGGCAAAAAATGAGTATTTATGGCTGGGTGAGGGAAGAACACCTGGATATCCCACCAGTTGGCGAGAGTGGACGTCGGTTCTTGAAGCTAGCCCAGCAAGGTCAGAGCCAACCCACAATGTATCTTATGTGCATGAACACTAACTTGATGCAGAGCTGCTCAAAATTAAGTCTTACAGGGCGCCACGGGACAAGATCATTTGTGTCTTGAACTGTTGCAAGGTGATCTTTGGTAAGAGAGTGAAGCAAAGCGAAGCGTACGACTATGCTGACAACTGATAGGTCTTTTGAAACATAACAAGTCAGATTCCTCGGCTGACTCCTTCATGCCCCTCCTCATATATGTCGTTCTGCAATCAAATCCAGAACACTTAGTGTCTAATGTGCAATACATTCTGCGCTTCAGGAACCAAGAAAAGCTTGGAGGTGAAGCGGGTTATTACTTGTCCTCATTGGTAGGTTTGACTGATGTAAAGGAAGTTATTAGTCTAACGCTGTCATAGATGGGAGCTGTGCAGTTTATCGAGAACATGGATAGAACTACCTTGACGATCACTGATGAAGAGTTTGAGAAACATGTGGAAGAGGCTGTCTCGGCCATCGCGGAAAAGCACGCCCAATCACCACAGGCCGCGCAGCCACCAGTATTCAACGAGAAGTCCGTACCATTCCCTGGCGAGACATCTGCTCGGCCTTCTCTTGATGGACCGCGGCGCTCAACATCAAACGATGAGTATACAGGAGAAGAGAAGGCTGCCATCACTGGTCTTCTCAAGACCATACAAAAGCCTCTTTCCACCATCGGGAGGATGTTTTCCGACGATGGAGGCCCATCCCTCGACGCCGGGCCTAGTAGTGCACCTCGAACTCCAGCGCCTCCAGAACGCCAGAGCCGTGAGGAGCCACGTGAACATCAGCCATCGTCGAAACGTGCACTATCCGCAGAAGAGGCGGCCGCAAGACAAGCGAGTGCCGAAGTAGCTGAGGCTCAGCGGCTTTCCCGTGCAGAGCATACCAACGTTGTCGAAACACTGGCAGGCATGTTCCCCGATCTAGATAGGGAGGTGATCAGTGATGTGGTTTATGAGAAGGAGGGCAGGTAAGTGATTCAAAATGGGCTACTGTGCGAGCTTAGGCTAATGTGATTATCATAGGGTTGGCTTGGCTGTTGATGCATGTCTCGCCCTATCAACATGATCCAGATAGAAGTGCTATAAGGGATTCAATCTCGAAATATTATGATTGCCGTTGGCCCCCTTTTTTGGTGGTCTCGATGCATGGTGATGAGAGTTGGGCTGTAACATCCGCCAGGGCCTTATTGATGAGCTAGCTGGTGGCAGCATAGAACAGAAATACCATTCATATTTTACGTTGCGGCAAAGTTCAGGATATCACACGGGTCTTCTCCAGAAGATTGTTTTCTACAGCTGATCTGATTGAGTATTGAAGGGTTACCCTCAACCCCCACACAGACACGTTGCAACCACGTAACTATATCATCCCAGTTCCTGTCGATCATTTGTCCATGTGTTTAGTAGCGTTGTTGGCAGCATGGCATGCCTCTGAAATCGGCACTAATGCTTGCATTTGCATAAGGTTCTTTGTATGACAGATCTGAATATCTAATGGTCTTGCATGAGATAAACCTTCGCATCAACAAAGTTAAAAACATGATAATAAAACTATCAATGCTTTAACCATCGATTTTCTAAATTCAAATCTTTAACGTTTGAGTCATACACCGACTGGCTGGGTAACCTTTGAGCTTACTTATAACCAGGCAGAGTATTGAGATCTCATTAATTTTCTACCTATTTCTGACAACTCACATTTTCCTTACCTTCATTCTTTCGCCATGCCTCGAAAACTAGTCACGGTCCGCCAGATCTCGGCCATCACACCCATCCAAGGCGCTGACCGCATCGTAAAAGCCACCGTCGATGGCTGGATTTGCGTAGTCTCCAACACCTTCAAGCCTGGCGATCGCGGGGTGTACTTCGAAATCGACTCTCTTCTACCGGGCTCGGATCTGCGGTTTGCATTTCTGGCTCCGAAAACCGCCGGTGCAGATGAACCCACTGGTCCGTCGGACATCCGTGTTCGGACGATGAAGATTCGGGGCGTTGTATCGCAGGGCCTTCTCATGCCGTTGACTGATTTCCCGGAGATAGTATCCAAACTAGATGGTGGCATATGGAATGAACTGGGAGATGTGGGATTTGAAGATATCCTCAATGTACGCAAGTATGAGAAACCCGCTGTGCCACTCTCACAAGACTCAGCGTCTGGCACGCCGCTGCCTGACTTCCCAGCCTTTATACCAAAAACAGACCAGGAGCGTGTGCAGAACCTCCCAGAGATATTCTCGACTCAGGGGTCAGAGGTATTCCAAGAATCGACCAAGATGGACGGATCATCCATGACCGTCTTCTACCTCAACAACTCCAGCCCTTACTACGAGACACTCCCGGATGAGATTAGAGATGTCGGAGTTGGTGTTTGCTCTCGAAACCGCATTCTGATAGAGAATCATCCCCGAAGCCCATCTCTTTTCTACGCCACTGCCCGAGTCCTCAAACTTCACGAGACGCTGGCCAAGATCGGACGCAATATTGCTGTTCAGGGCGAACTATGTGGTTCAAGCATCCAGAGTAACTCCGAGGGGTTCCCCAGTGGCACTCACAACTTTTTCCTCTTTGCGGTGTATGATATTGATGAGCAGCGATATCTGCCACCCAGAGAGGTACATGAGACGTGGGCGCCACGACTTGGCGTCAAACATGTCCCAGTCCACGGATATAAACCTTTGAATGAGATTGGTTCTACGGTTGAGGATCTGCTGAATCAGGCAGAAGGCAAGGGGGTCAACGGACGGAAAAGGGAGGGTATCGTGTTTAAGAGAGAAGATGCGGTGTTCAGCTTCAAAGCGATATCCAACTCGTATCTCCTCAAACATGGAGAGTAAAAGAGAAGAACCAGGAAGTGGTAAGGTAAGGGAGTTGTTGTTTTTGCATCAAATTTACGAAGGATACCATTGAGAGTGTTGTATGCAGAGTTAAAAGGTTCTATTGACAAAAAATGAATGATATGATGCGCTTCCGTGGTAAATAAAGTCTTTCGCTGTAAACCTCGAGTGACTTGCCCACTCCGTCACCGAAAATGTAAATGAGAGATGCCAAATGAAGGGTATCTTTGTTTGTACAGGCAGCCAAAGATTATATCTGATAAGATAAAGGCCTCAGCGCGGGCGTTATTTGTACAAGCATTACCCAAATAGTTAAAGAAAAATGCGTTATGGATTGTGAGATTCAACCGTTGCCAGCCGTTGCTCAAAATCCTCTATATCCACCCCCATTTCCGTATCCGTATGGTTGCTGCTTGGTGTAGGCACTATAACCTGTGTCCCCAGTGTCGTAACGCCCCAACCCTGTAGGGTTCGGGTCTTGGCTTGTCCAAGCCGGAGGTGCGGCGTTGTCCATCAGGTGTTGCGAGTCGTTGTTGTGATCCATGGCGGTAAGGCTCCGTTGCATAGGAGGGCTTGAAGACAGGTAGTTTTGTTGTCGGTAGCCTGCCTCCGCGTCCCTGTATTGGTCAGGTGTCATTGAGCGGCCTGCGTCCTTATCATGAGGAGCGGAGATGGCGAACATGGAAATGTTGTTGTTGTCTTTGCGGTCGAGGTAGAGTGAGTTTCGGCCATCGAGAGGGGTGAGTGTGTCCCTATCACGGTTGGCTTTCTCTGTAGGGTTTGTTAGTGTATGTTAACGGAACGAACTTGCGAGACAACTTACCCATCTCCTTTCTGCGCTTGCGGTGGGGGTTCTCCTTGACCAGGACGTTGATGGCGTTCCAAATGATCAGGATAACCAAGAGACCAGTAAGAGCGGACTGGACAGCGATGAGAACCACACCGGCAATAGTCTTGCTGTCTTGGGGAATGGCGAGCTCGTGAACAAAGACAAAGATCAACGCCACAGACAGAACGCGAACAGTCTGGATGGAGATACCGATGATGTTGCTAGACTTTCGCTCGAAAGGTCGAGTCCAGACGAGGAGGCACAAAAAGATGGACTCAACAACGAGCTGAGCAATGGTCTGAGCCATACCATTGCCATCGCCAACAGCAAGGGTGCAGCCCTTAGCAAAGAGATAGACAATAGTAGGGATGAAGATCCACCAGTAATCCTTCTTGTAAGACTCGTAGAACAGGGAGTACTTGACCCAAATCTCTTTGTTGTTGTACAAGGCGTCGGCATTGCCCTCGGCGTTCTTCAGCTTCTTGACTGTGCTGAAGATCTTCCATGTGAACCAGCCTAGAACAGCTGTAAAGACTGCGAGCGTAACACCGGCTAAGACTTGTGCAAGCCATGAGTCACCCACTGTGAATTGGAAGACACAGTACAGGACCCAGATACCGTAGAGAACGAGAATCAAGTGGGTGATAGTTCGGGCGATGGATCCCCAGTAATGCTCTCGGAAACCGGACAAGGACTGAGGGAAACTGCCGAATAGAGCCCAGAACTCCAGAACAGCCTTGACTAGAAGAATGCCGACAATGATGGTTGCAATGATGATGGCGACAACAAGCAGGACTGTCATGAAGGTGTTGGACTTAGGAACACTGTACTGCTGGACGTAGGCCGAGATTCCAGAAACCGAGAGGGTCTGGTTCTGGGCGGCACTTACACCCTCGCTGTCCGATGCATCCTCCAATGAAGTTTCCACGCCGCGGGCAGCAAGATTGGCTAGGGATGAGAAGGTTTCGAAAGCACGTTTAACCTTGTAAGAGTGGTCCTCGGGAGTGCTGGTAGAGTTGTCGGAGAAGACCAGAGTAGCGTTCTTAAGAACATCGAAGCTGTCGGAAGAGAGGTCACCTCCAGTGGAATTGCGGAAGCTATCGATAGACTTCTGGAGAGACTCCCAAGGAATGATGCCGGCAGAGAAACCAAAGTTCTTGGCAAAGCTACGGTACACAGGAGGATAGTCGACAGAAAGCATACCGTTCATGGCCATTCCTTGGAACCAACCGAGAGTCTGGGCAAAGCTGGGGCTGGGACCACCACCGCCATGGCCAGCACCGCCGCTAATAGCAGATGAAGCGGCGGATGCACCAGAGACGAGAAGAGCAGCGCCAACGACACCAACAGAGATATAGGTAACAGCGGGGACTGAGGCGGTCTTTCCGTTGCCAACCTGAGCCTGGAAGCACGCGACTTGGGTTGAGGGGTCGTCGGCGGCCACCAGTCTAAGTGTTGCTTGAGCTGAGATATCGGGGACCTGGAAAGCAATGCTGGGCACCTTGTTGGCCCATTCCGATTCAATCTCGCGGGAACCAGCAGCAGCGAAATGCTTGGCGGGCAGAGGGCAAAGCTGAGGGATTGGGGTGTCCTTGCTGCAGGGGTCGATGCTATTCTCATAGACCTTACGGCCATATGCGTTGACCTCAAGGATGGCAGAGACGTTTCGCTGCTTGTCGCTTGTTCCGGAGACGTCAAATGTGACAAGCTGCTTGTCGTTGTTGTAGCTGATGTCGAGCTTCTCGATTCTGATACCGGGTTCCGAACCACAGTCGGAAACTCCTGATGTTTTGAGGATGCTGTCTCCCAGAACCCCAGTGATGAGGGTAGCAGCCGTCACGGCCACTTTCCAGGCGCTCCAATTGGAGTGAGGTCGAGTCATTTTGAACGTATGTCGTGCAAGATAATACTACGGAAATACGGGAAATTCGTGGCTCGTCGAAATTGATCGAGGTTTCGGCTTTGAGAAGTTGCTGTCGTATATATCCAGAAACGCTGGGATATTGGTGTGAGAAGATCGAGGTATAAGTTGAAAATCGTTTGTAGGATGAGGACCTTAGGGAATGGTATCAAAGAGACAATGTATGGAAAAGGTAAGAGATGAAAAGTTGATATAAAAGGAAACAATGAATGTCGGAGATCAATAAAGATATCTCAAGAGTGTCGGCAAAGCAGTGCAAGCACGCGCACAAGAAGATGGCCGAGGGTCAACCTGGAAAGAAGAGAAGATAGGCAACCAATTGCCTTGAAACCCGTGAATGTCCAACGTGCCGGCGTTAAAGTCGTTCGAGGTGTTTCGTATCGTGAGACCAAAGTCTGACGAGGTGGTCGTCGAGTCTAAGTTTTGGTGTATCTAGTTGAGTCGATGGTGTTCTTTCTTCCTGTCTATGTGACGCTGAAATGAGAGGCTAATAGTCGACAATGCCGCAAGGGAAGCAGCATGTCCTAATCTGGACAACAAAATCAAACAGACGGCAAAATGAGAGATTGTGTATGCTTGAGATAGAGTGAGTGAGAGATAGTTGGTAGGAAAACAAAAAAGACGCTGCTACTCTTCTTCTTTTAGTTCGAGACAAATACAACAAATAGAGAAACGATGATGGAGGAAAGAAGGAAGTAAGAGAAAAAGGGAAAGTAGAGCAGATAAGCAACAGGGAGAGTAATGGGCAAAGATGAGTGAAAGAAAAGAGGAGAAAGCCCCGAGAGTGAGCAAGGAAGCAGACGAGATGCAAGGTTTTGGAGTGGATGAGCAGGGGGTGACGAGTTTGCGTAGACACCTCTAAAGGAAGGAAGGAAGGTCCCTACAGAGTCTTTACAGCCTGGGAGTTTTCACGCCTGGAGTCTCTCCAACTGTTGACTTTCAGGGCCTCCCATGCTAGAGGAACCCAAAAGCCAGTTCTCAATGGACAGACACGGCCAGTTCGAATCATCCATGAGACGGATCCCATCGAACCACACACCAAGAGTCTTAGAGTCTCAGAACTCAACCCCTGACCTGTTGCATATGTCAGGGGCACGGGGCATTTTAGTGGCCCGTCGCGCAACACAGGGGTCTCTTTTGGTGGGGGCACCCAGCATCTTGCCATTTTGGCTCTGGTTCAAGCGGTACAAGATTGGCCAATCACGGGCATATGCTTCAGGCCAAGCCTCTTACTGCAGGGGTTTCGCAGGCGGGTGGCTGACCAGTCTTAGGCCCTGAGGCCCTGGGAGCTAGCTAACGTCAAACCCCAGCTTGTTCTGAAACTCGGTGTCGTGGGATAACTTGGTTGAGTGTGCATATTCTGCTCTGTGAACATATGGACGATAAGCGATAAGTCAAGGTACGAACATGCGGTCATGTTTTGGCCAGAAACAAGGTTTGCAGCAAGAGTCAAAACAAATTATTTACTGTTACAAGTCAGCAATAACTTGGATATCTTGGCTGAGACAAGTTACCTACTATTAACTAGTACAGCTACGGATATGGATACATGGAGTACATTACTATTCCTGGGTCGTCTCCACCATCGTCAACCAAAACAAGCCTCCTATCTATAATTCTACATAAACCACTTCATAAAATGCTACTACCGATCGATAATCCTCCCAATTGTCTCACTTCAAAGACGATGATCGATCGCTCATCAGTCTTTTTCACCACTCTTGCACAATCAATATTACATGGTGGAACCTCCATCTCCTCCGCCAGGGTGCATGACCTTGGAGTCCTTGGCCATGGCCATGGGCATGACCATGTCCAAGCTTCTCGACTTTGCACGAACACAAGCACAATTACAAGGAATAACTTGTCTAGCACAGATTCCGCTAACATTACCAAATCCATCGCTTCCCCCTTCATCAGTCGAACAACTCCATACAAATCACGTCCCAGGTCTGTCCAGTTTCGTTCTACTGCTGAGAGAAACCTCAGAACCACGCGTTTTATGTGCTGACTACCTTACTCCGTAGTCTCCAACACACATAACTCAAAACTCGAGTGTCACAAAATGTCATCACCCACTCCGTATCAGTACTGACTCAACTCCTCACCCACGTCTAATCCGATGATCGCCTTCACTAACATCACAAGTCCAGAGACGGCTTCACTTAGCATGGAGCATTGACCCCAGTCCCCATTACACTCTCTAGTCTCTCCATCTTTAATGAATCTCGCTCCCTCCCAAATCTCCATATGAACCACCCAAGCGCCGTCACCGCCGCCGCCGCCAACGGGTTATTTCAACCTGTATGCCATAGATAGAAACATGTTCCAAGGAATGCAGTCTCTGCCGAAACCTACAGTACAAGTTCACGCGACCAAGCAATTGCAAATCTCGGTAATCCCAAAGATCCTAGCCACCAACATCGAATCCCTGACGGTAGCGTTTGCTTACCTCGAACGGGCATAAGATGAAATTAAGTCAAGTATTCGGAGATATTAAAAGAAAGAAAAAAGATAACGATTTCATGCCCATTCAACACCAGGAATGTTTGGCTATGTAACCTAATCTCACAAGCCCTAACCGTAACTACCTCGCATCCCAACTGTGGACGAAAATCTTAAATCATCTCTATTAATTCCAAACACTCGGCGCATTGCAACACACAAATATCCCTTCCTTCAGGATTAATATGTCCGACTATTACGGGTAATAATATTCCCCACTGCTGTGCTGTCCTTGCTCCTCCAGGGCCAAGCCAAGCCACCTCGGCCCCCTTTTGCTTTTGATCCCAAAAGCTTAGCTTTGCCCTCGCTCCATCTTTTGCATCCCTACCCTGCTAGCTGCGGGCTGTTGGACCCAGGGACTCGTAATCACTTTGCTCACGCGTCTTAGGCGGCCTCCGCTGAGCCTCCATATCTTGACTGAGATTATTCGTTCGCAGTTGTATATCTGGTATATTTAGAAATGCCAAGGTGCTGATCAGAGAGTCTAAAAGACTATTGCTTTCATAAGTATCCAAACGCCCTGTCCCAACTCTCTTCCCTTCTCTTGTTCGACTCATAAATCCTCCAATATCAAACGCTCCACATTGGAGTTACCAAGAATCCATACCCATACCCCCAGCCGACAAAACAACAAGCCCCGGTCTATTGAACCCAGGAATATCAAGAAATAGAAGAAACAAAGCTCACGCCTGCTGAACAAATTCGTTGCCGTAAGAATCATCATGGTATCAACATTTTTTCCCGTCCTCCTTTTTTTCGTTCATAATTACAAACATAGACGGACTGCCGTGGGGCCTCGGGGGACAACAAAACACATCCGTGATAGGTATATAGGCTCAGGCATCTGACGGACAGCAAAGAGGTCTCACTCATTGGTATCCGGCCATCCGGCCATCTCCCCACATCCCATTACCTGTGTTGGAGTTCAAGTTGGGAGAGTGGGAGTAAGGAGAAATGGATTCTTGTCCGCTAAAAGGGCTCCCATTCCCGCTTGAAGGGTCTGTGATCCCATCATACACCATCTGTCCCATTTGTCCCACAGGCATGCCATTGCTAAGGCCCAGAGGGTTCATTTGGGAGTATGTACCCATCCCATCATTGGGCATCATAAAGGCGTTGGTGCTTTGCTGATAACCTGCGCCGGTCACATTCATATCCTGCATTGGTGCAGCATTGAAGTTCTGGTGATTCATAGGATGCAACCCCATTTCGGCATGTGTTGAAGGAAAGCTGTGCCCAGCAGTACCAACATTAGTATACTGGTTTGTGTAAAACCCTTGCTGTTGCTGCTGGTGATAAGGTTCTGATCCCATAACAGGGTATGTCATCTGGTTCTGGTTCTGATTCTGATTCTGGTACATTTGGTGAGTTTGTTGCGGGATATGCTGTTGTTGGCCTCCCAGAGGATACTGCATTGCCAGGCTGGTCTGGTCAATGGGCGTAGTTAGGATGTTGCGTGGAGGAGGATCTTGCACTGGGCTGATCACAGTGTCAGCACTGAGCTCGCTAGCCTTGGCATCAACGAGTCTGAGCACAGGCAGAGAGACTTGCTCCATGTGCTTGGCCAGGTGCACAGTCAGTTTCTTCCATGTTGGGAATGTTCTTCCGCAAAAGCGACAGGGCTCATCGTATGGTTTCTTGGTGGTCTCGTGGTGACACTGCTCAACCTTTTGCCACGTGGGTTCAGAACCACCCGCTTTCTTTATGGCAGTCTTGCTCTTGACCTTCGGCTCGGGGTATTTGTGTTCTCGTACGAGATGCTGAAGGAAATTGTCCCGGCGGAAACATTGGTGGTGGCATGCTTCTACATCACATGTCCACCACTCAAGGTGTCGGTGACCTTCATTCTCATGACGAACCCAATCGGCTTTGCGTTTGAACATCTTTGGCCCAGGGCACTTATCCCAAGTGCAAGTAAAGGGCTGCACATCCTCGTGGACGTGTTTTGTCCAGTCGGATGGCTTCATAAACTTCTTGGTCGCAAAGCACAATCGGCACTCGAACTCAGCTGGGAGGTGGCTAGTGGGAGGCATCGGGATATCCTGGGGGAAACTCTCGTTGTTGATAGCGCCCTCAACAGGAGATCCGTCATCGTCGTCGTTTGAAGACTGAAGAGGATCCAGGTCGCGTATATTTTTATTCTGGTCCAACAGAATAGCAGAGCCACTGTTGGCGACACACATAGTTCCAGACAAACATGCTGCACCCAGACCAATATGAGAGACCTGGTTCTTAAGTAAATACTTATATCGTTGAACCTGGTGGTAAGCGATTCGATCAACAAGGAAAGTGTTGGTATTCGCCAGGTCAGGATTTAGGTCGATGATATGTTGCTGGAACCCTTCAAGATTGGGGGTTATGTTGTCAATAACATTCGGGTTTGTTCTCATGTCAGCTTCATCACTGAAATCATCTTCATCATCCTCATCGTCTTCAAGATCGGCGTGCTTAGTCTTGGCCAGAGCAGCCACAGGGGGTCCACCAGTCTCTCGCTTCCACATTGATACGAGAGTTGGGTGGCTCTCTGACTTTATACCACTTGAGGTAGACTTCGGAAGCTCTGATTTGCTTCGAGGTCGACGAAGTGACTTCTTGACGGAGAGTCCCCCAAAGGGGCTTTTGGGCGATGTGATAGACCCGACAGGGGTGCCGCTGTTGCTAACAGATCCGCTTCGGGCATGTGCAGTTCCGATGGAAGCAATATTGCTACCCATGGATGCAATCGCCGTGTTGATCGAAGGCATAGGCTTCTTGCCCCAGCTGCCCATGCGATTTGGTGGCGCAAGGTGAGAGATGCTGTCTCCTCGCTTGGATATACTATCACGTTTCGAATCTTGGCTTCCTCTGCCCTCACTGCTTGGTAAACTCTCTTCGTCATTGCCACTGCTGCGCGTACGCTTGAGAATCTGTGATGCACTAGGTCGCCGCACTAGGCCTTGGAGATTTCTAAGGAGACTTCCCGGCTTATTCGACTTGTTCTCTCGGCTACTCGAAAGCTTTTTCAGGAGACCACCACTCGTGCCGTCGGCCATGTCGAGGTCGAAAACACTGGGGAGACTTCGGCGACGGGTTCCCCATGTCGCAGCTCTGGACAAGATGGAGTCGGTATCACGGTACATCCTTTCGAATCGTTCCATGGCCGCTGCCGATGTCTCGGGTTGGTTTCTTCCAGGCTGTCCCCGAATGATAGAAGGGAACATGGGTGAATCCGACCAGTTCCGGTTTTTAGCAACTATTTCGCGATCTTGCTGGTTCATCTCGCCCTGGTCACGGTAGTAGGTCTGGCCGGGAATGAACCTATTCTCGGTCTCACGACCGAATGGAATTTCATGCTCAGCCGGATCGTCCCGCTGAAGGTTCAGCTCGTTGATTTGATCTCGTGAGTTGTCATCTGGCTTGACTGAAAGATCATTCATCTTATCGGCCAACCAATCACCCACAACCTCCTTACGTTCATCGTCATCGCGACCAGCGGCAAGCTCATTAATGCTTGGTATTTCGTTGGTGGGGCGGCTCGTGGGATCGAGACCAGCTTGGCCTGTTAATGAATTAGGCTGCCATCTGCCGGTCGAATCACGAGGGGAAGAATGATCTCCGGAGGATATCAAATCCCCAGCAGACTCGAATCCGCCACGGACGGTGGTGGGGCTGTCTTCGAGGCCGCGCTCAACAGAGCTGTGAACAAGAGTCTCATTATGGTTGCCCCACATGGAGACAGTAACCCGAGGACTGGTCATGATAGGAATGCCACCGTCTTCACTGGAAAGGCAGCTGCTACTCTGACTTGGCGTCAAATCAGATGTCTGTGTATTAATTGGGTATGGGTTGAAGTTCTTTTGGATCTGCTGTGGTGAGATACAGTTGGGGAGCTCCGATGGCGCAGAGCCCTTGATAGCGTACGAAAGGTTACTCTGAGGTGGTGTGGGATGGACCGACGCTGTTTGCTCAGGCGTCAATGGATATGTACCAGCAGCGTCCACGTTGTTGTCTGGCATGATACCAGGAGTAAAAGGTTGGTCCAGTCCGGTCAAGTCCTGCTCCAAAAAGTTGGGAGTGCCTCCATTGGCGCTGAAGTCGGCACCAAAGAACGGATCGTCGCCTAGTTCGCTGAAGTCACTGGCTGGGTAGTGGCCCAAGCTAGAACTGGACTCGGGCGTCTCAAGATAGTTGATCGGAGATAGTGAGTCGCTGTCGATGCGCGACAATGTAGAAGGCAGTTGGTTCGAGTCGAACGATGAGGTCGATCCTTGCTGACCCGAGGTAGAGAAGTGTTGAGTAGGGCGGTTATCTTTGTCATGAAGACTGGCAGGCGGTACATCAAACGTCGAAGCCATGGTTGCGGTCAAGAGAGAAGGGAGGAACAAGAGTATATATATAACGAGTGGACCTTGAGACCTTGACTGGGCGAACTCCCGATGTCAGATCACAGGCTGGGGAGCATAGCCTTCGAAGTGATAGCGTAGAGTAGGTAGAGGAGTGAAGTGGATCGCTCAGTTGCAGAAGCACTATCGGGAGCTGCAGAAGGAATCCCGATGCGATCCGACAGAGCTAGACGGCTCGCAAGCAGGGAAAAGAATAAGAAGTCTGCCGGTAAATTTGGCAATACAAAGCGAAGGATTGCAGTGTAGTATTCCTTGACCAAGAGTTGAGAAAGAGAAGAGAGATGAGGGGAGAGAGGGCTGAAGTTGGAACGCGGCGTTGCGCGCGAAAGCGGATCAACGAGCGCTTAGGGAAACCCTTGCTTAGAAGGAAGGTACCTATCCCAGTATCCCAGGGTGCTATACTCCGTACTCCGGCTCTAGAACCCACAGCTAGGTAGTAGCTTACAGATGCTTTGAGGTCAGGGCAGCGTTGTGGCGCGCGGATTCGAGCTGGACTGAAGTATCCAATTCTCCAAATGTTAATGGCAGGGCGGCTTTTGCTGGTTGACGTTGGGATGTAAGCTGTTGTTTGTGATATAATTGCAGGAGGGCTCACGTTGAAATGGAGACAAATGGCTACAGGCAAGATCGGCGGCCGTCCAGGGCAGAGCAAAGGCGGACTGGGGGGCAAACAGAACAGAGAAGCGATTGTGGCAGAAGGAGTCAGAAATGAGGCTTGATCGCTAAGGGCCGGCGTATTGATTAAGAGAGATCCAGACGAAGGCGGTAAGATCGTGCGGTAGTTGGGGTGGTCGAGAACGAAACGAGGGGTGTTGTAGGCGCAGGCGCAGGCGTGACATACAGGACAGTCAGTACAAGTACAGCCCAGTCTCATCCTAATGGATAGATTGTGGCGCTTGTGTGATGCACTCACTTGTTGGAATGGAGGGGCACGGCACGCCCAGCTGCAGGGTTGCAAATGGAGACCTGCTGCTAATAGGCGGGCCGTCGGGGTAACGGTTGTTTGATGTCTATTGAACTTGGTATTGTCAGATGCCGTGGTACCCCGACCAAACACCAACACCCAGTGTAAGAGAATGGTATTCCTCTATCGTGCCATGGCCATCCCTACGAGGCATTCTCAAATCTCAATGGTGTGCTTGTGCCGAGGCGCATTTCACCTAGCCCCACGTCCCAATAAGTAACCCTTGTTCCAGCTCTTCCATGGTTTGGCCATTCAGAGTCTTGAGAGCATATCCAAGGCATTTTCTATTTGCGACTTTGTGACTTTGAACAGCTGGTGTGTAAGAAAAAGCATTGCGGCACTGCCGGTCTTTGTTCGATCTCGGGGAGGACAGGACAGGACAGGCGCCTCTTGACGAACATTTTCTTAGTGACATGTGTGTCGGTCGTACTAGACATAGACAATACTACGTATTTAGTCAGCCTTGTAGGGTTTTTCTAATGTCACTGCCGATCTGAGACTTTGTCTCGTTGGCAAGGCACAAGGCACATTCTGAAAAAGAACAGCTCCCGGTATAACTAGTGGTTATACTGTAACAGCTACACTCGTTGCCCGATCGTCTCATTCTCTAGGCATCCATCTGAAACATTGAGCTGGCGGTCTTGATGCAGAAACACGAGCGGTTATGTCATTGGGCTACGACTTGGTATGGCTCCTTGAAGTTTTTCCACTTTGTCTTGAGGCTGAGACTGGAGTCTAGAGTCGCGACAGACACAGCCACCCAGGTGCTGTGCATGCATGCATGCACGAGCTCAGGGCCTGACAATCGTTGTCGATCAGAAACTGATTGCTGTATGAGTATGATCCTTGCAGACTACTCGTTGATGGTCTATATTTTTAGTTGACTTAATAAGTCTCGACTAAAACAGTCTATCGTTGAAACATTGCTGAATTGGTCGTTTCCGTGGTGGATCGTATGGGAATGTGGGCAACAATTGAAGGCTGAAGATGATAATCTAACGTTAGATTCCAGACCAACTCCGTCGATAGCGAATGACCTAAATGTGACGTTGGGGAGCATGTCTCTTGCAGCATTCTCCAGTTTTCAGATGGCCGGGTCCTGTCACAATGCTTGTTGTGATGGGTTCTTGATTGGGCAACCATTGCGCGACTTTGAAATGCCAAAATAGCCATGGATTGGATTGGATGGGCTAAGCAGGCGGCCTGAGCTGATAGTAAGTTTGGCGAACCGAACTTGAACTGCATGATCAAGGCCAAGCAGTTAAATCCCGAATCCAAGCTTGAGGCTGTGCACGTCTTATTGAGGGATGTCAAAATGCTTCGAAAGCTTGTTTAGCATTGATGCAAGATGTGATGTTGTGGATCGAGAGTGTGGCAGTGCATTGTAGAGCAGACGATGCGATCCTGGTCCCAGCTATCGTTTTGTCGTGATGGCGGTAGGTATTCCGGGTTGTTTCCGTTTCATGGAGGTCTTATTTCGTTCTCATCTCCAATGATCAAACAAATCGGATTTACCAAGATATATTCTGATTGACCGTATGAGCACGTGAGGGTCACTGGTCATCTCGCCAGTTGCTCCTTCCATAAGTTGAATTGATCTGGGCAACTTATCTCTCAGGCTAATCTGACCTACCCGGGAGCGTGATGATCAAATCCCAGCAACCCGTGACACCACTGGCCGCTAAACCGAATCAAGTCTTGTGTCAACCTCACACTTGCATACTCTGTGCTCTCTTATCAATAGAGTATGACTCTGTCACTCATTGCAAACGGTGAAACTCGATAGACCCGATTGCGTTTCCAAAGATCCGAGAAACCGGTGCTCTAGAGACACATACACACTCACCTTAAGGCGTTATTGCTTAGATTGCACTCTCTGTTTACGCCATGTTCCAGGTTCGTAGCCAAGCCAACATCCCCAACACTATCCTACTACAGGTACTAAGAACTACTATTCGATATAGCCTCACCCTGATGAACAGTTCCACCTGCGTCTTCATAGAGCCCGTTCAGTTGTGCTAACAACACAAGAGTGAGTTACTCTAGACTGTACCCAATTCACACCTACTGACAAGAATAGGCTCGTCGAGGTCAGAGCAGCCCAACGCACTTTTGAAGGCGCCTATGTCCGCACAGCCCTTGGCCAGTTCTCCTTCGCCCTCATCATTCTCAAGATCTTCACATCCGAGTTCTATGCCATCGGCGCTCTATTTGCCGTCTACGGAGTTGCCGTGATGCTTGTCGCCGTCTACCGTCGATACGAAGGGCAGAATCAGTTCTTCACTTCAGAATCGTCAGACGGCTCCCTGAAGAGGAAGTTTAGGACGAGCGGAAACAGCGTGTTGCTGCTAACTGTGTTGAGTCTGAGCGCCTACGTGACCTTGATGATTCTGACATGGCGTCTGGTGTGATATTACTTTGTCATAATCGTGTTTCGGATCACTAGGTTTATTATGGTAGACGGTGTTTTTTTATCATGCTCATATCATACTGAGTCATAGGGGCTAGGACAGATAATGTGTATTAGGACAACTCCGGTATTCATCCAGCCAGCATTGCAAACCATGTAGACTGCTATAGTCGACCAGCTTACCAATCCCAACAAAGGCTCAGGCTATCAACCTACATATCTACCCCTTCAGCTTCAGTGAGGAGGATCCGGAATGGCAGACAGCCCCATGGGTGCGGCCCTTGATTATTTTGCCTTCTCTGGCTCGGGTCATGTGGCTTGTCAACGGCGCCATGCTCAAACCCAAACACTGATTGCGGGATGCAGCATCCCTCTTCGTATGCTGCGGCTTGTCTAGCTGATGTCCATTATCGACCAACGCTCTCGGTTGAGTTACTGGGATCTTGCGGGAAGGCTGCGACCAGATATAAGTCTCAGGAGGGAAGTCAGGATATATGACTTGTGTGAAGCCAATAGCTGGCTCATCATCTCACCCATACATAGGAGTCAGATCGTTGTCGATGGGCGTGCTTGTCGAAAACTCTAACAAGACTTGACCGTTGAGCGGAATCAAGCCTCCTGACTACCTCAAATTCCGAACCCCCAATGCTACGGTGCAAGGCCATTTTGAACAGGCCAGAAAATAAGTATATATCATTAAAGTATTGCGTAACCCATGTGCCTTTCTAAACAAGGTGGTCATATCTAACCACAAGAGCGCACTATATCTGCTATTATATGCCCAACTAGACCGTTGTCATTGGGTTTGGTAAACATTCATGTGTCCATTATTCATGACTTGCTGACCAGAACTGCCCTGCGACCGCAGAGTCTGTCCTCTTTCTATTTGTGACCAGCCATCGCCGTAGGCATCTTCGTTTTTCACATACGTATAACCGGGGTATGCCTGTGTCTGATCCCATGTTGTGTAATTTGCTTGGGGCATAGCGCCGGGCGGAAACGGGACAGTTGCGTTTACGTTTGAGCCATCGAATCCCGGAATCATACCAGCCGCGGAAGCAGTGTACGCATCTGATAGTGCAGACGGTCTCCGTTCAAATTGTCGACCCTGAGCCATCAAGGAATATTGAGAAGGGTTGTTACCGGTAAAGGCTTCTCCTCCGTATGACATAGACCGTGTTGGTGTTGAGAACTGACCCCAAGCCATTTCTACATCACCCTGAGGGACTGACTCTGAGGTCCCAGGAGGCCAAGCAGATGGGGATTGTGATACAGGCGTGAATGGCGAGAACTGTGCACTCATTGGAGATCGTGAAGTGTACGCTTGCCAGGGCGTACTTAGGTCCGAGGATGAAGTTGGGCTTTGGTCGGGCGCTGTAACCATCCAATTAGTCGAGTTTTGGGGGCCAGGTTCGATATGAGCCATATCTCCAGGGGATGGCATTGATGCTACATCACTTTGTTAGTATGATATGGCGGGTAAACCTAGGGCAGATAACAAACCCCTTGCTTGAGGTGGAAACCCCTGAACTCCGGCAGCTTCTGTGGTCCTCGGAACTGCAATCGGGACTGGTCTTTTCGATGAAGGCAAGAAGGGTGCCTTTACTTTCTTTGGCTTCTCTGGTAGGATGCTGGTCGGAGTTGCTGGGGATGAGGTTGCTGAGTTCCCTTTTGGCGCTGGAGGAGGCCTTGATGCTTGCTTCCCTCGTGGGTCATCGATTGACGCCTGGTCCACTGGATAGAAACTGCAGTCCTTCTTCAAGCGGATACAGTTGATGCAGCGTCCTTGCGTATCATTGGGTGATGTGATACACCTTATCTTTCGACGTCGGCAGTGTCCTTGTGAGAGTAAGTCAGGGCAAGTACACTCGTGTAGTGGCAGAGCTTAACTTACCACAAGCTACTGAGGTGCGGTGGTAACCCAGTTTGTTTCTCTTCTTCTCTCCTGAGTTCCCAGGTTGTTGTTGGTCGTCTGTCTCTGAATGATGTAGGGAAACACTACCCTCCGCCGAGTACGCCCCATTCATGTTCATATCGTGCCCCGGACCCAATGGCGGAGGGTTATGGGGGTCAACCATTGTTAATGAGGAGAGTTGTTGGGACGGGACTGTATATGAAGGTATGAAGCCAGGGTGTGGTGGTATACCCATTTCATTATCTGCTGGGGAAAGAGGCGGATAGTGGTAAGACATAACGCTTATTATGGGATGTGACACCGTGGATATGCTCTCCCACGCACCAGCAGCACCTAAAGGATACGATTTCGAACAATCTAACGACAATGTGATGGCCATGGACGAAGTGTTGTCGCCGTGGAAGTGATGGTAAGTTCGGCGAGGCAGTATTGGACTTCTTAAACCATAAAATCAAGACAACGGGGTGAAAGTTAGTAGGATGATGATATCAAACTAGTCGGATGGTCTTTGCGACTCGTGGGACAAGAGCGTAGAGCTAATGAGGCGGTACCATGTATGGGCGATGGCACAGATATTCGAAAGAGATCACAACACTCTACCGCGCCAATATCCAAGACGGAAGCATGTGATAGACAAGGTGCTCGGGCGTGAAGACGTTACTAAAGACAAGTTATGGTCGCAGAAGTGAGGCTTGTCGTTCCGAAACCGAAATAAGTTGACGAGCAGCACGGATCTTCTGAAACCTGAGTGTCGCGCTCCAGCGACAGAAGCGAGAAGACAACCGGAAGAGAGGGCCTGCTGAAAAGGGTCGGTGGTGAAGAGAAGGCGTCTCGAAGGATCAAGTCTGGGGATGGTAACGAAATAAGAACAGAATTCTGTTCAAATCAAATTGTGGTCCCTGGCATGTATTTGAGCTCCAATCCTGAAGACGATCGCCTTCCAGGGTCAACACAGACAAGGGTCTACGCTCTTAAAGATAATGTACGTAGTATCTGGTCTAGTGGCAGCTACTATATACTGCTTAAACCATGAACCAGGAAAGGGGTGTCTAGGGGTGTGAGGGACTCATATCAAGTCGGAGGGTAAACCGACTAAGGCTGTCTAGCATGTAGCTCTTGTGGGATTAGCAGTTTCTGAGTACCGACGACTAAAATGGTGGATAATAGATGGGTGGTGACAACAAAGTAGTTGGAGCGCCACCGGGAGGTTATATTGGTCCAGAGCTTGTTGGGTGCAACCTGAAGTCGTTGTGCAGTTATCGACAGGTCAGAGATCGATGATGCTCAGGGCGTTTTCGGACTGAGAGCACTGCTCATCTTTTCTTTCTGGACTCCTGGGCTCTTCCAAGTGAGGCACGGTAGTGGTTCTAACACCCAACACTACCGCTCAAGTCACAACAGCAGCGTTAGCCTTTTGATGACAAGCGGCGAAGACATTCCTGGGTCCAGGGCCGCGGATGACGGATCAGCATAATTAAGTGCCAACTGGGTATGCACGATCAGAACCAAAGCTCAAGATCCTGGGAATTAACAGGGGTGATACGGATATATCGCACAGTTGCTTTTCTACTAATAATTCTTCAACAGACACATCCGCACAGTGGGGTGAACTACATCTCTCGATACTTTCCACTGGGACAAGCTAGACACGGCAACCAAGCTCCCACAGCCGGTAGTAGAAAGCAGTGGGAATTTAACATTTCTTTTTCCAGGCGGTTGTCCAGAGAATATCCATGTCATGTTTCCTTGGAGTTTAGGTCGGATGTTGAGCAATCGGACTGAGCAAGAAGACCTCCGTCTTCCTCCACTGAGCTGCGTTCAGTGATAGCGGTTGCGGAGGAACCTGGCCAACAATTCAATTGCTCTGGCTTGTGAGGCTTACTGTACGAGGCCGTCGCCCCCTGCAAGTATACGAATGCCGGGACCGGGGCACCAGGGCAGGAAAGCCGGGGCCCCGATGCCTTTTGATTCCATGACCCAGTTGCAATGTTGCATGAGCACGGGGCATTAGTCCAATGTTGAGTGGTGTTCACACTCCTGCATCAGTCCCAGCAAATGCAAAGAGCTAGTTAGTTAGATTGGAGAGTATGAACCATTGACGATGCAAGGTTACAATCCAATGTTTAATTCGGTCAACGATTGGAAAGAGATCGTGGTGAGGGCACTTTTGGTAACAAGCCGAACTTCCAACATCATCAAGCCATTGCCATGTCATGTTATTCGAGTTTAGGTTTTGAAAATCGAGCGTTTTCAACGCAGACTTTGTCCACGGTCTTTGAGGTACTCCCTTGATCCGATTCGCGTCATGGGCACATCAAATCGGGGCGTTACAAATACAGCACAAGCGTCACAGCTCAGGTGTTGTTACCCCTTCTCTCCACTTGCTGATGTGTGCAAAGCACGCATCTGGACAGCCTTTATTCCTGTTGAATTAAATTCCGTGCTCCTCGTGCTCGTCGACGGCATTGTGTGAACACAAAAAGAACAGAAAGAAGCAAACAACGGCTGATGTGCTTCAATAGTGACCAGCGACTTTTTCTTTTGTGGAAACTGGTATGAAGGAGAACGGCCTGGTAACCAGTAAGAGATGCCCACGATCGGACAGTTTTCTCGGGGGGTTCTTCAATTGACGCTGAGTAATTTCACCAGGCGGAGTAAAAGTCTTCAGACTTCTCATTCTCCATTCTCATGGTGCTTTGACACTTCAACTGCGTGCATAGTCGGAAACTAGCAGCATCAACACCCCAGCTGAGGCCGGCATCAACCAAATTGTGGGTAAGCAAAGAGGTTGATCATTCCGCAAGGTCGTCCCAATACGGTAACGGAGTCGGGAAACAAGGTTCAGGCAGAACACAAAACCACTCAGTGGACTTTGTGGATGAGGGAGGTCAGTTCTCAACTCGGGTATATTGCTGAGCGAGACCCTCCTTACTCGTGGCAGGTGTTTTTATGTCTGTGCGTCGCTAATCCCTCCCTGGTTGCTCTGACAGCTTCAGAAAGACGCGAGATTATCACGAAGCGAGCTCGCTTGGCCACTGTGTCTTGCCAGGACCACTGCACCTATCTTTTCACAGGTCTCCTCACGTCCAAAGTAAAGAGTTTTGTGGGTGTGGTCTTGGAAGCGCGGTTATTTACCCCGGTTATGAAACAGCAGCACTCAATCAATGGCCCATATATCAGGGCACTGTCTTTCTCTGGTCGCTCAGTTTCAAGGGAGCCCTCCAGGCTCAAGAGAGAGGCAGGGTGCAAATTGATTGCAGAGCCCCTGTTCCACCAGTATCCCCGGCAGGCAGGCAGGCCATATCGCCATATCGCCTGTGAGGATATCAAAGGCCAATCAATACGGAGTACGAGCTTGATCTATCACGCAGCGTCGACTGAGAATGCATCTGCAGCTACAGAGTAGAGACATGCAGTGATGTTCAAAGGCGCCACCAATCGTCGTGAGTGGTGTTCAAGCGGTTTCTCGCAAGCTCCATGCCAATGGTGTCTTGGTCCAAAGACGAGGCTTCCTCTCGGCGAGTGCTGAACAAAAGGGAGCTGGACGTAAGCTCACACGGGTAAATGCCGGGTAGCCAATCCAAAACTTAATCCCTCGAGCATGGACAAGAGTGTCTGATGCTGATGATGATGCTGGGTCAGGGTATGTAGAGTTCGGGATGGCTAGAGAGTTCAATGTCTCCCCGGCAGAGGCTGCACATCAATCAGAGGATACTCCCGGCGCTAAACGGTACGAACGAAGCCTGGGAAAATATTAGTGCCAAGAGAACCGGGCACATCCGTCAATAGGCATTGGATGGTCTATAATAGGCCTCTATTAAGGAGAGACGCTGCAGTTGTCGACTCAGATATGATAGCCGAGTGGAAAACACATGACTTGAGTTCAGGGGAAGAAAGGAGGCAAGGGACTCAGGCAGTCGAGGACCCAGGCTGCCAGGAAGGAAGGAAGCCAGGAAGCCAAAGCCAGGATCACCAACTTGGCTGCTTGGCAGGGACTCCCCGCCCATTGAGTGACGGGAATCGACCTTCCCGCAGGTGCACGTGCCTCAACGTGCACTGAACTTCCTATTCAGGAGCGCTCAGATGATTCAGATCTCCCCTAGGGCCCGTCTTACCTGCGCTATCTCACCTTAGCCTCTCCACCTCAGCTACATCGTCTCCACCATTTTTCACCAAGTGCCGGCTCACCAATGGCACTGGAGATCTGATCTACAGTATCCGTATGTGCCTAAGAAATATCCTCTTTTGACGTCTATCAAGTCTAGCGTGCCCACCCGACACTAACAACAATAAATGTCCGGCCCGGATAAGGGGCAGTTCCGGGTCATGTGCCGCAACAAGCCTCTCTGCTAGACTTGCTTATCCCCACCAAGGACAGGGCCAGGGGTGATGGGTGATGGATGATGAACACCTGTATCATCATATTACATCAATCCCAATCCTTCGAGTTTGTGGCGTCTTCTGCCAGGCACTGTTATTGAACAAGTTACGTTGAAACGGACGTCGACTGAATCAAATTCTTGTAAGTTTGCAAAGGGACCTTCAAGCAGCTGCCAATCCTACCAGAAAAAGTCAAGACTAAAGAGATATGTGAGTCTCAGGCCCGGGAAGCTTCATTGGCCCACGTCTCTCAAGACTCAGCAATAAGACACAGCATAATTACCCCCGTGCATCAGAGTTGCAGAACATTTGTCAAATGCTCTGCAAGGCGATGATCAATCGGTTGGCAGAACATCTGCGTCATATGCTTGCTACGTAAATTGCCGAAAGGGGCTTCCAACAGGGAGTCCAGAAGAGAGAAACAAGCCCAGGTCCATGGGATTTGACATCTAACTTGATGCATCAAGACCCATTGAATGGTGGATCAGGTTTATGTCCCCGAGTCCCAGGTATGTGGACTGCCAGTATATAGGAGGAATCCACTAGACAGCAAACACATTTTCTCATACAGGCTTGGTCATTGATACAGCAGACGCAGACGCAGACGCAGACGCAGACGCAGACGCAGACGCAGACGCAGACGCAGACGCAGACGCAGACGCAGACGCAGACGCAGACGCAGACGCAGACGCAGACGCAGACGCAGACGCAGGTGCCAGGAACAATGGCCAGTCCTGGGAGCGTACATCTAACGCAGCAAGGACTAGAAGGCGGAACTAGTCAACGTCAATACGGGGGTTAGGGGTGTATCTGTTGGTGATATCATAAAAAACAATTATATCTGCTACGGAGCATTTGAGAGTGGATTGCTTGTCAGTTTGTAAGAATCACTCCGCATAGTCCCCCTCCATCAGGGGAATAAACTCGTTTTCAAACGAGACTAGTTTGCGAATCCACGGATAGCAGAATCCAATGTGACCCTTGCATCAACTGATATACACATCTACTGGCGTATAATCTTCCGCGCCCTGTCCCGACAGCCAGGTGTTGTGTTACACAAGGGTAATCAGGGATAATTAAGGATAGGGATAAAGGTCTGAGGTTCAGGTCAAGCAAATACCACGCCTCACGCTCGTAACGGAGAAGATCGCGATGATCCCTACCTCGGCATAGATTCAAGTAGCCCTGGGCTTACAATGACTTTGCACTAAGGGTGACAGTTGTCCATGCTGTCGGGGCGCTACAGAGGCCACATCCACTACTCAACAACAGTCTAGTCTACAACTTGAAAGTTTGTCCGAGTGTGAATACCTAAGTACGTATTCATAATAACCGTTTTCCTCGGAGTATCCGGCTTATCTTACTCGTCCATTTCCATAGGTATCTAGTCTGGAGGTTGAATGCGGCGCCGCCACAAAATGGGCTCTGGCTCTAGGCAAACTAAAATTATGAATGGTCTCAAATCTCATCCTTGGAGTTGGGAGCTGGAACAATTGCGAAAATGTCCCGAGAGACGACGCCTTACCCCTTCTAGCTTCTGACAGAAACTTGGACTTGTGACTCGAGTCCAATGCAGCTGCATAACCAAGGGTTATCGCCTAATACTGAACACAAACACAAGGTAGGGTTACTTGATCTGCATCGACAGTTCAAAGTTGCAGGGTTCAGGTATACGAAAGAAAAGAAATGATTCGGATTGCACAAATTACGGGAGCGCCCAACCCGATCCAGGCCCTAGCCAGGCTCGTTGCTTTTGTCATCTTCATAACACCAGATATCAAATACGGTGGTATGCGAATACCTACCTAGGCATTAACCTAACTGCCTCCCTCGACAGTTCTGGTATGTCATCAGAAGCAACTGTTAGAAATACATTGATGTAATTAATGACAGCCTCATCTTCCTCATCGTATCGACTGCTACACCCCCCTGCCAGGGCTTTGCGTTCTGCGCCTCCATAGTATTGTTCTCGAAGCAGCCACCTCCATCGTCGTAGAGGTCATTGATTGTGTATTTCCGAGCTTCTGGTTGATGTGACATAGATTGTGCATTTTTTTGCAGTCTTTTGAGATGTGGAATATGTCGATTTTAGACTAGTTTGTATCACAGAGACCAACATCCTCGGCCTGGAACCAATAGAACCACATAATAGGTACCTCTTAGTGTCGATCCCGTACCTACTAGTGACAGCATTGTGACGTGCTTTTTATTCAACGAAACCTTTTTTTTGTTTTGTCTCTCATCGTGCCACCTCACAGCGCTGCTTAAGTCAACCATTCCTCAAGTTGATGCAACGGCAGGGAACGGATACAATATTGAGTTTGTTCCCCAGAACCACGAAATCGGTCCGACGATGCAGGAACAGGGAATCATAAGGCCACTAGCGGGGCGGTAGTGGTAGCGGTAGCTTGAGCCTGGAGCAAGATTAAGCACAGCACAGGGCCCTGGACGATACATGGTAGGCAGCTAACCTGTTCAGGTTTGTTCTGCATCAGTGGAACAAAATTTCCTTTTTTGTTTGATGCTGACAGGGGGGCCAATACAGAAATTCATGGCTCGGCCGAGTCGGTTAGATTGGCGGGAACTTGCGAGATTTCGAGGTATTGTCAATGAGGAATTGTGGTGTTGTGTTTGAGCTATAGGGTAGTTTCCACCACGACATATGGGGCGAGCTATTCATCATTGTCATTTCATTAGATAGCAGCTCTGTCATGAACACAAACGCCCAGTTTCGAGTTTAAACGACATTCGTTAGTTGTGTATATAGCATACTTTGATCGTAGGCTAATGAATAGTTTGCATCGTCACTAAGATATAGTTAGATACTCGACAACGGCATCCGTTAACCGAATCAACTGCATTATCAAATGGGATTTGGAGAAAGCGCGGACAGGAACCTTGTAAACCTATCAGAATCGTGTGGCAACAAGCTTAAACTTCCAACCGCGAAAGTATACCATAGTGGTTCGCTTAAAAATGGAAATATGAGGATGTCCATGTCTGCCTCGAAGCGAGGTGTTTATGGAACGGTATCCGTATATTACGTATGGTCACCATTCATCGTTGTCGAACCATTAGTGATACAACACCACATAGACCATCAGAGCATGCTAACTCGCTTATGGTCATTCAAAACCGTTAATATTTACTGCACAATCCTACTTCATAAGATGAAATGCTGGATGAGTATTTGGCTGAATCTAGATGGCGCGTATTGGTGAATACATATTTCTAGATGATCCCTCGGCGTGTTCCAGTATCTCAGGGTGGTCATTTTCCTGCTGCTTGGGAAAGTCGCCAATAACCACATATTAGGCCATGAAGGTTTACAGAAAATAAGCGAATATATCGAAGATTAGCAAGAAACTCAAAACGCACTGTGAGGCTGGTCCGGTAAAGTCGTGCACATACAGTGTTTGAATATCGGGAACCTTACTGTGCCCCAGTATTCACAAACGCAAATCGAACTAGATTTGGGGTTGGGTTTGGGTTGGTTGGTTGGTTGGCTGACATATCGCACGACTACCATCAACCAGTTGCACAGAAACAACAAAGTGCATTGGTTTTGATTATCGATAAGCCGAATCACTAGAGAGAAGTTCGAGACTATCTACAACAATCGTCAGCACCGGAAAAGCCTCCGCCATTTGCAGACTTTGGCGGTGCGAATGGAACCTACGTCATCTGCGCACCGTATCTATCATGAGCGACCTGCAGCGAGCATGGGCCAAAGCCAAGTTCGGCATATCTAACGATTCCTTTGACGAGCTTGAGGAGCAGCAAGAGAATGATATGCTCCCTGAGCTGCCAGAGCCTGTTGACGATGACTCTTCCTCAGCCTCGTCGGCATCGTCCGTCTCCTCGACAGGAACTATCATACCATCACCCAACCAGAAGCTGTTTGCTCGTCCTCAAGGGTAGTTTACACTCAGTACTTTGATCGAGTGAGACATGGCGGGACTGACAGGCTACAGAGTCGCCCGCGGCAGGACCCTGGAGCAGATTCCTTGGACAACCTACTTTGAGCGCGAGTTGACCTTGAAGTCAGAGCAAGATCCGGAAGTAGTATATCATGCTTATCTCACCTCGCCGGTGGGTAAGGGGCCATTGTTTGTGATGCATCATGGAGCAGGATCTTCCGGGCTATCGTTTGCTGTTATGGCTTCTGAGATACGGAAGCGTTTGTCGACTGCCGGTATCCTGGCCATCGACTGTAGAGGCCATGGGTCAACTTATGCACCTGGAGACAAGGCACTGGACATGAGCTTAGAAACACTATCGTCGGACCTTTTCAATGTTGTACAGCTTACAAAGACTGAGATGGCGTGGTCAGAGATGCCCCCGATAGTGCTCGTGGGACACTCCTTAGGCGGAGCTGTGGTAACAGATCTGGCCAAGTCAGGCAAACTGGGAACATCAGTCTTGTGCTATGCGGTGCTGGATGTTGTCGAAGGCTCTGCCATCGATGCCTTACAAAGTATGCAAACTTATTTATCTACGAGACCACTGGGCTTCGCGACGCTGCAGGCAGGCATCGAATGGCACATCCGCTCGCGAACGATACGCAATTCCATATCTGCTCGAACTTCCGTTCCTGCACTGTTAGTATTTGACGAGAACGATGACCCGACGAGGCCGTGGAAATGGCGGACTAACTTGGGCGCGACTCAGCCTTACTGGGAAGACTGGTTCGTGGGTTTGAGCAAGAAATTTTTGGGGGCTAGAGGAGGAAAGCTGCTACTGCTCGCTGGGACAGACAGACTGGACACCGAGTTGACCATTGGCCAGATGCAGGGTACGTTTATCAGTATTGTGCGAAGTTTGGATGCTGATCGTGATAAAACAGGGAAGTATGCGTTGCAAGTTTTCCCAGAGGCCGGGCACTTCATTCACGAAGACTTGCCGGAGAAGACTGCCATATCGCTAGTCGACTTCTTCCGCAGAAACGATCGGAGCGCTCTCGTACTTCCCCCGAAAGTCTCAGAGCTTCTCAAGCAGGGCAAGAGAGTGTGAATCTGCGAGAGGAACGCAGCAATGAGCTTGGACGCGTTGCTCTAGACGTTAGCTTCATCAAACTTTGTTTAACGGAGCTAATAGGCGACGGCCCATGAACCAGGATATGCATTCAACAGCACATTGGAAGTGGGTAGAGGTCGCATGTGACAGGAACAGGCTACCCCGGGCTGTAGTATTCCAAAGCACGCATAACCCAGGAGGCGATATGATATAAACTCTGATGGCGACGACACGAAGGCTAGTGGCGGAGGCGGAGGCGTTTATTGAGTAGAATCACGTTTACGATCGACAACTGGGCTGGACCCCTCAAGATAGAAGCAAGAACCGACACGCTAGAAGAATCAATACTGACCGTCAAATTATTCGCAGCAGTTCGAGAGATTTTATGCTTCAAGCCTTCATAACTGTTCAAGGTACCGAGCAACAAGTGCCTGGCCAGTGATTGCAAATTTCCTCTTTCGACAAGTTTGCTTCTCGGATGGTATGTTCCAATAGCGCCACAACTACCGGATGCAACTCAAGTTCTATTGATATGAAGTGGCTTGTATTGAGACATGCTCTGAAACATAACTACCACATTTCCCTACCAAATTTCAATATTTCAGGTGAGACTATATCCAAGCGCCTGCAGAACGATAGAGATGAGTTTGAAATATAGCTTCAGTCCCGGTCCGTGTTCTATGGCATTGAAATTATGGATGGCTCATGGGGCCGACGCAGCCGAATACGTGTAAGTCGATGGGCCAGATCTGGCTCGGCGTTCATATGCCGAGAGGATCTAGAACACGTGGAGAAGTGGCCATTGGCTGCTGATTTGCAGATCATTCGACGAGGAGAATGGGGTCGCTAGGTCGCCTTTTTTGCCGCTCGCAAGACTGTTTCCGAGGGACCCGCTGGGATGGTTGAGGCGTTTAGGCGTTTTGCCTAGAGCGCTAATCTGCTAAGGTTCACGAAGGAGGTCCGAGGTGGTACTAGGTCAGCTTAGTATATTGCCTTTAAAGAGAAAGCTTCCGACAGCTGTCTCAAAAGGGGGTTTTCCTTAAACCAATTTGTCGCGCGTTCGTGAAACTTTACAACTTCCCTTCTTTTCTTACTCCATTCAATATTATCATCATTTATACCTGAAATATCAAAATGAAGCTGTCTCTGTTCACCTCTGTCCTTCTGACTGGCCTAGTTGTCGCTCAGCAAGCAAAGCTCCCTACATGTGCTGTATGTGATCATGATTCTACCCTCTTTCCTCTCTCCTCTGCTGTGCAACCACCACATCAGCCCTAAGGAAGCCATACTAATTTCATTTTTGCACACTTAGCAACCCTGCGTCGATAAATACACCACAGGCGGTGGCGTTGCCGGATGTGGCCAGCTCGACATCAAGTGCATCTGCAGCAACAAGGACTTCCTCTCTGGAATCGCGTGCTGTCTCGAGGAGAAGTGCGATGCCGAGGGTAGAGACACAGCCGTCAAGTACGCCAAGCAGATCTGCTCGTCCTCAGGAGTGACTGATCTGCCCGACGAGGTTAAATGCGACAAGAGCGCTGCCTCGGGCACCGCGACTGACAAGACCACACCTACGAGCTCTACTACCAGCGAGACATCGGCCGCATCCAGCAGTGCCAGCGACAACCAGGGCAACGCTGCTTCGCGTGAGGGCGCCGCCGGCATCCTGGGTGTCGCTATGGCCATGCTGTTTGCTCTGTAGACGAGGATGAGACCGAAGTGGATTTGAGTACAGGTATTGCGAGTATCAAGAGGAGGGACGTAATTGGAAACAAGCGAGGAAACTGGTGATTCAATTTTCTCTGCGTGGAGAGTTTTGGAGTTAGAAACCATGTACTACTACTTGCCGCAAGGCCACCAGTGTTAACTGGATTTACTTGAATCAAGCCTCTTTTCTTGGATCGCCCTTCCGTTGACCTCTCTCGGAGGGAATGTTTGTATCATGCCATGGCCGACTCAAAAGCCGCTCGTTATGATTCGAAGCGCTTACACCGGAGCCATCATTGGAAGTTGCAGATCCCTGTTGTTTGCTGCATCTCTACAGAAAGAACAGACCAACAGCTCGTCGTTCAATCTACATCCATGCAACAGAGCCAACGTCAAATATAAAGCGGGTTCTGTTGATGACTCGACCTTTGATAAACGCCCTGGCCCCCACAAGGACATGGCTTTAGGAAGACCCCACCAACAACGTCACTGGACGACAGTAAGCATTAGAAACAACCCCACCATTGAAGAAGCCTCAATAGATCAAATCTCTCTCCACCATCATACGTTGACTTTTACTACCTTCGATTAATCGCATATACCTCAACAATGGCTCCCAAGACTATCATCGCCCCCTCAATCCTGTCGGCTGACTTTGCTCAGCTCGGCCATGACTGTGCCCGCACCATGGAGCAGGGCGCAGACTGGCTCCATGTTGACATTATGTATGCTGCATGTCCGAGATGAAGCAATTGGGATCACGCTGACTCGATAGGGACGGCCACTTTGTTCCCAACATCACCTTCGGCCCCCCTGTTGTTGCGTCCATCCGAGGACATGTCGATCAGCCCACCGAAGCCCACGGCCGGGGCACTTTCGATTGTCATATGATGATTGCAGAGGTAGGGAGTCCTTTACGAATGCGAGAATATGGTGGAATAGCGAAGCTTACACTGGTACGATAGCCTAAGAAATGGGTCAAGGAATTCAAGAAGGCTGGCTGCAACCTCTACTGCTTCCACTACGAGGCCGCCTTCTCCAGCGCAGCCGAGGCTCCCGAACAGGAGACAGAGGAAAAGACCAACCCCAAGGCCCTTATCCGATATATCCACGATCAAGGACTTCTCGCTGGTATTGCTATCAAGCCCGATACTTCAGTTGATGTGCTGTGGGAAATTCTCGAGAACAGCGAGGAAAAGGAGAGACCTGATGTAAGTCTGGCAAATACGCTCATGCAACATTCGATACTGACGTTACACTATAGATGGTCCTCGTTATGACCGTATATCCTGGCTTTGGCGGTCAAAAGTTTATGGCTTCCGAGCTGCCCAAGGTCCAGGCCCTGCGCGAAAAGTACCCAGATCTCAACATCGAAGTCGACGGCGGTATCGGACCCAAGACAATCGACGAGGCTGCTGGCGCTGGCGCCAACGTTATCGTTGCAGGAAGCGCTGTATTTGGAGCCAAGGACCCCTCAGAGGTTATTGCCCAGCTGCGCCAGTCAGTTGACGCTCGAAGTGCAAAGTAAGTTAGTCGGTGCTTGATGTATTGTGTGGCCATAGGTTTAGACAGGAGTTTGGTGATGATGTGACGAGAGATGAACAGATATGTGAAAAGTTGGTTATCTTGGGAGTTCTCAAGTACTACATTAATCTTATTCCACTTTACACTTCCTGACGTCTTATTTCAGTTCTTCTAGTCGTCTCACGTCGTTACTTTGACTTGACATCCCCCCAAGTGAAGTTGCAGTGAGGAATTAGGCGTGAGCTTGGGCGTATAGCTGCAGTTGAAACCTGACCAATCTGATTCTAGATGGGTGACTTTGAGTTGATCTGTAGGTAGTGTTCTACTTTCTGGTTGGCAATCTTGAAGTTGGTTCTTAATCAAAATTGAAGCGGTGCGTACATGCATACACTGTGCATAATTATTATGCATCATACTGACTCTAGCTAGTGATCAGATAAGGTCCACTATCGGCCCATCATCATGGCTGCTCTTGTTAGCACCCGTGGCTGTTCATGAGCTGCAATGGATGGACACAGCTGAATTGGATGCAATTGAGACACGATAAATGTGAATAAAATCAAAATAGCACAATACACTCTATAGTAGATTAACTGTCAAAAGTTTTGTGGCCATAGGTCTCAGATAATTTAGTAGTAATAGGGTACATAGGTAGTGGTTCAAACGCTGAGGATGGGTCGATTTTCGGAGCCAAAAATTTCAAATGTTTGGCGACGTCAGCCCATTCTTTGCTTTGCGACTTTTGCACAACCACCGCTACCTACTTCTCCTCGCACGCCAAATTTGTCCCCAGCAGAAACAGAAACTCTCCCCTTCCACCTCGCACAACTTTTGGAAATCAAGTCAATTGCGCGAGCCATCATGAAGAGAAAAGCGGGAGCTGCTGCCGGTGCCTCCAAGGCCAACAATAAAAAGTCAAAGCCTTGTAAGCGCAGCCACTTCCTCTGTTTCGCGCGCTCTCTACTGACTTGACATTCTTTTCTATAGCTCTAGGCGCCGAGGAAGCTCAGAAGCGGTTCCGCGCTGGTCTTTTTGACCAAAAGGTTCTCAATTCGTACACGAAACAGTATGCTCAGTCGGAGCCCTACAAACATGCCGTCATCAACGGCCTCGTCGACGATTCCCTCCTTCGATCGGTGCGCAGTGAGATCAAGGCCAACGTCGAATTCACACCCAAAGAGACCGATATTTACAAGATCCACCAGTCGGGAGACCTCGCCAACCTCGACGGCCTAGACGACGAGTCTCTGGCTAAGCTACCCTCGCTACTCAAGCTTCGTGATGCCATCTACTCCGAGAGCTTCCGCAACTATGTCTCCCATATCACCGATTGCGGTCCTCTGAGCGGTCGCAAGACTGATATGGCTATCAACATCTACACGCCTGGCTGCTACCTGCTCTGTCACGACGATGTCATTGGTAGTCGTCGCGTCAGCTACATCCTCTACCTAGTCGACCCCGATACACCCTGGAAGCCTGAGTGGGGAGGCGCACTCCGTCTGTTCCCCGTCCAGGAGATCAAGGATAAAGACGGTGAGGTTGCTAAGACGCCGCTGCCCGACGTCTCCAATGTTATCCCACCTGCCTGGAACCAGTTGAGCTTCTTCGCCGTCCAGCCTGGCGAGAGCTTTCACGATGTGGAAGAGGTTTATCGCGCAGAGACCAAGAAACAGCTCGAGAAGCAGGGAGGTCGCATTCGTATGGCAATCAGTGGATGGTTCCACATCCCCCAGATTGGAGAGGAGGGCTACATCAAGGGCGAGGAGGAAAGAAACGCCAAGAACAGCGGCCTGATGCAGCTTCAGGGAAATCCTGCTCAATATGATATGCCCAAGCCCCAGGTTATGAAGGTCGACAAGCAGACAAATCAAGAGGGCTTTGACGAGGCGGATCTTGAATTCTTGCTCAAGTATATCTCACCTGCATACCTGGTACCCGACGCCCTGGAGGAGATCTCTGAGACTTTCAACGAGATGTTCGAGATCACCTTGCCAGACATCCTGGGCAAGAAGTTTGCTCAGCGCCTTAGGGACTATGTCGAGGCTGAAGAGAAGAAGCCTACACCAGAGGATACTCCCACAATAGAAAAGACTTCTTCATGGCGTGTGGCCAAGCCTCCTCATAAAGCTCGTTATCTCTACCAGCAACCTAGTGGACCCGACAAGCTTCGCACGTCGAAAGAAGAGTCACCTATCACCGAGCTTCTCGACATCTTCTTGCCCAGTCGCCAGTTCCGCCAATGGCTTCAGATGGCTACCAATACCACTGTTGAGAGCGCAGATCTCCTTGCCCGTCGCTTCCGTCGCGGCTTGGACTACACACTGGCCACTGGCCATGAGGGTAAGGCGCGTGTGGAAATCAACCTCGGTTTTTCACCTTCATCAGGCTGGGGTGAGGACGAGGAGGAAGACGAGGAAGAGGAAACCGAGAAGCAGAACGGCAAGAACACTAAGGGCAAAGGTAAGGCCAAAGCCAAGGCCGTCGAGAAGAAGAAGGAAGTAGAGGAAGTGCCTGAAGTAGGCGGTCAAGAAATCTTCATGTCTGGTGATGACGACGCCGATGAAGATGCAGCCGTGTACAAGGCTGGTGGTGATGATGACAACATTCTCTTCTTCCAGGCCCCGTCATGGAACAAGATGACTATTGTCATGCGCGACAGTGGTATCCTCAAGTTTGTCAAGTATATCAGTAAGAGCGCCAAGGGCGACCGATGGGACATCTCTGGTGCCTTTGAGGTCGAGGAGGAGGAGGAGGATGATGATGATGCTGGCGAAGGTCCTGCGCCAGACGACGATGAGGAGGAGGAGGAGGAGGAGGAGGAGGAGGAGTTCCAAGGCTTCTCACCAGACAGGGCAGAGAGCGACTCTGATTAAAAGAAGATGCCATATAGACTGATGTTTGCAATATTGCAATGATAGATACCATGACACAAAAGCACGGCAATGATTTAAAATCTGGTTGATAATAAAAAGTTCCAATTGCCTTATTTACTCCAAGTGATGGCTTGCTTTCGCGTGATAGTCCGTGTAAGACTCAATCGTGGTATCGTTATAGCCAACGCCCTATGTATCGCCGTAATTCCAGTATAGTACATGGTTGAATTTGTAACCAGAGTTCCCGATAAGAACAAATCATTGAAAAATCACCCACCCATCACACCAGCTTTCCTTCTGCGCTCTCTAGAACCCTAAAGCAGGTTCCGTTCTGTTTTTGATGTTAAAAAGGCTGGCTACTTCCGCTTGCAAGAATTCTGTCACCCCCTGAGCTTCCTGAGTTCTACCAGACTGGGTCAAGTGGTTGACGGTGTCGTGTCCCAAGAATGCAAGCCAAGAGACAGTACTCAACTTCTCAGGCTTCGCCTTCTTGGGCCCAAGAGCGCTCACTAGTGTCCGAATCTTCTCCTTATCTTTGAAGAAATTGAGCGCAGGGAGGTGATCTGGATGTGTAGGGTGGTAAAGGTGAAGATGAGCCCGTTCTAGTTGGAATGGCAATGGTAGTCGATCAGCCGTAGCAATATGGGCATCGAAAAGCTCCTCTGATGGTGCGGATCGACTGTAAGCCTCGACGGTAGAAAACCACGAAACTGACCTCCACGAGGAGACTAGAAGGTCTGAAAGTAATGGACTGGTCCGGAATAATTGCTGCGCTTGCAACATAGTTGAAATACCTGAATCAAGGTTTCCATACTGGGGCTGGCATTTTGCCTTGACAAGTTCTCCGAGTAGGTGGGATGCTCTCTTCAAACGTTTCTCCTTGGGTAGTTTTCCAGAAGCGTCGTTGACTGTTCGCACAAGCCATTCCCAAGCGATCTCCTCCATGCCTTCCGCTACCATGAATGGAGCCAATGTTCGAACAAAAGTATAGTTATCCATAAATCGCAAGTCCTGCTCTGCACCACAAGCCTGAAGCCATCTTATGACACGTCCGGATATTCCTGCTGTGGAGAGGCCCCCAAGACCAGGCTGTTGTGCTTGGAGCTGCTTTGCTTTGGCGTGCATGACACCAATTGCAGCCTTGGGCGTCATCAATCCTCGAGCAACGGCATGGTCGAAGACTTCTATGGGATCACGAGCTGACACAGTTGGTGCGGCAGATGATAAACTTGAAGGAAATGTCGAGGTGACGTCTTTATTGTAGCTGAACAATGGGTTGGCGAGGATATCTTTCAGATGACGGTTTGCAGCAGATAGTCGGGCAGGGTCAGTCTCGATAGATTTCGTGGTAGGCTGCGCCTGGCTCGGGCTATTGGAGCTCTCTCCATATTCGCGATCCAGCTGTTTTCGAAAGGATGTCTTGAGACCGTCAAGAAGCTTCTGAGACTGCTGTTTCGACAAGGGTAGGGGTTCGTGATAAGATGCAAAGAGGTTCTTGAGCGACTGAACCGACTTTGTGGTGAACATGGCGGGTGGTTGGGCAATTTAGATGAATGGGCAAAAGTACAGATGGCAAGCCCTGCCCTTGGAGAAGCCGGTACGATATAACGGCTCAAGAGATCGTCACGTATTCACGAATATGGTGGGGTTGGTGTTGATGGTTGCAGGTCATGCGCTGGAGTTGGATCTAACATGATGCCATCGTCGAACGAGTCAAGCCACAAAGCGGACCTCTTGATGTGTCATGTGATGTGAGGGGTTGGGCCTCGGGGTGGCTTAGCTAAAGATGGGGAATAACTCCCATGAAAGATAAGGTGCATTAAGTCGTGATGGAGCCCAATTGCTTCAGCATTGCCTATGTCTTTACTACCTATGACCAGCCATATAACCCATTGACAATTAAAGGCTTTAGGTTTAAGAAAATCGTGGCTAACGTTATCTCTCAAGAACCCCCCCGAGGCAAGAGCATGAATGAATCCAACATGGAACGTGAATGGATGCATGCAAAGCGAGGGGAGCTTGAGTGGATCTCCATTGCCCTGCGCTAAGCGTGCTGTGGTTGCAGCAGCCCCCCTGGCTTAAGATTTGGTCTGTCAATGTTGTATCGAGACTTCAAAGATTATCGGACTCCCTTATTTTGTGTGCATGATGAGCGCGTGCAAACGTACCGATACATGATCTCAGGGTACCTGACAGCAGCCGCACACAGCCCTTGAACAGCCCTTGAGGGTGAGCGCTGACAGCTGGACATCCAGGCGTGTCATTCTCAAACAATTGACGGTGATATTGATATTAACGAGACAGCGTCTGAGTGTCTGGCCCATGTGTAACAACCAATCGCGTCTCAATAAAACTCGAACAATGCAGAGAAAAGAGCGGTGATGGAAACGCTCATGTAGACACGGCAATCGTTATGTTGGATCTCCGCATGAAGCACTTGATAGGCAGGTCCCTGTCCCTGACGAGCGAATGTGACGTCCTTCTCCAACATTTGAAGTCCGATTCTTTGTTACGTGCTCGTGTGGACTGTCTCGCAGGGGGGCCGAACACGGATACTTGGTGCAACTTGGGGCTAAGCGAGCAAGGGAAAGGACAAGGCTCAGGCTGTGTTGGTCGAGGTACTCCGCACATTCCCATGCAAAGATTCCGACAACGAGCTAACTAGGAATAGTTACATATAATAATTCATATTATCTTATATAAATTTTCGAAGAGAGGAAATTGTCAGAACTTTGCACAGGAAACAGTAGAGGGCATAATTGCTGGGAGCAATGTAGCTGTACTTACGGCCATGCCGTTAAGCTCGACGCCACCTGGCAAACTGTCTCCAATATTTAGGTCGATCTGCTTCCGGCCAGGGCAAAGTGTCGACGTCGGACGTTTGCAATTGGACGAGCCGACTGTTTTAGATCCTTGCTCGTTTTTGTTAGTGGAGGTCCATGTCCAGCTGCGCTGCCAGTTCCCAGTGAATCGAGTTGCAAGGCATTGAGCCACTGTAAGAGGGCTGAGAGATAGCGCAAGCTCATCCCCTCACTCGCCTGAGGCGACGTGTTTGTCAGGGGTTAGCACGCCTGAAGGAGGGACATGGCCAGCCCACACGGGCCACCAAACGTAGCCGCTAGAGGCAAAACCTTCGTAACCTCCCACCTCCACCACTGCCACTGAATGCCCTGAAAGTCACCTCAGGTCAACCCAAGCCCAAAGGAAAGTCAAGGTTCCATTTCTTTTGCTCTTGCTCTGGGGAAAACCTCGTCTCGTCTCCTCTTCTTTCTCCCTTTGCTTAGCACCAAATCAAACCACATTAAACTCTTTCTCTCCATCATCTGGCTTCTGCATTATCCACGTCCTCACTCGCCGACCACGGATTCACGGTCGACCCCCTTCTCTAAACCTGCCTGTTGTTCCTCAGAGGACAGCTGACAGGCCGCTTCCTTTTTTCTTCCATTGTTTTCCTCTCCACACTTTGAGCCTCCATAGCTCTCCTCCCACACAACGTCTCACGCACACACATCAAACACATAATCAACCACAACCCATCTAATGTCGGAAGCGACTACACGGACGTCCGCCTCGCGCGGCAGAGGCTCTGGCCGCGGCGGTAGAGGAGGTTTCGCTGGTCGCGGCGGCCGACGAACCAATGGCGACAAGCCCGACCATAGCACCACTGATTCTCAGGGTGCATTCGAAGACGAAGGCGACTTTGGCGAGCTTCGAAAGCAATACGGCGATAAGACTTCGGTGATCAGAGAGATGTTCCCCGACTGGTCTGAGGCCGATGTCCTCTTTGCTCTCCAGGAAACCGACGGTGACGAGAACGAAGCCGTCACCCGCATCGCTGAGGGTATGCCAGGCCCTGTTACCCACCTCACTCTCATTCTACCCCTCGCGCCCACGCTACACACGCATACAAGCTGTCGTGGATAGCTGCGCGTCGAGTGTCCCCACACAGACGGCCTCATAATTCGAACATCATTGCTAACACGTGCTCCTTTCCAGGTACAATCTCGCAATGGGGTGAAGTCTCAAAGCCTAAGAAGGCTTCTCGAGCTAAGGCTAAGGATCAAGCTCCCGCACCTTCGAACGATGCGACATCTGCTGGGCCTCGAGCTACCCGTGGTGGCCGGGCTGTATCTGAAGGAGGCCGAGGTCGAGGCCGAGCTACAGAGAGAGGAGGCCGTAGCACACGTGGCCGACCTATCGCTGCTCCCATTAACGGCGCTGGAAGCAAGGAGAACGCAACATTGTCCATTCCCACAGAGGAGTCATCTGCCTGGGGCACTAAGGAACCCAATGCGGATACTCAAGAGGAAAATGAGCCCGTTGCTGAACAACCTGCTCCCTCTGCCGAGGCCGCTAAGCCTGCTGCTCCCGCAATGAAGACCTGGGCAAGCATGCTCCGACAGACTGCTCCTCCCAAGCCTCAGCCCAAGCCTAAGGAGGCACCCGCCGCTCCCCAGCCAGCAGCCGAGACCGCTGAACCTGAATCTGCCCCCGAACCTCTCGAACCCGAGTCCCAGGCTGTGCCCGAGCCCGAGCCTGAAACCGCCTCCCCCCCCGTTGCCGACGAAGTCGAGGAGACTACTCCTGTCGCCGATACCGCTACCCCCGCCGAAGTTCCCCAAGTTACTGTAGAGCCCGAGGTTGCTCTTCCTCCCTCTAAGGATGAGCTTACCGAATCAAATCTTGAACAGGTTGTTGACGATTCCAAACCGCCTCCGGAAGGTACTGTCGCAAGCACGGCCGCTGACTCATGGGACCCTCGACAGAACCCCGGTAGCATTGTTGCTACACCTATCTCAGCAGCTCAGCAGCAGCACGCCCCTCCCAGCGGCTTCGCCGCAACAGCTGCCAAAGCTACGGCTGAGCGAACCACTCGCTTGCCCAGCCACCACCACCAGCGACGTGTACTTGACCAGGAAGAAGCTGTGCGAATGCCTGGCAACCGCGAGGTTGACCGAGCTGCTGTTCAGTTTGGAGCTTTCAGCCTGAACGGTGATGAAGACATTGATGGCGACCGAGAGGAGCCTGAGACCAGAGCTCAGCCTCCCGCCGATTCACCTGTCACTCATCCTCGCACCTCGCTTCCTCCTGCCACCCAACCCGCCGTCCCCGACTCTTTCGCGCAGAAGCCCGCTTCTGCAGTCGCCCCGATTGCGGCCCCCACTGGTACGGCATTACTTTCAAGTTCGCTGTCTTATTTGAATGCTGACCACCCGACAGCCCCAGCAGCTCAAACCCAGGCTCAAACCCAGGTGCCTGGCCAAGCTCCCGTTTCCAGCGCTCAGCAATATGGTCGTTTCGGCCAGGCTGGTGCTCAGGACACCATGGCAGCTGCGCAGAAGCCACTGGATCCCTTCAGCCAACAGAGTGCTCCTTCTTCTCAACCTCCCTTCGACAACTTCTCTTCGCAAACCTCTCAGGCCCAACAACCTGGTGGCGCTTTCAGCTCGGCCCCCAGCGACTACGCCTCTTACTACACCGCAAACCAACCCGATCGAAACCCCTACAACTACTACGGCCAACAATTCGGCCAGCAGGGAGGACAGGGACAGCAGGACGCCACTGCCTCCCAGCAGCGATCTTTCGGCAGCTATGGAGCTTCTCAGGCGGATAACCTTAGCCAGTATCCCCAGAGCGGCCTGCACAACCAGCCTCGATTCGGTGGAAGTGCTGTTGATGCTCAGAACAGTGGCAACAGTACTCCTAACCCCACCACACAGGCTGCTCAACAGCAGCCTCAACAGCCAGGCCAGCAGCAACAGCAGCCCGGCCAGGGATCTCAGCCCCAGTCACACGGCCAGCAGTATCCCGGCTACAACCACCCCTACTACAGCAACCCTTACTACCACCAGTATTACTCTGGATACGGCCAGGGCGGATTTGGTCCATATGGAAAGGGCGGTATGTACGGCCAGCCCTATGGCATCTCCCCCAACGCACCCTATGACCAAGCTTCGTCTCCTGCTGGATTTGGCCAGACTTCCCTCCACCGGGACAGTGGCCTTGGCTCTGGCCTCGGTGACTACGGCCGCGTTGCTACTACCCAGGCTGGCAGCCAGCCAGGCCTCGGTGGCAGCTCTTTCGGCAGTGTTCATGACACCTTTACCCGCGGAGCCTCTTCTTTCCAGTCCCAGGGCCAGTCTTTCAACAGCCCTGGCCAACCTGGTAACGCCACAGCTGATGATCTGAAGCCTTTTGGCGATTCTAAGGCTGCCTCCGGTCCTTCTCCCTCTCTGGGCGGAGCCCGTCCCGGATCGGCCACCAACGCTCCTGCTGGACAGAGCGGTCTCCCGCCTCCCCAGAATGTCGGTGGTTACGGCGGCTATCCCAGCCACCTCCAAGGCCACGGTCTTCACGGCAGCAATGCGTACGGCATGGGCGCCAACGCTGGCGCCAGCCAGCACGGAAACAGCCCTTACGGATCATACGCACAGGGATTTGGCGGTAGCGGCTACTATGGTGGTGGCGGCGGCGGCCAGCAGCAGCAGCAACAACAACAGCAGCAGCAGCGAGGAGGCGGCGGCGGCGGCGGCTGGGGAGGCAACTACCACTAGGATGGTGTCGGCCGGCGTAGTGCAGAGTGGATGGACCTCAAGGTGGAAATTTGAGGAGCGAAACGATGAGCGATGATGAGGAGAGTTGGGGTTATAATCAGCATGATGCATATGGCTCATGAAGCCAAACGAATATTCTCTCACACCAAAGTGTCTACGTGTACGATTGTTTCTTTTTTCCGAGAATCACCATAAGAAGAGATCAGGGTGGCATATGGCAAAACAAACCAAACCAAAAGAAAACGGAAAAGGAACGTAAGGGCAGGGCGTTTCGCCGTGGTCTTTTTTTTTCTTACTCTCTCTCTCACTGTCACCCTGCGTGGTGTTGATGTTCTTTTTTACCACACCGGGACTAAATAACGAGATTGCGTGCGTGTCATTTTCTTTCAAGCCCCCCTTAGGATTTGCTTGCTTTGATGAAATTACTGGGTTGTTTTTCGGGAAGGGCTCGACTGCAACCAGCAACGGCAACGGTAACGGTAACGGCCATGGCAATGGCTGGGTCATTATTTTTTCAGACAGAAACAAACATTGGCAGGCGGGGGTTGAATGTGTTCGTTTTAACAAATGTGTATTCTTTCTTGACTTGAACCAGGAATCAGGAACCGGAGAGTTACGAGGAAAGGGGAAAGGGGAAACGGGAAAAGGCAAGGCATGGGGTATGGGGTCTGGGATTTGGTTTGGCCTGGCATGAGATTGAGAAGCTCTCTTATGGGGGCTTTGATCCAATGATATCAATGAAAACGAGAAAACTTATTGGAGAGACAAGTTATCTGAGTGTTAATGAAGTGAATGTATGGAGACTGGCTGTGTGTATATGCAGCTCGGGACTGAGATGGAGAGGTGTGCTGATATCCGTAGAATGAGGTTTGTAAGCTTTGGGGGACAATCGATATGCAGTGACACAAGAAAGGAAAACAAGACTTATTAAACATAGTGTATCAACGAAACTTGTAAAGACAAGTAAGTGTATGAGACTCCCGGTACGTCAAGTAACCAAGTCTCACTCACTCTAAGCGGGCAGCAGTTAGTTACAAAAAAGTAGCCAGCTGAAGAGAAGTAAACATCTTTGAGTATGGAATTAGGCAATTGATGGACTAAATTGTGTGTCGGATTCGGGTGGCTTTCTCCGGCAGCGGAACACGGCTGTTGTGATGATAATGTGAGGGTGAGTGGGGTAGACGATGGAGAATGAGAAAGATCTACAATGTAACGTCAATATAAGATAAATGCAGTCACCCTTTTTTCGACGGGATGAGAAATAGGTGAGAAAAGAAAGCGTTTGTATTATTTCGTTGCGTTGTATACTCGAGACTCGGTGTAGAAAAGAGACGGGAAGCGTAATAGCCACATGTCTTGTCGTCTTCTGTTTGTTACAGGTTATTATTACCTGCACTTTTTAGCCTGGGGACAACTGCATCCCTAATTAATAATAAAGATGGAATTTCGCCATTTGGCTCGGCTAGGCACCCTCCCTACCTCCCCATTCCTATTCCCCCACAGTCTCTTTTTCTAACCCCGGTCAGAAAATGATTGATTGATACAAGAAACTCGCCCATTGGGGGTTTTGGGCTTGGCTTAGTTTTCCGGGGGTTAGCTCTAGCTGCTGCCATTAATATATAGCCAGGGCATTTCCCCATTGTTTCCGTTGTTCTTTTCTCGAGCATCATGAAGTGTTCCTGATGATCCTTGCATTGCATCGTTTTCGATATAGAGGAGACCATGGCTGATGATGCAAATGAAAAGAGATCGGACTTGATCGTCAATTCTTCTCAGAACGAAGCTCTTGGGCAGACGAAGCATGTACACGATGAAAAGACTCCAGACCTCGGCTCCGATAATCGGCCTGCGGACGAGAGTGCCAGCTTCAACGAGGAAGGAGATGCTGAATCAGTGGATTCAAAGGATGAGTTGAAGCTATCCAAAGGCCGCTGTATAGCTCTCGTCTGCACCGTAACTGGAGCTTCTTTCCTCAACGTGAGTATACACGCAAAAACATACGCACTATATAAGATACTCTTCACTAACAACCTGATCAGACCCTCTCAAGCCAAAGCGTCGTTATCATCCTCCCGCAAATTGGCCGAGCCCTCGACGTGCCCGACACGAGACTACAATGGGTCGTCTCGTCATATGTCTTGACGTTCGGATGCTTCTTGTTACTCTGGGGTCGTATTGCAGATATCTACGGCAAGAGACTTATCTTCATCCTGGGGTCTTTCTGGGTTACCATCTGCTGTGTTGTGAACGCTTTTATTCCCAGCGAGATTGCATTTGACTTGTTCCGTGGTCTTCATGGATTGGTAAGTTGATGTGTCTGTGTCAAAGATTGAGCTGACGGGGTTAGGGCGCTGCTGCTAATGTCCCAACTGCCATTGGTATCCTGGGGACTACATTCCCTCCAGGCAAGGCAAAGAACTATGCCTTTAGTGCATATGGTGAGTACCACCTACCGCTTCCACATCTGCAGTAACTAACAACGGAACTCTAGCTGCTGGTGCCCCCCTCGGCAGCGTCTGCGGCAACCTCGTCTCCGGCCTTATCGCCCAATGGGCCAGTTGGAAATGGGTCTTCGGCGCCCTCGCCATAATGGCCGGCATGATCGCCGTGGCCGGCATCTTCTGTATCCCACCGCCGCCGCCCGAGCTCCAGCCCGCCCGCGACAACCTCCGGGCCAAGACGGCGGCCATCGACTGGATCGGCGCCACGCTCATCACATGCGGCCTCTTGGCGTTGATGTTTGCGCTCACCGAGGGAAACATCGTTGGGTGGACTGCACCGTGGATCCCAACGCTTATCGTTGTTTCGTTTGGTATCATTGTCGCATTCTTCTTCTGGCAGCGTTATCTCGAGCAGAAGACGACCCGGCCTCCACTTGTCAAAGTGTCTATTTTTAATAATCTGCGCTTTACGGCTGTTATGCTCATCATGGGTCTGTTCTTTGGCGGTTTCAACAACTATCTTATCTACGCTACGTACTACTTTCAGGACTACCAGGGGCTTTCACCGCTACAGACCATGCTGCGGTTTATTCCTACTGGTGTCTGTGGGTTCGCCGTTGCGTTTGCTACGGCGCATCTTCTTGGACGGATCCCGACTTTCTTCATCCTCGCCCTCGGCCATGTCGCCGTTTGTATCGCCGCGGTTCTCTACGCGGTACCTATTCCCCCAACAACGTCGTACTTTGCCTGGGGCATGTGGGCCATGATTCTCTCCGTGGTTGGAGCCGATACAGCCTGGCCTTGCCTCACGCTCTTCACATCTCATGCCCTTCCCCGAGAGGACCAAGCTATCGGCGGCGCTCTTATTAATGCATCCGGCATGATCGGCCGAGCTATTGCTCTGGCTATAGCCACGGCCATTCAATCAGCCGTCATGGCCAAAGAAAGAGGTGTAGATGTGCAGCATGTCGGTTCAGTCAAAGAATGGGATGCTCCATCTCTGAAAGGTCTTCGTGCAGGAGCTTGGACGAACTTTGGGATCTTGTTTCTGGCGCTTGCGCTGGTCGTGTACACATTCAGGGGCATGGAGATTATAGGCAAGATACCTGATCGTCCTGAAAGATCTGAGGGGGTGGTTAATCAGGGGGCTACGGATGTGGATGTGGAAAGACGAGGGCAGTAGAAGAGTCAGCACGGCGACGGAAGATATGTGAGATAAAGTAGGTCCGTGTATACCCCGTTGGATGATCAAAATTGGAATAGCTTTTAGCAAATAGTATTGAGAAGAATTGACGACAATGTCTAGATTAACAAGATGTGTTTGATGGCTGTGGAATGTGATCTGATCGGCCCCTCTATTGCACCATCCGTGTTAGTAGTTCCCCCGGCCCGGCCATCAATCACTCCGATGAGTGGGGCCGTGTTACTCCATGTCCGTTCCTCGGCCGAAGCAACCTCCTTCTTGAACAGGAAAATAGGATAACACAAAAGAATATTATAAGACAGGCTCTCTAGTATTAAATCAATCTAGGCTTTAACTATGTATGTTCAACGAGTATCGAATACTCAAGATGGACAAAAAGATGGACATCGTCCTCCTCGGCGCAACAGGATACACAGGTCGTTTATGCGCTGCTTACATGTCTCACGCCCTCCCGGAGAATACAACATGGGCCATCGCAGGCCGCAACAAGAGTAAACTCCAAGACTTGTATAAAGATCTTAATCTTGAAAAAACAAAATGTCCGTCTCGTTTCACCGTCGTTGTTCAGCTACTGAGTAGTCTATCTAGGCACCGTACACGCCCTCGACCTTACTTCCGATAAAGACATTTCTCAGCTTGCAAAGTCAGCTCGTGTAATAATCAACACAGTCGGTCCTTACGCTCTCACTTGCGGAACTGCAGCTATTAGAGTTTGTGCTGAGAACGGCACTGATTATGTAGATTGGTAATTGTCCTGTTTTATGAGGATGGGCTTTGACTTACACTGCAGTAGTAGTGGAGAACCGGCCTGGATGCAGGATATCATCAAGACTTATGATACGGTGGCCCAGGAATCAGGAGCAAAGGTAGTACTCGTCTTGTGTAATTTTAGGTATCAATGTCTAACACGGCCAGATCATCATGACCGCAGGCTGGGCTGCCGTTCCCGCCGATCTCTCCGTCTATCTCGCCGTTCTTGAACTCCGCAATCGCTTTTCGTTACCTACGCGCGAAGTTATCGTATCACTCGACGAAGTCCGTGGGTCTTTCAGTGGAGGGAGTCTCAGCTCGTTGAGCAGCCTTGAGCCCGTTGACATGGCCCCTTTTGACTTGTCTCCTATACCAAGAACTACCCCTCAGATTGCGAAGCAAGGCGTTCTATCTGCCCCTGATGCATTCGGCGTGCAGAAAATTCATGATCTGGGAGTATTGGCTGAGAGTTCCCACTCCCTGATTGAAACAGCTGTCGTGGGACGTAGCTGGGGCCTATACGGCGGCGAAGGACCAGATTCACTAAGTCCAGAAGGCTATGGAAAGAACTTCTTCTTTTCATCACGTATGAAGTGCTCTAATTCCTTATCTGCATGGGGTTTCCGAACAAGTCTCACCCTTTTCGGGAACGCCATCACCAAGATCCCTCCTCTGCGCTACCTTCTCACCAGGATGTTCCCACCAGGCACAGGCCCCTCTGAGGAAGCACGCAAGGGACATTATTTCAAATACCGTGTCGTGGCCATAGCCGACGAGAAAGAAGACAAACCTGCCCCGAGAGTCGAAGTCAAGTTCGAATATGATGGGGATCCGTATGTGTTTACGGGTGTGGCCTTGACTCAAGCGGCGGTGACGCTTCTTCAGGGCGGCACACCTGCTCATCGACGAGGAGGTATCCTAACACCTGCGTCGTTGGGTGAGAAGTTCGCAGAAAGGCTAAAGCAGCCGGAAGCAGGCATCAAGATACAAGTTATAATGCGGGGCGATTAGCTCAGTCGTTGAGATATAGTTGTACTGTGTATCATATCCTCGATCTATAAATGAAACACATCGGTACCGCGTATACAAGAAGGGTATTCCCTATCCAATGGGTATCAAAACGCCAGATCCAGAAATTCGTCAACATCACCGACCTCTAATCCCTTCCTCAATGCTGATATGTGCCAAATCAACATCCTCCTCCTCTTCCACCTGCTCATCCCGCGCAAGTCTCTTGAGACGTTCCCTCAAAGCCGGATCCTGCTCCAGCTCCTGCCACAGTTCAACATCCCACTCTTCAATGTTCTCGCCGCGTCGACTCTTTCCCCAAGGTGGCCAGTCCCAGAGTCCTGCCATAAGAAGAGAGCGCTTGATGCTCTTGAGCACTATCTCAAAGAGGCCGATAAGGCCGAGCACGATAAACAAGGTTGCCCACCACACTGCGTCGTCGCCGAATAATGTAGTAAAACTATCTCTGATAGCGTATGGTCCAGATGGAGAGGGTGCATAGGCTGCGTCCAGGAAGGACAACCAGGCGAACCAGCCGATTGTAGTTATGAAGAAAGATATCATGACAATGATGGATTTATAATGGGTTTCGAAGATACTGCTTTCGTTAGTCGTTACTCGCAAATCATACTGGGATGGTCACTTACAAGAGCTTCCAGTTGATCCACAGAACTCCAACTGTGAATGTGAGCGTTCCAAGAGCATACAAGCCCTGGTCTCGTGCTGCAGGCGTAATCCATCCATGGCCTGACCAGACACCGTACCAACAAATCACACCCTCGATGGCTCCAAGCAACATCCATCGGCCAAACTTCCATATGTTGAGACCCTGATTTCGTTGTCCGTATACGTAAAGCTCGGGAACAGCCAATAACGTTTCGGCGCTGAGGTCCTGTTCCCATATGCCCATACAGATAACACACAGACTAGTAAAGAGCGTGTTGAAAACAGTCAAACTTGTCGCCTCGTACAGAGACGTGCCGCTGTAGCCGGTGTATCTCTGATACTGCGCCGTTGGCAGATAAAAGAACATTTCCTTCCAGAACGTGTAAAGAATGAACTTTGCCGTACGGACATAGTTCCATCGTCCGTGCACAAGCAGCATCCGCTGCAAGAATCTGAACTGGGCAATGGCATAGTCTGCCACACGAGCAGCCTGGAGACCTTCCTTTCCAGAGATACCAATACCGACATGACTAGCCGAGATCATGGCCAAATCATTCGCACCGTCTCCAATAGCTAAAGTCAGGCCCCGTCGACTCTTACCATGGTACTTCTTGAGTCGAGACCGGACGGTGGTGACAAGTAGGGCTTTCTGCGCTGGAGATGCACGGCAACAAATAACCGAATCAACCTGCAGCATCACCTTGAAGAACTTGGCAGATAGCTCAGGAGACTTCTCAACAGTCGCAAGTGTTTGTCCATCAATGACCACCACACTGTGGACCGAGCCAGCTTGAAGATCGTCTTGTAGCGCGACCAGCTGCGAATCCAACCCTCCCTTCGAAACGTCAAGGATATAAAGATCCGAACCAGGCCGGCAGATTCGAGCCGAGTGTGCGATATTGATAGCAGTCTCCCGCTTATCGCCTGTAAGCATCCAGATCTTGATATTGGCTTTTCGTAGCCTCTCAATTGTCTCCGGGACACCCTTCTGTAGTTTATCCTCAATAGCAGTTGCGCCAACTAGATCGAACGACTGCTCAATCATATCACCGGCCTCTTCGATATGCTTCTGTCGATTGTTGAGGCTGGTAGAGGCTTCATCCCATACCTTCTTCCACACCTGATACTCCTGTTCTGTAATGAACTTTTGAGCAAAGAGCAAAGTACGAAGACCTTCGGTGGCAAAATCATCCATATGTTTAAAACACTTTGTGAAGGTCTCAGCATCATCAAGCAGAGCTGGATCTTCGAGGAAAGCCAAGTGGTCAGGTACGGGCTGTTGGTAGTGAACAGGAGTATGCAAGTACTGGCCTCGAGGCATATCAATCGATACGCCACGAGTCGCAATAGACAGGCGAGGCTTATCTTCAGAGCGTCGAGTAAGTCTGCCGAATTCAAAAGACTTGCTCCTGTCCATATTCGGCCGTCTGCTTGTGCTTCGGTCTCTAGAAACGCCAGGGTTCCGTCGAATCGTAAGACTAGGCCTTCCACCAAAACTGTTTCGCGGCTCTTGCTGCTCACTGCGTCGGCGCAGCTCACGCTCGATATCAGCACTCCTGCGTACCTCATTGGCCTTTTGCTTAGCGACTTGTGACATCTTGAGCCGAGGCAGGATGGCAGAATCTGCACCTTTGCAGATAACTGAAACACGGCCGTCAGGGAAGCGAACAATGATTGACATCTTCTTTCGCGCACTAGTGAATTCGATAACATCCAGAACCTCATATTTGGAGTCCTCCTCTTGACCGTCAGGTTGGGTCACCCGTAAGGTGATAGTCTGGGTCGTTCGATTGATAACCAGATATCCTAGTTCCTGGGCAGCTCTAACAAGAGCAAGTTCATCAGGCGATGCTGCTTGGAACTCCAATTCACCATTTTCCTTGTGTTCGGGCAAGCAAGTATGGCACAGAGCTACCGCCAGAATGTACTGCTTTGCTTTTCTCGCGAATCCGGAGTTGGGCCGAAGACGAAGGTATTCAATAAGGTCATGTGTCGTGACATCAGGCTGGATGTGATCAGGACGTCCCGTTGACCGCCATTGAGACGATGATCTGCGGCTTCCAAATGATGATCGTGAAGGCGCCATTGAAGGTCTCGAGGGTGCCATGGATGGACGTCGAGACATAGATGGACGAGGTGACATAGAAGGTCGGGATGGGGAGGCGAGGGCCAGGGGTGTCAAGGGTTCATGTGACGCTTCAGGCTGTTCCTCTCTAATAACGACAGTGACAGGCTCAGTCTTGTAAACCGAAGGCTCACTGGGCTCTGTCTCTTCGTCCAGTTTGATATCGTCAATTTCATCAGTCTTGGGCTCCAAATCCATTTCATGCAGCCAGACTGTTCCAGCAACACTGATCTTTCGAAATTTCATAATGTTGTCCGTCAAGGTACCAGTCTTATCTGAGAAGATGTATCCCACCTGACCCAAATTTTCCAAAATCGTGTTGGTATTGCAGCGTGCAGGCGTGTCTGTCTCCTCATCGTACATTTCAATATCCGAGTTCAACATAAGCAGTTGACCAATCTTGACGATTTCAAGACTGATGTACAGGGCCAGTGGGACGACGTTGTTGAACATGATGATGAAGGCGATGATGATTTGGTAAAACGGCACCTTGGCTTGTTCCAAGTACCATGAATGCCTTTCTGTGCTCTTCTGCCACCTGACGTAGCCCATCGATACACCAACAGACAAGACAACGACAAAGGTAGCAAGAGTAACAACAATCTTGTTTACGACGCTCTCTAACGCTGGTTTCTTCGCTTTCGGGTGCTTGTTGGCATTCATGCGAATCTTGCAGTCCTCTCCAGTGTTGATGACAAGGCCAATTGCCATGTTGGTGTTTCGAACGACACTTCCGCGGTAGATAACTTCATTCGAAGTCAGGGCAACTGTCTTGCCGTTGACGGTAACACGGCCATCGAAGTTGTAAAGGTCGGGGTTTGGATCCTCGACAACAAACTCGGCCTTGCACTTGGAAATCCCCTCGATCGTGTCACAACCTTCTAAAGAAGGCGAAACCTGTTTGCTCTTGAGGTTGGTCTCGCCGTCCAGGGCCATGGTTTCGATATACGCCAGCTTGTTCTCTCCATCACTATCCAGCAAGATAAGGTCGGCAGGGATGGGTTCGTCTCGGCAGAGTCTGACAACATCTCCAACTTTGATCTCGCTCCATCTCACAGGCACCCAACGTAGTCCATTGAATTCCTCGTCCGGAACGGGATACGGCTCGGCCATCGAGTTTGTCAAGAATGGATTCCATTTCCTCCATTTGGTAACTGGCTTGAGCTTTCCGGTATATTTGTCTTCCCGTCCTAGCGCTGTAGCAAATCCGGCATTCTCAATCTTATCAAGGCGATATCGTCGGTAATCGTCGTATCCCTCCTTCACAATTGTCAAGAGCACAAAGAATAAAAGTGGCAGAATAGTAGTGTACGATCCGGTGGTAGAGAGGCCTGGAATCTGCATTAAATGTTAGCAAAGCCGTCATACTCACAGGGTTATGTTTGCACGCACCATCTGTGGTACACCAACGCAGAGGAAGTAAAAGTTTCCCACACGAGAGAACTGGAAGAAGAGCTGTTTGGGTATAAAGTCCCAAACTGTATATCGGGACGTGCGGATACTATTCGAGACGTACGCAAGACCGCGACGGGAGTCGATGAGGGGCGCTTCGTGCTCGAGTTCGAGAGGTACATGCCGTCCATCGGTAGACACAGCGATATGTTTGCGACGCATCATAAGGTCGACAACCGTCTTCTGGTATAGATCCGCGGCCACGTTCTTCACGCGATTGACCAACGGCGCGGAAAGACCGGCATCATTGCTGCGACGACTGATGTTGGTTTTAGAATCGACTTTCGACGGCGCAGGCGCTGACGGTGTCTCGGCATCGGGGCGATCTTGGGACATGATGGCTTGGCGAGAGGGTAAACGAGCGTGATGAGGTTATCTTGGTCGACGACATGCGTAAAGGTTTCGCCACCGTAGCAATCGATCGGTCGGCGGAATCGGTAGATTAAGTTGAAATGAGTGACTGTTATGATTGTTTCTTCCCCTCAATTGTTTAAACCATGGCTTGATTGTGCTTGCCCCTGTGAGAGAAGGACAGCTGGTGTTGGAATCGTGGACGAGCAAAGGGATGAAAGGTCGCAGTGTCTTGATCGGGAGGTAGGAATTTGGGCCTGCCTTGATTTGGTAGTGGCGTTATGCGTCGGGTCGGGGGTGTTTTGGCCGATGGACCGCTAGCCAGCGACCAGAAATTAAGAATAAGATAATTACGGGTGGCTGACGCGTTTTACGGGAATAAGCGATAGTGAGTTTAAACGGGCTTCGATCTAACTTGTCAATGCTTCGAAATGTTCAAGGCTATAATTATTTGGGTGTCTTGTTGTTGTTACAAGCTTTCTATAAGGAGCAACAGAACTAATAGAATTATGGAGAGAACGCGTGGAGCCTCCAGCTTTTACATACTCTATCTCAGAAGCTAATATTTATTCAGGGTCTACATCATCAGGTCTCCATACACCATGTCGTAAAATAGCGTAAGCAGCCAACTGAATATATTATTACGGTGCTTGAAAGCAAATGCAGGATATGTTGGACGGAAGAATTCATTTACAGCCGTTGGTCCAATTTCATCCGCCGCCATAGTGGATCTCACTGAACCTGGGGATGGTCATTAACAACTACGGATACCATCTCGTCATATTAGCCAGTGCAAACCTCTCTGCAATTAGTATTTATAGTCAACTTTAGCCTGTAAGTTTATCATTAAACACTTCTACGTCTGTTCTTGCAGACTGCTCTCTTGGTATTGTAACATGAACCCAATACCTCTCTTTGGTATCTGAATGTAAATGCTCAGATCTCCAGTAAACCTATCGCTACAACTCATAAACAACAATCAAGCCATGGCACAATGGATATCAGTAAGCTCTTATCCAATGACCAATGGCAAACCCATACTCAAACTCGTGATAAAGAAGACAGTTGTCTCTATTCCCAATTCTCTCTCAGCCCCGAGCAATACCCTGTCGAACAAACGTCAAGGATCTTCAGTAGCAGCAAGCCAAGCCCATGCCCCCCAACCAACAGAGTACATACGGAGTGCATGTACTTCTTCAGCCCCCTGCTAGAATTCGCCGGACCGCGATTGCGTACATGAAGTCTCGCTTGTGAGCTTTTTTGCTTCTTCCGCTGTCACTCGTGCAGCTACCCGTGGTGAAGAAACCCGCACATTGTTACTCCAATTAGGGGTGTTTCTTGTTTCTTTGTTTCTTCAACACACCCCATATTGATCGTCATTGCTTTGAGAAACAGTAGTGCACAGTATAACAAGATAAGCATCTGATTTTATAGTGTAATATGTTGAATACAATTAACTATCGTGCCCGATTACACTCCTTCTTATCAAGCATCTCTGATAGTCAGATTGCCGTAGCATCGCTTCCTCTCACTCTCACACCCATCTCCTCTTCTCAACTTTTATAAATATGCAAAAAAGAACAAGAACAAGAACAAGAACAAACAAATGACAAATTGCCTCCCTCCCTTTTTTGGTCCCGTCACCAAACCTTTTTTGGCCATCCGGGCTCCTTTGCTGACGATGAAAACAAATGCAATGACAGTAAAATAGCAATGATCTTGGTAAAAAAGCAGATAGCCACACCCAATTTTCCGCAATTCGCTGGACATAGAGAAATGACAAAGAAATGCGCCCTGAAGATCCATCCCTATTCTGATGCATGCGCTTACCTCCGATTGATCTTCCCCCTCTTGATTAGGAAAATCATGTAAATTATTACCCGTCCTGTCGGGAGTATGATGCTGTTGAGGTCATGGGGACTCAAAGGTCCCTGGTACTGTAGCCCTCGCCCAATCTTTTGCCTCTTTAGTGCACTCCTGTGTGCTCGAATAGGGCCCGGATGGCATCATTGTCCATCTTGGTTTCGAGGGCAAGTTGTAGCTGGATCCTCGCCTTTTGTGGGTTCAAGAAGCCCGCTCCGATTCCTGCCTCACAGGGTCCAACAAAGCCGCCTTCTGGCCGCCGGCTCACTATCACGGGGATATCGGTCTCGCGAACGATGCGCCGGATCTCCTCTGTGCCCCTGGACGTCCAGAACCCGGCGCCCAGCCCCGCGAGGACGATGCCTCGTGCCCCGAGGTCGATCGCCGCCTGGAACATCCCGACGCTGAGCTCCTGGTAAGCGTATAACACCTCCACTTGAGGTAGTGCTGGTGCTGGTGATCCAAGGGACGATTGACGTCCGTGCCGGCGGCTGTTGGTGCGCTGCAGATCGAAGTGGTGGTGGCCAAGAGGTCGCGATGGCGGATAAAAGAAGACAGGCTGGATGTTGACGAAAGTCCCCAGCAAGCCGCTGTCTGGCGCCTGGAAAGCATCGAGATGGTTGGCATTGACTTTTGTTGTGAAGCGAGCTGATCCGATACGGTCGTTGATGGCAATCATTACTCCCCTGCCACGAGCGCTCGGAGTCGCAGCCAACGTCACTGATGAGAGTAAATTCATGGGCCCATCAGCGCTGATGGCTGTTGCCGGACGCATAGAGCCTGTTATCACCACGGGCTTTTGGCTCTGGATTGTGAGATCCAGGAAGAATGCCGACTCGTCCAGAGTATCCGTCCCATGCGTCACAACAGCGCCTTGTGTAAAAGGGCTGTCAAGGTCATCCTGAATCTGCTCTGCCAGCGCTTTCAGCATGGTCGAACTCATGTCTATACTGTCTGTGTTGGCAAATTGGACGCCTCTCACGTTGGCAATATTGCACAGCTGCGGCACGGCATCGATGAGAGATTGGACACCCAGCGCAGCAGACTGATATCCCGTCGTTTGGTCCGCAGAACTGGCGGATCCGGCAATGGTACCTCCAGTGGCATAGATGGTGATATTTGGAAGATTAGGGCTGAAGCAGTTGAACGCGGACGCAGTAGGGATCTCAAAAGGGATACCAGTCTGTATGGGTGCTTTTTGCAGCACAGAGAAGTGAGGTTGAAGATGGAGCTCAGGGACAGGGGAGCCCCAAACTGAAGCAGCCCATGCACCAAATGGCAGCAAAGCCGTTGAAGGAGCCAATATATTCAGGATAAGTCGCCACAAATAGGTCGTCCATGAAGCTGACGACGAAGCCATCTTGATGGTGGACGAGGCTGTAGGCCCGGAGCAAAGAACGGGAGTGGTAGCGACCAAGGCGCGGCCGTGAACTCTTTTAAAGCTGGGCATCATGATTGTGAGAGAGATATGAGATTTGAGATTCTTTGATGATGATGATGATGTCTTTTTTTCTTGTAAACTGTTAAACTCTCGCCAGACTGGACGCTTGTCCTTATTCTTCTCGCCCAGCAAAGGTCCAGCCTCTTGAGGAGAGGAAATAGTAAGTGAGAGAAATGAAACAGAGCAGAAGCAGCAGAACAAAAGGACAAAGGCAACATTTCGAGAATGCGCTGCTCGGCCATTCTTGTACTGCGCATATGGCTAACCCATTTGCATCTGTTTACAATTATTAGTCAATTCTCCAATCTCTACTTTCTACTGTTGAGCACGGTGCATCGGCCCGCCAGACGAATCGCAGTCGATATGCTACGACCCTAGCACATGGTCTGACATGGTTGCATTTTTGCGGTTTAATTTTCAACATTGCACGCCTTGTCTAGGCTGGCTCTGCTTCGCTTCTTCTTCTTCTTCTACAGTGCAGTTTACAGTACGTGCCTGGTATGTACGTAGTAGTGAACTGTATCCGTAGGTAGCGAACTTTGGTCCCTGGGGATTCTTTTTGCGCCAGTCAACGGGCTCTAGTCCAGGGTCACTCTCTTCATTTCAAGCCACTGGACATGGGGTGAGCGGAGGAGGGCCCATTTGATGGGGATGGGGAACGGGACCTTACCTCCATGGTTGTTTTGTTAGTTAGTCTTATGGGGCAAAAAGAGAATAACGGCTATGGAGAAAAGGTGCATGCATTTGGGGGGCAGGCAAAGCACAAGCAGAAGGCACAAGCTAATGTAGAGGTAGGCAGACGTAGAAGTAGAAGTAGGCTCAAGACGAGAGAAAATATGATGAATCTCATGAGTAAGTGGTAAGTAAGTGGGTAGTGAGTGAGTGAGTGGGTGGGAGAACAAAGGAGGATTTGTGAGTGGTGGTGGTGGTGTTGGTGGTGGTGATAAAGTGATGGATGTGCAGTGCATTTGGGGAATCGGACGGATGAACAGAAGCGGAGCTAGAGATAAATGACGATGGCTGCAGGGAAATCTGTAGATGAGCTCGCCTATTACGAGGTCATTCATAGTCATACTTTGGTGCTTATGTATGAGTTTAATGTACCTTGAATATCCGCGTGTTCTCCTTGAGTACGGAGTAGGGGATTCATTTATTCATCAATTACCTTGCCTATTCTAATTATCCGTAATTCTCTGTGTAAATCAACAGCCAAGACACAAATAGACAGACGGACAATAGACATACAACCTGGTCAACCTCGACAAGGATGCCACAGACCCCACTTGGAGGTGCTTCCGGGTCAAGGATGTCGATAAATGAATTGCCCTTTCGACAATCCCACGATTATCCGATCAACGCTTACAGGGGCTCATTTATTTCCATCACCGTTGCTGATTTTCAGGGACATGCCGCTGGTCAGTTAATTACAGCGGGTATGAATAGGATATAAACCACGGTATGACATGCATAACACCCCGTGTAATAGAGAGCATAACGTGAATATTTGTTGCAAAGCAGGTGTTGTTTTTCTTCTCTTCTATTCATCATATTGTACTCTACCGAGTATAAAACAACAATCACAAGTCAAAACTCAAAATTTGTCAGAAACAAGGTTATCTCTCAGAGAAACTCGTTTATCAACCTCACATCATCCAGAAAATCAGACACGCACGACAAACTACTACGCCAAGGCTCCATTAATAACATCCACATCCACATCCACATCTGCACGACGCAAGACGCAAGCAAGACACGCATGGAAAACTTACAGGGCATGTCCCTGGCATCTGTGGGGCTTCCTAACCTGGGCCCTCCATCCGAGGCCCCCGTCTTTGAGGCAATTCCAACATCTACATGCCTTGGCTTGCAGCTTACAACACATGCTACATCAAAACTAGTCCGCGGCACAAAGGAAACCCCCATGGCCAGCCATTGTTCGATCTCATCCGGTCTTTTTTCAGCGGCTTCTTAATTCGGCTCGGCCCTGTGGCTATTTACTTCCAAAGGTAAAGCTGGCTGTTGGTTTGGTACACTAGAACACTGTATTTTGTTCACACCACTCTCCTGGGATGGCGCAACACCATTTCTCACCCATTCACATGATGTTGCTGACACGCACCTCATCATCACATACCAATTTTCTCTTTTTCTCTCCTATACGTGCCGTCTCGTATTAAAAAGGGCTGATTCCTCACGTCACACGTACATGCGGGAGTTGGGCAGTTGACAGATCAGCTTTCTTCCAGCTTGCACTAACACTAGCATAAACAACACCCATGACCTACCTACCTGTCTACTAGGCCACAGGGAAGCAAGCTGCATCATCATCATCATCATCAGAAGCCAAGACTCTTCCTGCCGAAGTGTCCTCGGATCATGATTCATATCCAACATGTACAGACTAGAGACCCGCAACGGTTGATTTATTTATGCCCGCGGGTATGTAGTTCCCTATACCCAGCCTAGCCAACATCTATCCGCCCTTGTCCGTGAAACATCAACGGCGGATCTGCATTGTCCTAGTTCTCCAATGCTGCTCTTGGTTACAGGCATCTTTAAGAGTTTTTCGTACTTTTCTTTTTTCCTTTCTTTTTCCTTCTAAATATTCCATAGTCTAATGAATGACGGGCAGCAGGCCTCCCGCGGTTTCACGGCATTCCCGCCCCATCTATTCCCACTTCTGACGACAACTCATGCCGGCACTCGTAGCTATGTGCTGCATCGCAGTATATAGTAGACTAGGAGCAGCTGAGCAATCAATACCTAATAAGCATCTAGTACTGATATCCACCTTTTACTGTGTCTTCTATGCTCGGAGCAAAGGATTGGGCCTCTTCTCTAGACGCCGCTCTCTCTGTTTCCACTGCGGTGCTATCCGCCTGGTCTCATTCTATCTTTATACATAGCACTACAACTAATGCTCGTGCTTCTTCTTCATCACAGCAAACACGACAATCACAGCAGATAACGGACCCGAGCTGAGCAAGCCATTTCTCGTCAGCACACTTTCAGGTCATCGCAGCCTGCATAATCGGGCGTTTTGCTGCAGAATAAAAAGAAGAAACAGCGGATTTGACACCCACCCTCTCGCATCAAGCACATCCTCCCCCCCATCTTGGCCTTCTTAAAAAGACCAGGTGCAGAAAATGGATGCCCTTCAAAGATGTGACAAGGGATCATCTCTGGCTACAAGCGGTCCCAACTGAGCCCGCCTACCAGCCTGCCACACCTTGCCCTTGCTATCACCTACTAGCATCACCTAGTCAGAAGCTGCAGATGGTATCCGCAGCACTATGGGGCTGCGGCCGAAAACTAACCTGTCAAACCGAGCTCCATGCATGAAACGGCATCAACTGCCCAGTTGAGTTACGTGCAGGGTCCTTTTTATAATACGTTGTTTGTTTGCCAATACATGTCTATTGTTATGTTTGTCTAGGTGCCAAGTCCAAACTACAAAGTCGCTCACATGTAACCCAACCCTACTGTACAAGCCAAAAAGATGGCTAGGATGAGAATGGCAATGGCAATCTTCAACAAACGTACCCGGCCGGCTCCAGAAGTCCTAGGAATTAATCGACTCGGACATTCGACTGGCTCTCCCTGATAGACTCGGTGCCACCCTCGTGCGTCCATATGCAAGTCACTTTGATGCACGCTTGTTACCGTATGGGACGACGCGGGACGTGTATGAATCATATCAAACAGGGATTGTGGTTGTCGCTAAATACTATGTAACTACCGATCCCAAATGCAAATACCATTCTAGAAGTTTCAATTTCAAGGCCTTGTGTTCGGCCGTAACGCTAAGCCCCAACGCCAATTAATTCCATATTTTAAAAGTCCTCTAGGCCGTGGCACTGGCTTGAGGGAGAGACTCCATGTTCACACCTTCCTCGAACCATTCCTTGTTGATCAGCTGTTCGCGAGCGGCATATAGATGCTTATAGGCTGTCTTGACTGTGCCATCGCTCACGCCAGCTTGTCTGGCGATGGGAAGTGAGCTGCGCGGTTCCCCAACAATATGGCATGCAAGGTAGATACATGCTGCGGCAACCGACAGAGGCGATCGACCTGCGAGTGCCGAAATGTCGTTTGCCTTTTCTGCCAGATCGCGAGAGATCTTGGCCACCTTTTGCTGTTTCCGGAATCCGAGCTGTGATACATAACGGCCGCAGAGATCTTCGGCACCCACTGATGTGTTTTCGTAGTTGGTGACCGTGTTGAGGCCTGTGGCCTCGCCGTCCTGTTCCTGCAGCTTCTGCAAAAAGCTCTGGAGCTGCTTGAAAACCCTCCCAACTTCCTTCTTGCTCACGCTTGTCAGGTTGAATATCTCACGGAAGGTGCGAGGTACGTTGTTCTGTCGGCAGGCGATGAAGATGCAGCCAGCAATGACGGCTTCTTGGGGCTTTCCCTTGAGGAACTTGTGCTTATCCACGAGCTTGAAGATGTGCTTGGCGGCGTTGGAGACGTTCTGGCCCATGTTGATAGCTTCGCAAAGAGAGACGATCTCCTTGTACGCCAGCATGAGGCCCTTTTGCGCTTTATCCTGGTTGGTGTTGTTCTGCGTCCGGGACAAAGCCTTGTGGGCCTTGGACTCGGAGAAGGCTACGGTTGTCGCGAGCTGCTGACCTTCGACAAACTCATCCTGAGGACCACCGACACGGCTGGGATCGTCACCACCTTGGTCGTCGTTTGCAAAAGTACGCCATTCAGATCTTGTGTCGATAATGCGGCTGCCGACTACCATTCCACAGTCCTCGCATACTGTATCACCGCTGGAGAACTCCTCGACCAGGTGAGGCGGACTGATGTTGCACTCGGGGCACACTAGGATATTACTGAGGTCTTCTTGAAAAGCAGGACCGTCGCTGCCGTTAGGGGGCATCATCCTTTTTGAGGCCGGCACGCTTTGGCCGTTTAGGTGGACGGATTGTAGGTAGGTTGTTTAGGTTGTTTTGTTTAGGATCAAGCTGCGGCGAGGTTCAGTTAGGAAAGGCGCTTTGTTCTGCGACCGCGACCGATGATTTTCTGATGACTAAGCTACTTCAGCCACACACGAAGGTTCCAGGCTCCAGATTCCAGGCTGCCACAGCAAGTTTCCACCACCCACGTCAAAAGTTTGATGTAGGAAGAGAGAGAGAAAATGAGAATAGAGAATAGAGGAGGGGGGGCTATGACTTTATAGCCGTAGTTTCAAATGATCTGCCCCCAAGGCTGGGTTAGTCATCCAACACCATTAAAGTTCATAAGGGCATAGGTAACATAGAACACAAGTTACTAATGGTGAACAGCACGTGATTGTTCTCTGTTGCTTACGAACACCAGAACAGTAAGCACAAAGTTTCAAGTGTGCTTAGGAACATGAGGTAAAATGAGGTTATCTTTGTATTTTAGTGTTCTCTTATCACTCATCTCACAACAATCCGCCATCGCAGTATGAATAGGTTTTGATATACGGAGTACGGATACCATTGTTCCAGCCACAGCGGGTAATTCAAACGCCAAGACATTAGCAGTGCTAAGAAAAAGACCCTTCCGACGTCATTTCTTTGTGCTCTCTTCTCAGCAGTGGACAGCTTCCTCAACGCAATGCTTTTGTAGTCTGCCATTGTAGTGAGAACAGTGGCCTCAAGCTCGACTTCTAGCCAATTGGCATAAAACCCTAACCCTCAGTCATATTTTATAGGGTTTTCCATCAGCAAATTCTCAATTAAATGTCCCTTTATTTTAGACATTGTCCTCTCTGAATGCACGCTAGAGATTCCATTGTCCGAAATCGGCCAATCATGCAGCTCCCATGGGGCACTCCGCAGTACGTAGTGGTCGACTCAGTCAGAGGTTGAGTCAATAGGTAGGACAGACATTCGAGCATTAAACAAAGAAGAGGGATACCCCGATCAATTCTCGTTCTGCTCTTTTCCAACCTCACTCTCTGACAAATCACCACTATTCTTTCAGAAATCTACCAAAATGGCACCTAAACCTCAAGACAGTGGGCAAAATGCCCTTCCACCTGTCGACATCAAGCCTCTTCTCACCAAGCTCTGGCCTGACAAGTCTGGCGTCTCTCCCCAGGAGATTGCCGAGGCCATCTCTCACTTCTTCACAAATCAGGTCACTGAGGCTCAAACGGCCTCTCTTCTTATGGCTCTGCATTTCACCAAGCTTGATTTCAGAGCAGATGTCCTAGCTGAGTGTGCCCGTGTCATGCGCGAGGCCGCTGCACCTATCCCTGTAGAGGAGCTCAGGCAAGTGATTGAGCGAAGAGGACGGAAAGAAGGAAACTATAGAGGTGGTTTGGTAAGTCCTTCATCAGTTTCCTCGATATCTAACGATAACTAAATCCTTGCAGTGTGATATTGTTGGAACTGGAGGCGATGGCCATGATACCTTCAACATCAGCACTACCTCTTCCATCCTGGCCTCAGCCTTGCTTATGGTCTCCAAGCACGGCAACAAAGCCAGCACCTCAAAGTCTGGCAGCGCCGACTTGGTCGCCTGCATGAAGCCCCAGCCTCCCATCATCAGCGCCGTCCGCCCAGACACCTTGGTCAAGGCGTACTCTGAGACCAACTACACTTTCCTGTTTGCCCCCGTGTTCCACACCGGCATGCGATACGTCGCGCCCATCCGCAAGCAGCTCCCCTGGAGGACGGTCTTCAACAACCTAGGTCCTCTGGCCAACCCTGTGGAGGATGTTCTCGAGGCCCGTGTCATTGGTGTTGGCAGAAGGGATCTCGGCCCCGCCTTTGCCGAGGCCTTGTGCATGGTTGGCTTCAAGAAGGCTCTTATCATCTGTGGTGAGGAGGAGCTCGACGAAGTCAGCTGTGCTGGGAAGACTCTGTGCTGGAAGGTGAGCGAAACCAGCCCTGGCAAGCTCGAGGTTGAGCACTTCACCGTGCATCCCAGCGACTTTGGTCTGAGCACTCATCCCTTGGACACAGTGTCGTCCGGCAAGGAGCCATCCGAGAACGCAGAGATTCTATCTCGGATCTTGCACAACGAGATCCCTGACGACGATCCCATTCTTGAGTTTGTTCTTCTCAACACTGCCGCTCTCCTCGTTACATCGGGGATCTGCGAGGCTGATACCAGCAACATGGGTGAGGGTGACGATGGCAAGGTCATCACCGAGCGTGGCCCTGGCGGACAGCGCTGGAAGGAGGGTGTGCGAAGAGCTCGCTGGGCTCTCAAGAGCGGTGAGGCCTGGAGACAGTGGGAGAAGTTCGTCAAGGTCACGAACGAGATTGGCGCTTAGATGGTACAGATCATGTTATAGTTTTATGATTGAAAAGGTATCTAAATAAAAAGGCTTCAAACTACATTATGCCCCTAACATGTCGAAGATGCTCCCCCGTCTTTTAACACCGCAAACTCCTTGGTATGTACAACTCTGGTCCTTGAGCAATATGTGTCAGGTAGATGTGATGGTATGTGTCGTCTGTGATTATGTGGTCGTGTGATATGTTTCATGGTTCATGCTTCGTACGTCGTGGTTTGAGGTTGGATATTAAAACATCCTTCCGATACCTGGCGAAGCCGGGCTTGTTGCTGAGTTGGTTGAGGTTGGAGAAATTGGACTGTAAGAGTTTGATGAACTGGATCCAAAGGATTGTGGTGGAGGTCGAGACGAGCCTCCACGATTCTGTATTCTTGCGCGGTCGACTCCAGGATGACTTCGCATTAAAGTTGATTTGTTTCGTTGGATATCAGCTTCGTATGCCTTCCAGTCGGTCCTTAGACTAGTAGCACGGTCTTCCTCTTCCTCCTCGGTGTCGTAATTATCTTCAGGTCGCATGGTCGCCCGAGAGGAAGCGCGACTTTGTAATGATTTGCGAATCATGCTTGAACGTTGGTGGTCTTCCTTGTCTGTCTTCTCAGGAACCGGTTTTGTCCTCTTCTTCTTGCCAATGCAAAAGGAAGTAGTAGTAGATGGTTCGTCTCGTTGACTTTGGCGTGGTTTTACCCACGAGCATAGATAGCTTAGGAAGGGCATGACGATGGTAGTAAAGCGAGAGAAAGGAGGACAAAAGAAATGATGGTCAAGATGGTTCAGTGACATACCAGACGTCTCTTTTAAAACCACGACAGCAGACATTAGCATAATAAGTTTTCAAGACATCCCACGAATGAGTGGGGGAATTCCTGGGGAACCAAAAAGCCATGGATCATCCCAGGAACGACGGGGATTAACGGTTACATGCCGCGCCATGCCATGCCACGTAACTGCAGCACGGCACTGATAGGGAGGTTGTATTTTGATAGAGGTATTATCTGATCTAAGAGGGGGGTATGAGCGCACGACGGCTCGGGCACTTGAGCAAAGTTTCTATAATTGGGAGCCGGGCAGGGTTAGGACTGTTGTGTTATCCAGGGTTCAAGAGAAGAGCTGGTATCAAGCAAACAATCTTAAAAGACTGTATAATGATGAATCAACTATTTAGCCTTAAGTAACCCCAGTGCTTTAGACTGATCTATCTTTGGAGCACCCTGCTGTGAAAAAAAAGAAATCGATTTCTGGACCTTTGTTCTTTTGCATGGGTTCAACGAATGAATAGAAAATAGATCGCCAAGACCAACATGAGACGTCGGGAAGCAAGGATGAGAATCCTCCTCACTATTCCAGACTGTAAAAGGTCAGCCACCAACACCAAAAGAGCGAGTCTTGGTATCCTCCATGCAACACCAAATACGAGCTGGCGGTGGCTATGCCAAGTCTATAAGTTATAACCGGGCAGACTATAAGGCATGGATATAGACAACATTGAGAGTGATGCACTGAACTGACAATTGCTTTTTGCACGGTTCACTAGGGGACACGATATTATGACAAACAATAACAGCTATTATGAAATAGTAAGTAAATAAAAGGAAAGATTTTGATTCTCAGTAGTGCAGTGGAGGTGAAGGCTGAGTATTCACGCAATGATTTGCTTTGGGTCAGTGATTGTGGCTGAGGTGCCGTTAATTTATCAATCCAAGCTGATCGACATTGCTGCGCCCAAGATGCGACGCATGCCACTGGCGCAAGCTCACAGGCTCAGCTTAGAGGAGATAGCTACTCCGTAGATAGCATATTAGTTTTTGTGTTTAATATTGATATTGATGTGCGGCTTATACTCATCTCAATAGCTGGCATGCATGTTGTATTCAAGATAAAATGCTGTATCAGGAGCCAATCACTTAGAGACAGACTCTTAGTCATACCTCTCATTCGTCTCACACTGCCCATAGAATACCACCCCAGCTTGAATAGCCATAGCCATCATGATTACTTCTTGATGACTAGCCCACAGATCGATCTCTACGGCAAAACAGCTACATTGCCGATATAATCCCCCAATAATCATTTGCCTATTAAACCAAGGTTCACCTCGCGAGCGGTTACCGCATGTAGAAGATCGCTAATTGCCGGAGCCGAGAGGCTCTAAAGACGGCGAAATGTCATTCGGCACCGAGCCCATAATGATTGGTCGCTCTCAAGAGCCGAGGTGTCTCTCCCCGCATGGAAGCTCTTAATTGAAGGTCAAGCTCAAGCTACAACGTCAAGTTCCGAACTCCCGTTGCTACCCTTCCGGTTCCGATAACGGGTATTAACACTCACAAGTACATATCTAAGTTGCATACTTACTATTATATCTCGGTTTCAACAACTCAATTGTCCAATTGTCTTCATACTTCAATCTCTCACAGCCCAAGCTGAGAGTTAGGCGATGATGAGCTTGTCACTTGCTACTCGATCCTTGAGGTTCGGGCCCGTTAATGGCTGTGCACGTGGACTCCGCCGGTATTCCAGTGCCGTGGGCACCGGACTTCCGCTTGAGGGCATTCGCGTGCTGGACATGACCAGAGTTTTGGCCGGTGTAAGTCCCTTTGTCACGTTACAGTATTAATAGACAAATACTGAACTAGCATAGCCATATTGTACTCAGATTTTGGGTGACCTCGGGTAAGTCTGATGATCTCATCAATTACATGCCCCGGCCGTTTTTAACATGGCCGAATGCGCAGCGCTGAGGTGATCAAGATCGAGCATCCTGTCCGTGGCGATGATACTAGAGCATGGGGACCTCCATACGCCAAGTACAAGGATGGATCAACAGCCAAAGGTCCTGGAGAGTCTGCGTACTTCTTGGGTGTAAGCTCCAGGCTCACAATCTGCATCGAAACTCATCTTACAACATCTACAGGCAAACCGAAACAAAAAGTCCCTCGGCTTATCCTTCCAGCATAAAGAAGGAATCGAGGTGCTCCATAAACTTGCAGCAAAATGCGACGTCCTTGTCGAGAACTACCTCCCCGGAACTCTGAAGAAGTACTCCATGGACTATGAGACCCTCCGCAAGATCAATCCGGGTTTGATTTACGCTTCCATCACAGGCTACGGCCAGACAGGGCCGTACTCCAACCGTGCCGGTTATGATGTTATGGTAGAAGCTGAATTTGGTCTGATGCACATCACTGGAGAGCGAGACGGTCCACCAGTCAAGGTCGGAGTTGCAGTAACAGACTTGACGACTGGTCTGTATACCAGCAACAGTGTCATGGCTGCGCTCCTCGGACGAGCCAAGTCAGGCAAGGGTCAGCACATCGATGTCGCGTTAAGCGATTGTCAAACGGCGACATTAGCCAACATTGCCAGTAGCTGTTTAGTTAGTGGAAAGAAGGATTCTGGTCGTTGGGGCACGGCTCATCGTAAGTCTCACACTCCAAACTGGTAGGTTCTGATACTAATTTGAGAAGCTTCAATCGTGCCATACAAGTCCTTCGAGACCAAGGATGGAGGTATTCTCTTTGGCGGAGGCAACGATCGTCTATTTGGCGTCCTCTGCGACGGCATAGGCCAACCCCAGTGGAAAGACGACGCACGCTACAAGACCAACGCCGATAGGGTCGCCAACCGCGATGATCTAGAAGCAAAGATTGAGGCCGTCACAAAGCTCAAGACAACACAGCAGTGGCTCGACGTCTTTGAGGGCAAGGGCATGCCCTACGCTGCCATCAACGACGTCCAGGGAACGCTCAACCACGCACACACAAAAGCCCGCAACATGGTGATCGAGATGGAACACGATGAATGCGGTCCCCTGAAGATGGTCAACACGCCTATAAAATTGTCAGAAACTCCTCCTACGATTCGTAGCGCGCCGCCCATGCTCGGACAGCACACAAATGAAGTGCTGCTGGAACATCTTGGTTTGAGTGAAGCTGACGTGAATGTGCTAAGAGAAAAGGGCATCGTGGGATAGAATAAATCATACATTACAAAGAAATAAAACTATACATATTTCAATTCTTTTTCAATTCTTTTACCTTACCTATCTAGGCAATGCACTATGAACAAAGGCAATGGCATATCGAGTGGTACCTGCCTGATTGAAAAGGTTTCACGTGACCGCGCGTGCTTCTCATTCTGTCTAACATCTCACTTTGAGCCATGTTAATTTCCCGATCCAATTCTCATCAATAGTCAATCCTGACACAGCGACCTCAAATAATTCTTATTATACATACAATCGACATTAAAGGGGTCAATCTCACAGCTCACCAGCCACTCTCACAATTTTGGAAGCCAGACACCTTGCTACGTCTCTGACTTTGACATCGACTCACATCAACCACTAACAGACCAAGTCCTTTGAAAATCGAGGGACTCACGAACCATGGACCAAATTACAGATCAAACACGCGTCCGAGAACCAAACATGATTGGTATTGACGTCATTATGGAAGACGAAGCTATCATAATGACCGATTCTTCTGTACCACCAGCCCAGAAACAGCCCTCATATACGCCTCAGTTCTCATCAGAAGCCCCAGCCATCTTAGACCGTCTGAACAGAAACTCTCATGCAGTCAACAATCAGATCTCTGAGGAAGTTTCTGTCACAGCTTTGAAAGACACATTGTCAATACCTACGCCAATCAAACAAAGCCAATCGATATCAGCAGATTCCCTCAATGCAGGTATAAAACGAAAGCGAGAAGATGCATCCGCGGTCGTCGATTTCAACCAGAGCACAATTCATTTTCCATGGAATGGTCCTTCGCCTGCTCAGCAAGCTAGTCTTGAGACACAACGCATAGGACAAGAAGCCCGATGTTCGAAATGCAATAAAACCGCTCAGGTCGGTCCTTTGGTTGCATGCATTCGATGTCTCGCATCCTGGCATCAGCAATGCCATTCTCCCATGGTCAATAACGAGGCCATGGCTGCTTCAAACTTCACCTGTTCAGCATGCACTGCAGGCCGAGAACAGGCTATCAGACTCAGAGGCAAGGTCAGTCAACAACGGCAACATGAGATCGATCGTCTTCGTCAGAAACGACTATCTACTCTTCCCAGAGGAGTTGTTCCCGCAAAGCCTAGCCTTGTGGGTTTTGGCCCTGGCCGGGCTTCGGACTCTGCGGTAAGTACCATGCCATGAAACTTACAGGATATGATGGCTGATACCCCAGTAGCGAGCTGACTACTTTGACTCCATGTCAAAGACGGATCAACTTAACATTCTGTCCTTATGTGATCAGTTGAAGCCAAACCTGCTTGTCAATGTCCTCGTGTCTGTGTCGAAGCGACATCCTGATTTGCCGATATTTGATTCGCCAGAATGGGATGGTCGATTCTTCAACACCTCTCGCCCTGCAAAGGTTTCAAAGCATGATGAAAAACCCCGGCATGGCCATGTGCTCCATAACAAATCAATCAAGCCCAGGCAAAAGACTACAAAGAAGATACTCAAGCGCACTCGCGTTATTGAGGTGATTACAAGTGCGCCAGAGGAGGATGATGTGCATGTCTTGCCACCAACATGGGCAAAGGCTGGAGAGGGGATGTACTCGAAGCTACCACCCGAGACAGTAGACAGATTGTTTCTCATGGATGAGAACGATGAAGAATCGTTCAGTCATTTCTTGGTAGACGGGGCGGGACGACAGATTATGGAGCCTGTGGGTGCTTGATAGGAGGTTTGAAGGAGTTTTACTAAGGTGTCTCTTTGGTAGTCTACTTTTAATTCAACAAAGGTTACAGTCAATGTAAAAATAGGAGTCATGGAAGGAAGGCAACTTAATAATCGACTTGGGCTTGTCAAGAGTCACAGTTAAACTATTTAGCAATTAACACCACTGGGCTTTTATCCAAAAGTAAGAGAATATCGTTTGATTCCACTATGTAGCATTATCATATGACAATTATTTAAATAAGATGTTGTAGACATAAGCACATTGTGTGCAGACTAGTGGACGAATGAGATTATCCGGCAACCCCATACATGATCAAAACAAAGATTCGGGTTTTCATACTTCCTCCAGCCATTAAAAATTATTCCATTAATACCCAATCCATTCGTCCATGTCGTTTTTGGTTGCTTAGCAGCCGCAGTTGAAGAGTCCCTTGAGGCTGACGTGGATGCTGCCAACGATCTTGATAAGACCGGAGATCTTGACAGAGGCACAGGCGCCAACCTTGTTGATGAAGAGGACGGTGTCCTTGGCGACGCAGAAACCAGCAAGGCCATTGACGTAGCCACCGATGCTGCCGCGGACGTCGATGTAGTTCTTGCAGCCCTTGGAGCAGTAGGAGACACAGTCGTAGACCTGGCAGTTTCCGAGGCCGAGCATGCAGGTGATGCTCTTGACGAAGTCGACAACGGCGTAGGAGAGACCGCCGGTGACGCTACCGGGACGGACAGCGTATCCGTACTGCTTGGTGTTGAAGAGGGCGACGGCGTCGACGGAGCTCTCGAGGTAGAGACCGGCGAGACCTCCGCAGGTGGTCTTGAGGTGGGCGCTGATTTGGCCCTTGACGTTGATGGCCTTGCCGGCGTAGAGACCGATCTCGGCGTCGATGGCGAGAGGGGCGACGAAGACGGTGTTCTGGAGGCTGGCCTGGCAGTAGGCGTGCTTGGTGTTGTACTTGACGATCTTGTAAGGAGAAGCAGCGCAGTAAGTGCCGAGCTTGACATCAACACCAGCGTCGACGTAGGCGCCGGTGGTGGGCTTGGGGTAGCAGCCGGTAGCCTTCTTGCCGGCGCACTGCTTGGCTCTGCCGTCCCAGGACTGGCCGGGAGGGCATGAGCAGGCCTTTGTCCAGGGGCAGTAGGACATGGCGCCGGGGCAGGAGAAGCTGGTGCGGGCCTCGAGGGTGGAGGCCGAGTCGGAGCGGATGGTGAAGTCGCTGGGGGAGATGCTGGAGGTGGTGTCGAGGACGGCATCAGGGGCGGGGATGGCAGAAGCCATCGAGGCCATCGAGGCCAGGGTGACGATGAAGTTGGAGAAGTACATCTTGATGGTTGTAACTGAGTAGTTATGTGTGTTTGTGTATGTGTATGAGTGATGTAAAGCGAATGTGCTGTTTCAAAGAGCGAGAGTAGGTTAAAAGAGTGTCAAACTAGGCCTTGAAGGCTTTGGAAGTGAATGTGAAGAGGCTGAGAGAAGAGAGAGTTGATGCTGATGAGAAAGTCTGAACAATACGGGTTATCGAGGCCATGTTATATAGCCAACAACGCCCTGTACAGCATGAAGCAGAGTGATATTTTTATCACATCGCCTCTAACAAAATCGCCCATCTAAGAAAAAACACTTAGACTCGCCGCCGAAGTTCCTCAATATCGCTTCTCCCTGCTAGTCCTGCGCAGGTCAGGCGAGCCCAGCGGTGATGGTGATAGTGCCCTGGAGGTCCAAGCACAAGCAAGGTATAGATGTTGGAGCTTGGAGTTGAACGGGTATGCTCGGGAGGTACTAACCAGGACTAGGATGGCGAGATTGGATTTGTTTTTGGAGAGCGAGAAAGCACAGACTCGTGGTCAGTGTTGGTGTTGGTGTGTTACGATCTAGATGTCGTTTTGGGACTGACCTGCAACATGTGGCTGCGGGCTGCTGAATGAGTATTGTGCTAATTCTAAAGAACGTCTTCTCGTAATGGATGTTTTGAGGGTAGGGGAGAATACGCAAGGATTGATCTATTATATGTCTTCAACGTTTAGATATACACACTGAAGTTCACATACTGAAGCAATCGCAACATCCTACTCCGTACTACCCATCAGACATTCACTGAGCAAACACAACTTAGCTTCACGATCATCTTGCCCCCGGCAGTGATCACGAAGATCGTCGCTGTCAGTCCCAAGTAAAGACTCTGTTCGGGTCCATCGGAAGTCGGGAAATATCTGTCTCTTCCCCAGGGCCAGGGCCAGGGCGAAAGGAGAACATGCAGGCACAATGTTTCATTTCTCGGGCCGCAAGTGGCTAATGGGCAAATCAGTCCACTAACTTTACCCGATATGGTAAGTTTGCTGCTAAGTAACGTTGAGGCGTTGTTGTTTAATTTAACAAGGGCAGAGATGGTGGCTGTTTCAGGCCTGACAATGCAGGACAGCTGAGAGTCGGGTTATTGTTTTTTTTTAGACTCGTAGGGTTTTCTTTCAAGGGATGACCTTGGAGAACACACCTGAATGAGTGGTTTAGTGTGGTGAGTGTGTTATTTTGAGTTGTGGGGGGGATATAATCTAAGTACATCATGCAGGTCTATATCGGAGGTTTACAATACCAGGGGCAGTTCTTCAGCTGTGGAGGTGGAGATGGAAATGGTGGAGTTTTGCGCGAGATTGGCATTTGCCGAGCTACGGGCTTCGGCAGATCGACATATTTTTTCGTTCTTCCCTGCATCTTCAGCTGCTAAAACTAACAACTCGGGCGATCGGGGTCTTCCAATGCCTCGCCTACGGTATGATGGTAAGAGTTGATGCGATCAGGTCTCCGTTGTCTCGGTTTACTTACCTTACAAAGCCATGATCTGCAATAACCTGCTCTTGTATCCGTACAAAGATCTCACCGCACCGCTAACAACTTTCCGTCCAAGCTCTAGGTATCTTCCCCCCTGAGCCTCGCCACCCACCAACTGATGGAGTCCTTCAGGTACAGCTGGGACCTGCCTGGTAGCTTAGGTAGTGGATCACCTAAACCACAGCTATCGAAAGTCTAGACACAGCCTATTCTCTCTTCAACTTCTAGCTCAATAACCAAGAACCAAACCTGCGGAAAATATCTTCCCTGCCAAGTTCCTCGTGGCTGCATGGTTTCAGGCGTTAGTAGTCTGTATTACAGTGGCTCAATGCACGGTGGCTCTTTTTGTGTCTTTTTTGGTGGTGACGGTGATGACTTCAGCTTATCGCAGGACAGGACCGCAGGTGGTCTAAAGTAAAGTCTATTGTTTCCAACTTAGGGAGCTCAGGTGCTTAGCATGGACCATCCTTGTCGATGATTTCTTTTGTTTCAATGTGCCCATAGCGTTAAGGTTTCTTTTGTTTCTCCAACGCACATACAAACACGGCACAGACGGGAAGAGACATTTAGGCGAATACTGCTGAAGATTGGCATTGACCAAGCTGGGCTGTGCTGGACTGGGTTTGTGTGTGGTCTTAGATACGGAGAGTTTAGTCATGACTCCATCGCGAGATGGTGGACTATTGGCATCCACAGCATAATTTCAAATAGACCTTATTCACGCTTGTTTCCGCATCTTTTAGCACTTGAGTCCAGTGCTCGGACACGCCGTGCAACCGCAATAATTCGGACTCAGACTGATGGGCAACACCGCAGAGCTAAAGTTGTGATGAGAAACAGTCGAGTTTTTCTCGTCTAGAGACAAAGAGTCACGAAGCTAATTGAGTTTGATTTTTAGTTGGACTTTTAATTAAACTATGGGATAAAGGATGATTGGATGTTCGTCTTAGCAAATGGTAGGTTCTTGTTACCTGACCACGCTCTTTGTGCATTTGATATGTTGAGCTTTGAGTTTACCCTATACTTTACTTATGAAACACTCGAGTTTGTAGAGACGGTCAGTCATTGAGGGTAGAACAAGAACACTTGAATACTGTTGATATAAATGGATCTTCAGCGGTGAAACATATTATCTTACCGTGGGAGTGTAAGTTGGAAACCACGAGTTAACAGGACTCTGTTATCGATACAGATCTCTCAACGATAGATGTGTTGGTAAATGAAGAGTCTATGTATGTATGTGTATTATGGGATCAACACCCATCTGTGTACCCAATATCATCACGTCATATAAAAAGCAATCAAAGTTAAGCTAAGAAATTTTATTCATAAGTTGTGGTCTATGCCATAGTACTCGCTCCCTTTGCCTCTGTCCGTGTTATTCCAACGACACAAAGGCAACCATTACATCCACTTTTATACATCTGCTATACTGTCCCAGCTATTATGGACGCCGCAGACATTCAGGATATAAGATCAAGGTATGTACTACCCAATCTTCCAATCCTCATCCTTCTTCTTTTTTGGTATTGGTATGTCATACTCAGTCTTTCAATCCTTATCCTTTTCTTTTTTCTTCTTCTACTTCATGTTTCACCCTTTCTCTCTTTCGACAATAAGAAATAGGTCATTACTCATGAAACGCAGATCCAGCCTCTCTTCTCCACAGCCGTCTGCCTCTGTCGAGAGCTGAACCACCAGGGTCCGCTTCGTCTGCGTCTGTGGCCCCGGTTCGACATGATGCTTCGTCGGAGCTTCTGCTGCTGCAGCCAGGAGCACACTCGGCCCCAGCACTCGGTGATGCGCTGCGATAGCATAAAATGAACGACATCCCATCCCCTGTGATGATGGTTAGTATATGGTACTCTGAAGACTGCAAGGTCACTTACAGAATGGCAGAGAGGAGACCCAGCACGAGAGCGCCCGATTGTGATAGGGGTAGACCCCAGTATGTGTAGTCTGCTGGAAAGACCCTGTCCATTACAACAATCGATACCAAACTGCAAACTAGCACCGATGCTGTGGATATTCGGAGCAGGACGGCCGGGCCAGACCATTGTCTGTCGTGGTGGATGATGGACCACATGCCAAGACCAATATCGCAGCTAAGAGCCGCGATAAGTATAACTGCTCTGATGCTGTGAAACCCCACGTTAGTCTTTTTCTCCGTGTTATACTTTTGTGATACACATATAGGGTACATACCCATGGCTGGAAACTGCGGCTCCAGTATATGAAACGAGGAAGATGGCCAGCATCAAAATGACAAGCAGACATGAGACAATCTGCATGAAATCCACCGCGATCCGCACAGCTCGCAGCACAGGTCCACAAGGCTCCTCAACCTCCTCGGGGAGAGGTGTAAGCAGAGGAGTGAGCTCCTTGGCGAGTGGTGTGGTGGACAGTCGCGGCAGAGACCTCGGCCTAGGGACAATGCTGAGGTTCAGCGGAGGTGGACGAGTTCCCTTGCGCATGTTGTCGTCGTCGATGCTGAGAAATGAGGAGGAGGAGGATGAAGTTGAGTTGAAGCCGGTCGATGAAGGGCTCGATGACGTGGTGAATGTCGAGTAGGACTGCTCCCTGACCTCAATGGGCTGGTTAAGCATCAAGACCGGTTATAGCGAAAAAGGTATAATATGGAAGATAACAATGGGTTATTGTCGTATAATGGTTTGTCGTCGTGGCTGATGAATAGAAAGAATGACGATTGATTCCTTTCGTATCGCAATTGTTAGAGAGAGTGAGAGAGTGAAATAAGGAAATAAAGAATGAATAGATCAACTATAAGAAACAATAAGAAAGAACAAAAAAAAGACAGAATATAAAATAACTTTAATTGATCAAGAATAAAGAGAGACAAGAGGAAGAAAAACAACTTCCAAAAACAGCGAGAGAATCAATCCAAATAAAAGAAAGGAAGAGAAATTCATTCGCCTCCATTCGCTTTTCGCTTTGGAGTTTTCCCGTCATTTGGCGCGCGCCAGTCCAAAGAATATCCATTCATCCCTCCCATCCATTCCATTCCCTCCCTCCCCCGTTTTTTTTTCATTCGGAAGCGCGCGCCGAGCATTCCATGCAGGTAACAAGGGGTCTCATCATCGTATCGATGACCGCTGAAAGGGCCTAAAGGGCCTAAACGCGGGCCAGATATGCAGGGGCGCGTCGCACTACAAGGCCTATTCTGCTTTCAGTTGGTCACCGTCGCCAGAAAACAGTGGATGTTTGGCTAAATATGGTACCGTCCACCGGATTTCTTCGCTGCCAAAGGATGAACTGTCTCTCTCTTTCAGGTCAGACTCTTGGCGCACGGCAAATATGGCATCAGCGGCAAACGGCCATTGGAGGTTGCGCTTGTTTCACAATAGAAAATAAGAGAAAGCGGGTTCATAGGCTGAGGCTCTGTCACTCTGAGTAACAGAAACAGAGCCTGAGGTTCTGACGGGAGCAGTGGGAATAGCAGGGATTGCGCTTCTTCTTTGGGCTGCCTCCCTTGGGCCTTATCTAAATGCTACCACACGCTACAGTGTAAGCTTGTCTCAGCCCAAACTACAGACGAACGTCACAGGGGTAGAATCCTCTCTTGCATCATTCTTCAAGGGTCATGCAATCATGCCATTGTCCGTCCATCTATTCGTATTCTATCTGAACTGCTTCTTTTGCCACTTCATCGATCCACACTCAGCTCAGACTTGCCTTTACAACTTCATTGACATGATCCATGCATGTAAACACGACCAGGAGAAGGGGTTAGCAGTAAATAATCGATAACGAAATATCATACTGCAAACACACAATCCTCCAGCCAGTGTTCGGCCCATGGTTGCATATGTCTCAGAAGTATCTGAAGAATCATCACTGCTGAGTTCACTTGTATCTCATCTCAGTCACTTGACCGGGAATATCCATCCATCACTCGCTTTACATCGAAAGCAGTGTCGTCCCTCTGACCTTTCCGCTCTCCATCTTGGCCGTTCTCGCGCCAAACTGTATCTACAACACCAAGTTAGCAAAAGGCCACACAAACACAAGAACCAGGACACTACTTACAGCCCGCTTCTTCTCCCGTGAAACAGAGCTCATCCCGAGTGACTGCGCTACCAGTCGCAGGACCCTCTTCTCCGCATCAAGATTTCCTTCACCACTGGGTGTCTCGAAATCGCACTTGTCCCACACAGGAGATTCGATCGCCCATTTGACAAACCGCTCGTCCAGATATGGAAATCTGACTTCCCGGCCCCAGTGCGCCATAGCCCGGTCGTCTCGGCCGAGATTCCTCTGCCCAAGCCGACTTACATCAAGCTTCAGCTCCCTGACAGCCCCTTCGTAGCCACGCTGGGTGTACGCCACGCCATGTCGACCGTATCCGCCAAACAATTCATCGGCGCCTAGGCCGGAAAGCAACACTCTCGCTGTTGTGCTGTATGGCTGCGGTGTTGGCTCTGTCGTTGTTTCGCCAAGTCCTTGGCCTCTTGCGGCGAAGTACAAAGCACATGCAATCGACAGGTCCATCTCAGTGTTGTGGGGATAGATAAGACGGACGATTTCAGCACGATGCTCGATGTTCTCAGCGTAAGGAACGTTTACCTACTTCTGTCAACAGCAAATCCCCCACCACAACCAATATCAACTTACCGTCACAAACCGCCATTTTCTGCCTGGGCAAACACGACCAAGCTCAGCAAATGCATTCCTCCCTGTCATTCGATCCGGGCATTTCTCATAGAGCTCATCTCGAGAGAGGTTCGGGAACTGCCCCGCTATCCTGGGATTCTCAAACGCCACATTGATCAAGTCGATGCACTGATCCGATGGAATCATATCGTGAGATAGCCGTGCAAGAACCGTACAGTCGAGGCCGCCTGAGAAGAGCACTGCAACTCGTGCATCCGTTGATGTAGCATTTGGAGGTAGCGGAACATCCAAGACTCGTAGCTGGAGAGATTCTACCAATCGTGAATGTAGCTCCTTTACAGATTTCGAGCCTGGCCCGAGAGCAAAACTCTGCTGCGGAACTTCATCGTTGAAAACTCCAATGCTCGATACCTGAGGACGTAAGTAGCAGGCTTTTCGGGGTCATACTCACGCATAACTTACCAAGGAAGTATCGGCAGTCCAATCATGCCGTTCTGGTTTCATTCCGCTGGACAAATCTCCCTCGGATAGATCCAGAGTATAGCATCCATTAGCTTCGACCTCGGACCATCCATCGACCGGTGTCTCAGCAATGCTTGATAGCACAAAGGGAACCCCATTCTTGACAAGTAACGACCGACGGCCTAGTCGATCGCGACCGTAGTAAAGCCGCTTGGCAGGTTTGTCTAGGTAGATGAATGCAAATGGTCCTTCGATAGCTCGCAAGACATCCATAACATCTCCTGCACCACGACTCGCTTCAGCCAGGAGGGTCAGCACAGCTTCGCCGTCATTGCCCTTCAGGGGCTCTCCTCGAATGCCCCAAGCCTCTCCATTCCAGCATAGGACAGATTCAGTGGCAGCATCCACGAGCGGCTGCTTCGTGACATGGTCGCCTCTGAGCGACAGAACAGTCGACGTAAATGTCAAAAAGAGGTCATCAGCGCCATCGAGCTGCGTCTCCACAGTCCCAGTATGATCAGGTCCTCTGTTGGCGAGGCATCGCTCTAGCTCCGGTGATATCTTGTGGTCGGGGCTCACAGCGATTGTAGCATGAATTCCGCACATTTTGCGCGTCACAGGTGGAGGAACGCGGTTGAAATAGGCAGCTTGGGCTAAGTTTCATCCACCATGAGGAAGCGAAATATCGTGGGTCCACTCTAAAATAAGGTTACCCTGCACTACACGGTCATGCACCTGAGATATCAAATAGCTGAGGTTTGAGTCTTGAGTTTTCATGCATTTATGGGCTATGGAGCCAGCCACTTGTTTGGTATAGATACCTGTGTTGTCTGGGTTAGTAGTTTCTATACTTAGAGACAAGACAACAATATCAATAACATAAGAATCTTTGACAAACCATCTCGACTGAAGCTTGATAATATGCCAGCCACAGATGAAAGGCAGATCTGCCACTGCAATAACAAGTTGCATCACATCCTTTATTACACACAAGTACTTTATTGTGCATAGCACACTTCTTTGATATCACTTGCGAGAGAACATATTGTACGTGATATGGGTTTATTTCTATCCCAAAAAATAGGAAAGAGGGGCGAACTCTATACCAGCTAAACCAATTCCTGCTGAATCAAACTGCACTCTGAAGTGGTGATGCGATAACGTCGAGCTTTCTCGTACCCAATCTGGCCGCTGATACGGATAAATATCCTCCATTGCCATTACTGGCAGACAGTCGGCTCTAAAGCCCCTTTCCTTCTCCTCGACCTCAATGACCGAAGCAAGTTCCAAGCAAATAAACAAAAGTCTGCAATACATGAAAAGGCCCAATCCCGCACTGGGTGGCCTATAAATATGTCGTGTCTCATCAAACCAATTAATGATTGGCAATTTTATCGGGGAACATTATACAATTTGAGTAAGTGCCCCTTTACTCATTGTTCTTAGAACTTCACGGCAGACCATCGATTCCCTAGTCCGAGAGGTTCTGCGTGAAATCAACGTTTGACCAGTCCATCTGGAAGAGATCCTGGGATCCCTGAGAGAAGCCCAAGTTGGCGCTGGGAATTTCTCCAAAGAGCGGCTGGAACTCATTCGTTTTTACCATGCCGTTATCAGTGGGGAAAAGGGGAAAGTCCATTCCGTCCATACCATCTCCACCAAAAGAGTCGTCGAATCCCTCATCGACGTCCCTTAGTGAGTTGGGAGTGTATAGCATGGCAGTTTCCTGGCCGGTTGGTGAAAAGTGAGGTGCAGCGGCCTGAACAGGCATCTGGTGTGGGGCCTGCTGGTACATGGGAAGTTGTTGCATCATCTTGGGGTTGGTGTACATCATGGCTTGCTCAGGGGTAGGGAGCTGGGCTGGAAGCTGAACGCGGGCGGCGTAAAGTTCCTCGTCAGCAATGATGAAAGCTGAACCGTTCTGGTATGGCGCGTACTGCTCGTAGGAACTAGCTGAAGCAGGCGAAGTCGAGTCAAGACCCATATCCAGATGCAGTGTCTCAGCGGGGATATTGTTGATCGACATCCAGTCAGAATCGGTGGGGTAGAGAGGGAAATCATTGCCCATGAATTGGGTCACGTCATTTTGAGGAGGAGTGGGCACACCGTTGTATTCGATTGAAGATGGTGTTGACATGTTACCCAGAGGAGGAGTTTGCTGCTGAACGCTGCCGTTGATCGAAGGCAACTTCTTGCCGTTCGTCTTGGTTCGTACGTAGGTCCAGCCGTGAGCCTTCTCCATGTGCTGTTTGCAGTTTGATTCACGCTTCGACTTATAAGGGCAAGGCTTAAACATGCACTCGTACATGGCAGGGGCGTCAGAGTGCTTGTCGTTGTGGTGGCGGTCCATTTCCTTTTCGGTGGGCCAGCCGTAGTTGTGGTACTTGCAAGTCGGGACAGGGCACTTCCAGGGACGAGAGTGAGTCTTCTCGTGCTTGGTGAGGTCGCAAGGACGCTTGAACTCCTTGTTGCAGCCGGGCTCACGGCACTTCTTGGGAGCCAGCTCCTCAGGAGAAGCGTTCTTCTTACGGCGAGCCATGGATCGCTGGATCTCCTCCTCATCCTCCAGCTGCTGGCTAAGGGATCGCTTCATCGCGACGGGTGAGTCGTCGTCAACTGCGACAGGCTTACCCGTCTCCAGAGAGATATAAGTACCGTCCTTGCGGACGCGGACGAGCTCAGCGGGGCGGCCGTTCTCAGCAAGACCACCAATCAGCTTGATCTCGTCAGATCTTTGGGGCGAGTTAGTCTGGTAGTCCAACGGAACAAAGCTGGGTACATACGCGTCGATATCCATTTCGTCACCGCTGTTCTTAGCGGCAAGTTGTTTTCCGTATTGTAAAATCTGGTCCTTCAAGTCGAGAAAGTATCCGTTAGTGTAAGGCCGGTCAGCTGGTCGAATTTGTTCGCGGTCGCTGAGATATTCGACGGTCGCTTGAATGCATCGGACGGACGTAAGGCAGAAATCCAGGTACAAGGCGGCTGACTTGGTCTTCTCCTTCAAACACAACATCCGATAAGTATTTCCCCAAACGCCATTATCAGTTAGAAGCTGACTTACCGGTGCCATAAAGATCAAGGTCTTCTCAAGATCTCGCAAGCAAATGATTTCCTTTGATTGAATCCGTCTTGGGATGTCAAGAACAATGGGCTCAAACTCCTTCAGGGTGGGCTTGGCCAACAAAGGGCGCAAAGTGTGCTCGTGAATGCGGTTGACGGCTCTTGGTTGCAGGGATGGAAGCTTATCCGCAGCAGCTGCAGCAGATCTTGTGATGCATCGTGTTTGCACCTTTGTCTCCTTCTTTGAGGAAGTGACTGCACCCTGCTTCTCGTTTGTGGTAGCCACCGACGTACCCAAACCACTGTCAGACTCATGATGTCGCGAGTGGCGAGCAGAGCGCGGGCGTAACACACGCCTCTCTTCCTTAACCATCTTGGGGTCCACGATAGGTCCCTCGAGGAAGCCGCGAGGAATGGGGAGACTGGTGTCTCGGAGAGTCTTGATCTTGGGCTTTGGCGACAGAGAGAGCTCGTTGGTCTTAGCCAGAGCCTCGTCGATGTCGTTTAGAGTCAAGGCCACACGTCGACGGTTGGCATCGACGACATCATCCAGATGGGACTGAGCTCTAGGGAGAGTGGGAGGGACAAACGTGAGGTCCAAAGTTGATGATGATGAAGTAGGAGAGTGAAAGGTCGCACCCTTACGGAGGGTAGAGTTGGTCTTAAGGGACAAGACATTGTCGGTGTCGCTGTCCGGGCGAGTCACCGGAGTCCTTCGACGAGGGTGGGAGAACGACATGGCTTAGACGCAAGGTGGGTATGAAGCAAAAAGAAGTCGAGTGTTGGCCACAGGTGTCCTGAAGCTAAGCCGGGGGAGTCCCGTTAGTTCAAGAGCTTGACCTTTGATGCAAGCAAGTGCTTGGTAGTGAAGGACGGGGAGGTGAGTCACAGTCGAGATTCCTAACTCCCACACCCAAGATGCAAAGGCCTAGATGTTGATCAAGGCCAGATCGGGACACGGGGTGATTGGCCAATATCGACAGTTGAAAGTAAAAAACCAGGGAAATTCGAGAACGAGATGAAGTCGAAGTGACGAGACGAGATATCAAGACGAGATAAAATAGTGAACCGTACCGGATCAGAGATGGAAGATGTATCCAGATGTTGATTGACCTTTGCTTAGAAACCAATGCGGTGGAGGTGGCGCAGGATGATAAAACGACAAGGAAGCTGAGCGATGGACTCCTCGGGATTGAATGATATGTTCCTCAGGCGATAAGACGACTCGGCGAGACTCGAAGAGCAATGTTTAGCGAGACGAGAGACGTAAGATATTGATGATTGAAACGCAGAACGCTGAATGTCGGCGATGCGAAAGGCGGGTGGAACTGGAGGAAAGAAGAGGACGGGGCGGAAAAGGGTATATGAGGGTTGACCGAAGGGGGGTGTGCGCTTCAATGATCAGCAGGGTGTGTAAATTGATGAGAGAAAGTGGCCGGGTGCAAGCGAGATGCTGATGCGGGCTGGCGGCTTTTGAGTAACTAGAGGAGGTGAGAGAGTGAGATTGATCGATGGTTGAGGAGAGAAAGAGGGCGAAATTGGATGGGTTTGGCGAGTCTTTGGACGAGGTTAATGCTTAGAAACCAACTGGAACTGGACCCGGATAACTCAGGTCTCCTCTCTTCGAACTCAGCCCATGGACGTCTGCCTAAAAAGAGTGGAGAATGTAATTGATTGGGATTAGCGTTGAGCGGCGAGCGAGGCGTAGTCTGTGCGGAGGAGGAGCCCCCCCCCTGTACGAAGTTGAAATTGATAAGACGATGCCCTGAAGAGTACCACTATCGTTAACAGAAAACGAAAGGTGTCAACCGTTATTGCCAGCCACTTTTAGTGTGTTTCCCACCAAGAACTCCCTCTAATTTCCGTGCAGAGCCGCAACGGATTCGAGTCCGGGCTTACGGCCTCGGGTACCTCGACTATGACAAACAACCTCCTGGTATCCCCACAAACTCCGCCAGGTCCGACGCTTCTGCTCCCGCACTCTCTACTCCGTACTCTCTTTGCTAATGGATTTAGGACCTGAACCTTTGTGGTCTATTGATCATCGTCCAGTTCTCTCCTTGGTGCAACGGCGCGATGAGGCAGAATAATTCCCAGGCCTGTCATTGCTCTAGAGAAAGAAAAAGCCAAGCAGAACTCCAAGAACATTTGGGGGCCAGAAACACCATAATTGCGTACTGACTGTCGTGGCCCCTCTGCTTACGGAGTGCTATCACTCGAGACATTGATGGCTGTCTCCATTTTTGGGTTTCATACAAACAAGCTCTTGTTTTGAACCAACCCGAATCCAAACATTGAAGGCCACGATCCCGAACCGAGACGCAAGGGGGAAAGAGAAAATGGTGTTGTTTGACTGCGCTACCACATTGCGGATGACGTCGAATCGTTGTTGGTGACACTGGTCTCTCAGAAATGGCATTGGTACAACCATTGTCATGAACCTATCCTGTCGAAAAACGCCTTGCAGAGAGTCCTGCAGGGATCGACAACCTCGTCGGCGCAACTGGCATCTCTCTGGTGGTCCGTGACTGTTCAATGTCAGCGACACAACAAGTCTAGTCTAGTTGTTCAATGCTTTTTGCCTCTCCTCCGAATGATCCTCGTGTGGCCATCTCCCGACACCCTAGCATTCTACTAGCACAGTAGTGTCTCTGATTGACGAGAATGGCTTCCAGTGTTGCAGCGCAGTTCTGGAGTTGATGCATTTCCACCCTCCACCTCAGCCCTCTTTTTTGACGGCTGTGCCTTGCGATGGCGCTGCGCAGCCTCTCTGCAACCCCCTTTGGCTGCATCTATTAGACAGGAACTGGGAGTCTCGAACTTCAATTGATTAAATCTTTGATTGTTTTGGTTCATCATTCCTGTAATGGATTATGAGGTGCGTTGGTTGGGAGACTCGACAAGTCAACAACCAACCGAAACCTGCCTGCATCTGCATTGTCGTCCGCAGACCCCTCGAGTAGCAAATAAACACCAGTGGCGGAATTAGGACATGATTCTACTCAGGACATTTTTCGGTCCTTCAAGAGAAGAGAAGAGAAGTGGACACGACAACGTCTCATCAACGCAGCGCAGCGTTAAGCGTTACTGATGTCCTCAACTGAACCTTGTCTAGATCAAACTCAAACTCTTTGAGCTTCTGCACCCCCCTAAAGGGTCGCAAACCTTGAGAATTCTCCTTAACTGGTTCCTGTTCCTGTACTTCAGTACTGGCCGCTGCAAACGCCGCCTCCTCTCACCATATCGTGGGGTCCACAGCCAATGGACCAGTCCAAGACTGCATCTGCTCCACGCATAGGGCTGCTTCTCGGAGCAGGGAGTGCAGGGGTTGGTCGAAACGAAGGTCATGTCACCGTTGACTCAATGGCCGGCGATTTCCCTTTTGGGTTGTGATCCCCCCGCCGGCTGTTGCAGTGCATGTGTATCCTGCATCGCATCTCATCGCACTGCTAACCCTTCAGGGCGTTGTGGTCCTGAACCTTGAGCCATGCGTCCCAGACCGAGGCCGTTGTCCTAGATTTACCGGTCGGTATCAGCCATAATAGCCAAACACTGGTCTTGGTCTTGGATATCCGTAGTCTAGTTCCTTTCGTCGAGACGAGTCACCGTTGACGCCCGCTCCATTGAAACTTGCGTCAGTCCATCACGGGTCGGCAGATTCTCTGTCTTGGCATGTCATTTCCGGAAATATGAAAGGTCTTTTTGTAAAGGAGGGCTTTCGTATGAAGCCATCGCACCGTAGTCTGGACCATCCAAGGTTAGGAATTCTGTCACCTATTCCGACAGTCCTAACTGCAGCCAGATCCACGTACGCTGCCAAGACGCACCCTTTTCGATCAGAGCAACCACAAGCTATAGCTACGTGCATATCCACGCAAGCTCGACGTTTCATTTCAGCCCTAGCAGTAGCGACAGCATTCATTCGTGTATTTCCTAAGGAATTTTTGTAAGTCGTACGTTGACATCCAAAATCAAGTCTTGCGCTACCGTCCGTGTTTCCTACCATGAGCCAATAAGAGCAAAGCTTATCGAGCAGCCTATCCAAGACCCTCTCGTGTCCGGGGACAAATTTGGGTGCCTCGAGTGGTGAGCCCCATTCTCAAGGCATCCGTATTTCTAGTTCGCAGGGGATACGTATGCATTTTTCTAAGACGAATCAACCAGTCATATCGTCCTTTTTGGCCAATATCGTTTTCCTCCTATTGAAGTCTCCCTTTTTTAGACCCTAATGACAGGGCCACCTGGCTCGGGATCATGGATGACGCGAGCAAGCTAGAATAGCTTCTTGACAAGCTTAACTGAGATACAGCAGAAGAACTCGTGATCATGGCACCTGCGAATTGAGAGCTCCGATTCGACGATGCCAGTGTCTTAGTGAGCCATGTCTACGGAATTCTGATCCTAGTGTTGATCATCTATTTCCGTCGGATTATCATCGCAAGTGTCTTCTTCAACTGGCTGCCTATCTATCTTTAGTATTTTACTACAACATCGATGCCGTTGCGTACATGTCTGACTACAGGGATCGGCTCATATTTTGACCTTGATAAGGTCATCACAATTTTGACATGTCTCTAGGAATTCTGAGATCGTGATGACTGATTTTCCTCTGGTGTAAAGGATCACTAGATATGCATACCACTTACATATGGTGAGATTTGATTACGGCAATTAAGGTTGCTATTATCGAACCATGTTGGAATTTGCATCGGTCAGTCTTTAGTTCACATGTATCTTCACTGCTCTAGTGTTAAGGTCATCAAGTACTGAACATGCATGAGTTGATCCAAGTTAGCCACGCACTCATATTCAATCTGGTACATACTATAACTACTAAGACATGAGAAGAAAACAATTTGATATGAAGAAAAAGAATTAAGCCAAAACACCTGATCTAGATCCACCGACTTCTAACCGTGCCCCTATCCAATCACTCCAAATGCTGAACACGCTCCCAGTCTGCTTAGAAAGGCGCACCATACTCATCCTCCAGCGGAATCTCCACGTACGGCGCTCTAATATCATCATCAGTGAGCGGCGAAACGGTCCAGGAACGATCAATCACATCATGTTCAGGAACATGCCCTTCAGGAGCTGGATTGACTTGGTAATACCGCTCTGTCTCTGGACTTGGAGGACGGCGAGGAAGGCGGTCCATTATGACCTTGTTACCTACCTGGCGAACGCGGACTGCATTCCGTCGCTCAAGACGAGGCCTTTCGAAATAGGGATTGCGCTGCTCTGGCTGTAGATTAGTTAGCTCGGTTCCCTGGGTTGAATCATTTACCTGTCCTGACCGTTGGTTAGCTAAGCGACGGTGTCGATTGTGTCTAGTACTAGCTCTGGAGTTGCCATGAGATAGAGTCCGGTCGAACTGAGGAGACTCACGCTCTTGAGGGGCCATGTTCATCTGAGAACTTGCTTGATAGCCGCGAGATCGGCGAGTTTTTGCAGGAACTTCTGGCATCTGAGCTTGTCCCGCCTCCTCAGAAGATCCAACTCCACGAGCAGCCTGAGCAGTAAAGCCCCCGTAATCCCGTCGACTCGCTTCTTTCTCTCGCTTAGTACAAGTGCGGCACTTGCCTGGCTTGGTGACAAAAACCTCGCTCTGACGATGCTCGTGACCATTTGGGCACAGCAACGTAGGGACTGGGAAGAAAGGACAAAACGCCTCCCAGTAGTCCTTCCAGCAAGGCTCGCACCGGTCGAAAATCTGGTGGTTGCATTGCTCGTATCTGAAGTGGATGTATTTACACATGCTGGGCTGTCGGTGATGATAAGAGGACGGAAGCAGTACTGGTGATGGCGCTGTAATAAGCGCCTGTGGTGATTTGAATAGTCTGTCTCGTATGGGAACAAGGATGGTTTTGCCTTGATGCTGTTTCAGTGTTCGATGGAGGCTGAAGGGATTTCTGAATGGATATATACTTAAACTTGAGCAGCTGGAAGCTCAGGCTATTTCTCTGAACAACTAACAGGGAGCATAAGAGAATCCGAACAAAGCCTTTGATCCTCTTAGTGTTAACAAACTTAAAAGAACTTACAAACTGTTATAGAAGAACTCATAGACAAAGTTATGCACACGTTCCTTTGTTCCACAGAACATCAATGAACACTCAGTATTAGTAACATCGCAACTGATGTATATATACTCTTGAGCAAACCAAAACAGTCAGTCCTCCATTCCAGACCGAATGGAGATTCATTGAGTGATTCTTTACTGTTTGCCGTCATGCCATTCACTCTTTTCCCCCGGTGCCGCCGAGCCTCAATGTCTCTCCCTGAAGGCCAGACTCTTACTGTCGCTGGACGACAGCAAGTTCCATGCCCTGAAGCAAGAGGACGAGAGGCAGTGTTGAGATTTCTCGCCCTTGGGATAGAGAGTCACGTTTGTGAGGCGCGAGATATTGCCCAGCAGGAAGTTGCTGCATCTCGCTCCCTCGAACGCTCGGTTTCAACAAAGCTGAAACGATGGCGAACAGGAGAACAACCCTCTGGAACTTCTGTTCCTGCAATTACACAGAGCCTGGCTAGAGATGTTCACGGTCTCCCTTTCGATTCTATCAGTAATCCTCGGATTGGAGGTGACTCTGTTCTGCCTCGCACAGCAGTTCTTCGCTTGGATTTGCATGAGAGGAACGATAGGCCTTGGGAGATGGCATTGCAAGAGTCTGGTGATTGTGTTGATTCAATGGATATCGCTTTCTCGGTGTCTCTTGATGGAAGTGCTGGTTCTCCTGCTTCATGTCGAACACTCTCTGCTCGAGACTCTCCCGTTCACTGGGACAGGCCTCATTCTCCAATTCCTGATGAAGTTGATATCGGAATAGTTCGCACCAAAACACGTCGTTGGCCTTTCCATTCTGATTCCTCTTTCGACCCCTCCCCCTCCGAAGAGGAGGATTGGAATGAACAGCCACGAAGTGCTATTGGAAGCATGGCTTTCTGGAACCAAGCTTTCGCACATGCTTGTCTCGTAACTGGCAGCGAGCATGAATCTGTAACGGCGAGCTCAGCAACTCTTGTCAATGTTTCTCCTACAGAGGAGTATTTATTTGGCTCCGAGACCATCGTTGCTGCATCCAACGCATCATCTTCAACTCTGAATTCTACTTCACTGGACGACTTCGAGACAGAAACTGGTGTCATGCGATCCGTTAGAGTCACTCAAGTTGGTCGAGCCACAATGATTGACATGCCTCCTGTTGAACAAACCGAGGCTTGGGAAATGGAGGGGGTGCCTATGTCCTCTGATGCTCTAATCAACCACTTGATCAAAGCACTTCGTTCTCCCCGTCGAGTTTGAGCTGAGTTTGGAAAGGGGTTGAGGTAAGTTGACGATAAAAACGCTGGACTTTGATGTCAATGAGGTTTGTTGTTTGGGCTGATTCCAAGATAAGGAATGGCTGGATCACAAGTGGTATTGTTTTTTTATTAAAAAGGAGTTTCTGTTGTTTTGAGTTAGATTTCTTTGTTCATAGGTAGGCATTTCTTTACATGTACGGATAGACTAGAAACATTTCAATTTTACTCTATGGGTATATCAAATCCTCCACTTTCTAAATATTCTTTTCCATCTCCTTCTAAACATGTGCCCATCCTCGCTCAACAAGAACCTGCATCTCATTTATCAGACAAAACTCGCCGGGCTCTCTCCTACCCATACCCTCCTTCTCCCACGCCGCCACACGTCTCCTCACCATCCATGAGTCGAACGGCGCCGACACCCACCGCATGATCCGGTTGATCCAGAGGCCCGAGAAGATCTGCCACGTAGACACCCAGGCGCCCTGCTCCGGGTGCACGGTTTGGTAGGCGGCCAGGTTGTATCCCACGCGCACATGCGGGTTGAGATAGACGCCGCGTGTTTTGGAGAGTGGGTTGTCAGCGTGGATAAGACAGCATTCGCAGCCTTCGAGGTGGTGTTCTGCTAGAGAGTCTGGTATGCCGCGGAAGCGGAGTTTTGAGGATGAGATAAACGGTTCTGTAGGCATGGCAACTAGGTATCGTCAGTAATCACCTCCACCGCTTCGAATGGGGGACAAACCAATTCCATTCCAGCAGCTCGCCACGGGTACAGCATCCAAATGGTTAACAAGCGCATTTCTCGAGACGCTTGATTTGAAGTACGGCCACGAATGCATCGCGTGAGCCTGTCCACTGGTGTCTCTCAGCGCAAACGTGTCGTAGTACTCTGGTGGTTTGGAAAAGTCGAGCGAACAAGCTGCTGCATACTCGCCGCCATTAGTGCTTAGAAGCTTGAGTACATCTTCTGTCTGTAGAGCAATATTAGAGACTGTTCTTGGTGCACACTCTGGCCAAGCATGTAACGTACCGTAAAAACGACATCGTTCAGAAAGAGAACCTTATCAAAGCGCTCGCCTTTCTTATTCAGGTCAATCAAGTCCTGCAACGTCCTGTTCCGCAACTTGGCGAGAAACGGTATCCTCCTCAACTCGCGCTTCCCTCTGGGTGTGTCGATCCAGCCCTCTCCTTTGTCCGGATTCTCAATCTCATCCTTGTGTGTCGCATCCGACATCTCCACGCGGTGTGGGACCCCCAATCTCTCGAGCTCCTGCGCCATCTTGTGCAGCTCTCGTTTCGTCTTATCCCAGCTGCCGCTCTCGAACACACTAACAAATACGTTTTCCTTGCCAAACATCTTTGAAATCTCAATCACCGCAGGACCCCAGTGGTCCCTTATCACGCGCTCGTTGTTGAAGTGCATGCTGGCGATGTAGATGCGCTCGGGGGGCTGCGAGAGCTTAGGAGCGGGCGTGCGGTCGGCATCGAGAAGGTTTTTGTGGATGCGGAGGACGTCGAGGATGTTTATGATGATAACGAGGACAAGAATGATCTTGGGGAAGCGTGAGCGGAGGAGACGACGCAGGTAGAGGCGGTTTGTATGCGAGACCATGATGCTGATGGGTGGTTATGAGGCCAGCGAAGCAGCATCATAAAGACCTGGAAGAAGGTTGAAAATAATGCCACGTCTGCGAGGTTTAGCGGACAATGACACAGGATATCATCTGAAAAGAAGAACCATTGTTAGATGTAGGTTGTTGTACAATTACTTCAAGTGTATCCCTTGCTTGGCTCAGGATGACACTACCTATGTAGTGGCCTGTCCTACAGTATTTGGGTTCAGCCGTTTCCCTAGTCGACACGGCCCCTCGAATATCGTCATAACAGGGATATCAATCCCAGATGCGCATATGAGTGGTTCTCTTACTAATTATTCAGTTATCATTTATCATGAACTTGCTGATGATAAGCAAAATCACTCAGTGTATTTCTCCCATTTCCAAGACATAGTTCAGAGCTGAACAATTTCAAGGCCTCATTCAGGGGACTTCTGTCATCATGACCCAGATCTGGGGTGCATGGTTGGTTAGCACCGTTAGCAGCCTAGTTTACAGGGGTGTTATGATGGAGGCCAGCTGAGTTTACAAGTCACGAATTACTCAGGTACCCAGTCTTGAGCACATTTTAATTCTTGGGTCCACGCTTCATTCAAATAGTCGGGAAATATCAGACTAGCTTTTTGTATTCTCAATAGCTTACACATCTTCCTTCATATGAAAATAAGAGATTGGCATCGTGAAGTGCTGGGTCCATTTCTCCATCGAACCGCTGGCTGGTCTCGTCATGATCAGTATCATGGTGGCTTTATAACCTCCAACTGAGCTCATGAGGAGCTGCCGCATGACCTATCTACTTAAAACTTTGGTCTCTCTGAGACCGTGATCTCTAAAGTGACTGAACCACCTGCATCATATTTATTTGGCGAAGTGCAGGTCATATCCGAGCCACTTCCTTCGAAGAATCTCCTCGACAGAGAGGCCAGGGTAACCGTAAGTGAGGGGCAGGAAGAAGTACCAGCCAGCAATGACCAGGGAGAGAATGACACCACAAGCGACCCAAGCACCGAACATGCTCTGACCAGCGAATCGCTCACCGGCGGTAACATGGTGCCTGGGGCTGACGGAACCCTTCTTGTCCTTGATCTCGATCTCCTCGGGAGGCTCAGAGTTGAAGATGAACTCAAGAAGGGCACCGGCAACCAGACAAGAGGCGAGATGGGCAGGAAGATAATGATGCAAGAAAAGTTGTCGTCCCATGAGGAAGAATGGGAAGTAGTGGGTGGCCCAGGCCAGGAAGAAGAAACCAGTAGAGTTGTACATGCGAGAGCGAGTACCTAAGAGTTTGTTAGTATAAACCTTTGATCGAATGTTGGAAGGAGAAAGACTTACGGCGGTCGAGAGCATCAATACCACGGCGAAGAGACACCTGATCGGCGAGGAGGATACCAGCGTAGACAGCAAGAAGACTGCTAGCGAGCCACCAACCGACGGGGTTGCCCAGGAAGTAGATCTGCTGGCGGGTCTCGCTCTGGGTCCAGAAGCTCACACCACGGAGCAGGAAAGGCCACTGGTAGGGGTGGCTGGCATAGGGGTGGCTGCTGGTGAGCTTGCTGTTGTGGTAGAACATAGCACGCTGAAGCTCGAACCACTTCTTAAGGAAGGGCACAGACTTGACCTTGCGCTCAGGCTTCTGGCGACGAGGATGATCGGCAGGTAGCGAAGCAATGTCCTCAGCGATCCAGACATTGGAGCTGGGTGCAATCTGCTTGTTACCGTTGATCTCCTGCTGCTTGTAACCCCACTCGGGCAGAGGCTTGGTGTGAGTCCACATGGCAACCTTGCTTGGGTTGTGGATGAGCTTGAAGTGACCGGCAACCGACTTGAAGTTCTGGTTCTTCTTTCCGTGCTCAATTCGAACCTCGAAAAGAGTGTCCTTCTCACGCTTGCCAAGGGCCTCCTCAGGGGTGACAGCAGTGAATTCTTGGTTGGTAGGGTAGTAAGGAGAGGCGACATCGTGAGAGAGAAGAATCTTGTCAGTGCCGACGTGGCGGAGACGAACGAGATCGTGGTTCTTGACAATGCGTCCAAGCTTCTTGTCGTTATCGGCGGGCAGAAGCTCCCAGTAGTTGTTGGTATCGTTGTAAGGGTAACCAGTAATCTGCTGACCCTGGCTGGAAACACGGCCATCGTCGTATCGGAGCGGGTAACGGTCCTCATGACTGTGGAGGTAGGTCTTGGTCTCCTTGTGTCGGATAGTAATGCTGTCGTAGTACTGGATATCAATTGCGTTGGCCAGCATGACATTGTCGCTCAAGGTCTCCTGGAATTCGGGAGTCATGAAATCGTCACCAGGACCGGATCGGTAGAGGACGGCGAAGTGAACCTGGAACCAGAAGAGGTAGAACAGGAAGGGCATGATGATCAGACCAAAGGCACGAGCAGCGAAGTGCTTGGCAAACTCCTGCATGCTAATGGCACCACCGGGTCGGTTGATGTTAAGGAGATCCCAGAGGTCGATAACAACAGCAGAGCCAATGGTGACGAAGGCAAAGACACCGACATACTTGACCGAGATATCGCAAGAAAGAGCGAATCCGGTAAGAATAAGCCACTTCCACCACTTGCGGGAGAAAGGCTCGTGTCGGAGCTTGTACCATTTGATGTAGAAGAGAAGACTGCAGGCCATGGCAAGAACCAGAGTAGCATCCAAGAGGATAAGTCGGGTCTGGCCAATGTGGGCGTTATCGAGGAGGATAAGACCAGCGGCAAGGATACAAGCAGGGAGGCTGTAGCCAGACTCCCACATGATGAGGTACGTAACAGCGACAGTCAAAGCACCGAGAGTAGCGGGCAGAGCTCGGAAGGCCACGTATGGGATCTTGTTCGCAATGTAGGAGTCGCCAATGTTATCGAAGTGGAAGTGGCCATCGTAACCGACCAGCCAGCCGACAAAAGCGAAGAGAAGCTTGCCGAAAGGAGGGTGGACATCGAAGAAGTAGGTTCGCTCGAGGTAATAGGAGGCGAACTGTGGAGTAGAAGTTAGCAATTGTGATAGTTATCAGAATATCTGAATAGCTTTACCTTTCCAAAGTGCACCTCATCGAAGACAACCTCGCTGGGATGGCTGATACCCCAGAATCGAGTCACGAAGGACAAGACAGTGACGATAACGAGACCAATCTTGTATTCGGTCTCGCTCTGGACGGCAGCCCGTTGAGCGCCGGCCTTGGCAAGCTTGTCGAGCTCAACATTGGGATTGAAATTGTCGTCGTCGGAGGCCTTCTTTGATGGCGGAACTCTCTGGCGCAGGCTGCCCTGCGGCGTGGAGCTTCGAGCCATGATGAAGTCGGCCGTGAAGCACAAGCTCAGTTGGCTACAGGATGCGACAGTCAGTTAAAGGAGCTTTCGAGAGAAGAGAATACAGATGGAATAGGCGCAGCATTATATGCAAACCAACCACGTATCACAAGCCGTCCAGAGGAATGGTAGGTCTCAGACTTACCTCAGGGGTTGGATAGAAAGTGCCCTGGGTTACACCAGAGATATAGAAGAGGTAACGAAACAGGTATGTAAAGGAACGATAGAAGAATAGGTCGAGGTAGTAGCACAAATAGGAATTGCGCGCCTCAAGCTTAGTAATAAAAGAAGAAAGGAAAAGAGAGAAGAAAAAGGGGGTGTTTGATGGAAGAATGAAAAAAGAGAACCCTCCCTGTGATACAAGTTATGGGCTGAAGTTGAGGACGCAAGATCCAATTGCTGAGTCTAGGTCTAGGTACGAGCTACTCTCGAGGACAACCTGGCCAGCTTGCCTTTTTTTCTTACTGTACCCCCTGTCGCTGGGCTAGATGGGATGGACGCAGGGGTAGAAATGATGGGTTGACCCCACTTGTGTTTAGCTCTTTGGCCACTTGACAGCTGTTACTGCTAACAATTCAATGTCTTCAAGGGATTGACGGCAGACACGAAGCCAATTGGGAGGGCGATTGAGCTTGAGTGAGCCCCGCTATTTACGACTTCCAGCCGCTCCAGCTCTGGGCTGTCGTTCGCGATACTCCTTTGAGAGATGAGAGGTTCAACAGGGCTGAACGCCTTCATAGTGATGAATCGATTGGGACATAACAAACAACACTAACTACGTAGCAGATACGTGAGCCACTGACGATTCTGGGCATCTGTTGTGAACAAGCCGTTTGAGCTCTGGCCATTGTTTGTGCTACCTCAGGTTGTTTGCCCAAGACCACCATACTAGCGCTACGTCGATGAAACGGCGAACTATCCTTCTTCTAGGGTTGAATAGATCTTCGATAGAGATATCTTGGGTTTACTCGGTACTTAATCCACCACTGCTTACTGTTTGTTCTTATCAATGGAGCCTTACGCAGCCTCTTTGGAGATAGTCAATCAGTCTTGCATATGTTTGCCAAGGCCGGCAGGCCGTCTATAGAAACAATACCATGTAGTTCTCCTTCGGGTCCCCTCATTGGAACTCTCGGAGCTTCCTCAGAGGCTATGAACACCATCATGCTATGCAAGAGCTATTCGCAACATACGGTATCACAGCCGCTGTGTCCGGAGGGCGCAATGCGGGGCGGCAGAGGACATCCGACATCGTCAGGCATGACCAAAAGCTAGCCGATCTACGGAGCGCAGCAGCAGCAATTACCTAAGTATTTATATACCTGCGTAGCAGTTAAACAAATCATACATACACAAATCCAATTGATTCTCTCAAGGTGCGTTTTACTGATTGAAGTGCCTTAGATCAAGGCAGGTAGCTTCGGGTGGCCCCTCCGAATACTCCCCGAACCACCGGAGCTCTGGTTCAAAACACGGCATTCAAACCCTACCTTGTCTTGTCCCTTGCACTTAAACAACTACTAAGGCAATCTCAGCTACCTGCTTAACCTCACCTCGACTACTCTCTTCATACTCCAGGTACGTCAATAATTGTACAACTCAATTGTCTTCCACCATGTCCTTCTCTCTCGTCGCACGTAGAGCTCCCCGCGTCATCACCTCGTCCCTCCGAACAGCTCCTCTTCAGCACGTTATAACAACAGCCAAGTTCACACGTTCAAGCAGACACCAATCGACAATGTCTTCCGACCAGCAGATCGTCTTCACCAAGAACGCCCCCGCGGGTAAGTCTGATAGAAACACTTCAATTCTGACAACGCTTTACTAACAATGTCCAGCGCTTGGTCCCTACGTATGTCAAGCTACCCCTCACTAATTGAACATCTGCTTATGAAATGCGCCCAAAAGTCTCAAGCCATCAAGACCCCCAACATGATCTACTGTTCCGGACAGATCCCTCTTACTCCTGAGGGTGAAATGGTCGAGGGCATCACTGAGCAGACCCGACAAGCCTGCAAGAACGTCCAGGCTGTCGTTGAGGAGGCCGGCTCATCCATCTCCAAGGTTGTCAAAACCACTGTCTTTATCTCTGACATGTCCTACTTTGCTGTCAGCGCCTCCCTAAAGCCGATACTCCATGTTCCTGTTACTGACTGTTCACAGGAGATCAACACCGAGTACGAAAAGTGGTTCTCGCACAAGCCTGCTCGCAGTTGCGTTGCTGTCAAGACTCTTCCCAAGAATGTTGATGTCGAGATTGAGGTCATTGCTCTCCCATAAGGGCCCTCGCCGAACACAATAATCGCATTTATGACACAACCCGATAGAAGCCATGCTGAAAATGAAATAGAAGAGAAACCTGGCGATTCAAGGAATGGTCTCCTAAGCTTCCGTGATAACGAATTTCCTCTTGTGAAACTGCTGAGCAGCATCATGTATACGTCCCACTATATCTTCTCTGTGGAGCCTTTGGCAATATAATATGCCTGATACGAAGACGGCCCGCAGCCGCGAATCCTCGTTGTCCACCTTGGGAGATCTGAAGACTTCCTGGGCAGTTTCAATTCGTTCGGCTAATTCGCGCAGTTTCTTTATTCCCAAGTCGACCACCATCTCTGAAGTCATTAGAAGAGCAATGGACTCAACTTGAATATGTATGATATCGCATATGATGCCCGTGTTAGTCCTAAGAGACTCTGGTGCTCTCTTCTCGTTGTAAATTCGGAAACATCTGCGTCCAAGTTCAGTATCATAGTTCTTCTCCTCGCGATTCTGAAACTCCTCTATGAACTCTTGGACATAGCCGGTACTTGCTTGGAGACAACAGCCATCGACTAGGTCAACAGCACGCCGTATGTTATCACTGATCTGGACCTGAGATTCCTCAACAGCGGGCGGCGTCGATGTTGATGATTTGGAGTTGTGGTCTCCCCTAGCCTCAGCTTCAGCTTTGGAGTCAGCTTCAATTTTAGCTTTGAGTTCAGCTCTGGTTTCAGCGTAGAGCTTAGCTTTGAGTTCAGCTTCGAGTTCAGCTTCGAGTTCAGCTTCAGGTTCGGCTTCGGTTCCATTTTCGATACTACACGTGCTTGACCGACTTGAGCGCTGCATGTCCAGGGGCCAACAAGAGAAACTGCTACTCAAGACTGATATGACTGATGTAGTTGATAATGTTTCCGTTATTATACTGGAAAATGAAAGACAAAAGGGGTATGATGTTATGAACAATGAACTCTGTATGGTTGGTGATCCATGGTTGCGAATTGCATGAGAGGTGACTCTTTGAGAAAGAGCGGAAAGTCGCTTTGGGCGGCATCGTGAGGGTAGGTATGACTTGGATGTGGCTACCGAGGTAAAGATGAGCAAGGGGAAAGAAAGATTCAGTGACCTGTATATCCTTCCATATTTTAATTTGGCAGCATGAACATGTGGTGATAATGCAGCGATAATAAGAGTAAATATTGGCTATTGTTTGATTGTGCTTAGACTTCAAGATGTGGACGGCGTGAGGACATAATCTAGACTAAGACTAGGTATCAAGCCATATTTCACGAGCTCTAACTTTAAGCTCTTGTATATACGAAGTATCTAAGCATTCCATACAACAACTCTACCGTCGACACCGCTGGCTATTTATTTGTCAGTAACATTTAAACCATGACATGAAGGACTTTATAACTTACTGCTGAACTTAGTGACGCGATCACCAGAGATCTCAAAAGGCCTGATGGTGCTGATAGTGTTCTGGTGGACAGTGCTGAGCTGCGTATCATCCTTGGTCTTGCCCTTGAGATCCATCTGTCTGAACATGTTCAGAGCAGACTCCTCACGATGTTCACCCAAACCGGGTCGGCCCTTCTGCTCAATAGGACCAGCCAACTGCCAGCCACTCTCGCCGCCCTGGAAACGGAAGGCCTCGCAGTCATAACCAGCAGCGATAATCTCATCCTCGCTAGTCCAGATAAGACTCTTGAAAGGAAGCTGCTGGGTAGAGACGGTGACAACAGCACGGGGAGGCTGGTCCGCGCCGGCGGGATAAACGACAGTAATGCTGCTATCATGTGCCGCAAATGCAAGACTCTCTCCGCTTGGCGAGAAAGAGACAGAGTGCACCCAACCGGCCGAGTTGTTCAAGTACTCTCCACAGACAGTGTTGAAAGGAAGTCGCTCTCCCCAAACGCCAGGAGGGGGACGCTCATCCATGCCCTTGATAAAGGCGGAGAAGACTCTGGCATGGGCATCGGTAGATCCAGCAGCCAGAAGGACCGAGTTCGGGTGCCAGGCAACGCTGGTGATGGTGCTGCGGATAGGCTTCTTCAGGTGCTTGGAAACCCACCAGTCGTTCTCCTCCTCAAAGTAGCAGACGGCAATAACACGGTCACCAGATCCAACAGCGAACTTGTTCTCGGAAGGAGACCAACGAACAAAGGTGGCGGCTCGGCTGATTCGGAGGAGGACCAGAGTAGGCTTATATCCAGTTGGGGAGGGCTCCCAGACCAGAGCGTTACGGTCTAGTAGCTATAATATTAGTTACTGGGCCAGGGGTAGCTTTAAGTAGACTAACCCTGAGAGCAAGTGACGATGCGTCCGCTCTTGGGAGCAATATCAACACTGGTGACAGTCTTGTCGTGACCCTTGAGCTCGTCCTTCAGCTTGAAGGCATTGCCAACCTGACCGTAGAGCTCGACAGCAGTGTCTCGGGCGACAGCAAGGACGGAGTGATCGGCCGAGAAAGAGTGGTCGGCGATGGGGTTGTGGAAAAGGTGGTGGACTTCGGGAGAGGCCATGATGAATATCGGTTGCGATAGGAGTAGCTCTCTACTACCGCCTTGAAGCTGACTGAGAGTATGGAAAAGCAAAAAAGGGTTGCTTAGGTAGAGAAGCCAAGTCAAGTGCTGACGATCATATGGGATGGGTTGGCGGTGGGGGTGGGGGGTTACGTAGTGCTGAAGCTACAGTGGACAGTTAAGGTAAGGTAAGCTTGGGCCACAGCGGCTGTGCTGTACCGCGAGGCTGGCGATTCTACCTAGCTCGGCGAAAAATCTCCATTCCATCAACACCGCCGAATATCGATATCGTTCAACTCAGCTGCGCCTATTCACACCACCACGGCATTGGATCAGACAGTATCGATAAGATCTTGGAATATTGATCGCGAAATACCAAACATCAACACAGAACCACCTGCTTCTGCACAACTCTCACAATGGCCGCTGCAGCCACCGCCGCGCCTCGCGGTCTTCAACCAAACTCATCCTTGCCGGCCAAGGTGCAACCTATCCCACCTAATCAGACGTCAGTCCTCTCATGCTATACCATGTCTGAAGTATGCTGACTCCAGCAGTCTCTATGTCACGAATCTCCCCTCTTCGAAAATCCAGAAAGACGATCTACGAACCGCTCTGTACTTGCTCTTCTCCACATACGGGCCTGTACTAGATGTTGTCGCCCTCAAGACGATGAAGATGCGCGGTCAGGCTCACATTACGTTCCGAGACGTTCAGTCTGCTACACAGGCTATGAGATCTCTCGAGGGACAGACATTCCTCGGTCGCGACATGGTTGGTGAATCCCTCCATTGTGAAAGCCAGAAATCTAACTTGTTCTCTAGAAAATACAATATGCCAAGTCAAAGTCCGACTTTGTGGCCAAGCTTGATGGTACATTCAAGATCCCTACCGTCGCAGGTGCCGCCAACGTCGAGCAGACCGAACTGCAACAAAGCATCTTCAACGCACCCCCTCTTGGAGCAGCACCCGCGCCTGGCTCTGGTCTTCCTGCGAAGCCTGCTGCGAATGCGGATCATGATATGGAAGACGCCGATACACCGGGTGGCCGAGGACAGAAGCGAACCCGCGACGATGAGGATAGTGATTCGGACGTGGCCATGGAAGAGGACAGCGACGATGATTGATGAACCAATGGAGGGTCGGCTACATCTCTGAGAGATGCAATCTAAGCCCGCCTACTGCATTGCCATTTCTTTTGGCACCCACAAGCCCACGCAACCTCCCACGAGTCCGAGCCATATCATGAGGTAGTTCGTCCTATCGCACTCGAATTTGGAGATGGCGTCCCCGAGCAAGCAGGGGTGGACAAAAAAGGATGGGACGCCCGTGATAGGGTGGTGCTGTGAGCAAGGTGTTAGTTAGGCCAACCAATCTTGACGATACCCAGAATCTTGAATTGACTTGTGCGAACAGCTCTTCCTCAAAAGACTTACATCGGCCGATATCCCGCCTACACTGCCGAGTGACCGGAGGCCGGCCTTGTACTCGTCCGGAACCAGACGGCGAAAGACGGTGTCAAGGTCAAATGCAGGCTCATCGGCGGGTAGGTTGCGTAGAGTGAACCATAGACAAGGCACACGATATGTGGGGTGAAGATGAATTTCGTATTCCACCATGGCAATCTCCGGGCGAGCTTGTTGTCTAATCAGAGCAGCCTAGGATTTCGTAAGACAAAGATTTCACATTAGGGAATGACGCTCCGTTGAAGATTAGTTACCTCGTCTGCTTCTTCGGCGTCTAGCATATCCCTGTCTGCTGCTATTGATACATGAGGTTGTTTTTCTTCGAAGGAGAATCCGTCCAAATCCAATGAGAGATCTCCATGATCTAGGTCAAACTCGAGCGGACGTTTTATCTGAATATATGTTGTGAAACCTCCTCCATAAGCAAAGTCGGTGCAGAGAGCGTTGCAGAGCCTGAGTTTCCAGCGTGCTCGTTCGGGGCCTAGGGAAGCTCGACAATACTGCCTGTCAAGGTGATGACACGCTTCCGAGAATTCCTCTGCGTTTAATGAGGGGAAATTTTCAATGCTCATTGTTTCGAAGATATTGTGGTTAATGTATTGGTGTGTTCATTCTGTTGAAGTCGCGATTAAGTTGGGCATCTTTTCCACGTGCAGCTATTTTAGTTGCACAGGGTCCACGTACCTACTTGTTCTCCCATTTTAGTTCCTATCCTGAACAACCACACCGTCGATGCCTTACAAGATATTTATGGATTTGACTGTAATTAGCATTGGCTTTTAATAGTAGTAGTTATGCTTCCTGTTGTAGGTAGTGGAAGGTAATTTCAGTTGTTCAAGCATATGAAAGGTAGTTCTTCTGAGTTGAACAGTCCCGATTTACAGAACCAATAGGACAATGGCATTTCATGTACGGAGTACTCTCTTCCAATAAATGCAGACTATTCTCCGTATGCTACATGTTGATAGCTCTTGTTAGTAAAGAAAGTCGTGTCTCTTCCACGGCATCTCAATAGAAGCGAATGCTGGGTCCGAGTGCTCGGGCCAGTGTACTACCTACGTGTACTTGGATTGCAAATGACAGCTTTTGTACACCCTGGTCTCGTGCCCATCAAAGCTACCCCAAGCTCCTATTCCTGACACCTCAATTCTGTCCTTTGTGGGTTTTGATTGTTTCGTCTCAAACTTGAGACTCTATTTTACGTGGCACATTCTTTGTCTTTTGCTGTTTTGCAATCTGTACATAATAGTTTCCTGTTTTGCATTGCACTTGCTGTGCTTTGAATTCTAGCGCCTTTGGTCGAGTCATTCCAACTGCCTCGCCCTTTCCCTGCGGTCGTCGACTCCTACTGGCTCTAGTCCCACCTCGAAATGAAAACACCAAGTCAATGATTCGAGATCCGTTCAACATCCGAAGCAAAAGCACTTTTAGTCGCCAGCATTTTCAAAACATTCCTACGCCGTCGGGGGTCGAGGCAGATGAAGTAGCTATGGCCTTTTCTATGCCCCGAGTAGTTCCGTCCTTCGATAATCGTCAACGAGAGCTAGAAGACAAGTTTTGGGGCTCTGGAGAGAGGTCCAGAAAGTCCGACCGATTACCGATGTACAAAGACAAACCGTACGCGTCGCCTTACGACGATGATGAGGAACGCCCTTTTTGGAAGCGCAAGAGGGTGATGGGCATCGTTGCCCTGATTGTCTTGACCCTAATATACTGGACCGGATCCTCGTCCAAAACTTCGACGAAGCGGACCGTAACGACAGATTGGAGCTTCACAGGCTTGTCCAAGAATGATAAGAAGGCCAATTGGGATCACAGGAGAGACCGCGTGATAGAAGCTTTCGAACTGAGCTGGGACTCGTACAAGCGATACGCCTGGGGTGCGTTTGGCTGGATATCATGACAACTCAATTTGGCTGACCGATGAACTCTATATAGGATTCGATGAATACCACCCCATAAGCAAAACAGGCGAGAATATGGCACCCAAAGGACTCGGTTGGATCATAATCGACGGCCTGGATACTGCCATCCTCATGAACCTGACGTCTCGTGTCCAAGACGCTCGTCAATGGATCTCAGAGTCTTTGACATGGGACCAGGACCAAGATGTCAACACCTTTGAGACAACCATTCGCATGATGGGAGGTCTTCTCAGCGCTCACTACCTGTCAAACGAGTATCCCACACTTGCACCACTGGCCGAAGATGACGAGGGAGCAGTCGGAGAAGATTTGTACCTTGAGAAAGCCAAGGATCTTGCTGATCGTCTCATGAGTGCGTTCGACTCTCCATCTGGCATCCCATACGCAAGCGTCAACCTCCAAAAATTCGAGGGAATTCCATCTCACGCAGATATGGGAGCGTCATCTACAGCAGAGGCCACGACCCTTCAACTTGAGTTCAAGTATCTTGCAAAGCTTACAGGAGAAAAAGACTTTTGGGATCGAGCTGAGAAAGTAATGAAGCTTGTAGATGACCTGGGAGCTCCAGATGGTCTTGTCCCTATCTTTATATATGCTACTACAGGCGAGTTCAGGGGCGAAAACATCCGGTTGGGAAGCCGTGGCGACTCATTTTATGAGTACCTCATCAAGCAATACCTCCAGACGAATAAGCAGGAGCCCGTTTATCAAGAGATGTGGGACGAGGCACTCCAAGGTGTCCGCAAGCACCTCATCACATATACCTCGAACTCGAAGTTCACCATTATCGGAGAGCGGCCGAGTGGACTGGAAAACGAACTCAGCCCCAAAATGGATCACCTCGTATGCTTTATGCCTGGAACAATAGCTCTAGCGGTTACCGAGGGTCTCACTGAGGCTCAGGCACGCAAGCTGCCTACATGGTCCAAGAAGAAGGAGGAGGATATGCAACTGGCGCGTGAGTTGATGGAGACATGCTGGGGGATGTACAAGTACATGGCGACGGGACTATCGGCCGAGATTACCTACTTCAATATCGATAACCCGCCCCCGGCTTACGGTAACGCTCGCCAGGGTCCAGTCAACTTTGATCCAAGCCCGGAAGCCGAATGGCGAAAGGACTTTACGGTCAAGTCTGGTGACGTCCACAATCTTCAACGACCGGAAACGGTGGAGAGTCTGTTCTACATGTGGAGGATCACCAACGACAACCGATACCGTGAATGGGGCTGGGATATGTTTAAATCATTCATGAACCACACGGCAGTGAGGAACGGAGGAGGCTTCACAAGTCTACGCGATGCCAATGTTGTACCGCCCAAGGTGCGGGACAACATGGAGAGCTTCTGGTTGGTAAGTGACAACGATTCCAGCAGCGATCAGCTGAATGCTAACATATCATTGCACAGGCCGAAACACTCAAGTACTTTTACCTCCTGTTCTCACCATCAGACCTCTTGCCTATGGAAAAGGTCGTCTTCAACACCGAAGGACACCCGATGCCTCGGTTTGACATGGGACAACTGTTTTCTACAGGGTGGCAGAGAAAGCCGAGAGATGCAAATGGCAAGATCATTGGCAAGACTGTCAAGGTTGAAAGTCAAGAGAAGGAAACCGTTTTGCAGAATGTCAAGGTGGACCAACACCCTTGATTTCGTATTGCGATTATTGAATATCATAGGAATAAGCTTAAGTAGCACAGCGTGGCGAAGCGAGTATTGGATGGGATATGTAGTATCCATGACTGTATAGTTGATGATTATGTTTTTTTTAGCATGGACATACTCTGGAATAGAAGTCCCCAGCACATTTCGTCATGCTGTAACCAACTATACGTGAACCGTGCTTTTGTATGAGTGTGAGAGACTGTTCTGTGGCTTCGCAGCTGCCTTTCTGGTCCAAGCCTGACGTTAAACAAGGTTGTCACAATGTCATAATATGGTTCGATGGCTGACGAGCCGTTTGTGCTTGTTATGTCTTGGGGAGACAACGCCAAGGGTCCAAGATTAAAACCACTGATAGCAGGAGCTCCGCTTCCCCGTGTTTTCATCTTGGCATGAAGACGCATGTGATTGCCTTCATAATACTGATAAGAGAGTAAGCGACATTGTAAGAGAATAGCAAAAGGTCGACTGATAAAGTTGGGTGAGACGGGAATTTTCTTTTTTCGGAACCGACAGGAGGGGACACGCCGTTAGCCGATAGAAAAGGGTCTTGGCCGCTGTAGGTGAGAGGATGAAAATATTTAGATAGACATGTTTGGTATTAACTTTGGCAGCGCTTTACTCGACTATTTTTGGTCTCCTCTCGAAACAGCCCAGATAGCGTTGTGTTGCCATATCTGATTCCTGATACCCCGAGTGGGATGCTAAATTGAGGAGGGACGGGAGTGTGATAGTCCAAAGTTAGTGGTGAATGCACCTGCTGGAGACGGTTTAGGTGATTTACATGGTCTGGACTCTAGAGGACACAACAGGACAGGGGAACAGGGGTTGTTGATAGCGTAGGTTGGGTTGTCCTAAAGGATGATGGTCGTATTTGGTTCCATGGTGATGGATGATTTGTTGGGTTATTGATGGAATGTCTTATAGCTGAGAGACTATAGAGCCTTGTGCCAGACAACTGCATATTCAATCTACGATTCTCGATTCTCGATTGACAAGCCGATGGCATTTACGGATACTCCATACTTTAAATATTAAACCCAGCAGAACGGTCCAGGTGGTCGGTCCAGTGTCTTGAGCGTGCGGGGTGCCCCAGCCAAAAACAAAAAAGGCGTTACAGCGTGCAGACTCCACCAAAGATAGCGTCCCCTCCACTCCACTCTCTTAAACGCTTGGAGCGTTTGACAGCTGGAGCTTTGAATCGATCTTTGGTGGCGTTTTAGCCCAGGCTAATACCTACACCTAAGGGTATCGGGGGAGTGTTTTGTCTCCGTTTACTGGCCAGATTTGGATTTGATTTAATTTGATTTGATATCAACGATCCTTTCGGGAGGGGTCACCGGTTTGTATGACTGCTGCAGTCGACTCTGCCTAGACTAAGGTAGAGGGCAATGATAAGCCCACCTCCAGCCCCTTCCTACCTGGCTACCCTACCTACTAACCTTACCTTGCCTTGCCTTGCTTCTCTGCTGCGTTGTAATTAAGACTGAATGCAACATTAAACTCGAACTGCAACGTCTTTCAGCTTTAAACTCTAGCATTGCAGATTGGCTTATACAGCTGCATATTCGCTCCTTCGCTCACCTGAGCTTCAACGTCTCACCACCTCCCAGTGGCGACATGCCAACTTGCTCACTACACTGGCAAAGACAGTCAATGAGACACGAGCAAGCTGATATTACACACCAAATATAAACATCCGCACGTGCGCCTTGGGATATTCCCTACATTACAGTGACCCTGACGAACTCGACGAACCAGCGACCTGCGCCGACAAACCGCCTGCTCACATCAACCTCCTCACAATCACCGCCCGCCTACGCCCACGCTTACAGCAACGACAACCCCCAGCGAAGGGCCAGCTCCAGTCATCCCGCCGCCCGGGATCGACCAAGCGTGAGCTCGGCCCAGCGCGCAAGCGCAATCGCAAACTCCAGGATGGCGCCTCACGATGTCGAGCGCGGCAGCATCAGCAAGATGAAGGAGGAGTCTCTTGCGCCGGGGAGCTCCTTCAGCATGCGCGAGCCCGACTACAACGACATCTCCGCGCCGTCGTACTGGGGCCGTTTTGTGGATGGCTTCAGGCGCGATCAGCGGTCGAGCCTCTTCACGAATAATCCGCTAGGCCACCATGAGGGCGCCGAGAGGGTGCATGACGGGGCGCATTACTACGATTTGCAGAGCGCTATGCTAGAGACGGCTAACTCTGGCCTGGCGAGGGAATTGAAGGGGAGGCATTTGCAGATGATTGCCATTGGAGGTTCAATCGGTGAGTTATCGATGGTGGGTGCACCGTGGTTGAACTTAAAGAACTGAGACATTTGACAGGTACCGGGCTTTTCGTCGCATCAGGAAGAGCGCTGGCAGATGGCGGTCCAGCGTCAATATTGCTGGCTTTCACCATCGTCGGCGCCATGCTCTTTTGTACATGTCAGGCGCTGGGTGAACTTGCTGTCATCTTCCCCATCGCCGGATCGTTTTCAGCGTGGGCTACTCGATTTATTGATCCTTCGTGGGGTTTCGCCATGGGTTGGAAGTGAGTTTAGTTTCATTTACAACAAATACTGATTAATTTACTGACTTAACACAGCTACGCATTGCAGTGGTTAATTGTTCTACCACTCGAGATCATCGCTGCATCTCTAACCCTCTCATACTGGGACGAGAGCCTCAAGCGCGCCATTTTCGTATCGGTATTTCTCTTCGTCATCATAGTCATCAACATGTTTGGCGTGAAAGGTTATGGTGAAGCCGAGTTTATCTTCTCCATCATCAAAGTGATTGCCGTCATCGGCTTCATGTAAGTAACCCTCTCTCAAACACGTTTACCCCAGATGTCTCAGAACTAACATTCCTGATTTAGTCTTCTCGGTATCGTTCTCAACTGTGGCGGAACGCCAGAGAGCGGCTACATTGGCGGCCGTTACTGGCAAAATCCTGGCGCTTTCAACAACGGTTTCAAGGGAATGTGCAACGTCTTCGTCACGGCCGCGTTCTCCTTTGCTGGCACTGAGCTTATTGGCCTCGCTGCCGCTGAGACTGCTAACCCGCGAAAGTCACTCCCAACAGCTTTGAAGCAAGTCTTCTGGAGGATCACTCTCTTCTACATCGTTGCCTTGACGTTGGTTGGACTGCTTGTTCCGCATAATGATCCTCGACTTGTCGGCGGGACCAGTGATGCAGATGCATCTGCATCGCCCTTCGTCATCGCCATTGAAGAAGCAGGCATCCAGGTCTTGCCGTCAGTCATGAACGCAGTCATCCTCACGGCTGTCCTCTCTGTCGGAAACTCTGCCGTGTTTGGTTCATCGCGTACCCTCGCCGCTCTCGCAAACCTCCGCCAAGCTCCCAAGATCCTCGGCTACGTCGACCGCAAAGGCCGCCCGCTTGTCGCAATTGCAATCGCCAGTGCCTTTGGTCTCATCGCCTTCCTCGCCGACCTCCCTGAGCAAGGCGCTGTTCTCGACTGGCTCATGTCCATCTCCGGCTTGTCCACAATCATTACGTGGGGCTCCATCTGCGTCTGCCACATCCGCTTCCGCCGCGCCTGGGCTGCACGAGGCCGCTCCGTCTCAGAGCTCCCCTTCCAATCCCAAGTCGGCGTGATCGGCTCCTGGGTCGGCATCACCCTCAACGTCCTCGTCATCATCGCCCAGTTTTGGGTCGGTGCTTTTCCCATCGGCTGGAAAGAGATGACGAGCTCCGGAGTCGCGCGCAACTTCTTCCACAAGTGGGTTGGCGCACCCTGCGTGATCATCTTCTACATAGTCCACAAGATCTACTTCCGCACCACCTTTGTGCGTATACAAGACATGGACGTCGATACCGGACGGCGGGATTTCAATGTCCCTATTCTTGTGACCCAGGAACGCGAGGAGCAAGAGAGCTGGCCGCGATGGAAGCGATATTACAAGTTTATGTGCTAAACCACTGCGTTGTCATGAGTAATGATGAGTCTATGTATGAATGGAGTTGGGTATGTATAATTAGGTATTTGGGAAACTTGGGTTAGCATGGAGTTGGATGGATCACGCATCTAGCGAGGAATATTGGATCTTTTAAACTATTTACTACATATGAATGATACTCATCTTGAGAAAGTATTTTGGAAACCACAACGATCATCCAGGTTTTGAGGAGGGGTTGTCCATTCGCGCGTCACACAGATACACGCTTCGGCTTGAATTGTACATGATGTGAACATGAGGTGAAGAGCTGTTCTTGATCACCGATGGTGATGAATTGATGAATCACAGGCACACGAGCATAAGACTTGTGGTTATCAACTTGTATTGCAAATAATACGGACTAGCAGTGGTATTTCATCTGAATCTTCATATAATCATCCCAGGGCCATGCTTTATATCGGCAGGGCCGATCATCCTCCTCGCACTTGGTGTTTCCCCCTAATAAACCCCGACACACAAGACCGAGAAGTAAACAGATAAAAGCAAGTTGAAAGCAAATGTGACAAAGGTCCGAACTTCAAGGCCTGTGCTGTTTTCGAGCAGGGTTTCCAGCGGACATTAATGCTGATGAACCCTTATGAATCTTGAGTCGTGTGTACATGTGCAAGTACACTGCAGGCTGGAAGAAGTGAAGACTGCGTAACGCACAGTGGCACAGACGAGCCTATCTCAGATCTGAGTGAGCTCCCTAGTAAAGCACTCCTCTCCGCTAAAAGTCCCAGAAGTCCTCCTTGGCTGATGCCTTTTGGCGTGTTGGAACAGGCTTTTCATCCACTTCGCCGTAGAGCCAGTCCCGGTTGGTTCCTTTCCGGCCTCCCATACCATCACCCGCAATGGCGATCTTGTGTTTGTCGGTGTTCTCCTTTACTTGGGCGCTGGGTGCGGTGTTGGATACTGGTGTTCGTCCTGGAACTGGTTTGTTGCTTGTTGTCTCGTTTGTATCGCCGTGAAGCCAGTCCCGGTCGGCGCCCTTCCTGCCTCCCATGCCATCACCAGAAATAGCAATTTTGCGCTTCTCCGCGGTCTCTGCTGCCTCAGATGTCTCATTGTAAAGCCAGTCTCGGTCGGCGCCCTTCTTGCCTCCCATGCCATCACCAGAAATAGCGATCTTGCGCTTATCGGTAGTCTCGGTCGCATCGCTTGCACCACCTTGAAGCCAATCTCGATCGGCACCTCTCCTTCCTCCCATGCCATCACCAGAAATAGCAATTTTGCGCTTCTCCGCGGTCTCTGCTGCCTCAGATGTCTCGTTGTAAAGCCAGTCTCGATCAGCGCCCCTTCGGCCGCCCATGCCATCGCCGGCAACGGCAATCTTGGCACTCTTGGTCAAGGGAACACCCGAGGCGACGGCATTGGGCTGCTTACGACCAGCAACTGACTGGGCGACATCATCGATCTCACCATAAAGCCAATCCCTGTTGGTGCCCTTTCGACCTCCCATGCCGTCACCAGCAATGGCAATCTTATGCTTGTCGGTGTTCTCCATTTCAGCAGCTTCGTGTTGTGGGTGAGCCGGCGACTTGTCGGTGATATCAAAGTGGTGGTCAAAGTCCTTTCCGCGGTTCTTCACGTTGGTAATGTTACCTAGAGCGCCCCCGTTGGTTCCTATTTCGTCTTTGTTAAACGATTGATTCTTGCGAAGTCCGAGGCCATCGTTTTTATAGCCTCGAAGGTGGGGCATTTTCTCACCGTCTTCATGGCGCTCGGACTGTGCGTTGGCATCGCGCCGGGGCTTGGTAGCCGGGCGATTAGGGGTCTCATCCACAGCATCCTTGTCAGTGTCCCAGTGACGAAGATCCTGGGGTCGCATGGTCTTAGAGGGCTTCACTTTCTGGGGCGTTGTGAAATCTTCGAAATCCCATTGACTATCGTGCTTGGTTTTGGGTCTCTCGTGGAAGGGTACGCCTGGCTTGGGGGCATCCTGGGGATCGCTACCGTCGGCAAAGTCAAAGTGAGAGTATTTCTTGGGGTCAGGACGAATGTATCGCTTATTCTTAGGCTGAGGCTGCTCCACGGGCTGTTCGACATTCTCCTCGTCGTTGAAGATGCGAGAAGGCTTGAAGTTCTTACCCTGACCTCCCTTCGCGGGTGACATGGTTCGGCGGCCAGCGCTTCGCTGCTCCACGGGCTGTTCGAAATTCTCCTCCTCGTCGAAGATGCGAGAAGGCTTAAAGTTCTTACCTTGACCTCCCTTCGCAGGTGACATGTTTCGGCGGCCAGCGCTTGGCGAAGTCGGTTCATCTCCTAGGATTTCTGTGAAGGATCGCTGTCTCGGGCGGTTACTGGTACCGGCATAAGGAGACACAACCTTGGAGGGCTCTGGGTCCTCGATCTCGTCTCGAGGACCAAATAGTCTCAAGGACGCATGGGGATCGCGGAAAGCATTGTTAGAGTTGCCTCGGTTTCGCGCAACGGACTCGTTGTGGCTAGGAGCCGCAGGAGCGGCAGTGCCAGCAGTCCTGATGCACCCCTGGATAAATGCGATCTGCTCTCGGCTATCTCTAATAGGCCAATTGCGACCAGTCTTTCCAATGACATCCACTTGCTTGAGAAGCGAACCCTGGTCCCATTGAAGCCTGATCTGGAGGATCTTGCCGGCTTCGTCGAAGGTTACAAAATGAGTCTGTAAGTGGAACTGTTAGTGTGGAGTTCACGAAAGTACAACCCAGGCATAGTATAGGTAAGTAACATACAATTGGGAGGTACACGTCACGGGCAGACAGGAAGTTGTCGTCAAGGCCTGGGAGATATGGGCCGCCACTAGTTTGGAAGCCGAGACCTGTGTCAACTTCTAAGACAATGACGTTTTGGCCATCAACGATGTTGAAGACCTCCTCCTTCTTCTTGGCCACCTGCTTTTGAAGACCACTAAGGTGCTTCATGATCTCAGTAGGACCAGCAAAGGTCGTGGTTGTGGTAACGTAGTGCAGCGCAGCTGTGTCAGCCAGCACCGAGGAGCTGGGCGCAGCAAGGAACTGCTTGTAAGTGGCCGCCATCGTGAAGATGCGGGGAATGCGACTTGCGGAAAGAAGAGAGTGTTGTTGATGTATTAGATAAGTTGGCAACAGAAGAAGATACCTAATGCAGAAAAGAGGCGACTTAGGGCACCCGAGACAGAAGAAGAAACAGCTGATGATGGTGAAAGAATCAAGTCGCGGAGTGTTTTGGAAGGAGGAGGAGGGAGAAGATACAGATTCAAAACAAGCACGTGGAGTTGGAAAGTGAAGGTGGGATGAAGGATCTAGTTAACGGGCGAGTCAGGGGTCCAGAGAAAGGTACTGTAGAGGTTACCTACCTGCCTATTAGTGCAGCACTCAAACGCCCCCTACCTTGCCCTTAAACTCCCTTCACTAGGGGGCTATCTCCCTCGTTCAGCATGACGAATACATACATACAGCACCTGTGTCTCCCATTGACGGCGCAGTCAAATCACCAAACATTACTAGTCTTGGCTGGGGATGGTATCTCAGCTGAGGGGAAGTCGAGGAAATGAAAGGGATGACTGCCCTGGCCTGGAGCGATGCACTTACACGATGCCTGTCTACTCCACGTTACCTTATTACATGGAGGCCAACGTCATTCATGCCATGCAATCGGGTTGTTACTCATGATACATCATCTTTTTTTTTAGAATCACGGCCAACTATTCTGATTCATCGTCATGTTGTTAAGGGCAAACTCACTCAAAAATTGAGTTGCGGCATGGCTCAGGAACGCTCCTTTTAACTTTCGTCGATGACACCATCATCTTCATGCAGATCACGTTGCAGGGTCCTCGTTGCGATCTTAAGATCCATAGTTTCAAGGGCCTTATCACCTACAGCGTATCCATCAACAAAGTCGATGAGTACAGTAACTCCAATCATTTAATCCAACTTGTTGTTTGTTTGTTTGTTTTGCTTGCCCGGGTGACGTTTGACGCTAACACCAAAGTTGGCTCTTGAGTAGGGATTCATCAATCTCTTATACCAACGAGTAAGATCGATTCTTACAGATCGCAAGCATCAACGTTACCCCTCGTCTGGGCCTGGGGTAATTATATGCTATGGCATCTATTAACTTGTCTCCGAACACTCAACAAAGTATTGTTCTTGTTAACGTTACAGTCAATACTTTGATATTGAATGCTTATTATGCTCGTACCTTTTTCTGCCATAAACATAACACGATACATGATACTACAGCCGATGCGGCAAAGCTTGGCTCTGCACCTTGTCAGACTAATGTACAGTACCTGATAAATACGGAGCCACGATGCCGATCCAGGGGACGCATCAACGCTACTCCACATTGTTTCATATCCAATAGGCTTTTCCTTTCTGGGACTTCATGATTGGTCTTCTTTCTGAAAACAAGTTATCTAGCATGGTGTTAGAGTACTTTCCTCCAGCAATAACGTTAATTTGATTAAATAATTTTATGGAATTGATCAAGTATATACCTTAGTAGATTCAGTAGTCCGTAAACCAATATTATATAAAAGGATCATTTTTTGGTATATACAAGCAGGATTCCGTGGTACTGTATAGCGTATAGCGCTCAAGAGCCCCTATGAGTTTCCTACCTACACGAAATTATATGTGCTTAACACCAATGAAGAACTCCGGTTCAAGTTCTTGGTGGTCGTTTCTGTAATGCACGTATTATTACATAAAGTTGTCAGGTTCAACGATTAAGTCTATGTTCTTGTATCACATCGCCTCGACCTGCCAATGAACTATGAACAGCTATTGTGTCTCTTATGCTGGCTCCCGACATAGTTATGATAAATAGTTGTTTCTCTCTCGGTAGGCACGAACTTCAAATTTGGCAACGTCAGTGATTACTCCACATAAATGATTAAGTTCGCATAGCCATGTGAAAGTTTGTTTTGGAACCAACGTGCTTCCATGGGATTACCAAAATATCGCCAATGCTAAATATGATCAGAAAACATTGATAGCACTAGTTAAGAGGCGCACGCAGCAATTAACGAGATTGATTTATGAACTTACATAGAATACCCAGCTTAGCAGACTGTCTATTGCTGCAACTATCAATTGTTAAGGAAATGCTGCTTCAACTTATATATTGTTCTACTCGAGATCCATTTACCCTATAGCATTACGAGGCCTGAGCTCAACAGTGACGTGTAGCAGCCAGTGTGGCAAAGCTCGACGCCACACCTGCAGGCGAAACAGCTGCCGCCTCAACTGCTGACGTGCGTCGTAAGGAGCAAAGTGTCCTGCCTGCAATCAACTCCTTCAACACGTCTCAGGCACAATCGAAGCGACATTGCAACATCTACGATCTTTTTTCTTTCCTTTTTGCTGCACGAAACTATTCGAACTTGCGAGATCCTCGCACCTTCCGACTCCGCTCGCTCCTTCATGATACCGTTACCGCAAGCTCCGCCGCCGCCGCAATGATGAGGTCCTCAGCATGGGCCGCATTCTCATGGCGCGCCCTTGTGTTCTCACTACTCTGGACAGCCGTGATAGCCAAGCAGGATAAGCCGACAGTCGACGCTTCTGTTGCCAAGCATCCTCCCCTTAACCTGAACTACTTCGAGGACAGTGACGTTATCGTCTTCCAGGATATCGAGGAGAGAAATGTTTGGAGATCCGAAGATGCAGGCAAAACCTGGGCGCAAGTCCCTGACATACCCGATCGAGCCGCGACCTTCCTATACCTTCACCCGCACGATTCTCACACTGCTTTCGTTCTTACTAAGGATCGAAAGCATTACAAAACCGAGGATCGTGGCAAGAGCTGGAGTGAGTTCAGCAGTGGAACAATGCCCAGTGCTTTCCAGCGTGATACCATGGTTTTCCACGCTGGCGATCCGAAGCGCATTATCTTCAACGGAATGAACTGCGATGGTATATTCTGCGACGAGGAAACAACATATACCACCGATGGGTTCAAAACTGTTCAGCAGCTCCGTCCTAGTACTTCCGGCTGCTGGTGGGCCAAGTCGAACCGAGAATTCACAACTGGTGATGCAGATCTGGACAAGACCAGAATTCTTTGCATCGTCACCGATCCTTTGAGCCTCTTCAAGACAAGCCAGAAGCTGTGCGTTTCAGATAACTTTTTCGCCAAGGGTAGCAGTGGAAAATACGACGAATTTGAGCCCAGTCTGGACGGCCACCGCGATGTGACCGGTGTTGTCAGTGTTGCTGCAGTCAAGAGCTTCATCCTTCTTGCTTCTTCATCCGTTGGAAGTGATGAGATGACTCTTTTCGTTACAAGCAACGCCCAGCAATGGCACCGGGCTATGTTCCCCACGGACGATAGTCACGACCATTCTCACAAGATCAACCAGGAAGCATACACTGTTCTCGAAAGCACCAACTACAGCATTCAGGTTGATGTCATGACATCTCACCCGTCCAATCCTATGGGAATTATCTTCACTAGCAACTCGAACGGCACATATTTCACGGAGAACATTCCGTACACCAATCGCAATGCGAAGGGTAATGTTGATTTTGAGAAAATCAGCGGAATACAGGGTGTTTTTCTTGTTAATACTGCCGAAAATGGCAAGGACGTTGACGAGAAGAGCTCGAAGAAGGTCATCGTGACCCAAATCACCTTCGATGATGGTAGAACCTTTGCACCAGTCAAGGCTGGCGATGATCGCATCCACCTGCATTCCATGACCGAAATCAACAACATCGGACGCATTTTCTCCAGCCCAGCTCCTGGACTTGTCATGGGCAATGGAAACACAGGCGCATCTCTCGGCGAATTTGAGAGCTCAAGCCTTTACGTCTCCGACAACGCTGGAGTTACATGGAAAAAGGCGCTTGATGGCCCACATAAGTATGAGTTTGGTGACACCGGTAGCATTTTGCTTGCAGTCAGGGATTCTCTCAAGGAAGACGTCGACAAGGTTTCTTACTCCATGGACTATGGCGAGAACTGGGAGTCTGTTCCTCTGCCCGATGGTCTGAAGGTCAGACCTGTCATTCTTACTACCACGCAAGACTCGACAAGTCTCAAGTTTCTGCTGGTCGGCGAGAAAGAGAGGACATTCCACATGATTGCAATCAACTTTGAGGGCATGGACAAGCGCACTTGCGAAAGTAAGGACATGGAGTCATGGTACGCTCGAGTCGACGACAAGGGAGAGGCAACTTGCATTATGGGTCACAAACAAACATATAACCGACGCAAGAAGTCAGCCGACTGCTTCTTGAAGGCTGATTTCCGTGACCCCGAACCTGTCATCGAGAATTGCGAATGTGCCGATGCCGACTTCGAATGCGATTACAACTTCCAGAGAGACCCCGAAGACAACAAGGTGTGCAAAAAGGTTGGCCCTATTCCCATCCCTGAAGGTTCCTGCAAAGGCAAGGATGAAAATTTCAAGGGATCGTCCGGATGGCGTCTTATTTCGGGCAACACATGTACACGCAAGAGTGGTGCCCAGAAGGATGATCCAGTCGAGCGAAAATGCTCTGATGGTGGGGGCTCAGGTGGCGGCAGTACACCTGGCACTCCGGCCAGCGGCGAGATCGATATCAAGACAAACGAGTTCGCAGACACCAAGGGGCAGGACATGCAGAAGTTTTACTTGACTGGCATTGAATCCGGCCCCTCTGACGAGGTTGTCATTGCTCGACCCATCGGTGAGAAGACCAATGATGGCAAAGTTGAGGTGGAAAACAAATTATGGCTTACATCGGACCACGGTAAAACCTGGAAGCGCATCCTCGAGAAAGAAGATATTCTGGCTATCAAGCCTCATACTTACTTTAAAGAATTTGCCTTCTTCCACACGAAGTCCGAAAAAGTCATCTACACCATCGATCGTGGCCACAGCTTTCATAGCTTCAAGACACCGTTCGTCGATCCTGACGGCAAAGGCACGCTGAGCTTTCACCCAGACAAGAAGGATTGGATGCTCTGGGTCGGTAAGCGTTGCGACGATGTGTCAGGAAGCAAAGATTGCTTCCCTGAAGCCTCACTCTCTACCGATCGTGGTGATAACTGGAAGACTTTGCAGCGATATGCGACCCAGTGCGAGTTTACAGGAAACTCTGCCTACAAGTTCCGTGCTCAGGATCAGATCGTCTGTCTAGTCTACAAAGACGAGAACCCCGACAACGACAAGACCCTTGTCACCATTGAGGATTTTGCTCCTGATGACAAGATTATCCACAATGGCACGGTGGCAGCTTTCGCTACCATGAATGAGTTTATTCTCGCTACTGACGAGGTTGCTAAAGACGGCAAGGAGAAGGGTGGCCTACAAGCCATTGCAAGTATGGACGGAAAACATTTCGAAGCAGCCCAGTTCCCACACAACTTCCACGACTCTCATTCGTCGCTTTACACCGTTCTTGATAGTTCTAACCATGCCGTCAATCTGTTTGTCGCTACGGATCTTTCCGAAGGCCGACGCAGGGGTTCAATCATCAAGAGTAACTCCAACGGCACGACATATGTCCTCAGCGCACCTAATGTCAACTCTGACGAACTTGGCTATGTAGACTTTGAAAAGGTTGCTGGTCTTGAGGGTGTCACTCTCATCAATGCTGTTGCGAGCCTCGACGATAAGAACGGCAAGAAGATACAAACCAAGATTTCCCACAACGATGGCGCAGAATGGGGCTTCCTGCCACCACCAGCAAAAGGTGCCGATGGAAAGTCCTACTCATGCAGTTCATCAGGAGACAGCGACTGTGCCCTCCATCTCCACCACTACACCGAGCGTGAGAACAAGGGCAGGACATTCTCTGCAAGCACCGCTGTCGGCTTAATCTTTGGATACGGAAATGTCGGTTCAAGCCTGGGCGATATCAAGGATGCCGATACCTTTATGTCAGCTGACGGTGGTATCACTTGGAGAGCAGTCAAAAAGGGCGTCTGGACATGGCAATACGGTGACCAAGGCTCGATCATTGTTCTCGCACAGCGTGCTTCTCACGGGAATAATGTCAAGTCTAAGATTGTTTCGTACTCCACCGACGAGGGTAACAAATGGACCGACCATGAGTTCAGCAAGACTGAAGTCACTATCCAAGACTTAACATCTGTTGTCAGTGGAACCTCTCGAAACTTCTTGGTCTGGTACCGAACCGATGACAAGAAGCTTTTCACTGCCAATCTTGATTTTACAGGACTCGCCGACAAGCCCTGCAAGTATTCTGAGGACGATTCTTCAGACTATGATCTCTGGTCTCCCAGGCATCCTCTTCAGTCGGACGACTGTCTGTTTGGTCACAAGGCCAAGTATCTGAGGAAGAAGACAGACCGCAAGTGCTACAACGAAGCAAGCATGTCACGACTGCGAGGACACGAAAACTGCGAATGTACCCGGCGAGATTACGAATGGTAAGCACTCTGATGACCTATAGACATTTGAGAACAGAAACTGACTAGACGCAGTGCATACAACTTCGAGCTCGACAACCACGGACAATGTAAACTGGTTCCGGGTCATGACGCCCTTTCTGGTGAAGATTGGTGCAAGCAGAATCCCAATGAAACATCCTGGTTCGGTCCTACAGGATATCGTCGCATCCCACTGACTACCTGTGATGGCGGCCAGGAGCTGGACAAGACGTCTGAAGAATACGCTTGCCCGGGACACCAAGACGAGTTCGAACGTAAGCATCGCACTTCAGGCTGGGCTATCTTCTTTGCTATCGTCATCCCTGTTGGATTTGCAGCCGCGTTTGGCTGGTACGCCTGGCGTAACTGGAGCGGAAAGTTTGGCCAGATTCGACTGGGCGACAACAGCGCAACCTTTGACAGCGAGCAACCCTGGATTAAGTACCCGGTCATCGCTGTCTCTGCGCTGGCAGCCGTTGTTGCTGCGTTGCCGCTTGTTCTAGCTTCCGTGTGGCGATCTGCCTTTGGTGTCTACGAGCGTGTTGCAAGCCGCAGCAGAGGCGGCAACTGGTCTAGACGATACACAACACGAGACAGTTTCGCCAGGGGACGGGGCGATTACTCTATGGTCGATGATGATGAGGGTGAGTTGCTCGGTGACGAGAGCGACGAGGAAGTTTAAGGGGAGTGTGATTGTACGAGCTACGATGGGTAATCCAAGGACCGGGAACTGTACTATGACATGGTGTCTTACTGGGAGACTTTCCTTTTATTGTTGACTGAAAAGATGAATGCGATGGAATGATATGAGCGTTTGGCGAGAAGATAGTCAAGTTTATGTTATAGCTTGGAGATATAGAACAGGAGGATGGACACTAGCAGCATGGTATACTTATCAATTCACTTGCACTTTGGCTATATCCGAGTAAATCCTGTCCCTGCCAAGTGAAACGTTTAAGGTTATGTCTTAGAGGATGGGGCGTGAAGAGGAAAGCGAGACATGAACTACCCAGCATCTCACACCTGACGGTCTCAAGCCCTTCGCAGACCATCTATATTGTCGAACCCCTTACTACGTAGTAGAGGCACACAATAATAGAGCAAAATAAGAGGTCCGAGGCTTTAGATAGTCTATCATAATTTTACTATAGCTTTATATAAGAATACCGCAAGGTCAGCCTTGCTATTCTATCGCGTATTTCCCTTCCCTGGTATTCTGTCTCCGTGGATGCCACATCATCTCGACGCTCGTCCACTCCATCCACCCACCGGACAACAGCTCCCAGAAAGGGTTTTGCTTATTTTCAGGTCACTGCTTCTTCACCAGCTGCCACCTAAGACTTGCATGAACTATTTACGACAGGTATAGGGGAGGAATGTCCAGAAGTGGATAACTGTGCCGGACTTTCTTTTTACGAAAAAGCATGTAAACTCCGTATGTATGGATTTATGGTGTAATTAGTGATGAATGCACAGGCAATCACACTTCCCGCGCTGTCGCGTGACAGATCCTTGTCGGCTGCATCATGTATGATTATAGCATGGCTGATAACAGATCATGTTGCAATAAGGAGTGCCACCATCAAAGCACCGAGTGAGTTGTGTGTGAGGGCTGGAGTTTGAAGTTTGACAACGGTGATTGACAAGTCACAAATATGTCTGTAAGGTGCAATTGATTGTACATATAGATTCATGTAGCTTATCTTGATTTATATTTCAATATTTGATGCGGCTTTACGCCACCTTCGTCTAAGTAAAATGTTTGCAACTCTGGCACAGATCCATCCGCGTATTGTCGTATTAGTCTCAGCATGGTTGAGATTCTCTCAACACATGGCACCAATCGAGCAACCAAAAATCAAAAGACTGACTCCCTCAACTCCACCCAATGAGGTAACCGAGACTGTTGTGCTCATGGTCATGCCTGTGTATATATGTATATAAATAAACCGAAATATAGCAAATGTGATGCAGTAAGAGGTCTATGACAGCAATTAAGCAAGCTGGGGTATTTCGTAACAAAGAAAAACTCGAAAGAATGAATGTATCAAAACAATAGGTTCCGCTCAAAGATCGATCATTAATAAGAAACTTTTTGTAAATAAGAGTAGTGCGGCAAGACTCCATGGTGAAGACTAGGATCGCTTGACTCGATTCCAGAATCTTTTCACTGCTCCGCTATCCTGATCGGCATTGTCTTCCCACTGGTCCAGAGCAGCGAGTTGTCTTTCGACACTCTGTTTAGAACTCCCGTCGCGCGCATTCATGGCTGGGGCGAATCCAGGTTCCTCGCGGACTGAACCTGCACGGCTGTTGGTGTTCTGCTTCCAGCCATATATCTGATCCTCGCTTTGGCGCAAGTCAGGCCTCGTCAAGGTCATACGAAGCGTCATCTCTCGGCTGGCTGCAGGGTCATACATGGACTTATCCGCCCTTGAATATGACGAATGCTCGATGCTGTTGCGAAGTGATCGAATATGAGGCACCTTGTCAAAGAGTTGTGGTGTTTTTGGAGAGTCAGGCTCGGCTGCAGAAGCATCGTCACTGTATTTTGACGAACGATCATCTTCCAGAAAGCTTCGCAACTTTTCCGGCTCATAGGCGGTGTTCTTGTAAACCCCTCCTGTTTGAGGTCGTAGTCCGTCCTGAGAAGGGAACCCGAACTCAATAGCTTCGTCAAACTTTTGTGGCGACGCAAGATAAGCCCGTAGCTTCTTTCGAGCTTCCGGGTCTTGATAATGAGTCGCAGCAGGGTCAATAGGAGATGCCAAGGGTGAAGGGGACGGCAAGGGTGTTTGTCTGTTGGCAGATATCAAAGACAATGCTCTAGCCCGAGACTTCTTGCGCACATGTCCAGATGAACTGACCCCAGAACTGTGCGAGGTGGAGGGTGGGAGAACAGTTGGAGATGATGGACCTTCCCCAAATCCAGGTCGGTCGGAGATAGAGGGTCTTCCGAAGGGCAACTTGTTAATCGACAGATGACGGCGGAATGATGGCCTGCGGCTCTTGTTTGGAACAGGTACCTCCTCGCGCAGGTTGATGTGATAGTCATCAAGGTACAAACGCAGATCAAGACCTTCTTCATCGTCAAGCCATCGGAAACTATCGTAGAAAGAATCCGGTCGCTTCATGTCTGAACCTGATGTTCCTCTGTCACTTTGCCGGGGCCTCATAGTCGAGAACGATGACCGTCCATTGGACAACCTGGGACTTGCAAGCGGAGACTGCATATTGATATCTTGTGATTGACACTTATCAGGCTTGTCTTGCACCTCTTCAGTTGCTTCGATGGCAGTATTCTGCAATTCGTAGGCGAACACAAGCTCCTCGTCTGTAAGATGACGACGCTTTATCTTTTCAGGAAGATTAGCGTAGAATCGTTGGTCCGTTGACGTGATCCGTTGGCGATCCGAGTGCTGAATAGGAGCATCCGAAGTGATAGGCCTGTCTTGGTGTTCGTAACTGCCTCTAGGTTTCGGGAGTGATGACCAAAGAAGTTGATCTTGTCCGACGCTACCAGCCCGTTGACGATTTCCCAAATCAGGAGAGCGAGCCAATTGCGACCGTTCGATAGTTGTGAAGTACTGTAGACAGCTAACGTTTAGTAAAAGAGACGGTATAAAATATGTAGCGAGAAGAAGCAATGAGGAATATCAAGCACAGATAAATCATGAAAGGGAATCCCTGGCTCTTAAGATACGAAGAAGGGGCAAAACTGGAATGGGAATGGGCATGTCTCAATTCAGGAACGAAGCGGTAGAGCTAGGGCAGAGTTGTCGACCAAAAGGCTCGTGGGGCACAACTTGAGGATGACGCCTAGCGATTGTCGGGCGCACAAGCACGTTGGTGTACCGGATGGCATGGATCGGCCAGGAACTGCACGTCTAAGGCGTCGTCACAGCGCCTCAGTTAGGGGATGTGATTGCTGAGCGAAAGAGAGAGTGCACTCTGTAAGCTAGGGGTTGCGTAGCCAGGACATGGGGGTATCGGCCAATGGCTGAGCACTGAATCCACCGATTGCGTGGAGCCACCTAAACGGCCACCGTGAGCCAGGCCAGACAGGGCATGGTCAAGACATGGGAGGTGGGCGGTGGCTTCGAATAGCGATTCCTGGTGGTCCCTGGTTTCCTCGGTTTGGCGGTTAGGCGGCGACTAGCCCCCGGCACCTGCAAAAGAGGATCCATATGTGCAGTGGAGGATAAACTTAACCTTGCACAGTCATGATGATTTTGTACCGCTTGGGTTGAGCCGGATGGGTACGGGACGGGTCCGAGACACTTGTCGAGGTACGGGATCTGGTTTATTACCAAGAAAAAAGAAAAAAAGAGAGATGCCAAAGATGATGAGGATTGTCATGGCAATGGGGAATCGATCGGCCACATAACTAGCGGCTCAAGCTTTAACTTGGTGCTGCTCCCTGAGGGTCGTATCGAGAAGGATCGGAAAACAAAATATGGGACACGGGATCCGCAGAGTAGTGAAAGCCACGAACTTACTTTTCGTTGAATCGTCGGTGGAAGAGACTCGAATTCTTCTCTCGTAATTGTTGTTGACGGTCGACTATCTGGGGTGGGAGGCCGAAGTTCAGAAGATACCATCGGATGTCTTGGTGAATCGGAACCAGCACTTGGATTGCGTCGCCATTGAAGGAGATGGCTGCGGGAGGAGGATGGGCGAAGATCGGCCGGGGCGAGGCTATCGTCAGGGAAGAGACATTCGGTGTCGATTATACTCAGTAGGTCGTGATATTGTTGTTGCTGGTAGGACTGTAGGTTGTCATGACGAGGTCGTGTGTCTGAGTGTATTCGCAAGCCAACCTGCTCCGACTCTGGCCATGAGCGATACATGTTTAGACTGGACGACGAGAACGGTTCGATGCTGTCATCCATTGTGGTGATGGTCATTGCTGTGGTCGCGATACTCATGGGACGGGATGGTAACAAAAAGCTATGATCACCGAGGCCGTGGGTTTGGTCAACAGTATCCGCAGTGTCGCTAGTGTCGAGTTTGGTGGGAACACAACGTTGGCGTTGCGACTGCAGTGGTGGCTTTGGGCGATCTAGAGAGTGCATATTTTCGAAATGGGATGCATAGGCATGCGGGAAACCTGCAGATATGCGGCTCTGGGTGTGTTTATGTTGATTAGGTTGGCTTGGGTAGTGATGCAGAGGTCTTGGATAAAGGCGATGGGATAAACTGGCAGAGCTGGAACAGAGGGTCTCGTTGTCGACAAGGCTTATAATATCATCAGCTCTGTCCGGGACCCGGCTATTAACACTCTCGCTATCTGCCCAGCTCATGTTATTGTTATCGAAAGCCTCCACTGGCGCACCTCGATTCGGCCACTGATCCTCGTTCTTCCGAAGACTCAAGTCCAACGCTGTCAGCCCATCATCCTGGCCCATGACGGTAGTTTATTAGCAAGAGTCGAGGGTATCGCTGCTAAAAGCAGCACGAAGTGCGGCAGGGTTGTCGAGATTTGTCGGCAGGGAGTGGTGATGAGACAGAGGCAACCTAGTGGATGCTGATCATGAAGGCAATTTGGAAAGACTGGACAAGCACGGCGATGCAAGGTCCACCGTCTGCTGTCAAAAGTTGGTCCCCCGCAGGCACCACTTCTTCTTTCATCAATTTACCCTTGCTTTTGGTCGTAAATGACACAGTCGGGAGGTTTCCAGTCAGCGAGGGGCGATCAGGGTTTGGCCGGGTATGGGATGTATTGCAAGGAGGAGAGTTGCAATCCTAATAAAAGCGTCGAAATTCGGTTGAACCGAGCCGGAGATGAACCACGTAATGAAGGCAGGTGTTCTCAATGGTCGTGCCTTCTCGAATAGTTTCAACAGCCCATGATACCGTCATAAGCGAATTCAATTCCCGATGAGTGGTTATAAAAGTGCCGTAAATAGATCGAAAAGGGCCAAGCAACGGGCAGACAAGGCACTGTAGGTACGGATAGCTCGTGTAGGTTTCTGTAGGTCGGTTTGAGGTTAGGCAGGTACAAACCTTAGCCAAGCCCCATAAACGTTGAGGTAAGATAAGGACCAGTAAAACGCCTTGTAAGTGGTTCAAAGCACTCGGGAATGGGTTCGAATTAACTCCTGGCGAAAGTTGACAGCTGAATGGGGGGGAAATCGACGATGTGACTGTGTGGTTTTGGCGTTACTACGTTAGGTCTTGGTGCATGTGCATGCGCAGAAACAAAAACAGAGACAGAAGCATGCGCAGATGCAGGTGCAGATTTGTGTCGAAATTCGAGCTCGTACCTAAAGTGTACAATAGGATATCACAAAAGGAGAGGAAGAGAAGAAAACAAGTGAAAGACGAAGAAGCGAGGTCAACCACGGGTACCTACTCCATACATAAAATCCCAGATGTTACTCCAGACCTCAGAGCAGGTGTCGCGCCGCTCCGCACCGCACCGCGTCGTATCGTGTGTCCTGTGCTGTGCTGCGTTGTGCTGCTCTGTGCTGTCCTTGCTTTTCGGCATCACTCCAATAGATGACTAGGCCCGGTCATAATGAACAGGCATTGGTGAACACGACCGCTTCTCTCTGCTCAAAATAACGGCGGTGCTTCATAACATGTCACTGTCCGTCCCCATCAACCATCAACCTCGATCCCTGCAGTCTGCGGTCTGCAGTCTGCAGTCTGCACTTTGAGTTCGAGGTATAGGTAGTGGTCCCGACTCCTTGGCAACGGCAAAGAAATAAGAACAAGGTCCTGCGAGTTTATTAGTGAGCCAGTTTTGGTGTGGGTTCACCGGTCTTCGCTCGCTCGCAGGCAAGCTCGCAACCTTGAACCCACCCGCCCAAGGCCCCAAACACACGCAAAAGCAAATACTTAGGTAGCTTTAGGTCGGAGTCCCAAGTTTCCGGGCACACAGTTCGACAAGCCAACCTCCGTTGGGTCAAGTGCATTGCAGCTACTGCACGGTACCTGACTTGGGTGTGCTCGTGCTGACGGATCGAAGTTAACGTTGGGCCCAAGACTCTAAGGTCTCTAGTCACTACCTAAGAAGCGCCGTGGTCTGTCACAAGGCCCAACTCGAGTTAATCCGTACTGGAGTGGAACTCGACAATGGAGCTTCACAGCCTGGGGGGTACTGTTTTAGCCCCTGACTTGGCTTAGGTTCAGTTCGAGTCTGGAGACTGGGGGCCCCAATGCGTCCTGGTGCGTCTGTGACCGTTGGTGTTATTAAAGTGAGAAATCCGCAATTCATCGGACATCAACCGTCATCAAGCAATCGGATTATCTAAGTTAGCACCTCCACACATTTGAAGCAAGGACGGCAGACGCGGAGGTAATAGCAGACGCAGACGGGAGGGTCTGGCCTGAGGCGACCTAAAAAAGCAAACATGTGCAGATCTCGCGCACGTTTCATCGTTTCATTCTGGGCTAGACGTGTACACAGGTACGGTTTAGTTTCCGACTCGCACCACGAAAACAATAATTACTGGCATCATATCATTGAAAGAAAATCGCTGCTGCAATCGGTTACTTGGCTTGCTGACGCCAGATATGTCATCAACAGCCATCACGTTAACCATTACCGCCAGGGTTACCTTACCACGTCGAGTCTGTGTGATAAGAAAACAGTAGAATCCCAATCCCAATCCCAACAACCAGACTAACAACTCATCCTGGCTTGGCTAAACTCCGACCTCCCGGTACCGATTATCATAGCTTCTCCCACTATCCCACCTTATTCCCAGCCGTCAACTTCGTCACCGTCCACAAGGGGTCCATTGGCAGCCAGAACCAACAGTCACCTGCCTGCTCAAGATATTGGTGGTGCCCATCATTGCCAGACTTCTATTAGCTTTGACCAGTAGCCAGACTTCCCTGCAACCCTATCAAGCTACAACGGGTCAGGGCTGATATCTGACAAGCTGGCAGACAGGGTACATCGCTGCTACAAACGGTTAAGCGACATCCCATCCATCACACATCAGCTCCATCACGATAGAACCCTTGAGCCGCTCCACCAGATTCGGTTCCAATTCCACGAAGAGCCAGGTTGCTTTTGGAATCTATCCCGGGGGCGTTGCATTTATTCTGAAGATCTTCGGCATGCCCGTGAAGTGAATGACCAGCATGACAGGCTGACATGGAAAGCATCACACTCAGTTCAACTGCAACTCCTGATATGCACAGCTACTGCGCCGCCCCCATACCTGATTTTGAGCCGAGCCAACTATCGATGCTGTTGGTTATAGCATTCGCGAGCCCTAAAAAGCGGTATTAGTGAGTTTCTCAAGGGGCTCGATGTTTACAAGTAGCATTCTCCACGATTTCGACGGTGACGCCGATACGAATCGTTGTGTAGACTGAAGACTCCTGGAGTTCGCATTGTCCTCGGTTGCGCAACGTGGTTCAAGTAAATAATCAGTTTCAACCCGTGGACTATGGTGCAACATCAACTATACGAAGTGCACCGTTACGAATGAGCACTGCCATATTGTTTAGTCAAGTCTCGGAGGATTTGGCTCTCAGTCTCGAAAGGTGACGTGTCTTAGATCTTGCCTGCCGGCACAGAGCCTGTACTTTCTGAGACCTAGTCCTTACCGCCTTTGAGGTACTCGTCATTTATAAAGCGATGTCCGAAGTGGTAAAGTCATGATGTGTGTAAGTCGGCTGAACAGTCCCCTGTAGTTGAACTTCTTGAGGTAGCATGAGCCTAGTTCTAGTATTCTTTCTCAACGAGACAACCTGACTTCTCCGTTATATCACAAAAATACATTTGAATGTTGTTCTCAAACACACACCGATCCTATACATAGTCCCGGTCATGGCCTCTGGGCTTTGAAACATCCCCAGGTTTATCCTACCGCTCGAGACGCGGATTACGCGGCTTGTATGAACCCTTAACTGGCCCTACAAGAAAATAACCGCATTTTAGGAATCGGCCACGGATGAATCACCATATAGGGACTAGAAACACGATGCGGTGTAGAAGGAATGGAGTTGTTTATGTTGTCTATACGTGATTAGCGTTTGTCTAGTTGTACAAACGCATACACCTGAAACTGTTTGGCGGAGTGTGGATCACGACATGAGAAGCACAGACAATAGACAGCACGGGCTTCGGACTCCCGCCTCTCAGCGCCACGACGTAGGGTCTGTCGTGCATGTGAGGTGGTATCCATCATACACGTGCTTCGGGAGGTCTGTGGTGGCAGAGTGACTCCAATAGATGCTTTGGTGCAGGAGCCAGCTATGGCTCCCTACGAGACGTCGGACGAAAGTATATCGTGTGGTTGAACAGGGAGTTCCTGGCGTGTTAGATAGAACTCAGGATCCAGCTTTCAAGATCGTTCCGTTTCATGAAAGAAACCATTGACTCTCAATGGTGAATTAAGCGAGAACAGTTGCAAGATGGCTCAAGGTTGATAGCTGATGCTGTTCTAGATGTTCAGATCATATTAGGCTCAGCGTTAACCTATGGATCATGGATATCCCAAACGCTATCTCCAAAGTTGATTGCAAGTGAGATATAACAAGAGCAGGTAAGTTAGACCTACAATCTAATCTAAGCAGTGTCATGTATACGCCGAGGACTAGGGTTAAGCGATCAAGTGCCTGAACTAGGCGACCATAAGCTCAAGGGTGTCCCAGTCTAAGCTTGTTAACAGATTTATGTTGAAATAAAAATCGTGTAAGATACGAGTCAATCCCCAATTGAAATATGAGAAGCCGCATCAACGTCTTAAAGCTTGACTTTTGGTTCGAATTGATAACCGTGTAAATCAGCATGTTGTAGCTTGTCCTGCTTGTGAGGTTCATTTGCCGTTGTTTCGCCGATGCCGCATCCACCCACAAACAACTTTCTACCAATCAAAGAGCGTCCTGGATGACGCCGCTGGCCTCAGCCTCGAGGAAGGCTCAGCCTTTCTTACCTGCCGTACCTAGTAACCATTCGACCTCTTATTCACCACGTCTTGACTGGCCCATTTGTCTCGCCGCAACCCTATATTCAAACTCTATCACTGAGTCACTACTAATGGAAGACTTGAGACGCGTTTGTTTATTTCTTATAATTTTGTAATTTTTCTTTCCTGTTTAAATATTCCTTCCTTCTTGATACCCCCCGGACCTGCGCTCCCCTGATGACATCGGACAAGATGCCGCTCATGCTGGATAACTCCATGCCAGTAGATCTCAACGCTGTCGATGATCTTTTTGGCGATGGCGTCGATCTGTCTTTGCCTGTTAGGGTCCAGAGCAAGCAGCTTCAGCAAAGGATGGACGATATCAGAATTCGAGGTTGTTGCCAGTACGAAGAACCGGTTTTATTGTTTATACATGGATATATAGCTAACATCCTATAGAGCTGTGGCATGGTCAAGGACGGGCACCATTGCCAACATCACACCAGATGGCCAAAATGTTGAGCTTCGTTATCTGCGACGTTCTCCGGATGATGGCTCCTGGGATCTGAGTGAACCCACCACATGCCCCTTTGTCAAGGGAAGTCCAACTATCCCCATTGTTCATTTGGTGTGGGCTGGCACAAGCAGTCCAGATTTGGCAGTGATCGACTCCGTCGGTCGCGTTATTATCGTCAGCTTCTCCATCACACTCAACCATCCTTTTGTCCAACGAAAATGGGATACTGACCCGACTGACGACGTGCACACCATTGTCGGCGCTTACTGGCTTAATGTCGCTCCCTCAAATCAACAGGTAAAATCTTGTGAAGAGACTTTGGCGGCACCTACTAACATCGAAAGTCTTACAATGTTATGTATGGGCCAGCTACAAAACACCCTAATGGATATATGTATGAGAGCTCATTCATCCATGCTGGAGGGCCATCACATCCCACATCGGCCAAGAGTGCCCTGTTGACCATCACTACGCATGGTGTTGTCAGAATGTTCTGGTCACAAAACACCAACCGTATTGAAGAGACGACCATGGAACTGGAAAGTATAAGCGCTTCTGATGAGTTGATCACGCATGCGGCCTTTGCATCAGAAAAGAGTGGGTATTGACTATTTGACTCGCCTTGTATACATACTGACAGCTAGTAGAACACCTACTTCTTGCCCTTGCTACAACCTCAAAACAATTGAGGCTGATCAAGATTGAGATCCAATGGGGCCAGGCAGCTCAAGCCGAGAAGGTTCCTGGCCGGCCTGCAGGAAGTCTGAGTCCTTCTCTGGTTGAGAAACACTTAGCTACCACAAACTGGCTCCAGGGAGGCCCTGGAGATTCTGGCATTGATACTTCCATGATTGAGCTTTCGCATTTGGAGGTTCTGCCTTCTGTGACAGACAACACTGGGAAAAGCACCACACCACCAATGGTTGTCGCAGTGAGGTCACGAACTCCCAATGAAGGCTCTTACCAGGTTGTCCAAAGCGTCATTGATCGTTGGGAAGCTGTAGAGCAAAAGCAAAATTTGCCCTCGGCCTACGAACAGCTCGGGGGTCGACGAAATAGCATCTCCTCAGAGCTTCCCGCCACGATGCAGTTGCACAAAGCTGCGCCTGTTACAACCAACAAAGTTGTTATTGCGTTCAACACCACCAGTTTTGGCAAGTTTCTGGTGGTGGCTTTCGCAGATGGCACAGTCGAGTACCGCGACAGACTTACATTCGAAGAGTTATACGCGGCCCAGGATCTCAACAAGGTCATGAACCTTCGACAGATTGGATGGACATTTTTAGACGAAGGACCATGTAAGTATCTGAATCTCATATGTAGCAGTCCTGGCTGACAAGACTTGCAGGTCAACAAGTTGCATTTTCGCCCACCTATTGTTCCATGGTGCAATTGGGTGAAGACGGAAAAGTCAAGTGGAATAAATTACATTATCCTCATGGTGATATCGGAAACTCTATGCAAGATGGTATGTTTCAACAACCTGAGAAGTATATATCCCACTAACAAACTGTAGCTCTATACTCTGGCAGCATTGCGGCCTTGACTGTTACCGCAGCGCCGTGTTTATTCTACCAGAATAACTACGACGACATGCTCGCCATTGTTCGGCCGTACACTTTCAAGAAGAGTATGTTATTTTGTCATGCTCTGTGTGTATTTACTGACGACAGATAGGATTTGTTCAGGATTGGATTACTGAGATTATTAGGATTCTCAAAATTCATATCGACTACTCTGAAGAAACCCATCATGACTCACTTGTGCGGAATGGCTCTCTGCAGTACTGCTTCAGCATCATGAACGCACTCGGATTCCGAGGCGACTTCAGTCCTCGATCCTTCCAGAGCAAGTTCTCAATGCTGTTCCTGAACGTACGGAACGTGGTCGTCCTTGTTACTATTGCTAGCAATACACCTGTTACGGTCAGGGAAAAACTAAGTCCTCTTGACGAACCAGGTAAGTAGTATTTTACGTGGCCCAATCCTCTTTCTAGTTGCTAACCGTAATACAGAGGTCATCGAGACGCTTGGTGGTTGCGCAAGGTGGGCGCTAGATCTTATTGCTTGGCTGATGGACTGTCTCTTTGAGCTCATGAGCGATAACCACTTTCAGGGACTCCTGACTCGTGAGCGCTTCTCTGAAGTTTCTCCATATTTGCATGCGAAAAACAACGTTGCTCTTCATTTCCTGATGAGCTCATCAAGTCGAGGATTTCTCTCGGCAATATGCCGCAGGCTATCACACTTGGAAGCCCTCAGTGGAAGGGCCATCGAGTTCTATAGAAGACAGTCGGCAGTTGTCGAGGGCGGAACCGGAGGCAGGGCAGCCCCCCAGCTTCAACAAGCGTATATGGCAATGCAACAGGTTACATCATCGGCTCTCGTCAAGGTGTCAGAGGTCGAGGCTCTTCTCACTGAGCTGAGCAAGGAAATTCGACAAGCCTATCAAGTCTATCTCCCAACTTTTGTCAAGAGCCAGCAAAACCCACCACAGGGTAAACAGATAGACATGGCAATCAAGGCGGCCCGTGTACAGATAGAGCTGTCGATGCTCCTCTCAGCATCACCGCCTCCGGCATTCATTCAGATCATCAAGAAGTTTTTCACTACAGACCTGCCGGCATTTCGAAAGACTATAGACCCGGGCCGCCTGTTCTTTGCAGATTACGATCTTCTCGAGGTGCAGGATGACGAACACAGCCTGGCAGCCAAGAAGGCACGGGGTATGCTGTATGTGGATGTGTTCAAACGCATGCAGATCAGACCCTCCCCTAACAAGCAGTGGAGACGGTGCTCAAGGTGCACTGCGGTGATGGAGGATGTGTTTGGTAGCAGGCCGGGGTTCACATTTGTCCTGGGCCAGCAAAGGAAGTGCTCGTGTGGAGGACAGTGGACACTACTTCCTAAAGGACATGTTGCTTGAGTGGTTGAAACACGGCGTATATACAGGTTGTTGGAGTTCTTAAAATGATAGTTCATCCCTATATAATATTATTTTCACGACAGAAAGTGCCTGTTCATTTGTCTTTCTAGTGATCAACGCTAAACATGTGGTCTCTGACAGTTGCGAAAATCTTGGTATCTGTGCCTATGACCTAAGGCTTTAGCGTTCCTTCAGTAGAAATCAACAGACACACCAGTGACCTGTTTCGATGAGTAGCTTCTTCCATCTCCCTGGTTCTTGGTACTGTCAGCAAGTCACATACTGGCGCGTGTCCTGGATCGAAGGTCTCGGCTAGTGACATCGGCAGCATTGACCTGAATAACGATGTCTCACTGACAGGGGCAACATAGGGCGGGCTATCTGTAGTTGGACGATGGCACATAACTTCAGCTTGACTCATGATGGTCAACATGGTCTATACGCCCTATCACTTGCCGTAACGAATCTGGATGTATTTCGTTCACCAAGTTCACAGCTCTTGTTCCTTAGAGTCAACACCAATGACATGGCGACATACCAAAACAAATAACCCCACGATAAATTAATTCCCACGATAATAACCTGTCAAGAGGCAACCTACCTTTCTCCATACCCCATGGGAAATTACGATGTGATGGCGCCAGACTTAGGGTAGTTGAAACAGTAACGATAGCGTCCCATTGACCGTTTTGATCAACGAACGCTTAGAGGAGTGCGTTTATGAAGAAGATCGATCTTTCTGTCAGAGTCAGACTATAACACGCTCCAACGCCACCTAATTTCGAGTCAGTGGGGGGTGATAAGCAAGAAAACAAGAATGATCATCAGGGTTCTTTTTCTTAATAAACAGGAAAACAAGGTCGGTAGTTGTATTTTTGGTCCGTTTTGGCCCGTTTTGGCATGTTTCCGATGGATCCTTGTGTGATTCAACTGTAGAGTCGTAGTAATGTTTCATGTGCTGTAAAGATCGGCGCATAGCGTATCATGGGCTGGATAAGAGTGTTTGGAGCAGTATTTCCGTAGGTAGTAGTCCGACTCGAGTTTGAGCTGCCAGGTACTATCTGATGGAGAAATGGACTGACATATTAGCTTGGGCATGGCACGAGTCACGTAAGTTGGCGTTACTGCACGAAATATCGCAGTGCAGTATTTTGTTTCGGTTGGATGGTGTAAAATTCGCGTAATGGCTAGCAAGATCGTGTATCGTGGCCCTTTGTCCATCGCCTTTAGTGTCGAAAGACGAGAGTAGGGAACAAATGGTCTGGGTTGGTAGTCTTCAGCTTGCGTCACTTTAGGTGCATCATCGTTGGATTGTATTCTCCGACTTGACTGCCGAAATCCTTGCCCATCATGAGAATAGAGTTTGAGTCTTTGACAGAAAGGACCCTGAAAAAAACATATGACGAGCCTTCAGAATACGAAAAATAAAGACAGCAAGGAGATACCCTGTACAGCGTAGAAGGGATTGAGAATATGTCAGTGATGTAGTCGTTATGCACGATATGTCAGACGCCTCAGCCAAAAAGCTTAGAGTAATATGAAAGTGAGATTATAATCTTCACCGCTTATTCTCCAGATGCACCAGGATGATAATGTAATTATCGGAGGAGGAGAATAACCACCAACGAAGTATAACTCAAGCTTGTGATGGTTCATTGATGGATGTCCTATGCGCTAACGTTAAATGCACCCGTTTATTCTTGTCCAGTAAGTTATTTGGTTATCTCATTAGATCCCCTGTCGCACACGTGAAGCTCTAAGCAGGGAATGCTGTAGAAACCCCTGGATCAAGAGGCGGCTGAGCTGAAGGTGTTGCTGGGGGGAACAAAGGTTGTCTTTCTACGGGTATACTCCGTATATTCGTACGGAGTATTCATACGGAGTAATGCTCCATAGCATATATATATATATATATCTGCGTTTAACCTATTGCAGGGAACAAACACAGAAAAAGAAAGAAAGACATAGAAAAGAAATCTATCGGCTGGTAGGCGGTTGCTTGCATATGCATAGAATTCGTAGAACGTTTCGATAGCCGCCATGATATAACGGTAACACAATTACGCGCTGTCGTGGAACAATCGTTCTTTCAAAGAAGAGGCGGCCAAAGCCATGTCATACAAAGAAGTACATGATCCCTGCGCCAGCCTTGTTTATAGTTCCATGCCTCGGTCATTGAATCATCCGCCACCTGAGGCATTGATCGCGACAGGGTCTATGATTAGATCGCTTTTCATCCCGCCTAGTATCTTCTCTATTGAGGCGAGATGAAAGCAAGAAGGGAAGAATAGGGGATGTGTGTTTGGCTTCTCCTGATTGTGCGCAGGATGATATGCAGTCTGTATGTGAAGTAGCCGTGCCGCTTTGGAACAGAGAATTGTCCATTTGAGGCGAGAGACAGCAAATCTGTCAGGAAGGTAACATCCAGCCGTCCAGTCTGAAGGGTTTGTAGTCCCAATTGGTCGCAGATACGTACCGCTCTTTGCGCGGCGCAAACAATTGAAGCTCACAACCCCTGAGGTGTTTGGTTCAGGTAGCGCCCAGGTTATGACGCTAGTGCAGGTACTTTACGGTAAATCCTCCTCCGATCCTCCACCTTTGTCACCACCTTCACCTTCACCAGAACACCACCCTTGCCTCATTTGCAATTGGCTGGTGAGTCCACGCGCGATCCTTTCAGGTACAGATGAATTGTGAGTGGTTCCTTTGCGCGGCTACGAGTTGTGAATCACTGCCATCGACTGGCCATTGCGATCCAAGGCGACAAAGGCTTTGAGACAGAGTCTAGCCAGGTCCTAACCAAGCCTCTGCATTCCATTCGTCCTTCATCCGAAATCCAATTCGTCCCTCGCATATTCGTAAAATGATCAGCAAACCAAACAAATGAACTTTCGATCGAATAAAAAGCCTTTGTGGGGGTGGTTCACGGATGCGGACAAGGGGGAGAGAGAATGGGCCCCTTTCTAAGCTCATTAGATCCCCCTTTGGATGGACTCAAGAAAGCTGTAATTTTTGGACCCCTGGCCTTACCGTCAACCGCTTAGACAATTCGTGCATGGTCCCCAGCCATGGTCTCAATTCTTCCATCTCTAGCTCTAGTAGTTCCTTTCTTTGCTCCTGTCCCGTCCCTTCGCTTCGGCTTCGTCTCCCAGGGGCCAATTTTCTCTTCTTTCCTCCCTCACACGCTGGTGATTGAGCGCCTTATTGCGGTGATAACACATATCCTTCACTTCTACTGTCACTGTACACTACTACCTAACTGTACCGCCTATCGTTTCTTGGCTTCTGGCCCCTGGGTCAACCGTCGATAGATCGTGTCCTGTCGTGACACACACGCCCTCCCGTTACGACCTTACCCCCCCACTATCGTCCTCTCTTTCACGCCTCTCACCTCTCTCACACACCAGCTTCTGCTCTCTTACCGCCCAAGACCTCACACGAAGTCTACCGTTAGGTGCTTCGTACCGAGGACGGTATATCTTCCAAATATGGAACCCGCCCTAGCCTCCGCTCCGGGGCCTGACGTGACGGAGCATTCTGGCAATTCTGATACTCGTTTCGATACCAAGACACCTCCTGCATCATCTGCTACAGCTTCTTTCTTCCCTGCCAATAACTCTTCTCCATCCTCTCCAGTATCGGCCCTACCACCTCAATTCAAGCAGAATCTTCAATCACGGTCGCAGTCTCAATCGCATTCACCTCCTCCGATATCAATTCCCGCCCACGCTCGCTCATCAACGGTCGACGGTTTCCCCGGCTCGTCCTCCGTCTCCGGTTCCATTGCGTCGCCCTCCGGTTCCGTAAACTCTCCCCTCGGAGGACCCATCAAGCGCAAACCTCTCTCCTCCTCAGCCTCAGCGCTGGCTTTGCGCTACTCGGCTTCGGGATCTTCTCCGCCATCACCTTTAGATCTTCAGCTTGAAAAACCGAGCCAGAGATTCGCCAGGCCTGATTCCGTCGACAGTCCTACCCTCTACGAATTCTCTCCCTCTTCTCGCGCCGTGCCGCCAGCTACCCAGTGAGTCCTGCCCTTAACCCAATTCTTTGTTTCTTTGTTTCCATGTCTTAGATGAACAACTGTTGCCCCCCTCACTTCCCCTGCAGAATGTGTTGCTGACTGGAATTCGTTCTGGCAGAGCTCCCGCCAAACTGGCGTCCCTTGCCGCGACAACCCCTGGAACACAAACCATTCCAGAACCCAGCCCTACCGCCTCGAGCTCAGACTTCTCTGACGTTCTGGATGGGTATGATGATCTGACATCCGACGACAAGTCCGATTCTGCACCAGACGTTACCTCCGAGACCATACTTGATGGGAACGATAGCGACGAAGAAAAGATCAAAAAGATTAGCCCAAGCGACAAAGAAACCACCACTGCTTCTAAACCCGCAGACACAGCAGACCCTCACGAAACAGAGGCACAAAGAGCCCCATCACCTGCCTCCGATAACACGATATCCAACAAGACTCTTGCTCCCGCTCCCATGTTTGTCCCGAAGCCAACTCCTCCACATCTCAAGCTCGAAAAGGTCACAATTGACGTTGCAAACTACGACACATCACCGGATGAATCGCATTCACCATCGGGCCAAAACACACCTCAGCTCAATAAGCCCTTACCCAGGTCACCAAGCCAGACCTCTCCATTTGCTTCACTATTCAACTGGGGTGCTCCTTCACCCTCGCCCTCTGGGACGGAATTCTCGTCCACGTATTCGCCAATCTCACCCTCGAAACACGGCGGGGCCAATGAGACCTCATATTCAACGGTTAGCAATCCTCATCATGCAACTCAGAAAGATACCTCCAATGGAGCGGATATCTTGAGCTATCGTAACTCATACTCATCGGTTTTACAGTCCCCAACTTACGCGCAAATCGACGAAATGGAAGACGAACTAAAGGCCATCAGCGTCGAGCTGGCCAGCTCTATCAGGCGCGAAATTGACCTCGAAGACCTTGTCGATCGTCTCCAAGAACAGATCAATAATCCTCAAGGCCCTGGCAAGAGGTCAAGCGACTACTATTCCGACTCGGGTTACAGCTCGGCCAAGATGAGCGAGGCTGAACCGAGTCGAGAGGAAGTTGAAAAGATTCAAAGGAGGTCTGAACAAGAGAAAGCCTCCATAAGACTGGAGCTCACAAATAAACTTCAAGACGAAAGGGGGAGAAGAAAAGCTCTGGATCATCAGATTAAGGAGCTAGCTGAAAAGGCGTCTCAGGTTGACTTGGCTCAATTGAACAACCAGGATGCCAGTGGCCGACTTAAGGACCTTGAGACCACCTGTGGCGACCTCAGGCGACGATTGTCGGAGGAGCGAGTTGTTAAGAACAACTTCGAGGACCTCATCAACGCCATCCGTGGAGAGCTCCACGAGGCCACCAGCGAGCGAGACAACCTCCGCGACGAGATTGTTCCCGAATTGAGGGCTCGTGTCGAGGGTCTCGAGATCGAGGCTGCCGAATACGCAAACTTGAACTACGAGTCTTCAAAGATGCAGCAAGAGCTTCAAATGCTCAGGAAAGAATACGACAACATAAGAGCGACATCGAGACCCGGTTCCCCGACACCCTCCAATACCCGTATGTCGCGCGCTATGTCTGGCGGCTTTGGTGGTGGTCTTGCTAGATCCAACTCAGTTGCGACCGGCTCATTCCGTGCCCAACGACCTTCGGGGCTGTCTAGGTCTAACAGTGTTAAAAACCTGCAGACCGAGTCCAGAGAAGCACTATCAGAGAGGCTCAAGGATGTTGAGGCTCAGAGAGACGCTCTCCACGGCGCTTTGAAGAACCTTCTCGAGCGACAGCACTTTCAAGACCGCGAGTACACTAAGAAGCTTAAACTATTGCAGAATGACCGAGAGAAGCTTCTCTCAGCATCTCCACGCAAAGCGGGGTTCGAAAGAGAAATTTCAAACCTGCGCACCGAGATCAACGTTCTTCGTCGCCGAGCTGAAGATGCTCTTGAGCAGAAGTGGCAGGTAGAAGACGGTCTAAGTGGCCTGAAGATGGACTTGGACAAGGCTGAAGGAGAAATTGCTCTGCTCCGTGGCCTGTTGGAGGAGAAGGACATCCTCATTCCTCCCTCCTTCGCCCGCTCAAGTGGCTCTAGCACTGGCAGCAGCTCATTCGGTAACCTGAGCGCGCCGGTAACATCGGAGTCACTTGCCAAGGCATACGATCAATTGAAGGCTGCCTATGTCGAGTCGCTTGAGCGAATCAAGGACCTTGAGCATGAGACCGGGACGGATGAGAAGACTCAGCTTGCTGTTGAGCGATTGGAGCGCACCCTGTCTATTGCGGTTTCTGAACGCGATGCTGCTAAGTACGAGGTTGATAGCCTTCGAAACCAGTATGACACGATGAGCGAGTATGAGAGCATGAGCATCGAGACCGAGCGTGCTCTTGCCGATGAACTTAATGACTCTGCTCGCCGGGTCGGAGAGCTTGCATCTCAAGTTCAACAACAACTCTCGGCAAACGCTCAGCTCCGAGATCGCCTATCAAACGCCGTTCTTCGAGGTGACAACGACCGCAAGGCCAACTCGGACCGCATCGCCGACCTGCAGGTCCGTCTCAAGACTATGGAGGAGCAACTTATCGTCGCTCAGTCAGCATCTGAAGATCGAGTTACCCGCCACGAGGAAGAGATTGCTGCCATCCGCGACGCGCACAACGCCCAGCTTCAGCGCATTAGCAGCAACACAGGCGTTAGTGGCCTGCGTTCCCCCAGTTTCCAGGCTAACCGCAAGCCTTCCCTCCTGAGCCCGGTTTCTCCTCGATTCCCTGGCTCTCCCCGATCTCCTCGCCTTACAGAGAAGAGCTTCGAGGAGGCTGCAGAGATGGAGATACTTCGCAAGCGTGTCATTGACTTAGAGAAGGCTCTTGAGGACGCTGAGCACGAGATGCAGGATGTCATTGCCAGGATGAGCACTGCTCAGATTGAGGTGCTTAACCTCCAGGATGAGCGCGAGGCTGCTGTCCGCGAAACACGCCGCCTGCAGAAGGTCCTCGAGCAGGAGCAAATTAAGTCCTTTGAGGATAGATTCAAGACGCTTAGTGGCAACGTCTGAAAGAGAAGGATTGGGAAAATAGTCTAAGACCACATGGATTGGAGCATGATAATGGGATCACTCCTTGTTGGTGCATTTAGCGAAACGGAGTTGTCTGATTTTTACCTTAATCATTATTTGGTAATGATTCTCCGCAGCCAGGAAGAAAGGTTTGGCTGCGCATTCTTACCCTGACTCTCTCAAGAGTCTTGTAGTACTCTTTTGGGTACCTATTCTGTGGTTTACATCATCGCGGCTCACATACGCGTGCATTGGAAAAGGAGCTCTTGGAAATATTTTGTGTCGATTAGTTGATACTTGGTTTTACATCGAACACGGACCGCAAACGGACGTGGTCTGCTGGATCCATAATGTTTTCTGTTATTGTTTGGCTATTGGTTAAGGGGATTGCATGAGTATTTTGGCATTTGCAATCCGCTGAGTTGGGTTGTATAAGGGTTTAGCCGATCAAGTCGACCGTTGCATATTAATCGACTTAAAATCTAATACATACACTAGAGTGTTTTACTTACCTAACTAATTGTGGTTTTGCTATGTTTGTTTGTATTGTGGCTAAGCGTGTGTTTGGGGATCAATGGTGATTCGAGTGTTTGCTTTGGCAGCATCTATTCCATCGCGATTTCCATTGAAACCATCGCCAAAACTGTTTGGCAGTTGCTATACACTTCCTGCCAAATTAACCACTTTGCCAGTATCAAAGATGATGCATATCCATCTCTCTTCTTCTCCAGCTCATGCGCGCCCATGCATTATAACATATTTCCTGTAGGAAGTATCGCCACTGTTTTTTCTCTATCTTTACCACGGCATGACTATTGTCGTGATCTCTGATTGATCGCGATGCTATCCCTCAAGCATCACACCCTATACTGGGGTCTTTCACTCTCGACAATCCCTCTTACAAGCCTTCGAGAGTTACTTATCAGATATGGCCTCTTTCCCGACTCTGTTAACGATATCCACTTCCCCGTCATCTGCTTAACGCTTTATCTCCTTATACGCTACACACTATTTCTCCAAGACGAGAAACTCAAGGAGGATACGAGAGATGTCGTAACCACATTCAGCGGCAACGTCATCGCAGCGAATCTTGACGAGCCTGCGGAGGAACAGCAAATTGCGAATGAGTCAAATTCGAACCACACAAACGCCAACGGAAATGGTATCGTCAACGGGAACGCCAACGGGAACGGAAACGCCAATGGTAAAGCAGCACGAGGAGGAAAAGGGAAAAAGAAATTCATCAGAGGCGCCAACGGTAAACCTCGAGAACTTCAGCTTGGGAAGGAATCGGACCAGAATGGAAACGCGAGACTGCCCAACAGGAATAGAACACCTCAGAGTCCACTGGCGATGCCGCCTGACGTTAGTCTCCGACGACTCCGAAAGGCCTCCATGGAGAAGAAAAAGCCCGCGGAGCATTTCCTTCTTGTCATAGCCAGTAAACACTACCCAGTTCTGTACTTTATAAGTCTGGCACTGTTATGTACTCGCAAGGACTGGGTTCTAGGATTTGATGACAGTGCTGAGAACCGATACGTTATGTCGGCTGGCCGTGTTCTCATGACTTTCATGGCCTTGGGAACTTTGGAGCCGATAAGGTGTGATGTAAGTGGCAGATCTTCCTACTTTCAAGACGAGAAATGGGGTTTAATATGTTCGCTCTAGCGGTGGGACGTTCAAGTTTGTGGTATGGGAATGTTCACAAGTTGCTATACGCCTTATGATGAAGGACTGAATCCTTGTGCCCCCGCCTTGATAGGAGCTGGCGGCCTTGTAGTAATAGGAGGAATCATGGAGACCTGTTATTATATGACTCTTGACCAGTGGCCCTGGTGGCCCGAAGTATGGTTTGAGAGTGCTCTCACTACATCCGATATCTGGATTCGCATCGAGCTACTCGCGCCACTCATCGACATCGTCGAGACTGTAAGTTCTGAGGCAGCTCCAGTTCATCATAGACTAATATGAAACCAGATACTCTATTCTATTTCACGACACACCCACCCTGAATGGTATAAAGAGAGAGAGGAACTTTTTCAGAGGCCCCTGTAGTACACGCGGGTTTCTCATAAGGTATTGATCCTGGGGCACAGTTGGCTTCTTTGCAATTCAGAGGCACGCAGGCTAGACGAGCTTTGTTCGATATAGGGTACCCAGTCAGGACTGTGCAGGACATAGGAAGTTTCTGTCTCCAGGGAACTTTGGATCTTTTTAAAGAACCAGTCTGTCCAGCCATATGACTGAAGGTTGGGACATAAAAAGCGCGCATTTAAGACTAGATGGAAGTACATTACCTTTATGCCAAAAGGTAATCAGCGTATGTAGTTAAGTAAACCCACGAAGAACGAAAGTCAGGTGGCTATTTGGGTTTATAAATGGCCAGCCCGTTGTTGTAAGCAGACACTGCCACGCCGCAGAGTGAAACAAGAAGCCATAACCGAAACCTACTATGAGCAGGAATAAAGAGGCGTCTCAGCCAAGAAGTCAATTTAATAACTTCTGAGACTATTAATAAGGACCGTTGAGGAAATAGATAAAAGCCTGGCTTGTTAGTTGCCCAGTTACGAGTAAGTTCAATGTTCTGCTGCAGGCGAAAAGGGGCAGGTATTAGCTTTGCATTGTCCGGGGTCGTTTCCTCTGATAAGATCATATGGAGTGTTATCAACTCTATTCTTTACTAATTCCTATCATCATTATCATCAGCTCTTTGAGTTTCGTATTATCCTTGACATTTCAAATGCCGTCAACTATCGACATGTCAAGATTCACCAGCCTCATCTCGCGCAGGGACATATCACAAGCATAAGTCTCCGAGCGTATCATCATCACAGGTGTTTGATGTAATCGTTTAGTCCGAGGAGATGTCCATCTGTCTGGCTCTTTGATGCACGGCTCGACGAATCGTGATTGTGAGGCGGGAGAGCGTTGGTTGGTGATGAAACGGGACATGTCGAATATCACAACGGTGCAAAAAAAGCAAATGCAAAGGCGAGTCAAAGGGCTTTGTCGCAAAGTGTGCCGAGATGGGGAGGTGGAATATGTACAGACAGGCGCATTGACGTTGTAAGTTAGACGTTTATGTTCGTTCACCAGAGGGTTATTGAAGCTGGGCGTCTTAGATGAACCCCCCACACTCTGCTTGGACCAATCATTGTGGAAGGGCTTATCAGAGACCCCAGGTGAGAACTGAGACGAGAAGCAGCGCGTCATATGCCGACGAGGTTGTGCATTTCATTTCATTTCTTTTTTATACAAAACAAGGTGACAAAGTGTAAGAGTGAATGAGTTGTGAATCTACGGATAAAAGGATAGAGCATTCATAAGATAGTCTGATAGAGAGTTATCAAGATGACTCCATACCCCCCCCCCCCAAAGAATGCCAGATAACTGGGGTTATTGGTATTAGAAAACAAGACGAAACCCCATGCTGTCAGAAGAGATCTACGTAGTATACGCTCAGGGGCAGACGGGCCAACGGATCTGGGGAGAGAGATGGATGTCTTATCAATGAAGATCCGGGGTTTTCAGAGCATAACAACTATCTGCCACGGGAAGCCTTTTGCCATTTGTCTTGCCTTTTACTTGAGCTTTTCTTTAAAGAACAAGTGAGGCAAAGATAATAACTTAATCAAGCAAAAAGCCTCGTGCAGATAATGATGAGTGAATGATATGGCTGTTCCTGCATATCGGAGCTTGTGGCAGGGCTGGAACCGGGGGGGTTTAGTTAGACTAGGTTTTGTGGTGAATTCCTGATGGGTGAAGGATGGCGTTGTTAGGAAGGGTTTCAAAGGACGGTAGAGGCGGAAGCTTATATATGGTTATAGTTAATGGAGTAGAGACTGCGCGCGTAGAGACATTTGCTCGTCCTTGTTTGCGGGCAACTAGGTCGTCTCTTCTCAGCGCTGTAGCTTCATTGTTAGAGAGATGGAATGGATGTGGCGGATCAACCTAGGCACTTCCATTAAGTTACTCGTTATCCACAAATTGATAGGCGTCCGCTGTGCTGGGTCGTTTAGTCTGGGGGACCCCCACTGAGGGTCGACAGAATAGACCAGTCACTAAACACCAGGTACCAATAGTGGTAGAGCATGAGTTATTCTATCATCTGGACATTGAATTGCCTCGCCCCAGAGAAAAAAAAGAAACGTCACGGCGGGACCGGATGCTATTTTCTAGAGGACCCTTTTTTCGTGTTTTGCCTCTTGTTTCTTTATCAGACTCAGATTCGGACTCATCAGAACTCACTCATTGTCGACTCACCTCTCACCTATCTCTATTGTACACCAGTAATACTCTAGACACTCCATCTCCAGGGGTTGTTGCACAGCCAAGCTCAGCTCATCTTTCTTGGGGGGATCCTTTCCAGGGATAGGGATCTCTTATCTATCTCCCTGTCTGAAATCGGCATCGCGCCCTTTCTCTCGCTCGTCACTCTCTCTCTCTGGGCACTCTGCTCTCTCAGCCGTGCACCACCACACGAGACATCTCCTTCAACACCAATCCCAAGGCACACACAGTACACACGCCCCCTGGCGAATTCTCTTATCTCTTGCTCTTCCTTCTTCCTTTATCACCGGGTTTGGCCCATCATGTCGCCGTCCTTGTCGCTCTCGTCGTTGTCACTGTCACTGTCTCTGCCACAGTCGCGCCACTCCTTGTCACCCTCCTTTCGTCTCTCTCCGACGTTGGCTTTTCTATTTCTATATCACTCGTCCCAGGTCTCAACCGGCGTCATGGCTATGGGAGGTGACGGCGATGCTCGAGGAGCAACACAGCTCAAATATAACGGCACAGGTGCAACAGGCGCAAATCCGCTCGATATGGATGTCAATATCTGGTATGAGGTGAGTCTAGTCTTTCTTCCAGCCTCTCATACTCCTTCTGCTTCCCCATTTTGGTCATTATTCTCTCGATCTTCTACTGCATGTATTACTGTCTTTTCTCTTCTTTCTCTCACTCTCACTCGAGAGCCATGAGAAAGTCTGCGAGAGAGACAGTTCAGTCTTTCAGTGTCAGTGGGTCGCGTTGAATAGTGGCCCCTCCCAAATATCTTTAACGCCCGCAAGCTGACCCTTTGCGCCCGCAGCCTGGAGACATTGCCTGGATGCTCTCGGCCACAGCTTTAGTATTGTTAATGATTCCCGGAGTCGGGTAAGTCCATTCCTTATCGGTCGCTATTCTCATTAGCTCATACTAATCATTTTTTCTGTTTCTCTGTGTAGCTTCTTCTATTCAGGCCTCGCCCGTCGGAAGTCGGCTCTCTCGCTTATATGGCTTTCTGTGATGAGCGCCGCAGTAACGACCTTCCAATGGTTCTTCTGGGGCTACTCACTCACATTCTCACACACGGCCGGGCCATTCATTGGTGACCTGGCAAACTTTGGCTTCCGCGATGTCCTGGCCCGGCCTTCGGTCGGTTCGGCCCATGTACCTGACATGCTCTTCGCCGTCTACCAGGGCATGTTCTCCGCCTTGACCGTGGCCCTTGCGACCGGCGCCGTCGCCGAGCGCGGCCGAATGCTCCCCTGCATCATCTTCATCTTCGTGTGGGCCACTGTCGTCTACGACCCCATCGCCTGCTGGACCTGGAACCCCAATGGCTGGTCTAACAAGATGGGCGGCCTTGACTTTGCTGGCGGTACCCCTGTGCATATCGCCTCGGGAAGCGCCGCCCTGGCTTATTCCATGATGCTGGGCAAGCGAAGTGGCCATGGAACACAGGAGCTCAACTATCGTCCTCACAATGCTACTCACATCGTCACTGGAACGGTCTTTCTCTGGGTTGGATGGTTCGGTTTCAATGCTGGTTCTGCCCTCTCAGCTAACCTCCGCGCGGTTATGGCGGCTCTGGTGACTAACCTTGCTGCCTGTGTGGGTGGCATGACCTGGTGTCTTTTGGACTACCGCCTGGAGAGGAAGTTCTCCACTGTCGGCTTTTGCTCTGGCGTTGTTGCTGGCCTAGTTTGCATCACCCCTGGCTCTGGTATGTCAACTGTATTCTCTCAAGTTGGTATAGTCAACTAACATCATAACAGGATATGTCCCTCCTTGGGCTGCTGTCATCTTCGGTGTTGTAGGCGCTGCTGGCTCTAACTATGCTACCAAGTTCAAATTCCTCCTCGGAGTCGACGACGCTCTCGACATCTTTGCAGTTCACGGTGTCGGCGGTCTGATTGGCAACATCTGCACCGCCTTCTTCGCCAGTCCGACTATCGCTGCCCTCGACGGCTACTCTCACATCAAGGGTGGTTGGGTTGAGCGTCATTGGGCGCAGATGGGTTATCAGCTCGCCGATTCTGTTTGCGGAGGCCTGTACTCTTTCGTGGTCACATGCACCATCCTATTCATTATGAATCTTATTCCCGGTCTGCGTCTACGCGTCGACGCAGACGCCGAACTCCAGGGCATTGACGACGCTGAGATTGGCGAGTTCGCCTACGACTACGTTGAGCTCACTAGGGAGGTGGTCAACGATATCGACAACGAGTCCGGTAGCCGGTACTCGGCTGACCCTACCGCGTTCCAGCATTACGAGAAGAACCACATCCCTATGATCGATGCTCGCATGTTTGGTGGCCAGCCTGCGCATACACCTGTGACCTTCCCTCAGTGAGGTCGTCCCATTGGAAGCTTCTCACGATAGAGAGGCTTGACCATTTATATATCAGCCTGAGGGCTATGCGATGAGTTGGCTTTTTACGCATCAAACGGCGCCATTGTTTTGGATTGTTGAGTTATAGATACCCCGGTTCTTCAACCGTATTTTGATGATTTGTTGTATAGTATAGCAGGAGTTTCTTTGGGTCAAGTTCAGGGTGGAAATGTGAAGTATAAATATCAGAGATAAAATGTACAACTTCAATATTACTCTTTATATCTTTTGATATTAGATTCTTGATTTGAATGGTGAGGTTGTTTGTTGGTGTTCATGCTCATCAAGCTCATCCTTGAACGGTTAGTGGATCTGATGCTGATTTGGCGCTGGAGCCTAGCGACTTCAGTGGTTCATGTACTCAATCTGCTTGACGGGGACCAATCAACTGAGACCTTGAAGCTTCGATTTGGCAATTGAAAGTCGAGTGCAGCGTGAAACACTCAACATTGAACATCATCTCTTACCACATCAACAACGTGAACTACCCAATCTGTGCATTTTCTGATACTCACATGACCTGTCTCTCTCATCGCAGGCACCAGTGAGAATTTCTCAGATTATGAAGGCCACTCTGCCCTTCTAGTCGCGACTCACTGCGCAGCACTCATACCTAAACATAAACAAACAAATGAGTTTCTATCATGGCATCACTACGAGAAAAGATAGAGTTCTTCGACCAGCTTAAGACTCTCGATAGCGATGATGAATTCGACAAGACCGAGCAACTGGAGAGAAAACGCTGTCGTAGGTTCTTCGCTGCCAAAGCAACCCCTAAACCCTCAGCGAAGCAGCCTGTCGTGCTGGATCTCACCAACGATGATTCTCAAAAGTCTAGAGTGACTCCTCGCAGAGTCGCATCATTCCCAACGCCTGCACCCGCTCAAGGCCCAAAGATCATCAAGGCCACACCCATGACAGCAGCAGGTCAAAAGAGCAGACTCGGCACGCTCTTGAACCAACGCAGCGCGGGAGCTATTCTAGTTGACGACACACCCATTCCCGACTCTACTCGACAGGCTCAGAGAAGACTCCCTAGGAGCGGATCTACACCTCTATTCCCTTCAGGGAGAAATCCTGACTCAATGGTTGGTGATTCTCCCTCGCCGAGCTTAGCGATGAAGAAGCGAAAGCGTGAGGCCTCGATCAAGCTCCGACCAGAGAGTGAGCAGATCTTCAAGGGTCTCACGTTTTACTACGTCCCTGATGATGATATCGCACCGGCTCGTCGACTGCGTATCACAAAAGCGCGTGAATTTGGTGCGACGTGGGTGCGTGCGCCGCGAATTGCAACTCATATTGTTGTTGAGAAACACATCCAGTTCAAGGACATTGAGGGCGTTTTGAAGAAGACTAACAAGAATCTTCCGCCTAATGTGGTCAACGAGGACTATCCGATTGACTGTATTCAATTCAAGGCGCTGCTTCAGTATGGTCAGAAGAAGTATCAAATTGCGGGCCAGCCGGTATGCCATGAGGAGGATAATCCACCTGCTGTACCTTCAAGTTTTAAGCAGTCTGCTCAGTCCCTGCAGCTCAAGCCGCATCACAAGAATGCGAAACGATGGGATCATGTTCCCATTCCAGAGACGCCAGAGAGAAGTGAGGAGTCTCCTCTTCGCAGTCAAGTTGCGGAGACGCCTGTTCCTACGAATTCGCAGCCAGTGATGCTTGACCTTGAGGGTATGGTCTCATCGCAAACAGATGGTGATAGTGATAGAGCAGGCATTCCTCAGAATTCTACGGCTGGTATACAAGGCACTGTCAATATTACGCAACTCCCAAAAGAAGACCATCATAAGGACGAGTTATCCGAGTACATTAAGATAATGGCTGAGTATAAGGACCTCCCATTAGACGCGGATGACGACGATGCTCAGACAGTTGCCGATATGGGAGATGGCGAAACAGGAGAACCGTCCTTTTCAGGCTCAGAAGACGAACGAACCAACAGGCGTAGATCGAGAAGGAGAACCAGGTCTAGCCGCAAGAATATTGCATTCGAGGATCGCTTTTCATGCAATTCTGCTGGAGCAAAAGACGCTAATGCGGGGAATCCAAATACTCGCACAATTGAGGTTCTCCAATCGATGGCTGACTACTACAGCCGTGTTAACGACCACTGGCGCACTACCGCCTACCGCAAAGTCATCAGCACTCTGAAGCGTCAAGAGACAAAGATCACGACGGCTGAAGAGGCGCAACGGCTACCCAGTGTGGGAACGCGTCTGGCACAGAAGATTGAGGAGATCGTCACTACGGACAGGCTTCAGCGGCTTGAGTACGCCCAGAAGGAGCCGATGGATGAGGCACTTCAGTTGTTCCTCGGTATCTACGGTGTTGGAAATAGTCAGGCTCAGCAGTGGTTGGCACAAGGTTTTCGAACGTTGGACGACTTGAAGGCAAATGCGAAGCTTACGCCAAACCAGCTGGTGGGCATCGAGCACTACGATGACCTCAACACCAGAATTCCTTGTCGCGAGGTTGAGGCTCTAGGTACTGTTGTAAAGAGAGGCGCTCAGCGTATTGATCCACAGGTGGAACTTATCATTGGAGGAAGCTACCGAAGAGGAGCAGAGTCCTCTGGCGATATCGACTTTGTCATCACCAAGCCAGATACCGAGTCTTCGGCTGAGCTTCGACCTTTTCTCGACGGTCTCGTTCAGCGTCTTGAGGCCGAAGGATTCCTCGTAGCACGGTTGGCTTCATCACGGTCTACTACCGATGGAAGTAAATGGCACGGCTGCTGCGTGCTCCCCAAGATCAGCGGCTTCAACGAAAATAACTATAGGCCTGTATGGCGGCGTATTGATTTCCTGCTAGTGCCCGAGTCAGAGATGGGAGCGGCGCTGCTCTATTTCACCGGCAACGATATCTTTAACCGCAGTATGCGGCTACTGGCTTCCAAGAAGGGAATGCGATTGAACCAGCGTGGTTTGTACAAGGATGTGATGCGAGGCCCTCAGCGGGTGAAGATCACAGAGGGTGAGCGTATGGAGGGACGTGATGAGAAGAAGATTTTCGATATCCTGGGGGTCAAGTGGAGAGAGCCTCATGAGCGTTGGTGTTGAGGGCTCTTGGGAGTGAAGTATCACACATTCTCAAACTCACGTCACTTCTCAGGTAAGAGGGCGAGGGTCAGAGAGATTTCTAGGATATGATTTCTAGGTTATAGCATAGCCAACCACTCTTCGCTGGGCAGAAGAGATAAGTTAGGATATGGAGGTTGAGGTTGAGGTATTCATGTATAGCAGAGCCTCACGGCTCCAGTTCTGGTCTACCGAGGTCAAAGTGGAGGGTTTTTCGGGAACGGATCAAGGTACATGAGATAGCGTGGAGTTTGGGGTTGGTATTAGAAATGGGGAAAGGATCCATCTGCATAGGAAGGGAGTTTGACTTGAAAAGCATCAACTCTTGGTATAGTAGATCTCGAAATGAGAGATATATACGTACCCTTTTCTCATGTGAATCTGACTGACGTGAGATTTCCCCAGATCTTGGCTACCTTACCTTAGATTTCCCGTCAAGCCGCCATTTATTTAACATGTGAAATCCATCATCTCCAACGAATCTCATGCTGACGTTCCCTGCGTCATAAGGGACTGGGCCCTGTAGCATCCATCTCCGTAGTGGAGTCGGCGCTGCTTCTCCGCAACACAAGCCGAGTGCAGGCCCAAACATCCGAGGCTCAGCAGACAGCCCAGCTGATCGTAATTCATAATCCGGGGCGCCGTGCTTCTCTGTCTCAAAACCTCCATGACAAACTACCATCCTTCTATCGATATCCCTCCCATGCCCGTATACGAATATTCAACGCGAGGAATCTGATACCGAGAAGCAGGCGACGACGTTCGAAGTCTTGAGAGTTTGGCGCATTGAGATATACACACCCTGCGACCGTCCGACTATCGTATATAGCACATTACCGAGGCTTGTGTAGACACGATGGCCATGACATCTTCACTGGAGGTTCTAAAGGTACTGGCTTCATCGTTCTGCGACACGCGATTGGACTTGCGCTGACAGGTTCTGGGTAGAACGCGCTTGAGGAAATCGTCAAGAATCCGCAGTACCATGATCTATTGTCTCTGATCAAGACGGCGCGCAATGGTATTATCTACGGTACCAAGGTGCGGTTTCCGCATGCACTGGTGTAAGGCACACCCATCTACATCCTTATCAAGTCCTTATTGCTAACGTCTCTCTCAACAGGATGGTGTTTCTCTTCCGCTCCGGATCGTACGCTCGACCTCTCTTCCCTTGTACATCGACCATACCGAACTAACGCGCAACAACATAGATTACCTGAGAAAGTCAAACTAGTCCTTCGAGCAACGAGACACCATGCGACTAACTTGGCGCGCTTCGCTCTTATATACAAGCTGACGATGCTGGCGCTCAAGTACTTCGGCGCGCAGCCCGGAAAGGAGGGTACGTCATTGTCGCCGGAACTCAATATCCATGAAAACCAGATTCTAACCTTGACTCAGGAACATACGACTCTTTCGTTGGCGGTCTTGTCGGCGGTTACTTTGTTTTCGGCGGTCGCTCAAAGCGCACAGGCAAGATCTCATCGGTCAACCAGCAGATCGTCATCTACGTCTTTGCGCGCGTGATGCTGGCCCTCGCACGCATCGCCGTGAAGCCCGACCATGGATTCCCCGTGGTATCCTCCGAGCCGCTGCGCAGCGTTATCAACAAATACGCCTGGCCGGCGTTTGCGTCGCTCTCGTGGGCCAGTGTTATGCTGATCTTCCGCTACCATCCTGAGGATCTGCAGTCGAGCTTGAGGAGCAGCATGACGTATATCTACCAGGACTGCAACGAGTTTGATTCGCTACGGACTCTGCTGTGGCATAACAAATAGACGGCTGGATTGTTATAAGGGTGGCATTTCTGCGAAGTTGGGTTTGGCGTTGGGGCGTGTGAGGCATGTTTGGGCTTTTTTGCATAGTCGATCCATGGCTGTGAGCATAGCACATTATATACAGGCTGGGCTTTTGTCTTATAAGTAAAGTAGCATGGCTAGACTGAGGGTACATGGTAACCAATGTGATAGATGTGAAACTATACCTTCTTAAACATTATGGAGACCCTTTATGAATCTCACTTGACGGCGTTCTGCATACTATTCAGATCTATGGTACTGGAATATCCACACATACTAACTAGATGGGAAGCCTTGCAGTCTACTCCCCCGACTTCGATGGTTTTCTATACGTATTTATACGGACAGCCATGGGATATGTTTTGAAGTATACAAGCCTCGAATTTTCGACAAGTCAAGGTAAGACATCCCCAACTAAGATGCATTGTTCGTGGAACAGCAGCTCATCTGCATGTGCCACCTGCAGTTCTTCCCTGGCGAGGGAGGGAAGTCTTCTGAACTTTGACATATTTTGATGGATTTTCAGGTCATGGCGGAAGAAAGAGGACGGGAACTTTAATAGCGGCCTCGGTCAGAGATCGCGCTAAATAGGCACCTAAGCTACCCCGCTAGAGCTGACCCCTGCTTGCCCCTCCACACTGACGCCTGCAGTGAGCCTCAACTTAGGTAACCTCCAGGCTGCTAAACCTCCACCTCACTTCATCATCTTGTCTCTATATCCAAATATCGACCGACAACCATGGCGCCAAACCCTCAAGTCGCCGAGGCTATATCAAAAGCCGAGTCTGCCGGCGGAGAAAATGGTCCTATTTACGAGGAGCTTCTCGCTACTGTCGACAAGATCTCGTCACCGACCACGGCCATTGACGACTTCAATACTATTGTCGATTCCTTCTTCAGCCAGGCGCTTGGCGTCGTGGCCACACGGAATGTCCTGGCAGCTTTCATCGCCACGCTGAGGAAGTTGGAGGACAGGGATATGCAGATCGAGGTCGGAAACCGAACACTAAACATTATCGCTGCGCAGCCATCGTCATCCTCCTTCGTCGACGCCGGTGCTACCCTCCGAGAGCTCATTGCTACAGCCCACGAAAAGAATGAGGACTTTCTCGACGCCGCCAAGACTCTAGCCGATATTCCTCTCGATAGCTCACAGCGCAAGATCAACGATGAAGAAAAGGCCCGTACATGGATTCGCATCGTGCGGAACTACCTTCAGGTAGACGACTCTACAGCTGCCGATTCGTATATCAACAAGCTCAAGAACATTATGCACGCGATTTCTGATCAGGAACTCCACCTGCACTTTAAACTATCGCAGGCTCGCATCCTGGACGCTCAGCGTGACTTTCTGTCTGCCTCTCAGCGGTATCACGAGATCAGCTTCTCTCCCGCCGTTGACGAGGAGGACCGCCTACACACTCTCAGCATGGCCATCAAATGTGCTGTTCTAGCCCCCGCAGGTCCTATGAGAAACCGCACGTTAGGTCGCCTGTACAAAGATGATCGCTCATCTCAACTGGAGGAATTCGGCATTCTGGAGAAGATGTTCCTTGATCGACTTTTGTCTCCCGATGAAGTTGATAAGTTTGCCGAGGCTCTGCAGCCGCATCAACTAGCAACAACTTCAGATGGTTCTACAGTTCTTGCCAAAGCTGTCGTCGAGCACAATCTTCTTGGCGCATCCAGACTCTTTAGTAACATCCGCTTCGAAGCGCTAGGATCACTATTGGGATTGGATGCTGATAAGGCGGAAGAAACTACGGCACGCATGATTGAGCAGGGTCGCCTGGTTGGTCGCATGGATCAACTGGATGGAATTGTCTGGTTTGAGGGTGGTGAAGCATCTGGAGAGAAGGGCAGTGGACGGGCCGAGATAATCGTTGGCAAGGAAATGCGAACATGGGACGCCAACGTCGAGAACTTGGCTGAGGAGGTGGAGAATGTTACCAATGCGCTGCAAAAGGAATTTCCCGTAAGTGCTTCCATTGCCGCGAGATCCAGGGTGCCCCTTATACTAACTCTATCTGCTAGGAATTTGTTGCTGCAAACCTCGTCTGAGAAAAAAACAAAAACGTAGAAACTTCTCCAGTGTATGGCGTTCTAGGGGTTGGGTTGATCGAGGGTTGTTTATGTCCGCAGCATAGCATGGTTCCCTTTGATTTTTAGACTGGCATTGTGAAAATAGGCCAAAACATTCTAGTCCAAATCTTTCTTACGAACCACCACGTAGCCTTCGTTGATTTTGCGCGGGTTGCCGTCCTCCTCGTCAAAAAAGAACCCGTCGTCTCCGTCTATCAAGTCTGGAGACTTTGCAGTTGGCTGCTCAAACGCGCCTTCGCTCCATAAGATGTCTATCAGGGCGTCGGCGATGTGATTGCCCATCCAGTCGTAGCCTTCGTCTCGGAGATGTAGACCATCGTCCCAGTATCTACCGCGATCTTCTTCCGATAGTGAATGAAAGGGGATCTTGGAGTGAAGGTCAAAGGCGTAGCTGGTAGTGGTCAGTAACTGGACTCAAGTCTATGAGATGTAGAGAAAGACTTGGAAAAGAAGATAGCTAAATACAGTAACTGGAAAATGGATTATAACTTACTAGCCTGTGTCTTTGTTCTTTGAGATACACTTGTTGAGGTCATTTCTTGACGCCGTGCTGCCCTTATGTTTTGACTCGCGTTCTGGGACTGTGAGGGCAAGGACTTTTCGTTCTCTGCTGAGAACGAAGTCATACACTTCTCTAAGAGCGTTGAATATGTCTTCTGCAGGGATACCGTATGCTATGTCACTAGAATTATAGCTCAGCTTTTTGTTCAGAGGAAAGAGTTAACATATACTCACTTGGTACCGCCAAGGATGATGGTCCAGTCGTAGGACTTCTTCTTCCCTGTACCTTGTCAGCCCCGGAATCCTATCTCAAATGAACAAGACACAAAATCCGAAAAAGCAGATATCTACATACAAGCAGTATCCATTCTAGTGTAGAAGCGGTTGAAAGATGCAACATCCCCCGGAACGCCGTTAACGTCGATCTCAAAGTTGACCTCGGGAAAGGTCCCTCTAAGCCGATCTTCGAGCTTGCGCGCGTAGGGATGAGAATCCAGGCCATGGCAGAAATACCCCGACGTTAGAGAATCGCCGAAACATAGGATGCGGAGCGTCTTTCGAGGCATGGTGAGGATGTGTTTTGATGCCGTGGGCGTGTAAATGGTAAGTGAGTGTGTGGGAGGCGGGGGTGAGGTGATGGCGTAAGTTGGTGTAAGCGGGTAAAGCGAGGTATGAGTCCGTGAACGTTGCGGACGTTATGGCTTAGAAATGGGGTTTGAGTTTCGAGTTTAGTGGACGGGAAGAGTCATATTATTGTTGAGGTCAAGCAATGAAGAATAATACATTGCGTCTGTGAATATGTGAAGTCGCGTGTGACTGACGCACTGCCTGGGGTCAGGTAACTCAGGCAATCATTAACACGCCAAATTTTGAAAACATCTAAATTAGTTGGACTTTGGAATATCCGGGAGGTTTCAAGTTAAAGAGAATATGTAGCCTGCGACACTATGAAGAGTTATAGCATCATTTAGATTCACAAATATGTGTCTAATGGTTGAAACTTGACCTCGACGAAGTAATGCAGGGTAGCTTACAGCTCAAGAAAAGCCTGAGATGTTTTGACAGAACATCCCTAATTGGCTCTATTGGGTATGCTTAACCAAATGGCATGAGAAACAAAATACATTCGAAAATCAACAACTCTTCCTTATCTACTTTACCTAAGTATTCCACCTGTGAAATGTTCGAATACGAGATGCAAGTACCTGTTATACCTATATGTTCGTAACTTTGGCAACAAATCACATCAATCGCATAGCTTCGGTGAGATGGCCGAGTTGGTTATGGCGCCAGGTTAAGGTTAACCTTAACACCAATTTCCTGGTGGAGCAATCCTCCTGGGTTCGAGTCCCAGTCTCATCAGATCTATATTTTTGCCTTCCTTCACGAAGAGATAAGGAATAGGATCAGCTCAAGTTCCTTTTCGCCGCCCGTGCGATGACGGAGCGTTTGGCACGACATCATAGCAGAAAAAACTTTAAGCTAAAGACGTTTTAGTTGGAAGCTTCAAACCCAATCCATACAGCTTGGAGTGTTGTATCAGAGCTCCCTTCTCTTGAAACAGCATCAATTTTTCTGGTAATTGATGTCACCTCCGCAATTGCTCGTCATATCTCCAAGCTAGGACCAAGTATAAGGCTGATTTCCCCTGCAAAAAATTGATAATTGCAAACAGCTTTTGGTAGACGCGACCCACGCTTGTGCTGTTTTTTCTGTTCCTGCCCCGCCCCCTCCTCAATCCCTCTTCCGCAATCGCTACTACCCCGCCAAACTTTTCCTTTTGCCCTTTCCTTACTCGCCAGGAGCCCAACCCAATACCAAACCTGAATGAGGCGACTCCTTCCCACTTACATCTTTTCTTCTTCATCCTCTTCTTTTTTTCGTCCTCTTTTCTTCTCCTATCCCAAAAGCTTCTTTCTTCAAGCTTCCAAGATGTCCTCCCAGCAAAAGATCGCCATTGTTTCGGTCTACGACAAGACAGGTCTGTTGGACCTGGCTAAGGGTCTTGTCCAGCAGAATGTCCGAATTCTCGCTTCTGGAGGTACCTCCAAGATGATCCGAGAGTCTGGTTTCCCCGTCGAGTAAGTAAACGTAATCGCCTGGCAATTCAACAGTAGAGCTAATTGATGTCTTACAGGGACGTCTCTGCCATCACAAAGGCCCCCGAGATGCTTGCTGGTCGCGTCAAGACTCTCCATCCTGCTGTCCACGCCGGTATTCTGGCCCGGGACCTTGCCTCCGACGAGAAGGACCTTGCCGAGCAGAACATTAACAAGGTCGACTATGTTATCTGCAACCTTTACCCCTTCAAGGACACCGTCGCCAAGATCAACGTCAGCATCCCCGAGGCCGTCGAGGAGATTGATATTGGTGGTGTTACCCTGATTCGCGCTGCCGCCAAGAACCACAAGCGCGTTACCATACTCAGCGACCCCAACGACTACGCTGGTTTCCTTAAGGAGCTCGAGAAGGGCGAGATCACCGAGGGTAGCCGTAACCGATATGCTCTCAAGGCGTTCGAGCACACTGCCGACTACGATGCCGCCATCTCTCAGTTCTTCCGCAAGGAATACGCCGGTAACGGTGACCAGTACAGCGCCCTCCGATATGGTGCCAACCCTCACCAGAAGCCCGCTGCTGCCTACGTCAGCGAGGGGAACTTGCCCTTCAAGGTCCTTTGTGGTTCTCCCGGCTATATCAACCTTCTCGACGCTCTGAACGCCTGGCCCCTTGTCAAGGAGCTCAAGAAGGCTCTCGGCAAGCCCGCTGCTGCCAGCTTCAAGCACGTCTCCCCCGCTGGTGCGGCCATTGGCCTGCCTCTCACTGAAGACGAGAAGAAGGTCTACTTTGTCCACGATATTGAGGGCATCGATGAGTCTGCACTTGCTCAAGCATACGCTCGTGCCCGAGGTGCCGATCGCATGAGCAGCTTCGGCGACATGATTGCTCTTAGCGACGTTGTCGACGTTCCTACAGCCCGTATCATTTCTAAGGAGGTCTCTGACGGTGTCATTGCCCCCGGCTACGAGGATGCTGCTCTTGAGATCCTCAAGAAGAAGAAGGGTGGCCGATACCTGGTCCTTCAAATCGACCCTGAGTACAACCCCCCTGCTACCGAGACCCGCACCGTCTACGGCATCAACCTCCAGCAGCACCGCAACGATGTCGAGATTACTCCTAAGCACTTCAGCACAATCATCACACCCAAGGACACTGCGTCTCTCCCCGAGAGCGCTGCTCGTGACTTGACCATTTCGACCATCACTCTCAAGTACACCCAGAGCAACTCTGTGTGCTACGCCTACAACGGCCAGGTCGTTGGTCTTGGAGCTGGCCAACAGTCCCGAATTCACTGCACCCGACTTGCTGGTGACAAGGCCGATAACTGGTGGATGCGCTTCCACGAGCGTGTGCTCGGTATCAAGTGGAAGAAGGGCACCAAGCGCCCCGACAAGAGCAACGCTATCGATCTGCTCGTCAGCGGCCAGCTCCCTAAGGATGGCCCTGAGCGTGAGGCTTTCGAGGGTGTCTTTGAGGAGGTCCCCGCTGCTTTCACAGCCGAAGAGCGTGAGGCTTGGATGAAGCAGCTCAAGGACGTCTGTGTTTCTAGCGACGCTTTCGTAAGTATTATATGCCCTGTTTGATCAACTTGCACTAACATGAAAAACAGTTCCCCTTCATTGACAACGTCTTCCGCGTTGCTCAATCAGGAGTCAAGTATGTTGCTGCCCCCGGTGGTAGCCAGAACGATTCTGCTGTCTTCGATACTGCTGAGAAGCTCGGCATTACCTTTGTCGAGCAGAACATCCGTCTGTTCCACCACTAAGCGATACCTGATACCTGATAGGAGATTTGATATTTACACGCGATTTGCCCTGGAAAAGTAACACGAGCCATGAATAATATGGCCTGGAAAAGGAGGACCCTCAGAAATCGTGATCTGTATGATTACGATATTGTATATATGATAGACATAACGCCGCGCCCAGACGCTCACTTCAACGTGATGATGATGATTTAAAGCATTCGTAAAGCCTTTATTTCCCTTTCCATTTTGCCTCCATCTCGTCCAAAAGCAGGTGACCCGAAAGTTTGAGTCCAGCCAAAATTATCTATTCCCTTTGCTCCGTGCCTTGGCTACCGTGAATCTCGCCTCAAACGCAAATGAAAATCAAATGAGCATCAAATCGCAATATTATATACACTCCAGTCTTTATCCTTATGCGCCTCGATTAATCTTCGATATCGTCATCACTCAGCACCAGTTTCTGAGCGAGTAGTCCTGAGACACTGCCAGCCTTTATACCAGCGCTCTTTTTCCGAGGACTCATCTCCTCAGATGGTTTGTCTGTTGCCCACGCCTCTCCGAGTGGCATATCGTCGTCTGCGTCGGAGTCTTCATCGGCCGCGTTAATGCCCTTGAATGCAACCACCTTTTCGAGATCGCGGAGACGGAAGCTGGATGTCTTTCGAGCGCGAGCGATGTGAGTCATATACGGGAGACGCTCAAGGAGCATCTCGCGTCGGGCTGCGCTGCCGAGGGAGAGTAGGGGCGCATTGTCAGGCTCGTCTTCTTGTTTTTGTTGTTGTTGCTTCAAAAGAGCCTGGCGACTCTGCTGCTTGCGCTGCATCCAGGATGTATCGGTAGGGTTTTGTTGTGGGCGGCGGAACGCTGTTGCTCCATCGGTGAGGTTCTTTGTCGCTCCGTCGTCACCCTTCAGCAACTTCGTAGACCACATATCTACAAATCCTTCTAGCTCTTCCTTGGCGCGCCAAAGCTTGAGACTCGTCGGGTAGAACATCTTGAATGCGTCGCTGCCCTTTGACGTGGAATATGACTTGCGCTTGACAGGGTTGGGAAGAGAGAACAGCATGCCGCGGACGGCGACCTGGAAGGTTATTTCGTCCTGTCGTAGAACATGACTACCAGAGTCCGAGCCCGAAAAGCCACCTCTGCCGCCGAAAAATATGTCTCTTGATGGTGAGAGGAGATCGGCCTGTGAAAGATACTCGATGCAGTCGTTCACATAGTCCATCGGGGTCGATAAGTCCATAGGATCTGTGCTTTCACATGATAAAACATAGTTCTCATGTAATGCTGAGACGAAGGTGTGCGTATCGGTGCCAGTCTCGTCAATTAGGGTGTCAACAGAAACCTGCGAGCGCTTTGGCCGTGAATGATGTGAAAGAAAGCTCGGTAGGTTTTCGACAGTATCATTTCGAGGAGCAATGTCGTCTCGCTTGTTGTAGACGACTTTTCCGATTGCGTGGAAGATACCCAGACTTGCCTCGCGTTGAGATATAAGCTCTAGACTCTCCTCCTCACCCTGCGTAAGCTTAATACCATCCTTGACACCTTTAGTCTGTTTTGTAAACACGACTTTGTTACCCCAGTCTCCTTCATCACCCTTCAAGCAAAGAAATTCAAGAGACGACACAGCGTTCCTGATGTCACCGATCTCGCCTAGCTGTTTTAGAACTTGAGGGCCTGGGGTTTTTCTCCGACCTGACTTTCTTGCTTCTTTCTGAACAACTAGTTCGAGTGCTTTCAGGAGTAACGAGGGTGCAATGGCGTTGAACTCGATCATGCCAACCCCTGGATGCTGTAGAATCTCAGGACCAAGAAGTCGATGAGCGGTAAAGCTGTCAGCTGAAGCGGATGTTGTAGTAAGATGCGTCTCTGAAATCACCATGACAACAGGAGTCACAGGCTCCTGTTGAGACGGCTTTGCGAACGTGGATAAAGAGGGCGTATTATCGGCCAGGTATTGTAAAATGGTGTTGCGGAAGGATGTCAAAGCCGTAGAGGACTTTGAAAATGTGTTAGGAAACTCCTCGATGAGGATAACTCGTTTGGAATCGCTGTTTCGTGCCACTTGGGAGCTGCTCTGAGTAGCTGTTTCGGGGCTGTCCGTATCTAGCGCTCCAAATTTACCACCACGACCCAGAAACTCTTGGAATTGCGCCGATGCTGAAACAAAACCCAACCCGGAGCTGCCTACAGGATTTCGCCATTCAAGAAGCTCGCAACCCATGTCACTTGTAAGTAGTCGCATAGTTGTTGTTTTCCCGGATCCAGCTGCGCCTTTGAGGATGAGCAGACGCTGTCGCATGCGCCCAGCTATCACGTCTTCCAACCACCTCCTCACATCGGATACCTTCTTCTTGTGTACTGCCAACTCGTCCAAGTTACGCGGTCCAAAACGTTCCGACCAAGGGCGCGTATCATCATTGGCTGCAGCAATGTGCACTGGCTTGGGTGGTTTTATGAACTTCTGGCTAGCACTTGGTGCACTAGAGAACGGTGTTTGAGGAATATCTCGTAGTCTCTTCTTGGCGTGTTGGCCGACGAAGCTAGCAGAGCTTGCTTTCTGCTCCGAGATCTCGTCGTCCTCAGAGATAGGATCACTGATGATATCTTCAAGAGGAACGGATCGCCGATCTCCAGCTCCAGGTTTTACAGCCCTCTGTGCCTGATTGGAAAATAGAGTCTTCAGATCTGCCGTCTTTCCCTTGTCGGCGGCTTTACCAACATCTTTCGTTCGCCTGGAGCTCGGGCTTATACTACTGCTCTTGTGCTGCTGCGTTCGACGAGGAAGACGGATCGAGCCATTCTTGGAAGGCTTGCTGGTGACGATTTTTGGTTTCGTAGGACTCGGAGAAGCTGTAGGAGCGCGGCTTTTCGTGGAAGAGGTAGGTGAAGAAAGCAGGAATTTAGTGAGAGTGTTTGCACGGGGCTGTTCGTCCTCGTCGTCTTCATCATCGACAACATTCCGCCGACGACGCTTCGCGGGCGGAGCCATCAGCGCAGATGGTGCATTTGCAAGAACAGCATAACGTTCTTGAATATTACGCGATCGAGTCGGGGGAGTCGAATTGGAGATTTTTGATGCTGTAGGTAAAGTGGTGATGACGATGATGTTGATTAACTGATAGGTCTGTTGCAGGCTTATCGTGAATTGAGACCCGCAGCACAGTGTAGGTAGACGCAGGGATGCACGAGCGCACGTTACAACCTTCAAGTAAGTTCCTAGTATTTTCTGACCCTGCTCTGCGCAACACATTCATAAAGTCGAGTGCAAATCGCATTCTTTTGTCGTCTTGAATTACGGATAACTCAATCTCTGGAAAATGCAATGATAGCATATGATGGAGGTATTCATACTGATTTCATAGGAAAAGTACACTATCACTCGTTTTCTCGTACAATCTCGTTCCAGGTATATCATATCCTCACAGTTCTGCCCTCAGTAAGTCCATCCTTGGAAGTTGTCCACAAAAGTCAAGGCTGCCAGGAGATATCGGTCGTGAACATCACCCCATGTCTTCGAAGCCTCCTTCAAGGCGCGAATTGCTACCAGAAGTCAGATAAATCCCATAGATTACGGGTTAAGTTCTCACCTTTGACGTAATGAGCATCGGTGGCCCAATTTGAGTTCAGTGCCTTGTCTTCCACATACTTCCAGCCTCGTTGCTTAAGATCACTATCCACGTTATCCATATCAGGAAGAGGTCGGGCCTTCACGATGAAGATGCCCAGAACCAGCAGCCACCATTCTCGGACGAGAGTAATGTGGTATTTCTCAGGGATGAACGGAAGCAGGACTCGGACGGCGTGACTTGTTGTCAGTAGGTGCACAAGCAGAAAGTTGAATGAATGTGTGCCTGGCTTGACTGTGGCGACTAAGAGAGCTGCTGCAGCTTCTTGGGACAGTTCAAACTGCTTCAGAGGATCGTTGATCTCCCATGCGTTCCAGTACTCCAGGATGATGTCTTCGTGTTTGTTGAAGATCTCTTCCATGTCATCCGAACTGGGGCTGATGGTATCAAACCGGCTATCCTTGGATAGCTTGGTGAGAAGGTCCAGAGGAGAGGCCGAAGTGAAAGATGCTTTCTTCGTATACGACTTGTCATCGAGGTACCTGTGGAGGAAGTTGTACTGAACACAAGCAAGTCCTAAAGCCTCCATGGCAAGTTCTTTACATTCCATCTCAAAGGCATAACCCAAGTGAATAAGGGGATGTCCGACTATTATCGTTAGTAATGAGGACCTGGTAATTCCAAAAGGCAAACATACGACCACCGATGAGACCATGAAACAAAGGTTCGTCTCCAGTGAACAAGTAATGGCTCAGCTCTTCATGCCAGTCATAGTGGAATCGCATGACGAGTTTGTCTTCGAAAAAGTCCACAAAAGCCCGCTGATACCTCCCGTCACCTCGAAGTTCCTGCCAATCATCCTCACCAATCTCAGCAGGCGAAGGTACCCAAGGTTCCAGTTCACGGATTTCTCGGTCGTAGATATCATTTAGCTGAGGAACACTTGCTCCCAACAGATACGCCGAGCTGAGAATGTGAGCATTGTGATTGTCGTAATGGAGGTTATGATAAACGATTGAGTAGTTGGCATGATTCGCCTTCAACAGATGTTTTAGACATCGTGCCCGCTTGTCCGGGTTTGTCTCGATGTCATGGACCTCAACTGATGGCAAGCTGATAGCCTGACAATTAGTCCCGAGTCCCAATATTCGGTTAACAATGGGAACTTGAGATAGAATACCAGACATTGTGAAATGAGTGATTGATGAATCAAATTGTAGAGAGATTGATAACGAGGAGAAATCGACAACGACAATGACGTTGAATCGAACATCCCATGTCTTTTGAGCTTCCGTTGGGGCTTCCAGTGGGCTAGTACTAGGTAATACATGAAAGCGGGGCACCTCACCTTTTTCTTTGGGGATCTTGCGCTGTACTTCCAGGCGGCTTATAAGGAAGTCCGCACACTACTTCCCTATAGCTGGCTATGTTGAAACCTTCTTTATAGTTTATAGGATGGAAGCTTATTACAGATATCGATCCATCATGTTATAATAATCATTTCCAGGCTTCCCTGATCTTTAAGTATTGGATATCTCCTCTAATAATATCCACCTGACTCTGTAAGTTCCCCCAATCACGCGTGCACGGACCATACGATTGGTGTAATCAATCTCCAACGGCCGCGTCTTTTGTTCAAGAAGTTTCAAACAAAACAATTCACTTCAACTAGTGACGACTCGAGAATGACTGCGCAACCACCCACAGCGATATATGCAGAACTGCTTTCAAATATCAGACAGATATCCGTCGCTGCTTCCTTGTCATCGCCCGCAGACTCCTCAACAAAAGCAAAAATCTCACATGAGGGTCGTCAACTCAACGTGACGCACCAAGACCAGACAGAGAGCATAACTCTGCCGGCACAAACCTCTGTTTCGGGAGCCTTGCCTGTGGCTAAGACTGGACGCCCGAGTCTATCGTGGAGGCTTCCAATTTCGCCAGCAGAAGCTAAGCCTGCTCAGTTCTCTCTAGAAAACCAGGCCTTACCATGGACATCTGTTGATATAGCTACGGGTTCGCCCATAGGCTGTCGAAACTGTGAGAACGAGTTTGTTGCTCAAGGCACCGTGACAACATGGAAAGACTTGCCTAGTGAAAACTGGGCCGAGATGATGGAATTTTGGCATTGCCATAAACCTCACGACCATGAACACCAAGACCCTGAGTCTCTTGCCTCTAAGGGCTACGGTGCCAACCATGCTATCTCCGCCCAGAAAGGTACAGGTTTTGTCGATCTGACTTCATTCCTCTTTTCAGAATCCGACTGCCAGGGCTTGAAAGTAAGTATTGATCCAATGCCACTGATTTTGCTCTCGCCTATGTTCGACCATACCTCCAAATGGGGAGAAAGAAGATGTCCGTGTCGTGTTTTCAAACCTTTTAGTGATTTGGCCATCGATACAACTCCCCAATATTTATGCACTTGTCGTCCCCACCCCAATGGGCTGCCGGCCTTCTGGAAACCTTCCGCATGGAATGGGTTCCTAGGGCGATGCTGAAGACGCGGCCTCCTTCTTTCAGCCAACCTCTCATAGACATGGGAGTTTGGAGATTATCAAGAGGCATATTGTGAAAGTAGCGTGATGTTTTATGATCGTCGACCCTCTACTTACACGCTATAGTATTCTTCCTCGATAATGGATGCTGGGTTTGATCTGTCCTCGTTGGCACTCAACGACGATGAAGCCAATAAGTTCCTGCACATATTCTGTCGCAAATGTGCGACTGAAGTAGGTCTATACAACATTGCTGCGTCATCTGTCACTCTGTTCAAGTGGCAGATCTCCTGTCAAACCAATACTCCAGACCCAAAGCCAAGCAGTTCGGAGTGCCTTGCAGCCACTCTTTTGGCTACGATCTCAAGGTCTGGATCATCCAAGTCTATCGTTACACCACATATTCTTGGACCAGTAAGATCTGAGCCACCTGTTACAGAACAGAACCTTCACCTTTGGGTATTGAACCCCAATGTCGTGTACACTGCGTCTTCGACCACTGGCCGCAAAACAGCAATGAAAATACTATACAAGCTTATCGACTCTGCAGAGGGCGATAAGTTGATTACATCCATGACCTCGGATGTCCAGGAGATCACTCTACCTCAAGCAGCCATCAAAACTGCAGAAGAAAGCTTGCTGTCCAGTAGCCGGCTACTGCCAGCTCAAGAAAGGACTTTCAAGGAGTGGAACGTTGGGTTGCTCGGAAGATGGGAGCCTTCATCGTGAGATCAAGAGTTTTTTATCACAACAATTAGCTTTTAGTGATAGAACTAGGCTATTAGATATAATAGATATCGTCTTGCATCCATACTGTCTATTTATTACAAGCACATTACTCAACCAGTTACACAAGATCACAGTGCTTGTAAAGGAAGTTACAAGGCAGGCAGACCTCGGAGTTTGAGGACAATGCGAAAGAGAAACTTCACTCTCCTATTTAGCGGTATGCTAATAAGTAACTATCAACCCCATTATGAATTATATTCTTGTTATTACGGTTCTCTAAATGCATAAGAAGCTAGCTATTAATTATAGAGACCATTGCCCTGTTTAAGTCTGCACCTGCCCGCCATGTGCACACTGTGTTTAAAACAACTTTGGACTGTACTCCCTCTTCGTAGGCATCCATCCAACCACACTTCTTACTTCCTCCAAAACCTACATCACATCTCACTCACACACATAAACGCATACGCCAAATACAGCAAGTAAATCTCCGTCAAAAAAGTATGGTCAACGTCGTGAGGATCTAATACACCCCTTTTCTTGACTTGCTGCACCCTCCTGCTTCACATATCGCAGTTACACCACTCGAAGATGAACTCACAAGCATCAACATTTATACCCGTTGGGTCCATATCAATCAAGAAAGAGGAGACTTGCCTGGATCATGAGGCGTGGGGTTCTTCTGACCTTTATGATTGGAGGTCTTTCCGCTCTTTGCCAAATGACTTGGATCTCAAGAGTCAGCACCACTTCCTCCCCCAGGACTTCGAGGCCGCCTTGTTGAAAATCCGAAGACTTGATCCATATCTTCGATTATGCAGAGGTTTATGGGCAAAAATAGAGTTCAGCGTGAAGAACAAAAACTCTGGGCATGGGACTCTTAGAGTCTATCTTCTCCCCGACGATACATTGCGCCGCGTGGTGGACCGATCAGACCCAAACATGTGGAAGTCAAGGAAGATCATCCTCAACGAACTGAATTATTCACCGGAAGCATGGAACGGTGATACCGATGCCATATGGCTAGAAACCCCACTCCCATACGACTCAGCAATTCATCAAACAGACCTACAAGAGGGAATGTCTTTGTTGCAACTCTTCAACAGCATCCCATCACCAAACCCCAAGGCCGAGTTGATTGAGGATTCATACTCCAGATCTGTTGCTCGTGATATCTTAGCTAGTCATATTTTAGGCCTGAAGACCGAGCTTTACCCTTACCAGCGAAGGTCATCCGCCATGATGCTGCAAAAAGAGGTTCAACCCCAACAGGTACTCGACCCACGTTTACTTCATGTTCATGATCAAGAAGGCGGAGCATGGTACATAGACCCGGTAGTTGGTACACTACTCAAAGAGCCACGCTATTACGACGGAGTATCGGGAGGCATACTTGCTGAAGAGATGGGCTCTGGCAAAACAATCATATGCCTCGCACTCATTCTGGCAACCAAACAACTGCCTACACAACCTCCCGAGCATTTCCGTGCCGGAGACGTCCCAACAAGGAAGCGACTGGCCCCGTTGGCCGAGATGGCCGCATCTTGTGCTACAAGAAACGCAGTGCCATGGCAATCATATTTCAACCTTTGCAAAGAACAGTCCGGTGAAGAATACGACAGATGTATCGAGGCACTCGGAAGAAACCCAGGCTACTACTTTCTCCCTTCACCTGAGCCGCGTCGATCCGCACGGCGTTGCATCCAGCCTGTCGAGCCGCTAAAGAAGCGACTCTACCTCAGCAATGGAAGCATCGTTGTTGTACCTGCCAATCTGCTGGCGCAGTGGCAGCAAGAGATTCGCAAACATACTGATACCCTAGAGGTCTTGATTTTGGTCAAAGATAAGCCATTGCCACCGCCTGAAGATCTGTTGAAGTACGATATCATTCTTTGTTCCCAGACCCGATTAGAAGCTCTGATTAAACAAAAGGGAGGGGTTGGACAGTCTCCACTGTCTCATATACATTTCAAGCGATGTATTGTCGATGAAGGACACAAGCTTGGTAATTCGAGGATCAGCAACAAAAGCAATATGCTCCTCATTCTCGATGCGTTGCATTTCTCTTCACGTTGGATCGTGACAGGAACTCCATCCGATGGCCTGTATGGAGTTGAGGCAGATCAGACAAAACATGAGTCTGACGGGACTTGCAAGGAAGAACCTGATGCATTGGCGACCTGCAACGAAAGCAGCAAGTTTGACGTCGATATGGAACGAAGGGACTTGACAAGGATCGGGGCTATAGCAGCGTTCTACCTGAAGGCTCGACCATGGGCGAACACTATCTTGGAAATAGGTGACACTACGGCGGATTGGGCGACTTACTTGCTATTGCCAAAGCACCAAGCAAATAGCCAGGGTCGTTGGGACTGCTTGAGATCTACCCTGAACTCTCTCATCATCAGACACCAACTTGCAGAAGTCAGCGATCTCTTGCCTCCGGTAAATGAAAAGCTCGTTGTTTTGGAGGGTTCATACCAGGACCAGATGTCCCTCAACATCTTCTCCATGATGATAATCTTCAACTCTGTACAGTCTCAGCGAACCGATAGGGACTACTTCTTTCACAGCAAACAGTCGAAAGCTTTGCTCCAAATTGTCCACAACTTGAAGCAGGCAAGTTTCTTTGGTGGCTCATTCTTTTCTCACGAAGATATTATAAAAGCTGTCAAGACTGCCGAAGAATTCCTTTGTGAAAAGAAAGTTCCAATCAGCGATGGAGACCGGCTCCTACTTGAGCAAGCGATCCAGTTTGGGCATGTTGTGATAGACAACGAGCTTAAGGCTCTGAGCAATCAGTTTCATGAGATGCCGGTTTGTGTCAAGGGTTTGCCGCATGACTTCAGCGCATCTTGGTCACTCAATAGTCAAACGGGAGATGGCATGTGTAGTTCGTCAAGTATGCTAGTGTCCCTTCAGAAGGTCGTCTATAAGTCCGCCTCCAGGCCTGATCGGCTCAACTCTCTTCTCAATGGTGAGTTGATCCAGGCGGGAATTGACGAAAGGACTCGCATGCTGTCATCAGGCGAGTCAACAGAGAACTCGCAAACACTGGCTGGAAACACGAAACTGGGAGACGATAGTCATCGAAGTATACGTGTTCGTGGCATCAAGGATGTGAAGCCTGAAGTTGAAGCAACTGTAGATGGTGCTCTTGGCCCATTAGAAACAGCAACGATCACTTCCACAGTATCTGCCAAGCTTTCGTACCTGATTGATAGTATTCTCAGGCACCAAGAGGACGAAAAGATACTCGTCTTCTATGAAAACGACAACATTGCATGGTACCTAGCTAGTATGCTAGAAGTGGTGAGTAGGACTGCCGCTCTTAACGAGAACCTATCGCTAACATCAAACAGCTTCAAGTGCAGCATCTCATCTACGCCAAAGGATTGACAACAGCCAGGAGAACCCAATATGTCAACACGTTCCACCATAATGTCAATTTTAGGTAAGTTTTCTCGTGTACGAGTCGGATCCATGTGCTAATTGGATTAAAGAGTGCTTCTCATGGACATCTCACAAGCAGCTTTTGGTCTTGACATGAGAGAGGCGTCGAGGATCTACTTCATCAGCCCTGTGCTTAACCCGCAAGTTGAAGCACAGGCGATTGGTCGTGCACGACGTATCAGCCAGCCGAAGCAGGTCTTTGTCGAGACACTGGTATTGAAGAACAGTATAGAGGAGATTATCTTGGAACGCAAGCAGCACATGACACAGGCTGAACATCGTCAAGTTCGGTCCATTCTGGACGTTGGCTCGATCTACGACTGGATCAAGAACCCCCGAATCATCCCATTACCGAGAGGCGAAATGAGCCAAGAAGATCAAATGACACCTCTCAGTACGCCTCAGTACATATTCAGGAGGGGTTTCGGGCGAACCATGCACCCTGACGATGGCCTGGTTATGGAGGATTCGCCAACTAGGAACCAAACAGGCATAGGAAATGTTCTGAGGCCTCTTGAAGTGACAAATGGAATGAAGCGACGAGGGCGATCCAATTCAATTGCAATTGGCCAAGACCAGGTTGAGAACAGAGATTCGTCATCCAACACAACAAGACTCGCCGCGCGTCCAGCGAAGAGAGTGCGGTTTGCAGGAGAGTAAAGACTATCCACCAAGTGCAGAGTACCGTACCAGCTGGGTGTAGAGCTGCGCCACGCACGGCCACATCCCCCGCGTCGAGGTGTGGCGAGTGAAAACTGCTGCTAAACTACCTTGGCTACTTGGCTAAGTTTCAGAACCAAGTCGGAACTTGGTATTGACTGCATAGAATGTTCTTGGAGTTTGGCGTCATTGAGAAACCCTATCACGATGGTCACGAGAAAGTTGAATTGCCGAGAGAATTGTGCGGAGCACGTGGAAAGGTTTTTTTCATCATCTTTTCTTTCCGAATGTACAGTACTTTGCAAAGCTACAGAAGAATTAGCGAGACGAGGCATTCCTTGCCATGACGAGTGTCAAAGTTGGCAGCGAAATGGAGTCCTTTCTAGCCTCTGTGTAAGCGAGCCGAGGCGAAAAGAGTGATGAGGACATGACATCTTTGATATCAAGAGCTTTACGATTTTTTCCACAAGCCAAAGCATCCCTGTCTTTTGATTTGCACCGTTGCGGCTCACGAACACACTAAGATCGATCGGTGGGAGGTTGGTAAACTTCCATAGCACAACCCATGTCAAAGTCGATGAGAAGATAATGAGGCCATGGTCGTACAGCGATATCCTGATTGTTGTACGGAGTACGGAGTACCTGCCTGTACGAGAAGTACGGACAGGCTTGACAATGTCCTCCCCGCAATAAAAGACAGCGCACGGCAGATATGCATGCAATAGAGATATGTATGGTACTACATACGGATGAACCGACGGAAGGATTCGCGGTCAAGCAAAGCACCAGCCTTCTCTCACGACTATCCATGTGAACTTGGCGATGATTTATGAGTGCATATTTCTTCCACCGAAACCCGTCGGTAGGTGTGGGGGTTGACGAATTTCCGAGGTCTTATGCCGTTTTAAGCGAGTATCTCTTTCTTGTCGGTTATGGAGTTATGACCAGTATTTTATCCATTCTCTGTTTTCTTTACGGAGTACAAGGATGGGTTTGTCGAAGTTTCTCCAGGAGGTTCCCTGGTGGTTGCTGTGGAGCAATCAGTATTCCCTGCTCTGATCGGGGGGCATCTGCATTTAGTCTGGGGGTGCCCTTGTTGCACTGCACAGCCGGAGCGCGTCTGCCCATCAGTTGATTTGTCATTTATTGAAACAAGAACATGTCAAATATATGCAAAAAGTGGTCGGATCGAAACGGTCGCTACCTATCCCAACTCTATTGAATCTCGACATGGATAGGAGGTTATCACTTGGTACTGTATCCGTACCTGAGCACCAGCCACTGGGTTTCAAACTCGGCAGCTAGACTAGTCATTGTAGTTAGCTTAACGTCGATGTCATGGGGAGGGGGGCTCTGCTGGCTATGCTTTACTACTTGGTAGGTAGAGAAGAATTGGGGGACACAGGACTTGACAGGGATATGCTGTGTACGTACTGCGTACCTGGTGGATGCTATTTTTGACATGTGGTGGTTCTCCCCTCTGCTGTGTAGCCTGTGTTGTGAACGTATATCGACGAAGATGGCTGCTTGAACAGCTGTTTATAGTGTAATGATAGAGTAGATGAAAGAAAATGGATGGTGTATCTACTAAAATATAGGTCGGAAGAACAACCCAAACTGAATAGCGCGTCATGAAATCAGTATTCAGTATCAGCAAACCCCAGGTTTATCCATGAATCCAAGCGCTCAACCACAACTTACAAGGCCCTAGTGGATTTCAAAACACAGCCGGACCAGGGCAAAGGGAGCAGGGTCACCAGGCTCTGTCTCTCTAGCTCTGGGTTCTCGACCTCCCAGGCTACGGGCCTCTATTGGCTAGGACCCATTTGAATCTTGATTTTTCTGTGGCTTTCCACCTAGGTAGGGCAATAGGGATGGCTCTTTCCCTTGTATGCATGTACCTACAGTAGCATCGATCGAGAAGGCGGGTAGGCGTTACGGTTACCGCGTCGTGACTTCCGTACTTAAAGTTAATGCAACCCGTTTCATCGTCCTGGGTCTTGTTTTCATCCTCCTTTTAGAGAGAAATCTTTATTATCTTCACCCTAACAACAGCGAGACATAAAAGTCTAGGATCGACACTTGGAAGATATGCAAATTTGAGAGACACGATCAATCCCTACGACAATCGAGTTCTACTTGATCTGTGTCTGTATTTGTTTTTATACATTGGCACTCTAGGACCCTATTCCTGATCCCTCTACGGCTACTAGCTATACTCTTCTTCTTATAAGTCCTATTTGAGGCTTTGACCCCCCCGCGGACCCGAACCCGAGGCCTACTTCCTGGTCCTATACTCGACATTCACATATTATACCCTTTACTTTACGAAACTCGGACGGCACCTTCAATCTTATTATTCTCCGCGCCATTGGACCGGCATCCGCTTTCTCGGAGCATTATCGACGACGATCATTGTTTTGTGTTGTTTCTCTACTTTTTATCATCTCGTTGCACCAGATCAGATAACATCAATCCGAGGCTGAACAAGCACCCTGTCAGCCTGTCAACCAAAAACAAACCATCCAAAATAAGATTGCCGATCGCTTATAGAAAACTCCACACACAGATCTACGACGGCGAACCAAAATGGCCATGTTCGAGGTGCAGCACAACCATCATGGAGAGGACTTCCAGCGCTTCTTCCATAAGGGCCGGAGCTCCATGTCGGCTATTGAGGATAGGCGAGCAGAGGAGTTTAGAAGGCATGTTTGGGCTGTAACCATGATTGATGACGCACCCTTGAAAGGGAACCGCCAATCGATTGACCTTGTGTGAGTTGTATTCTCTTATTCGTCAGCTCAATTGAAGTCACAGTTGCAGTTGTAGTTACAGTTGTAATTGCAGCTATAACCACCATCCCATTCCTATATCACGCAGCCAACATAATGCATTGTTTATTTACATCCCCCCTTTGACAATCCTCTGTTGCTTTAACAATCCCTTGGAAAGTTCCTCGGTCTTCACTAGAAACTCCGGAAAAAGAACTCCAATGTCTTGCTAGTTGGTTCCCTCCCTAAAGCCGAGCATCCGCAAGCACCAAAAAAGCCAAAGCTGGAGTTGGCCGCATGCAAATCCCCATCTCTAGCGCATTCAGCAACATGCTTTAACCTCTTGATGGCCTAATGGTTAAATTACCCTATCCACTCTTATTCCCAATTTCCCCTTGGTAGCGCATGGTCCCCTGGGCGCCTCCCAAGCCTTATGCTATTACCGCTCAAAGACACAGACACAAGCGAAGCTACAGACCAAAAGATTCTGTTTGCCTACGTCAGATCTGCGTTCGAGGCGGATGGTTTCTTAGGCCGATTATGCCTATGCCTAGCTAGTCAATCGTGCCATGGGCCATGATCCTTGGTCAACGGGGAAGTGGTGTGATTCTAACACCTTTTTCGCCTTGTCCACACAATGCTATACCTACAGTTTCCGTCCATCTGCGGAGCCTCTTTTTTCGTTTTCAGACACTCTTTCATATCTTTCAACCCATGTCTTCTCTTACCTTAAACTAATAATTGCCTCCTGTGAATAGTCGCCCCGGACCAAACAAACTGAGATCAAAGAGAGCTATTGCTTATGCGGGAACACCAGTCAAGAAAGGGAATGATACACAACCACCGAAGAACCAGCTCAAACTCGACACGACAATGAAGGATTCTACTGTGGCAGTCCGACCGGTGCATCCCCCGTCGTTTGGCTCGGCAAAGGACCTGACGACAGTTCAAGAGAATGCCATCAATGCATTTCTCGCAAACAACCAAGCCCCAGCTGCCAAGCAAGACCAATTCGGCCCAACAGCGTATCCTCGTCCAACATACGCTGTTCTCGAAACTCCACTGGCCGATCCTAGAAAAAGTCGTGATGCGGTACCTCGCAGCAGCATGACCCGTCCACGAGGGCTATCCAACAATTCAGTTTCCACAACATCGTCTTTTCAATCCAGAGAAACCATGAGCTCAGCGAGAAGAAGTCCTTCTTGGGGAAGCAGAACAAGCATGGAGACAACCGATTCGACTTCTCAATGGCGACCCGAGTACATGTACCAACGACCTATGCCCATTAAGAAGCAGTCATCTTCGAGGCCACCTCTACAGCCAAATGAGCTATTCTCACGACTACCCGCCGAAATATTATCAGCTATTCTGGAACAACTTAGAGACCTCCACCTGGGGGACAAAAGCGGAAGCTGTGCGACTTGCTGGATGCGCGACGTGTCTAACATTTCCGTATCTTGTCGCAAGTGGCACAAGCCCGCCCAAACCGCGCTGTAAGTCAGATCCCCCTGACAATGGCTTGTGAAGAAAGCAGCGTCCAGTTGAGAAACATGGTGGGGTTTGAGTCTTGGACTAACATGTCTCACTCAGGTACCAACACATTCAACTTGTAGGCCCAGATTCTGCCGTCCACAAAAAGAAGTTCAAGATGGCGCAGGGCGTCCGGATCAGTATGCTTCGCCGCGTCCTCCGCTCTAACCCTCACATCGCCGGAATCGTCCGCACGCTCAAAGTCCCGGCGCCCGAGATCGCAGCCAAAGGCACTGGCATCGCCGAGTACGAGGATCTCGTAGCAACGCTAGTTATGGCATGTCCTAACCTCGAGAGACTTTCCGGTCTGTCAATTGTTTACGAGCACTCGTTCAGGAAGATATTCCATGCCTTGTCGACAAGATCCAAGCTAAAGGAGATGAACTGGCTTATACGAGCATCGCCGCAGCAGAAGCAGCAGCCCACCCAACCGAGTACCCAGCAACTCGGCTTGGTTATGCCAGAAGAGCTCAATCCCCTCCAAGAAGCAGCATTTTTGGCCTCTCATGATAACTGGTCGCACCTTGAAACACTCACCATCCACTGTCTCCCTGGAGCAACTCTGACGCCCGAAACACTTCTCACGTCGACCTTGAACAAGCTCCCTAGCCTCAAGCGCCTTCATCTCTGTAACCTGCCGCCCAACAGCTTCGACGACGCCACGCTTCTAACTCTCCCGCCGCTTGAAACCCTGACGCTCTCCCACATCAGCGGTATCACCTCCAACGGTCTATCAGCATTCGCGACGCTATCTGCCAGTACGCCCCTACGCAAGTTGACTCTTCGGCACTCGCCTATGACCTCTCTGGCTGTCCTAGCACGCATCTTGTCCAATCTGAGAAATCTCGTCAACTTCTCACTCGTCCAGGCTTTTCCTCCTGTCATGCCAGAGAACGATAGTTTCGCACTTTGGATGATGCCATATCTAGCTAGCAATAGTCTCCAGACGTTACACTGGGACATCACCAGCCATGCTACATGCGTCAATGCCGCAGACGACATCCTTGCCCGGAGCATCGCCGCGAGTGGTTTCCCTGCTTTGCGGACCCTTCGAGCTCTGAACGATCCAGACGGCATCTTCCAGGATCTCTGTTACCCCGTGGAAAGAATCGATCTTCCCTCAGACCGCTTTCGACCTACCGAACAATCCGAGAGCTCATCGCCCTTCGCGTTCACACCAAGCTCCTCAGCGAGCCCCATGTCGCCCACGCGTCTATTCAAGTCCTCCAACAACTCACCGGCTTCCTCCCCACGGACCCCAGCGTCGCCCTTCAGTGACATGCGTCGTAAGACCTGCACCAATCTCCACACCGCACGCCTCGCCGCCCAAGCCCGCCTCGACGCGGCGCGCTCCCGGCCACGCTTCACCGTCAACGTGATCGACGAAGACGGCACGACCAACGAGACATTCTCCATGGCCGGTTTCATTGGCACGGCTAGAAGTCCTATCAAATACCACCTCCACCCTGATATGGGCACCACAGACGACAAAGGTGGTCTCATAGACGTGCGCGACCTTGACTGCGACGCAGGCGAGAGCCTTGCTGGTGGACGAGAAGGCTGCACTGGTCGCTGGAACCAGCGCGATGGTGTTGTGGCGGACAAGAAGGAGAAAGAAAAATGGTGGCACACGGAGAGAGGTCGCTGGACGAAAGTGATGCTGTAACGCAACTCACAAATAAAGACCAAAACGAAATGATGATGGAGGAATAATAGTATATGTATGAATGATGGTTTGGATGTATAAGACAAATGGAACGGATGCATGGAAAGGTTTCCCGGATAGGAGCCTCATCAAATGGCGTTTTGACTTGATAATATCTTCAGATTAGACTGGACTCATAGCTAAGCATTTTGGGAATCAAAGTGTACAAACACATAGAATGGTAATATACAAGCATTGAATAAGATATAGCAGTCTTTTGCAAATAACTCGCATCATTATCATCATGGAGGACTGTATGTCTGCTTTGTCGCCAGTTGGCTGATTTATACGCATACTCCTTAGGCACAACAGAATATATGAAATAGACGCAACGATCTTGAGAACACTTAAATTCAATCAACTCTTATCAAGAGGATTACAACTATCCAATCCAATACGGAACCAACGCCTTAATGCTTATCCACACCCGCCGCGCAAATTGTCTGAACAGAACTTGCTATACGCCGTATCCACAGCTGCGCTCATGCAAAGTAAACAATTAAACATTTTCTTTTCTGCCGGCCAATTAATGACATCGTTTCTATCAACCATGTCTAACAAAAAAAATGAAAAAAAGTTATGACCCGTCCCGACTACACATCTGTGTAGATTTTTGTTTTTGTTCTTATCATGCTAAAAGTCGTTAAAAGTAAAGTGTTGGTGCCTGTGCTTATTCCGTCAAGATCTTCTTTCCAGAGTATGTAGTGATGCGTATATGATGAGGCTGAAGAGTAAGAAAACGAAATGAAAAGGAAATAAAAATAGCCGGCCAGAAAATCCGTCATATGCCTCGCCATCGGACAAGGAGGATTGCCGCACTATTAAGGTTGCTATGATTTAATGCCAACACGCCAATACGGGTAAAAGAACGCTCTCACATACACACGTGGCGTAAGAAATCCACCGCCTGGTACACCAGGACTTGTACAAAGGCGGAGCTCCAGAGCTCTTTGGACTCCCTCGAGGAAAGAAGATCCGTTGAATGAGCCGATATTGATCTAGAAAAATCGGCTCTTCTTCTTTTCCTTCTTCTTGGCATCGCTGCGCAGGATGTCATCGAAGGTCGCGCCAGTCATCTCAGGAGGCGGTGACTCCGTTTGAGGGTAACCAGCGTGGCCGAGGGCAGCCAAGTTACCCATTGACGAGTTTCGAGAGCCCATCATGAGACTGGGGGGGCGTCCTCCAAGGGAGCTGCTACGCTCTCCGAATGGGCTTGGCGGCTGAAGGGGTACCGGCTCCAGACCCAACGCGATACTTGATCGCCAGGCTTGGTTGGCTCGGTTTCCACCTGGAGAGTGTGTTCGAGGTCGCAGAGAGCCTGAAGGACTTCCGATAGGAGAAGGGGGAGTGTTGTAGCCGTTGCCGAAAGATGGGGGCGGTGTGGGCATGAAATCGTCGTTATCCAAGAACATGGATCGTGGTGGCTGTAAGGGTGACAGCGAGGGTTCGGTTGTTGCTTGCGCGGAGATTCCCAAACCACCAGTCTCCCACTGAGTAGCGGCCAACCAACAATGACTTCGGTGGTACGTAGCCTCTACACTAAAGAGCACGGCATCCTGAGAAAGTTCGACCAAACCACCTCCACCAGCCACCTCGTACCACATCTTCTTAACTTGCTGATCAGGAACCCAAGGCGGGTTGCCCAAAGGAGGCTCGCAAAGGAAGTACTCAACACCCTCAGTGAACTGCATGCCTGGAGCATCGACAACAAGGACAGGCAGCGACTGAATCACGACATATAGGAATAGCCAGTAACCAATACGCTGGTCAGCAAAGTCCTGGGGGGTTTTGCCACGAGCCTCACGAAGCTCGAATTCCTTGAACTTATCCAGGAAAGGAACCTTCGTGGCGTTGGTATCGTAGTTGTAGGCCTTGTTCAACATGAGCATAAGCTCGTGCTCCTTGATGTTCTTGTCGAACTTGGCCTGCTTCTTAGGAGAGAGCGTATCATATGTTTCCAAAATTGATGTCGCCGAAGGCATCTGAGGGCAATCGTAAGGAATAGGAGGAAGCACAGGTGGCTTGGAACGATCGAATTCGGACATGATATTTCGGAGAGCAGACACAATCATCCTGTCGGGATCGTCGGAAAGGGCGGGAACCTCGTCCATGATTCTTGATGTTCGATTGTTGCGATCGACGATCAGATCGTAGAGAGCACACATATCAGAGTACAGGACCTTGAGGACAAGTCTGTTAAGTCCACTCTCGGAGAAAGGGTTCTTCTTGCTGCTAGCCTTGGGTGGCCAGTTTCCGAACGTGGTCTTGTAGTAGTGCAAGGCGAAGGTCCGCATTTTAGTGAATGATTGCCTCCACACCTTGAAGCGAACGCTTCTAAGCTCCATCATGGAGGTGGAGTTTGCAATACCGGAGAACAGAGCAGGGAAGTCGAATTGTTCCAGATGCATGTTGGCGCTGTGCTGTCGATTGAGTAGATCGAGATGGGCGCGTTCCAGGCTCACACGTGTCTTTTGCGAGATCTGGTCAAACAAGGGAAGCTTCAGATCCTGGATAGCTGCGTACTTGCCCGCGGCATGAGCAAAGGCTTCGTTGTAAAGATCGGCCGACCGCATGCGCTCTCCCAGAATCAGCGCTTCGATTGTCTTCTCCCGGCTGTGTCGGCAGTCCGCAAGGGCGTGTTGGTCCATGTAGAAGCCGAAGCTGAGGTCAACAGCATCGCCAAACGTAGTTCCGTCATAGCTTGTGAAACCGTACTCTTCCAAAAGTCCAGAGATTTCGAGGAACGCATGGAAGTTGGAAGGTCGAGCCTTGGTGGCCACAAGAGGCTGTCCTGTCAAGAAAGCAAACAAGTTGCGCATGGCAATTAGACGCTCCAAGTCAGGCTGTGTGTCCTGTCCGGGAGCTCCTGTGGGGAGGTATAGGTGGAGGCAATCGTCAGCTCCATCGTCAGGAATAGGAGGAGAGGTTGGTAACGAGATGTATCGGTTCGCATCTTCGGCAGTCAGACTGTGACGGCCGCTGAAACTTCTGGTTCGGTCCCTGCCCATAGGCTCCCGCTCTCGTTGGATGAGTTCATTGAAGACCCAGGATGAGCTAATGGTGAATTCTTGAACCTTGAATGACGGTCCACAGCCACTGCTCTTGGGAAACAAGTAAACAAGCACAGCTCCACTTTCGTTCCAAAGCTCTGGGACCTATTCGTGCGAAAAGATTAACTATGAAACCAAGGTTTATCGGAAGAGTAACGTCACTTACCTTTTCTCCGTTCTTGAGAAACGAAGCATTGTACTCAGCTTGTGTCTCGTCGGACAGAACCCACGCAGCTGAGGCGTTTGCGTTGGAGACATCAATTGAGTTGGAACGGGATCTTCCGCCAGGCAACCAACTTCTTCGGATGCGACCCCGCGTTGGGCTCTGACTGACATCACCTTTGGATGAGCTGGGTCGGATAGCTAGAGGTGTTGAAACAACGCGGCTCTTGGTGTTGTTGTTGTCACGATTGTTGGGGGATTGAACTGAAGATGAGCGGCGTCCGCGGTCAGGCATTGGAGATGTGGTTCGGGTCTTGAGCGCTTGGATCGAATCGCCGTTTGAGCCGCTCGACGTGTGCTGGAGAGATCCGCTCCTTGGACGAGTAGCGGGGTTTTCCTTTCGCAATTTTCTGGTTCCGCTGCTGGAAACGTCGGAAGGAGGATTAGGAATCGGAGGAGGCGGCATATTAGGTTCCTGGGGGCTCATTGTCGCTCGTTGAACCTCCGGGGATGGAGGAATCGGGGCCATGATTTGGGGGTTAGGACTCAGTTGACCATCAAGGCTGTCGCTGCCGCGGGTGGGGATCGAGTCCGGGCTTGGTGGGGAACCACCTTGGTGAGGCTGGTATTGACCATTGCCCTGGTATGCCAGGGCGTCGTGATAATCGTTATTCATCCGGAGAGTGGGTTCGATGACGCTGGGCGTTGTGGAAGAGGCACTGTCGTCAACGGTTGTAGGAGGGGTTCCAGCCGTATTAGTGGTGGTTGACGTATCCGTGGGAGATGACGATTTGGTGGGTGCAGGAGAACCGGCGGCGGCAGCGGGAGCGGAGGAGCCGGTAGGCGCCGTGGGCGTTGGTGCAGACTTTGACGTAGTTGGAGAAGCTGTAGAAGACTCTGAGGGCACAACGAGTGACGGTAAAAAGGATGAAAGTCGGTTCCCCCAAAATCTGGACATGCGATTTGAGCCCTTTGCAGGAGGTAGGTTTGTCGTTGACTGCGATTTAGGCAACGAAACCTTTGGGGCTGAGTCGTTGCGTTTACGAAGAGTCTTTTGCTCGGCGGAACGAGGACGGTTGTTCTGTGGTAGTGGTACAGCGTCTGCGTCTTGGGAGCTGGGGCCGGGATGAGGCAGGTTTGTGGTGGACTTTGAAGAGCCAATGTTTGCACCTCGAAGATGAGAAAGGTCGGCGTTGTTTGACTTTTTCACACTCTTACGAGAAGAGGGAGAATCAGGGTCTGTGTTTGAACGCAACATGGAGGGCATTATAGAAGCCCGGAAGGACCTGCTCGACGTCATGATGGGCGAGGTTGGTTCCTTTCAACCTGACCGGATCGTCTAAAACGCCAGCGTTACATGCAGCAAGCAAGCAAGTAAAGAGGATGGATGCTAAGAATAAGCAGCGGAGGGTGCGTGTGGCGAGCGAGGGGCCAGAACGAGCGAGTGACTGTTGTGCTGAAAGAAAGCAAGGCGAGCAACCAATGCAATGGAAGCTTGATCGGTTTTGGTGCAAGGTAAGGTAGAGTAAGAAACCGGTAAAAGGTGTGTAAAAAGGGACCAGCGGGTCGACAATTCTTTATGTTCAGGGGAGCACCAGCACAGGAGAAAAGAGTGAGAGGAGAAAACAAGAAGGAAGCTGAAACTGAAGTAAAGAGCTCTTTCTAACAGACCCAGACACTGACACAAAGCAGGAAGAATCGGCAACAGGCGTCAACTCAAGACCGGGACTAAGAAGAAAAAATGTCAGGCAAAGCCGCAAAGCCCTTTTTTCACTAGAAACCAAAGAAGAAGAAAAGGCACACAGTACTGTATTTTAGTTCTAGCCTAAGCCTGTGGCTGCGTGTCAGATCTCGGACGGTGCTTGCTTCCCTGCGCCGGGGGGGGGGGGAACAAGCCCCTCCAAAGTATCCGTAGATGGAGACCTTCTCTCGCCTGGTCGCCTACTGGACATCTAAAGAGGCTCCAGAAGGGGGAGTAGGGGAGTAGAGGTGCAAGGGAGCAGGGGGGGTCCCCATAAAAGGCCTGCCAAATCTCAACTCTGGGTGGTTGTCTCACGGGTACTCACCTGGTACCTGGGCGGTATGCTGCTACTTTTGGCTCAAGACTGGATCAACGGGTACGGGTTTTGAACTTTCGGGGGCTCGGGACTTGTGTGGATACGCGATGACGTTGGTTTGCGGCTGGGGGCTAAGGCTGTTTTTTTTTTCTTTCTCCTGAGTTTGACCTGACCGTCAGCTCAATCCAATTCAAATTGAGACATTGATTGAACTCAACTGAACTGACCTGACCTGAACTGAACGGATTCACCAAAAGTATTAAAGCTCCGCTGACTCAATTTGTCTTGTCCCTTTCAGTTGAAGCAACGGGATGGAATCGCGGTAACCAAATATACCGTGTCTAGAACAGTGCGCCACTTCATGTCCATGCATGCATCTCGGTATTGTTAGTATGTGTTCACCCTCTTACGATGCCATGTCTTTTTTTCTATTCCCTCTCTAGCCCCATCCAGGCTCGTGCTCGTTCATATCCGTACTATGCTCATGCTCATGCTCATCGTCCATCACCTTGATACTCGTTTTGTGCCGTGTCGTATCGTGTCGTGTGCTGTCGTGTTGAGTCGCAGATAGCTTGCCCTTCTACGCTACATACGCGCTACTGTTGCTATTACGAATCCGTGGCATTGGAAAACGAGGCATCCGATCCTTCTCCCATCCATTCATATACCTGCGGGTCTCGCGGCTCTCTTCCATCTCTTTAGTTGGGTGGGCGGAGTTTGAGTTGAGATTGGTGACAAGTGGAGACTGGGCTCTCATTCAACAGACAGAGGCCAAGAGCGAGACTGAAAAGGGAGACATTGGTCTAATATCGGCAGGGAAGCGAGTAATCAATTATCTTATTAGTCTGTTTGAAAAACGTTCGGTTGTAACAAGTAAAATCCTCTTTCATTTTCATTCTGGAACTTCAGTACAGCCAACGCCAACCTAGCTTGGCTGAGCTGTTTTGTCTTACTCCATGATGCCACTTTGATACTGTCTCTGGAAGTCCGAACTAATGAATACCTACAGCTCTGGACCCTGCCGCTTCGAAACATGTTGCCTAGGGTTCCTCGTATTTCGAATGTTTGATCTGCATGTCTCTGCAAATCTCAACGTCTGCAGCCACGAATCACCAAATCCCCTACCTTTGCAACGCAGCCAGCATAAAACACTCATGATATGCCTTCCCACCACGGAATAGCCTCAGCACATACCAAGCACAACTTGACAACATGTACCTTGCAGCAAGTATCCGTAAGCTGCAAGAGCATTGCGAATCTTCATTGCCCAAAGCTTCTCAACCCAGGGTAGCTTTGGCCAACAGTGCCTAGTCCGCGCACAGTTTCCATCCTCAGGGATGAATGAGGTGCTTTTCTCTCTTTCTCTCTTTCTCTCTTTCTCTCTCTGTGCGTGAGCAAAGCTCAGAAGGGCTGCAAGGGTGGGCGGCGGCCGAAATAGACAAGGAAGTCCGGGGCGTTAGACAAAAAGCCGAGAAAATACAGTGTGTGGTTGAGTCTAGCACCAAGTTTTACCCATCTTATGCCATTAGCTGCCATTATGGCGAGTTCCAAAATTTCCGGTTTTGGATTTTGGCACTCCGTAGTCCGCAGGCAGCGCGGGATTGAGCCTCAAGCGCCTGCGTAGAGCACCTAATCCTGTCTGACACGATACGAAATGGACCCTGTGTGCGGTACCTGGAAGTACCTCTGAGTGACATTCAATGGTGCCCTAGATGAGTTATTGACGATCCCCCGAACCCAGGTAGGCTGAACTGGAGGTGTTGGCAGCGCAGCTGGATTGGAATTACCATCGACATCAAGGCCCAGCGCTGAACTACTACCGCCATTATTATTACCTATTATTACAGGACTCCGTACGGTATTGGCTGCCAGGGGATCCAAAGTGCAGGATCAGCGAGAGCCAACCGTTAACCCCACGGTCACCCTGTCGTCCACAGTGCTTGGCCGTTTCGAAGAAGGGTTACCTTCTAGGTACCTATGTATGCCTTACATTCGAGATGATGGGGAAATGCTAACATTAGACGTTAGCCTTAGATTATCGATTACGTACATGTCCCTATCCAATCTGCTCTCAACTGTCTGTCCGTTGCTACAGCTTCAGCTGCAGCTACAATTCAAAACTGTGATCAACGTAGGACTTTGTATCCTCCGAATCACCGCCAGCCACATCCCGAAAATCATCGTTGGTCCCCTGGTTTGGCTTGCGTTGGTGTGGCTGTCATTTAAAAACAACACCCAAACCGGTTACAATTATCGGCACCGGTCAGCACATGGTCGAATCACTACAGACTTTTTTTCCTTCTGAGTTAACTCTGAGGCCTATGATGTGCTGAAGCAGTCAGAGACTCAACCGTCGTCAACCTCATTGGAGGTCAAATTCAAGAAGTCGTCATCTATCACATCACAGTCAGAAACTCCCTAAAGACGATCCAAAGTTCAGAAATCCTATAGCGTCGGCCTGCAACACTCCCCCCTTTTCCTTCACGTCGGAAACCATTGATCCCCATTTGCCCTGCCGTCCCCGGTGGCTGGTGACTCGCTGCTTTGCCTGGCTCGCCTCGTAAGATCTGCAAAACCAACTCACATAAACATGACGTCCTGGTTGGTCGTCAGGGTCGTTTCCCTGCAGGCCGTCTCGCTTCAAAACGGATCGGCCTGGCGCGCGTTACAGTAGGAATGGAATTTTCCAATAAACTGGGGAAGAAATGCCCAGTTACGATGTTTCGCTTCTCGTATTCCACAGACCGACTCCAACAACGAACAGCACATGATGGTAAACCCGCCAAACTGTATTCAAATATAGCTCAAGATCCCATCTAATCTAGTCGCATCTTGGAAGTTGAGTTCGGTACCCGACTCATAGACTCATACTTGGCGGTCCAGCTTTTTACTCGGCCGACACATGTAAAGTCACGGAGCCCATTCACAGGGGAAGTGTCCCGTAAAACAGGGGGTTCGCGGCCCTGCATCTGCATGTACAGTGGCACCCAGAGAGCCAAGCCAACAACGCCCATAATCATCCATCGCATTTCTGTTCGTACTGTACAATATCCAAGAGACGAATAAACCCTCGACCTTCTCTGGTCAGGGACTTGGTCAAGTGCGAGCCACCCCGGAAACCGAGCTCAATAGTCGACGCCCACGGTACAAATACTCCGTAATATCTACTCAGATTCGCCTAAGCTGTCAGAAAAGGCTTGTGTGTTGCTTCATGTCGTGCTTCCATCCACTGACCGAGTGGATGAGTGTTTTTATGAGAAGGGGAGGGAAAACACCGGAAACCCTTCAACTACTGTTACATGCACTAGCAGGACTAGTTACGGATTCACTACAAAGACAGATCTGGGCTGCGTCATACTTTGGTCCCTGGCCCTGGACAGTCCATCGCTCGTCTTGAGAGGCTGGACGGTAGGCGAAATTGGCTCTGCACATCAGAAAAAGGGAGACCAGAAAAGAGGTCATGGCCAAATGCCAACACAACAACAACACGAGAGACGGGGCCGTGAGAAGTTGTCGACTTTCTAATGGCTCCAGTTGATTCTTGGCTGTGGTCTTGGCTCCGTATTTCTTTGCCCCAGTTTTCGGGTGCGTGCTTTTAACATTAATAGTTTAGCATGCCTCGTGCGTACATGTGCGTCTGCGTCTGCATCTGCTTGTGCTCGTGCTTATGCATTTCCGCGTCTGTGTGTGCATGGCTGTGCCAGCTGTTCCAGCTATTCCAGCTGTGCTCCGCATCTGGTACCTTTTTATAGAACATTCCGGAAAATTGTCCCACCCTGGTCGGGAGCCTGGTCGGGAACCTAGTCGCCTGTCCTCCAAAATCTGAAATCCAAAATTTAAAAACGGCCCTGTATAGCCTGTCATGGCTATGGATCCTTCAATCCCTTGATCCATCCCTCTCAGCCTCTCTTAATTACTGGAGGGAGGGGGCTCAGTTCAGCGTCTGTGCTCTCTTGATATTATTGCGCTTACGGTAATTATTCTGAAGCGGACTGTCGGATGAACTCTCTCTTCGCTCTCTCGTTACCTGTCAAGATCCACTGAAATCCGGTGCAACTCTTCAGGCATAGGCAGATGCCTGGCAATAAAGTTGAACAGATATGCATATATAACTCCCGAGATTCAATACCTCCGAGATCATTTATTTCAAAGCAGTCAATGCCATGCCAGCATATCAACCTTGGTAGGGTCGGCGTAATTTGAATAGCTAACAAGTGCTGACACATCCCTGACCAGCCCCCAGCCCCCTAGCCATATAATCGACTACTGTGTTCCCCCTCAGCCTTCGCAGTGGAAGCTCATTCGAGCTGAAGCTTGTTATGTATTCGTACTTGACTCAGTGTTGAGTAAAAAGGGTAAGTTGCTGTTACAGCTCGCTTGGCAGTGCATGCAGCAGCGTCACGTGACGCAACTTTCCTATTGAGGCAACTTCGAAGCTCACCGAGACGGCAGTGAGACCCCCACTTTAATGATGCAGTCACGGGTATCGTATGGAGGATATCACGAATGTTCAAAGAAGGAAGGAAGATAATACTTTAAACGAACTTCAAATAAACGATCCAACATTTTGACCTAGAATATGGCCTCAGAATCATTGCAATTCTTCTCTTCCGCACTAAACTCCCCTAGTGATGTTAATCTCGAAGACTTTCTCGACGTTCAACGTCTCTGTGATGGTTCTTCAACGCCTCCAAACGAACCAACTCAAACTTACACACCTTTAAACAACATCACTATCCCTGCTCGCACTAGCGACCAGGAATGTTCCGAGCACAAGAGACAAGATGATACACAACGTGGCAGTGAGAGAAATCGGTCATATACACTGCCAAGGCGGAGAGGAATTCGCTCGATTGTCTCAGTTCCTGAATATTCAGTCATCTGTTTCCCCTCGAATCCCACCAAACCTGACGGTATCAAAAAGACGAGAAAGGACTTTGACGAAAAGAGGCGGCGTGAAGTTGCACAAGTTCGTAAGAACGGTGCTTGCTTCCGGTGCAAAGTACGGAGAATATCTGTATGTATCCTCATTGACTTACACCAAGGACCATATACAAGCAGAAGCTGACTGCTCAGTGTGGTGTAGGGGAGACATGTCAAGCGTGTGAGAAAGCCGCCGGCATCCTTGGAACTCAGCTATGTATCCGCGAAAAGTTGACGAAAATGAGATTCAGTTCGGGTGGTCCGTTTATATCTTGAAAACCTTCAATTTGAGTAAGCTAACAACTTCAGATCTTCACTATATCGACTATACTGCACGGTTGCTTAACCAAGAACTCATCGCTGGCACAACCCATCTAGGACCACATCGAAAGGTGTCGCTGTCTATGGACTACCTTGATAACCCAGCTCTAGAGGTTGAGGTTCAGGACTACTACGGGAATAAGTCGCCACCATGGTTCTGCTGCTGGGTCGTAACGGACCAGGTTGGTGGCCAAGTCGAGTCTTACCGACAAGAGAGTGGTCGATATGCCTTACCGCAGCTTCTTCCGCCCAGCCATCTAATCGATTGGGTTGAGAGGATGATTACGCACCAAGACACCCGATGCATAGGTTTCCAGCAAACCGTCGATTCCTTCATCTTGAGGTACAGTCAATCCCAAGCGCCTTTACCAATGGTAAGCATTATCTTACCCTAACCCTTTGCTCAGCCCTCTTACACGCATTAGCATGACTTCGTCCGAAAAGTACACCAACTGAACTGCCTCACCAAGATTCGATTGGGATTTATACTATGCGTCGAAGAGAGAGGCAACACGACACCGCCTTCATGTGCTTTACACACACAATTTGGCCAGATATCGAAGGCGGCCTCCCAACCAATTGAGAAAGAAGTTCTTCTAGAGTTGGAGAAACTAGTATTTGGTACCGCAGGAATCGGGCCCGACAACTCGATAGCCCTCTGGGCCAGTCTCTGGTGCTTAATCCTCATGTATCGGAAACTAGTCCACACTTATATGGCCTTCCAAGAGTTTCCGTGTCATGTACCCGAGGACTATAGTGGCTTTCCAGAGTGCAAGTTGGAGGTTGGCACCCACTTCTATCACTATCTGGTATCTATCTATGCGGCCCTCTTCCGCGTGACCAGTCCGCTATATGCCGACTTCCGAATACCAGCTACGCGCAAGCTACTTGACGATGACGAGTCCCTAATAGAGGCTTTTATGAGTTTGCGCACCGAGAGCTTTTATTTCCGTCAGTGTGCCTCATTAAACTTTGAAACTAGAGCTAATTTTGTCTTTAGAGAGAGAGTCGATGTCCATGTCAGCGTCACACGATCAACTTCTACGCCGGATGATACTAGATCGAGAGGCGGGTCTGAAGCCCAAGCAGCTCACTCGAAGATGACCGAGTAGATATGACAGCGGTGCAGTTCGAGGTGAAATTATTAAGCAGATGCAATGCATTTGATACGTTGTTTCAAGATATTGATGACTAGTCTGTGAGAACATGTTTACAGCTGGGGAGTATGATGGTCAATAAGAAGGATATGGTCATAATGCAAATTCCAAAAGTCACTAATTTCCCTCATGATCGAACGAGGTATCATTAGCAACGCTGCTTGTTTGGATCACGCAATTTACGACAATAATGTCCATCACACAAACCCTTGAGGCTGCTACTAACCACCTGGTTGACGACGCGGTGTCGAGCTGTAGCAAACAAACAAGCCTTGCTGTACTTACCAGCTCTATATTTCTGTCTAATGTCATAGATTTGTATGGCTGGATCCAGAGTTTATTGTTCATTGTAGTTGTAACATTTGTCGTATTTCAACTTTCAGTCTGTCCTGTGGTATCGCCCCAAGCCTATGGGAAAACTTTTGGCTGATCAACAAAAAAAGAGACCCATGTCGTATTCGTTTTCTCCTCCTTTGACTTGCCCAGGTCAGGGATGTGGTTATGGCTCTAGAAGCTAGTATGGTTTTTAAGAGCTTTCACGAAGAACTTTCGGTACGAATCCCAACCTTGAGGTTGATCGTGGCTAATTGTTGTGTTGAAACGCTAGATGAAAAAGAGAAGGGCATATTTTCCCGCATTGCACGACCATCCTCAGCCAGTGCGTTGGAGGTCTTTAACTCGACCTTGGTACGTCCATAATATTGGAATGTCGTTTCATCTTGATCAAACCACAGACATCCACTCCAAAATACGCGAAGAATTTCCAACACGTTCAGCCTTGGCTCCCAATATCTTCCAAAGGACTATTAGCGACGGATGTATGAACCTACCATTAGCCTAATATTGTTATCGAGAATCGATTGTACTTAACCAACGTGATCTACCGACTGGTACAAAGTGTGGCAAGGTTTGGGCCTCCCTGACTCCTATACCTAATCACTCAACCAAGCAGGCCACTGTTGTAAATTGCTAGGGGTAGTAAGGTCAAGGCAACTCACTATGCCAATTTGTCGGAACAAGAGACCTCTTGAAAATAACAGCCGTAAGGTTTTCCGGACTTAGTGGGACTGGCGTTGCAAACGATCCATTATATGCGCCTCTGATGTATAGGTGTTGTCTTGGACATGTCAATCTCACCAGAAATTATCACGGGTGTATGTGACGGTGCTGAGGTTAAAGCAACGATCACTGGATACATGAGTTTAAGAAGGAGAAGATTGACTTAGCCTGGATTGAACAAGAAAAGAACCGACCTGTTTGGTCTCCCAGAGGTTCCTCGGGACATTGCCCATCGTCCGGTGTGTATGAATACCCCTATCAAAGTCGGCGACAACAATATCGAATGCCAGTCATCGATAGTTCGCCGTGATAAATAAGCAGGTCAAAGAAGCAACAGTTCCCGCAGACCACACCGTGTTGACCCAGACATACGTGGAATCTTCAATCACTAAAGCGGGCGGCTTTACTCTCTTCGGAACACGAAGCCGAGATACTAATACCAGTGATTCAACGCAAAAGCCTATGAGTTGTTATTCAGCAGTAATATTAATACAAATTCTTGCTTTTTCCAAGGAGTCAAACGTAATCGGAGATGAAAGAATTGAACTTGTCCATTGTCCCCTATTAACAGAAGGACCACAACACTTAACTTCCACTGGCTGTTTAGGCATCTATTTGAAAGTTCTCTTCGACCCTAAATTATATGACTAATCCTCTTTTCCTATCCCTTTACCCCCTCTAAGCCTCTCTAGTATTCACAGATTTGCAGTTACTCTTAACCTTATCATTATCATTCTTAGCCTCGCTGTTACTATAATGATACCCTCACTATAAAGACGCTCCCACCAGAAACATACTGATATCGCGAATTATTCCCACCAGAAATGCCCTGACTGTAGATATACATATCACAGAGATAAGTGCGGTTTAAGTCCACAAGGACGGTCGCGACTACCACCGTAGACAAGTACACCGAGTTCATGCCTGACGTAGCCAACGCCACGACGAAGCTCAAGTGTTTGGCGAGCTATGATGATCAGAATAAGGCCGAGTCCGCTATCGAGAAAAATAAAATATTTCGAGAGAATACAAATTAACACGATGACTGGAGAAATTTGTAGAACCCATGGCATGGTGGTAATAATGGTTCTTTTTTTTTTGTCGGCCAGGAGTGAGAAAATATTTTGGTTGGGTTTGGACTGGAAATCCAAGATATTTAGAAGCTAATAGCCGAATGTTTTTGCACCTTTATTTTGCTTACGGGTTTACTTTTATCATGGTGTTTTAGGCTGAGATACATTGCGAGGAGGTGGGTTTCAACTGAAGTGATTGATTGTTGGAATTAGAAGATTTTGAAGAAAACCATGTGCCCAGAAGGAAACAAGTTCCAAAAGAAACCATGATTCCTCGCCACTATGCGACCATCATCAATTAAGCAGGATTGGTTTATAAATAACTTAGGCCTACCTTGCGACACATGCTTATAAACACCGAAAATAAATAATCACAAATGGGAGGAAAACATCTGACTGAGGATCCGTATGGATGTACGTACTTTATTGCCATTGTGCAGGGTAAGTTAATAACAACTTGTGACAGAATGATCGATGTCGTGCATTGCATTCTCGGATGGAGTTGCTGATGCAAGCGACTGGATCCCATTCGCTGGTAGTATTACTCAATGGGGAAGAATTGCTGGCCTCACATGATGTTTCAGATGCCCACCCAGTCGGTACCCCGGTGGCGCTGAGGTTAAATTTAACGAAGACCGGGGCCGTATCTCGGCCCCACACTCGGGACGGGTCGCCGTGTGTTTAAATCTAGCACCGGTCGATTTTTAACATGGCCTTAATTTAATTGACGACATCTAAACTTTGAGTCCACGGTTATAATTAAGCATGGCCTTAAATTTGATTCATTATTTGACACCCGAGGGGTGTTACCTGTGCGAAATGTCACTCGAGTATGCGTTATTACAGTAATAAAAGCCTACTTGAACTTCCCCTCTCTTGATAATCTAACCGAACAGACTATTGCAAGCCCCTGTCTTTCAATGTTCATTGTTCATGACGATTGATGGCTGTAGGTTCAACGAGCGTTAGTGGTATACACCACCCCTGTCCATATAACCCGCTTTGGATCTAGATGAATCTGGATGAACTAGCGACACCACGGACTAGGTGCTGACACTCAAACAGGAAAACACAAGAGGAGTCAGATTTCTATCTCGTCTTGACTTCTTGGTCAATTTTGAGTAGATCCGCATCGGTAGATATATCAATTGAGTGGTTTGCTAAGACGAACACCCGATATAACACAGCCAGAGCTTACACGGGATGGCACCAAATGATCGCCCGTGCGGAGGATAACAAAGAAAGCTAGTCGTTTTCCTGCCAATTGACACTTGAAATGATAAGGTCAGTCATTTAATTCCATCGGATAGCCTGATTGGCAACCTGGAATTTGGTATAATGAACATATCGACCTAAACATATATAAACACCACAAACCCATCACCAAGGTTTGGCAGCGAAAACAAGCAATTGCGCCAGCAACACTAGACTCACATTGACATCTAGCTTCCTACCGATGAATTTTAGTCTCCCTCTCGCTCCAACAATGGTCATATACACTATTCCCGTGATCTGGCTCGACTAGTAACTCGTAGCGTTCTCTTTGACGAAACGGCCTTGAATTTCTCGGTGTGTCAAGGGTCTTTGATTGGCTGTATATCCTCCAATTCCACTCTTATTGACGAATCACGACCCCTGTACTCACCGAAATGTGTCTGAGGAGGATGGTGTAAGTGAGCAAGTCCACCATGAGCCTCCATGAAGGCCGAATTATAACTCTCTGCCGCCAGGACGTGTCTCTGAATCGCTCGAATCTTGCACGCAAGCATCAGGCACATTGGAACTTTTCACCTTATCGTCTTCTGACAAGTATTTGCTGCGTGCTTCAATTCGCCCAGCGCAGAGATCAAGGTTCCACCAAGATACCTGCTCGTGACTTACACCGGATACAGTACATTACATTACATTGCAGACGGGATATTTTTCAACATGGATAAAGGAGGTGCTGCCGCTGCTGGTTTTGCGTCCAGGAACTTGTCCCAGATAGGTCAAGAAAACCCGCGTGTTCCCACCTCTCCGGGGCTGGACTATGATGAGCTCTTCAGGTCTTTCTTTGACTGGGACCTCTACTGTGATTCCACTCGGACTCAGGACCACTCAGCAGCCTCAGGCTCGCCTCGTCTAAGCTACAGGGACCTCCCCTCGCTCATTACTGATATACCATCCTTCCTTGATCATCTTTCTATTGACAGAGACGAGGCCGGGTACCTAAGGATGACCCCTGGCCTGAGCCCGGACGATGGAGGGATCACCACACCCGAGTCCATGGGTCAGACCCCACCGGAGCTCGTCAGAGGTGGTAGTACCTCTCCCTCGTCTCACTCTGGCTCTGTCTTCCTCGGTGGCGTAGAGGATGTCCGTCGACGTCCTCGAGCCAGCCTCCGAGAGGTTCAGGCCCAGGACGATAAGTGGACGTACCCCCAGGCCGTACCCAGCAAGCATGCTCCACGGGGGTACGGATATCCGCCTCAGATCCAGGTCCACGAATCGTCGTCTCGCCGCTCAAGCCACACCAAGGCGTACTCTCCCTCCTCAACCTCTGGTGTCAAGCGTCAGCGATCTGTGGAGAAGAGGTCGAGGCAGCTCTCTGACCCTGACCAGACAGCCGACGTTCGCAAGAGTGGAGCTTGTCTGCCGTGCCGTATCTCCAAGACCCGCGTAAGATAACCAATCCAATGCCTATGCAAAGGGCCATTCTCTCCTCTGAAACAAACACTGAACTGAGCCAATCCCCAGTGTCAAGACTGTGGCGTCTGTCCTTATTGCCGTAAGGCTTTCCCGGACCACTCCCACCTGGTCTGTACTCGTAGGACCCCTGCGGTGGCTCCGCCTGTGATTCGTCACATCGCCGGTATGTCGAACAACCCCCCCCCCCCCCCCTGGTTCCCCCAATCGAGACATGTATGCTGAGACATATCACATTTAGACGTCTGGTCCTCTGACCCTGCTGAAGAGAGGCGTGTCGTTGATCACGAGCCTCGATTTCCCACTGCCAAACCCAGAGACATCGTCATCTTCTTCACTCGCGATGCTGAGTCGCCTTTTCTTCGCGCATCTGTCCAGGCATACCATTCTCAGAATGGAGCTGATGAGAACCCAAGAAATGCTTCTTTTGAGCGGGATAGATTTCCCAGCTACGGTGAGCTTCAGCGCTGGGTCGAGGCGCAAATCAGGCGAGAACGCAGCTCGAGATTTGAACATGTAGTGCAAAACTTTTTGCTCTCATATTATGAAGATGGCCAGGGACTTCCAAAGGTAACGCTCGCAACCCATCCCTGTCCGCGCTGGTAGTCGGTAGTAGAGCTAACCTGTCATCGTAGCACAACCTCGTGTCCAAAGTCCACACCATGAACTGCTTCTTCAGGATTTGGAAAGCCCCGCGTTTTACCTGTTGTAGCTCGTCCAACAAGTTCTCCCAGGTTCCCTTTACTGTCCAGGCTGAGCTTAGACGCATTGCATGGAACGCACTTGTGTCCCACGAGCACGACATCCTCAAGCTTCTCGAGGACGTGTTGGCGCAGCAAGATTCGCTCAAGCCCCAAGAGAAGATGGCAGTATGGGCAAGCCTGTGGCAACTCATTCTCATGTATAGAGATCTGGTGATGGCGCACGACGGATACTTCTCGCGCAACCCAAATGCCACGAGAGATCAAAACATTGGTAAGACGCTCTGATCTGAACCGCAAACATAGTTGCTAATGAAAGACAGTCGGTACTTTCGAGAACCTTTATAACGGATTCTTCCCTTTGATAGCAATCTTCTACCATTGCCAATTCAAGACTCCCAAGAGAATGGAGATGTCTATGGACTGGCTCAAGGATTATCCATCTCAAGCGCGCCGTAGCAGTAGAATTCGCCAGTTCTCCGAGGACATGATGGACGCCAGAAAGGAATTTTGTAAGTATACCTTACCCGGCCACTTCGATATACATCGCTAACCTTTTCTTAGACGAGAGAGTTCAAAAGTCGTCGCATAAGGTTGACGAGCGTCTGAGCGCCTTAGTGGTCAGCCATGAGCTCAAGAAGATATCAACCAAGAGACGCCCTAGAAGTAGCACAAAGAGCAAGGGCAGTTCGCGTGATGGTGCGTGATAATCGCAGTCATGTCCAGTCATTACAGGAAAATGATTTTGTAAGACAAAAATGGGAAATCTGGAAAAACATAAGGAAAACGACAAAACAGAAACAAAAAAGCATGGTGCTACTTTTTCTTTTTATAATGATAACGAGTATAACGATATGTCGCTCGCTGCATATAGGTATGATCAATCTTGATCCAAAATGAAACATGGATTTGATGGGATTCGGTTTATTTGAGTGCAAGATCATGGCAGTAGGTTCGCTTGAACATTTATCTTGAATCTTGGCTTCTCCCCTCCGTTCTTTTTGGCGACCTTCTCAACTCTCTCAGCGAGATCTTCTAGACTGATGCCCGCTATGTTGGCGGAGGCAACTCCAACTTTCAAAACGATTTTCTCTTTCTTGCCATCTTCTTTGCTGAGCTTTGCTTGTATTCTACGTAATCGTTAGCCAAAGAGTCTTCGTTGATGAGAATGCGATTTTACTAACCTGATGACATTCTTGATCTCATCTGCGGTCATGGGAGATATGGGTAAAACCATTGCGATGAGGCCAGCTACAGCACCGATGTATGAAGCCCAGAAAGGAGCATCCATGTGCCGACTTTTGAGTAGTGCGGAGAGACTTTGCTGGAGCTGTGCATCCAACGGACTTAAGTGACCTCCCCATCGAGCAGAGGTTGAAAGCGCCAATAGGGCTCTTCCAGTGTGTGAGAGGCCAGGAGCCTCGGCGTCTCGGGTGATTGCATGATGCAGTGCGAACGAGGAGTTATTATCCGAGTCATGACCCTGTCGCGTCCAGATATCTCGTGCAAACACGACATCCAAGCCAGGAGCCAAAACGTTTGGCACATTGGAGAAGTCCACTTCTCGAGGAAGTGCATCTCTTAGTGTTCCCACCAAAGCGTCAAACACGGGTTTCTCCTCCACCGTGACCCCGGAAAGTACATTGAGAGGGTTACACTCGCGGATTTCAACTGGGAGCTTCATCATAAGCGCGCCCTGCCTATTTGAACCACCGCAAAATTTTACATTTCCAATTTTGGGTACCGCAGCAAGTAATGCCTCAATGACAGTGGCAATGGCGGGGAATTGCTGCCGGCGACGCTTGGAGAGCCCGAATATGCGGCCATCGTGCTCTTCATTGATGCGACGCATATGCTTCACTTTAGAGAAGAGTGTACCCGGGGCCGTATATCCGTTAGCATAGGGAATAGGGTACGGACTGACGGGGTCCTGATGCATGAGCATGCTTCCATAACCGCGAAAGCCACCTCCACACATGTAGACGTTGACGCGGGACCCCTTGTCATGAGAAGCCCTGATGGCATCGAGTACAGGGAACAGAGAGCACAGGTTTGCATATGCCTGCTGCATGCCCACTTGGAGCTTGGAGATCTCGGAGGCCTGGACATCGGCAGGCTGCTCGTGCAGCACGCGGATCAATCTCGCAGCTCCAAAGGGCATACTAACACCAGCTCTGGCGGCATCGATCTCGTAGTTGGGCTTGCTGGTATCAACCCATGTCATCTGCACGCTGCCACCGCCGAGATCCAGAAACAAAGCGCCACCTTCAACGCCGACAAGACCGCTACGGGAACCCATGACAGCGCCAAACAAGGTCTCGACTGTAGGTTCAAGGATGCTTACTTTGAGACCGTTGGTCACTGAAGCAATAGCTTGGAGCATCTCAGATGCGTTATCGGCGCGGCGCATGGCTTCAGTGGCGAGGATGGTGATGTGTCGTGTAGGTACTCCATGCCGCACCGCAAGCTGGTGAAAACGCTCCAGCGTCTGAGAGACAGCAGCGATGGTTTCGGGTAGAAACACAAGACCTCTTGGGGTGGACTTGAGCGCATCAAAAAGTGAAATAGAAGCGCGAGTTGAGTAGATGGGACGAAGGAGGCGTGTAAATGGGGGAGCCAGAGATGTGATAGAGAACCGAATACCGTTGCTGAGGGTTATTAGATAAGATGTTCAGTACTGAGAAAGGCGAGCTGCATATACCTTCCCATATCAACTATTGCATATAGTTGGCTTTCGCCTTGAGGATTCCATGGGGTAAGAGTCTGCGACAGATTGTCGAGTGTGATGATGTCGGGAGCGTGAGAGGCCATGATCGGTCTTGGCAGCTGGGTATTGTTATTGCAATACGCGCGAAGAGGACAAGAAATAGCGCGTATATAGTCTATGCGTCTGTAATTTTCGAAAACCACACGTCGTGTTAAATACAACATGCGCAGTCGTCTTGGTCGTTCTGCTGAGGATAACTCCAAAAAGGCGTGAGTTGGCAGAAGCTAACGTTAGAAACAAGCTGGAAGGAAGCTTGGAGGAAATCCATCGGGTTGTGGGGCTCATGACTGCGGGGTTTCCGCGCCGAAAGCCCTGTAACGGCGCCGTGCCACCCGGAGCGGCTTTATTCTTGGCGCCCGGTGACTCAAATAGCTTTAATACGGTTTACGTACTTTATGAAGCCCGAAAAGCACCAAGTGTTTATATGTGTCTGGGCTTCGAGGTGCATCATCTGAGGCCTGGGAGCTCCTCTTGGATGCCTATATTGATTGCAACATTTTTTATTCAGAACCTCGGCAGGAAATTTGTTGCAAATAATCGAAGTATAGAGATATCAATGCACGTGACGTCATTTGAAAACGTTATCAACTCAAAAGTCGAACATATTCCCGTAGACTTTACTTTTGTCTGCTAGTGTAAAATTAGGTTGGTATACATATCATGTTATTGACCTTGGATATTTGAAGCGAGAAGGGCTGTCCTGTCAGTATCTGTATACCTCTCGAAGGATGACCTGTGCTTCGAACCTCACTCTTCTTTCTAAAGATGAACCCCATATCTCCTTCTTCTTTGTCTTCTGCCTAGAATTCATTAACACTTCTCCCACCAAGACCGAACGAGGAAAACATGGTAGCACAACTCCTCCCTTTCTTCCCTCACAGTAGCCAACACTTAGGGCTCGCCTGGTCTCCAGAACAACTGCTACCAATCCAATCCTTCGGCCCTGATGCCGTGCCCAACATTCGCAGTGTAGCTCAGCCCATAAAGGTCATCGCGGGTGAGAGCTAACTCCCTGTCTTGCAATGACAAGCATGGCCCAGTCGTTCAACTTCTCAAAACAGTCGGGAGAAGTGGCAACCATAGCCCTGGCTTGGCTGAATCTGGCCTCGACCACCCGACATCGGGCACCCATATCTTCATCACCGCGCACTGGAAGAGATGCCAGGGACATAAACGATTTAGTTTAGATGTGGCAGGGAGGCTTAGAAATATGTATTCGACAATCTTATCCGGGTTAAGCTGATACGCTCTCCGTGGCACTGGACCTGTGGGATGTGGCTTTTTGCCTCGGCGGTCCAGTCAATCCATGTCGCTATGTATTGATTATGCTTGGTGTTATGAAGCCAAGATGTCCAAACTGGCTAGTATTTTATTCCCACGATATCTCAGTCACAACCATGCTGTCCTTTGATACGTAGGTTTCAATGCTGTTGACCGCTTCTAGGCATGTCCTACATTACTTGTGAGTTGATACCTACGCAGTTCAAAATACTCGTATGATCCAGCGATCCTATGGAAAGCATATATGCATGTCTTGTCTTCTACTTAGCAGGCTACTACCTATCTCGGTGGTTTGTAAGTGACGATGACTTGTCATGGGGATCTCATAGGGAATACATCTTCCAACCAGAATTCGAGCTGTTCTCAACACCACGCTCAACTGTAGCGATCCAAGCTTTCTTTTGGGGTTGAGGTGATGACAAGCATGGACAGAAGCGATGAGATCAGCACGTACCAAGAATTAAGCGAACACAATGTCACATCCACTTCCCTTCTTGGCCAAACCTCTAACAGGCCTCGACCTCTGATTCGTTGGTCGTTTATGGGCTAGTTCAGCCTGTGTGAAGCTAGAATTGGGGTGGAGCTGATGGTCCGTCACATCACATCACCCCTCCCAGCAGCCACCCTAGACATTCATCCATTATCCGTATTCTAGTAAATAATTCTCAATATTGTGGCAGATATCAAGCATGCGTGCTGGGGAATTCCGTGCTGCAGGCTTAACTAGATGTAACGTATTGTAGCTACCAAGGTACTGTATCCGTAAGTCATCTACAATGCTGCAGCGAAGCAATACATCAAGATGAATTGAATGGTCTGATTCGTAGTCTGCACTCTGCAGTAATGATCAAGTTTGTGTGACGAGAAAGTCGACAGAAGTTTTGATTGGCTCGTTCCAAGTGACGCGTTGGACGCGTTTTTGTTTTCGCGTATTTCCCCAGCCACCTTCCTTGTTTCCAAGTTTTTACTCTATCTTTGGTTCCTTCCTTTGATGAGTTATAGTGCTCTAGGTTAGTTGGAGGTGAGGAAAGTCTGTATAATTCTAGGATGGAAGGTTCGATGGGACGAGATGGTGGGGGCTCTTTCTTAGTTTTATTCCCGCTGTTTCGAGTTGTTTACAAACAGCGTCATATTGACCTATTTCCAGATGCAGAATGTAGCTGTTGTTTGTTTAACCCCTCACTCATACTAATCACACACACACACACACACACGCACACTCCACTTTGTCTAATATTCAAACAACCCCATCCATTCCAAGGTCAGTGATATGCTATGGCCTATTCTATGGCCTAACTACGCTACGCTATGCATGCGAGTGCGGGCGACGGCTGTGCTGTGCGTTCCCCCCCCCCCCTCTCCTTGCGCTGTCTCCCTCTTGCTTGCCGCCGGCGTGCAGCACTGGGGCCTGTTTTTGGTGCTTCGGCAAGGGTCGAAACGTGCTGGCGTTGAATATTGTTAAAATGACAAAGGTAAGCTGACTTTTCGTTGGATCGTCACATTATGCTGCTATCTTTTTTAGCTCTTGACGCACTCCCCAGACTCCCCCTCGTCTTTTGATCTCAACCAAACAATCCCATCACCAACTTTGCTCTCCGCAGACGCACATGCTGGGTGTGTTAGCCTTTAGGTTACCAATAAGTGGTACCCGACTTCAAACGCAGCCAACGGGGAGCTTGCAAATGCTGGATTATTGGTGTCTCAGAGACTCTCCCAGATCATAACAAACAAACATGACTTGATCGCGTTTCTTCAAACATAACATCGATTCAAGTTGCGTTGATTTTATTTTATTTCAAACCGTCCGAGAGAGAGTACAATCCTAATCCTTTCATACAAGAAGCTTCGTCTTCGATTGTTCCATGTGTGACAAAATCATCGGCTATTATTCACGTTTGCCTATCTGCAGTCTGCACCCGCTCCCACCCAAGAAGCTGGCCATACGCCGCATCTCTATGCGAGGTCCCGGAGCAAGTCTAAGTCAATACCAACGGCCGGCCGCCTACAATTGACCGCCTCTGAACCAAGGCAAAGGAACAGAGACAGTGTTACAGCCCACCACTGCGTTTTCAATAAGCTTGTCGGGGAAGCTCGCCTCAAGAAACAAACACTGCCCTGAGGTCAAGCGAGTCGCTGTTATCTGTACGGAGTATCCTGTATCCGTATCGTGCGCCCAACCAGCAAGGTACGCAGGGTCTCAGTCGCAATCGGCCGTCCTCTCGTCTCCATTCCATTACATGGTCTCGATCACTTTTGGGATCATCAATTTTCGCATCAGACCTATCACGCCTACTCTTCTGGCCCAGGCCTGCCAGGGTCCTTGTTCAAACTCGCACAACGTGTCGCCCACTGACCGCTGCTTGAGCTATTCCCTGTCACGGACTGTGCCGGGGTAAATTCGACAAGGGCTTTGCACTAGCACGCCGCTTGTTGGGGTTTACTGCTGCACTCACCATTGTCAAGGGATTCGTCAGTGGACCTTGAGAGCCCACGAGAACCGTAGAGGTCAAGACACGATCACAAAGTACAGCACAGCACTGGACAGCATAACATCACCATAGTGGACTGCCCGGGTACGAGCTCTGTTCCTTGCTTTGCATTTGCTGGAGCTGAGTGTTGGAGAAGCAAAGCAACCTTGAGCTGGCCGGCACCTAGCAGCCAGCCAGCCAGCCAACAAGCTTTGTACAGCTTGTCTGCCAGGTACTGTACCTACCTCGACTGCAGAGTTCGCGCCACCCGCTGTTCGTTGTCGGCCCACATCCACTGTTTTGACCACTGTGCTTCGAGCTTCTGCCCAGGAAGAAGAGACGTACTGTACCTAACGAGCCGCCCGTCCATTCCCAGCTGGCCCTGCTCTCCACTCACCTCCCGTTGAGTAATTTGGCTTGCCCGTTCATACATAGCGCACACTCCCGCCCACCACACCCACATCGCTTCGATCGTCTTTCCCTTCTCCTCCCACCTTCACCTTTCTCCATTTCAGTCTCTCGTTTGCGCTCAAGACTCCCGTCATCTCTTGTGCTTTGCGCCGTCCATCGGTCGCGCAAGCTCAGCTGGTTTATTACCCGTCGACTTCGATATCATCAATCGCGACGGCGCGTCTAACTGAGACCGCCACCCTCTGTTGTTATTTGCGACAGAGCGCCAAATACCGCGCGGCGGTGACAACAACAAACGGCCACCACCTTTACCGATGACGACCAGATTCACGACGACGACTCTGCCTTAAGCCAAAAAATTTCCTTGTTTACATAGCCGCCTATTACGTACTGAGTTTAACACGCGCTCGAGTACTGCCAAATTTTATTGTGTTCTTGCCATTCCTCAAGACACTACCAGCGCGCGCAGAAAACAAACAATCAATCGCATTCTGTCGCGCTTTGACCCTAGACTTAGTCTTGACTACTCGATTATTCAAGCATCTGGATTCACGTTACTGTCAATTTTTATCAAGAATTGTCGACCTGACTTCGCTCAAGTCACCGTGTGACATCTCGGCCAGATATATCTAAGACAGTGCTGTCGCATTCCGAAACATTGCATCGACTCGCTTTGCGCTCGAATCACCCCGCTCATCGTCGTTCTCCATCGCATACGTATATACGAAATATTTGGACTTGGCGCGATTCTAAAGCGTATCGCATCCTTTTTGATCCACCATGTCGCACTTCCAATCTCTCGCGGCCCCATGGTCGCGAAGCGCACGTCGCGAGGACCTCCCTAAGACACCTGAGCCTACTATAGATGGCGAAACTCAACCTCCATCGCCACCAAGGCCCCGTTTCCGAGTCAAAAGGAGAAATGCATCTCATCTCAATGCGCCCACTGAACACTTTCTTGCGTCAGTTGCAGCCGCAGATATTCCTATTCCTAGCATAGAGGAGCCTCGCGTGATGGATGAGGAAATGGCCGACCCATTGTACCCTATTTCGCATTTTAGGGATATGGATGATATGCCGTTTATTCCCCACGTTGGCTCAGAGCGCATGTTCTCGCCTCCCAAGACCCCTGCCCCTGGTGCGTTGCCAGCTTTGGCCCCAAAACAATATCCGAACTGGTCGATCGACTCTACTCTTAGTAGTCTCGAGTCCAGTCCCGATTATGAGTCCAGTCGACCCTCAACTGCACATTCGACCCACACAAGTACTTCGCTGTTCAGTTACTTTTCTATCAGTACGGAAGATTTGAACCAATGCATTAGCCCAGATGACGAACACGACAATCTCATCAAAGAGCTGCCGGCTGTGGACGACAACAGCAAAACTTTAAAACCATCCAGAAAGGAGGCTGCCAGAGAAACGATACGAAGAGCGCCCTGGACAAAGCCTATGAACCAACACTTGTGGTCGACATATATGATGTATCTGCAAGACCCGAAGGTCACACCTTTCCGTATCGGTAAGAGCGGTATCCCTCCTCATGGAGTCTGCTTGCGCGTTGCTCGAGAGGCCAAGAGGAGTTGGAAAGGGTCCAAGGCTCAGGGTAACATGAAGCCCAGCAGCGGTAGTATTACCCCCACTCAGGGAACTGCTGGTCCCTACGTCCAGTGGCCTCATACATGCGGTGTCACTCGGGCCCAGCTTCGGGAACTTTGCAAGATGAACACCAGGTCTAAGGCGCGGGGTTCAGAGTATTTAGCTCCCAGCCCTGCTCCATTTGGCAAATCCGCGGCCCGCTATCGGAACCGTCGCACGGTACCCGCTCGTTCTCCTTCGGTATTCTCAGGCCAAGATATGGCCATGTCGTTGGCGGTTAGCACATCGGAGTCTATGCAGCCGCAAGGCCCTCTGGCTCAACTAACAAGCTCAAAATCCGAGCTTCAAATTAATGAACTGTCTCTCCCTCCACCAAACCATGAGAACTTAGAGCCACCCGAGTTCCCGCGTACACAACTTGCATCTCCCTTTGGTGCGCGAAGCTATGGGCCCAGCTCGTCAAGCTCGCTACCTTCAAGCTTTGTTGTGGATTCGAAGCTGCAGAGGCAAACTCACACCGGCGGCCCGCGCCGCGCTCTTATGTCTCCGGTCCGACTGACACGCAGCCGATCAACGCACAAGCGCCGATCCAACCACATGGAGGCCCGCAAGATTAAGCGACCCAGTCTCGGGTCAGACCTCTGGGTTGATCCAGCCTCACTTGTCGACTTATCAGCCACCAATGACCAATTCGCAACGCCTCAGACTGAGCCTGAGATGACACCACCCGACGTTGTTGTCCCTCGCAAGAACCTCCAAAAACTATTCGAGGCTTCACAGTCAGCGCCTGTCCAGCAGCCAACGCTGGCTCCTCCCTTTGGGGAGATGCCCCCTCGACTAGGCTCCCCTTTCGTCATTGGAGGATCTAGCTATTCCTTCCCGAACCGACTTTCGCATGGAATTGCTCCTGATACCGAAGCTTCTCGCCGACCCTTTGCTACGGTTCAGCAATCCAGCGAAAGTAGCCATGGAGTCACTCGATCATCTTTAGCAAGCCGACTGGCTTACATCGATGAAAGACTTAAGGATTTCCGCCGTCGAGATCAGCCACGCCGACGATCCGAGTCACCGCTCTAACCCCACTCACTACACACTTATGTTTTTTCTTTGTACATTTGCCGAAGGTTTATGCCACCTGACGAATTTTACGAGTTCATGGACGCCCGCACATATTGATCGAATTTTGCTGGGGCCATGGCACACCATTTGCATGATGCATCTAGACAGCAACAGTCTATCTGACGATAGCCTTCGTTTCCCTGATTTCTTCCAACTTTCACAACTGGCTTCACCCTTTCCTTATTATATGCTGAGGACACACCCTCACGCTATCCGAGCGCGCTTGCTCACTACGCTCTTCAGCTCGACACCCGCCCGACCACAAACCGACTTCTCACTTTTCTTTCGATGCTTCTCCCAAACACGGGAAAAGACTTTTTGTCAACTCATGATGATATGATGGAACGAACAGCACGCAGGCCAAACAGAGCCTCATGTTTGCCGTGTTATTATTTACCTTTGGAATTGAGTAAACAAACATACCCGCTCTTGGGATGTTATGATGAGAGACATGATGTATCTAGGCTCTATTGTGAGCTAGGCCATGAAAATGTATCATTGGACGAAATGATATGATGGAACTTAATATCCATAGAACGAGCAATGATCTGAATGATGTCAAATTCAAAATTTTCTTTACAATCAAGTGCCCTGTGCGTGTGAGCACAGACGTGAATCGGACGTGACTCGGATGTGTGAAAAAGTATTTGAAGAGTCCATGTGATGTGATTGACTGTATGCCTCGATGGGCTTACTTCTCATAATGTACATTAAATACTAATTTACAAAGAATATTATCACGTCATGCTCAAGACTCGCTTGTCCATCATCCCTCACCAGGAGAGCCAAGTAGATATAGATGGGTAAATAGAAAGAAATAGGTAAAGGAAAAACTGGTGGAACAACCAGTATCGTCGACTGACGAAGGCCCATGTCGCAGACATGAGGCGATGTATAAAGAAGGAGTCTCAAACTCCTGAAGGCCCAAACGACAGTGACGTCTTCCGGTAGACGTGCCAAAAAAACAAAGTGCTGATCTTTAAGCTTTTTCGCCTGACATGTTTCGCCTTGATGGCGAAGTGTTCGAGCATCATTCTCAAGTCTTGACTGGGTCTGTTTTAGAGCGATGGAGTTATGACGATGATCAGGTCGATCAAAGTTTCACCATGAACCCCCTACCAGATCGGCCTTCATTTACTGCGTTCGGCGGTATTCTCTCCCTTCAGACTTTGAGCGTACTTGAGATTGATCTCACGTGCTTTATCGCTTGTGAAATTTCGTCGTCGTCGTCCTCTCCAATATCCGAGTCTGATGGTCCAGAGAAGAGTGGCCTTGGCACGACGTCGCGATACCTCCGGGTTGGTGCAGATAGGCCTGTCGACTCTGGCCCTTGCTCCTTTGCTGTTGATGGACGAACACGGCGATATCTTGTTGAACCAGACTCATGTGGACATCGACGCTCGCCGACACTTGAGCGATGTGAGTGGAAGGAACACTGACGGAACCCAAACGCACGTTCATCATTGCGGAGACGATTGGCTGGAATGCGTAGCTGGGGGTTCTTGAAGCGAATATCGAGCCCTGAGAGTCGCATTTTCTCCATATGGATGTCGTAGTCGGCTGCAAATTCTGGGAGTTCCTCAAGCAGATCACTGAAGCGGGTTGGTTCTGAAACAGCAGATTCCTGAGGGTGGAAGGTTAAACGAGGTCCACCAGTGAAAGAGAAAGCAACCATAGCGACAGCCCAACGCCTAAGCCGGATGGCAGCGAGGTCTTCGCATTCTGTGTAGAGGAAGGTGATAAGTCCAGAGGGAACATCCCAGTCGCAACGGAGGTAGAGATCTTGAATGGCATCCATGGCGAGGTCCTGGAGGCGATAGAGACCGAGACGAGAAGCAAAAAGGTGCAGGCGAATTAAAGACCAGTGAATATTTTGAGAGGCTTCCAGGCCGGCATCGTAAGCACCGGCCATCAACTCATCAAGATGTGGGCGGAAGCGAAGGCCAAGGTGAACCCAATCGACAAACAGACTGAACATTGAGGATGATTCGCGAGGAAGCCATAGTGATATCGATTTTGGACTTGAAGGACCACCAAATCGCTCAGCAAAGAAAGGAGAGATTGCGCATAGCTGCCGTTTATTGACTTTGAAGCGCTGCTGTTTGGGGCCGATGAGCAGTATCGCCATCGGCTCTGACGGAGGCTGTGAGGGCGACATTGGTGATGGAGGCGACTTCTGAGAGGAGGCACTGGAAGTAAAACGGCTATGGCTATCCTTGAAACGGCCAAAGACAGAGGGGCTGAAGAGAGGAACCATGATCGCCGCGGAGGTCTCTCTTGGAGATGTTAACGAGAGGTGATATTGGTTTCAGTAAAGGACGAGACCCAAAAGGAACCAGAAAAGAAAGAGGGTGTTGAGGGAGTAGAAACAAGTATAAAACTAAAGCAGTCTGTATGTAGAAAGAGAACGTGAGAGCTGGGCCGGCCAGTGGAAATCAAAACAAACCAAGAGTAGAATTCGAAACAAAAAGGCCTTCACCAGGAGTGGCTGATGGAAGCATTTTCAACAACTCTGGGAAGAGAAAATATATCCTCAGACAGAACTCGCTTGAGCCCCTGGCAGAACGACAAGGTCTAGTACGGTAATGAGCCAATCGCAACACCATCCATGTACATCATCAGCACCAGAGTGACGGTTAGCGGGTTTCAAGGCGATCATTTTGGGGGAGGCTCAGGACGCTCTAGCCTTGAAGGCTTCTAGCGTTCTAGGCCTCCTGGTGGCGATACAGCGAGCAGCAAAGGCTATTGACCCAAGGCCCCTTGGCCGTTTCGAAAAGGGCGGATCCAAAACGGGTCTTTTGGTGCGGATATTCCGTCCACTCAGCGTGAGGGCCCTTGCATCAACGTCCACGCCAGTCACACTTGGCGCACTGCATCTGTCTTCCGCACAGCGCTTCAAGCTGCCATAGGTCGAACTATATCGCCCCGGGACCCGCGCGGGCGCCTGGGTGGCCAGTTGGAGGCTGAGATAGGCACGAGAGAGGAAGGAGTTTCGAGTATCCGAACGTGGATCGTCTTCTTGCAGCGATTTCGCGTGGGCATCTGGCGAGCTAATCTCGTTCCTGCATCTGGTTAACTCCTATCTTGCTTGCCATGACATGAAACCGTGCTTCTTTGAGAAGCGCGCTCACGGAGCAAGCAGGGGGCGATAGCCGACGTGGAAGATGTGCTGTCATGAGATGACACAGCGCCCATTGCTAGTAGCAGTGGCCATATTTAGAATAAAGAAAAGACAGGAAAATAGAATAAAAGGGATTATAATAGGACAGGACTGAACAGAACAAACTTTAAGATCTCATCTAAATGAGACATTTCTCTGATTCTTTGATTCTTCAATTGTTTCGAACAGGGCGTATGTCTCCTTTCACAGCGGTGAGCGAGCAAAATAGTTGTCTCGGGGAAAGGTTCGTGCCAAAGCCTCCACTGAACATGCCCTTGCCTTTGCACCGGGGCACTCTACACCAGACCTTTACGGGAGGAACCTCCCGTCCACGTTTAGCCAGGCGCTTAATATGGAAGGCACGGTCTTGCTGACACTCCTGTCACTGCCGTCACAAGGTGGCATGGCACGGCACACTGGCACCTGCCCCTTGCCCTTGGCTGAAACACCAATCATGAGTCGCGGCCTTTGAAGAAGCAACGTCTTTCCGATGACTGCAGTTTATAATTGTCCATGGGCCCATAAACTCTCGCATTCTTGCCTTGATTCTGTAACTGCGAAACATTGACAACCTCGAGGAGAATGCTCAGGCAACAATCAAGTCAAACCGTCTGCCCATTGTCGTGACATCTTTGCGCACATCTCACCACACATCACACGCCCAACAACATTATTAGCAAAAGATTACTAGTAGTAATTCATAAGAAGCCATATGTTTAAGTCCAAATCGATCTACCATGCTGAGATGCCTAACGCATAAATGTGATGAAAGCAGGCAGGTAGGCATCCTGTCATTACAAAATAGTTTGAGTGTTAGAACCCCAGATCCCCTCCAAAATCAAGTCACGGCGGCACCGCTGCCTTGAACCGTCTTAGCTTCTCCATGTTCTCCCATGGGTTTTCCCGTTATCGATCTTGCTCCGTTAACCCCGGTTCATGATTGTTAAAGCCTATTAATATGCTCAATTGCAAACTCCGTCTCCATTGCATGTCCCAAAGCTAGTGCTCTTACGCTTTTGCCCTTTAATGTGGTATCGATCGATGCAACCCAAACGCCGTGCCGATTCTGATTAATTAGTGTAGTTAAGAGATAATGGCGGGAATATCTCCATCGCTGTCGCTGTCTGTATCCGATAAGTCGTCGTCGTCATCATCATCAATGGACATAGGGTCATCCTGAGTCAATCCCATGAATGTTCTCGTACGATCCGGAGATTCAGACGTCTTTGGCTGGCTGCTCACCATGGCAGGCTTCTGCGGCATATAACGTGGCTGAGCCCGGTTTAGATATGCCGTAGGGTCTGTTAGCTCTGCTGTTGCTTGCGACCCAGACAGTCCGCCCATCTCTGACACAGGAACCCTCTTACGAGGACTCTCTCGGTCCCCATTTGGCCCTGTAAGGGATTCTGACTGTTCATCGTCATCCGTTCGGGGCCTCTTGTTTGGGCGAGAATCACTGTCAGGAACTGGTGTCCCAGAAGGCGTCACGTTGCCACTGGCTGTTCCAAAAAGACGAGCCTCTTCAGCTTCAATCTCCCCTTTGGTCCTCCTCTCACGAAGACGGATGCCGAACTTTTTGCGAGTTGTGCTTTGTTTCGTGTTGTAGGAGTTTTTCAGACTTGCCAATCGCCTGGATCTTTCTGGTTCGTCAAGCAGTGATGCTTCTTGCATTAGGCCTCCGTATTTCGCTTCGGCATTTCTCATGATCTCTTTGAACTTCTTAAGTGTCTCGGGGTTGAGGTGTGAGTAGGGGTTACGGTTTTGACCACGACCTGGGGTGCCGGCAGGCTCAGATGGGGTTGAAGCAACCCAGCCCATCTGCGGTTGCGAAGCTGATGAATGCACTTGATTACGGGGGGTGCTCGACACCTGAACAGGTGGCTTTGGCACAGCAGCGGAAAGTGATTGATTCTGTGCCCGGTAGGCATCAATCAATGCACGCATCCTCTGGCCCAGCTCATAATTATGATCTCCACAGACATTAGACTTCTCATGGTATAGCAAACCACCACCGCTACCAAATCTGCAGCCACAATAGAGGCAGATATCCCTACCAGGTATGTCGTTCTCTTGAACCTTGTGGCAAGCATTCTTCTTCAAATGCTGCTTTTTGTTAGAAAAGGTGTACGAGACTCTTTGCGATTTACAACTCACATATTCAAAGGACTCTTTCGAAGAACACGGCCAACCACAGCGGCACCAAACGAGGCCTGGTGGGCTAGGAGGTAGATTCATTTGCGGAGCATAGCTCGTTGATGCTAGCGTACCTTGATTCGGCACAGTTGGCGAAGGACGCTGTGTGGGAACAGGTTGATGGTAATGTTTCACGCGCAGCGCTTGGTTTGCCGGAGGCATAGGAGTAGACTGCGTTGGCATCGACTGCAGTGTCGGGATAACGCGCTCGTTGTGCTCATGGACAATATCATGCACATCGTAACCCAGGCGCTCAGCTCGGGCTAGGGCGTTAACAAGCTGTCGAGCTGGTATTGTCTCAAGACGCCTCGCAAGGGCTCTGTCGAGGAATTCAGGACTGGCACGGGGGAGTATCAAATCCACCAGCTCATCAAGGTCTGACATGCCGAGATGGCTAATCAACTCTCGCTTTGACTTTTGGACAAGCCCAGCACCAAACTCTTTGACAGCCTTAGCAACAGTCTCAGGAGATGCCTGATGCATGGTCGCATTCAACTGAAGGAATAATTAGTAAGATCTGATGAGAAGTTTAAGAGAAGGCGAAATAGGTTGTGATATAGTTGGGACAAGAATCATAAAACCAGCGCACGTGGAAACTTTGCCGAGGCGGAGAAAAGACTTACTAGGAAAGCAATGTGATACTGTGAGCCCGCAAGAGACTTTTCCCATTTATCCCGAACGACTTGGCGAACAGCCGGCGCAGGTGCCCTCTCAATCAAGTTGACTAGCTCTTGATAATAATCTCGAGATTCAACACTAGAAGACTGCTGGTTTGTCGGTGGTGACACCAGGCCCTGTGCCTGTGTGTGAGGTGGTTTAGGCTGCATAGCGTTTACATTCTGCGCCGTGGTATGTGACTGCTCAGAAGGTGAGCGATGCTGTCCAGGTGGGATGAATGGTGTTGAATGCGCAGGTGAGGCGCTTGACCCTTGGCGTTGTGGCCCAGATATGGCTGAAGCATGTTGCGATGAAGGAGCGTAGCTCGGCAAGGGAACCGGTGTTTGAGCAAATGAATGATTTGCAGATTGGTGTGGATTGTTTCCGCCGTTCACGCCATTCTGCATAGGCGCGCCAACTGGGGAAGATGCAGCTTGCATCGCCATATTGCTTTTTCCAAACTCCTCCGAGATCAGCCTCGCGAGAGCGTCACGCTTCTCTTCACTTTCAGCCGTGGTTTGTAATGTTGCTAGGAGCTTGTCTAGAGGCGATTTTGATGACTCGGTGTTCATCGAAAACTGAAAAATAAGAAGAGCCAATGCTCAGATGGAAGTATTGGATCTGTAGGAAGGAGTTGAGTATGCACCTTCACAATCCCGTCAAACTGGTTGCGCCTGCTCTAAGACGCGTTCAGGCAGTGAGTTTCTTAGGCATTTTCTCAACCCTGGGGTTGAGAAAGTGGGCAGGGGAGGGGGCCTTCTGCTTTATGAATTTTCTATTAGCGCTTTATTAATACTAGCGTTAATTAAACTCCACTTTTGCTGCATGAAAGACTCACGTGACGTCCGTTCCGTGCCTACTAATTTATAAACTAAACTTAGTTTAGTTCTTTCTCCTTTTATTATAAGTCTTATCTCTTTAACCGGTATAAGACTATAAGATATTATATGCCCCGCTTTTTTATAGATACCTACGGGGTATATAAAGTTCCTGTTAGATAGTTTTTTCTTTTAATATTACTAAAATTATTAAAATCCTTATATAAATTAATTATAATAAGTCTTAATTAAAATAATAAGCTCTTAAGAGATATATAATTTTATAGATAATTATAGCTTTAATAGCCTACCTTCTTAGGTAGCTATTAATAACCTTATTTATATACCTAACCTTCTGCCTAAAGAGGGCCGTAATAATAATTTTTAACCTTTTAAAATAAAAGATTATAATTTTTAAATTAACCTTTTACCTTAGTAATTACTTAAATTATTCTAGCTTTTTATATTTATTTCCTTTATATAGTTATAGGTTAGATATATTAATAACTAGGCTTTTTTTTATATTAAAAATAGTATTATTAATAGCTAAAATACCCCTATTTCTAATTATTTATATTTATAAACTTAAGAAGGTATCTTTACTATAATAGCTTATATATAGCTTAATATCCTTATTTACCTAGGAATTTATAAAAAAATATCCCTTAAAGACTATTAAAAGGCCCCTAGACTAGGAAATTAATACCCCCTTTACCTATTTATAAAGTTTATATTATTATAAAAATTTAAGCTAATTATATAGTATTTCTATACTTTTAATTATATTAATCTTAATATAAATAATAAAAAAGACTTTTTAAAGACTTTTTAAATAACTAAAAAGTAATCTAATTATATATAAAAAGTATTTATTAAGTTTTATTTTTTAAAAACTAATCTAACTATAGATAAGTATATAGTCCTTTTTATAAATAAATTAAAATAGATAATACTTATTAAGGAAGAGTCTATATTAATAGGCTTTAAAGTCTAGGTTATTATATAATAAGGCTACTTTTTATAATAACTTTAGTATATAAAGGTATTACTAATTATAGCTATAATAATTAAGCTAAAGATATTAAAGCTATATAGTAAAAAAGGAAAGCTATAAATTAAGACCCCTCTTAATAATATATAAAGCGTTATAGTTTATTTATTATAAAGGTTAATAATAATAATATATTATATCTTTATAAATAATCTTTTTTTTTTATTATAACTTTTTTACCTTTTTTAATAACTTAATTATAAAGTTATAAATATAGTATACCTTAATTACGGTATTATTACTATAATAAAGTAAATTAAAAAGATTAAAAAGCTTTTTAATAGCTAGCCTTTAATATATAATAAGGTATATTTAATTTTAATAATAAATAAATAAATATAAATAGCTTTATTTATATTTCCTTTACTAATTTATTTCTTTTCCTTTCTTTTAGGTCCTTTAAGTTACTTAAAAGGATAGCTTTATAGTCTTTTTTTTTATAACTATATATAATAAAGCCCCTTTTAATTATATATTAAAAGAAAGGAAATTACCTATTAAAAGAGGTATAAAGGTAAAAATATAATACCTAAAAGAGGTCTTTAATAGAGATTAGGCTAAAATAATCTCTATTCCTTTTATTACTATTTAATATAATAATAAAATAAATTATATAAATTACGGTAATTAAATAAGATTCTATACTTTATATTAATATTATTTTTAATATAGCCTTTAATAGATATTATTTTAGTCTTTCCTCTTTAATATTATACTTATAAATAATTTTATTTTATAAAAAAAGACCTAATAGCCTTATTAAAAGCCTTATAATATACTTTAAGACTAGAAAGAGGCTATTTATAATATTATTTTTAATAAATATAGTATTAATAGTAATATAAAGAAGAGATACTATATAGAAAAGGAAGAAAATAATAAGGATCTTAAAGTATAGTAAATTTACCTATAAAGAGATATTAATTATATTAATAAAGGTAAAAACTTTACCTACCTAGTTTATAAAGGCTATAAGTAAGGGTAGTTATAACCCTTTAAAAAAAGAAATAAAAAAGGAGGTTATTTATAGTTAATATTAAGAAATTAACGGTAGTTATAAACCTAATATAGCTATAAAGAATATAATATAGCTATTTATAATATAGTAAGCTATTAGTATTTTTATTATATATTAAATTAGGTATATAAAGATATACCTTAAGTTATACTAATTTTAATTAGCTTTAGACCCCTATCGTGACCTCGTTATAGTCTTATACCGGTTAAAGAGATAAGTACTTATAACAGGTAAAGCTATATGAATGTATATACTAACACGAAAAGGTATCAAGACGCTATAACTATAAAGCACTACTTATAGTTCCATTATTAACAAGACGAAAAACTATTAAAGTTACTATAATAAAGCAAAGAGTTATTCACATCCTTGCATTTAAAGGACAAGTAAAAGGCGATAGCTTTGTCACCCTGGTAAGCTTAGGCTAGACCTTGAATTGACAGACGCAGCGGAAATAACGCGCAAATGTAGATTGGATATTTGATAGGTTCACGAGGTCAGTCATTGGCTTTCTTTAAAGGTATTAATTCGTAAAATATACTTGGTATCTTAATTCATACTCCACAAGGGCCATCCAAAACTCAGAGACAACGTATTGCCAAAGTGCCACAAAGCCCCAAACTCCTTGTCGTTATGTTGACTATTGTCCGTCAGAGGCTGCGAAGCCCAATACCATCTCGTATCAATCTAAACGTGCACATGGTCTTCCCTTTGCTTTCATACCACTTGACCACCATTAAAAGGGCTCGCCAATTGCAGCCAGCAGGGTTTTGCGGTAATCTCCCGATGTCTCGCCAGAGATTCTCTTACCCAGGCTCTTGCCGTACCGGTGCTGGTAAGCGCCCTTGATGTTGTTCAAGGCATTGCGATCCCAGTGGAAGCGAATTGTGCGCGCCACGAGGAGATGGTCCTTTGTTCCCATGCCGGCCATAGAATCCTCGAGCAGCTGGGCTGCGTGCATGTACTTGTCTGTGGCGTTGCGTAGCTGGAAGAGGAGAGCATCCTGCATGTGGCCAGAGAATTCCTGAACCGTGTTAGAAGATATTGCATGTTGCGGCAACGAAGTCAAACTTACGCTCTTGATAACCTTTTCGAGGTCCTTATTAAACTTTTGCTTGTATCCATGCGAAATGGCGCGAATCTGGTTGTCGTTCCTTGTGCTGAAAATGCTGCACACCAGGATCTCGTCTGTGCCCATCTTGCCCTCGGTGGCCTTGTAAATCTGCATGATATCGTCGTCCACTTGTCGAGGGTCAACCGGCGCAGCGTCCTCGGCTCTTGTGGCACCCAAAACAATCATGAAGTGTCGCTCGGTCTTGAAGCTCAAATCGCCCTTGACCACATCCTCTAGCCTGTCGTGGAATGTGTGGTGATAGGCGCTCTTGATAGCATTGAGGTCTGCATTTGATCGTCCGAGCAGAACGTCGTTCAGAACAACCTCTTTTGTCCCGGGCCCAGACATTGCGTCATGCAGGGCGTGCACATCAGACAAGAGCGGACCACGTGCCAGAGAGACCAAGGCCTTCTCGAACCAGGAACTTGTCTCACTTTGGATGTCAGCGACCAAGCTGCGACGATGTCTCTGCTTAAATGCATCGCTGATCGCTTGAATCTGCAGAGGGTCCTTGTTTGCCAAAATCGAGATCAGTGCCTTCTCATCAGTACCAAAGCCCTTCATGGCCTTGCGTAAAGCATCGGCATCGGGGCCACCATCCCATTGAACGGATTGGCGTCCGTAGCCCAGCGAGGGCGGAGTTGGCTGAACTGGCGGCGCACCATACTGTTGAGGAGGAGGAGCTCCATATTGCTGAGGGGGAGGAGCTCCATACTGGCCTTGCGGAGGTCCAGGAGGTGCGCCGTAATGCTGCTGGGGCTGTTGATGAGGGGGAGGGGCGCCATAATGGCCTTGTGGAGGTCCGGGAGGTGCGCCGTACTGCTGAGGAGGAGGTTGCTGTTGATAGCCACCGTAGGGCTGTTGAGGTGGAGGAGGACCACCAGGAGGAGGATAATGGCCTTGAGGTTGCTGATATCCACCTTGCTGAGGAGGATACTGTCCTGGAGGAGGTTGCTGATACCCGCCATAGGGCTGCTGAGGTGGGGGATGTTGACCATAACCGTGCTGCTGCGGCGGCGGTTCTACAAATTATCAGATTAGGATATTTGTCGCAAAGAATAATGAATATAATACTTACGGCCGTAGGGAGCACCGTAACCTTGGTAAGACATGGCGCTTAGTGCTGTTGCGTCTTTGTAATGTGATGTGATGTCAATAGAAATTTGTACTGCGGGGTGATGGAGGGGAGATGATGGGTTTTGTAGAAGCGGAGTAGAGATATGGAAGGATTTTAACGAGATTGGAAATAGGCGTAATCTCACAAAGTGGCACGAGGCTTTCTTATGTAAAAGTGCAGAGTATGGTACCTGAGCTACGGTTGCCTCGGGGCTCAGAAAGAGACGCACGCATTCTACTCAGCCTTGAGGCGCTACCTTTGCAGATGGCGATCCCTGTGGCCTGGGTTGCTGAGAGGCGGAGCAATCAAGCCAACGCGAAGCCAGGTCCGAGGATTGGGTACAACGTCATTTGACCACACAGAAGGTCTCATTGACGAGTACTTAAGCAGCCCTAGGAGGGGTGCTCAAGGGTGTCCTAATTTAAGCATCTGGTCTAGCTGGTCAAAGCTGCAAAGACCATGGATGTCATGCAGCAAAGAAGATTCCATGTCAAGTTGACAGACGGTAGAATGCCTGACCCGCTTCTGCAGGAGGGGAAACCATTTCTCGATAAATTCGCGGAGATGATTGAAGTGACATGATGCTGGTATTTTGAGTGGTGAATGGCCACCAGTCGAGGCTGAGTGTGTCTGTTGACTTGCGTGTGGGGTAGCTAGAATTCAGTTCGCCAAGCTTGCAAGTCGTCATCACATTCATCACACGCTTGGGCTTTGACCGGTAATAGTCACTGAATGGGCCGAGTTTGCCTCTAAGGTGATGACTGAATCTTGGTTGGTGAGGATTACCGGATTCGGACAGGTCCACCAGCCACGCGGGGTGATGCGCGCCACTCCACCGCCACAAACGCGTAAGGCAGCTTCATCAGCATCGTCGGGTACGGAGCAGACTGACTCAACAAGTCAGATAGAGAAGGGAGAAAAAGAAGATTTTGGGCGATGTCAGGTGCTCACATGTTTTAAGTTTATTGATTTACATTTTCGGATAAACTCGCCGAACGCTTTGTATCCAATAGATGCGTCCAACATAAAGATCGGGCCACCTCGCGAAGTGGGAGACCAATCAGAGCTCTTTATTGATCTTAATAGGTGGTTGGTGAATCTCGCTCGCTAACTTTAGTCGCTAGAACCGTAAACGTCAACGTTCGAGCCCCCGATTGTTCCTGATGTTAGCGCGTCGTTGGTGGTTCTCCAACCTCCATGAATTCACGTCCTTGGACCGGGCCAGGGATAGTGAGTCTACCAGCCATCTTAATTGCAATTAATAAAACTATTCCCAGGACTTTTTTGCTCTTCCTCTTGTCTTTTCTGGTCTCAAGTAAGAACTAACATTTGTCTCTTATTCTCAGACCGTGAATCACTTTTCACTCTTATCATCACAAAGTCGCCCTTGATGTTCTGTTGTTAGCTGTCAGTGCCAGCACCTACAACCACATCCATTATAATCACCACCACATAATCAGGTGTACTTACCTTTCACAACAACTCCCTCACCTCCTGAACACGAAAGTATCTTTGGCGAATCAGCCTCTTCAAGATGCGCGGGTTCATCCCCCTTCTTCTGGCTCTTTCTGCTTCATACACAACTACTACCGCGCTTCCTCAACCTAGAATCGCACTCCGCGATACCGCAGCTGGACCCAAATATTCAGTCGTTCCCTTGGAACCTGGCAACGATGATCCTGCCTCTGGCGATGCTGGAAGCGGAGATGGAAATGCTAGCAACGGCAGCGGAAATAGTGGTGGCAATGGAGGCGGCAGCAACGATAACGATGGAGATGGTATCGTCACTGTTATCCAGACCGTGACACGAAAACCTGTCACGCAAATCGTCACTCGAACAGAAAAGCCCAGTACCGTCACTGCTCCAGGCAAGACTGTCACAAAGGCTATCACTCAGGCTGTCCCTACTACCGTCTCTGTTATCAACATAGGTGAAGGTCCACTTACTGAGACCGTCACTGTCCCACATCCCCGGCCTTCAAAGTCTGAGGTTTCCAAGAAGTCGACCACCACACAGGAACCTGTTCCTACCACCGAAGTGCAAAAGCCGACAGGTCAGAGCACGTCAAAGTTCTCGAGCTCTGCTGCTGCCCCGGTCGTCACCTCTCAGCCTAAGCCTGAACCCCAGCCTCAACCCAAACCCAAACCTCAACCTCAACCACAGCCTGAGCCTGAATCTTCCACCACTGTCGAGCTTGCTCAAAGCTCCGAAACACCATCCACTACCTGCGATACCAACACTGTACCGCCCGCCGAGACAGTCGCTCAGCCTCCTGTGACCGAGAGCTCAGCTGCAGGTTCACCAGACGCTCCAGTGGCGCCTATTCCTTCACAGGAGACCTTTGTTCACGACCCTGCTACTCAGGGCGAATCCTGGTCAACCGCTGGGGTTCCTTATGTGCCCCCTGTCGCACCTACCACTCTTCTCACTTTTGTCATCACCACTACCACTACAACCTCAGACTTTGAGAATGAAACCTCTGAGCCCACCTCTTCAAAGACTCAAGATGATGGTGCCTGGCACACTTCTTACCCAGCCTGGAATGGCTCAGTTCTGGCAATTTGATTTGAAATGATTTACGAAAGATTGATGCGTCAGGAGTTGACAATTTCGAGTCACTGGACGGAAAAGCTAAGCATAGCGATCATGAAGGACATATGAGCATCTCCATTTCCTTGTAATAGCATCGGGCTTAATGAATAGAGCCAGCGAAGGAGGCAGCGGACCAAGCGCTGGGACGTATTGCCGCATGTAATGAGTAATACCAATAAACACAAATCTTATACCTTTGCGGTTGCACTCCTGTCGAACAAAGCGTGAAACCTGTACCTGCGTCGGGAAATTAGCTGGGCTTTTTTAAGTCACAGCAAGTTAACACATAATCTGACCGTTCGCTAGTGTGCCGATTATTGCTGATGGCGAACTGATATATCACCTTGGAATTTCTAGAAGTATCAACACAGACAAAGCATACTGGTTTGAGAACAATATTTGATACAGGTGCAAACAAAGAGCCAAAACAGCTAGTAGAGGCAGAATTCCACATATTTGATGAACAATACGAAATGGGTCCATTCATAGAATGCCCCTAAGTTCACTCATTGCATGATAAATAGTCGGCAGCATCACCGGTGCAATATGTCAAACTCAACCATTCCATTCGTTCTCATAAACTGCAAGCCTGGTGCGAGCAGTTGAGCAAAGTTCAAGTTACCACTCGTTGATCCCCATCTCTGACTAGATTTCTACAACTCAAGACTGTTCGTGATCCCCTAGTCCATCTCATGGTTTGACTAACTAACAACTCCTTAGAGTGTCACGCATACCACGCTTCACGCATTCACGATAGCAACCATGGACCCTACCATCAAGCCCTTTGCCGGAGCTCATAGCCCCGAGGGTTCCGACAAGTTTCTCGCCAGCACCACAGCCAGTCGCAACGAAGCGGTCATCGTTGGCGGAGTCATGATCGGTTCTGTGCTCTTTGTCGCCCTGGTCGGGGTTGCTTGTATGTTCTATAAAGGGCGGGTGCGCAAGATCAAGGCTCGGGAGGTCAAGACTGCTGATGCGGCGGATTTCGCTTGATCTTGTGTGGAGGATGCCAAGCTGGAGTATGCGGCCATCACAGTCACAGTGTGATGGTTGAGACAGTGAAGTATGGGGAGGATTGATGTATGTTAGAGAGGATTACTTTCATTACTCTGGACAGAGACAATGGTTTCATTTCTGAGAGGGGGAATTTTGGGAGATTTTCAATCAACACACTTTCTTTAAAGCCTATCAGTAGGAAACTCATATCTGGGCCGCAGTAGACGTATTGGATGTATGATTGCTTTTTTAAGTGCCTGAAGCACATTTATACACAAAGTACGTAATAATGCATTGCCCAGAGAATATAGACCGCTTCTAAGTGGTCGGTCAATCCATGTCAGATATATCTATATCGTGAAGCTCGCCTTATCCTCCATTGGCCCATGACTTGCCACAAGCCATTGTCAAACTTACAGGCCGCAACATCGCCTCACACTCGAATACAGCAGAGCCCAAGTCAATCAACTCAATTACATGCAACACTCATCACAGCTCAAAAGTCCAAACGTGGGTAAATATTCCCTCGGTGTGACGGGCCTCGAGCCTCGTCCTTCCAAGGGTCCCATCTCCCCATTGTCGCTTGTCGTCTTTCTCAAAGTGCTCCAATGAGACTCATCCACGTCCGGGACTTGACCCACGCTGGGCAGCAACAGTTCATTCGAGCCAAGATGAGTCGATGTGAGGCGGTATGTGAGAAAAAGGGGTATGAGGTTTAGATAAATATCGGTGTAGTTGAGGAAACCGTTTTAAAGCTTTGTTCTTTCTGTTCTTGTTGCAAGTTGAAACACAAATCTACCATTGAAAACTAAATAACGGTCTGTCCCCGTCGCCCCGGTCCGCTTCCCCACACCACCACCGGCTCCGCGTCCGAAGCCGCCGAACATACGGGAAGATCAATTCCGAACCTATCAAAATGCGTCCTGCATCTATTTTCCAGCTACCGGCAACAATAGCAGTTGTCATTCTACTGCTCTCGTGCATAGCTCTGGCATCACCAAATCCGGACGGCACTCACATCACATTACTACGACGTGATGAAGAAGTCGGCTCAGGGTGCAGCACAGAAGGCCAATGGCACTGCATGACCAACTCATTCCAGAGATGCGCAGGGGGTCATTGGTCGATGAAAATGGCCATGGCGGAGGGGACGAAGTGTGTGCCTGGGGGTTACACCGATGATTACAACTTTCGAATTGAGCGCGATGGGGACAACGATGACGAGGATAGAAATAGGAGCAGCGAGAGCCAGAGCAGTGATGGCGCGAGTTTGAAAGATTCTTACACAGTCGGTGGAGCTGCCCTTGTGGTTATCTCGTGGCTTGTTTTGGGATTTATTGTCTAAGTTGGGCTTTAATGTGGTTATAGACGAGAAAACTACTGGTGTTTCGGACTGATATTTTCAACAATTTGAGCATTTCCTATGCTACCAATAAAGATTTCACAGTGATAATTCATCACTGATAGATGTACAAAAGAACCGACTTATACAGACTGGACTTGATCAGTTGCATTGACGATACCATTCTAATATCCGACAATGCGATGTGGCCCTGTAAGAGTCGCATTGGAGTGGACAGCCGGCAAGCCCCCTCCAACATCTCCACCAATACCAGTCCATCACGATACCACATCAGGAAATCACGTCAACCCCGGAGAAGGACTCAGTGCAACTCTACCAAAACCAGACAAACACAAGACAACGACGGTAGTTTCGGCACCCACGACGAATCAGAAAGTTAAGCGATCCCGCGTAAAGAAGCATCCAAGGGTCGAATACCCTACAAGCATCCATGTTCCAATGGCAAGTTTCCCTCGCATCTTGGAGCACAGGCATCTCTCTGTTCTCATGATCGAAGCTAGCGTTTGTTTCACCATCCTCCGATAATGGCACGTTCAGTTTCTCCTCCAATCAGCGACTATGGCTCGCTAGTATATCTGGAGTTGTCAGGACCAAGTGTGAGTTACATTGGGGGCATATATACTAATTTAACCACCGTTGTAGATTTCCTTTTCGCTCTTTGAACCTCCCTTCCAGTCTTTCGTTTACACTCACCACGTCGTTCTTTTCTGTAATAGTTCTTATCTTCTTCTGTTCTTCTTTGCTGTCCTTACTTTGTCGATCCGGTTATCACAGAAATGGTCAGCTTCAAATACCTCGGCGCGCTGGCGAGCGCCGCCCCAGCTCTGGCAGCCTTCGGTGTTACTACCAGCGGCAACAACCTCATTGTCGACTCTGGAAATTCCAATGGCTTCTCTGTTGCCGTCAGCAAGAGCGATTGCTCCATCAACTCGATCCTGTACCGAGGTGCCGATTACCAGTATAAGTCGCAGACTTCTCACATTGCGTCTGGTCTTGGCTCGGCTACTGTGACGTCCACTGTCATCAACAGTGAGTATAGTGAGCCCGAAGTCGTATTGAAAAGTATTAACACAAGTGTAGACAAGTACATCAAGGTCACATGTACCACCAAGTCCGGCGACTTTGACCTGACTCATTACTATGTCGTTCAGAACGGCCAGAGCAACGTCTACATGGCCACCGATACCAAGTCTCAGCCTGCCATCGGTGAGCTGCGTTACATTGCTCGTTTGGATCGTTCCAAGCTACCCAATGAGATCCCCTTTGGCGAGGCTTCAAACACCTCTGGCGGTTCCGCCGTTGAGGGCTCCGACGTCTTCAACATCAACGGCCAGACCCGCTCCAAGTTCTACTCATCCCAGCGCTTCATCGACAACGACATTTGGTGCTTCCAGAGCGGAGCCAAGGATGTTCATGCCTGCATGGCCACTCACGCCTCGCGATCCTACGAGAAGAGCTCTGGAGGTCCTTTCTTCCGTGACATCAACAGTAACAACAACGGCGACTTCAGCGCCCTCACCCTTTACATGAACTCTGGCCATGCCCAGACCGAGGCGTTTCGTCAGGGCTTCCACGGTCCTTATGCTTTGACCTTCTCCCGCTCTGGTGTCCCCAAGGCCAAGGACATTGACATGTCTTTCTTCAAGGACCTTTCCATCCCCAACTACACCGCTGACACCTCCCGCGGCCGAGTAAGCGGCACTGCCACGGGCGTTCAGTCAGGTTTCCAGAGTGTTGTACACTGGTTCAACAACGACTTCCAGTACTGGACCTATGCCTCATCCAACGGCGCTTTCACATCCCCTTTCATGGTTCCCGGCACTTACACCCAGGTGCTCTACCAGGGTGAGCTCAAGGTCGCCTCCAAGAGCGTAAGCGTCTCTGCCGGCGGCACGGCCTCTTCCTCCATCGCCGCCAACTCGGACATCACCACTGGAAAGCACACCTCTGTCTTCCGCATCGGCGACTGGGACGGCCAGCCCACGGGTTTCCGCAACGCCGCCAACCAGCTGCGCATGCACCCTAGTGACGCGCGCATGGCCAGCTGGGGTCCTCTGACCTACACCGTCGGCACGAGCTCCGTCGGTGACTTTCCCATGGCCATCTTCAAGGCCGTCAACAACCCAGTCACTATCAAGTTCAACCTCCCCTCCGCCATCTCGGCCCAAGCCACTCTCCGCATCGGCACTACCCTTGCTTTTGCTAGCGGTCGTCCTCAGGTCACCATCGGTAGCTTCACGAAGGCATTCGATGCACCAACCAAGATCGACTCGCGAGGTGTTACACGTGGTGCTTACCGTGGCCATGGCGAGGTTTACGATGCTGTTGTCCCAGCTGGCACTCTCAAGGCAGGATCCAACACTATCACCATTGAGGTCATTTCTGGTAGCTCTGGTGCTACTTTCCTGAGCCCCAACTTCGTCTTTGATGCTGTTGAGTTGTTCTACTAAAAGGTTTGGACACAAACCGACTGAACATGTCCGATGCTTCGGCTGTCTATAGTTTTTATTGTATATATTAGTGAATATAGCCACTTACACATCGTGTCGCATTTTGACACCAAATCCTTTGTGGTTACTTTTGAGAATGAGTTTGCTGTTAGTTGACTTTTGCTGTAAGCAATTAAGCCCGCTCGCCCCTTTGATGATCTTCGATTATCTTAGATGATATCGGATGTCTAGTTCACAGTCAAGCAACAGCAAGTATACACAACCAACTCGGCAGTGTTTTAGTTTTCGACTTATACAACAACATTCGTCAAAGGCTATTCGTAAATGAGTGGTCCAGAACGATCTTTGAAATAAGGTTAAATAAAGCCCAATGACGTGGTACAAACCGGAGCGGACTTTGGACCGGAAACAATCCCAAGGAGTAGTTACATAAGCTGGCTGATATCAGCCGTAATGTTAAGACCTGTCAGAATATTTGGTGATAAAGACACCAAAAGAGTCATCTTTCACTAACAAAATCGGGGCATGCAGCCACTTCCCATTAAGTCCGAGTCGACGGTATAAGTGCAGTGAATCCTCTGAAGGGAGAAAAGAGCCAGACAATTCCCATTTCTTCTACCTACCTCATTGATAATACGAAGATGTCTACTCCTCAAGGTACCATTTTGGTTACTGGGGCTAATGGAGGTCTTGGTGCAGCCATTGTTGATGATATCATCAAGAAGCCAAATCTAGCCAGCAACTATGCAGGCGTGTACACGGTCAGGAAAGCAGCAACGGCAACTCGACTCCAGAAGACCTTGAGCTACGCACCAGCTTCTCACAAGCATGATACTGTAGACCTGGATCTTAGTTCACTGGCAAGCGTAAGAACAGTAGCAGTTGAGATTAACCGTCGGGTTTCTGCTGGAGAGTTGCCGCCGATCAGAGCTCTCATCCTCAATGCTGGGTATCAGGACCATGAGTTGATTGTAAGTGAGATCCGAGGCCAAAGAAAGTGGTACGCTGATACGTATAGACCATGACCGAAGATGGTTACGAAACGAGCTGGCAAGTGAATTTCTTGGCCAACCAGCTACTCGCCCTTCTCTTGCTCCAGAGTATGGACAAAGAAAAGGGAAGAATACTCATTGTTGGAAGCTGGTCCCATGAGTAAGTTGCACTGTGGAAACAAAGCTGGCATTAGCTCACCATATATACAGCGTCAAGGATTCGAGAAACAACGCCAGCATGGAGTGTTACAAAGATATCGAGAGCCTCTTTCCTGGACCAGACGAGCTTGCAAAAGGCAAATGGAGTAGACCAGGCTCTGGCGGGGGATGGCTCGCAGGATATCGGCGATATGGAGCCAGTAAACTATGTGCCGTGATGCTCATGCAAGTCCACCCTTGTGTGACTTATGAGTAACCAGCTAACAGCTGCAGGCACGAATTAGTGAACCGTCTCGCGCACGATGACAAGCTATCCAACATCACAGTAGTTGGGTTAGACCCGGGCGTCATGGGAACAGATCTCACGCGACGAGGTAGTGCTGTGATGTACTACGGCCTCAAGTTTGTTGCTCCGCTTGTAGCTCCTCTGTTGGTCAAGTTTAGCCCCAACGGAGACTATCGTCCAGCGTGGAAGAGTGCTGGAGATGCGATTCAGCTTGCGTTTGAAACTGACGCTTCGGCTGGCAAACCACTCTATCTGAACGGTACAGATGAACTTGAAACGTCAAAGGAGGCACAAGACGATGCCAAGCGAAGAGCCCTGTGGACCTATGGGCTGGAGGCAGCCCAGATCAAGCAGGGGGACACGATTTTGCAAGATTGGCAGTAGGGTTGAGGGCCACTGAAGGGGTATGCGATGCTTTTGGGATGTGGAAAGTATGGGGCCGTCTTTTTAAGCAGATGGTTTTGAATGTTGTTTTGCTTGTTTGTAAGTGGTGGTTGGACTAAGACATTGAGGTTCTTGACAACCGACCAGGACCTAGCTAGCTCTTAGCAGACGCGGTATATTGCATTTGATAAGACTAAAGGCGCCGAGTCGAATCTCGAGGAGTGAAGCAATTATCAGCACGAGGTGGCCGTGTAATTAATTGATGTCGAATAAATACGAGATAGTAATTGATCATGAAGTTCCATTTGCGCCTCTGAGGCCAGTCTTACAAGGACTGGGGATGCGAAAAAGAAAAAAAGTGATAACTCGAAATCTCCTGACAACGGCAAAAACGGTTGTAAATGGGTCTGATAGCGAATAATGACAGCAGGGGCGAAAGAGCGCTAGGATCAGGGGTCGTGGTAGATGATCATGACCATGTCCGCGATTCTCAAGGGTTATAGTGGAGGAGCACAGCTGACAGAGTGAGGTTAGCCTGGATCTTTACTCCAGTTTCAGTGCAAGGTCTTGGAGGATTTAAAGGTGGAAATGCGCCATTGATCAAAGGATACACCGTAGGTAAAGATTAAAGGCCACTACGTTAGTAGTAAGTTGTTAAGTTTAATGAACGATTTGTTGTTGCTTTTTCTTAAACTTCTTGTTGTTGGTGGTTCCACTTGGCCTAGTGCACGGAAGCTATGCCCCCAAGTTTCATATTGATACCCCTGAAGAATCTGAAACGGGTCTGTTTATTCTGTTCTATCGTTCGACAGGCATAGAATCCAAAGATGGAAAGATCTCTTCATGGTCCAGTCGATCATGGTCATTTTTGCCAAACAGGTGGCGGCAGTCAAATTAGCTAACTTAGTACCTAGTAGCTTGTGAAAGCCTGTAAAAAGCTTGTGACGAGGAAGATCACTTCTATGTCGAGTAGGCACAGACAGGGAGAGTTCGTCTGAACTTTGTTTGCTCACATATTCACAGTCTAGGGAGTAGTGTAGAGTACCTAATAGACAGAATTTCACAACTACAACACCTATTCATAACAGATTCAAATGGAAGTAATCTTCCCAGGGCCGCCTCTTTTTGGTACGTAGCAATCAGGCGCCTGGACGACAAATGGCGGCTCATTTAAAACCAGTCATAGTGCATCAACACGCCCAAGCTCCCACAGCTAACGCTAGCCCACGGCGCTTGGGCATTGTCTATCCTCGGCGCCTGTTTTATCCAACAGCCTCTCTTCTCCAGACTCCAGACTCCTCTCCACCAAAGCAAGAACCGCCGGTGGAAAGACGAAAGAGAGACGAGTTTTCTATCAATTTCTTCGGTCGCGGTCGATTGGCCTTTGAGAGCCACAAATGTACGGCACATGACCCATCGTCAGAAGCCGTCGTATTACCGAATCCCTGTCTCATTTAAACAAGAGGCGCCAACGGCCTCGAGCACCGGGGAACAAGGTAATCGGTTGGTGCACCAGGACTTAAATTAAGACATCTTTAACTGGCCTGCCCAGCCAACAGATGGATATCCTTTGGAGAGGGACTTGACCGTTGTACCTAATTTTGGAGCTGTTTTCATTTTATTAGAGAAACCTTACCCCCAGGTCGTGCGGGCTCTTCCTTGTTATCTACGAAGGAACCATTTCCCCGTTGGACTTTTCTACTTTCTCTCTTTCTTGTTCTCGTTTGCTTTCCGTTCCCTTTTTTCGTTTCTTCCTTTCACTCTAGTCTTCAGTCACTCATTCATTCCTTCGTTCCATTCCATTTGCCTTTCGATCCTGGCTTGGAGCTGGACTCGTGCCAACACTACAAACGACGACAATTCCAATTGACTTTTCACCCTTATTTAACACAACAACGTTACTTCTTGGCTCAGACCCTCGTTACAGAACCCCCAACTTCTAGAAGGCCTCAGCCACTGTCCATCCCCGCCGTTGTTTGAGCTACAGCTATCCGTCAGCACCAACTGCTTGCTTGTCTATAGCATAGCCAAACCCAAACCAAAACTGAAGCTGAAGGGGTCTTACGCCCAAAAATAAACCAACTGCAGCACGAGACGGGCGGACGGACACTTTGACCCCGATCCTTATAATATTGCAATTACAATTCACTTTCCAACAGTGTCAGTGTCCAATGCCCGCCATGTGGGACAGCTTCAAAACTGGCACTGGCCCCAGCATTCACCAGCTGCCACCTCGAGAGCTCAAAAATCGACCATTCCTCCAAACTCAACTCAAAAACCAAAACCAAAACCAGGGTCCAATGCATACGCAGGCACTGCCACAAAATCGATCCACCACCAGCATCAACAGCTTCCGAAGCTCAAACAAGTCACGCGACGGCAGTGGCAGCAACAGCAGCAACTACAATTACGACCCCCAAGCACACATCAAAGACGATTTCGAAAACAGACTCAACGGTCTCGGCATTCAAAACGGTCCTTTCAGATACGAAATCCGCCGCGGCAAGACAGTTCGACAGCCATACAACTCAGGTCCACCTCGTCTGTAAGTGCCAACATGCTTTTATTCTATGCCTCTATTGCTTTGGTTTTTATTTTATTTCATTTCTGCACCCATTTCGTGAACCTGCTGCGCCATAATAATACAATACGACGACCCATCACGACAAGGGATTCTTCAGCATCAGCCGAGCATGAAAGTCAATATAAACGCATGCCTACAGTTACAGTATAGCAAGGCGATGAAGGCATCCAGTCTCCTCCGGTCAACTTCAACATCGATATTTACTGGAGTCGTTCGTCATGCAACACGTAACGCTCGAGATCGGCAGACCTGCAGCAGGCAGCGTGGGCCAGTCTCACAGACCACTTGAGCCGACAATGCAGATGTAACCCACGACTAATAGGCCAAAATGCACGGTTAAGCCACTGCAATGTATCTGCAGTAATCCTTCGCTCGGTACTACGGCATATCATCAACAATGCCTCATTCTGTGCCACGGCCTGGCACTTTTTGCGCTTCTGCTTTCCTGTTTCTTTTAATGGCAACAGCAACCAACTACTTTACTTGTACACGACTAACACACTTCTTTTCCTCCATCGCAGCTCCCCTGTTCTTGGATCTGACGATATCCGAACGAAAGCTCCTCCCCGAAACCCTCGACGACTGCAAGGCGAGGACGATTCTCCCTGGCGACCTGCCTCATCTGTTTACGACGATACCGACGACGACCGAAGCAGTCGCCATTCCCGCCACTTGGACATTGAAAGAATTCCTCGTTCCAAGGTGCCTGCCAAAGACATGTACGGTCGTCCTACAGGTCTTGAGATCTCGCCTCCTAGCTCTCCCGAGTTTGAAGCTACAAAATACGGGTGAGTTATTCTCTTGGTTTTCAGCTCTTTGTCGTTATTGCACATTTTCTTGGGCACACTTTTCGCTTTTAAATGATCGATTCTGTTAAGAAGCTCTATCAACCTTGACGCTCGATTATTACGAGAACTCTTTGTTCAGGCCTTCTGGAAACCTGCTCTCTTCCTTTGTTTACTCTAATCCTGCCTAAAACTGGTCGATACCAGCACTTTGTGCTTCGCTTTTAATATGAGATCCTTTCGATTTAAAGCACAATCACTGATACGATGCCTTATCTGTAGGCCACACTCTCAAGATGTCTCACCAATCGATGAGGCTGCAAGTCTATCCCAGCTGGATCTGCTAGGAGATCGCCGGCTTACACCCAGTCAATCGCAAACAAACATGCGCAGCCAGATACCGACTATGCGTCGTGATTACCCTACAAGTCCTGGTCAACCATCACCACTACGATCAGCCAGATCAACCGACCAACTTGCAGACTCTATCACCCCATGGGAAACCGCGCAACCAACGTCTCAGTCGCCCGATAACGCCCTGCAAACATTCGGACTTACAACTATCGTCACTGGACCGCAGCACACTTCTTCAGGCAATCCGTCTCCCTCACTCGGACAGCGAATTCGGAAATTTGCCAGAGTGAAGCCTGAGTCTATCGAGAATAGACCACCATGGAATGGAGCAAGCGGCCGTGCGCCTATGGTCGAGCCTGTGCGGGACGATCTATCTGTCGCACCTTTAAGTTTGCAGCGCAGGGTCAGCAAGCGTGTTGGGCTGGGTGGTGGCCCGTCTCCTGAAACCCCTAGTGGTAATCCTGGAACAGGACGACAGTTCATGCCTTCACGGTCCACTCAAAAGTCCAAGGACGCTTATAAAACACCATCTCCCGAAACTGCTCCTCACTCATACCCCAGCCCGCCCAATACCGGTTCTCCTCCGTCTCAGCCTACAATGCCGCACGCCGCAAAGCCCATGCTCAATCCTAACATGGTACCGGACCAGCTCAAAGCCGTCAAGAGAAAACCGTCACCCTCAACTCACAACCCTCACACTTCCTGGTCAAGTTCCGTCTACTCCGCTATAACCGAAGATACGATCCTTGGCCGCAAATCACTTCTCAACTCTATTGAACCAACCAGTCTTACCGCACCCGAAGATCCTTGGGCACAGCCCGCATCGCGTTTCAGCGTAACGACGTGCAACACTGCTGCTCCTAATACGCCTCATCTGTCAGATAACGGAGATCGACCTTCTTCGCCAGATACACCAAAGCAAGCCCCGTCAGTGATGGATCGTAGGAGACCAGTTCCAGGCGGAGATAACTTTAGGAGGGCTTCGAATGTACCGATCCTCATCTCAATGAAGTCAGCCGAGGCATTGAGAACACGCGAGCGTCCTGAGTCCATTATTTCCACCGACAAGGCGCTCCCACCAGCACCACCGGAGTTGCAGTCGGCAAATGATCGTGTAGCGTACCTTACCGCTCGACTCGATAGTTTAGCGCACCGTCGCAACAACATCAACCGAAGCATCAAGCAGATGACGGAGTTGATGCCCACCGACAGGATTCTAGCAAGCTCAGACGTGATACGCAGACGCGAGAATGAGAAGAAGAAGGTTGAAGGACTCAAGGAAGAGTTGTCAGAGATCCAAAGAGAGGAGCATGACTTGGGATTGAAACTCTATCGAGCCAACAAGCGTCTTGAAAGGGAGGCTGCGTTCGAACCCTCTTCCCTCTGGGTTAGACGCGTGACATCAACGTAAATAAGTTGACGTTGGTCTACTCGGTAGACGTTCTTAAATATGGTTTCGACAGATTGTATCTCTGGTGTATAAGCAAGGCGTTGAGAAGACAAGCATAGCATATGGAGTTTGGTTTCTTTTGTTCGATTCTTATTTCTTGAGCCCTTGTCCGAGACAGTGGACTGGCAATTACAGGAACAGGTTTTTTGATGGTTTTGAGGTTACTTACGATTCGGGAAATAGATGGTTGTCGTCTGACAATGAATTCAATCACTCCATGTTCTCATTTTGGTGTGTTCGGATAGATCATCTCCTGTACAAATATTATTTTCTGTGTAATACTAATGATAGTCAAAGCCGATGCGTATTATTTGGCCCAATCAATCCCGGGTATATCCATCAACTTCTAATTTACAAACAATCCAAGACAACTTGACCTACCCATGCTAAACTCCATCTCCATGCTTGGCCCAAAACACTTTATCCATTTCTTACCATAATGACCTTCTAGACACCGAACCCGGAGGTCTAGGTCCATTGCAGCGTCCCTCCCAGCATAACTGGCAGTAATCGCCAAGTCCACCATCTTCAAGGGGAATGATACAAGCACACTCTTCGATCAGGTAGTGTCGGCAAAATAGATAGACTCCCGTGCGGGCCGGCTGAGGAAGAATCTCTGGCTCATTTGAGTCTGATGTTAATAGGTTCCGCACACCGTCGACGAGTTGCTCTGAGAGGGATCGTTTTGAAGTGTCAGGCGTGGATTTTTGACGCTGGAATTCTAGAGTTTCGTGATGAAGCTCTGGCGAGGAACCATTTGACTCGGGCAGTCGTGGGAATGAGACAAGATTCTCGGAATGGGCGTTGAGGTCAGGAGGTCCAAGGTAGTTCCCGGCTTCGTCGTAGTGATCCGAGGGATACGTCTGTCGAAGGTTGCGACCTCCGTGAGAGGCAGAATATGCCCTGCGGTTCTGATAGCTCGTAGCATAACGGCCTGGCTGGCTGAAGTTTCCAGAGTACGAACCCCGTGGAGACCCATGATCTAAGAAGGGATTACTCCTAGGGGACTCGTTTCTTGAAGAATGGTTTTCTCTGACGCGTCTGTTGACGCGGGGAAAGGATCCGCCACTGCTGTAGGGAACTGCTCGAGGATATGACGATCCTGTTCGGGGATCTCTGGTGGTGTAGTACGTTCCGTGCGGACTGGGTCCCTCCAGGTCGTGCTCGCTGAGGTCGTACGAGCTTTCTTCCCTGGAGTTTCCGGCCTCTGCCACAGCAACGTTCCTTGGAAGAGCTAAACCGTGGGTGTAAGTACCTCCACTCATTGACGATGCATAGCAGCGGGTATCGACATCGTCATAGTCCACTGAACCGTCCCCTCGATACCCAGAGTATGCGGCCTGGACATTTGACGCACTCGCGGTGCGTCTCTGGGACATTGCTGCTACTCGATGCCTATCTCCCACTCTGTTAGTTCTCACGATCAGGGTTAGGGGAAACTTACCTTTGTCCTTTTTTTAAACGAAGAGCTGAACGGGGGGTTGTGCAATGTTGCTCGGTAGTTGTAGAGCAGATGCTAAAACAGATGATCACGAGAAGCTATTCCCCGTCGTACAGGTTACGTTACCTACTGGTGCAGGCCGTTTTTGAGTCTTCCTTGACGAGAAAGTGTTTGTTGTGTTTTTGTATGGCAGAGAGAGGCTGGCTTGAAGATAGGGAAGTATTTGTATGGAGATACCGGGTGGATGATAGAGAGCTTGTGTGTATGAGGTTTTTGGTGTTCGGTTGGTTAGTCAATAGCATTGTTTCGTTGGACATGGGTGATGTCCTTGTTCTTTGTGTTCTATGAGATTCATAAAAATTTGGAATAGAACAAGGGACATGGAGACGGGTGCTTTAGATCCATTGTAACAGGGGAGAAAGTCACAGGGAGATATCACGATAATAAAGAACAAGGACCGGAAGGACATGTCCGGGTGCGATAGTGATACGCTGGGCTGTCAGTCAATGAAAGAGGCAAACCAAAAGTTTGTGCTACGAAACACTCTTTATTGCTTCTATGATGCTGTCCTACAGAGCACAAGAATAGCCTACTAGCTGTGAATCAACCTTGGTCACAGATCTCTCGGGATTCTAATCGGCAGGCCATCAATCATCTCGTACTCCACCACTGCTTGACCGCGAGAGTGCTTCAGCTTGACGAGATAGTTGTAGATGAAGACTCGTTTACCGTTGATCATGCGGGGGCCTTGTTCCTGCAGACTGATGTCGCTGATGTTGAACATCTCAACCCGAGTCATGCCCTTGACTCTGGGGTCTGGGTTCTGATGCTCGACGAAGCGTATGTTGAGAGAGATGGTGTAAGAACGATCGCCCTGACTAACTTCGAGACGAACAGAGTCGTGCCAGTCTTTGGGCGGTATACATCCACTAGCCACCACATTTTCCACCTCGTCGGACATGAAGCTGGAGGCTTTGTGTTCTTCGCTGTCGTCGAGCTGGAATCTGAGCCTGATACGAACTGCACTTCCGAACGGAACTCTAAGCTCCCTGAGTTCATCGATGTAAGGATCGAGATACTCTTCGAGAGTTCCATCATCGTGCCATTCGTTAGCCTCCCCACCAGGACCAATACGAATCTGCACAGGTGTATCTGTGGCCTCGGATCTAGACGTGCCCATGCCAATGACCGCATGGTGATGGTTTCCATCCGCGATGTTGCTAGGGGCAAAGATGTTCTGCGATCCATCCGACCAGCTAGGGCGTTTACTCAAAGGGAGGTTTTCCCTCTGGGGAGCATCAACTTCGTTGTAGAGAAACACATAGTGCTCTGTCGTTGGGATGTCGGCGATGAGTGACTCGGCGAGCATACATATCGCCTTGGGGAAACCAGTGCGTGTTATGAGTGGAGCGGATGGTCCTCGTGCGTTAGCGGGCATCATGACGCTGCGTGCTTTTGAGGGCATTTCGCTGTCATTAGGCACCAAGGTTAAACCCATGGTTGGGATGTTTTTGCTTTATTGTAGGTTAGTCACGGTGTTGTGTGTGGGTGTGTAGGCTTACGTACCAGCGATCTCGAGCTGCAGCTTTGGATTATCTTGTATGTGTTCTTTTGCAAGGCTGTGAAGAGCTGAAGAGTTTAGATCTGAGTTGGGTGCTCTCTTTATGCCTTTATATGCATCACGGTAAACGGCCTCTGAGTTGCGATGCAAAGCAGACGGAAGAGATGTGAATCACTGCCTAATGCAAACGCTGTGAACAAAGAGCCAGATGTTGAGAGTTGGTATGTTTACTTCTGACTCTAATGTTAGCAATCGCCATTCACTCATCTTCACAAATTGTTTGTTCCTCATCAGTGCCTAATCAACCCATAGAAAGCAAATGCAAGCAGTCAAGCACATTGCCCGATTCTAAATTCGCGCCCTCCTTTGTTGACAAATGCCCCCAAACGTTCACAAACATCTACAACTCTTAACTCCCCTCCATAGCAGCGCTACTCTCCAACAACAACATCTCTGCCGAGGAACATTTCGGTGTCTCCGGACGGTAGTCTCGGGAAATGTGGGTTCAATCGGAGCCCCGATCCCGCGTGGACCGGAACGGAGATACAGGGTATGATGGGTTTCTGAAAGCAGCTACTCCAGCGACATGTGTTTGGTTACGTTACTTCGTGCTTTGGTTGCCTCTATGTGTGTACCAAGCTGTTTCATAAATATTGGCTTTGTTCCAGGTTTGCAAGTCATGTGCGTATATAATGGAATCCATGTGAGCGGCTTTCACTCTACAGGTTCCTATTTCTTGCCCAAGGATGGGACACGAAGTTTTAACACCAGAGTCGAGGAGAAATATAAACAACTGCCATGACTTTTGTTTGAAGATGTAAAGTAAAGGCCTAGATCCTCAGCTTCCGATCGTGTCATGCCGTATTTGCTTTTTTCTGGTTCATGGATCATCCCAGATCTGAAATGTAAGAACAACACCCTTATATACCGGTGAAGCATTTTAGAAACTGTACGCAGGTAATCATTGGCCATTCTAAAACAAAAGAGACTTCTTTCGTGTAGAGTAAATGAGAGGCTGTATAGATACAGTTTTCGCATGATTTCAATCAGTGGCTTGCAGGAAGAAAAAGAAAGTTGAGTCAGATACTGCAGTAACAGGCATATGCTACATGTGGATCGATGATAGGAAGACAGGGGACTGGAAAACGAGATTCGAGAGGCCCCTTGGTTAGATCAAGCTATGCTTCTTGGTTTTACATCTCATACGGATCATAATTGGACATCATCCGATTCGTTAATCTATCGTATACTGCCAACCCCATGCACAAAAGCAAATATCATATATATGGTTTCTCTGTAGCGGATTCGTCAAACATCTAAGGGTTGTGGGGGACAAGATAATATCCATTTATATATGTCATGATATCTCCAGAACAAAGATGACGGTTCTGTGACCGTTACATGTCACTATACACATGCATACCGTCCTCACAATGATCTCGGAAGATATCCCAAGCGAGAGCAACGCGGTGCAGATTTATTTTCCAAGTGTCGTGTTTTTCGTTTTGACGCCTGTTTTTGTCGCTTTGAGATTGTGGAATCGTGGTGTAAGGAGGTCGGGCCTGGGCTGGGATGATACAACGATTGTGATATCCTTTGTAAGTCTCACCTCGAACATTGAAGATCGAAGAAACTGATTATGGGGTAAAGCTATGTGCCTTGGCCGTTCAGGGCGTTATGATAGCTTCGTGCAATTACGGGTTTGGTCGGCATATTTCAACCTTGACTCTCGAGGACAAAGCAACGGCACTTAAAGTGAGTCTACAAAAACTAACCTTACGCAAGAGATAAGTTAGTAAGTATGATGCCTAACTGCGTATAGCTATTCTACATTGCCCAGATCTTCTACAAACTAACCATCAACCTCGCCAAGATCTCAATGCTCTTGCTCTACCTCCGCATCTTCGTCCAAGAATGGTTCCGCAGGTGCTGCTTCACTCTCATGGCCATCATGGCCTGCTACATGGCCGTAGCCTTGGCCCTGTCGATCTGGCAATGCCATCCCCTCAGCGGCGCCTGGGACAAGTCGCTTCACCCGAAGTGTGTCAGTCTGGACAAGACCTGGCACGCGAATGCAGGTTTCTCCATCGCAACAGACGTTCTAATATTGATGTTGCCCATGCATCCGATCTGGTCGAGCAAACTGGCTGTTCCTCACAAACGAGCTCTCATAACGGTGATCACCATGGGTGGTGGCGTGTAAGTGAAACCTCAAGGCTGGACTTTGGCACCATGTGGACTGACTTGACTGTTTCTTCAGTGTTATAGTAACGTCTATCGTGCGCATGACAACTCTAAAGAAATCAACCAAAACCCCCGATACGACTTGTACGTCCCCCGTATAATACTCTACTCTGCTCTACGTTGTCGTACTAACACTGCTTAGTCAATATAACGTCCACAATGTGGACTATCATCGAGCAAAACCTGGCCATCATCTGCACATGTCTGCCGATGAGCCGCATCCCCCTCGCCACGCTCTTCCCGCCGTGGTTCTCTACGTCCATCATAACAACACCCAGCGCCTCTCGGTTCAACGACCGCCCTGGAAGCCAGCCCCGAGTTTGGAATCCTTACGTCGGGCCCAAGTCTGTGCAGGGACTTACACAGAGCGTGGTGCTTCCAAACGACGAATCGAGTGAGGAGATCATACTGGGGACCTTGACGAGGACTGATACACCATCGACGATGGCAAGTGATGCTGGTGTGATAAGGAAGACTGTTGAATATGGAGTCACGTATGAGACTAACCCCGACTGTTCACGTTATTCGCCTGGCTCTTGATGGAACAGCTAGCATCATTTACATGATATAAATAGATAAACAAACAGCAGAATATCACTTTGTTCAGGGTCTCCTCTGGCGTTCGGAACTGATTTGGCAGCGGCAAAAAATTCATCAACAGCAATTGAATGCTCTTCGACGTAATATTTCTTTTGTACACATGATATACACTAATCAACAAAGGAGCAACTAGCTCATACCCTCCATAAACTCAACTCGGTCAAGAATCATCTGACGATAACCCATGTACTCCCTGAGACCCTCCCACTCAGGGCCAGACTCCTCTCCATGCCTCCAAGGCTCTTTGAAACCCCAGGCACAAGCAATCTTGTCCAGTGCGGCTCGCTCCTCTTCCCGCAGCCATCGCATGCGCAATGGTGTACCGGGCGCCCAGGTCACACGTCTCATCTGGTCCTTGGCACTCAACTTAGCGATCATGCCCATTGATCCAACAACCATAAAATATCCAGAGATGCCGGCGATACCAATGCCTGTTGCGGTGGAGATATCCATGGTGTTCTGCCAGTAGGTGGCATATGCTGATGCAAGACCGAAAATGCCAAAAGGGAGACTTCCAAGGGCGAGGGCAGGGGTAGTGGAGTGTTTGATAAGCTTCTGGCGCTTGAACGCAGGAAGACTGAATGAAGCCTCCACAACACCCAGCGCTGAGTCTAGGTTCTTGGCATCAATAGCAGTTTGCAGGGCCATATCCGCAACATCCTTCTCAATGGCCTTAACTGCAGCATTAGGGTTCGAAGCCACATACTGAACTACCCCGTTCTTGACGACGGGCTTCTTCTTGGTCGCAAACATCTCAAATACAGCGGGTAGAGACTCGGGTCGACCCAGTGCGGATTGAATGGCAACGTAGAGCTCAAGGAAGGCAGGTTTTATCTCGACGTTTGGTTGCGAAATGATTGCGTAGGCCGAGTACGAGATCTTCTTAACGCTATCGGTGAGTTGCGCATCCATGAAACTTGGTCTTTGGCCTGTTCGCTCTGCTCCGAGCTCTACGAGCTTTGATGTTGATGCCCGTGACTGAGCCTCGGCTCTGTGGATTTGAGGCTGGAGGGCCTGGGCAGCCTTGAGGCACGTCTCGAGAGCCGCAGTCGTCAACTGATGCGCCGGAATTCCATCTGTCGAAAGAAATTTCGTCTTGGTGCTCTCCACGATGTTGGCCAGTTGTGCTGGATCAGTCAATTGTCTAGGGACCTTTTCGGCATCGGCAGGCTGGATGTTGAGATCTGGATACGTCGACGAGGTTGCAGCCCACCGTACACTTGAGGCCCTTGTCGTCGACTTTCGGCCCTGGCGAACACTGGCTAGGAGGGTTCCGCCAACAAAGGCTTGTTTGGCAATTGTAGGTGCTGGTGTGAAAGCGCATCGGTAGCAGACATTACCGATCTGTCGCGGGGCTACTCGTGACATGGTGTATGTTCTGTATATCCGATTCGTAGACTCTTGTATTCGATGGCCCAGTTGTTGACCCGTCCTCGATTAATTGCGTCGTTCTCTCGAGCAAAATTCTTCCCGTCTCGGTCGTCGTTGACACTATTCGGAAACCAATCGACTTCGAAATTCGCAGCCCATGATATGCAAGCGGGAAGCCCCACTTGTCTCTGGTTGAGAGATTTTGATAGGCTATGAATAAGAGTTGGTAGGATGTCAGCTTAAGTGGTAGCCAGCATTGTAAGTACAAGTACGGATAGTTTATCCATTATTGACATGAAACATGATGTTTTTCAGGCATAAACTCTCATGTTCAGGCCTGGCTTCGGGTCATTCGGTGAGGAACCTGATCATGCGCGATTTGACGTGGGATTCTCATGCCTACGAGCTGTTGATGACTGATCTGAGCATGCTCAAAGAAACAGGCCTGTCCTAGCCTGTCCCAGGTATCTTCAAGGAACTTGGACGCTAGAGGAAAGTGGGGCGCAGCCCAGCGTGTCCACTGCAAGTAGCGGTGCTGCCTTCCATTCTTTCCATGCGGCGTAAGCAGTCCATTGGCCATGACGAAACATGAGGTGGCTCTTGCCTTTGGGTATCCGAACTGATTCACCTCAACCTTGACCTCTATATATCTACTCCTTGATTGGGACTTTTCTCTCGTTGCTGCCTTCACAGGCTGTTTTGTTGGACTGATATATGCCATCCAGGGTCTGGAACCCCCCGCTATCAAAGCTCGAATACCCCCGTGCCCGACTGGCCTAGCTCTCATTCATCCCGCCCGACGACATCCGAATCATCAAACACCACAACCGACACCGTATACGCCGTCCAAGGACTTCGCGATGCCTCCTCCGCCTCCTCCACCTCCGCCGCCGCCGCCTGGTGGTATGGGTGGCCCTCCTCCCCCGCCTCCACCTCCTCCAGGAGGTCTTCCTGGGCGTCCTGCAGCAGGAGGAGTTGGCAGAGTATGTCTAACCGTAACGAACAGCGACCTCAGTCGCAAGTGATAACTAAAGCAACGTCTGACAAATTTACTTAGGGCGCTCTCTTATCGGACATTGCCAAAGGCAGAGCTCTCAAGAAAGCTGTAACTAATGATCGTTCGGCGCCCATAGTTGCAAGCACCTCAAACTCCTCTGCCGGTCCACCTGTTGGTGGTGCACCTCCTGTTCCAGGCCTCGGCGGTGCTCCCAAGCCTCCAGGAGGATTAGCACCCCCAGGCTCAGTAAACCGAGCGAGGAGTAACAGCGACCAAGCATCTCGCGACTCGGTAGTAGGCGCAGATGTGCCGCAGTTAGGTGGTCTTTTCGCCGGTGGAATGCCCAAGTTGAAGAAGAGGGGAGGAGGAGTCGATACAGGTGCCAATACCGAATCTTCGTATCGATCGGATCCTGAGCCGAGCACCTCCGCGCCAAAGCCTCCTGCTGGATCGGCTCCGCGACCACCTTCAGCAGCTGCGCCAACGATTCCTGGGCGAGCTCCAGTACTACCTCCAGGAGGAGCAGCGGGCTTGAGAAAGACAACGCCAATAGGGTCAAAACCTCCACCACCTCCTATAGGAAAGAAGCCGCCTCCTTTGCCAACGTCGCGGAAGCCTTCGTCTATGTATATACCACCATCCACGACCTCACCATCATCGGCACCTCCCGCTCCTCCGCCACCTCCTCCATCAAGCAGTGCGCCAGCTCCTGCCGCACCACCACCTCCTCCACCTTCGGCCGCACCCCCTTTGCCCGGTCATTCGCGAGCTTCAGTACCCCATCCACCGCCTCCTGGATCGCATCATTCGCCGCCATCTCTTGCTGCGCAAGCTACAATTCGTGCCGCAGGTCAAGTATCTCCAGTCTCCGCGCCTCCTCCCCCTCCTCCCGGATCGGCGCCAGCACCTCCAAGTGCGCCTTCGCCTGCTCCGTCAAGAACACGTTCTCGAGGCTCGTCTCTTCGGCAGTCAATGCTGGATCCAAGTATGTTCACATTGACAGCCAACGGCGCCCAATCCACAAGCCCCAAGGGTTCACCCGCGCAAACGCCTGGTGTCGGCGGTGGGGGCCGGGTTGTTATCAGCGATCCAAGATGGCAGTTCAAAGACGAGGGCTTGTTCCCGAAACCAAGAGACTTTATGGGTGGAACGAGAAAATACAGAGCAGGAAGAGGAAGCAGCGTACCATTGGACTTGAGTGCTCTATGAGTATTCTGCAGCCTCAATCGATGAAATCCGTGCTTTTGAACAGTTTGGTGATCAATCAGTGTCATTCATGATAAGATGAGCAGCATGGTGAATTTTGAATAGATTGGATGTGCAAAATTAAATATAACTACATATACATATTATGCATAATGAAGCTGTCCAGAAAAAGAGCTTCGGTGACAATGATACTAATCATGATTTGAAAATGTCGATTTGTTGATATTCTACCATGATACGGCAGTATAGTACAGTTGGGTTACATAGTCCTCCAGGTAATGTACAGTTGTAAGTAGCGATCTCAAATTTACATAGACTTGAGGTAGTTGGTCTCCTTGATCTTAGCCTTTCGCTCCTTGCGCATTGCTCTCCTGAGCTCCTCTCGCTTCTTGGCTGCTTCCACATTGTGCTCAACACCCCGGTTCTCCTCACCGAGAATGTTAACAGCCTGGTGCTGGATGGGGATCTTGGGGGCTAGTGCTTCGAGGTTGCCCTCAGCCAACAGCTTGGCCTCGTGTGCCCTCTGACGCTTAGCCGCTAGCTTTCTCTGCTTCTTAGATTTTGCTGGGAACTTGTTAGCACGGCCTGATAAGAACGTATATAGATGTCATGTAGTGGATAGACGTACAGAATTCGTCTCCGGCATCGGTCTCCGCTGAATCGGCACTCTTCTTCAACACATCCAAGCAAGACCATAGCCACTCCGGGTATTCATCATCGTGCTTCGCGACGGGATCCTGTCCAGTCTTGATATAGTTAAGGCCATTGAGGACGGTTCCAGGTGCACATGACGATCGTGCAGCAGGGACATCCTTAGGTGCCTCGCCAGGTGCTGTGACGGGGGTCGAAAGTTGAGGCTCGGCGTTACGGAAGGGCGTCGTTGTCGAAAATTGACGTAGAATAGGCTGGGAACGCCGTAAGGCACTGGAGCGCAGACATCGGGTACAGAACATGATGATTGCCGGTGGTGGATGTTGGGAGACGAAGTGTGACGAGGCTCGAGGTTCTGGAGAATTTTTGGAGGTGCAGAGAGTGGATAGCCAATGAGACTTGAGATAACATGTAATTGTCAGCCTTGCGCCAAAGGTTTGCAAAAGCGACAACTACAAAGATGAATTGAAGTTCAATAGATCTAAGACTGAAGGTTACTTTGTAAATTCTTTTAATTTCATTTCTTCCTGATATATACACAGTCATACAAGGCCTAGATGGTCGCTTCACCTTCTTGGTGAGCTGAGCTTGTCACAACTCAAGTTGTGATATCAAGACCACGAATCCCTCTCTAGATAGTCTACTCCATCCAATTCCTCCGCAAATCGTCATCTGCCTTGTTTTCTTACGAGGAGAAACGTTCCTTGTTGAGGTTGGCGATTTTGTTGCTTGTGTGGACCTTCGCGGCCAGATCAAGCTCCTGGTCCTTCTGGTGGACATAGTTCTGTTGCAAGAACTTAGTGCCCTTGATCTTGTTTGACTGCAACAGTTGCAAGTAGCGCTCTAATCGCAATTGTCAGTAATCGCTCAGAGGCGCAGTTTCGGCAGCTCTTCAAGGAGCTCCATATCCAACCCAACTAACCTCGGAGGTGGCCGCAGTTTTCCAGGTGGTTGACACCCTCCCGGACATAGCACTTGTTGAGCTCCTCGCCAACAAGTCGTGTCATCATTGCGCCGACCCATTGTTCCCGGATGAGAGCATCCTCGGCAGCCTTGAAAGCCTTGGTATCATCGTAGTCGACGCCGTTGAATGTGGGAGCAACGGTAGGCTTCTGGGCCTTGAATTGCTCGGACTCGGGAGTAGGCATGGTGGATATAATTGAGCCTTGTTGGACTTCGAGTAGGTTGTTCGGCTGGAGCGAGGGACGGCGCGCAAGGCTGACAATGGGACTCAATCGTTATCGGCAGCTTGGTATGTCCGAGTAGCTTGAAGCTCAACCCAAGTGAATTGGATGTCCAATGATGGACGACCTGATTTCTAAGGCAAGCACAGACCCACGCCTCTGAGACCACCTTCCCTGTCAGTCGTAGCTTTTACACCGCTTTGAGTTGCCCCACCATTTTGACGGCAGAATTAAAAAAAAACTCTGCCGCGAATGCCAGCGCCAACCACCAGCTTAAAACCCAGTACAAGTCGCAACCAAATTCTCTTTTCTCCATCCACCCTCTTCCCATCTTTCTTCCTGTCTATTGATCCCCGACTAGACATCACTTCCCTTCATCCTATCCCCCTTCTGTCCTAATACATAATCACAATGGCCAAGTCCACAACAAAGGAGAGCAAGAAGGCCAAGGTCGCTGAGCCTCTCAGCACCGTCAAGGCCGGAGGCATCACCAAGTCCTCCAAGTCCAAGTCCAAGGATGTCGCCAAGAAGGTGACCAAGGAGAAGGACAGCAAGAAGAGCAAGAAGAAGGTCGAGTCTTCTTCTGAGTCCGAGTCTGAGAGCGAGTCTGAGGCTTCCGAGTCCGACTCCGATTCTGACTCCTCTGAGGAGGAGGAGAAGAAGGTTACCAAGAAGCCCGCTGCCGCCCCCAAGGCTAAGGCCAAGGCCGCTTCCCCCTCTTCCGACTCCGACTCTGAGTCTTCCGCCGCCAAGTCCGACTCTGACTCTGACTCCGACAGCGAGTCCGAGGAGGAGAAGCCCAAGGCTAAGGCTGCCAAGGTCAACGGCGCTGCTAAGGCTGCTGCCGCCCCCGCCAAGAAGGCTGAGTCTTCTGACTCCGAGTCTGGCTCTGACTCTGACTCTGATGAGAGCGAGGATGAGAAGCCTGCCGCCAAGGGTGAGAAGGTTCGTGTATACAAACTTTATACCGTCGTGTGACATCTTGCTAACTAATTATACAGAAGGCCGACTCTTCCGACTCCGACGATTCCGAGGATGATTCCGATGGCAGCGACAGCAGCGACTCCGATGAGGAGGCTGGTGCCAAGGTTGAGAAGACCGAGGAGGCTCCTTCCAAGAAGCGCAAGGCTGAGGATGATGGCGAGGCCGATGCTAAGAAGTCCAAGACCGATGAGGCTACTACCCTCTTCGCTGGCAGCTTGAGCTGGAGCATTGACGACAACTCTCTCTACGAGGCCTTCAAGCACATCGAGGGTCTTGCCAACGCTCGCGTCATGACCGAGAAGGGTACCGGCCGTAGCCGTGGCTTCGGTTACGTTGACTTCAACGACGGTGCCTCTTGCACCAAAGCCTACGAGACCATGCAGGGTGTTGAGCTCGAGGGCCGTGCTATCAACCTCGACTACGCCAACGCTCGTCCCGCTGACGCCAACCCCCGTGACCGTGCTGCCGACCGCGCTCAGCGCCACGGTGACACTGTCAGCCCCGAGAGCGATACTCTCTTCGTCGGTAACCTTCCTTTCGATGTCGACCAGGACAGCGTCCGCGAGTTCTTCCAGGAGGTCGCCGAGGTTGCCAGCGTCCGTCTTCCTACCGACCCGTAAGTTACACTACTCTGTCTTTTCAATGACCACCTTACTAACTCCAACACAGTGACAGCGGTAACCTGAAGGGTTTCGGCTATGTCAGCTTCAACTCAGTCGATGAGGCCAAGCAAGTCTTCGAGGCTAAGAACGGTGCCTCCATCGGCAACGGTCGCATGTCCCGCAGCATCCGTCTTGACTACGCCAGCAGCCGACCTCAACAGGGTGGCGGCGGCGGCGGCTTCGGTGGTGGCCGTGGTGGTGGCCGCGGAGGTGGTGGTTTCGGAGGCCGTGGTGGTGGTGGCCGTGGCGGCGGTGGTTTCGGTGGCCGAGGCGGTGGTGGTCGCGGCGCCGGTGGCCGTGGAGGTGGTCGTGGTGGTGCCCGCAGCTTCGGTACCGGAGCTAACAGCACCCCCGCTGCTGCTTTCTCTGGCTCCAAGATCTCTTTCGATTAAACGTGGGTGATGCACAACAGTTGCAGACCGAGGGCTTCTGGCGGGTTTACCAATAAGTGGGCTTTGTGGGCTGTCGATTCAACATAAGTTAAACTCCTCCCTGGAGTAGTGGGCTTTGAGAATACGCTTCGCACGCGTAAAGCGATGATACGCCTGGGGGCTATTTCACTTGGGACCGTGGGCTCGTGGCATCTTGCAAAAGCACCCTTGCCGGCGCTTGTGGCTTTTTGATTGTCGGGTTTTGATCAAGTCTGTCTTTACGACAGACACCGCGTGGGCTTCTGAGGGATTTGTTGACGGCTCTTTGGGAAGACGCTCCTCTTGTCTTACAGACATGGCGGAGTAGACCAAACCGGTTCCTGCGAATACTCTTGAGGGTCCTGGGGGCTTTTCGAAACGCGACTACGATGCCTTAACCTGACTCCTCGGCCTCAGTTGATGATCATCTCCTGCCTCTGACGACTAGACCACCTTGATTTGTTATACCATTGCACGCTGTTCTTTTTCCATCGTTTGATGCTGGTGAGTATACCACTGCCGTTGTTCTTTCGATTATGTAGTACGTATTAGGATTCGTCCAAATCCTAGGTATAGGGGCGCAATAAAAGTTCCATCATGTTTTATGTCATATAATGACTTTGTTATTAAAAAAACTCTTCTGTCTCCGCTACCATTTGATTGCGATTGTTTATGTGATTGTTTATGTGATTGTTTATGTGATTGTTTATGTGATTGTTTATGTGATTGTTTATGTGATTGTTTATGTGATTGTTTATGTGATTGTTTATGTGATTGTTTATGTGATTGTTTCGTAGTGGGTTCATAGTTTGTGGAAGTCATGTGTTCTTCATGACTCAAACAATATAGAGCAGATCAAACAGATAAACTGGGAATCTGAGCTCATCTTCTGCTGTAACAGCATTTCATCGGACATGGTTCTGCATGGCTAGATAGAAGTTGCAGTCAATCAAGATGTACAGTAGGTACTTTATTATGACTGCAGCTCCCGTTACGACTCAGATTGAAACAACGGGTGCGGAGAGGCCAGTCTCATGATAACATAGGCACGAGGGGGCAGGTAAACATCTCATGATGGGTCTTACACTGTCAAACGTCCATCAAAGGTTTTGTTGGGGGAAAACGACAGTTTAGAGGGATGGTTTAGGTTAATGTAGGTCAGTCACAAGGGTCAGCTGGTTACCCCAGACTACCTAGGTATGCGTCGTATAAGTCGAGTTGAGAACAACTGAGCTGGGTGAATATTAGGCTTTCGTGGTATTGTAAGCCAAATTATCCGTACTAAATATAACCCTATGACATTCATCAGAGGTGTCTAATATCAAGGTGTTGAACGGTGATGTTACTAGGCTATCTACTTCAAACCAGTACTGTGAATAAACAGCCCAGGCCGCCCAGCCAGTGTTTCGCTCCATGGATTTATTCCAAGTCCTGCGTCACACGCATGATGCAGATCTCATAAATGGGTAGATCGATGGGTCGGATTCCAGAAGGTCTTATTGATCCCACGGTGTAAACAAGACGCATAGAAACATGATTGAAACACAGCCAGGATAAATAAGGCCACCAAGACGCTCAACAATGTGAGATTGTACGATAACGTCAGCAACCTCAGCCAACCTTCTCCTTTCTCTGGTATAATCTACTTGAATATGCAGAAGTTAACAGTGTACGGAGTAGAGTTTAGACAACTGACTGGGTTACCCTAGGTTTGATAACTTAGTAGTTGATTTCGGTTCGGTAGGTCGTCTGTAACTATTCGGACAAACCCCCCGCCCTGTACTCATGACCGGCATGTTCGTGCTGCGTGCTCACAAGAAGAGGCGGGGAGATCAAGTAGCTGTACTTGAAGGCAGCTACTTCACCGCCCTCGAGATCACGAATGTACAGTGTGCGACAGAACCATCGTCATCGTTGCGAAATTGTTGTAGCTACCTACCTATACCAAGTCGAGATCGTGTCCAGCCAAAAATGCGCGTGTTTCACAGCAGCGCGTGATGCGCTCGCACTGTCCCCCACTCACACCCTCAAGTACCGCTACTTTAGCCGTTATCAATGGGCGTCGAAACGTGCTCTCGTGCCTGTAACAAAGAAGCAATCATCCACCGTTTACGAACAAGGGCCCCCTCAGTCCCGGCTTCGCTGTTTATTACAAGTAATATCTTCTTATCTTTTTTTATACCCTCACTTCGTACTCGAAATCTCCTTTTCCGCAGCCTCACACTCCAACTCCTTGATCTCTTTCGAATAACATCACTTCACAGGTCAGAGATAAGCGGAGTCGTACATAGTGGCCGATCTGATACCCCTACCTACGCTTTGTGCTCTGACCCCGGAACTCGAAGACCGTGTTTCCAGTCAACTCGACCTCCAACAAACAACAATCTAATAACACAATAAGGGAGAAAAGATGGATAGACAAGCAAACCAGAGTTGGCAGGGAAGCAGAATGTCTCCAAATGGAGCAAGATCGAGTCCAGGACTTCCCCCGCAGAGACGTTATGACGGTTAGTTTTCCGCGACTCTATTTAACCTCTCTTCGTGTACGTCAGCTAACGGGTTCAGAATCTTGGGTGGAGGTAGCATCACAACCATCATCTTCATCTCTGTCGAGCATCGGCGACGAGATTGTTACAACCGGACTGCGCGTTGCGAACCCATACGTCCGCCGGCGACGCTTACAGCCATCTGCGAGGTCGCTCCCTCAACAACACACGGCCATCCACAATGTGAACAGCGCCGATATGAGCAGCCAGGAGGAATACGACGAGAGCGATAGTGAAGATGATCGCATGCTCACAAGTTCGACCGAGAACGCCCAGCGGTCCGAGGAGGAGATGGAAGACGATTCAGAGGCCGAGTCAGATGGTGATAACGTCACTGCCCTCGGACGAGTATCCGATCAACCTACCGAACCAGTCTTTCGGCCTCAACCAAACGCTTTCACTCATCCATCTACGCAGAGAAGAGATTCTGCTCCAGCCATCCCAACTGCGCCGCCTCCTCATCCTCACAACGGTCTTACACGGCCATCCTTCACCCAACGATCGCAGACACGGCCCCACCGTGCGGGTCCCAGTTTTATGTCCCCAGCTGTTCGCGAAGAGAACGACGCTGCTCTTCGCGCATCTTTAACTACTCTTCTTTCCTGCGCCCACGCAGCTAGAGGCCTTCCCAAGTCGAAGGAGGAAGCAGAGGCCCATAGGGCTGCCAACGCTGGTGTAGGACCCAGCTGCCAACCGATGGAGCTGCGACTCGTGCCAGAGTCGGAGCTTTCGACGGAGCCACCGAGACGGGCCCAACGACCCGCAGCCCCATCTCAACCCCGCAAACGGGGCTCTCCCACAAGACCCCTCTCACGAAACTCCGAGAGGGGCAGGCACAGCTCCGGATCAGCTACGGCCCCACGGGCCACCAAGAAGAAGAAGGTCACCCAGATGGAAGAACCTACCACCATCTCGCCAACCCTTCTCACTTGGGTTGTCAGCGCCGGCGTTGTCGTCCTTGTATCTGTGGTGGGGTTTGGTGCTGGCTATGTTATCGGTCGTGAGGTCGGCAAACAAGAGGCGCTGGCGGTCAGCGTTGGCAGCGTCAACGATACTACTTCCTGCGGCCAGGAAGTCATCCGATCTTCAGGCAGTGGGCTGCGCAAACTTCGATGGGGTGCTGTTGGCAAGAGCATTGTTGCCTAGAGGTTATAAGTGCTCTGCTCCTGGCATTACGTCTTCTCTCATGCTGAGTGGTAAGGATAAATTTGACTGCTTACTCGATCCACGAGGGATTTCCACACGAGATAAGTGTTCTAGGGCAGTTGATGAGACGATACGATATTTGCAGTGCAGCGGACCTAACGACATGATGTCGGCGTTTTATCTCATCTAACGACTCATTACGTACAGGCGAGGACAGTTTGATGCTTTCGTGCAATTTGAGCGCATTTTTATAAGGATACAATGGAGAATTTGGCATGACCTTTTAGTTTTTATTTTCTTTTACAGCCTGGCGAGCTTTTGCTTGCAATAGGTAGATCCTCTCCGATTACAGGTGTCGGCAATATTCCCCTCATGATTTCCATGATTTGGTAGTATAGGGCATAGGAATAAAACAAAATCATCTACATAATTACATTTTATAGCGTTTAGAAAAATATCACAAATGTTTAGAAAAGAAGCATGCCTATAAATAAGCGGCTGATTTGCCTCAGTGTCTTGCTTGATGTTGTGTAGAGTTTATAAATTTGAGTTTTGGATAGGTGGTAACGTGGATATGAGTCCCGTGGACTTTCGTAAAGGTTACTGTTGATACGAACATAGACATTACCTGTCCGGACGGTGAGCAAATCGGCGCCGGCCGGAACGGAAGGGCACCGGGGTCCGGGTTGTCGTTGACCGTTCCGTCTCGCGAATACGGAAGGAAGGCGCGCGACGTTTTTCCTTCTCCTGGAGACGATATGAGCCCCGCGAGCGTCAGCCCATATTAAGCGGGGCGTTGGAGGTGAAGTGGTTTAAGAGTTCGGAGTGATCCGGAGGTTTGGGAACGACCATGATATGTTTTTGTAAATTGTTTATTGCAAGGGTTCAGGGGTGATCAGTATATGGAGATTTGTGGTATTTTCGGCGGTATCGTGTGAATCTGGAGTAGTTGAGATATTACTGATACCAACCATACTTGATCTGACAGCGACTGTATATATACCCAATTGAGAAAGACGCAGGTGAGACTTTAGTCTTTATAATACAAAGACCATTGTTTTTATGTCTTACAAAAATCATCTTATCATGGATCAATTTTGATGTAGATCAACATGTGAATGAGGACCCTGTTCTCAATCCCGTAGACGTCAAAAACATAGAAAAGCCATTGACCAATGGCCAGAGTGGTCTTATTCATCGAGGACCCTGAAAATGATTCGAGCATCGTCACATTTAAATAGCCGGTGGTTCACGGCTCATAAAAGTCGGGTTCTTATTCGGACCTTGACAACACAACCAATCAGAGACTCTGTTGACAAGTGCATCAGACCATACTATGGGGGAATTTAGAATGACAACAAGGGCCAGTGAATAGTCGGTAAATAACCAGTGCGAGCAGATGAATATTAGTTGTATGTAACTTGTCCAGAATTTCACATGATTATTGAGATTGAAAGCAGGATCAGTGAGGGTCAGTCAGAATGGCATAAGAATACGCATAACTGAAGATCATCAATGCTTGGCACTTGCAGTACGTAATCAATCAATGCTTCGAGAAGAACACTCCTATTGGCAGGCCAGATAAGAATGCGAAAAAGGAGGGTGAAGTGGGGGTTGAGATCTGGCACCATAAAGTAGATGCGAATACGAATCCGTGGCCCCGAGCCAATCATATCACACCCTTTCTTGACGGGAAGGGGTTACTGCCCCATTATTTCCAGGTACCGTTCATCATCCGGTTCCGTTTTACACGCTGCCAGGGCGAGTGGGCAGTCAGCAGTGGACGACAGCAAATGTTAGGGGGCCAATTCCACTAAATCTCGACAGACTGCAGGCGGTGTGCTCGCACCAGCCGTGCTGCTGTGCTCCTGCTCGTTGTCGCCTGCTCCCTCCCTACTCTGCGGGTGGTGTGGGGTCTCTCTTTAGGACACCCCGGTCCGAAAAAAAGACGTCGGGGCTCGTCGCAATTACATATCAGTTAATCTCCTTCGCCATCTGCTACCCTTTTATTTTCCTGTCAGTCTCTTCTTTTCTACAGACTCGCCATTGGGATTTCTTGTGCATCCTGGCGCTGAGGACGATATTTGTTCTATTCTCTTTCTTTACCTTACCTCCGTCCTACTGAGAACCGCATCGAAACACCGCATCTTCCCTCCTTAATACACTACACCCAACTATGGGTGTCCTCCAGGAACTCGCGAGCCACCCGCTTGCGCAACAATACCAAGAACTTCCTCTGGGCCAGCAGGTTGGACTTGGACTGGGAGCCTTCGTCGCTCTCTCTATCATCCTCAATGTTCTCAGCCAGCTTCTCTTTAAGAACCCCAATGAACCTCCCATGGTCTTCCACTGGCTCCCCTTCATTGGAAGCACTGTTACATACGGAATGGACCCTCCCAAGTTCTTCAAGGAGAACCGTGCCAAGGTACGTTGAATGCCGTCGAAATACTCCCTCATTGGAGATCTGGCTGCGATGCCAGAAACGAGAGTGACAACTAGTTACTAACTTTGCGATAGCACGGCGATGTCTTCACATTTGTCCTCCTCGGAAAGAAAACCACTGTCGCCGTTGGCCCCTCTGGAAACGACTTCATTCTCAACGGAAAGCTCAAGGATGTCTCTGCCGAGGAGATTTACACTGTTCTCACCACTCCCGTCTTTGGCAAGGATGTTGTCTATGACTGCCCCAACGCCAAGCTCATGGAGCAGAAGAAGGTTAGAAACTGTGATAAACTGCTTATGCGACAAACATACTAACATAGCACTTAGTTCATGAAGATTGCCCTTACCACCGAAGCCTTCCGATCCTACGTCCCCATCATCGCCGGCGAGGTCCGTGATTACTTCAAGAAGAGCGCCGATTTCAAGGGCAAGTCCGGTATTGTCGATATTCCCAAGAAGATGGCAGAGATCACTATCTTCACTGCCTCTCACGCCCTCCAGGGCAGCGTCATCCGCAACAAGTTCGACGTGTCTCTGGCCGCTCTCTACCACGATCTTGATATGGGTTTCACCCCCATCAACTTTATGCTTCACTGGGCTCCTCTCCCCTGGAACCGAAAGCGTGACCACGCTCAGCGCACCGTTGCCAAGATCTACATGGACACCATCAAGGAGCGCCGTGCCAAGGATAACGACGACAGCGAGCACGATATGATGAAGCATCTCATGAACTCCACCTACAAGAACGGCACCCCTGTCCCTGACCACGAGATCGCCCACATGATGATTGCCCTGCTCATGGCTGGTCAACACTCTTCTTCTTCCACCAGCTCTTGGATCATGCTCCGTCTCGCTCAGTACCCTCAGATCATGGAGGAACTCTACCAGGAGCAGATCAGAGAGCTCGGTGCCGATCTCCCTCCCCTGACCTACGATAATCTCGCCAAGCTGTCCCTTAACCAGGCCATCGTCAAGGAGACTCTCCGCCTCCACGCCCCTATCCACTCCATCATGCGCGCCGTCAAGTCTCCCATGCAAGTCCCCGGAACCAAGTATGTCGTCCCGACTTCGCACACTGTTATGGCCGCCCCTGGTGTCAGCGCTACTGATGCTGCTTACTTCCCCAACCCCGATGAGTGGGACCCTCACCGATGGGAGGTCGACTCTCCCAACTTCCCTCGAATGGCTGCCCGTGGCGAGGATGAGGAGAAGATCGACTATGGCTACGGTCTCGTCAGCAAGGGTTCTGCCTCTCCTTACCTGCCTTTCGGTGCCGGTCGTCACCGATGTATTGGTGAGCACTTTGCCAACGCGCAGTTGCAGACCATTGTTGCCGAGGTTGTACGTGAGTTCAAGTTCCGCAACGTCGATGGCGGTAACACCTTGATTGGTACCGACTACGCTTCGCTCTTTTCCCGACCTCTGGAGCCTGCCAACATCTACTGGGAGAGACGCCAGTAGATTTGTGCTTGGCAGTAATGATGAGAAATCACGAAACACTTTGTATATATGCAGCAAATGCAATGGGCTTGCTGGGGAGTTGAGTGTTTTATAATGGCTGGGCTGGTTTTTTCAAAAAAGAAGTCAATTGTCATGCCATGCCAGCAAAGTTCTGGCGATAGAATTATAAATTTTTAATTAGCAACGATCAAAATATGAATCAACTCAAAGCTTCTCAAACGATTTCATAGCCCTCGTGATGATCTGATATGTGAGTAAGTGAGGCGGTCTCACGAGACGTCCGGAATATAGTAAGTGAAGGAAGTGGGAAGTTGGCAGACTGAACCCCACTGTAGTAAGTGCTGTCAATGACGACGGTACTGCATATTAGCCAGTTGTGACGGCAGCTTCATCTTTCTTCACGCTGAACTAACAGCAAAACCTTTGACAGAATTATTATCAATCGTACGTTACAGCTCTCTAACAACCTTAATCGCCAAACATCCACGTATCACCCTAGTCGAGCCAGGATCCCACTACCGATACAACGATCATAACAACACCCTTGACTAAGTGAGGGACCTGTACATCATCAAGACACCATGAGCGAGTCATATGGCCCTCTCGTCCGCCTCTGGGGCATTCATCCTTCTAAAATCCCTGCTGCAGGGGCCCATGCTGAAGAGCTCAAGGTTCTTCTGACCTCATTCCTTCTCGAAGCTGTGCACTTTATAAGCACCGTCCCTTCCGAGACCCCGTCTCTTGAGCCTGCTACAGAGCTTCGCTCTACCTCTGAAGTATGGAAGCACAAAACCATCAAGACGTACGACGGATCTACGGCTCCTGTACATGTATTTGAGCGCAATGTAGATGCCGAAACGCTAGAAGTTGTCGCACAGAAGAATCCTGGTCTGGGTGTCAATCCCGGCAAAGCTCAGTCAGAGTTATGGGCGCTACGACGAAGCACTCACGAGCCAAAGAAGGAGAAGGGAACCGCAGCTTGGGATGAGTTCGTGAGGTGCTTTAAGGAAAAGCATGCTGAGGCCGAAACAGTCTTTACACCAAGTGTGGTGAGCTTCAAGCGGCTACAAGAGTGGGATTGCTCAGGCATTGAGATCCAATTGGGAGGCGAGACTTGGACCGACTGGACGCTTCGGCGCGAGGAGTCTGTTCATGATCTCCCCGGGCCGTTGGCGAAGCGTGTCTTTCCCGTCCTGCAGGCCACGACCGCTGTACGTGGCCGCAAGGAGTTTTTGGTTATTCAAATCGCTGTCCGGGCTGACGATGGAGCGACAGACGTGGCCGTTCACGAGGGCCCCATCCGAGCAGCTTACTCGAGCATTGAGCGGGTCAGGGAGTTGGACAATAGGAAATTGGAGTGGATAATGACAACGGCGTCTGATGCAAGAGGTTTGGTGCCTATGTGGGCGCAGAAGCTGGGTTTGTCTGCAGCCATAGCTAAGGATGTGGGTATGTTCATGGAGTGGATTGGAAAGGAGAGGCTGAAGGGTAAAGATGCTGAGGTTATCGGCGATCTGGAATAAACGGCCGATTCTCGTGGGCTTGACTTTAGTACATTTAGATATTTGTTGACGATGAGCGCTCTATTAGAAAGGTCAGAACACCAGGACTCTTTCATCTTTGTTTTTACATAGCTACGACTTTTTGATAATGAAGTAAATATTGGATACTGCCTAGGTCTGTAAAGGAGTACCTTGAGCGACAAAATGTGTTGTATGCAATGGAAGGAGCTCCTGCCTTTGGTTCCTTCCCCGTTCCCTTCTTGCAAGCCGATTCAGCGATTTAGGGTGTACCTTCACTTAGACCTACCGCGTGACTTCCCTCTTTCCTTTACCATCAATGCATGAGTAGTTCTAGCTTGAATACGGGGAGACGATGATCCAAGCCTTCTCCTTGCATCCATCTGCGTCCCCTTTCTTCCTTGGATGATCGACTACCTATATCCGTCGCTTCAATTGCCTCATCACTATCTCATCTGGCATGGGAAGAGAGACACTCCTGTTTTGAATTCTTTAATATGATTCGGAATCGACGTCGCTCAGTTCCTGCAGGAACAGCTGCTCCTTTGTCACCTCCACCAAGTCAGAACTCGAACTATTGGTCCCCAGCACTGGTCACATCGAACGCCCTCCCTCAAATAACACGTTCTCCCACCACATCGTTTCAAGATTATCCCAGAAGCAATGGGTCCAAGGTTTTAAAGCAGGCAGAGGCGCTTGCGAATATGAGCTTTGAACTCAATCTACGTGCCGTCTGCGCCCTCGCGAATCGCCTCGAACAAGATGTCCGAATGCTGGTCTTACGTACCGCCAATGATCAAGAGTTCAGGCGCCAGAACGAAGAAAGAATGACAAAAATGATGCAAGAAATCCAGGTAGTCAAGATTCGTATGGCTCAGTTTGATGGCAGCCAGCCTGCCACGCAAGCAGGTATTGAGAAACTACAGCAAGAGATGAACAACACTACACTGGGATGGAACAAACAATTGGATGATGCGAGGGCCAAAGTGGATGATATATCAAGTCGGATGCAACCAGATACTGATACAATCGTCGTAAACACAAATGATCCGGAGCCGAATACACCCCCAACTTTAGGAGTAGAGACCCGGGCAATGCGAAGGGCAAGGGCACAACTGGGTTCAAGTAACCAAAAACAACAAAGTGGGCATCCCCGAGTCAACATAGCCCCTTGAAGAGAAACTGACGTGTAACAAGGCTCTCCTAAGTCCTTAGACTTCGAGTCCCGCATTAACGAAGCTATCAACTCTACTAAACGCTGGAACCGCGAGCACAAGGTGACAAAGATGAGAGACAATCAGTTCATCATCAGTTATTTCAAGAAACAAGGCCAACGGGATCACGAACTCGCCGAGATCCTTCAGCAGACGATACAGAAGCGTGCACCAAGAGCATACAAGACAAGGTCTCGGAAGACACAGACTCCACAAAGCCTCGAGGAGCTTTGTCGCAACATATCATGGCAAGACGTTATAGATACAGCGACAGAAGTTCTTGTAGTCAACAGATCACAGACTTTACGAGCCTTGGGACAAGTTTGATCGGGGCGTAGCAGTGGAACAATTGGTATTTGGGGCGTATTTTTCACCAGACGAGATCGAGAAGTTTCAAGACTTTCAACACGAAGAAATGAAAAGGGGCGATAAGAACACAATTTTGAGATTGTACTGGGCTAATTGTTTAAAAGTAGTCAAATGTGGTATTGGTGTTTGTAAGTTCATTATTAAGTCATACCTTGCCCAAATCCTGGGTTACACCTGAACGCCGCTCGCCTGCCATGAGCATGTTTTTCCGCATCTATATACACTTTGTTGCCAAACTCCATCCATAGCCTTTAATCATCAGTCTCGATACCAATAGAAGAGTTCTTGAGCTCGATTTCTGACTTGAGCTGCTTGATCGTCTGCTCAATGCGAGTACGCAGGATCTTGTTTGTAGTACGAGCCAGCTCAGCCTGCTTGTTTGCAAGTTGTTTCTTAAGATCGTTGATGATATCCTTGACACCCTGTTCCTCGTCGCGCTGAGCACGAGCATCGTCGTCCAGATCCTCGTCATCGTCATCATCGTCGTCTGAAACCTCTTCGGACTCGTCTGATTCGATGCTGTCCTGGAGCGGTGCAGGGGTATTGACTTGCGTGGTCGTCATGGGCGTAGGTGCATCCATGCCTGTAGCAGGAGTCGCCTCACCTGCCTCTCCCGTAGCGAAAGCAGCCTCCAGATCGGCCTCAAGGTCGTCATTGTCGTCGCCGAATACGTCCTGGCTCTGGAAGTAATCCATACTGTCGTCCATCTCACCCTCTGCATCTTCCTCTGCACCATCGTCGTCGTCTTCTTTGGTTTCCTCAACCCATTCCCAGCGCGTCGAGCCGGCCTTAGCGTCCTCAGCGAGCAGGCGTTCAACCTCTGCTTCTTTATCTTCAATCTCCTTACGGCTGATGGTCTTTGCAAATCGTCTGTTCATGCAGTCATGCATAGGCGGCGTTAGGCCGTGCGGCCATCTGAAGTGCTGGTCGATCATGCTCGGCAGAGGCGTCGTCCTGGCTTCGGCTTCGGTGGAGACTCTTGCGTAGACTAGAAGCATTTGGCAGATATCTGCAGACTTCAGGAATGATTTACGATCCCACGTCTTCATCGCTTCGGTAATTGTAGGCAAGTCCACCATAACAGCGGCGAACGGCTGGCCCCTGACCGTCACGACTGCTCTTCGCGTGTCCTCTTCGAAGAATTTGAGGTGAATGTCTGCTCCTCCCGCACTCCGAGGAATGCCCATTTTGCCATTCTCCATACACCACCGCACATAGTCGCAGTGCTCTCCTGGCATCATTCTCAGAACAAACTGCTCCTCTATAGAGGGGTCTCTCTCCCGATCGCTCGCTTCCGAATCGTACCCATCTCCTGGCGGATGCACTGGCGGGCGTCCCTTCGGCTTCACCACAACCGTTGGAGTGAGGCCCGATTTGGTCGGCTTAAGCTTGATTTTCGTAGTTGGATGCGCCGACCCTAGCTCATCGTCCAGATCATCGTGCGCGCGCTTCTTGCTCTCAACGAGTTTCTGTGTGGGCTTAGGTTGCCGACCAGCTTTAGTTTTGGTCGGAGGTTGTTCTATAGGGGTGGGAGGTTGTGATTTCCCGATCTTGAGCTTCACTTTGCGTCCACCCTCGGTCGGTGTTGGTGTTGGAGCTACCGGCGCAGCTGTAGCGGAGACTGACGGCGTCGCATGAGCGTCCGCAGCAAATGATGCTGATCGGCTAACATTGATCTTGAGTCGCGGTTTCGAAGATGGTTGACCATCTCTCGGCGGGGGCGAGGAGGCAGACATGTTGGCACTGGAAAGTTTGAAGAGCTCAGTAGTTTGCGATGTACTGTCTCGAGGGGGAAGCACGTTGTGTGAACTATTAAGGCTTTGACCAGATGATGCCGCCAAGAAAATAAGACGGATAAAAAATTGTTGGCAGAGCAAGGCGACGTTGATAATTGTTTTAAGTAGCGTATTCTAAGATAGATGCAAGTTATAGGATTGAAATGATAGCTACGAGAAAGCCTGACGATTCGCGTGGCGCGCTGCAAATGGTCCCACTTTAATCCATTAAGCAGTGTATCTCCGTTGGGCCAATCAAGTAATATGTAAAGGATTGAGTCAGAGTAAGTACGGTTAGAAGGAATTAAACTCAAACAAGATAATAATAAGTTAATATCAACGAGGAACTTCTCAATGTAGGAAGATATGACCTTCTGATGTATTGATAACCCAGTCAGCTTGTAACATATCCAGTTTACTAGGCTCTGCGCTTGACAAAGTAGTAGTAGCTCGATTTCATGTGTTTAAAAATCAACAGCATAAGACTGGCAAGACTTAAAGACAAGACTGAGTGGAAGCATTTAGCATTTGGTTGTCCTAGTTATTTCGTGTTGCTGGATCAATAAGTGAAAAAAGAATCCAGTGTCTTGACTGCTATCCTAAATCAACGCCTATCAACACCACCCGTTTTATCATAAAGTATGCTTCACGTTTATCTCTTAATCTTTTTCTTATATAGTAAGTTCTTTATTTAGGTAATAAAAACAACGTAGTCAAACCTTTGTCCTTATCTTCACCAGTCGATCCCAGCCCATCCGTAGGATCCATCGACGTTGTGCCAACCACCATTTTCCATGCTATCCTCCCAGCCCATCATAACGGCCAGTAGCCGGCACCCCATGGCGCTGACGGTGCACACGATCTTATCGCTCGACTCAGAGAGCACGGCAAGATCCATCATGTAGGCTCGACCAACGAGACTGCGGAGCCGTAGTGTTTCTTCTGATGGAGGCGCCATATGCCTGGCTTCCTCATTCACATCCTCCACATTGACCCCTGCAGGTGCTTCGGCGGCATTGTTCTTGCTATTGACTCCAAGGTTCCAGAACAGGGGAGCAAAGAAACCGCCTTCCCATCCAAATGAGTTTTCAACGAAGTTCTTCAACGAATGCTGGTTACCGTTGGCCCGAGCGATAGCACCCTTTGAAGCTAGACGGATTCGGTCCTGAGAAAGAAGGGTATGGGAAAACTCAGGTTCTTCATGAACGGTGGGGTCGTCTGAGGCTAGGACAGTGATGTAGTGTTGCTGACTAGGATCTTGGGTACCTGTCATGTTGTAGAGTTCTTCAACATAATGTCCGACTTGCTTAAGATAGATATCGGCTGGTATGTAAGTATCGCTGTACTGGAACTCAAACGGATGCCGATCACCATGACGAACGTGAAGTCCAATAATGGGCACATGTGCTGTGAGAGCATCCTCTGTCTTTGCCTTCGCCTGGATTCCAGTCACACGCCCATCGACGTATGTTTGATCATCCTCGTTGAGGAAGAAAAGGTCCTCATATCCTATGCGAGCAAGTTCGAAGAGATCCCGTAATCCGTTTTCACTTCCCGCAACTCGGTGATTTTGAGCTAGCAGCGCCGGGAAAACTTCCTTTGCTGTTGCAGACGAGACAACTAAATGACGAGCTTGAAAGGGGCAAGGAACCATATGGTGTCTCGGAGGTGGGCGGCATTCTGGGACGGGAGGAGCATCAAAGATCTCCGTCCAAGGGCCGTAAGCCCAACGTTTATCGACAATGAAGAACTCGCGATTTAGTTGCTTCGCCAATCCGTAAAATGTCCATAGCGTCATAAGCGTGTTGCCTAGACCAGCATCTGATGACTCCAGTACGAAGGTCATGGTACTTTCACAAACTGGCTTATGCTTCAGTTGCTTCTTATCAACGCCAACAAACTTGCCCTTGTTCTTGGCACGAATCCCCTTATAAGGAGTAAGAAGCCCTGACCTTTCAGCTTCGTAGACATCGATGTAGTATTCATCTTTGGCATCATAATTAATGATGGCCTTTTCTGTGATTGGAGCCTCGTGATGGATATCCCTTGCTCTCGAAGAAACCTCTCGACACTGGCTGCCCATTTCAGCATACTGGTCCATGGTCAAGGGGAACTCCCCGTTTGGTGGTATGAAGACGGTCCACTTCGAGCAGCCATTGTTGTCGTTGATAAGAATAGGTGTTGGGAAGTCTGGAAAGGCATCCTGGCCTACCATCTCGAATTCTTCTTGTGTGAAGTAAGGCCAGACTGATGTTGGAATGACATCTGAGTTTCGGAAAGCTAGAGCTACGATGTAAGTGATCGAGATCAAAATGCCAAGGAGGAAAAGTCGTCGGAAGACTCGGCTTGGCCGAGTGACCAAGATTTGACTCGATTTTCTTTTCGGGGGTCGGGGCACCAGTGCTGGAAGAGCCGGGGACGCGGGAGGAGAGAAGAATAAGTGGTTGAAGTTGAACCGCGAAGAAGTTGATGAGATTGGTCCACGATCCTGAGCGTTATAAGAGGTGGCTCGACGTAAATTGAGTGCAGGCGGTACCACCAGCATCTTAGATTGGGTTGAAGGTGACATTGTGAAAAGATGTGTTGAAGAATGAATGTGCGAAGTAGTCGAAAAGAAAAAATAGTTATTGTAACACAAGCAAAAAGTCGTTTCTTAGAACTGTTTCCACAGATTCCCTTCGACAGGAGTAGGATCCCTTCCTGATAGTCTACTCAAGCGAAGTCCTTAGTCGAATGTCCTTGTACAATGTTGGCCGTCATGAACGGGAGAAGATTCAAGTCGTTCCGCGAGTACGTTCGTGGTGTTAAGAGACACTATCTTCGAAGAAAACGTTATCGAATCGAAATAGTGAGAAATGTCCAGGTGTTCACCAGCTGCGATGAAATAGAATGTAAGGAACGTATGAAAAAAGAGCTCATGTGAGTGAAGACATCAAGCCTTTGACCTGCACTGCAGAGAAAGAAAGGAAATGTCGAAAAGAAGATAGAATAAGGAAGAGAAAAGTGAAAGCAAGAATCCCCGCGGGGTTCGAAAAGGAAAAGAAGCAAAGTTGTAGGGTCCGATGCGGTACGAGTATAAATTTCCTAGGATCATGGACTTTGGGTCGAATATGAGGACTAGACGGGGCTCGGGTCACGGCAGGGCAGGGAGCACCGCACCCCAGCTAGGAAGCAACTCCGAAGCAACACTTGCCTCGGGAGACTTCAACACGGATAAAATATTTAATTAGGGAGGTACGACCAGCAAAAGAGTAGGTAATCGTGCAATGTATCTATCCTCCAATCAACGGCAGGCGTATGTCGTGTTATTGATAGCACCTTCTGGAGCAATGTCTTAGGTTTGATGACCAAGACCCTCTAGATGTTCCTTCGGATCCTTTAACGTCTATACTCAGCAATCCGTCAAAATAAAGCCCAGCTCCTCAGACCAGTTCCAGGTGTAAGCATCACCTGCTCAGCCTAGTAAAACGTCGCATCGTGTTGTGGGCGGCTTCTGGAGGACGGCAAACGAAGGACAGTAGCGCCAGGGTTTACGATGGTCTGTCTCATACTGATTGCGCCGGGGCACAAGATGATGGGTGCATATAGAGGTGCTACGCAAGCAGAAGGACTCTCCGCAGTGGCACAACGTCAACAGGAAACACATCATGTTCCGGTTGCCGACGATCATCCCATGGAAACGGCAGATCTTGTGCGATTTAGTTGCGAGCTGTTACAGATATTCGAGACCTAGCCAACTATATCGCAGCGCTTCTGGTGTACATTACGGAGGTGAGATAGTGATGGGCTCACTGATACAGAAGCTGTTGAAGATACGACGATTAGCACTCGACATATCTCTGCTACTCCTACTAACTGCTAGTCCACTATTAATCTATGTTTTAGACGTTTGGCTTATTGCATCCTCACAATCTTCACCATTAGGGTCCGGGAGCCTCGCACCCCAGTCTGCGCTTCTGCAAGGTACAGCTCCTTGCTAATCTTAGACCGGGGTTTGAAAAGAAAGGACCAGGGTCCTTGACTTTCGCTAATTCCAGACCTCGTTTCAGATTTGGCAACTTCCAACGGTCAGAACCAATTGAAAGTTGCCGCCAACCTGCCCCTCCCAACGTCACGTTTGGCGGTAATCTCAAGGATCATGTCGATTCAGCCAACAGCATAGCTCTCAGGCTCACTTGGACGTTTCGAACTCATCTACGAAGAAACACAAATTGTTCACAGCGTTTCGAATGGCCAGGTGTCTCATGAGGCTGAGGCATGAGCAAACCAACCAAGACAGATTTGGCATCCAATTCCATGTGCCGTGGTCGATCTATCGGGAGCTTCCCCGTCGTGTTTTATGTTTGTCTGAGAAACATGACCGGGTCCAAGCATGAGCTTTGCGTGAAGCTGGCTGACTCGACCGTCGTGCCACTATCAAGCTGGGTAATCTAAGATTTCATGCGCAAAGCGCACACAACTGCTTGGTCGTATTGGTGCTATTATATAGTAATTGAGATGCTGGTCTTTAGTGTCTTAATATGGTCCAAATGCGAACCCTGGTCTGAATAGGTAGATTTCCACTTCAGTATGTAAAACTGTGTTGGCCTAATTCGTTAAGTACCTATCATAAGATCGAGCGATGTCTGTAACAAAAGCAGAGGCAGATCGCATAAACTGGAACAAATATCGATCCAAAGAACTTGACTGGAGAGAACATTTAATATGGACTAGTTATAAGAGTTGCACTATATATAAGACGCAATAGCACATATCTAGTGAAACATCAGGCATCAGAACCCTCTCATTCTTGTCTTCTGATTTCATCTTCCCTCGTTCTCCGTCATTAACTCACTGCAACAGCCCGGTGCTGCGTGTTGGACGTTACTGTCAAATCTTCCGCCCCCAACTCGTCATGATATAGTACATAACTAAAGCTCGCTTTGCCCAAGTAATAAAGTCAAACGAAGAAAATGATGTCCTACCAACAGGCACGCTGCCGCCAGGTCCTTGCCAATGAAAATAGAAGCAAAACTTGCATAGCAATGCGAGCTCTCAAGGGTGCTGTGGTGACCTATTTCGCACCAAGCCCCAAAAAACAAACAATAATAATAATGCGGGTACTGGTACCAAGAAAGAATCAAATCAAAACCTCCTTGATCCTTCCATCCCGCCTCCTCAAAAAGAAAGTATAATCGGGTATAACGCGAACAAGAACCCTTTTCCCGTAATAGTAACAACAATAACAATAAACGATCCCTTTCCTTAACGCCCATATGCTCTCCCTGTTCCTTTCACTCCAATCACTCACTCTGAAATGGTATTGCGAGTGAGGGAATCCTTGCACTTTCTATGCTTCTGCCGCTATGTCCTTGCTTTCCTCGGGTGGATTTGGTGTAGGAGTTCGTCGTAGGGGTTCAAAGTTGGGTTCTGCCAATGAGTCCATATTCTGTCCGTTCGCCAAGCGGACGCTGCCTCGCTTGCCTCGTACGACTTGACCCTTTTCAACTCGGTCCTGCAACATCTCGTCCAGAAGATTGTTCATCTCATCAACTCCTCGAGTTCGCTTCTTCTCGGGTTTCTTTTCGTCCTCTGCCGGCTTCGTATTGCTCGGTATTTCCGTCTTGGCCTCTGGTCGAGGGGGTGGAGAGCGAGGCTCAACAGTTGCTTCGGCCGTATCTCGCGATCGAGCCGCACTTCTTAGTGCCGCTAACATTCTGTCTTTGTCATCCAGCCTGGCTCGAAGATCCGCAATCTCAGAATCCTTCTCCCTAAGCGCAGAAGATACGCTGTGGTCCTCTCCGACCATAATGGCTTTATTCGGTGCTGCGAAACCCACGGATGCACGACTAGAGCTAGCACGACGTGCTTGGAGAAGGCGCTTTTCTAATGTTGCGATGTATCGGTTTTTGTCTGCAAGGTCAGCTTGCAGGGCACGGTTCTGTGTCGTCAAAGATGCTGTCCCGTCACCGAATTCTCCTGCACTATCGTCTTCTGCCTCCACAGTTTCCTCCCCAGTCTTCTGGTCCCCACTAGAGCGACGACCGATGGTCGATGATGCCGATGTCATTGACGAAGTTCGCTCCATGAAGGGCCTGCCGCCTGCAGAAGTGGCTACTGACGAGCGAATGGATGCCGGAAACGAGACTTGAGAGAACTGCGAGAATCGTGCGTACTGACCGAGAGAACTTATCGACCCGTTCGTGTTGACACCAATTGACTTGGAGCTAAGGATTAGACGGTTTAGATGGTCGATTCGTTCTTTGAGTGCCGTTCGGGCAAGTTGCATCTCGAGAATCTGTTCCTCATGTCGCTCTGCTGCCTCGGCCTCTCTGGCCTTTTCCTCTTCCTCATCATAAACAGCTTCTTCTTTTACGACCTCTCCCTTTTTCTTCTTGGCTTGGGATTCCAGTTGCTGGCGTAGCTCTGTGATCTCCATGCGATATCGTTCTAGTAGGACTCTAGCTCCGCCCTCCCCACCAGCTCCTAGGGCTTCCTCGGCTCTCTTTGCATGGCTGACAATGCTGTTCTTGGCTCTTGACGCGAATTTGAGCGTATTTATCGTTTCCAACGTGTGGTTGTTGGCCAAAGCAGCACTGTTCCCAGCCCCAATTTGAATCGTGCAAAGAATACTGACCAGAGAATTTCCAGATAAAGCTCCCTGCAGCAATCGGGTGAGTTTACTGTCACGGTAGGGAAGATGCTTCCCTTCCTTATCTCCGCCCTTGGCCTCCTTCTCCTTCCACTCTGAAAGTCTCGAGATAACAGTTCCGAGAGTGAGCAAACTCTTGTTGATGTGGGCTCCTTCCTGTCTACGCTCCTTTGATTCAGCAGCTTTTTCAGAACCAGCAAGATCAATCAAACTCAGTGTCGATACCCTGACACCACCAGGCAAAATACCCGATCGCTTGCTATCACCCGCAACCGCATTGGCTGGCATTCTCTCTCGAGACTCTACCACAATCTGGACGACTGCGTGACTTCGCGAGCTGCGGGCGTTGAACTGAGTACTGGCGGTTCTTCGAGCCTGGTCGCCACGGGCGATAACACGAAGCAGCTGTGTAGGGCTTTGCACGATCTCCTCCTTCAGCGGGGTAGCATAGACACCCCGCTTGCTATCCTCACGCAGCTTGATCTCTTCCTGCTGGCCCCCAGCACCATTTGCCATGGACATACTCAATAAATCATGAATCTTCTCGTTGTAAATCTCAAGGTAACTGACTCGCAGCAGAAATTCTCGTGATGGCGTTTCTCGGATATAGGAAAAGATATCGGTGATAGCAAGCGGGATCACACCTGGTGAAGAAGCGGTTCCTTGCATGGAAAATGTCTTTCCAGTGCCGGTCATACCGTACGCAAAGACAGTTCCATGGTAACCTTCCATAACTCGTCGGACTAGCCGCTTCGCGATATGATCGTATACTCTGGAGTTATTGTCATGTGTCGCAAAAACATTATCTAAAATAAGTCAGCCATGATTTAATTTTCTGGTGGTGTGGAGGCACATACCATAGAAATGGTCACCGCCATCTTTCCCTCTGAATGAAATGAGCGACTTGCGCCCATCAACCATCCATTCGCCCTCGGGGCTCCCGTTACTTCCACTGGCATCAGGTCGAACTCGTACACTCACGACGACATTTCCTTTGCCATCATATTTGGATGCTCGCTTCTCAGTGGAGGCATCAGACTTTTGGCCTGACCCCTCCGCGGGATCATCATACGTAGTGGCAGAAGTCGAATAAGAATCTTGTGCTGATGAGCTCCGGCTCTGGGGCGGTGATGCAACACTGATCAGGCCGTCGGACATGCGTACGCTAGTAATCGACTTTCCATCGCCGCTGCCGTTGAGGAAGCTGGGCGTGCTTGAACTAAACGTGCTATACATCGATTCTTTCGTTGTTTTTGACGGTTTCCTTGTGGGTCGATGTTTTTCGGTTCTTGGGCTAGGTGGAACGCCGCTGCTTGTACGTGTGTCGCCTCTGGGTGGTTGTGGGAAAGAGTTAATACTGACGCTCTTGCGGAGTGTCTTGCCAATGCCATTAATGGCCGGTGCGAGTTTCGGCTGCGGGAGAGCGGCGGTTGGAGCGGGGCCTGGAGAAACCAGACTCATTGTTGAGGGTGTTCGAAGCCCAGACCTGGGAGTTCCTGGTACTGATCTAGCAGCCGCAGCGTGCGAAGAAAGATTCCCTGTACTCTTTCGTGTCTTGTTGATTGGCAACGCTGGCAGAGCCATATTGGGTGGCCCAACTGACGGCCGGGATGGGCGTGGTAACGTCGTCGTCATTGTACCGTTGAGTTCAATGTAAATAAAAAGCAATAAGAAATCCCACTGCTCGCAGGGTCAAGTCGGTGGCCTGCTGCAAAAGCTCTCTAGGCGTTCTGGAAGATCGTTCGGTCCATCAACTACCGCGACTGATAACCGGGTCAAATGGGCAATAGTCACTTTCGAAGGAGCGTGGGACGGTCGGTTGTCACGTTCAAAGATATTGTATATCGCGTATGTTCTATTCCTTCGTAAGGGTCGTTTAGTCTGACTGGCCAAGGGATAAATCGGTGGAACGCGGGAAGCTGCGCGGGATCGGATGTATGTCTCGCAAAAATGGTATCGGTTTGGGCTGGGTATGGTCAGTGACTTGAGAACGGATGGTGCAATAGCGCATAGTAGTGCAGGAAGTCCGGTTCGCAAGTTCAACAACGCGGTAATATCGTTACTGAGCAGAAGCAAAAGAAAAATAAAAATAAAGTAGCCAGCAACGTACTCAGCCGTTGAATTGTTTGCGGAAGAAGGATTGCAACGCAAGCGAAAGGGGGGGCGGTATCTTAGAGCGTTCCAGGTGCCCTCTCGAAGTAGCGATGCAACAGGAGATGAGAAAATGAACCCTTACCCTTGGCGAAAAGCAAAGCAGAGAACAAGGTCAAGCAAGGCTAACGCTAGTGCACCTCGACTTAGCGCGGCGGGTGGCCTTGGTCGAGCACGGTGACGATGCCGGCCCTCTCTATCTTCTGATAGACAAGACTGGGGAGGAGACACAGATCAAGCTCAGGACCTTGCAGAAGAAATGATGTGAACAGGATGTCGTAGGGCGAGCCTTGGATCAAGTCAAGGGTAGAAAGTATGTATCGGCGCTCAAGTAATGAATGATAAACCAGGCGTCTATATTCGCAGCTGAGGTTGGAACCAAGGGCGAATGAAAGATCGGTCTCGGTAATGTTATGTATGACACAGACGCAGCTCCAGCTAAGATTACCGCGCAAAAAGCCGTCTTCCCCTTGTCTGGTCCGTTGTTGATGTGGGGAGAAGAGAATTGAGAGAACCCGTTAAGGCGAGTCGAGTTCGAAGTGGAGGAGAATGACTGGCAACTGGGATAAGGGTTCCAATACAGCCCAGTCCCACCACGAGCACGAAGTCGCAAGGTCGCAGCACAAGCACAGAGAATGAAGTGAGTGATACGAGTGGCGTGACTTGAGGCAAAGGAAACAAGGGAGCGACTTGAGGAAAGATGTGAGGTATCCTAAAAACACGTACAATGACCTGGTGGGTAGCATAAAATGAAAGAGAGTGAAAGAGGGATCCAGAAAATGACGAACGCGGTTGAGACGTAGGTATTGCCTCCAAAAAGCCCAGCGCTGTTAGCTGAAAACGGGCTCGTCCTAGAGCCTACTAGAGCGCTCAAGAATTAGAAGAACGAGGCACTAAGTTCACCTAGAGATGTGCGTTCCAGTTACTCCGTCCAGCATGGGCCGCACTACGGAGCTGAAGGATCCGGGCAGGGCAGCATTGGTGAGAGTACCTAGCAAATGTTTGTATAAAACGAATTCCGTACTTGTTCAAAGAGGGACTCGGAGGAAGGTCCGAGCATCGAGCTCTCGCACATCTGCTGTAGATTGGATGCCATAGCCATCACTTGGAGGACAATTAAAGCAAGCCTGCACCACTTTAACGGGGACGGTAATTACGATATGCAAGCCCCAAGTCGCTTCCTCGCGTTACATTGGATGCTAAAAAAGCCAACTGAGCCGGGACGCACGGGCTACAAAACAGCCCCAGTCCAAAGTTATGGAACTCTACTTTATAAGTTGAGCCACTCAGCGAGGCTTGTCTGGACGCTTGAGGATATCTTCCCCGGCCGGTTGTCCACCCTGTGACCATTTTGGGGTTAGGCCTCTGAACCAAAAAAGCAAACATGAAGTTGTACGGAGTAGGGAGTACGTATCTAGCGAGCCGTCTGCCCGTCTGATAAAGATTTATCGTTCAGGGACCAATGTTCATTCGAGGAAGGGCTATCCTTGATATTCTTTCCATGTGACAGGCGAAAGTCCATCCAATTGTTGTACATGAACGGGTCTTGATTTCGGTTGACACTCTACTGCAATAGCATCAGTCAACTATAAGTTGCTGAAGAATGGCTCGGAAGTTAGACATACTTACTTGCCCAGATATTGACTGGCAGCTGGAAATACTGTACAAACTGTACATACAAGCACAGAGTGGGTCGAAACCCTCCACAAGTTCATCGGGTAACCGCGTCGTCGATCACCCCTGCCGTAATGTACCGTACACTTGCAGTACTGTCTGTACCTAGGTAGGGAAGGAGCCAAGCAGGCAAGGGAGCTTTTAATCATCCATTTCCCTCCTTTGGGGATAAGGGAGGAAGCTACGGTACTACATATGAGTTAGTTCCCGATGACGGAGAAACCTCAAACAGCTAACGCAGGTACTACCGACTGTGCCTGGGCAGCTAAACGTTAGTGTAGGTACGGATAGATGAGCAAAGTTTTGTTCAAAAAGGTTTGTTTCGAACATCATCATCATCATTAGTTCGAGGCTAAGCGCTTGGGTCTCAAAACTTTTGCTGCCTCTCACATCTGTCACAAGCATCGCTGATCAGTAAACTTTTATTGTCGCATCGAAGCCCCCCTTACGCCAAAAGCTGAATGCCCTTCACTCAGAATTCCAAGCCCATATCTGCTGTCTTAGAGTCTTGATCAACGAGGCAACCTTGGATTCCCCGTTCTCAATCGGTTATGCCTCGTACGCAAACGACAACGGAGTACGTACTCGACTTCTCGAATGCTCCGGCTCCTTGTCCATCTTTGTCTGCTCCCCTGCCAACTGTTCAGGGCACCCATCGACCAGCTCCCAATAGCTAGGTGCAAGACCATAATGGGCACGCACCCCTTTCCACCTAACGGCCCATCACAGTAAATTTACTCCCTAAGAACCAGGCTCTACTCCGTATTACCGGTTGCTTCAGATAAGAAGTAAAATCATGATGCTGGTTAATCCCACGAAAGAGTCTCTATGTGGCAAACATCCTCATCGAGGCAATGATGGCCATATTCCGCGTCTCCCTAGAGAGTAATAGTATGTCTCCTAAACCCTCCACTAATTATTACCCATATCAAGCGTACCCCATGAAGATCATCTAGTCTTGGATCACCCACAAAAAGACCCATGATCTGTTTATGCAGCAATAGTGATTGTACCTGCGTGCCCCTCCTACAATCAGACCCTTCGAGATTTGCAAATATCACGGAGCATTACTGAGGCCCTGAGGGTACCCCCGCGCTTCGAGGCCAGACTATAACCCACTCTTGGGACAGTTGCTAGAGTTGGTCAATGGCCAACAGCACGCTGCTCAGAATCAAGATTATCAACCCGACCCTTACAGAAAAGCTACGTTGCACTGTTACACAGTTACAGGCAAAAAACCGATGCTAGTTCAGATCGCAACTCTCTTGATTAATTAAACTTCGAACAGTGCTCAGCTAATCAAACCACGGGGATTATTTTGAAGTCAGCGTTCTACTCCGTACTTGGAGATGGGACATCAAATCCGATGAACTCCTCCATCATTGGTCTCAAGTTCGCAATCTGTAAGTGCAATTTCAACAACACCCTGGTCTGAAGTTGTTTGTTGCCCAGCACAGCCCATCAATGGGCTTTGAATGTACGCTGTCCGCGCCTCTCTCGCCGGGACCCTGGCTCTCCATATGTCGCATGGTCTGGTTGGTCAAGCCAAAGGATCAGTTGGTTTTGCTCACCTACAAGGGTATCGTTATGGATCGCATCACCTCCGATGTGACAGCCTCATTTACTACCAACGGTCCTGCGGCGACCGTTGGCCAGTCTTGGGGGATCGGTCATTCAAAAGTCATTTTCATACCTGGCAACAAGAGATCTTATCCGCCTATCACAAATCTTAGCAGCACGTGGCGTTATCACTCAGGTCTTGATTCGACTGTGCTTCAATTTCTTTCGCTTACACGATTTCCGAGTGGTTCGCAAAATGATTCTCAACATCTTACCGAGCCAACGGCATAGGATTTTAACATCACATACTTGATAATACATTGTTCAAACGGCAGCAGACAGGCTAGCCATAATGCGCAACTATCTAATGTCGCCGTCTTGGGTCAAGAGCCATGGCAGCTCATCATTTCTCGATATCCTGTGCTACCAGCTACACGTCAGACTACATGCCAATGGATGACTGCATCACACTCGCCAGGATCGTGCCCACCAAGATCAACATTGCATATGCGGGATTGCAACCGTCTTCTCTTCTCATTTTCGTCCGAGGTTTGATTCAATCCTGTCTTGCCTCGTTTGTCTAAACTACTTTAGGCGTGAGATCCTTGCTCGAGTCGATCGTTTCTAGGCGAAAACCGAGCTGAAACCCTCATCGTTGATGGGCACTTAGCCGATGAGAGCAACCTTCAAGACAGACTTGAAATAGGTTGCAAGACATCAAGAACCTTTTTAAACAATGAACAGTGTCCACTAGGCCCGGCACAGACTCTACATACCCTGGATTTGATCCTTACAAACAACAGCAACACATATCGTACGATCGACTATCGTTGCATGCAGTTGCTTGTGTATACTCGCTGGCCTCCTTTTCTTCTTTCTGGCAGATAGGTTGGATTTACTCCGTACATATAATGATATTCAATGGTGAAAGGTTGCATAGGTCGGCGATTGAGAGCAGATCATCCCTACCACTTCTACCAACACTTCAAAGCAAACACGAGCCAACACTACCATCCTTATCCGTACCCTCGCTTTGAAGGGGTACAGTTCCGGGCTTATGATGCTTGTTATGCATTCCAATCACAGCTCAATCACAATTAAATCACAGCTGTCACACTAGGCACACGTAAAAATGCGCCCCTTCCGCCCCAATTGGATGTCTTAGGTGAGCGAAATTCATGCAAGCTTCTGGGCCATGCATATTGTATGCGTACCCTGCCTATATCATATGTATGGCGTCGGGGCATCAGCACCAACTCTTTCCGAATATTGCCTGGTGAGATGTAGCGATGAAGCCACTCAGTTGACTTTTGAGATGGATCGAGTCTGAAGAAAATGTCTACGGGGTAATAGATCATGTCTTTATGACTTAATGTGAAGCTGCGACGTTATAATATATATGCAAATTCCGGACCATCGTTTGGCTCAGTGATACCGTGTGTAATCTTTAGCCATAGTCTCACACACCAACAAAACACCAGATCGTGAATGCTGTATGATCCCATGTGACTTGCTTCGTCTCAACCTCCCAATGCCCTCACTCCCCTTCCTACACTTCCTGTCTCAAATACCTCTACGACACCCAGCCCAACTGCCTCGCCCAACACCCACGACCACTCAACTCCCCAGAACTCTTTCCAACGCGGTCCGTACAGACCACCTCCCTCGAAACGCTCCTTCAGCCAGCTCTCTGGCCCTTCACCCCAGCGAGTCCGGCGCAACGCCTCTCGCACCCAGTCCACAGAAGCACTTGCTAGCTTCAAGTGCCGGCCGTGGCCAGGCACTGCGATTCGGAGGCCGGATGGTGTTGACGATGAACGGGTGAGTGTCGGAGCGCCACCGCTGCCACCTGCGAGGTGAATTATGTTACGTCCTCCCACGGCGGATACGGTACCAGATGCAAATTGTGAGACGTGGTGAATCGACGTCAGAGTTGTTCGGTCCTCAGGCCGGATATCGAGGGTGCTCTCTGGTGTTGAGTGTGTAGAGCTTGTAAGGAAGCCTGCCCGAATAAGTTCATCGGCATGCCTACTATCCAGAGCACCATTATATAGTATCTGCGTGGTCGGATTTTCTTTCAGAAAGGACTTGAATGAGTCCTTCGCTGCCTCACTCAACGATGCTCTGCTAAGCATGCCTTCGTAGTCGGCCGTCTCTATCAAGGCTTCGCCCCCGCCACCACGCCTCTCAACTCTCACTTTTCGCACCACGCCCTTTGTCATCAACTCAGCGAGCTCCCGTTCCACTCTACCAGGTGAAAGTAAAATCGCATTTAGATGGCCAACCGTGACAAGAGGAGCCGTAGTAGCACGGTAGTTTAGCACTTCCGTCGTCCGAGTTGAGTTGAAGCCTGTTGCAGGCACTGAGCTGAACATCCGAGCGCGGATGTATCGCATTGCTTGCACAACATCCCTCAGAGTAAGGTCTTCTTCGAGCACCTTTGTCAAGCCCATGTCGTCAAGTTTGTCTTTAAAGATGTCTGCATCTTGGTCTTTTGCTTTGCGCGCGGGTCTGCGTGGCGTTGAATTTGAACATTTGCGAGACGGTGGTGAGGATTTCAGGGGTTTGGTGACTCGACCTGATTTCCCTAGTATGGATCTGATGGTTTGTGGCATTCTTGAAATTTTTGTAGTGATACTGGAGCGAGATATGCAGAAGACAAATTGGTAACAGTAATGAATGTAGTTGTACGCCCTTCGAGTCAGTCTGGTGTGGCAAATCAGCAGAGAATTTGTAGTTTGACGTTAATTATCAGACACTAAGCAAAGAAGGTCTCATGACGAACCCTATAGATACGGCTAATTTGAACAGCAGCTAGAATATGATTATGATTAACGTGATGGGAATTTTGGGGTGCAATTGGAGTTGATGCTATTCAATTGTCGAAAACTACCCTGGATGCCTCACGTGGCTGACTAAACTTCCATATCATGATGTATATGGTGTGCCTGATGATCCAATATCCGATTATCAAATTTTTAGTACTAGTTATGGAGTAATCCAATCGCTTTTAATTAGTATAAGATATGAACCAGTTCCTGGCTTAGCCTGCCGTGGTCAGGATGTATGAGGTGATGGCGCTCATTCTCTCGCTGGTGAGCTTCAATGATATTCTCAGCAGCTCTCTTCCAATCTCCGGCTCCTTCTTCTGGATCCTGTCCCATTGGTCTCGGTCCATCAGCCAAACCACACAGTCACGTTCCACAACTGCTGTTGCAGTGCGATCTGTCTCTGAGAAAAAGGGCAGCTCGCCGAGAGTGGTTCCAGCAACTATGCTCTCGCACAGCCATCCCTGAGGGAGATCATACTCAGCACGTACAATACCACGCTCTACAAGGTAGAACCCGTTGGCTTGCTCTCCGCGTCGAAATATGATACTTCCAGCAGGAATTTCGCGTCGAGAGAAATAGGAGGCTGCGGGGAACCAAAAGTCCTCGTTCTTGTCGCTTAGACCTTGGAAGACCTGGAGCATGAGACGCAAGGGCTCCTTGAAGCTCTGCCACTTCTTCGGACCCTTCACATCGATGCTGCTCAGAGTATCGCGAGCCGCTTCAGCAAGGTGGTTTCGACGCGGAGAGTTGAAAGGTGGATCGAAGGAAGAGAAGCCGGATGATTTGTTCGAAGGCACATCCAAATTTTGTGCAGATTGTGCCGATATACGCCGCAGAGAATTTATCTCTTCCTGTCTGGCGTAAAGTGTCTTGAGAAGTTCGTTCTCGCAACTTTCGAGAGCAGAGTTGAGATTGGGCAGCATCATGACCTCGATACCATCATTTCCAAGCCCGACAGCTCTCAGATTGCGACCAAGTTGAGTCTCGGAATCCACACCACTCAAGACAAGAACGACATCCTTGTTATCAAGCAGTCGGCTGATGGTGTTGAAAGCCTCTCCTGCAGAATAGTCGAGTCCTGTAACATGCCACATATCGAGAATGAGGAACTTTATGGGCTGCTTGGTGAATGCGATATCCTCCAGAAGAGCCCGGATCTTCGCTTCCACGCTGACAATAGTTCCAAAGAAGAGGTAGCCTGTGAGCTTGACGATGTAGATCTGTCGACCAACCTCATGCAAGTACCGGTGCTGGGAAGGATTGCGTCGTACAGTGGACGTGACAATGTCTCCAGAGTAGTTTCCGCGAATGGCTGATACACGCGATGTCTGCAGAACCAAAGATACGAAAGCTAGCAAGATACCAACTCCAATACCCACAACAAAGTCATGAATACCCATAACAAGGACAATTACAACAACTGTCAGGTATTCCGCTAGCTTAAGTTTCTTCCGTGGAAGCCACAAAGCTTCAAGCAGTAACTCAAAGCCAAGATCGTAAATCAGCGTGCCCACCATCATGACTGGGATGAACCCTATCAGTGAAGGACCGATGACCATTACACCGAACGTTGCTGCGGCCAGCATGTAGCCAGCCAGGCGACTGTTGCCACCGGAACGCATAAAGAAGACAGTGTTAGCGTAGACAAGGTAGTTTTGGATGCTGCCAAAACAACCCGACAAGAGGTTAGAGTACCCATGAAGCCTCAATTCTTTGTCGAGATCAGCATGATCCTCACCACAATTAAGGGCCAAAGCAGGGACGTTAATAGGGACATGTAAAATGCCGAAAAATGTCAAAGCGAGCATGGCAGGTACACACTCTATAACCGCGTCCCAGCGTACAAGCTTAAACTCTGAGTAAAAAGTAAGTATGGTAGAGGTAATGTGAGAGGGCTTGAACTTACTGTAAAGAGTGTAGAAGTACCACCATGGCTCGCCTGAAGGGGGTCCCTCGAAGATCCAGCCATGGTCACGCAATACATCGACATCCAATGTATCTAGCGCAAGTACAAAGAAATAAAATATTATAGGAATTGCCAGGATGAACAATGGCAAGAAGAACTTGGATGTGATCTTAGACTGGCCATAGAAGAGAATGATGGCGAGAACCAGGGGCACAACCCAAAGGGGCACCGTGGCTGGGTCTGAGAGCTGCTTTAGAGTGTCGAGGTTGTACTGCAAGCTGCCATCGAGGCGAGCAGAAACCTCAAAGCCGGTTGCGATAAGGAACCAACCTACACCTCCAATACAGCCAATTAGGATATGTCTGGGAATGAATCCCACCATGTAACCAACTTTGAATCGTCCCATAAGATAAAAGACAAGTCCTGTCATCATGGCACTAACAGAGAATGACACAATAGTGGTGGCAATCACGGCATCGGGGTTCTCTTCCCCAACAATATCAGTGATCTTAGCAGCCATATTATGGAAGAACGGGACTACTTCGATCTGGTGAATGTTAGCAAGGGCGAACTGACGAGAGAAGTGAGATGACTGACCAGTTCAGAACCAACAGCCCCTTTAAAGATGCTACCAGATGAGAAAGTGATTTGCGAAACAATAGTGCTAACATAGAAAACAGAAATTCCAGCAGATCCGAGTTGAGAAAAGATTGGTTTTCCTAGAGGGAAAAGGATCATTCCTAAATCTGTTAGATAACCTTTCTATACAAGTAAGCATCGAGGAAAACAAACCATATGATAGAGCATCCAAGATATTGAGCAGCAGACCAACAGCAACAGCAGGGAGGCATGAAGTTGGTGTAAGCACCACGTTATTCCAGAGAGCATTGCGATCCCATTTCTTGGGGTTGGCGACAATCGCGACCCCATTCGACATTCTTTCCTCCATCCTGTGGCCAACTTCCACAAGACCACCTAGCCATGACTGCTTGGGCTGAGACTTCTGCCCCTCAAGATCAGAATAGGATCCCCTGCCGTTTGAGGATGTGTGCGTGAGCAGAGGTGTATGCTCTGTCGCGTTTTCTGTGTGGCCAACCTGGTGTTGGACCTCTTCTGCTTGGGGTTGGTCGCCATTGTCCTCTTCATCTTCGACTTGTGGTTGTTCTGGAGCAATTGACTGCGGAGGAGATCGCTTGAGAAGGTTTGCCAGTACCGAGGGCCCGGCATCTTCGTCAAACTCCTCATCGTGACCATCCGGTGATGGCGGTTCGGAGACCTCTAAGATCGTTTTCGAGGACCGGTTATTGTCAGCTGTGGAACCGTCCTCGACAGCTTCGGAGTCAATTGAGTCTTGGTATGAGACCCTTGCTCGCTGGAGGACGCTCGAGTTCTGTTGCGTCTTTGGGTCGGAGAGCACGTAAGTCGCAAGCTCTGCGGTGTCCTGGCGGACGGATCGAGCGTTCTGGATACTATCGATTGGCGCTGTTGTAGAGGTTGAAATTAGCTCAAAAGTCAAATCGACGATATATCTGGTGTAACAAACCTAAGCTATCTCGCACAGAACCATGTATAAAAGACCTAATTGGCTCTCTATGGCCGGCAGCAGAGCTAATCGAGGCAGGCCTTGGAGCAGCAATTGGAACATTAGGACTTCGGCCATGCGGAGGAGAAGTTGAGGGCTCGTCGCGTTGCAATTGAGCCTGCTCATTATCTCGCTGCGATGCAGTACTCATAGCTCTCCTCCTCCACGGCGTAAAGTTAAGCGGCGACGACATTGTATCGAAACTGGGACGGCCGCAAAGGCACCTACGAGGGCGTGATGCAGCTTGCTTTAGGACTGTCGCATGAGCACAAGGTTTGCGAATTTCTTTCTTGTTTTCTTTCCTGCTTCTCGTTCGGGGTCCAAGTAAAGAGGGAGACTCAAACAATAGCGAGCAAGACAAGAAACATTCCAAGTGAAGCCTCACGATGGAGAGAGATGGGCGAGGATTTCGTGGGGAATGGAGTGACGAATGTCAACTGCGACTGCAGCGCAACTAAAGGAACAGGACGATCAAAGCGAGGTGGGTCGTCTCATGACACTATCAAAGTTAGGCTCAGCGCCCGCATCTAGACTTGGAACGAACCAGTCTTGCTACCTAGTTTCTGTTTTGCACGTTATCAAGGGCAACGAAGGCGTTAGAAAAACACGAAGAAGTTAATTTCTGGAGTTTCCGTTTGGCTGAAAAATCTATCAAGTGCTCATTGTTATCTCTCAGACCAGCCTCCATCATAACATCACAACACTATAAGCACCCATAAAAGTTCATGTTCAACAGCTGTTGTAAGAGTCTTTACATGGGTTCTGAAAATCCTTGTCATGAGGCGTAAACGCCCTGGACCGGATAGCCTGCAGCTTTTTTCTTCACCTGCATGGGCGATAGGCCCGCCAAGACCTGAACAAACATCCACTAACAGTCGCCACAGGCCAAAAATACGTCAAACTTGGTTGCAACGGCCGCCGAGTCTGACCGGACGGGCCGAGCGGGTTAGCGCAGGGGGGGGGGGGGGATATTTACTAGATTGCAGTAGAGTCCAGAAGTGATAAGACGCTGACTGTTAGGTTAATCAAGCTTCATTGCTTTATGTAATTGTTATCCAGTTAAGGGTATCTACAGTGCTACTCCGTATCATCTATCCATGCTTCCAGATGGAGATGTTTGCGGGGGCATCGAGATCTCTAAAAATCGATCTAAGCTCTGAACTGGTTTTTTATGTCGATGCTTCTGCTCTGTGCGCCCTGTCAAATACGGTCACCAATTCATCGCAAATTGCGTTTTCCATTGGGGCAAACTCTATTCTTGGACGTAACATGTGGACGGTACGTCTATTGTTTGTTGTCTCCCATCTTTGTAACCTCATCTGTATCTCCTTGCCTGACGTGATCTCGCTCTCTGGTTCCACCACCACTACAACAGTTCTGAGGGGTAACCACTTTCTCGATATACTATCAAGTGCGGTGCAGTAGGGGAGAGATTGACTAGACTCCGAGTCTTCTCCTTGTGGCTTGCGAGTTACATTGAAGCTAGCGAGTATGTAACCTAAAAGAAGTTCATGATTATAGTAAATATCACACAATTATCCATGAGGAAAACATGTGAGGGTGTCGATGCTCAGCGGGCAGGGTATAATAACTAAAACAACATATGCGACAATTCAGCCTGTTTGTCTACTGCAGATTTCATGTCCCCTATCCAAGCTTATGCAAATATCCTTGGGCAATAAGTCTCTCAACGTCTCCTTGGCGTACATAGAACTGGCTGTTCTTGGTCAATGTAATAGCCCTGTAGTCATGGTCAGTCCGCCGCATTACACACAAGATATGGTAATATGCAACTCACCCGTACTCTGTCTGGATTTCACCCGCATCTTTGAGCACTCGAACATCAATAAACAGGTCTCGCGGCGGCTCCAGGCTACCCGTGAGATCGATATCTGTCCACTGGCCCTTGTAGGCCGCCAACAGATCGCTATACTGTCGGACGTACTCCTCCTCTTGTGGGCTCAGGCTGCTCTTCGAAGCATCGTTGCCTCCCGCGCCGGAGACGCCTGTACTATTTTGCGCTTGCTGGCCAGACAGATCAACCACGTCTGATCCGTTCCACACAAGCTCTTCCAGCTTGTCCGTTCGTGTCCGGTGATATGCAAGCAGGCATCGCTTATTCCTTCGCATCGATAAATGATTCACCAGCAGTGTACAGGCGATCGCTTGGTCGGCGCTGGGGTCGAATGAGCCTTGGAATGGTTCGAGAAGTTCTGCCACATCTTTGTCCAGGTCCCTCACTTCGCGTGTCACGGCGCGGACGATTTCGGTCTGGTAAGATGGCAAGTACGTTAAGTTTTGGGTTCGTTTGGCATGCTGGACCTGCACCAGAAAGTCAAATTTGGTTCAGAAAGCGTCGTAGGGAGAAAGGTGTCTACCAGCTTGTTGCCCTGGTCCCCATACATGGTGCAGCTGGTCCGACGTCAATTAGCGGTCAAGAATCTTGTCTGGTCTTTTGCATGTCCTTAATGTGAATGACGGAGTAAAAAGGGGTGCACAAGGTGTTTGCGAGAACCAGTTGTCGGGTTATGTTCCTGGCGATGACATCTTCACTTTTTTTGGTATTGGCAGAAATCTGGTGTCGCGTTTGACCGCGCTTGGTGGGTTCATTAACGCGCTCGCCCAAGTCGAATTTACCCCGCCATCATATGGTTTAAAACGATACAACCCAATAGATGCAACCATTGATGATCTACTCCGTACCCCTCATCCTCCTCGAAATTCCATTCTTTAGGCCTGTGATGGTGGCGGGGTATGTTTTCCTACACGTTTATGCGTTGGCGTGTCTCAGTGGTCAAGTTATGGGACGGAACAGATACGAAATTGTTGGTTCCTCTCGTGGTGAACGTCCAAGAATGTGCTCATTCATCTTTATTTTTATTTTCATCATCTATAATTGGTACGAAGGGGTAGGATTCATGACTTTTCCACCTTTACGTAGTTCATTTGAAAGTCATAAGATCCCGTTGGTCATCAATCCTCGCCGTCGTGCCTCATCATAATTTTGACATAACTACTGCAAGCCCTTTACAGCTTCTGCATAGCAGCAACGTCGGTGGACTGGACGTAGTCCTCGAGCTCCTGGATCTCCTCCTCAAGGTCGGCGACGGAGATCTTCTCGTCCTCAACAACCATGTTGATCTGGAGCTTACGGACACCGAAACCGACGGGGACGAGCTTAGAGGCACCCCAGGTAAGACCATCCTTCTCAATAGCGCGGACAGCATCCTCAAGAGCCTTCATGTCGGTCTCATCATCTGAAGATTGTTAGTATGAAATAGCATTTTACAAGGTAGCGGAAAACTTACCCCAAGGCTTGACGTCAAGGGTGACGACGGACTTGGCAACAGTCTTGGGCTTGTTCTCCTTCTTCTTGCGGTACTCAGCCAGACGCTCCTCGCGGACGCGGACAGCCTCGGCATCCTCCTCCTCGTCGTCGCTGCCGAACAGGTCGACGTCGTCATCGTCGCCAGCCTCAGCCTCCTTCTCGGGGGCCTGGGCAGGGTTGATGGTCACCTCAGCGGTCTCAGGGCCGTAGGTGGTGTAGGGAGCGGAAGCATCACCGGGGAGGGTGGCAAACTGGCTCTCGTAGCTGGCAACGTGCTTGTACCATCGAGCAGCGTGGGGGTACTTCTCCTCGTTGGGGGAGCTGGTCAAAGCCTTGAAGGTAGCGACATCAGCCTGAGAGGCGGACTGGCTAAGTATGTGTGTTAGCACATATTCTGGACTAGGTAGTCGAGAAAGAAATTTTTGGGTTTGAAAAACGACTCAGAGTTGCACAAGTGCTTGTTGCTTCGTCAAGTGGCGGGTCTTAAGCGCCTCCGAAACACGGACCAATTTGTCTCATCACAGAGGTTTGATATTCAGGGGAAGAGTTGGGAGCTTTTGAAGTGAGTTGTACATACCCAGTAATGTAAGAGCGGGTGCTCAACCAGTTGTTGAGCACTGAGTTCAACTGTCAGTGTCCATGGCGCGAAAAAGATGAGCGCAAGAGAAATAGCAGGCCAGGGACATACCGGAAGCTCCAGCATCGGTAAGGAGGTCGGTGAAGCCCATTTTGAAGGATGTGAAGATTTAAGTCGGAAAAGAGAGAAAGGTCGGGTATTTGTAGAGCTGGGAGAGATGCGAGAAGGAAATTGGGTTGTCTGGTCGATGTCCAAGGTGGGGTTTATGAGATTTTTCACCTAATTTGCTTTGACTGGGTCACCCTGCTAACTGAGGGGCGGCCACCTGGCGGATTAATTAGCTCCGTGGGCCGACTTGAAGCGTCATGGTTTAGCTCCAGGTGGGGCTCTAGCTATCCATTCTTAGCTTAGGTAACTACCTATCTTCTAACATACCGCAGCTTGACGACGTAAGAGCTTCTGTAGCCTTGTAAACCAAAAATCGTATTTTGCACAGTTCCCTTCTACACACTGCGATCCATTCTCTCTTTGAACATTCAAACTTGCAAACATGGCGATCACACCTATTATCACTTTCAAAGCCGGGCAGTGCGAGGTTGATGTATGGCTTCTCCTCCACTCAAGATCCTAGGGGCATTCGCTAACCTCACATGTCTGCAGACCTCCTCTAAGCCTTACAAGGTGAAGCCGCAGCCTGAATCAGGCTACATTTCCCTATATTCCGAAGATGGTAAAAGCGGCAGCTACATAGTCAAGGCTCACAATTGGCTGACCATGAAATAGATCTTGTGCACTTCTGCTGGCGCAAGCGAAACCAATCACTCGAAGATGCCGAGCTTGACCTGCTCATGGTTCCCACCGACGGTAGCTTCACGCCTTACGACCCCACGGCGTCTTCTGAGCCCACATCCAAGACCGACGGCCGCATTTTCGTCCTGAAGTTCTCTTCGTCATCGCAGCGATACCTCTTCTGGCTACAGTCGAAGCCTCAGAACGAAAACGGCGATCCTGCCTACTACAGTCCCCGCGATCGCAAGATTGGCGATATAGTTCATCGCCTGCTGCAGGGCGAGGAGGTCGAGGTGGCTGATGAGTTATCTGCTCTCCGTAACAACGACGATCAACCTGACGATGAAGACGAGACAATGGAGGATGCCGATGCTCAACGAGGCCCTCGAACCCAACGAGGAAGCGGAGGCGCTGGACCTGACGCTACAGGAGGAGATGTTCGAGAAGAGGGCTCAGGCTCACGAGAGGGCGGAGCTGATGGTGCTAGAGCGTAGGTTATTCCCTTTGCATGGTTAAACAGGACGGCGAGCGTGTGTGCGATGGACATGGGTTGTAGATCACAGATCTGGGACTGCAGGTCAAACTGTGTAAAGCTAGCTTTCTTCGCTATGAAAGGAGAATTAAGAACTAGTGTCCTGGCGTTGGATCTGTAACATCAACTTTAAATTGTGACAGCGCTGACGTTGCTTCAGGGCCTCCTCATCAGCCCCTGATGCTGATGCTGCCGCTGCTGTGAGGAACTTTCTGGATTCCCTCCGAGGCCAGTCAGGACTCCCTGCTGGGCAGCAACAGCAACAGCGACAACAGAGCGCAGACAAGGCGTACCCATACCTCAATCACCTTCTCCCGACATCCATCACAGTACCCATGATCGACTCGGCCCCTGAGGAGTTTGCCGATACATTAATCAGCTTTCTCCCACCTGCCGTTGTTGTCCTTGCCAGTGGCTCATCAGACGGTGTTGATGGAAAATCCGACCCGCCAGCATCAGCTGTGGAAGCTGCCAAAGCCTCCCTTTCCCTTGAGGACAAGCGAGCTCTGTTGAAGAAGGTTGTCCGAAGTCCTCAATTCAACCAAGCTCTTGCAAGTCTCACCATGGCTATTCGCGACGGAGGGTTGCCTAGCATTGCAGATGCCCTAGGAGTCAAGGTCCAGGATGGTGGTTACCTACGAGGAAGCGGCATGCCCCTGGGAGGTGGTCAGGCTGTCGAGGCATTTGTGAATGGTGTCAAGAAGACAGTCGAAGAGGAGAAGTGATTGGCTGGATGCTGTTCTCGAGGAATGAATAGATGTGTCGGCCCAAGTTCACGATGCTCTAATGAAGGTTGACACTTAGACAACGTCTGGCGTTACATGGTTGAAAATTATACTCATTTCTTTTCCAAATTGTCTCCGCGGTTTCATCGATATGTAGCGTCTCCAGTAAAACATGATACTGACCCTCAAACGCCTATAAAAGCTTGAAATTCCCTCTATTTGCCATAACTTGGTGAAGGAATGCACATGAAGACGGCAGTTGTATTTGAGTGGGGCATTCAGATCGTTGCCCAGGCCGCTATGAGCAAGAAAGACTGGGCTTAAATGGAGACGCACACTGACGTACAGGCTACAGCAGCGCCTCAGGGTATTTCGAGCTAGCTCATCAACAACCAAATCTGAGCTACACCCTCCAGTTTGTTAGTCGCGCCGTCATTGATTATTTTCCATCGATATATCTGGGCATGCAGGTAACTTGCGCGATGGATATTTCGTTCCCTACAGACCCTCGCGAATTCGACAGCGATGATCGCATATCGTTTTCCAAGCTCGACAACAAGTTCATCGCGGTCCACGACGATGGCAACGAGTACGAGTTTGACGCCGATACTAAGCAATGGATTCTTGCAGACGACGAGCCATTGGAGCCACCAGTCACTGACGAGCACGATGATTTTGCCGAGTTTGCATCGCATGGGGCTCTAGATGATGGATCAAGGAAGCGTAAAAATGGATCGGGTCAGGATTCTGAGGTATGTCTAATGCTGCAGCTCCATCCACGTATTCTTTTATGCGTGTTCTTCAAGGGTCCAGCCAGGCTGACTATCTGAACAGACTCCCGAACCTACTAAGCCGCGACCGAGTAAGAAGCAGAAGGCGCCCCCACAACCTAAGCAGAACACAGCTGTCTATGTTACTGGTCTACCCGCCGATACTACTGTCGACGAAGTTCATGAACTCTTCTCGCGCAAGGGCGGCGTTATTGCCGAGGAAATCGATAGCGGCGCGCCGCGGATTAAACTGTACAACGACTCGGACGGAAAATTCAAGGGCGACGCTCTGATCGTCTTCTTCAAACCACAGAGTGTTGAGATGGCCATCATGCTTCTCGACGATACAGACTTTAGGGTCACAGCAAGTGGCACACGCGAAGGACGAATACGGGTTCAGGCCGCTGATTCAAGCTACAAAAAGGTTAAATACGATCAAGAAGGTGGTGCTGGCGGTGAAAAGGGTAACGGGACAGTTGAGCGGAAACCACAGAACAACAATCGCGACAGGCAAAAGATCATCAGGAAGACTCAGAAACTGGATGCGAAGCTGGCTGACTGGGATGACGATATGCCGTACCCGGGACAGCCGGAGGCTGCGACCAAGTGGGACAAGCTGGTGATTCTTCGGCACATGTTTACGCTGAAAGAGCTCGAGGAGGACCCCGCTGCTCTCCTGGAGATCAAGGAGGACATCCGAGAAGAATGCGCCAAGCTAGGCACTGTGACAAATGTTGTCCTGTTCGACCAAGAGCCCGAAGGAATTGTCTCTGTCAAGTTCAAAGAACAACAATCAGCCCTGGCCTGCATCAACCTTATGCACGGGAGACGTTTCGACGGCCGGACAGTCGAGGCTTTCCTAGCGACAGGGAAGGAGAAGTTCCAGAAATCAAAGGATGAGGAAATTCACGAGGAGTCAGATTAGAGAGGACTGCAACCCTATGTTGTGTTTGGCAGAAGAGTCTTGATTACAATGTAAGATACCCATAATCCCAAGGATAGACGAGATATCCTGAACAACGCTTGCTTGTTCCTAATTTGAGCATGTTCTTATTCCCTTTCGTTTGCCTAATACAATCTAGGTTTACATGGGTTTAGGGCAGATACCCATTTCGAGTTCCTCAGCGACAGTGTACCATATAGCAGCCTCAATGATAGTGCAGATCACCTGCAGTTCTTCGTCATCTAATGTGAGGTAGCTGTTAGTTACGTCTTCAAAAGGGGCGATGTTTCTCGATTGCCTCAAAGCAAATCTCACCTCTGGGGGCATAAACCATGACAAAGTCTGGAGAGACTGGGCTCTTCAGGAATCGACTTCTCCACGCCAGAGGGTGTCTTTGACCCCAACCTTTTTGCAGAACCTCTTTGATATCTTCGGGGTGCAGACTCATGTGCAAGGAGTGGTCTGAATCGTGGACATGGCAGATCTCGCCTTGGCAATTGGTCTGTACCGGGTGTCTGGCAAACAATGCTAGGCCATGCTTCTCAACGCAGGATTTTTCGGTGCCAAACTTCTTGGGGTTGCGATTTGCCAGCTTTGCCATGGACCAGCGAAGAGCGCGATAAGATTCTTGAGAGCCGTGCTGGTCTAGCTGCCTTTGAGGCGCGATGCCTGCAACGACTGGCCTGGGTCCTGCGCGGTATGGGAGACGTTGGCGACGGAGAATGCCTGACGTTGGGAGACACATAGGATCAGGCTCCGGTGCGGCAAATGGGTTTCTGAGAGCCCAGAGACGGAACCATGTTATACGCAGGTAGCCGCCAAATGTTGAGGGTGTGCCACCAGGGCCTAGGTTGAGGAAGTTTTGGAAGTCGTTGTGGACGAGCAACACTACAGGGAGAAGAGCAACAAGAACCTCGGCGTGGTATGCGTCAAGGAAGTGAATAAGCAGAACGACAACGAGGGAAGACAGGAATATGGTTGTGCCGTCGAGAGTCACAGAGACGGGCTGTTGGCGGATAACGCATGAGAGTTCGATAGCCTCTTGCTCAGCCTCACCCTGGAGAGCAGGAGGAGGAGAAGCAAGCGTCTCTGCTGAAGTAATGGCAATAGAAGACATTTTCAAGACGAGCAGATAGTGTTGAAGATGTGATGGGTCTTTTTGAGTAACCTAGCGACCACAATGCCGCAGTGTGGTTTAGAGTTGAGTAGCGGGGTCACGTCTAAGTGTGATGTGATACTGATGAAAGGGCGGTCTCTTTTAACTTATAGAGCCATTGACGATGATAAACCCCCTTCCAAGAGAAGCTGAAAAACGGGACAGGTTCAGCTGAATTTAATCTTTTCGGCAGAGTACCACAGAGCAAGGTCAAGCCAGGATGGGGGAGACGGTGAAAGCCAGCGGCCAGTCTCAAGAGGGGATCGTCATATGATGCTCAGCAGCGGTTCAGCCAACCAACCCAGGCCCCGACAACCCGAACATGCGCATGCGTATTAGCAGCCACCTTCAGCGACCTGCGACCTGCGACCTGCGACCTGCGAAGTAAGCCTTGGATTTGCACGGCTCTGTTTGGCTGCCTACAGTAGTCAAGTCAATTGATACGCGACGCCCTCTGCGGGGCATGACGTTGGATTGAGAGCTACACAGACTCATGGCGTTTCCAGGTGCCGGAATGCAGGGTGTACATAATTATGTCATGGGTCAGCGGCCTGTTGGGTCAGAATTAGAATAGTTTAAAGCAAAAAGAAGAAGTAAGACGGCACAGAAAAGGGATGACTCGAGATGATCGACTGTCTTAGTTTGGACGATACATGTACTATTGTCAAGGCTACCCTGGACAACATGGGATAATGGTGGTAAGAATGAAATCGAAGCGCTATCTAAACGGCTAAATATTCAAGTTTTCCAAATTCATCAGATAAAGTCTACAAGTCTGCACCAAGGTTGAGCATCAATTGCTTATTTCGGGTTCTCCTTCATTCGAGGTCGTGCATGTAGGATGGTAACTTTGTATAGGATTCAAGTGTCGTAGTAACAGGGGCACCAATTGGGCGTCTTTGAACGGTTTCTAACGCTCAAGATAACCAATATTATCTAACCTTGATATACACAAACTTTCCTAATCTTAACGGACATGTTCATACTGCTTATCCAGCAGCTATTGATTGCTAGCCAAATCAATGGCTGACGTCGCGCTTGAGCCCAAGCTCGACGTTGCTCGGCAACAACCGGATCCGTAACAAAACAAATCAACGAATGACGGAGCTTCTATCATGGGTCAACCATAGCAGAGCGGTCTAAAGAGTAGTGAGGCAGCCTTCTTTCAGCTCTTTCTACTCTCTGTAATAATTTATTTGCAACAGGTTGATGTTGATATAATATTTCAAGTATACTGAACAGTATCTAAACCACTGCTGTTGATAAGTGTTTATCACAAGCGGTGAGAAGCTGTTCAACTGGGGTAAAAGGGTCTCTACCCAAAGGTTAGTTCTGAGACCTTGAATTCCTCCCATACATACTAACATTGTGCTCCTCAAGACATACACTCAAATCCCACCATGGGTTTACTACCAAACCCGCTGCGGGCCCGCGAGCCGCAGCTCCCACTTTACCAAAAAGTCAACTCTCCAACCAAAGAACGATACTCCGACGACGACTACTCAACCGACGAGGAAGATGATTATGAAGATGAGCCATACTCACCCGAGAGTTCTTTAGCAGGCTCTTCGAGACACACCTCAGGGTCCGCGTCCAGCGGCCTGTTGATGCTACCGAGCCACCAGAAGAAGCCTCTTCCTCTAAGACGGAAGATCGCCAAAATCTACCCCTACCGAATGCCAAACAAAGTAACACGATACTTGTTCTGCACATTCATAACGTTTATAATCGTTATGGTATTCACTCTCGTCCGAGCCAGCCAGGTCGAGAACTGGAAGGTTGCCAATGGCAAGGTTGACAACAGACCACCTCCACCGCCACCAGCATGGGAGAAGTTTCACTTTATGGAGAGATACTACGGTGGATTAAAGTCCTTGGTCACAATGGAGGAGCTCAAACCTGAGTGGCCTCACGTTAAGAACGAGCCTGAGATGCTGAGCGAGGGCAACGACTGGAACAAGCAAAACGAGATTAAGGGTGACAAAGATAGCGACGAGACCGACAAGGCCGCCACTGAAGAGATCGAAGCTGTTGCTCAGGGTACCAAGTCGTCCAAGAAGACTACTAGAGACGAAAAGCCCAAGGACGACACTGCAGAGGAAAAGGAGGATAAGTCGAAGGACGACTCCAAAGCCGACAAGAAGAAACTCCCCAAAAGTAACGACTGGAGCGGCTACGCAAACAAGAGCGAGGAAACCGACATGAAGGAATGTTTCCTCGATGTTGATGGCACAGTTCGAGTCCCACAGCTACGATACTACAACGGTCGTCCCCAAGGATTCCCCGAGCACGCTATTGGATCCTACGAGACCTTGAACCTACCCGAAGACATCTGCTTCGACCGTTACGGCCGATATGGCCCTTACGGGTTTGGTTACTCTTCAAGGAACGGCGGACTCAGTGTTGGTGAGCATGGTCAAAAGGAGGGCTCTGATGCCGTCTGGGAGAAGACACCCCGCGTCGATTACCGACAGATTGACTGGGCTGATGTCCAGCGACGCTGCTTCAAGACCAACCAGGCTCGTTTCAAGGAACTGCCCTCAAAGGTCCAGACTCCTCATGGTTTCTTTGCGCATGAACCCAAGCCTAAAGCCCTTCCTAGCTCTACCCTCGAGCGCCGCGGTGCCGAGGAGAAGCCCAAGACTGAGAAGGAGACTTCTGTTGCTAAGGCTGATGAAGCTAAGACGAAGACTGAGGAGACGAAGTCTAGTGTATCCAAGGTTGAAGCGACGAAGGCTGCAGAGCCCACCAAGGCTGCCCAACTGTCGAAGGCTGAAAAGTCTAAGCCCGCACAGTCCAAAACCGAGGAATCCCAGCCTGAGAAGTCCAAGTCTGACAAGTCTGAGCACGAGGATGATAAAGTTGAGAACCCCAAGACTGAATCTTCCAATGTTCCCGATGCTGGACTCTCACGAACTGCTGTCGTTGTGCGTTGCTGGGACGAGTACAACTGGCGTGAAGACGACATTGTCAACCTTCGGTCTCTCATTGCTGAGCTTGCTGTGACCTCTGGTGGCCGCTACGATATCCACCTGTTGGTTCAGGTCAAGAACGAAGCCGCTCATCCTGTTTGGGCCGATGAAAGGATCTACCAGGAACGCATTGAGGAGGCCATCCCTGAAGAATTCAGAGGCCTAGTCACACTCTGGTCAGAAACACAAATGCTCGCTCTCTACCAGGGCATCTATGATCACTTCTCCCGTGGCCCCGATCTGCCTGTCCACGGTGTGTACCGCGGTCTTTCCATGGCCATGCAGTACTTCGCCCACAAGCACCCTGAGTACGACTACTTCTGGCAGTGGGAGATGGATGTGCGCTACACAGGCCACTACTACGACCTCTTCAGCAAGCTTGAGAACTGGTCCAAGGCCCAGCCGCGCAAGGGTCTCTGGGAGCGCAACTCCCGCTTCTACTTCCCCAGCATCCACGGTACCTGGGAGGACTTCTCACAGATGGCTCGCGTCCAGAGTCAGATGGGCGTCGTAGGTGCTGATAATGTCTGGAAGGGTATGCCTGGTCTCGAGGGCAAGTCTCCTGATGCCGATACCAAGGGCCAGCGCACTGTCTGGGGACCTCTTCGCCCTAAGGACGATGATGACTGGTTCGAGCCTGGCAACGACCCTGTTGCTCCTACATCTTACGAGAAGGATCACTCCAAGTGGGGTGTTGGCGAGGAAGCTGATTACATTGCGCTCAACCCCATCTTCAACCCCGACGGTACAACCTGGGGTCTCAAGGACGATATCACCGGCTTCAACCGATCCGAAGGACTCCCTCCCCGCCGCGCTAACATCATCACCACCGCGCGCATGTCCCGCCGACTGTTGACCACCATGCATAAGATGACGGCTTTTAAGAAGCAATTCGCGTTCCCTGAGATGTGGCCTGCCACCGTAGCTCTGCAGCACGGGTTCAAGGCTGTTTCTGTGCCTCATCCCGTCTACGTCGACCGAGCCTGGCCCGAAGCCTACATGGCTCAGGTATACAACAACGGTCGCGATGGCTCGAGTGGAGGCTCCCGTACCAGTATCTTTGGTGACCGCGAGCACAACATGCACGGCCTTTCATGGTTCTACAACTCGGGCTTTGCACCAAACATGTACCGTCGCTGGTTGGGTCTCCGCGTGAACAACGACGGCGGCGAGGAGTTTGAAGGTACTGAGGACAAGAGCAAGAAGGGTAAGGGAGTCGGCAACATGCGCGGCGGCGAGGGCAGAATGTGTCTGCCTCCTATGCTGCTCCATCCCGTCAAGGATGTCGAGTTGCCTGTTGAAGCTCCTGAGGCTGATGCTGAGGAGGGCAAGGCCCCTCAGTCTGACCCCGGAGCATAAAATACCCCCTTCCCCTTTTTGCATATAAGCACTCTGAGAGTCATACATGGCGTTTAGGTTTTGTTTTTTCTGGGGGTTTCTAATGGGTTCATGTCTTGCCATGTTAGCAACGAAATGTGTCAACGGGATGATAATGATCTTGATTTGAGCTGTCAGCTGTCAGGCACTGTAGCATAAGGATTGTTTTTGCGTATAATTGGTTATAGAACGGGAAAGTTGAATAATGAACACGATATTTCAAAGTTTGTACATCTTTTGGCGATTGTTAAAAACCCAACCTGGTAACGTTTAGTAACCACAGTCCGTCAGAAAATAGGCTTTGTTTAAGTAGTAATGTTGGTTTCTTGTCAACGTAAAATTGTTTTATACACGCTCTCTATTATCACATCTGCGCAGGTTTCCAACTGCTCTTTTGTATGATCATTTCATTCGTCTCCGAGCTCTTCAAGTGTTGCGCTGACATGTCCCTTCGCAATTGGGATCTATCAAACAGCATCTCATGCATTTCTCTGCGGCTACTCTTTTCTCATGCGATCACATAATTTTGTACGAACCCCTTAAACCACACGCTTGACCTCGAAGAAACGTCGCAGCCACCAGACCTGGAAGAGGGACTCGCCAATGACGACACCAATAACGAACATGTTCCACCACTTGACTCGGCTGTTTGTGCTCTCGGCGGTGTTTCGGTGGGTGCGCTCGCGCATAACGATGTACTCTTGCTCGTCCTTGACCTGGGCCAGGAGATCGGACAGCTTGCGGACTGGAGTAGGAAGACTGTAAGCTTTTTGAACAACTTAAGGAGTGGAAAGAGTGTATGTGTACCTTCACGGTCGAGAGGATCAGCAGGCATTTCATGCTCGCTCACGTAGACAATTCCGTGGACATTGAAGGAAACCTCCTTGGTGTTGGCGCCCCAATGCTCGTTACCGAAGCAGTAGACGTATTTGCCATCATGCTTGGCAGTGAAGGAGTAGTCACCGTTGGAGATACTCTTCTCGTTCGTCTCGTACTGACCAGAAGGATTGGTGATCTGTCTACAAGTTAGAATCCTGGGTCATCTGCCTAATTGATCCCAAGGACACATACCCAGAAGTCGATATCGAGGTTGCCTGCGCTGCCGAATTCCCGATCGCCGACCTGGAAGGTGACAGTCATGGTGTCATCCTTGTGGAGGGATTCGTGGAAGCATTCTCGACCGTGGGCGGGCAGGACGATGTTGTGAGCAGTGACAGCTGAGATGACAGCAGCAGCCACGAGGGCCTTGGCCGCAGAGATGAAGTACATGATCGGGTCGTCGATGGGGGCGTATTTAGTCGATCGCTATTAGTTCCAAAGGAGCGTCGTTGGTCGTTTTCTCTTTTTGCGATCCTACAGCAATCTGGTCATGCGTATCGAGTCCCCTTGGAGCTATACTGTCCACTAAGTCAAAGCCAGGTAATATGGACTGGACTATGGAGTTCAGATCGCGACGAATCGAATTGACACCTTTCCGCAGCTAATTGGAGGAGCAGGGGGTTTGCTATTTGCTGAGGTCCAGTGCTCTTGCGGCTCCTCTTCCATGCGCGGGCAGCCACGGTTTTGCCGAGCACTTCCATGAGTTCCTGCCAGCTTGCACCTTTCGTCCGTTTTTTCGTTGATTTCACAAGCCAATCTACCAATCCCGCCTCCCCCCCAGCCTAAAAGGGGGAAAGTGGGCTGGAGTGGAAACTGATGTGGCTTGAACAAGGGCCACCTTGTTACTCGTTAATGTAATTCAGCTAGCTCAGTTGATAAGAGAGGTTCCTGAATAGCAGTCTCGTGCCATAGTTATACTGTAACATCATGTCAGGTGTTAGGTGTTTGTTGGGTTAGATCTTTGATATGAACGAATATTATCATCGGCAAATACTCTTCACACTTTATCTATAGACTCGATTCTAAATACCAGACATCAGAAATTAAATTACCAACGCCGCGCAATCGGTCCCGCCATGTCATCCCTTTTCGAGATACCTTCGGATACTCTCAAGGACAGATAAACGACAAATACCAAGGTACCCGAGATCAAGACTGCAAGGTCGGGCACTCACTGACCACGTGTGGCGGTGCGATTGCGTTTGCGCAAGGTTACTCTGCCCCTCAGCTCTCCCTGTCTCTTACACTGATCCCCTGAAATGTCGTCGAAAATAGGCTCCGGCTCCAGTATTTCCCAGTGAGTGGCCAGTAAAGTGCCCGCTATCAGCCCGAGGGCCAAGAAAAATCAAGAACCTAGCAGCTGGAGCCCGAAAAAGAGCGACTTGTCTCTCACCCCTCCCTGAGTCCTGGGTGATTGTTTTCTCACACCGACAAGTCAAACCACACGACAGCGCCCACCCCCAATCCATATCCATCCATCCATCGCCCGCTCGTCGTTTTTTCTGCACCACCACTCCAAGGACCGCCCCACGATCCAGTAAGTTCAGAGTCTTTCTGTTGCTCGCTCGAGCCTGCCTAGATCCCGTTGCTTGTTGTTGTTTGTCTATCCCCGATACTCGTCTCGATGGCCTCGTCAAGAAGCCTTGCGTCTCACTCTCACGCTGCCGCCGCCCGATGATCCAGATTCGCCGCCATGCTATTCCCCCCCCCCGTTGATCCGCCTCGTGACGGCCTGAACCAACATATCGACATCGAGCATAGCATAGCTGGCCTCAATGGATAATAGCGGCAGCCTGGAGCAAGGACATCCACGAGTTTAGAGCGTCAAGGTCGATGATAGTGGTGATGGAGAGGTACTGATTGATGAGCCTCCGGCCGCTGCCTTGTTCATCAACTTAGGTGTCCTTTTGCGACGCTCCATAAAGCGATCCCGCCTCCTCCTCCACCATCATCAAAACATACAGCCTCCTGTTCCTCCCTTGGCCAGACGTCTCCCATTCACTGTCTCAGCCTTCCTTGGTTCTTTAACCTTTCCCTCTCTATTCTATCTTGTCCCCTTTTACCCCTCGCTTGCAACAAAGTCCCTCGCCACGTCGTCTTCTTTCAACATTCATCCCCCAGCATCACTGACCTTGCGCCTTTACCTTTAGGACCTTTTCTACTCTATCCCTAATACACAGGCCACGAAGCCGTAAATCGCAATCATGGGTCTCGCCTTCTCAAAGCTTTTCGACCGACTGTGGGGGAAGAAGGAGATGCGAATTCTGATGGTTGGTCTCGATGCCGCCGGTAAAACCACCATCCTCTACAAGCTCAAGCTTGGTGAGATTGTCACCACCATTCCCACCATCGGTATGTCATGCCCAGGACCCCTACTGTTATAGCCTCATGTCGCTAACCTGCTCTTTCTCACCAATCAGGCTTCAACGTCGAGACCGTGGAGTACAAGAACATTCAATTCACCGTTTGGGATGTCGGTGGTCAGGACAAGATCCGTCCTCTGTGGAGACATTACTTCCAGAACACCCAGGGTATCATCTTCGTCGTCGACTCCAACGATCGCGACCGTATTGTTGAGGCCCGTGAGGAGCTCCAGCGCATGCTCAACGAGGACGAGCTCCGCGACGCTATCCTCCTTGTCTTTGCCAACAAGCAGGATCTTCCCGTACGTCACGACCCCACCATGACACCTTCTCCCAAAATATTCCCCTCACTGTCGTTTAACCGGTACCGCGATACTAACGTTATGCTACAATTAGAACGCCATGAACGCCGCCGAGATCACAGACAAGCTTGGCCTCCACAGCCTGCGACAACGTGCCTGGGTAAGTAATGAATCAACAATTTCTAACTTGTGGAAATGACAGTTTCGTTTGTTTGGTCACATGCTAATCTCTCATCTTTACGCTCAATAGTACATCCAGTCCACCTGTGCCACCTCCGGTGACGGTCTCTACGAGGGTCTCGAGTGGCTCGCCAACACCCTCCGAAAGGCGGGTCATCAGTAGACAGATTGACGAGAAGCCTCTAAACAAATCCGCCTTTTTTCTGCTCTGCCACAAACTTTACATGGCTCTTGGTCTCGACTCGAGGGTTCGGTTGTAATTTGCAAAGTTATCGGTCAACCAATCGAAGATAAATCCTTGAACCAAAGTCGCATCTATTCACGTTTTATGTTAAAGCAACCTCTTTTTCCGCTTCCTTCCTCTCTCAATGGTGCCTCACTGTGAGCCTCTTGGTCAACATCTGCTTGTCATCGCCAGCGTCAGCTCGCCTCCCGAGGACCACAGAACGTACTTTCTTTTTTTTCTTCTTGGAGGAAAAGCCGGGTGATGATGGGAGGCGTCTTTGGGGAACTCTGGGATATTTGTACAGTCGTCAATCGGGTGTCGCTTGCTCTTTGAAAAGAATGCATCCTCGCAGATTTTACACAAACACTCTCGCAAACCGTGGCGCACTGCTATACTTATCTTTTGTTATTTCCTTTATTACGACGCCTTGAGGAACACGATCATGATGAGTAACTTGAGTAACGAGCAGTAGAAGACGAGGCATGAAATTGGGGCTACTGTAAGACTGAGCTGTCGTAGAGATTCGAGTTTTATTCCATGATTAAACCTTGATTAAAAAGAGAACCAGTGCAATTGAAATGATGTTCAAGGCTTGGATTCACTTGATGAAACACGGTAGTACCTCTTGTCTTGACTGTTCGATCGCACATACCATGTCTAAAGCCCAGAGATGTTCCTCTCCTGTGCATAGATCAAAGTACATCAACACTCACAAAAAGAGTAACTGTCTAGGTCCGGTTCTTATTCAGGGAGTTCTTTGGCTAGCAAGTAAAAATATGCCGTCTTTTCCTCCTTCTAAAACGGATGACACCCATCGGAGTGTACGAACGGCTTATGTTTGATGTCAAGTAATGAGTATTATACCTTTTTGATAGCAGTCTTTAACAATTGCAAACTGAGTGGTATTATTAATTCAAGGTTTTAGACACATTCTATGTTCATACAAAGTTGTTTTTACAACATGCTGCTATGTTATGTTATACAAGAGTTTTACACTGATTAGACATGAAACACATAAACTCGTTAAACACCAGACAATCTTGACAGTCAGTGTCTTTAAGTATCCTTAGGCTTAATAGCGATCTCCAAACCCTCCTTGTCTTCTCGGACCTTGACCTCGGCCGTCTCTCCCATCTTCAACTGGCCCTTGATGATTTGATCTGCGAGACCGTTGCCGATCTCGTTGGTGATGAGTCGGTTCAGAGGGCGAGCGCCGAACTTGGGGTCGTAGCCGCGCTCCGCAAGCCAGTTTCTGACATCGTTGGGAACGGAGAGGGTGATGCGGCGGTCGTCGAGGCGCTGCTGGAGCTCCTTCAGACGGATATCCACAATGTCGCGGAGGGCGCTGCGAGCGAGGCGCTTGAAGACAATGAAGGAGTCGATTCGGTTGAGGAACTCAGGTGGGTATGCTGAAGCGACGACATCCATGACGGCCTTGCGGACTGATGGATCGATTTCGCCGTCGGGTGTTTCGCTATAAGGGTGGAGGTTATTCTGACCAACAAGGATATCAGCACCCAGGTTGGACGTCAGAACGATGATGGTGTTCTTGAAGTCGACCTTGTGGCCTTGTGCGTCGGTGAGGTAGCCCTCGTCGAGAACTTGGAGTAGCAGAGCGGAGATATCGCGGTGTGCCTTCTCAAACTCGTCAAAGAGCAGGACGGCATACGGCTTACGACGGACAGCCTCGGTCAGTTGGCCTGCATCTTCGTAACCAACGTAACCGGAGGGTGCACCGATAAGTCGTGAGATAGTGTGCTTTTCCTGGAACTCTGACATGTCGAAACGAACAACTGCAGATTCTGTCGAGAACAAGAAGCCGGCCAGTTTCTTGCACAGCTCTGTTTTACCTACACCAGTAGGGCCTAGGAAGAAGAAGGAAGCCAGAGGTTTGTTCTCGCCGCTCAAGCCGGCCCGCTGCAGACGAACAGCATCGGAGACAGCCTTGATGGCTTCATCTTGACCCTTGACCGCCTGACTGAGTGAGTCTTCCATGTGGACCAGCTTCTCAATGTGTCCTGAGGTGAGCTTCGACACAGGGATACCTGTAATGCGGGAGACGACGTTGGCGATATCATCGGGGCTGACGGAGTCGTGGATAAGGGTATCACTGGACTGGGACTCCCTGGACTCTCCCTCCTTGGGCAAATTCTGTTCCAGGTTGGGAATCACACCAAATCTGAGCTCAGAGGCACGACCAAAGTTTCCCTCTCTCTGTGCCTGTTCAAGCTCGAATTTAGCCTTGTCGAGGTCTTCTTGGATCTTCTTGACCGACTCGATCTCCGCACGTTCCTTCTCCCAGCGCTCGTTGAGCCCCGAGATTTCTTCGTTGAGTTTCTTGAGGTCGTTCTCTAGCTTCTCTCGGCGCTCCTTGCTGGCAACGTCGGATTCCTTCCGTAAACTCTCAAGTTCAATCTGAATGGTCATGATCTTGTGATCGAGTCGCATGATGTCTTCAGGCTTGGACTCGTGCTGCAGTTTGAGGTGACTGGCCGCCTCATCCATGAGGTCAATAGCCTTGTCAGGTAAGAATCGATCGGTGATGTAGCGGTTGGAGAAAGTTGCAGCAGCCACCAAAGCGCCATCTGTAATGCGGACACCATGGTGGACTTCGTACTTGTCTTTGATACCTCGGAGAATACTGATGGTATCCTCTACAGAAGGCTCACTAACGATAATAGGTTGGAATCGGCGTGCCAGAGCAACATCTTTCTCAATCTGGCGGTACTCGTTGAGGGTTGTTGCACCACAGCATTGAAGTTCACCACGGGCTAAAGCAGGCTTCAGAAGGTTCGAGGCATCGATAGATCCCTCGGCCTTTCCAAGACCAAGCAGGGTGTGCAGTTCATCGATGAACAGAATGACTTCTCCTTCAGCCTGTTCCACCTCCGTCAAAACCTTCTTCAACCTCTCCTCGAAGTCTCCTCTGTACTTGGCACCAGCAATGAGTGAGCCAAGGTCAAGACTGATGACTCGCTTGTTCTTGACACTCTCGGGGACGTCGCCACGGACAATACGGAGGGCAAGACCTTCGAGAATTGCTGTCTTTCCAGTTCCAGCATTTCCGATAAGAACTGGGTTGTTCTTGGTACGTCTTGATAGAATCTGGATTGTCCTTTGAATCTCGGCATCTCTTCCAATGACTGGATCAAGTTTGCCATCCTTGGCTCTGGCAGTCAAATCAATACCAAATTGTTCGAGAGCAGGCTTCTCTTCTTCACCACTCATATTCATGCGGTGAGTACCACCGGGAGGATGTGGTCGGCCATTGGCATATGTCCTAACGGCAAGACTTGGTAGCAGCCGCAGAGAGGTTGGCCTCAAAGGTTGTGTTGCGAGTACTCGTGTAAGTGGTTGCACAGCCTGGGTCCGGGCACTAGCAGCTATGCGCTGCGTTGATGTAATTAGTTGTCTCCTTGCCTGCATGTTGGGCACTTGTGAATAGCAGGTATCTTTTTGAAAAGATCGATTGAAAATAAAAGCAGAATTAAAAGTGAGAGCAAAATCGAAGATTTCTACAACTCGGTGGGAAGACTCTAATTATCTACAGTTGGCGAGGCCCCAGCTGCACGGTTCATGACGCCTGGAGCATTTTCTCGTAGCTTCCAGTTCCGTCATCGGGGGAAACGGAACGAGAAACGCGGTGGTCGATGATAAGATAAGCCTAGCGCGGAACCAGCTTATCAGCATCATGTGATATTATCGGCTCTCAGGGCTTGTTGATAGACCAAAAGAGTGGGGGTTTCGGCTTAGATTCTGATTGGATCGCCGACCGGCAGAGGGTTCACATTTTCCCACAAACCTAGCGGCTTCCACAAGAAATCCAACATTTCGGGCGCACTCAATCATCACCAAGTGTCTTCCTTTCCTTCACCACCCAACTCTCTCAGCACCAGAAAGGAGCGTCATAATGTCGGCGAAGCCCACGAGCAAGACTTTCGGAAAGTCGACCCGGGAGGTTCCTGCCTCTGCGGAGAAGGCAAAGAAGTGGTACCCCGCTGACGACGATGCCGAGAGCAAGAAGGTGAGTCTTTTGGTCGTGAGAGTGATGTGGTTTCGTTTGCAGGCAGTTACATTGTGAGCTGGGAGAGAGATCGCCGTGTGGAATATGGGACGCCCGATTGAGAGAACGAGGTTGTTGCATGGGCAATCCGACGCCCAGCGCAAAGCGGAAGAAACATTTCAGACAACAAAAACGGTCTTCGAATCTCAAGGCCACGATATATCGAACGCACAAACACGCACACAAACATGCGACAAGATATCGACTGGCGATCCCGCTCTCAGCATACATAGCAAAACTGCCTGCAGCATCCCATCATTCAGCACAATAACCCAAATCAAACCAAACCAAACCATCAGCCTGCTAACAGCTGGAAAATCACAGGTCCGCAAGGCTGTCCGATCTTGGACTCCTCGCAAGTCCCTCCAGCCCGGTACTGTTCTCATCCTCCTCGCCGGCCGCTTCCGTGGCAAGCGCGTCGTCCTCCTGAAGTCCCTCGACCAGGGTGTCCTCCTCGTCACCGGCCCCTTCAAGATCAACGGTGTCCCTCTGCGACGAGTCAACTCCCGATACGTCATCGCCACCTCTTACAAGGTCGACATCTCCGGCCTCGACGAGAAGAAGATTGAGGAGATCTCTCAGCCCAAGTACTTCACCGCCGAGAAGGCCAAGGAGAAGGCTGGTGAGGAGGCTTTCTTCAAGCAGGGAGAGAAGCCCCAGGTACGACAGAGCAATCAAGCCGTGTGTGAAGGAACGAATACTGACTTGCCCGGTTACAGAAGAAGGAGATCAACAGCAGCCGCGCCGCCGACCAAAAGGCCATCGACAAGGCTCTGCTTGCCAACATCAAGAAGGTCGATATGCTGGCCTCTTACCTCTCCAGCTCTTTCAGCTTGAGGAAGGGTGACAAGCCCCACGAGATGGCCTGGTAAATGTGCAATCTTGTGCCGGGGGTGATGGGAGTACCGGGGTTGCGACACAAAGGGTTGTAGAACGGCAAAGGCCTCCGAAATGGGCTGGTTTGGCCAATTGCATTTGGAAGTCGACGGCATCGGTCACATTTTGGCGTCTGTAATCAGGTTTTACAGTCAAAAAACAAACGAGCATACAAAATTCTAGAGGCTTCCGGTGAGAGGCCAATGATGATGAACTTCACTCGGATGTCCCATCTCCTGGGTGAAACAACTGGTGTGAGCGATCTTGGTGCTTTCCGGTCTGAACTGGTTTAAAAATGGACATTGATTTACGAATGATAAAAAAGTTTCAATAATTGTGTGTGCAGTGAGTGCATTGATTCAGCAGGATATTGATTTCACCAAAAAGGCGCTCAGTCTTGGCTCCATACCATGTCGATATGGCAATTTATTTTATTTCATCTTTTGCTCTATTTTCCAATGGACGTGTGAATAATATAAGAACAAGACATCCGTCCTTTGGATATTTTTGCTTTTTTACAGGTCACGATCCACCCAGCTCTGGACGATGCCGGTCAACGAAGGCTCGTAGTGCTTGATCGAGACCTTTCCAGATGACTCATCCAGAGAGGTGTTGGCTTGAACAAAGACCTTGCGAGGCTGCTTATTCTTGAGAACAATATCGCGAACCTTCTTGCCCCAGAATTCAGGGTCAACGGTTGTCATGTGGACGTAGAAGTCGGTGCCGGTCTTGACATCGGCAGTCGACTTGTAAATGTGAAGCTTCTGGAGGTACTTGGCAACCGCTGAGAAATCGTTAGCAAAGTTTGTAGATTTCAAAGAACGAAAGACTTACCATCTCGGCCCGCAGTAAGAATCTTGGAGCGGTCCAACTTGATGGTCAAGTCTGAGAGATCATCCTGCTTGTAGTCGAGCTTGCAGAAGTCGTCCTCGGCCTCAAGGAAGCACTTGAGGATGGAGAAGCGGGCTTGGCTGTGAGCTTGACCCCATTTCTGGCTCTTGGGGTCCCACATCTCTAGTGAGGCAAGTCCGGCTCGAGCCATAGACAGGTAGGAGGCGAACAGAACGTCGCCGGCCTCGCCATTGATGTCCTCAGTACCATCACCAAAGTGGAAGATCTTGAGGACAGGGAACTCGCAACTCAGGTGCATAGCAACAAGCTCAGCGCGACACTCCTCATATGACGCGGCAATGCTACCAAAGACAGATCCCCATGTCTGACCAGGCTTGTACCATGTTGTAATGGGCTTGTTATCCACGGGGCTGACAGGAGGGTTCTCCTTGTCGAAGTTAAAGGTACCTGGGGATGTCTCTTGGAGGAGCTTACCACAACCGTGACCTGGTGTGTGTGAGTGAGCATGAGTTCCTGGCTGACTTATCGAGATTGGGTGTACATACCAGTAAGCTCGTGAAGACCAACCTGGACCTCGAAAGAAGCATCGCGCTGCTTCTTGTATACTTCAAGGTCCTCGTCACGAATGAAAGGGATCTTCTCATCGGGTGCCTTTGCACTCATGACATTACCTAGTGACACGTTCTTGAAACCCTCGGTCTGACGAATGTCATCGTAGTTGGGACTGAACTTTGTTAGTAACTCAACAACCGTTACAAAAAGCAGGTCAAAGCCTACATGTTGATACCAGCGGGGATACCCGAACCTTGAACAAATGTTAGTACCATCGAATCGAATAGACAAAAAGTAAAAGAATGTCGTACCAGCGAAGGTAAGAACCTCAAGAGAGGTAAAGTCGGGCGACAGGAACTTGTCCTTCTCAAACTCTGAGCCCCAAGGGAGCAAAGGAATGAGTTGAGGGGCCTTTTCTACGAGTTCACCAAAGGCGCGAGTTCGCTCCACTAGTCAATGATTAGTGGTTTACTGAGTACATGGCCGGAACAGCTCTTACAGTTAACCACTATAATTTGTTAGTATATTCGCACAGAAAGTCAAGCATGATATTGGCACTTACTTGAGGCAAAGCCTTCCCACTCTCCACGAATACCAGCAGGGTCTCTGTAGGTCTCAATGAAACCAATGTTGGACTCAACCATGGGGCCCTTGTCCTTGATCCAGTATCTTTGACTGTTCTTGAACTCCTCCAGGGAGCCGGATTCGAAAGACTTGCTGTACGCCTGATGCATCTTCTTTTGAGTGTCGTTCTCTGCATTCTCGGCAGCGCCGTTGATGAATGCGGTAATGTTCTTCATCTCCTCGGCGTAGTCACCATAGACCAACTTGATAGTCTTAGCCTTGAGAGAACCATCTTCGACGGTAAATTCAGTCTGCTTGCCAATATCACCACCCTCGCTAGGCATTTCCTTGACAGCCGAGGCGATCAAGATCTCGAAGTTGCCATCTGAGGTCTTTCGGAGTCGGTTGTTCTCGGGAAGTAGACCCTTAGACTCCATCCAGTCAGAAACCGCCTTGATTTCGTCCTTGGTGATGTGCGAAGAGTCAGGGTAGTAAGTAGTCATGTGGCCATCGTCGGGATAACCAAAATGCATCATAGCGGGGTTGTCAGCGCTGAAGATGCCACCCTTTGTCGCCTCGTAGAACTTCTTGGCTTCAGGAGAAGTGGCAGCTAGGGCAGCGACAGTCTTCTCAGTGCAGCGAGGAATGAACTTGGAGTCACCGAAGCTCTTGTAGTTGCCATTGTTGCCGAGGAACATGGCAGCGTACTCGAGGAAGCGAGTAGACTCTTCCTCCTCGACGCCAGCCTTCTTGGCCAGGGCATTCCAATCACCATTTGCAGACTTGTGGAGAGCTAGAATCAGGTCAAAGATTGGCTCTGACTCTGGGGAACACTGTCGAAGGACAATTCTGGTGCCTGCAAAAGCAGCTCTATGATGATATTCAATATTAGCACGACCCCTCATGAGCACTGTTGCCCCTCACTTGAAAGCGATGGAGCTTCATGACTTCTTTTTACAAGCTCTAAATCAAAACTTACTTGCTGATAAAGTGAGCATATCGCTTTTGCTTGTCGTCCAAAGCATCAAAATGCTTCTCAATCTCGAGTCTGACAACCGAAGGAGGCTTGTCGGCGAGGTAGTGGACCAGCTCGTTGGAGTTCATGGCGACGGCAGAGGTTGAAAACCTGTGAAGGCTTTGGGGGTTGAAAGGCTTTGTAAAGCGAGGAATGGATCGCCTGGTCCTGGTCAGGGTTAGGATTGAGGGCTTGAAGGCTGCTGTTCTTAGTAGAGGCAGTCTTTGAAGAACAAGAGACGGTGAGATTAAGTTGGGAGAAGGCATGCCCGCTGGCTGTGACTGCCTGACTGACTGACTGACGTTTTTGGGTAGGTCACGTCGGCCAATGGATTTTTGTTATTTGGGGACAAACACAGCTTCCTAAACGTGTCAAGGCGGCAAACAGAAGGCCCTGAGGGCCCCAAGCATATTGCCTATAGGAGCTAGTCGGGCGGTGCCACAGGTCTCCATCATGACACCACATGAGGGGCTCTGCATGGCTAATAGACTGTTGGTTTTCGATGAAAACATCAATACGAGGAGATTAGAACTATCCAAATAATCTGATTACATCTCAAGAGGATACATATTCTTTTAGAGGGCATCATGATGTGTTGAGTAGGTACATGGGCTGTGTTAAGGACCTCAGTGCAAGTATAGATGTTGCAATGTTCTCTTTCAACCTCTGATTGGACCAAGCGCTGCCCTGGTGCTAGATTGGCGGTTGGGTCATCGACTTATACATGGCCGGCTTAAGTATCAACAGAGCAGAACGACGTGGTGTTGTGTTACTAGCGAGTAGAAGCAATGTTTAGTCACCCGCCAATTACCTATACCTAGTAGTTGGTTTTTGAAGACATACACATATGAATACAATTGTGGGACAGCAGACACAACTCATGTACAATGACAATTCGCAGAAGTGCAACCTACTCATTCAACCTAATGCTAACTTTACCTGAAAAGGTCCCTAATTATTCTTCCAATTTATCGCCGTGCTACTTGAGAGAATATTCTAGAGTAACATGGACAAACTTATTTCATACCCTCTGCATTCTTACATCCACCAGATATATTCCTGGATTATCTGAGGTCATGGCGTTGCGTCCTCGACCTCCCGAGTTACGAGAACTATAGGGTTTTCAAGTTATTGAAACGAAGACGACGAAACCCGTAGTCGGAACCCAGCAAAACATGATATTTCTTAATACTCGCCCCAGTACAGCTTTACAGTCCCTTCGAATAGTAAATCGCCATTGGGTACTTGCGAAATAATATTATAGACTTAAGTTCACTCATTGATTTTGTTCCATATTATCACATGAAAGGTATTCGGATGAGCTTCCTCCATAGTCAAGCTGACGGGTACTACTGTACACAGTTATCTACCACGCCTAAGGTACTTATGTAGACTCATTCTTCAGGACGGGTATCAACCGGAAATTCCCCCTGGATCTAATACTGTAAGAGCCGTGACCCTGAAACATCTTTGTCGGAATACATATCGGGAAGTACATCAACCGATGAGAAACCATAACCATGAGACGCCATTAGAAGACGAAGCAAACCGAGCCGAAGAATGAGCCGAGGAATACTTTGGTGCCCTACCCTAGGCTCACGCTGCATTTCCATGGGGGTGTCCCATGCTAGCCAATCCAATCCTGCAGTTTTACCCCATGTATTATATTCGTTGGAGGTCTCCGAATGGTTCGGACGACATGGTTGTCCTCGACCAATTCGAGTGTATCTTGTCTTGGTTACATGCATGGCTATGGCTTAGTATTTTTGCATGGCTTAAACTCTATGTACTACCAAGCTCAGGCAGGAGTGGACTCACTCGGTTTCTACTGAGAGTAAAAATAAAATACCAAAGTATTTCCCTCCAGCAAAGTTCAGGATAATTAATATCAGAGAAACCAAAGCACTACCGTATATATCCGCGAAATACATCACGGTTAGCTTGGTGGCGCTGATCTGCTGGGTTAGGTGTGCTATGGCGGCTGGCCATTAGTAAAACTTGGAGGAACTAAAGTCCGGAAAGCCTCTTGTGTAGGGACTTTATTGATAAGTATTGATTGATTGGTATAAATATAAAAGAGGGGAAGTAGCTCTGAACCTGCAGTAGTCTTACGCTAACCGTGATGTATTTCGCGGATATATACGGTATGTATTTATTCATCTATTTTAAGTGGTGTGGCGTTACAGGGTGGCAGTCAATCCGCGGGAGAGGATTCGGAGGTTCAAGCTAAAAGGCTAGGCAAGCGTCCTGCAAGCAAGCGTTAGCATGATCAACTACCAGCCGGCGTATGCGAACCGAGCCAATCCTTCGGAATCTGGCAAACCAGCCAGGTGGGACGCCGGGGGTGTTGGAGCTTGGAACGACATGGATGGATGGGGGGGGCTGTCTAAGACATGGAACTCAACGCCGCCAACCCGGGGAAGTGTTTGTGGCTCCCCCGATTTTACATAGCGTTGGGCGATTGACTGTAATTGGCAATGGACCAACAACCTGACGATGCTATGAGTAGGGCAAACACACCGATGTGTGGTAACTTGCCTGAACACGACCAAAAATAAGTGATCACGTTGATGCTGTGCTGTGGCCGTGTAGCTCTAGTTGATAAGTGCATCCATTGGTTGAGAAGCATACCACAAAGACAATATGCCTTGTACTGTCCGTATTACAATCCGAAAATCTAGAAATACCAATGGAATACTTTGTATCACCTAAAAGTCATCCGCTTCTTTGTGAAGAAAAAACGAAATTACCAGACTAGAATGTTCTGGTTGTTGTGGTCAAGGCTTCAATTGTCGTCCACCACCTGACCTCTGCCCCCACGTCTTTACTCCACACTCTGCGCTACCGGGTTTTCCTCACTTTTCCAGTTGCTGAAAAGAACAATGCCGTTGCTGTGTTTCCGAGTGTGGTTTGGATGTGAAATTGAGGTCTGTCTCGTTGAGGAGATGCCCAGCTCAGTGAAAGTTACCAAATGAGAAGAAAAGACAACCGGTCTTGCCCCATTGCTTTGGTCCCTGTTCGAGTTCATCAACTTGCGATGATTACAGGAGCATTCCGCTGGGGCCCCCTTAACAAAAGCGAGGCGAGTGACGATTTATCGAATACTCGTCTCCCCTGGCCCTAGCAAGGACAATAGCCGCATCATTCAGCCCAGCAGTTACGGCATTCGCACCATTGTGATGTCTGATCCAAGTCCTACAAAAATACGTATAATGACTAAGAATATAAAGACTAGAGTGTTGAGAAGGCAGCTCTCAACTGCTGACTGCAGATGTGATCTTTTCTCCAAACCGGAATGCGGATATATTCGGACCAGCCCTTCGGTACACGAGTGATCATCGATCAGTCTTATTAACGTCCTTGGTACTGGTTGCATCTGTCACCCATGAGATGGGCATCTGGGGTTTGCGCGTGGACTTTAGCCATGTAACCTTATGCTCTGTAGGCAAGGCCCAAGGCCTGGCCGGATAAGTGTTGAACACTGGGCTTTAACCGGAGCTTTTCTCAACTTGCCCAGGTTTTTACTGTATGGTAAGAGATTACTGCAGAGGATTATATTGTTTTAACTGTGGTGGGTTGTTAAAACTGACGCGGCGGAACGTTGGCTGATAGGCGGTTCGGCGGCTACGACTTCCAGGAATTAACGTTACCCAGAGGCGGAAACTCCGCGCAAGGATAGATTCTTTTCCGGGGAATGAGGACCTAACTTGTCCCTACATGAGCACTTCACTTTCCCTACATCTATTTTGCAATCCACTCCAGGTTTACTCAGGTTCTTCCGTGTAAGGCAAAGCTGAGAGCTGCATTACTAGCATGGCCTTTTGAAAATGACAGGCATCTCACAAGAGTACTGTAAAAATTCTTGACTAGAAAATCAACTAACAAAGATGAACAACAGAGCGGCGGGTTACGGGCTCGTGACCTCACTGAGGAACGGGAGAGTGACAGGGGCTGTGAGATGGAATTTGGGACCATCATCACGTCCCACAGGCATCGTCATGGGCCTACTTCTCACCAATCTCTTGTCTTTTCCCCTGACGGTCCTAGAGTTGAATAGCATTGAGAGATTCTGCTCCACCTTCATCCACTGCCACGCTTCACAGGGTTTACTATTACAGAATGGAACAGGCACAGACAGAGAGGAGATATCTGTGACTTCTTCGCGGATGGGTTGGTTCGTCCCAAGCAGGAAAATTTGCCCGATGACGGATACTCCAGATCATTGATGACTTCTTTTTCCGTCTTGGGGCAACCAATTGGCAACTAGCAATTGGGTCTTGAGTCCCTGTCACCCCCCATATACCCCAAAAACCCAGAGGCCCTCCCTCCTCCAAGACCTGACTTGGATCTCTTCCAGCGGGTGACAGTCACCCCCAGGCCCCATTTCTCTTACACCCCTGCCCCCCCACGCCACCCTGTGGAAGCAACGAAACAGTGGAGGTTCAAGTTTCGTGCCTGTCACGGCCTTCTCCCCGTAATTCCTCGAGCCTGAATTTAGGCGTGTACGTCCGCACATCAGCTATGACTTGCGCCGTAGTCTACCTTATATAGATCCCTCTTTACCCCCGTGTTTTTGTCAGTCTGCTTCACTGTTTTTCTGGCTTTTTCCTATTGTGCTTTCTGATTGACTTTTCACTTTCAAGACCTATTCATAAACACTGTTCCATCTCGTCACTACGTCATTGCCATTGTCTCCTATCAAGCACTCCATCATACTGTACTGCCTGACTGCTGAGGTGTTATATAAAAGAGCAAACTCAATACCCCGAGGCAAAAAAGCACAATAAATCTGCTGCAGCACACATAAACGATCAACCTGAACTATTCCGAATCAGCTCCTTCGACATGCTTTCTTACGATTCCTCGCCAATGCCCATCAAGGCTCCAACAAAACCGTCCACCATGTCTTTGCCGCCCACTCCTCCGTCACCAATGACGGCAGCACCCCCATCTCTTAACTCGAACTCCCTCAATGGCCTTAGAGTCCAGGAGCAACAACAACACATTTGGCTGGTTACGGGCCCTGCTGGCTGTGGAAAGACGACCGTCGCTGAATATTTGGCCCAGTCATTGGGTGTTCCCTATATCGAGGGTGACTCTGTATGTACAAGTCAAGACTTTTCTCTTCTCCGGCCCACTCCTCTCCTAGCATCACCACTAACACGGATTTCTCTTAGTACCACCCTGCTGCCAATATTGAAAAGATGGCAAATGGTGTTCCTCTGACTGACGCCGACCGATGGGACTGGCTTACGGCTCTACGAGAAGAGTCCATCAACCAATTAAATGCCGGATCGAATGGTGTCGTCCTTACTTGCTCGGCCCTCAAGCGCAAGTACCGCGACGTTATCCGAGTGGCTGGATACTACGATCGCCGCATCCAAATCCACTTCGTCTTTCTAGACGCCCCTGAGGAGCTTCTTCTCGCTCGTGTCACCCAGCGACAAAACCACTACATGGGCGCCAACATGGTTCACAGCCAATTCGATATTCTTGAGCGCCCTTTGGCCGATGAAAAGGATGTTATCACCATCGATGTCAGCCGACCCATCGAGGAGGTGGAGCAAGAAGCCCTCAGCAATGTCTTGGAGACTATGGCCAAGTCGCAAGAAAAGCACTGATCGCGGGAGGAACCTTGAGACCACCATACACCATACACCATACACCATACATTTGCGCGTCATATTTGATACATTTACCCGCTTCACTGCGCAGTCAAACCTACGCACCGGCGTCGTCATCTGACCAGCATTTTTTTGCGAAAAAGACATTTATTCAGCAGGGAGTCAAAGCGTTGTGGCTATTTGCATTAGGATCTGGAGTTTTGTTTTCTTAAAAGAATTACATTGGCGTTAGAGGCTGATAGTCGCCCATTATTTACATGTCCGGACAGTTCTCCGAAGAGGGCGCGGCATTAAGAAGAGGCTAACTCGGCTGGCTGGGCTTGGGCTTGATGCAGTCCCCCGCAAGTGTCAGAGTTGCAGTCCCTGTAGGCTGTACCACGCGGGGTGAGGCTGCTTGCTTACACGGATAGGCTAAAAGAAGGGAAGGGGAGGGAAAGGTATTCCCCCATCCCCGGGGTTTTTGAATTTACACACCAGTGTGCATATGGAAGGGAAGCTCGAAGGAGGTGAGTTGGAGTTAAGGGCTTCTTTCTCTAGCAAAACTTCTCATGTTGGAGGTTTATGATCTGTTTTGAGTAGACAGAAATGCAAATATTCTTACCATAACTCTCCAACAATGCGCAACGTGTAAAATTTGATCTCACCGACGATGCCGAGCCTGTGCCGCCGTACCAACATTTACTTTAGTACATGGCCATTGCAGCCGCGGCATTAGTATAGTTGTTCAGCTGATGAACGCCAATATCATGCATCATGACAACTGGACACGCCTGACTGCGGCTCAGCTCTTTCATGATGAGTGAATTTCCCCCGATCGACGAGTATGCGAACGGTAGCTCATTGGAAGAGCTCATCAGAGCTGGAATTCTATTGGAAGATTTGAGTCGGTGCGTTGTCATCATGCACGGTAATACACATTCGGCATATTTGGAACCTGGGCAATGTGCATCACGAGGTTGTTGATGCAACGGTATCAGGGTCCTCCATAGATTCGGGCCGCCATCATCTTAATCGGTAAGTAAAATATTGTAAGTGTAGATTTAGTTCCACCTAACTAGAAGCTCACCGCCCACTTACCTCGCTTGGTTGTTAATAGTGCAGTGAAGTTTCAATATCTAACCATAGTTCAAATGCTGAAGAGCCTACTCTGGAACATCACAGTTTGAGTGTCATCGGTCTGATATGTTCTGTTTTTTTCAATCATGTTCTGTAAAGACTTTTGTATTCTAATTATATGTATTAACGCCCTTTTGACTATTTCAGATGCATCACCATAAGATCCGGCTCCTCGACTATCTGCCTCACAACATCAGCGGCTCGCGCCATAGTTGCGCCGTCAATCACCCTGTGGTCGGCGCTCCAACTGAAGTTGGTGATTTGCTTCTTAATGATATTGTCGTTCTCGTCAAACGCAGGAGCTGTACGCATGCGTCCAATGCCAAGAATAGCCACCTCGCGTTCCACAATAACAGGACTGACATATGTGCCACCGACGTTTCCGATATTGGACACTGTGATTGTGCCGCCCTGGAAATCAGCTGGCTTGAGTTTACCCTGGCTGGCCAGTGCTTGGAGCCGTGATAGCTCTGCCGCAATAGATAGGATGCTGAGAGAGGCGACATTCTTGATTACGGGCACGACGAGACCTCCCGCAGTGTCCATTGCGACACCAATGTTGTGCTGTGATCGATGCACCAGACATGGCTTGTTGGTCTTTGGGTCAACGTCCACACGGGCATTGAGCATTGGATATTGATTCAACGTCTGAGACACAGCCTTAATGATAAAAGGGAGGAAGGATAGCTTGGTGGGCTGTCCCTCGACCGAAGGCCCCTTGGCAATAGCACGGTTCAGGCGCTTGCGGGTTTCCACGATATTTGAAAAGTCGACCTCGTCGGCGTAGAGGAAATGCGGGATAGTCAAAGACCGTGTCATGGTCTTGAACATCTGTAGTTGTGTGCTGGAAAGTGGTACAACGGCCTCGGATTGTACAGAGGTGTCTTGGGGGGTGGAAGATGCAGGAGTCGGTGTTATTTGCTGTGCACTATCCTTCGCATCTCTTCCCTTGATAAATTTGTAAATGTCTTCCTTAAGAACTCTGCCATCTCTCCCAGTGCCATCGATATCTGCGATGTCCACTTTGAGCTCCTTGGAGAGATGTCGCACAGCAGGAGTAGCAACAGCGGCGCATTTGCCCTTCTCTTTCACTTGCGGCTCGACAGGTGCTTGTGAGGATGAAGGTTGTGTTTGTGTTGGCTCGGTCTTTGATTCTGAAGTTGGTGGTGGGGGAGGAGGAACATCGGCCTTGTCGGCTTGTTGGTCGGCTATCGCATCGACGTCCTCAGGCTTGGCCTCGCCTTCGATATCAATATCGACAAAGGCCTTGCCGACCTTGGCCATTTCGCCGGCTTCGTAGTGCAGCTTTTTGACCACACCTGAGAAGCGGCTGGTGATCTCGACCGACGCCTTATCGCTTTGGACTTCGCAGAGCGGGGAGAACTCCTCGACATGGGCGCCGGGTTCCACGAACCATTGGATGATTTCGCATTCAACGATACCTGTGTCGTGTTAATCAAAATGTAGATAACACTGGAGAAGTATGAATTGCGGTCTTACCTTCACCAATATCGGCTAGAACAACAGGTTTAATGGCCATTAATCTTCTAGACTCGCTGAACCATCTGGGAGAAGCGGCCATCATGGGAGCTCGAGAGCCCATTGCCATGTTGCGCATGCCTCTGGCGACATGCCATTGCTTCTGGAGCACTCGGGATCCTCGTTGGAGAAACATAATTGGTATAGAATGCGCCTGGAAGAATGAGAATAATAATCAAAGACAAACACAGCCCAAAGTCATCCTCATATGAAAGAGGAGATGGTTAATACCATGGTAGCGTTTAAGCCGAAAGGCTGGCTTCCATCGGCCCCGTCCGTGGATAACCGCCAATCCGGGGAAATGACGGCACTGGCGGACTCTAAGCCCGACCTGACCGCGTCCTCGGCTCTGTGAGCCTCTGTCTGGACGGCTCTGTAGCCCCCACACTGCCGATAGAGGCAACTGCCCTGTGCTCCACCATTCCCGGGAAACGTGGGGACCCTTTTTTGAGGTCAATGGAAAGTGCAATTTTCAAACGTCTCAGCTTTTGAAGAGCCGCATTAATCATCCCCCTGCCACCCCAACAATGGCGTCACGACGACTTGACAGGACCCTTTCCGGTCTCGCTCGCCGACCTTTAACATGCCTCTTCTGCGAGGCTCGTCGATCCTTCACCACTTCCACGCTTCGGCCGGCAAGGAAAGAAAAGCCTGGCGCTGGCGCATCCTTGGATCCCCAAGCCAACGTCGCGAAACCCATTGAAGCTCCACGAAGCTATGGAAAACGACAAGAGGGGCAATTCGTCCCCAAACCTCTTCCTCGACCGATCGGCATGCCTTTGCCCCCAAAGGCCGGAGAGAACACAGGCATCGATAGTCGAACACTGAGCCAGCGTCGTGAGGACTTTGTCAACTACGACAAGCACTTGCAACGGCGAAAGGAGCTGTAAGGGCACCGCTACCACATTCATGCAATACAAACTCTAATATTCTCCACCTACAGAACGGCAAAGATATCGCGACCATACTTTCGAGACTGGGGTAACCTCCAATACCATGAGGGTAAATCATTTATCGCGCCCCCGCGCCTCTTCAAGGCCGAGCTGTCACTATTCTTCCCCAACTTTTACGGCGAAACCCTCTTGAAGACGGACAAGAACCCACGCGATACCACTCCGCTCCTCACCGGCAAGGCGTCGGTCATCTGTTTCTTCAGCAGTCGTTGGGCTGAGCAACAGGTCGCAACCTTTACTTCCAAGGAAGAAAACCCCGCGCTTCATGAAGCACTGGCGAACAACCCCGACACCACACAACTCGTCAACATCAATTATGAGGATAATGCTGGCAAGGCCTGGCTGGTGCGGTTCTTCATGGGAACCCTGCGACGACAGTTCCCCGAGAAGGACTGGGACAAGTATTTCCTTGTGCGACGTGGTCTCACCGATGACATTCGCGAATCCATTGGCCTGCTTAACAGCAAGGTCGGCTACGTCTTTCTAGTCGACAAGTACTGCCGTGTTCGTTGGGCGGGCAGCGGAACTGCCCATCCTGTTGAGACAGAGGGTCTGGCCAAGGGTCTCTCACGCACAGTAGATGAGATGGAGCACGAAGCTACGTTACCTGCCACTGCAAAGGAGCAGCACCCAGGCAAACAGCATCTCGAGGTTCCAAAAATGTTGTAATTAGACGTCTTCTAGTAGAGGAAGACGGTTGTAACTTTAGACATGTTAGACATCCATGGCCCCACCATGGCCTATTGCACAATATCAAACACGCTGATACCCCTGAACACCTGTACATTATGCGAAAAAAGCAGAGCCCAGCCAGTTTTACGAGAATAGAAAGAAAACGATAAAGCAAAACGCAACAAAGCCTCCCATGATAATTCCGTCCCTCCTCTTCTTTGCTGATATCCTTCCAATCAGCGTATTGATGCCCGGTACTTGGCTCGCCGCGTGTGTAATCCTCCGGTTGATGCTTGCCAAAGTCTCCCGCTGCAGGTTGAAGTTGTCGTTAACAGCATATGCCTGGCTCAGGACGCTGTCCGCCATATTGTTACTGTTGTCGATGCGATTGCGCTCCTCCAGCATGTAGTCAGCCTCGGCAGCTTCGGGGTTGTCTTTGCGGTACTTGTCGATATCGGAGCGGACATTGGTCAAAAGGTTCGCGCGATCGCGGGCTTGTTGTAGAGTTGAGCGCAGGCGGGTTAGGTCCCGCTTATGGCCGGAAAGCTTCTCTCGGAGGAGGGAAAGGTTGTTCTGTTTCAAGGCGGATGAGGTGAGGGCAGCTTCGGAATCGAGAAGTCGAGCGAGTTGGCCTATAACAGTGTCGCGCTGGGTGAAGTTAGCATGTGATATAAATTTTAAGTCCAGAACACCACCGCATACCTTCTCCAGTAATTCTTCCAGCTTCTTTTCCGTTTCGCGCTCTTCATCTGTAGGCTTTGGAGGGATGTTGGGAGCTGTTGAGAACTGCGAGTATGTGTGGAACAGACTTTCTGTCTAAGTAACAGCAACGTCAGCTAGTATTCTGGCGCATCAGGTTGTCCGGTTTACCTGTGTTTCCAACTGTCGAGCTTGTTGCCGAAGCTGGGCCCAGCCCGCGCTTCCAGTAGGTGCAGACATTTCACTGTGATTTTAAGTGTTGTTGATAACAGAGTGGTGATATTATTCGTTCAAACTTCAACATGGACTAAGCCACAGCTCATGATCAACTCCCTGACGACAACCTACCGATATCTGGTCCGAGGAATGGCAGAATGGGACACCGCTTTTGGCTTACGTCAGGAGCTGGTCACGCGCCCATCCACGTGAGCTTCAGCAATGCGAAAAAACTTAGCACACCCACCTGCCAATCAAAAATTCCAATTTCTTCTGCACGACCCCACCGCTCTTTCCCAAAGCCCTAATTTTCCACCAGCGCACCTTCTCGGCAAACTTCTCTAAATCGATCTATCGCGACACGGACGGTGACAGGTCGAGGCTGATTATTTTCCCAAAACACTCGTCGACACACTTCGCACACCACTTCGAAGCTATTCAAGATGGTGAGTAAACGAAACGTTCCTGCGCCCCTCGTTGTTGTGAACAGGTGTCGACTCGTTCAGTCGACGTCTCGTGCGGCTATAGACTCTATTTTCGAGCACTCCATCGATCATACAACATCTACGATCACGATCGTTTTTGCCCACTCTCGAAAAGCCCCCGACACATGATTTCGACAGCACAGCACACACGTTACAGCAGAACAACGGGATGGACAAATCGCTGACAGGTTGCAGTCGTCGGGCAAGGTCAAGGCTGGTGCGCTCTGGAGCAAGAACAAGGATGATTTGACGAAGCAGCTCGCTGAGCTCAAGACCGAGCTCGGTCAGCTCCGCATCCAGAAGGTCACTTCTTCCGGCTCCAAGTCGAACAGAATGTGAGCATTATCCTCCCTCTTGCAGCACTCGAACGCTGTTGCAGGAAGTCGTAAAAAAGTCTTGCCCCGCTAATGCAAATCCAAACAGCCACGACATCCGCAAGTCGATCGCCCGTGTTCTCACCATCATCAACGCCAAGCAAAGGGCTCAGCTTCGTCTGTTCTACAAGAACAAGAAGTACGCTCCCCTCGATCTCCGACCCAAGCAGACCCGTGCCATCCGCCGCCGATTATCGCCCGATGAGAAGTCCCGCGTCCTTGAGAAGACCAAGAAGCGCACTGTCCACTTCCCTCAGCGCAAGTTCGCCATCAAGGTACGATAAACCGCCGCCATTAAGGGACTCGAACTAGTTGTCCTGTCTCTGGCAAGACTCATATGTCGAGACCGAAAGTACTAACAATTGATTACAGGCTTAAGTTAAAATGCTTGTAGTTCTTGGGCGTGCGACGGACATCGGGTAGACAGGAAACGGGGTATGGAGGGGCGTGGCGTGCTTTTTCTTTGAACAAAAAGGCTTCGAAATCTGCATCGCATGGCTCAGGGAATCTCGGTCTGACTTGTACTTATTTCCCGGTTTGGGCCTCGATCTGGGACGGGATGTCCACAATGGACTGCCCGGACAGGCAGTCTTAAAAAACAAAAATGAGGTCATGATCAAGAAGTCCTTAATTTAATACTGCGATAGTTGTGAAAGTGATGTCGTGTAGCTCCTATTCATGCATCTTAAGGGGCAATTCCACCACCTGTCATGTCAACACATTTCAAAGCTCCGCAAGCACCAGGAATTACGTCTTGATGTCACCTCAAGCGGGATATTAGAACTTAAGAGATCCTCAACCTCGAGATCTTGACAAATTCGCTCTACGTGTGTTTTCTTAATCTGAGGTTGAAGTTGGAATTAACCTGTGTCAAAATTCTGCCGTAACTAACGGCTCGGCCGTATTCGGTTGGTCACCGAGAAGCGCTTCGGATCGATCCAATCCGCATCACCCCACCATAACCCCAACGACATCTTCTCAGTCCTTGTAGAGAAAAGGCGTAAGGGAAATCCATCATCGCAATCTCAATTTTGTCTACTTCATCCTTCTTCAGCAATCTTCGGTGTCAGCCCGCCAATCCGTTACCACACTTACATACAATTTCTTCAAGCTGCCTCGAAATGAGTCTTTCATTGAAGGTATCAACAATATCGGCATCTAGAAGAGGACCCCGCAACATCCACAGGAGGCAATCCGATTATGATCGAAAGGTCAGCTTCAACCTCGAGATGGCTGAGGGCTTGAACATCAGGCGTACGCCTCACTAAAAAGGCACACCGAAGAGTCAGCGTTCGACCTCTTGGCATGTGTCCAGAACGAGCTAGGTCTCGGCAGCTTGCGATAGAGAGTTCGGCTTCGTCCAAGTTCAACTCACAGAGCATTCAATCGTGAATGGAGCTTTGAACAATGGATTGCCAGAACAGTAATGTACGTTGCGCAGCATCGAATACGCTTACACCAATCATTCGCCACGTTCTTGTACTCAACAAGTGAATTTTGGTAACCAAGGGCTGACTCATTACCATTATTTCCTCATGTTCATGATGACATCGGGTATCTATCTCCTTTATCTGCCTAGGTCTTCATCTCTTGTCTTACTACTCATCTCAGGTAGCATATCCTAGAAACGCCGGGGTTCGTTATAAAAATCATGCCGACCTAATTGAACGACAACCTCAACGCCATTGCCGGTTTTGAAACTCCAAAGACATAATGTCTTCACGCATTTTTTGATTAGCTCCAGCAGCTGGTCTCGTTCGCCGGAAACCATTAGTATCAAGAACTCTTGCTGCTCTTGCGACTGCCATCCGGAAGATGGGTCTGCATATGTCGACGAAGCTGGTCGAGCCGATGAAAATCTTTGCCACAGTGTTCACAGACATGGTTACCACGGACATTGTGGGTGCGGCGATGCTTGGATAGATTGGAAGATTCGCCAAATCGTTTCCCGCATATTTCGCATTGTAGCGGCTTCTCGCCCGTGTGTGTACGCATATGCATGGCTACGGAAAGGGTCAGCACGATGTTTTAGCCGGAGGTCAACGAACTTACTGAGAGCACTCTGCTGCTTGAAACGCGCGTCGCAGCCAGGATGTTCGCACTTCCATGGCTTCTCGCCTGAGTGTGTACGCATGTGCTGCTCGAGCGATTGCTTTGCAGACAGCATTATGCCACAAATCTCACACTTGACTGGCTTGTCTACCATGGGGATTAGTACGTACTTTGAGACGTAGAGTGTCATTCTGGCTGAAGGGTATAACTCACATCCGGTATGCGTCTGCATATGTCGCTCGAGTTTGCTTTTCTGAGAAAACGGGCCAGGCCGTGTACAACCGTACCATGTGCAGCAAAACCCATTTTCGCCCTTGTTCAGGTTCTTGACATGCTCGTTCTTGCAGTGGTCCTGGAGTTCCTTGTTGCCTCCAAACTTTTTGGAACAGAGAACACCGTCTTCGCAAAGCCACTGGCAAGTGAAATCTGGCTCTCCTTTTATGGATTGAGTCTCAGCCATTTCAATCTTTGGGGTAGGAGAAAGGGAGGATATGGAAAACCCGCCATCCTGGTTCAATCCCAAACCACCGTGACGAGTCATAAAGTTGCCGTCATGTTCACCAAGACCTTCGGGGAAACCATGACCGAGATCGTGGGCAAAATCTCCAAAATCATGGCTGACTACGGAACCGACGTCAAGGGGGCCGCCTCGGCCTGGTTCGACCGGACTGAGAATGGTGTTGACTATGGGCTCGGGCTCGGCCGAGGGTGTTGTGACTGAGACCGAGGCCGGGGTGGTTGAAACGGTGGTTCCCACGCAATGTGAGTCGTTGCAGGGAATTGCGGCTTCTTGACATGCAGCATTGACACATGGCTCAAGTTCGACGCAAGTGGGCTCGAAACAGCATGCGGCATGAGAAAGGTCGATCTCGGCACAAGAGGTGTCGAAACAGCAATCTGCATCGTCTGCGTCGCTGCATTCACTCCAGCATTTGGTATCACCACACGCAGAAGTGCAATCGGCTGAAGCAGCATCATTGCAACCCATGTGTGTTGGCCACGACATGGGCATACAATTAGTGACGGTACTTTGGCCCATCATGTTTGCCCAAGACGGCGCAAGAGCCTGGGGCCAACGTTCATAGAGACTAGGCATCGAGAACACTTGGTTGTGTTGTTGAAAGTTGCCAAATTGTGGATGATGGCCATCTAACAAGGGCATGTGGAAGTTGTGTTGCAGACTCTCGTTAACAGTCTGAAGGACCGCCGTGGGCTCAACGTGCTGGAGATTCTGATTTTGTTGGAACATGTTGGGTGAATGCATATGATGGAGGTTGGATGGCTGGTAATCTAGCCGGTGATGCAGTTGCTGGTGCAGCTGTATCTGCTCTGACTGTCTCCTTCGCTTTTGCCTGTGCGCTGAGGCTTTAGTTGCAGCTGGAGACATCATCTTTGGAGAGGAACTGGAGGCATTCGATTGGGATCGAGTCTTTAGTTTCGCAGAGCGGGTGTTCATGGCTGGGTCATTTCGATGAGAAACTTTGTTATCGCTGTGGTTGCGCTCGAGGCCAATCTCGAGCGCGGTCTTTGCGGCGGCAGTCTTGCCGTAGTGGTCAAAACAGCGCTGGTCGAGACAGGCGTTCTCGGTATTGTTACATGTGCCGAGGGAATCGAGCCCGTGTGTCAGACAAGCGTCGTGACCGAGTAAAGAGTCGAAGCCATAGTCAACTTTTTCGGCGTCGAAAGAAGTAGACTGGTGTTGATTTTGGTTTTGGTGTTGGTGTTGGTGTTGGAATTGGAGGTGATGAGCAAAAGTGGCCGAGTGGTCCATGGTAATCACAACAGCAATCGCGATCGCTAGTTCAGATTAAGACGATCGCTTTTTTGTTGTTCTTGGACGCAGAGAGGCTTCGAGTCTATAGTAGAGGTGATCATGAACGGCATTTGGGCCCGAGTGGGATGCTGCGAATGGCCCCAGAGAGAATCGATGAGAGTGAGAACCCGGATGGCCTCGCGGCTCAAAGGTCAGGGAAGGTGGAGGGGCAGGGTAGGTATGGCACTATGGCACTAAGGCACTTTGTGAACTCCAGTGGGGGTCGCACTGTATTTCAGTGGGGTCAGCACCCTAGGGACTGTTATGCTCAGCCAATGGGAGTGTATGAATTATGTGGTTGTCGGCCCCAAGATTACCAGGTCATGGACTGGACTCATGGCGATAGGAGGAACACTCTGTTGATTCCAACTAACACCAACATTATCACACTATTACAAGCACGTACATACGGTTAGGGTAAGCAGGTCCTAAAGATTCTTCCTCTCCTGCCTTGTTCGTGAGGAAAATACTGCGGGACCGATACACCAAGAGACTCAGACTGGACTAGGGGAATGAGTGGATGGACGTACGAACCTGAGGTGTTTCCCTCGGTGAACAAGCGAGGTAGGCTCTTTTTTTCTTCTTGGTTGCGGGTTTGATTCAAGCCAAGGCGGTTGAGTGCGGCTTTGTTGAGTGAGGTCTGAGTCCTCCTCTCTGGGTTGTGTGTGAATTGCGTGCCTCTTGACTACCTAGTGTCGAGAACCACAATATCCTATTTCCTGCGTCACTATGGCCTCTCGTCCCTGGTCAGGTCCCTTTTTTACCGCTCCAATCTTGTGGACATGTCTCTCGGTTATCCTTCCGACTCGAACCTTAACAAAGGTCCATTCAATAGGGCACTGACTTGCAGTAGATCGATGTCACCATGTGGTCTACTGTTGGTCTGTCTCTGGCCCAAGCATGGTTCCTGCATCTCTTTTAATCTCGTGTTTGCTATTCGTTGATGTACTATTACCAAATCCTGTACTTGACCTCGCGTTCAAGTTCAGTTTCACATGTAGTATATGCCTGTACTCACAGACAGTATCTACTATTTCCAATCGTGTGGCACAAAGACATACAAAGGTAGTATGAACAATAATAGAAAAATATCGAACCGATAAGTTCTAACAATATTATCACTGCATTAATGTGTTTTTTGAGTCAGAAGCCTGGTGTGAACGTTATATTTTCTAGACAGTTAGCTACCCTACACCTATATTTGACTCTGCCTTCTACTCAGTAGAATCTCATATAATGTCCATATACTGCTATATATACGAGAGGTTGTATCGCATGGATTCTGTATGGTTGTTTGTCGTACAGATGTAAGGTCAATACCAGCGTTGTCAAAATGATTGTAACAATGCGCCTCATAGCTATATTCTAGTAACGTCCACAATAATAGCAAGTATATATTTTCTGTACTTATCTATGATAACATGCCCTTGACACTCTCCTAAGAAGACAATAGACTTCGTGGGATACCGTCCTAAGCAATGACCGGTCAATACCGAATCACCGCCCACATGCACTTCCGGACCTCCGAACCATGTCCGCCCCGGCCCCGGAAAAATGAGACCCCACTCAACTCCGATAGCCTCCGTCTTGTCCTCTCGAGTAGCCATTACCAAGGTAGATTTTATCTGTAGACCAAGATGCCTAGTTCCATGAAATAGAAAAGTATTAACATATTAGTTATCGAAATATGAATGTATAACACTTTGCTCATCATGTTTCAACTACGCGTACCATAGACTTTACAGCGTGACGTTGCTCACATGAGCCGTTGAGGCGCAGCGCTAGGTATTTTCCTCACCCTCATCAACCTCAACACCAAACCTCAACACCAACAGCAGGAAATAATTATCTATTTATCCCAGATACCGAAAACTTGATACATATATAGAATCCGTAGATATATACTATACTATCTATGGTTCGGTTGAATACTCAGTGTTAAAAAGCCGTCACACACAAGAACAACCCTATATTCGTTTCCCTATCTGGACGCTTCAACCCCTCCTGACCTCGGTCGGATCTTGGCACAAAGAACCTCAAACCTCAAGGTCTTTTTTACTTCTTCAAACCTCACTACCCCCAAAACCTTCCATCGTACCTTACTCCACCCTATCATACTTCGCCATCTGAGACCTCAGCCCTCACGTATCAGTTCAAACACAGCCACTTCAACACTCACCAAGTGACTATGGGTAATTGCTGTGGAAAGACAGACCCCGAGGCCTTCTCACAACCAGGCCGGGTCTTGGGTTCCGCACCGCCCCCAACAGCCGGTACGGCGCCAGTTCCCAAGACAGTTGGAGGCCCGCCGCGGACTCTCGGGGGTGGATCAGTCGCTGAGGCTTCAGCCGATGCGGATAACGCGCGCAGGAGAGCCGCGGAAGCTGCAGAGGTAAGGAGCTCCAAACCCCGTGTCGCTCGCTAGTCGCGCGACATATGCGCTGTTGTAAATGTTGTGATGAACAGTGACTGATTGAAAAGTACAGGCTCGCGCCAAAGCCGCGTCAAAGCCAGGCGGAAAGTTGCAGACACAGCTCGCGGCGCAAAAGAAGCAGACTCGGTCAGAAACACTCAAGGACGCCAGTCAAGAGCAGCTTCGAGCGCGTGAGACCGACCAAGCAGCCGAGACACGTAATTGGGATTAATACCATTGCTGTAGTTTCCCAAAGGCAGGTCTCGTGACAGCAAGCCTGCGATAGAGATACGAGGAACAGGCAGCCGTATTAGGTTTGAGGGCAGCGTTTTCACATCTTCATAGTCCATGGACGGGTGGGGATTGTTTGGCTTATGTTATTACTGAGTTGGCATTTTTGTTTTACAGCATTTTCATACTACAATTATAGACACAGGAGTCCACACAACACACACATGCTTGGATTCACACGAGTAAGCAGTAAGAAGCGTGTCGCAAACATCCTTATCAGTACCCAAAATCCCTGTACAGGGCCTTCCCTTTTCAGTAGGCTTCTAACGCCATCATTAACTCCTATATTTATACATTTTCTTCTGCTTCTCGAAATTCCTCTCCCGCAGCGCCGTCTCCCAACAGTGTAGCCCCATACAAGAGTACCCAGTAAATACAGTATAGAATACTCTTGGAGCAAAGAGCAGATAGAACCAAGCAACTTTATGTAATCGTGTATCGTCCACTGGCTGGTGCTCGACTGTCGGCATCCACGGCAGCAATTGTTCCCTCTTTCAGCAGGCGTGTAAGTTCGCTCAAGGCGGAACCAACAACAACCTCGGTATCTCCCTCGATGAGAATATACAGCTTCGGTTCGGATCCAGCAGGCACCTCCTTGCCTGGCGGATAAAAGTTGCCCTTCGTCGTGATCGACGTACCCGTGGCTTCGAGAATCTTGGCCACGTTGGTTCTGTTGGTGACGGCCCATCTGGCCTTTTGAGGGAAATCGTTGATTTCCAAAGTAGCGTGGTATGCACCAGCATCGGGACCCTTGTTGTCGATTGGTTGACCAGCACGAAGCTGCCCAGCCTTTCCGAGACGGCTATTGATGGCGCTGACTGCCGAACTGACCTTGTCCAGTGGGTCCTTGGCTTTGCCCTTCACAACGGGAGTATTGGCCGCTTGTTGAATGGCCTTTGATTCTCCACTGTCGGCCGCCTTTGCTGCTGTCTCGCGAGCCAGCACGCCAGACGCGGCGGCTCGGATAGCCTCGAAAGCCTTTTCTCCCTTATCGTCCTCATCCTCCTTCTTGTCCTCCTTTACTTCTTCCTCCTCACCCTCAGCCTTATGAGTTTTACGCTCACGCAGGCGAGCCGCCTCTCGTTCTTGATCGAGACGATCAAGACCCTTGCCACCAAAGCCAGATGTGTCTTTGGCTTTACCTGTCTTGACTTTCTCACGATGAGCTTTTCTCATCTCGTTCAACCTCTCAGGTACAGGTTGCCCACTCTGTTCAAGAGCCTTAGCAATACCTGGTGCGCAATTTTCCTGTTCTGGTGTAACAAAAGTGACAGCAACACCAGTATTGCCAGCACGACCAGTTCGACCAGCGCGATGCACATAATCTTCCAGATGGTTGGGCGCATCATAGTTGATGACAAGCTTGAGCTGCTTAACATCCAGACCACGGGCTGCTACCGAAGTGGCAATCAGAATAGGCACTACACCCTTTTTGAAATCTGAAATGGTGGAATCACGATCGATTTGATCTTTGCCTCCGTGAATTGACATGCAAGGGTAACCCTTGATCATTAGTTCTTTGAGTAAATCGTCGGCCTTCTCTTGCCGTTCAACAAAGATGAGAGTACGAGCATCTTCGTCACGATCGTAGAGTTCTCCGAGAAGTTCAAGAATGCGGTGAAACTTGGACGGTTCGTCTCGAACTTCGACAATCTGCTCAATCTCCTTGGCAACGACACTGCGTCCACCAACAGTAACTTCAATTGGGTTTTTGAGTACCTTCTTGGTCAGCGAGTCGATGATACGGGGCATGGTAGCAGAGAAAAGAATAGTCTGTCTGTCGGGTCGCATGTTTGCAAAGATTTTCATGACCTGAGGCTCGAAGCCCATGTCGAACATTCGATCAGCTTCATCAAGCACAACATACGTAACCCTCTTCAAATTGGTGACTCGACCTTGGTTTGCAGCTAAAAGATCAATCATGCGACCTGGGGTGCAAACAATGACTTCAGCACCGCGCTTCAGCTCAGCGATCTGATCTCTGATGGGCGCTCCGCCATAAGCACAAACAGCTCTCAGGCCCATCATTTTGAGAAAAGGCTTGCAGTCTTTGTGAATCTGAACTGCAAGTTCTCGAGTTGGAGTCATGATCAATCCAATAGGACCATCTGTGTCCTTGAGAGAAGGCTGATCCTTGATGTGTCGGAACATAGGAAGTAGAAATGCAACCGTCTTTCCAGAACCAGTCTTGGCCACTCCAATAACATCACGTCCGGACATGAGAGCCGGAAGAGCCTGCATCTGAATAGGAGTGGGCTTCTCATAACCTAGTTGGTCGACGACATCTAGTGTCTGCCGCGTGAGACCACATTGAGCCCACTTCTGAACCGGCTTGGGAACGTCCTTGCCGTTGACTTTAATGCCATCCAGTTCCAGACGAAGATCGGCCACTTCGGCCTCTGTAAGAAGACCGAGCTCAGCCGGCTCTACCCAGAAATTCTTGCGGATAGGCTCGATATCAATCTTGGTGTAATCAATTGTTGGGATATCCTTCTTCTTCCGCTTCGCCGTCATAGCCAGCAAAGCACTTGCGTCACCCTCGTCCTTCTTGTTGAAGTCGTATTCATCGTCGCTGAAGTAGGCCTCGGGTTCCTGAACCTTTAGCGTTTTGGTTGCCTTAGCAGGCTGCTTCACATCCTTCAGATCAGCCATGAATGCATCCAGAGGGTCAACGTCGTCTTCCTCGTCAACTTCCATTTGCGTGACAGCGTCAGGTTGAGTAGCGTCGTTGCTCACTGTCGCATCTCCGTTTGTCTGAGTCGTTGTTTGGGGCTCGTCTTCGCCTGTATCCATCTGGTTTTCTGCCTGCAACCTCCTCTCGTGAGCTGCACGAGCGGCGGCAGCAGCCTCCTCTTCAGTCTCAGCGAAGTTGTCTACATCAGATTCATCCTCATCCTGGTCAGCATATGGGGTATCGTCCGCCTCGATGGGCAGTGCAGGAAGCTTTGTGAGTTTTCGCTTCGTAGTATCTTCCTCGTCCAAGTCAAGTTTGCGTTTAGAAGGGAGCTTATCGCTCTCTGCATTGCTCTTTACGAAACCAAACCCACTAGCCTTTGTTCGATTTGCAGGAAGGGCAGACGCTGAAACAATTTCGTCAGTTGAGCCCAGGGAGCGAGAAGAAGATATAGACATACCAGTGGCGGCCTGCTTAACAGGCACTGCAAGCTTTTCAGGCTGGCCTTCTAAAGCGCCCAGGGCTGGCTTTGCAGCGTCATGCGCCCGGGATGCAGCCGATTTCTTTGCGATGGCCTTGGGATCAAACTTGCCGGAATAAGGGGCTATAGGAGATGCGACAGAGGGTGTTGCTACAGGTGAAGCAGTAGCGGAGACTGACGGGGAAACGGTCTTTGATGATGGCCCGCTCGTCTTTTTGTCCATTTCAGCCAAGAGGTTCCGTGTCTGGCTTGGGTTTACCTCTTTTTGTTTCTGACTTGCATTCTCCTTCTTTTTCTTCCAGGCCTCAAGTTTGGCGAGTCGCTCAGCCTTCTTGTCCACCTCGGCTTGTCCAGCATCGGTCTTGGGGGTATGCGCCTGTAATCGGTCAGCAATACTTTCAATTGAGAAGGACGGGCTTCGAACCTCATTGCTACCAGCGTTTCCGCTGTCGCCAAGCGGTGTTTTCTGTGGTTTGCCATCTTCACGGTTGCTACGAGCAAGGGAGTCAGCCGTACCCTCACGGCGCCCAGGAGCGTGGTTGCGGGAGTCGTCTCGCCTTCTCACGTCCCGATCATTCTCTCGGCTGCGATTGCGTCGGCGGTCGGGTGATCGGATGCGATCATCGTAGCGGTCCCGCGATCTTCGGCGATCTCTTTCTCGATTATCCCGTCGTCCACCCCGGTAGTAGTTGTCGTCACGTCGATCTATCGAGCGTTCTCTTCGGCGATAATAATCTTGTTCTCGCCCGCGGTCTCTGTCTCTATCGCGGTCACGGTTTCGGGGCTGTTTACGGATTAAATCGTCAGAATAAAGTCGACCAGATGTGGAATGATGCCTTCTCACGTCTGGGCTGCGCGTTCTGCTACGTCGACGGTTGTCTCTTCCATCGTTGCGACGATCCCTATTCCGGCGATCATCATTACGGTGACGACGAGAACTGTGGGTGCTGCCTGCAGGACTTGGTGAGCGTGAGTCTCTCGGCCGAGCCATTGTTGGTGGTTTCGCAGGCTCAGCAGGACACTTCGTTGGTGAGTAGTACTTTCAAGCGATAGACCGAAGCCTTGGCAATGCGCGATGGCGCGAGATCGCGTGTTGTCGCCTGGCGCAAGTTTGTCGAGTATCTGGGAGTCTCTATTAGACTTCGTTTCAAGCAAATGAAGAGTCGTGACCCGCCTCGAGTTCCGAGAAGATGCAGTAAGGAGGGGTTGAATGATCTGCTTGTAGTTGAAACTGGTAGATGAAGGCAGATGAATATGATGGCTTAAAGTCTGGGGATAATCCGTTAGCCGATTTTTAACCATCAGGCAGGTACCCACAATCACAAGCAACAGAGCCGCGCTAAACCGAAAGGGTTTCAGTTGAACGGCATCAACGCTACAGACGCGACGTCAGTTTCGTCTATTTATCATCTACACATTAAAGCGTTGATAATGGCTGGACTTGTTGCATATGCAAGCAGCGATGAAGAAGAGGATGTTCAGGAGGTGACCCCTCCTGCTCCAGAAGAAAAGACAGTAAGAGCCCAGTGAGGAATCTCTAAACAAAGTCAGACAACTTATCTCACTTCTTATAGGAACCTACGAAAGATGCAGTAAATATCAAATCACAAAACAAAGGCACAGAGCTGAAAAAGAATGAACCAGGTGGGTATACATTCTCTCATTCTTTATAACCATTGAATCTGTGTCAATCATAACACTAATGCTCATTATGCAGCAACTGGGTCTCAGAGCCTTGACGCTGCAGCCATTGGGCCCGTCCAACAAAACTCAGTGCCTTTAGGACCGTCTTTACCGCCTATGGAAGAAGCTGTTGTGGACGAACAAGACCCAACATACAGACCTGTATCACCTTATTCTGCCAATCGTGCTCTTCTGCGCGATCTCACATTGCCATCAGCCCCTAATCTGGACATTCCACCATCACCGCCCGGATCACCACCACCAGGGGCCAACAAGAAGTTTGAGCAGTTTCTCGAGCTCAAAAAGAAAGGAACTCACTTCAACGCCAAGCTGGAACAGTCGTCCGCACTGAAAAATCCCAGTCTGATGGATAAACTGATGAGGTTTGTCGAGGTTGATGAACGTAGTCAGTATTCGACAACGTTGCCTACCGACTTATGGAATCCATCTGCTTTTCCAGAATGGGCGTTCAAAGACAAGCTACGGAAGTGCCACGATAAGGTATTGAAGGATAAGGAAGCGGAGAGAACGACTGGCACCCGAACGGCTGTTGATTTTGTACCACCAACAACCTCAGTGACTCAGGATACATCAGCAAGGGGGGGAATTTCACGAGGCGAGAAACGAAAAAGTGGATGGAATTAAGGACGAGTTCGCGAATATTCAACAAAAACTTTACAATTGTTCTCTTGAACCTGGACGGAAGTCAAGCCAAGGTTAAGATTCGACGATTTGAGGGTTGGAAATCTGGATCTGAATTCCTACTGAACATATATGGCGACCCGCATCAAAGGTATCATTATAAGCGCAATACGCCTTTGGTCAAAACACCACCTAGCTTTACATTAATCGACCGAACGGCCTACATATCATCCATTCCTGAAGGACCTGCAAAATCATAGACCGTTTGTTCCCACCGATGAGATTCGTACACGATCCGAAACCCGAAGTACCTTAAAATCAATCCTTCTTATCGCTCTTGCACTTGACAGTGTACTTAAGATCCTTCTTCAGAATGGCGCCAATGTCGATCTCGACTGTTTGGTTTGAGCTGGCCAATGCTGCGGCGAAATAGGTAAGGTTCTCGCCGTGGTTGACGACGGACTTGCCCAACAGCTTGAATGGAAGGATGCCTGTCTTGCAGTATGGCTCCTGCTGAACAGCATTGAGGATGATACTCTGGTTCATGCTGGCAGTGATGTTGACAACGTTGTCACCTGGCTTGAGAACCAAGTTTGGAATGGTAAGGGTACCAACTTCCACGTCTCCGACAAAATTCCTGAAGGTGACATTTCCCTAAAGATTTTGTAAGCTTGGCAGTTGAAACGAGTATGAAGAATAACTTACATTGTCTAGTGTGAAAACCGAGGCATTAGGAATAGTGGTGGTGCCGTTGAAGTTGGGCTCATCTTTGCCATCGCCAAACCCGATGTGGCCGTCGTTGACCGTGGTGCCGGCGAAATGGTTTAGGCCCTTGAGCTCCACTGTCTTCTTGAAGGTGACACCGTACTTGCGCGGGAGACCCTTTGGCTGGACCTTTGTCTTTCCGTAGACGGTGACACGTACTGTCTCGTTGTTGTGGAACCAGACGTTGAAGCGAGTGAACTCGTCCAAATCGGCGATCTTTACGTGTTGGGAGACGTTGACGCTCTGGTGCTTGTTGCTGTTTGTCTCGGGCATGTCAACTGTCGCAAAGGCCTTGTGGGCCGGCCAGTCCTCGAGATACATTTCAGCCTCAAAGGGGTCAATCTTGGCATGGATCTTGCCATCGGTTGTGATGGTGGAATCGATCTCCATAAGGTAGGCATTTCCCTCGGTCTCGAGAATTCGAGTGGCTTGGATTTCGAGCTCGGCATCGTTGATCTTGCTCTGTGCAATTTTGGGAACGGCAACAAGAATTCTAAGGAGTAAGGTCAGTTCTGCGAACAAGTGTTTTGAAAGTACAAGCGCCTTGCAACTTACATGACAGGAACGACGATGACAACAATGACACAGAGAATGATAAGATGTACCCACCAGAAGCGCTTGCAGTGTCGTGCGCAGGTTCTGTTCTTTCTAGGGGCGGTACCATTTTCGGTCTGGGTCACCTCGTTCTTTTCCGACATGTTGACTTGGAGATGCTGGTGGATGACCAAGCAGAGGGATATGTAAGTGGATAGGGGGATATGGAATTGTTTCGTGGAGGTGAAGGAGAACAAAACAATTCAACCTTCCAAATAAGAGTCAAAGTAAAAAGGGAACAAGGACCTAGTTTAAGTACTACCTTCCTTACCCTGACCAAACGTTGCGGCGTAAAAGAGGAAGGAAGGAATTTAACGGGTAGTTACTTAGTTACTAAGTCAGTTACCTTCTGTAGCAATCTGCATCTGCATCTGCATCTCCAATCCATACAAAGCAGCCCCCAGTTCCAGTCCCAGCCGCAGCCTTCAACCTCTTTTGGCCGGACTAGATCGCCATGATCCGAGTCCCTTTGCATCTGTACCCGGGCATTGACTGCCCTAATAGGCAAGTGACCGAAGAGCGACACGGCGCTATTCCCCAGATTTGCCCCGCATGGGTTCTAGTGGTGGGGTTTTGGTGGAGAAGAGAGACTCCCGACTCCATATGATACTGCTAGACCCTAGTCAACGCCCTCTCCGTTATACCAATTTAAATGTTCCTCGGCAGCTTGTGACCACATGAAAAAAAAAAGTGAAAAAAGGATTTGTTTGCTTTTAGGAATGGCTCACATCCCTGTTCGACGTCGCCGGAATTACTTCAAAGAACGGACGATGCCCGGCATTCACACCCCTCGCTGCAGCAATATCTACACTGCGGAGTAGACGCCTCACAAAATTGTATCAGAAAGCAGAACGATCGACCTGATACAGCGTTGTTCAGCACAACACTACTGCCATGAACCTTGCCGCTGATTGACTTCAGCAAAGCTTGTTTATGAGACGGTTAGTGCTGTAGAATTAGAAGGATGAACTGGGCCGAGTTTGCATGTCACATGGAACAACACATGGGAAACAATATTGACGGACTTACAGCAATTCGCCGCTTAACAAAATATACGAATTGTGTGGTTGCAACAGTGCAGTCTTCAAGTTTATTCGACAATCACTTTCCCGAGACGTCCGTGAATGGAATTATCTGGATCTTGCACGGCCAAAGAGAGTGTATACAAATCTAGTGTTACTATACTGACTTTACGTTAAACACAAGCGACTGTGTCGGAAAGGGGATAAGTACTCCAAGCTCCGGATTTAAGAACAACACTGTGACCCTACAGAAAAAAAAAGAGTTGCACGCGACACTTACAACGCTTGCTAATTAAAGAGAACCAACCACAAGGGACGATTTACCAGTTACTCCAAGCTATGTCCTGGATGTGTCATAACTCGATTATCAACGTCCATTGATCAAGAGGCAGCCAGACTACTAGTTGACCAAGAAAGATGGAATGTTCGACCAACAGATATGCATCCTTGAGAGTTGAGTCCAAGATTCTAAGTCAGTATTACTACGTAGCACCGTAGATAGTGCCACTCGTCGGCTTTTCGATACACACCAAAAACAATTAAAGTTGCGCAGTGGCGTGGCCACAACAACCAACCAACTCGATGTTTCTTTGACAGGACTGACACGACACGCCACATGAAAAGTGACATTTAAGCCTTGGACTGGCTCAAAGGGGGGAACACAACTCAGCAACATGAGGGGTTCGTCCGTTCAGCTCAGAAATAACTTCACTTCACACCCATGTCATGTGTCATGCGTCCCCCTCTGGAAGGGCCGGCTGCGACACACCATCTCGGCCGGAACATCCACTGAAGGAATGGTTTGATTACCAGGATTTCAGGTTTCTTCTCCATGACCAGGGATGTTGAATATTAACTCGATTTGATTTGGTGGACCGTTGTCCCTGCATAGTCTACTCCGGATAGGTCATTGGCTGGCCAGGCGATATCTAATTGCCTACCGTTGAGTGATCGATCACCAGTAAACTGAAAGACAAGTGCTTAAAGTGTTTCAAAATCGATGAGGGAGAATTAATCTGGGATCGCTAATACGAGATTCCGTTTCATTGTCTTTACGACTCAGACGACATCCTGATATCCTGACAAACTGTGCCGCACAATCCCATCTGACACTATGACCAACCCCTTGGCCTGCTGTTGTAGTAACCAACAACCCTCACTCAACTTACATTGTTACAAGCTGTTCGAGATCTATTCCTTTCCCCCTCACTCATCCCCGGAAAACAACAATCTTGGCAAGCCTAACAACACCTAAAATGGTCTTTCCAAAGACCTACCGCTGCTGCCGCTTACAACGCGCAGTAGGGGAGCAGGGGTCTAGTTTCCGCGGTGGGGAATTGACGAGATCTCGTGTTTTAGCCGAGGCTGCGTTTTGACATATGAAGACACTATCGCCGTGTGCTGCGATTACCTTACAGCTTAGACTTTGTCCACAAGCCTTGACGATCCAGCCCGGCATCTCCATCGTAGATATCTCGTTCCACTTGTCGAGCATTGACCTGCCAAGCCAGTTAGTCGAGATCGCCAAGTAGGGGCCGACCGAGCGGGGTCTGGGGAAAAGAGGAGAGAAAAGCTGGGGGAAATCTCACAAATCTAGGTCCAAGCTCCGAGATGTTCTGAGCTCCGAGTAATCGCATAGCTGTCGCTGTTTCCTCCGCGAGAACTGTTTTTTCACGTGTTAACTATACTTCGAACAAAGCTTGGCAATCACAGGCTTCAACTTACTCTCAAGTGTTCGTTCCACGCCTGCTTGACCACCAGCTCCGAGTCCAAAGAGGGCAGCGCGCCCAATACCAACTCCGCTAGCACCTAAGCACAGTGCCTTTACGACATCTGTTCCTCGCTTTATTCCTCCGTCAACCCATATTTGGACTTTGCTCAGAATCTCAGGGCAGTACTTTCGAATCTCGAGAAGCGTGTGGATAGCCGGAGGAGCTGTGTCGGCGGCACGACCGCCGTGGTTGGACAAGATGATTGCCTTTACTTGAGGGGCATACTTCGCCGCCAGGAAGGCATCCTCGTGAGTCTGGAGACCTTTGAGAACGATGGGCAAATCGGTGTGAGCTGCCAGCCAGGGAAGGGTTGTCTTCCACGTCAAGTCGCAAGCTGTACCGAAGAAAAGCTGCTGGCCAACACCTCCGGCACCAGGCTTGCTCTCGCCGCTGGCGGGACTGGGCTCAGAGTAGTCAAAGTTCTGCTTCTCGTCTAGCTCACGCTTTCCAGGAACAGGCGCATCTAGCGTCAAGCAGACAAACTTGTAGTAGTCGCGCATGGAGTTGATGCGCTTCAGCATGGTCTCACTCTTGTCGCGCTGGTTCTGAACGTAGAGCTGCCAGCCAAAGGTCTGGCCCGGCTTCACGCCCTCGATAATTTGCTCCGGGGTCATGGAGGCGTTGTTGGAGACAATCTGCATGGCGCCAAACCGAGAGCACGCCTTGGCAATGCCTTGCTCACCATCGGGATGAGCCAAGCGGGCCATTGCGGCCGGCGATACAAAAATTGGCAGTCCGACTTTGTTGCCGATCAATGTTGTAGAGACGTCGCAAGCTGTGCAGTCGACAAAAACTCGCGGTCGGAGTAAGATATTTCTATAGACATGGTTGTTGTAGCTCTTGGAGAAGAGGTCGTCAGCGGCAGAGAAGTAGTATGCCCACGCCTTCTTAGAGATGCGCTTTGTAGCCTCTTCCTCAATCTCATCGAGGTTCATAAGTGATTCGATTGGCGGCGGCCGGTCGTCTTGAGCCTGTGCAGTGGCCTTTTCGCCGGTCGATTGGGACGTGCTGAGTGTCTCGGGATTGACTTCACCGAGGATGTTCTCGGGCTTGAGGTTCTCTTCGAGGGTTCCAGGCGGGTGAACGGGGTCATATTCATCGGTGGCGTCCTTCCCAGCGAGCTTGAGGATGATCTTTTTACCGCCTGGGTGAGAGGGCAAGAATTCCGTTACATCATAGACCTTGCCGTAGAGGATCACCCAGCAGCTTTCTGGAGTATTGTGCTTGGCGACTATCGCGGAGTGTGTGTTAGTGAATTGCGCCCTCTGTTGACTTGACATTGTTGAGAGTCGAATTGGAGTCGCTCATACCTTCGGCCGCGTCAAAGACCTTTGCCATTATGGAGGACCTGAAGAATGTGAGGTGGTACAGATGGGTATATACAAAGACAAGCAAGACAATTGAGTGTTGCAAGGATGAAGAAAGGAAGAAAAGAGATGGAAAATGGGATTGGAATGTTTAGTTGAATGTTGAGACCAAAGTCTGGGGATCTACGGATACGGAGTCCAACTCGGTAGACACTATCCCGCCTCCAATTAGGTTCTATTCTCGGGATTGGGGGTTTCGTTGGGGGTGCACAGAGGTTATGAGGGGAGATTCAGTAGGAACAAGAGCAGAAAAAACAAAATCAAGCGACATGAATCGTACGGATCCTCTCATGAGCAGGGATGCATATGTAATCTACATTGAAAGCCATCAATTTCATGGCTCATGAGAGACCGTTTCCATTACATTGTCCCCTATTGAATCGGACTAGATCCCGATCATGACCGCCGTCCTTGGCCGAACATGGAGCTCATTGTTTCCCAGTAAAGTACCGATACTTATCATAGACTTCGGTCCACACCCTTATCGCCTATGGAGCACTATTCTTCATGTCCCTGTACCAAGCCCATCATGACAAGAAGCGCCACAGAACAAAGCCACATGACAGCCACTGCCGATGAGGTCAATACACGCTAAGAATTTATCATTACGACATTGAAAACCACAGCTACTCAGTCCAAAGTCGCAACAATCTCTGCTTGCGTCTTGCTACAATCTTTCCCGCCTTCGCTTCAGCTATTCCCGGTTTCGACGACTTGCAATCCTTCGTTCGAACTGTGCGCATTGCAATTAATAGAAGTATGCGACCCTCTATCACCTCGCCTGCCGTGCGCGATCTTTCTCGGCTTTGTGTCCGGTGTCAACTCCGAGTTCGCCGAGCATCAACTCTTACACCCTCATATCGACCCTCTGCGGCAGCAACATCTACACAGCGCCATGTAGCTCCCGCAGCGGTCTTCCAGGGCCCAACAGAGCCCTTCGCCTACGTCCGCTCCGTATCCAGTGCCGCACAGTCTGAGTCTCGGCCGTCCTCCAGCGCACCACCATCCACGCATTACCACCTTTTCCCTGAGACTCTTCCAGATGGTCCCCCTCCGGCGGGTCACTTCCCTATCGACACACGCGCCTTGCGCCGTGAGTTCCTCCGTCTGCAGGCCCGTGCCCATCCGGATATGCACCCGGCGCGAGACAAGGTCCGCGCAGAGGCTACGTCGGCGCTCATAAACGAGGCTTATAAGACGCTCTCCAACCCTCTTCTGCGAGCGCAATATCTGCTCTCCCTGCGAGGCGTGGATGTTGCCAATGATGAGACTCTGAAAGTGGAAGAACCTGAATTGTTGATGCTCGTGCTTGAGGCGCGCGAGGAGATCGAGGATGCTGAGCACGAGGAGGATCTGGACGAACCTCGTGCCGCCAATGATGCGCGCATCGCAGAAAGCGAACAAATTCTAGAGCGCGCTTTCCAGAATGACGATATCGAGGCTGCCAAGCACGAGGCTGTGCGTCTTCGTTATTGGGTCAACATCAAAGAGAGCCTAGATGACTGGGAGAGGGGCAAAGATGTTGTCCTGCAGCATTAGGTATGGGTCGGATTTGCGGAAGCTAACACTCATATGCCGTTCATGACCAGGGCTGTATTGCTGAACCTGGATCGAAACGACACGAGATGCATCCTCATTCTGGGGCACTCTTTTCTCGCAACTGGAGGGTGTAAAAAGCACGGTCTGTTGTGTCCGTCACTCCCCTACTCTGTATTATATTGTCAATCTTGTATACCACTCATGTATGATTAATGAAACACTTAGACTGTGGAGTCAAATCCACATTATGAATTCAATCACTTGAAGGTTGAAATCCTGGGGGAACCCCTGAATTATATCGGGAACAAAACTCAAAGTTGGCCATTCGTATCCAACATTATTGATATATATCGTAGTTTAGCTCGCATCATGTACCCAAACGCCAAGATTGCCCCCGCAATTATACAATATACCCATCGTAATCCATACACTCGTACGCCTATACAATACACTCTAGCTCAAATTGATATCAACTCATCTTTGGTATGCCGGCAGCTGTTCAGCATCCACACGTCTTGAACTACTAGACGGTCCTGCACTGGACCCGTATCCTGGGTACTCGTCGTAATCGTCCACCATAGGAGCGCTTGGTGCAGTGACTTCCGCATTAACTTCAACCTCCCTCGATGGCCCGTCGTTTCTTCTTCGCTGCATATCCTCAGGAACATCCGGTGGAGCACTGGCTTCGTTCAAAAGACGCCGACGTTCAAGTTCCTGTTTGTCTTCCACGTCTCCAGGCGGTGGCGCCGTTGCCAACTCAATATCATCTTCTGTAGGCGCAGAGGGACCTGCTTCAGGAGCACTGGGCGCGCTTGGAACAAAGCTGCTACTGAGGTCAGGGACTCGAGGGGTGTCCTCAGCATCGTAAATGTCTTCATCATCCTGGCTCATTGATGGCCCCGCTTCAGGAGGCTGGCTAGGTAACAATCGTGTTTCGGCCTGCCGAACTCTCTCCTTTTCCGAAAGACTGCCTTGGTTAGGTATCTCGGGAGGAGGAATATACGAAGGAGCAGCTCCGGCATGGCCAAAGCCGTTACTGCATGGCCCAGAGAATTCCGGTGGCGAATGTGATGGCGGTTGCAAGGGAGCTACTTGTGAATATGGCTGTGGTGGGTGAGAGGGAATAGGCTGAAGTCGACTCCCGTTGGCGTGCGTCGGGAAATAACCACCGGGAGAGCGCGGTGCGTCGTCGGCATAGTTTGGTTCCCGGCCTATCGTGTCCTCCTCATCGCTCTCAAAAATCTGTACACTCCGTGACCTTGGTGAGACTCTGGACTTTTTCCTGCCACGAGACGAGTCAATCGTGCCCACAACAGTCTCCATCGAGACCGCAATGACCCCTTTTTCATGACGCATTTGGGAAGTGTCTGCAATATTAGCACCTCTTCTCGGACCGTACGTGTGATTGTCTGTGGTTCCATGGCCATAAGGTCCAAATCTCGACGGGCCGGTTTGCATTTGATTTGATAGTCTTCCACCAAGGTCAACAACCACCTCGACCAAGTACTTGAAGCTGATCATCTCTCCAGGGACACCCTTAATTGTCGGAAAGGAGTCATCTGGCAGCTTAACAGTAACTGTAACCGAGGTTTGCATGGTGCTAGGGTCGATAATCAGCGGTGCAATGTTCTGATCGAGATCTTTGCGGAATATGCTCGTGGATCCCGATGAGGTCAGCGATAGACCTCCCAGTCCAGTCCGTGATCGCGGAAACACCTCCTCCTTATCAACACGCGCCGCATCGTCGCGGCCCGCAGACCCGTCAAAGAGAGCATTTGGTGGGTTGCTGTCGATCTTGCCCTGTCTGAGTAGTGTAACAATTACACCTGTCAAGCTCTTCACCCGCTTAGTATGCTGAACCGTGACCCTCACGGAGATAGCATCGCCTGGCAAGCAGCCACCTTTGAGCAGCTCTATCGTCGCCGTGATCGTCTTTTTATCAACCGCCTGTTGCTTTGCCGATGTGAGTGTCCCTACTTGGGACAGGGCAGCCTCCGGTCTACTGAAGCTCGTACTGTTGCTGACACCACTTTCCCCACTGACTTCGCTTCGCATGTCACTCTGAATTGGGCTCCTAGGATCCGCATTGTGTTCTCGAAGATCTTCTGTTGGCGTCTCTATCGGGTCTTGCTCTGTATTGACTTCACTGACCTCGGATGGTGAAGTAGCCGATTTGTCAAGTACCATGGATTTTCTCCTCCGGTTTCGTTTTGATATAGGTTCGAGAAAGATAGTGCGAGGTCGAGGGGTCTGTAGTAGGCCAACATCCACGTTTTCTACTAACATCACTTTCCTCTCGCAAGATGACGTCGGTGCAATCGAGGTTGGTCGAGTAAGCGTCGCTGTAACCATGTATGAAACTGTCCCTCGCTCAAACTACCCGGTAAGTTAGCAATCGTGCAGTTTCGAATAGCAATCGATGGGCCTACGTCAATACTGCTTGGCAGCCCCTTGCCAGGAAACATGAGGTCAAATCCGAATTCATATCTGCCTGGCTCCAACCTTCCCTCACCACTCAGCACCTGCTCATCCTGAAAAAGACTAGCCAGTCCATTGCCGTGATATCTTGGACGTGCTGAGTCGCCATTTTGCGGTAGTACAATATTTCCTTGGGCCTTGGCGACTGAAGTTGGATCCTTAAGCACACGAACATATCCATGCAGTGATACGGTTAGATGAGTAATTCGAACTGGCTTTACGATAACGATGACGACAGCACCACGCACATTGTCGCCAGCGCTATATCGACGGTGAGGCTCTTCAGCACGAATGTGAAAGTCGGCGACATTGCGATTTCGATTGCGCAAAGGGAGTGAGAAGGGGGAACTGAGGCGCGAAAGAAATCTCGGGCGCGTTGAAGACTTGGTGGATGCGGCGGGGGAGGTCGCCCGAGGGGCGGGAGACGTCGCCAAACCAGTGGACTCTGGAGAAGATATCGCGGCGTTATCGGGGGTGTTCGGAGCGGTTGAGTTCGTGAGGCCAGGGGCTTCTGTAGGTTTTGAGAACGTCGGAGAGGATCTCGACCGGCGGCCCATTCCCAGACGTGATGCCAACGGCATAAGACCAAGGATCCAAGGTCGATGTCGACGTCGAGTTTAGAAAACTGACGTCGCGAGCCTTGGAGCAGAAGCTCTCAGCCTTGTGGTGCTGGTGGTATTTTGTATCGGGCGACCGTTGAGGTATATGCATACGGGTGCTCGAACGTTGAAGCAGAGGCGTTTAGCCTGTGGGCGCGTCGGCGGCGGTTACGGCTGCGTGTTCTAAGCCTACAGGAGGGGTACGAGTAGGTGCGGGATCGACATCCAAGAAATCGGCCTAGGAAACGAAAGAGCGAATTCCGATCAGAGATACGAATAATACTATAGATGGATAAGGGAAGAAAAGTTGATTGTGAGCGAGTGACGAATGTCGGGTTGCGGAGGCGGAGGTGGATGACCACCACGGAAGTAGCTGGAGAAAGAGTGACGGACGATACCTAGATTAACTAGCACTACCTAGCACCTGTAAGTCAGCCACGATAGAAGGTTTACAATCGCGGGACGGACGGGAGGGGGGGCGAGAACCAATTGGAAAGGTACCTTCCTAGCGCCTGCAGAAGTGGGACGAGCCCTGTAGCGCCCCGTAGCATCTTCCGAACGGTGTCGGGCACGATATGAATGGAGTGCCTGCAGTTAGAACATGCATTTCAGGGCATGACAGGAACAGTTGACAATGACCTCTCACACATAATATCTTTTTACATACTTCATATCTCCAATGCGCCAACTGTACTGTTTAACTCTACAAGTGACGCATCAAAACGTCGATATCGAATCTGCCCTACCTATATAGTTACCTTGCAGATGCCAAGACCTTTCAAGCAATCGCTCTGCCAAGAAAAGCTTGGTCAAGGCCTTGACGAGCTTGGCTCGCATGTCCAGCCAGAAACCTGGGTCCAGGGATGAGAAAAAGGATGAGCCTAAACTAAACAGCTAGCGGGAACGTCCAGCTGAGTACATTCTCCGGCGAAGGCTGCCGGTTACATCCATGACACCACCACAGCCCGGTTTATATATCAAGGACCTCTGAATATCTAGCATTTCTCAATCTGCCAATCTCGCTACTACAATACCCCAGTGGTCGGTGGGAATGCGAAACACCACAATCTTTTGCCGATATATGCTACAGAATTGGTGTGCGGCACGGCTGGATCCAGTACAAACGCTACTGACTGTGACTCGATACACACGTTCCTCAGTGGGACTTTGTCGCGGACGGTGGGCCGTAAGCAACGAACTCTGGGATACAGCAAATGTAGAGGCCTCTGATCACGGTCGCTCTCCTTAGCTGGATGAAGAGTAGATAGATATACACATCAAGGATGGCAGGTCCTGCCGCGTAGTGGATAATGGACAGTAGATTGAGTAAGGATTCGTTATAATCAACTCCGCACAATAGATGGGAGGGAGAGTTTAGCGATATCGGATGTTTGAAGTATGGACAAGCTGCAAATGAGCACTTGGAAACTACGGAGTAGCGAGTGATGCTCAGGCACAGTTTGTTCTTTTTAAACGTATTATTTTGTTCTATGCCATCGTAAACTAGTGGCTGTATTTTGTACATCTATCGTCCTTAAACCACGTGCTATGCCGCGTTTGAATTAACATCCAGGATGACCATCACATCCATGGTATCAATTATCCATCTCAGGGGGTCTGGGTTGCCTCCCAGACCTATGTGACCAACCAACGCAACGCAATGCAATGCAAAACAATGACAAAAAGGGCCCAACCTTGATAGGCCAAGCCGAAAACTCCAAGCAATGATGTACCATGATCCCTTTTTTTCCGATCCATGTTTTCGCAGCCTAATCCAATGCTTCTCCGCTCAAAATGCTCTTTAGAATACCAGTGCCGATGCCGTCGGCTATAGACTCAACCTCCTTCTCTCCAACACAGCTCGTAATTCTTCGTTCGTCTCCTGTAGCGGCAAGAGTCTTGCGGCCTCGCTTGCTGGGTGTCTGCGGTGTGATAAAGCTTCCGCTCTTCCCGTCAGATGCGTTAACCAATCCCAAAGTTTCGAGGCTGCCGGCAACCTCTCTAAATTCAGAGCTAGACAAGGGGTGCAGAACTGAGTCGCGGGTACACAGCTGACAGTACGCATCGAACAAAGTCTTGATGGTTGGCGCCAAAAGTTTCGACTTTGAGGGAGTAGCGCTGCCATTGGTCATCTTGGCAGCAGCTCGGATTCGCTTCTCATAGGCTATCAAGGCACACAGTGCAGCCTTCTGTTGAAGGTTGAGTGCTTTGAGTCGCTGTGTTGTTCCATTGCTGAAAGCAGCTGCTGTGATCTTGTTGAGGTGGCCAATTGAGGCTCGAGGCGCCGTCTCTGCTGTAAGAGCCTTGAGAGTGTTCGCCATAACCTGAACCACGCTCCTCGATCCAGTCGATGCTCCGTTGATATTTTCTCCGAGGGGTCGCTTGGAAGGAGTCATTTGCAGCAGCTCCTCTCTGGCTTCTTCCTCGTGCTTCTGTCGAGTTTCGGTCTCAATTAGGTCCAACGCACGGCGGCAAATCTCAAAAGCCTTGCGAAGATCTCCAGTCTGGCTTGACACTTTGCGAGAGCACAACTCAATGGCAGCGGGGTGGATAAACGGGACATATCCTTCCTTCCCATCTGCAGGCATAAGAGATTTGAGTCGTGAGGTGATGATAGTCTTGACTTGGGTGGCGGTATAGGGGAGGAACGCCAGAAGGTCAGGCTTGAGATTCTTTGCCTTGAGTCGAGGGAGAAATCGATCAGTCAGGTCTAGGGCGTTGGCAATACCGACAAGAATAAGACAAGAGTTCTTTTGTAAGGACCACTCAAATACTCGGTAAAGACTTTCCAAACCCAGCGTCAGAATGTGATCGATCTCGTCCAAGGTAACAAGGTAGACGGGGGACTTTGACTTCGACTTTGACACAAACATTGTTTGCAGAGTTGTGATTGCATCAGCCTCGGAGGCGTCGAAACCTTGACCAAGTGCGCCTAGCAGCGTAGTATAAAGATCTTTAGAAGACTTGACACTCATGCAGTTGACGTAGGCAGACCGGACATCCTCCTGATTGGCATACTGCCGAGTGATCTCGGTGATCATGGCACTCTTGCCGGTACCTGGCGGACCACTCACGTAAAGACAGCCGTTCGGGGTTGATGAAGAATATCGGTTGAGAAACTCGGTTAATTGTGTTCGCTCGGCATCTCGGCCGACAAGTTGGCCAGGCTCAGCTCCTCGAGCAAATAGTGATCGTGCTAAGTGATAGACAGTCTGGATGGTGCTGGGTGAGAGTGGTGTGTGTGGCGTCAATCGTTTGAAAAGTTTGCCTGCCGACATGACAGCATGTCGAGGTGTAGTAGGAGGCACCGATAGGGCATCTCGATGTCGAGGGGTTGAAGGAGTAACGGGGTTGTGCTTCGTTGATACTTGTGAGGGAGATCTTCGAGTTCGGGGAGGTAGCTCGGCCAACACATCGTCATCCTCATCATCAATAAGGGAGTATGCAGGGTCTTCGTTCTCATCGTTGTATGAAACAGTCTTTGCGAGGCGGCGGCTTCGTTTGGGAGGAGTAGCCACTGGGCAGGGCATATCTAAGAATAATAAAGTCAGCAACTGCGAAATGGGAGCAACAGCTTGTTCCTTCCGTCGAGGAGACTCACCAGTTTCATCAATGCCGCGGGCTCTCTTTCCTAATGCTGCTCGAGGCATGGCTGTGATAGTACCTTCCAACTTATGTAGATAATGTACAGATGTAAGTCGATTGCACTTTCCAACAAATAGTGGTATAGGGTTAGGAAAGTAAGAAGTTGCAAGAGAGCTGTACTGGGTGGTGACTGCAGGTTATGTTCAGTGTGGAATATGGAGAATGAGGACCCATCGTTCTTGACATTTCGCGCCAGGAGACGGCAAATCGACGTGTTGAGGTCGCGTACTAAACGCGATGCGCGGACCACGATCAATTAAACAGATGGTCTGTGCATCAGGTCGCGGCAAAATTAGCCACTACACGCCAATTACCACGCGTAAAGGGGATAAATCCCTGCACGTCAAGGATCATCGTGGCATATCTGACTCGTGCGATGATTGGATGCGAATCCGCGATGGGAAAGACAGCCGTTGCTCAGAGACGAGCGAGAAGAGAAGTTCAGCTTGTCTAAATTGATTAGCCAATTCGCTAACGAAGAGCATTGATGTCTATAGCTTCGGAGGTTCCATATTAATTGACTTGCCGTTATGCTGCCAGGCTGTTCAATCTGTAATTATGCCCCATTAACGGTTTCTTGTGCAGGCATTTTGTACCTGTCAGCCCACTTTATCCTCTTGATGGACAGATTTTACAATTCGGAGCCTCGGCTTTGAATAACTCGCTCAAAATGTATTACGTCATTGTCTTTCTGTCAGAAGATATTATCACCCAATTGTCCTGACTTTCAACTACTTCTGCTTCTTCATCTTAATCACTATACCCAGGTGAATTTCAGGCTGTTTTCATCCAATTGTTTATCATGACTACGTATATTCCTGCGCTCACCTTGCCGGACTCGGTTTTCCTCAAGCCGGCTCTGTCCGTCTTGCTACCTATCGGCTTGGGCACGGCTGTTGGCTTCAGCGCTACCCGTATGCTACGCTCTCATGATCACCTCATCAACGATAGAACTAACACAATGTTACAGAGACCCAAAAGACGTATCTTGCACTCAAGAAGCCCTCCGTTCAGCCGCCACCATGGCTGTTTGGTCCTGTCTGGACTGTTCTCTACGGGTAGGATACCTAAACCTTATTTCCTCCCAATTTTATTAAATCTGATCATATTTAGTGTCATGGGTTATGCCGCGTACCGAGTTGCTAACATCGGCCTTTCCCCCTTCTCATCTCCTGAGACTATCGTCAACACCCGGCAGGCAATGACTCTTTACTCTATCCAACTCGGCCTTAACCTTATCTGGACCCCTCTTTTCTTCGGCCTGTATCGTCCCATTGAGGCCTCGGTTGATATTGTAACCTTGCTGGGCGTCAACTGCTATCTCACTTACCTCTACAGCTCCATTGACTCCGTTGCCGCCTGGTGTCAGGTTCCCTACCTCGGCTGGCTCACCTTCGCTACCTACCTATGCACCAGCATTGGCCACTTGAACAACTGGGACTTGTCCGCTAAGGAGGTCAAGAAGCAGTAAAAACATATTTAGTTGTGTCTAGTATATATCGCCAAGCTTCATATGTAGCATTGGCGTTTCAGATGCTCTTGTGTTGGGATCATCATCCAACTCACTCTAACCGTCTATATACCAAGAGATTGCGCCTGCAGCCTTATAATAATTCGTCGAGAACAAAAACCTTCAACTCATGCTCCAGCTCGCCAAACTCATAAAGTGACACTAAGATTTGAACGCCATAGATGTTCTGACCCGCCGCGCCCCAATCCTGAGATAGAACAAAATCTCTTTTCCGATTAACCAATGAAGCTGGTTTAACCACAAACATAACCCTAAAGACACTTTTGACGTCATTGGAAGGGAATGTGTCGCTTTAAACCATCATAAACCATGAAGATAAAAGCAGAGCTTGGCGCTGCTCGGAGGCAGGTAATACCACAACCGCGGTACATGCCTCGTAGCCCATGCTGTTTCCAGACTAAAGAGCCTTCTTGCCAGAATGTTCGCCGTTGTCGGATGTCACTCGTCGCTGTCTGCATCCGTGACTTGATTGTATCTGCAGGAAAGAATATGAAATTGTAAGACACACCCGCTGATGCGCCAGCGAGTGCTTGTTGCCAGAATGGAAGAGGAGTATCGAGGATCTTCTGCTTCTCAATTGGTGATGTAACAGCCTTTGTCTTGTGCTGATAGAACATACTTGTTACCGTCTCCTTTGCACCAAACCAAGCAGAGCCACCACCGGCTTCTCGGATCAGCGTGCCGAGCTGCCCATGCCAAAACCCACGAAGTCCTTCTTGGCGAAAGACTTGTTTAATGACAGGTATAGGGCGGAGAGGCGCACCAGCAGACCCGTCAGCTAACATGGGGGCCTGTATTCTACACTTGACAAGCTCAATTGGAGTTAGGACGAATGATGTAAAAGCACCAGAAAAGGCACCAGTTAGCCAGAGGTATGGTAGCGATAGGCCCTGCTCCCGAGATACCAGATTACTGGTAAAAAGTAATTCTCGACCGAGGCTTTCAAAGACGAAGAGACTGCTCGTCTCTGCTGCAGCACCCACCAGGGGAGCAGTAATACCACGGTAAAGTCCCAACACTCCGTCGCTCTTAATACCCTGCCGGAAACAATCCAATGGACCGGTATATCGCAATGGGAGGTGGTCGGGTTGGCTCTGAAGTCGGACCTTGACAGTGTCGAACGGATACTCGATGTACTTGCCCACAGCACCGGCGATCTACTCATGTTAATATACACATGCTAAGTAGAGGAATGGCACATACCGATCCACAGAGTACGTCTTCAAAAGCCTTCATCAGAGCTGTTTTGTCCTTGAAGGAGAGGTCGGGTGCATGGGCCGCAGCCTCAACGGCTACAGGACTAGGTTCCATTGGAGCGGTGTCGGTGAGGATATGTTGACGATGGAAGTAAAGGCCTCGGAGTGCAGCAAGGCAATTAAGTTCGGAGCTTCAGCAACGACGCTGGAAGCGTTGGATATTGGGTTTGTAACTGATAGGGTCGAACAGCTTCGGGTGAGGGGCAACCTGATGTCGCTGTACAAGTCGCGAAACGAGACCAGCGACTTTGGATGTCAACTGCGGCTTCAATTCCGAAATAACCGGATCCTCAATTTTTTGGAACGTCGCAGGGCGGTATCGGAGGAGTCGCAAACCGAGGCAGTAAGGTTCGAAGAGAAAGTATGTCCTTCAGCTCAAGTATACACGGCAATTCTGAGACATCTACCGAACAAGGGTATTGTAGTTTTGGAGATAAAAAAAGACTGAAGGAAAAAAAAAAAGTAAACAGAGGGGGAAGAGGGGAAGAGTTAGCCTCGCAGCTACAGGGCGAGCTGTACTTTCGGTCTACAACACGACTTGGTGGACAATGCCTGCGATATATAATACATAAATCCCGCCCTGTGCTGCGAGTTCGCGAAGGGTTATGCTGATGGACCTGGGCCTGGATGTTGCTGTAGGCGCCTTTTCTTGGGCATTAAGACCCTCAATAGCAAAAATTCTCTTGACAGTTCCAGCATGTGACATCAGAGCCTCCGCTTTTGGTAGACGGTTCAACCAATTATCTAGAGGTTCTGTTTTATCTGATCGACCGTGCACGGCTTGAAGCGACGAGGTTCAAGGATCCTGTTACATTCCCATTGCGAGATCAGGGGTCGGAGGAGGGGAAGAGGGGTCCTGCTGGAGTATTTTGAGTGGTCTTCTCTGAAATGGATTCGTTGAAATATTCTCGACCCTATTCAAAAAGAAAGGGCCCTGTAATTGAGACGGAACCTTGACCCTTTGGGGCAGGTTCCTGACTAGCGTCCTGCACCTTGATCGCTGATTGATAAGATATCCACTCCGGTGACGGCTCATGAGAGTTTTACGAGCATTTGTGAGGCTGAGGAGGCTCCTACGATGGGTATCAGGTAGTTTCCTTGACGGCTCTGTGCCAGGAGATATTCCAAACCAGTCGGTGAAGTCGCTGGGTTAATTCGATCGCTTTTTCAAAGGTGCTACCAGACTCGAGGTAAATGTTATCCTTTCTGGTTACAACGCTATTCATCGTACACGAGTAGCTTTCCATAAGGATGAGTTAATGAATGTGTATTCGCTACATAAATATGTATCAGAAATAAAATACCGATTTGATCTGTTTGCTCCCTACAAATCTGCGACTAAACTACAGAGTACAATGACCACTTAAAGTGACCGGGACGGCAAAAGAATTCTCCCTCATTCTTCTTCCGGCACATGGCGGGGCCGAGGGGAAATCGCGGTAACGCGACTCAACGCGACTGCGAGTTTAATTGATTTTATGTCCACCCCGGTAACGCAGAGCTCCAGCATACAATACATACCTGCCATCACTCCAAATACTCCAAATTCACTGCCAATTGACAAAACCACCAGCAAAATGACACTTCCACAAAACACCGCAGAAGAGAAATCTTCCAATGGCTCAAAGTCCATTAACCATGAGGAGAACCAATATCTCGACCTTGTCAAAGAAATCCTTGAAAGCGGCGAGCGTCGACCCGATCGGTACGCATAAAACATGCAGTCGAATTTGAGCAACGGACTAACAATATACGTAGCACTGGCACAGGAACATACTCCATCTTTGCTCCTCAACCGTTAAAATTCTCCCTTAACAACAACGGGACACCCATTCTTCCTCTCCTTACCACGAAACGTGTCTTTACTCGCGCCGTTATCGCCGAGCTCCTCTGGTTCATCGAGGGCAACACATCTTCCAACAGCCTCAGCGAAGCCGGTATTAAGATCTGGGACGGCAATGGCTCCCGCGAGTTCCTTGACAACCTCGGACTGAACCATCGTGAAGTTGGCGATCTGGGCCCTGTGTATGGTTTCCAGTGGCGACACTTTGGCGCCGAGTACGTCGATGCCAAGACGGATTACACAGGCCAGGGAGTAGACCAGCTTGCCGAGATCATCCATAAGCTACGAACCAACCCCTACGACCGTCGCTTGGTTCTCTCCGCTTGGAACCCTGCCGACATAAAGAAGATGGTATTGCCGCCCTGCCACATGTTCGCCCAGTTCTATGTGTCCTACCCTCGAAGCAGGGATGACGACTCAGAAACCAAGCCCCAAGGTCATCTCCATTGTCAGTTGTACCAGAGATCTTGCGATATGGGTCTTGGTGTTCCCTTCAACATTGTTAGTTACGCCCTACTGACACACATGCTTGCGCACGTTTGTGACCTGGTTCCTGGAAGTCTTACCCATGTTATGGGTGATGCTCATGTGTACCTCGACCACGTTGATGCTCTTAAGATCCAACTGGAGCGCGAGCCGCGAGACTTCCCAGAGCTAGAGATTTCTCGAGAAAAGGGTGGAAGCATTGACGGTTGGAAAGCAGAAGATTTCACCGTCAAGGGTTATGACCCTCATAAGACAATTGCGATGAAGATGTCTGTATGAGAAATGCATGGATTTTAGCATTTAGGCTGCGGCTAGTTCATGATAAATAGATGGCGTTGGAATAGAGTTTTGATAACCACAAGCTCCATGATATAATAATCCGCATGCGTACGACGTATGTGCCACCCTGTTAACACAATTGAAATAGAAATTATCTATCGCACTGATACGAAGTGAGACCCGAGTTCTTGGCTCGAGATTTGATGGGCTGCGTGCAGTCATATTATTTGTGACATGCCTGTGAATGGGATCACACAATATATTCATCGGTTAACTTTTTATGTTACATCGGACAAGAGCATAGGCGTAGCTACCAAAATTGCGAGTTTATGACCTCCATAGCACGCAACGTATTGATTGTTGTTTTACAAGATATACAGTGACTAATTAATACTCGCGTACAATGAATGAACACACTCAAGTAACTATCCAAGTCCAGACATTGCCCGACCGGTATTGCGTTACTACAGTAGATAAGATAGGCAGCTTACTGCTTCTTCTTGTTGGAGGCCTTGTTAGGGGAGTTCTCCTTCTTTTCAGCAGCCTCCTTAGCATCAACAGCGGCAGCGTCATCGGCCTCTTTCTTCTCGGCGTACCACTCGCCGGCCTGGAGAACGAGAATTCCGACAAGAACAAGAGCGAGAATGGTGTTGCTGGCGGAAAGAACCTTCAAGCTGTCCTCGCGTCCCAGAATAAGCTCGCCGGCCTCACCCTCATGGGTCTTGCCATCGAAGCCGTCGTTGGTCCAGATCTCGGCACTAACGCTTCGGAGAGCCTTGACAATGTTGGCGACGTAGACACCGAAACCAATGAGGTAGAGGATGAGAGATGCGCCGTCAAAGAGGAAGTTGGCCTCGCTGGGACGGAAGAGCTTGATGAAGAAACCGATAAAGCCGATGGAGATGACCATGTGAAGAAGACGGCTAATGAGCGCAGGAGACTGGTGCATAAACTTCAGATGCGTTTCGAGGTGGTCAAAGAAGTTGTCAGGCACGGGAGCCTTGGTCCAGAGAAGGGGGAAATCGTAAGGGAACGATGCGAAGAGAATGCCCAGGAAGAAGCAGACAGCTAGAGTTCGAGTCAGTGGGGGTGAACCGGAATTGGTCGCGGATGGCTTGTCTTACGGGCAATAATCATAAAGGTAGCGAACGAACCAGATCCATGGTAGTTCTTGGACCTGGTATTCTTGGAGTAGTCGATGAAGGAGTTCATGATGATGCTTGATGGAGGGGTTCCGGGAGCGCGAAAGATTTGGCGCAAAATGCGGAGTTGCGGAATAAGGTGCGCGTTAAGTCGCGAGAAGGAAGTTGAGCGAGAATTGAAGCAGACAGGTACTGTCGCAATGCGCTCGAAATCAAACTCTGTAATGCTGACTACAGATGTTGAGGGATTGTGGAAGAAGGGAAAAGAAGAGGAGGTGGTGGTAGGTGGTGGGACGAAAGGAAGGGTAGCTCCATGACCTGGGTACCTTCCAGTTTGGTGGTAGACTGGGGTCCTTGTGGAGTACCTACCTGTCCTTATCTCGTGGTCTAGGCCTCTTCGGCTCTAAAAAGCCGGGGTTTAAATTGTTAAATTGGAGGAGCTGACCAACTCCAATTGTCAAAGATAGTGTCTTTGAGAAGGACAATTATCATGTTGTGCGTGAATCTAGAGAAGCCTCTCACTAGACTAGTATTCCCTTCGCAGTATCGAGCTTCAATTCAACCCTATCTGTTTTTTGGGTCTGGGCTTACTCAAGGCTTGTAGTTTCTTATTCCAACTAGGTTGAGGCTAAGGCTTACTGGCGGCCTAATAGTCTTGGAGATCGCTTCGATTTACTTGGTCTCGACTGATCAATCTAAGAGGCATAACTCTAAAGCCTGATCAGTTCACCACATATCACTCATATACAGACAAACTAGCAGCATTACAAAATCAATTGATACTATCTCAATTGATCTCACCAAGGAGCTACTTGGTTCGGCTCTACCTACTTTCACTTAAGGCTGATTGTTGTACGTATACTGTACCGAAACCGTCGTTCTTTTCTCTGGCGCATTCCAGCTGTGTAATGCGCCTCCACCAAACTATACTATACGATAAAAACTTTAAGTATTGCAAATAGTGACTGTTCCTTGATTTCAACCAGTCTTTCCTTTTATTTCTGTTTGGGATGCGAATTCTGCTGTTGAAATATCTTGCATTCTGTGTTGTTCAACAACTCTACTGAACGTTTCCATGCATAACACTCACTTAGACATGATCAGATTATCTGTTGTAACTACATCATTACTGTTACTCTTCATACCCGTCGCCTCTCAACAAACAACTGATTCCAATGGCGAAAGCCCCAGCATCTATCGAGGATCTGGCCAGTATCGATATCATGGTTGCTATAACGAGACGACACAAACCCCAGACTCGGCCGAAGAGCGCGCTCTCACAGGTGGTTCCCATCTTGTGGAAGAAGGCAAGATGACGGTGCCGTTATGCCTTGAATTCTGTGCCTCGAATGGTACACAGTATCAGTATGCTGGACTCGAGTGGTCTCGGTACGTGCCAATCTCAAACTAAAAGACAGCTTAACTGATTCATTGAATTGGCAGAGAGTGTTGGTGCTCTCCTTACCTCTCTAGCCTTTCGACAAAACTCGACGACGACGAATGCAAGAATCCATGCGAGGGTAACTCATCACAAGTCTGTGGTGGGCCGCTCAAATTGAGCGTATACGAACTATCTAAAGGGGGTGATACACCGGACAGGGCGGCTATGTTACAAATACCATGCGGCATGGCCTTTCTCTCTGTCCTATCTGGTTTGTTTCTTTGGGAGTAAGTCGTAGAAGAAAGATTCAACCATAGCAGGCCGGGGTACCGTGGAGAAAAGTATAGGATCATAATCTATAGCCATAACTTATGCGTAAACCATATGCTTTCAGAATTTCAAAGGAGCCATGTCTCGCTGCTTTACAGCATGCTGCACGATACCTTTGATAGCCTCTACCGATCGTCTCCAAACATCCTGTCCTCGCCCCTTCTTGCCATCCTGTTCAACTATCACATCCAACCACTTAACCAATTTGGTAGCCTTTTCCAAATCGCGTTCTTCCTGAATTACTCGTTCAAGATACTTTTCCAGGACATCCAAGTCCCCACGATGAGGACCGTTTTTTCTCGTTTCCGCATGCCACGCATCTAGCATATCTTTGATCTCCTGTGTCGAGGTCACCCCTGAACTTGAAAATGATATCTTGCGTGGGACAGCGGCAAACTGAATCCTACGCTGACCGCCTGGCAGTGGCTCTTCAAGGTCAGGAGTATCGTGCTTCCGCGAGCGTGCCTCTAGTCCTGTTTGTTGAGCCCTCTTTCGTTTCTTATGATCTTCAATGATTTCCCTTCGCATATCCTCCGGCAATTCAGCCAAAAACTCTGGATCAAGTTCTTCGATAGGCTCCTCCTCCTCGAAAGCATCGCCAACTTGATTCAGCGATCGGAAGTTAGTCTGTAATAAACCAGCTTCGGCATCTCTTTGCCGCTGAGCTTTACCAAACAGGCCTCGTGGCCTACCTCGTTTTGACGGCGTAGGAGGCTTTCTAGCTTGTGTTGTGCGATCTTTGCCGGGGGATTGATGTGGTGTGGTTTGCCTGGGCTTTCGTCCATAAGTTGCCATGACCTCGGCCTTCATATCATCAGGCAGCGCATTGAAAACCTCCGGATCTATCTGAGTCGGGCATGCATCAAACTGCATAGGGCTCTCCGACCTTGACTTGACCGATGGGGACTCGGCGTGAGCCTCTGGCATTCGGGACTTCTGAGCCATAAGCTTGCTCCGAATACTGCTTGGTAGCTCAGCCAGGATGGCAGGATCAACATTGCTTGGGATGATGAACTGAGTTCCAGAAATGTTTAGGGGTGTCTTTGCCTTAGCGTCGTCCTGACTGGCTTTAGTCAATGCCATGGCCGGGTGTATCTTCTGCTTCCGTGGAGTCAATGGATCGTCGGCAATTGGGTCCTTGTACACTTCGCGACTCGGTGTGCTTTTCTTCTTTTCAGGGCTCTCAATCTCGTCGATCTGCTCAGTTGTAGATGTTCTCCTGACGGGCGACGGCTTTGTAAATGTGTTGAAAGCCAACTTCTTCTGGCTACCGTCCGGAGCAGCTGGGTTCGTTTTGATCGGTTCCAGTTTCGTCATTTGCACTCCCAAACCGCGCAAGTCACCAGGACTGAACTTGTAAGATCGCAGTATGTTGACAGCTTCTTTGCCGATGGCCTGTTGATTATTTGTGGCAACACCGAAAGCAATACTCTTGCTGAATGTGTCACACTTGCCATGACCCAGGGATTTTAGAGGATCAAGAGGTGCATCCAGTGATCGCCTCATAATCTTCATTGTCAACTGTTTCCCTTTGACGTTTTCGTTCAACAGTCGTTTCTCCAATTCTTTGCAAAGATTGTAGATGAATTCTTCAGCTTCCGGTTGATTGATAAATCGAATACCCCAGTTGACTTCTGCTGAGACAGACTTGCGCGGTGGTTGTTCTCCAACTTCCGTACGATCGATACCACGAGCATACTCCCGGAGTTTCTCGCCGGTTTTAGGCCCAAGAATCGATGTGAGGCGTTCTTTTGATGCTTCTCTTAGGTCTCTGACATGTGTGACGCCGATTTCCTCGAGCTTTCCACTAATACTTCGCGCAACGCCAGGAAGGTGATCAACTTTGAGGTCGCCTATCATATGCAACACATCTGCTGGTTTCAGCTGATACTGACCTGCGGGCTTGGCTTTGCGTAAAGCCACTTTGGCTTGAAGGATGTTCGCCCCAATCCCGACAGAAACATGACAGCCCGTCAGAGACTTGACTTTGTCGCGAAGACCCTGTGCGATTTTGTCCGCCATATCTTGCTCTTGAGCTACGTTTCCTGCTTCGGACTCCGTGCCCTGAGACCCAGTGCTTGTCAGAACTATCGACGTTATGTCGACCAGAGCTTCATCTATGCTGACACTTTGCACTATGCCGCCAACGTCTAATATGGCTTCGTAGAATAAACGGCTCGCGTCTTCGTACGCGGGGAAGTCATACGGCAGTACTTTCAGTTCAGGGCACATCTCAAGTGCCGATTTCATCCACATTCCATTCTTCACTCCAAATTCCCGAGCGGGATAGTTGCAACTTGCAATTTCTGACCCAGATCCTGCGCTATGAGCAACAACCACTGGCTTGTTGACCAATTCTGGGGCTTTCTTCAAAGAAACCGCACAAAAGAAGCTGTCAAAATCGACATGCATGACATATCGCCTCGAGCCTAAACGCTTCTTGGAATTAAGACCCGACTGGCCCTTTTCTGCAGCAAGCCGTTGCATTCTCGACTTGAGCTCTGCTTTCCATGTAGAAAGGTGATGCAGTCTACTCTCAGAGTAAAATTGCTTTAGGAAGTCTGGATTTGCGGTTGAAGATTTGCGTATTCGAGGATCTGACAATAGTAGTGCATTGTGCTCCTCTGAGGTCATCGGTTTCGAGGTATCTGGCGCTTTGGCTTGCATTCTCGATTCTTGAAGAGTTTTCATTTCTTGCTTCATCGTTTCACTTTCGTCCATCTCAAAATCGATTGGGGCGACCGCCGACTGGCCAAGTGAAGCAAGTTTAGATTCATTTTCAGGCTTCTTTGAAGAGCTCTTGACACCTGTGAGTGGAGGTGTGACTGTCAAATCACGGTTGTTGAGTCCAATAGGAGTTTGGGCTTTCTCGACTATTTGACTCAAATTCTGGCTGGGGAGAGAGGGCGCCTTGAACTGGCTGGCATAGAAACTGTTGTCCGACTGTTCCCGGTAGCCCTGTTTGGGACGTGGAGTTGACGGCGTTAGGCCATTACTACCGTCAAACTTAAGCACTTTCTGCCTTGGTCCCTCATCTAACACCCGATAGTTGGCCCATGGTAAGAGTTGACCAGCCTTGATGGAGTCCGTGACCCATGCTGGCTTGACAATGCGATAGCGGCTGAAATCGACCGATTTCTTAGGGGGTAGCGTCGAGGCAATGATGTGAGTTGCCATTGTTTTGGAATCCAGATATTGAAGAAAACCGCCCCCATGCTGGACAATTTCACGATGAAGGCTTTAGCCATGTAAGTGTATGCTCCAAAACTGATATGTGACAGAGTGCGACTTACACATGCAATGGCGGCTGGGTATATCCGGTCACATGCGCGACAATGCCCTTGAATATCTGAGGCTTATCAGAGTTTGTGCGCATATCAGCATCCAGATTCTGCAGCTTGATTTTCTTGCGCCGGAAATAGTCGTTGAACCCATTGAATTCACTGCCCTCGTACTCATCTCCTCCTTCATCTTCAAAGGTATGTGTCTCGATGCGTTTTCTCACTTGAGACGAGTTTTTGTAAAGGACACTCCCCATATTGTCTTTCTTTGTTTGATTAATGCGTTGAATGTTGGTAGTTTTCAGGATGATAGCGGTGGCGAGTGGTGTGCGCCAGTCTCAAACCTTGACCATCGCTCAGCCAATATCACACGATGATTTCGCTAAACAAAATCATATGACATAAATCAAGACCAGACATTATCATCCGGAGTCTTGAGGCGAATACACTGGCGTTGCTGGTGATGGTGATGTTCTCACGAGAATGCGACAGTCTTGGAAGCGAAAGCGATGTCAAAAGCGCGTAAAGTGGAGCACGAAAACGCGACCAAACACGATATCTCGTGACATTTGAGCACAGCCACGCACACCAGCCACACTGTGAAGCTTCCGAGTACTCACCCAAATAAATATACCTGTCGCAACATTTCAAACCTTCACTTAAAGGTGTAATACTATTGTCCGCTGTCGTAATGAATAACGATCAATTCCGCAAGCTTATAGCTTCGAACTCGAAGACGAGCTCTGCGGGTAAAGATGGTACTTCCACACCCTCATCTCAAGCTGGTGGGAATGCGCTGGGTTCGAGACAACGGTCGAGCATCCCGATGACGCCGTAAGTCATCCCGAAATTGTCCCAGATACACTACTAATAGCTTGCGACAGACGCGCTGTAGCGGGTGCTCAAGCAGATTTTGCGCGACAACTTGCTGAACGAAATAATGCGACCCGGCCCCAAAGAAAGTTCAAGTCCTACAACCCCAAGGGCGTCAAACTCGCCTCAGGTTACGTCGATCGATCGAAGGAACGTGAGGAGGAAACAGAAGACGATCGGGTAGAGAAACTCAAGGAGCTCGATGAACAACTCAAGAACGAAGAGATTGACCAAGAGACATTTGAGAAGCGACGATTCGAAATCGCTGGCGGTGATTTAAGCAGCACTCATTTAGTCAAGGGCCTGGACTTTAAGCTTCTTCAAAGAATCCGACAAGGAGAAGATATCTATGGAGAGAAGAGGGACGACACCGAACAACAAGCCGAACCTGAACCAGAGCCTGAAGTCGATGTTGATGACGAGTTTGAGCAGCTGGAAGGACAAGAAGTCCAGGCAGCACCAAAAGAACGGACGGAGACGAAAAAGAAGGGCCAGTTATCGACAGTATCACTAGCACCCGGGAAGAAGCGAACGCGCGATCAAATTTTGGCTGAATTGAAGGCAGCAAGAGAAGCAGCTAAAGCAGCGCAGGGGAATGCGCTTGGAGATCGATTCAAGAAAGTCGGGATCACACAGAAAGCAGGATCACGAATAGAGCGAGACAGCAAAGGACGAGAGGTTTTGATCATTGTGGACGAGGATGGACACGAGAAGAGAAAGATTCGCAAAATCCAACCTGGTGCCGAGAAGGAAGACGAGGCCGATCGCAACGGACTCCTTATGCCAGATAAGGATGCAAAGCCGCTTGGAATGGAAGTCCCAGAACAGTTTAGGAAAGAGGAGGAACCCGAGGAGGACGAAGACGTCGACATATTTGATGGCGTGGGCGATGACTATGATCCCCTGGCTGGCATGGACGGCACAGATTCCGAGTCCGATGCGGATGAAGAGTCAAAAGAGGAAGAGAAGCAAGCGAAAACCGAACAAGAGATTGCTGATGACGCTTCAATGCCACCACCACCAAGACCGCAGGTATCTCGGAACTACTTCCAGGGATCCAAGACAGGACTTGTGTCAGAGGAGGAAAGCAAAGCACCGTCGATGTCAGACCCAGCAATCATGGCAGCATTCAAGCGTGCAGCAGCCCTCAACCCGATCAAGAGAGACAAGGTCGCTGCTGAAGATCAAGACGACGAAGAACGAGAAGAGGAAGCACAGAAGGTTATGGAAGAGAAGAGAAAGAGACTGCTCCAAATGGCAGACCGAGACGACGAAGATCTTGATATGGGCTTCGGCACCAGTCGCTTTGCTGATGAGGAAGACTTTGACGAGACCAAAGTCAAACTCTCGAACTGGGGAGACAAAGACGATGACGGGGAAGGGCAATCAAAAGGTGGACAATCAAAACGGAAGAGGGCTCCAAAGAAGAGAAAGGGCGACGTCAATAATGCTGCTGATGTGTTGCGGGTGATGGAAGCGCGAAAGAAGTCATGATAACCTAAAATGACATGCGCTCGGCTAGTCAGCATAGCTATCATGAAACATATTTGGCACAAAGCCGAGCCTAGATACCCCAGGCATCGTAATTAGTTGCGTCCACCATAATTTTTTGGTACAGATATACCACTCGTGCCAATTTTTACCTAGCAAAGAGTTTTTTCGGTCATCTTCACCACAATCATAGTCACCTGCTTGAAGAGGAAGCTGTTTTCTCTAGCTTTGCGCCAAATCGTTAGATCAGCTTGGAACGTGCACTCATACAATGGAGTCAAATACAAGCTTGCTCGGTAACTTGTAGCAAAATGAGGGGAAAACTTCCCCACCATAAACGTCCCCAGGGTCTACTTATGCCCTCGAGGGTTCCCTGGTCTGATGAAACGTCACAACTTCAACAACTCAACTCAACTACAGTCTGTGTCTTAGATGCCGTTGGCGGTTAATTAGACATTGTTTTCTCTCAATCTTAGACTTTCTTAACTTATTTGCATAGAATTTGTTTCTTACTCTTTACTTAACAACACCTCTTTTGCGCCATGTCTCAAGATCAGGTTCCTGTTTGGCTGGACTGTGATCCAGGCCATGATGTACGTATATACAGATACAAAATCTCGCCTATCCTGAGAGAAACCTCGCTTAGGTTCGAATTCTGTCACAGCATCTGTGATTTCAATAACCTCTCATTCATCCATACACTACATGCGATCAGCAGTACTAACTTTCACATAGGACGCTTTTGCCATCCTCCTTGCAGCCTATCACCCTCAGTTCAGACTACTTGGTGTCTCAACAGTGTTTGGCAACGCATCTCTAGAGTATGTTATCTAAAAGAGAAAGAGAATCTTGGCTTTCACACAACTTCATTGAATACTCGTTTCCTAACCTTACCCAGAAATACCACACACAATGCGGCTTCTATTCTCACCGCCATTGGTATGCATGATGTCCCTCTATATATCGGCCTCGGCAAAGCTCTTGAGCGTCCTGCTCTTCATGCACCAACAGACATCCATGGTGTTTCCGGCCTTGATGGTACCGACCTTCTCCCCAAGCCACTTGTCACCCCATCTACCATGCCAGGTGTTGAGGCTATGGCTGAGGCGTTGCGTGCTCAAGCTCCCGGAACCGCTTGGATCGTCGCAACTGGCGCTCTAACCAACGTCGGGGCTCTATTCCGTGCGTACCCGGAACTTATCAGTCATATCAAGGGCGTCAGTCTCATGGGCGGCTCTATCGGTGACAACTTCTCAGATGCGCCGCTCGGTGAGGTTGATGGTCGTCCTAGAATCGGAAACTACACACCGTGGGCCGAGTTCAACATTCTTGTTGACCCCGAAGCTGCTGCGACCGTTTTCCACACCAAGGAAGTTGCCGCCAAGACCACGATTGTGCCGCTTGATCTCAGCCATCAGGTTCTTGCTACCCCTGAAGTGAGAGAAATGCTTCTGTATGGGCCTGATGCTGAGAAGACGGGCCCTGGAAAGACAACTCTTCGCACCATGCTTGTCGAGCTCCTGTATTTCTTTGCCCAAACCTATGCGTAAGTCAAAAGAAACACCACATATGCGCTTTCAGCTAACAGCTTCAGTGATACCTTTGGCATTACCGCTGGTCCTCCTCTACATGACCCCATAGCCGTCGCTGCCGTACTTATCGGCACGGCGAGTGAAATCCCTTTCTTCGAATGGGATGCTAAGCATAGCCAGCCCCCTGAGCACAACGAGCGGTTCGAGGTGACTGTCATTACTGAAGGCACATTCGACGAAGCCAGAGAGGGCAAGCAGACAGGTCGCACATTGGCCAAGTTGCTTCCGCGTGGTGAACAAGGTGTTAGAATTCCTCGAGGAGTCGACACTGCCAAGTTCTGGCAGGTCATCGAGGAGTGCATTGAGCGAGCGGACGCGAAGAATGCTGCGCTTGCGTCTGCGAACTAGGCCAATAGATCAAAAAGTTGTTATAAATAGACAGCCACGCAAGTGGAATTGACCAACTTGACCAAATGTCGTATCATGATAAATCTATTAAATCTTGTTATAGTCTATAATTCATTAGAGATGGCCTCCTTACTGCTCGAATCCCAATCAAGCATCAAGTTCAAACTCTGTTCATACGTCCACAGAGTTACAGCACTCGCCGGTGCTGACTTGAGGAGACTGATAGTCAGACCCTTGTACAGGCCGCGCAGGCCTTCGGTGCGCACTATCGATCGGATGGCACCTCGAGCTGTGGAATATTCGGGGATGTTTTTGTACACGAATTGGCTACGTGCTGGGCCCTGAACTTGAATGCGCTTTCGCACAAGATCAAGAGGGAACACAGCTGTTTTAGAAATGACACTGGCGCACATGCCAGCAGTGGCATCTCCACTGCCCCATGGCATATGCAGCCCCTCGAATGATGCTCGGAGGGATTCGTACGTGACGAAGAACATACCCATAAATGGTACAATCTGGGTCAGGCCAGGCCCAATGCCCCTGAAGAACCCCCGCCATCCTTCATCGCGCTTGATGTCCCAGATTGCGCCCCGAAGCGACTGATATACACGATGGCGCCCCTGAGCTGCAAATCGTGTTCGCAGTAAATCGAGAGGATATGTAACGGTTGTAGCAGCTGCGCCGGAAGCAGCACCGGCAATGAAGCTCTCGGCAGCATCTGGTAGCCTTGTGGGAAAGGCAGTTCGCAGGAAAATGGTCATCGATCGGTAGGTTGTGAACTGCACAGCGCCGTAGCAGACATACATGAGCTCTGCAGGGACGTTGCCCTTCCACAAGCCTGTCAACCCTTCATGCTTGAGGATGTGTTTTAGTGTTGCAATCGCCCCTCGGTGAGCAGAGGCATTCTGTAGAGCGTTGACTGGGTCGGGAAGAGTATGGGGTTGGAGTTGGAGGCGGATTTTGACAACATCGAGAGGAGCGACAACAAATCTAGTAGTGAAGAGTTAGTTCTAGTGCCGTTTTTAATGATATCGATTGTAGTAAAATACCTTGAAACCAATCCTGCTATCGCGCCCGCGGCAATGACTTGAGCTTTGGAGCCCTGGTTATAGTTGTAAGCCCAAGACCTGTCGAGGTTGAATAATGGTATCCTACCTCATCCTTGAGGCGGCCTTCTTTGTGTGACATGCATGCAGCTTGAGGTCTAAAAGACCACCTGAAAAGAACAACACCTAATATCTAGGTGAGTTGCGGCGTTGCTTTCGATTCGCTTTGAGAGTGTTAATATCCTGGAATTGTTGGGAGCAAGGGCAGCGAAATAGAAGTTGCTGAGAAAAGTTGCTGATAAGCTAAATGCGACGCGACGGAAATAGATGGCCGAAGACGAGGGTGCAATAATAGCACATGGTATTTCCGTGAGAGATGATGTTGGAGGATCAGAGAAATTGAAAAAGCAAGATGCCATACATATCTAGATTGTTCTGTAGCTCCTCTCTCATACTGGCCGTGTTGGTAAAATCGTCACTATTGTCACGGGGAATGACATCCGTGGGCCACATTGGTCAAAATTTCCTTGTCGCACTCACGATGAATTCTGTGTGACGGCATGTTTTCCTAATAGCGGGTGGCGACGGTTGTTTGCGGTAGTAGCAAGACACCACAGCGAGTTGTTAATTATGTGATTCATTGTTGTATGAAAGACTTCTGAGATTAACGAGATACTGGGTAGTACGGATACTGTGATGATCTATCCTGTACTTCCATAGGTGAAAGACATATTCGAGGTTAACACCTATTCAGCCTTAACAGATCTGATCTGCGAATCAATCTCGGGGCCTCTTTGGCCGAGCACAGATTCCTGAGCCGAACCGATAAAATCTCCCGGGACAAAACAGAGAGAGCTCTAGGGGTCTCGATCGGTCCATAACTCGGGCGGCTGGAACCAACCAAATACTCGGCAATGTCACTTTTGAGGTGCTGGAGGTTGGGTGCAGGCATGTAACCATTCGAGTCCATGATGGTGTAAGAATTGCTCTGATTAACTCGAAGTTTGAATGTGCAAGTGAACAATGAACCAAATCTATCAAGTTCTCAATTTGTTATTCAATACGAGAACGCTCATGGCTTGTAAGCGGCGGTTATCCTCAGTCATCATGAACATGGGGTTCAAAAACTCCACATCCACTGTCACTATTAGGTTACCGCCGAATGGCTAGACAAACAGAGCCTCTCCATTCCATTCCTCCGGCCGGGTCCTTTCTCCTCATTCAATTATCTACTGCCGTCATTGGTCGGGACCGTTGAACTACATCCTTCACTGCAGAGCTTAGAGACATCGGGACCTCGCTAGGGCCTCGCTCTGGGGGAAAGGTACCTATAACACGCATGGTCATGGCACTGGACGTCACTTGCCTCTTTAACACCTCGTGCCGCATCCCCGATGGGCTCTACATTACCGAATTCCCACATGCTTGCCTACTTCATTATATCAATGCCACACTCCCACTTTGATTTGGGCTATTTCTCTATGCTGACGGACTTTTTGCCAAGCACTTTGGATCACAGCTTACTATTGTTCTCCATCTTTGCACGTTAACCGGGGACCTGCGAGCTTGACCAACGACACTACAGAGTCGCACGTGAAATTGCCAACTAAGAACCTGTTCACCCACGGTCACCTCGAACTCCTCAATTTTGGTCTCTTGCGATCGGTGCTGAGCAAGACCTGACATATACTCCTCGTTTGACTATCGCAGGGCAACTCGACTTCTACGATGGCCACTACACAACTTACTCCTCCAGACGCTACACAGCTTCTCGCGCCGTTTCTTCCTGCTCTCCCACCGGCTGCGATCTCTACCGAGCCCGCCATTGGCATTCTACCACTACTATCCCCCATACTGCGCCAGCGAGTCAAGCTTTTGTCTCCCACGAGTACTGAGCCATGGATTCGACTTCTATGCTACGACAAGGCCAAGACACCCGAGCTGGTCCAGATTGCCCAAGGTGGAAGCCTTGAGCCACATCCAGTGTCCGGCGAAGTCGAGGTAGACTGGGACTACGATGCCGAGACAAGATTTCGACGAGTTGATGAGGAAACTCTACAGGCCCTTGTTGCGCTCTCTACCCTTGGTTTGGCGTTTCAGCTGATCTACTGCGTCGGGGACATCGAAGGTGGTGGGGATGGCTGGAAGGTGGGCGAGGTTACTGTCGCAGACAAACCTTCACCATTTTCGCTTTTCGGAGGATCTTCCAGCATTGAGGAAGCGGAGCGGCAGTTTCGAGAGACCCAGGCTAAGAAGGTGACGGACCAACTCAAGGACACCAGTAGCCATGGAAATAGTTTACATGTCCCGGATGCGGGCCACGACGATGAGGAAGATGACGACGATTACTGGGCACGGTATGATGCGACACCCGCCCGAACACCCGCCCAGAAGCCTTCACCTGCTCCTCACTCTAAAGCTACCTCACAAGCCGGAGGCGTACGGGCATCTTCAGCTGAGGACGCTTACTTTGCTCAATACGATAGTGTCCAGCCTGCCATGGACAACCATGACCCGGATGAGGAGGAGATGGCTGCCCAGATTGCTCCACCACTTGGGCTCGGCCGTTCACAAGAATCTGCCGAAGCCACAGAACTCAATGAGACACAAGGCGCGTGGACGTTAGCCGAGCTCGACAAGAGTGATTTGAGCCCGGCGCATAATGGAGACGATGCCAAGCATAACTCTGATTTACTTCATCCACGCCCAGCCTCGAGCGCCAGTTCCAACGGCTCAGGCACGGTTGCTAAGCTTGAGGCTTCTGCCGGCAAGCAGACCCAAAACGAGTTTGGGGTCAAACAGCATGTATCACGTAGCATTCGAAGTCTCTTTATGCTTTCACGTGCTTCGGGCATTGATCGCCATGAATTTGAGAGCCTTGTCCGTGCCGAGCTTGATATTTTGGGCATGATTGAGGATCAGGAACAATGATCTGGGACGCATCACGTTCGTTCGTCGTGTTTATACTTTTGACTCACAGGATGGAATTAGAGAGTCTCTTCAGCCAGTGTGTTGCATTTTTCAGTCTCGATATGCATGTAAGGCGTTTATCACCAGGCATCTGGGTGGCGGTATTTTGAGTCACGATATGCTTTAGAGTCTTTATATAGAGCTTGGATGAAACCTGGATATGGACATTTGGATAGCTAGTACCTTATGAGAGAATGACACATATCTTGAAATCGATATTATCTGTGTTCAAGTCAAGCCATCGCAGTGACTGAATAAATGATGGTCTATCATGACCTGTTCTGTATTCAACAGTTGCTACTCAAAATTGTTTCTGAAACATTTTATAGAATCATAGGTTGTGATAAAGTACCCTTGTTGCCATGGAACAGACCTTGCGCTTCTTCTACCTTAAATCATGTGCTTTAAAAGATACGCTTCCAATACAATGCTAATAAAATCAGTACATGTCCGTGTAATAAGCTACTTGTCTAACTTACTGCAGTTCAAAGCCGGACCCGTATATACTCTTATCATTATTCCTACCCTTCAACTCATCGTACATCATTTGTCAGTTCTTCGCTCATGTCTAAGCAATGACAAGATTCTCTAGCGCAATGCGGGCAACCTCAAGAACCTTGGTACAGTTGCGTTCTCCTTGCGTGCATGGCTTAGTCGGGTAAATGACTCCAGGAGGTGCGTGGTGGCTATGCCCAGCAGCAACCATGGCGTCGAGGGCAGCGTGTCGCTTGTCGTTCCGCTCTTCAAGCTGCTGAACGACATCCTTGAGCCCCAGCTGTCGGTAACTGAGCGGCTGCGGTATGCTCTGGTCATCCTCGTCGAGCCCGTAGACATCGAGTCGAAGAAGTCCTCGGATTGTCAGTCGCCACAGGTCAGGAGCCATGGTCTTGTTGTTGTAGCTCTGGAAAGCTGTACAGCCGTTGGGGGTGTTGCCCATACATCCCCAAAGACCGCCTATGTCCTTGAATGAGAACCAGAAGGTCCGTCCCTCTTGCTTGGCGAGAGCAACCTCTGCATCTACCATCTCGAGAATCCTTGCGTAGGCGTTGCACGCGGACGGTACCAGAGCGGCTAGAAGCATGAGGTTCTGGAAAGCCTGCATAGGAGGTGACTTTGTGGGTTCGTCAACCATGGGGGCAGAACAGACGGTGCATTTGATGACATCGTGAGCAACCTTGGACGCATTCCGGGCGACTTTCATGGCTGGGATGACCTCGGTAGGTAGATTACCAAGAGAGTCAAGAGCAAGGTAGAGTGTTGATAGGCAACTACAAGACACAATAGGGACAGACTGCATCGCAGGACTTGGTGCCCCTATAGCATCCCCGGGAGAACCGGCAGAGGTAGCATTGCTAGATTCAGGTGTTGCTGAAGTATCTGACGACTGATGTGATTCTGACTGAGGCATTTCAACCTGGTACGCCAGATATTGCTGCAGTGTGTTGCTGAGGTCCTTTGAAACAGCTTCTTGCGGAACATCTGTGTCGCCAAAGTTGATACTGCCAAGAAGATCTACACCACTGAGATTAAGTGCAGGTAATGTCGCATTTTCGCCAAGTGAGCCATCATGTTGTAAGATCTGGGGGCCGAAAGGAAGCGTGTCGTTGTAGTTGGGTAGTAGGTCCCAGGTATCCACGTTTACAGCAGCAGGCTCATCCAAGAAGCTGAGATCCTGAAGAAAGTCCTCAGTAGACACAGCCTGGTTGAACTGCTCATAAGAGGTATCATCAGCTGGCTGTAGGAAAAGTAAAGGCTGCTCTGGCTGCTGAGCAGCTGGTGCTGACACGACGGTATCCTCGCTTTCATCCACGTGCCGCCTCTTACGAGGACGACCCATCTGCTTCTGCGGCGAGTAGTAGCATTCTATTCCCTCTTTCTTGCAGCGGGAACAGCCGTCTGGTTCTTTAGAGCAAGCGAGTTTTCGGGATCCTAGGTAGCGAATAGTGACCGGTAAGTCTCCGAGTCGGGAACGTATCACATGATGAGACAGGTAAACTCACTGCATTCGTCACACGCCCTGTGCTTGGTAATCCCATCAGCAGGTGTAGTATTAGACGCCATATTTGTTATTCAATACTACTGTGGCTTGGCTTTTGTAAGTCTCGGGGAACTCTTGGTGGGTATGAGAGAGTCTCTGGGCATTGATGGTGATTATGAGACGAATGTTCAGGTGTTACAGTAAGCATGACTCCTGGGTAGCCAGTCATGAATCTGACTAAGTCAAACACAGCCTAAATGTACATGTATAAGCCGCAGATCATTTGACATACATAACTTGATATGAAACAACTACTGAAATCTGTGTCAACATATACCTAGTCTACAGTCCCATGCGAAAATTCCGATAATAACTTAACTAGGGATATATATAATTATAAAGATATATAAAATGCATAATAATTAGGACAGTCTATAGATAATCTTACGATAGTACTATATAATACTTTAAAAAATAGGAGAGTTTATTTTAATTTATACTATCTTATGTAAAGTATAGAAGAGAGAAAGTTGTCAGAACTTTCGCCCACCTACTGTAGTTGGGTGCTCAAATCTCAGTACTATTAAGTGCCTGGCTCCTAGTAATAATTCTCCAGGACTATTAAAACTGAAAATTTGCTTTGAACTGGTCGATATTCTTCCTGCAAAGAAGCAATAAATTGTGTCAATAAAAAGAACACCTACGCAACAAGGCTCCATGGCTGATTCATGTGTCACCGGGAGTTTTTGAGGCTCTTCTCACGGGGTGTAACAAGATGTTCTCGCTGGTTCAAGGACATTTCCCCACCGCTATCACCCATCACCGCTAAAATATTGGTCAGATCCATGACCCTTTGACCTATATTTCTTGATTTTTGTGTCCTGCAGCCTTGGTTTGCAAAAGCCTAGGGTAACAGTTGACACTTTTCTTTTTCCTAAACATCAAATACATTGTTTATGCCTGCCATTATTCAACGCGAAGCTGCTGTTACCGTTCTGTTCCCGACTCATACTCAGCGTGCGTCAGGATAGAGCTCCAGCTGTAAACGCCAATACAACCCTACAAGAACAGTACCCCTACCAAAAGGAAGCCGGCAATTGACTGCATACAACCCCCCTCTATACACGGGACCATGACAGTAACTCTGATACCCAATCTTGGCGATATTGCCCGTGCCGAGTACAAGGCCCTGTTCGATACAGCCGTAGCTCAAGGGACCCGCGAGCCTCTAGTTCTCCCTTTCTGCGTTCTTGGACCTTTCGTTTTACCAACCATTTACTTGGCGATCCCACATCGAAATCGGCCTTGGCTTTACCGTGCACGATGGCTTGTTGTTGCTTACGTCGTTGTATTCGACCTCAATTTGGTTCGACGCATGTCCAGCTACAACGTTGCCCCAGCATATGCAGCTGGGCTCATGGGCATCTGGGGTATTTTGGCAACTCTGAATCTTCTAGTTTGGACCAATCCCCAGGCCGACCATGCGAGGATCGTGAGGATTCCCAGAAACAAACAGATGCAGACATTGTCAAATGGGTCATCCAACGATGACACTGGTACCAACGGTTTAGATCAAGAGAACGGATTACGCCAGAGACAATCCCATCCCGAAGCTCATGCCCCGTCAGGAGACATCGGAACTCGTGCTAAGCATGCACATCTCGGAGACACGGTTTGTGTCTGGCAGAAATATCCTGAGAATGGCTCCTTTGTTGAAAGACTCAACTGGACCTTTGACCTGGCGACTAATTTCAGAGAAATCGGTAAGTCCCGAGTAACAAAGACTTCATAATACCTCTTGGCTAAGACATTCTACAGGCTGGAATTGCTCCATCGCCTCAGTCTCAAGACCTGAGATTCCTGACAATATTCGTGACGGAGAGCTTGTGTCCTTTGACAACATGCCCGTCATGTCTAGAAGCGGTTACTATCGCAACTTGACTGAAAGGGAATTCGTATGGAGACGCATCCGCACTGTCCTGCTCCTTACTTTCCTCTTGGACTTTTGCTCTGTTGCCATGGTCAAGGACCCTTACTGTACATATGGTCCCGACAATGACCTTGCACTGCCCCTATTTCTCCAAAGGTTTCCGCGCGGAGTGTTGTTCATATATCGGGAGCTTCTCTGTCTGGCTGGCGTATACGCTGCCATCGATGCAATTTTCAGCCTACACGACCTATTCCAGTACTACATCTTCAGCTACATCTACCCCATGCGTGGCGAGCTATGGCAGTATAGCAACATCTTCGGTCCCATCTCCCAGGTGCTCGACAGAGGCCTTGCTGGTTGGTGGGGTGCATTCTGGCATCAGACTTTCCGCCTCCAGTTTGTCGCGCCCGCAAAGTTCCTGATCGACCATGGCCATCTGCAGAAGAAGACGTTGCTCTCTCAGATTGTCACTGTGTATGTGTCTTTCATCCAGTCGGGGATGCTTCACGCCGGGGGAAGTATATCATCTATGCCTACCACCAAACCCTGGAGGGCTCCGCTCTTCTTCTCCCTCCAACCCCCTGGCATTTTCATACAACTCTTTTTGCTACAGACCATTGATCGATACTTCCCCAATACTCCTCGAAAGCTCCGACAGGCATTTAACGCGGTCTTCACCTTGACATGGCTGTGCTTGACTGCGTTCTTCTTCACTGATGATATTTCGTCTTCAGGTATCTGGCTCCTCGAGCCTGTGCCTATTTCTCCTCTGCGATATCTGGGTTTTGGTCACCCAGGCGATGATTGGTGGCGATGGAAGAGGGACATGTTCCCGATCTGGCATTCGGACAAGCACTGGTGGAAGAGTGGTATACAGCTTTAAGGTTGGTCGCTCGCAGAAACCAGGGTCATGAAAGGGCACAAACGCGTGGTGGACAAAATCATAGAATTATTGAGCATATGCATATATAGACTAGCTTTTACGACATAGACGACTTATCATCTGACAGGCATGTTATCACCGTGACATTGGCCTAATTTACCGGCTGTCCCGGGAAGTCCGTGGCAATTCGTGCTTTTGGCCAGAGACAAGCCTATCTGTTTCTTTGCGAAGCCACATTACTACAGGCCGATATTTGCTCTGTTTGGCGGACAACACCTTCTCAAAGGCTATACAGGCAGTGCTATTACACTCAGTATATGTTCTAATAAAGGAACGGCAGAAGTACTTACAGAGCAACTTGCGATTTGCGTATGTCACAAGTATACTGGGGATATCTCGCTATTCGAGATTTGCTGGTCAACAGGAGGTAAGCGACATCGATCACCCTAGAAATAGTTCCTTAAGAAAAAGTCAGTAAAAAAGTCACATGGTAGAGCTGAGCATACTAACGGAGTATCATTTCGCTCCCAGGTTGTTGGTGCTTTCCAAGACAGCGAAGATACGCCCACATTTTGCTTGCAGTCTCGACGAAGGCACCTTGCAGTGAGGCGAGAACTGTTCGAGTAGAATTGTGAGATGTGTCATAGAACATTAGGTGAGACTGGATCTTGAAAGCATCTATGAGGTTGAAGAATCACGCCGTCAGTTGGCTTTCGGTTGTGTTTGAGACGCAGACTTACTAAGAACTTTTCTTTGAAAGTTCTGACCTGGTGTGCGACCAAAATCGACTGTGAGAGAAGTAGACACATCTAAACAACTGTAAGCAGAGAGACTGGAGACAATTAGCACAAGAAGAGTGTTGAACTTACCAACATCAGCATCCCTGTCCCTGTCTTTTGTAATATCCAATGTCTGGCAGTCGATGGCCGTTCCACAGTAAGGGAAGCCTTTCTCGCGGTTTACCTTCCGAACGGGTTTGCCCTCGTAAAGCATGTCGAAGCTGACCATGGTCTTGGCTGGGTTGACTGTAACACCGTATTCAGGGAAACCAGAATGCATGGCATTCACAAATTCAATCGCCTTGTTCTGGTCGAGAGTGACCAGGAGAAAGTCGTCAATCAGCCGTAAAAGCAGACAATCTGATGTAGCCAAGAAACCCAAATGTTTCGCCTCAAGGTCAGCGTAGAAGTAGTTACACAAGAACGAAGACAGCACAGAGCCTTGGGGAATGCCGACTTTCTGTCTGTAATACTTTTTGCCCACTTTGACAAGATTCTGCTCAACGTGCTGCTTGAGAAGATGCATCATTTCCCCCGTGCCATGGGTCTTGCGTAAGGCACTGTCCACAAAGATAGTATTCTTCTTGTTTCGTGCCAGATCCTTCTCGAGGCGCATAGTAAAGTCCGGGTTCTCATTTTCGCCTAAGGATGTGGCTTGCCATCGCCGGCTGGTTCTGGACGAAGACTTGCTGTCGTCGACGACCGCTCGTTCGCCAGGCTTCACTTCTACGTGCTTCATGACGGTGTATTTGGACTGGCTTGGGACAGATTTCATAAGGTTGACAACTGCTTCTTGGGGGATAGTGTCGAAAGCAGCTTTAACATCAGCTTTGGCAAAGTACAGCTTACCATGCCCAGGGCTTAGGGATTCTTTGAAGAGCTTGAGGCGGGTATAGATGTCGCTGACAGAAAACATGGTAGAGCCGAGTTTTGAAGGATTGATTCTCTGAATTTGATATTAGCTCGAGTCTCGATGTATGATCGTTGTTCATACCTTCTCTAGCTTCAGAAGCGAGTGGATGGGGCCTAGGACACTATTTATACTACGGTCAAGGCGGTTGACAGATTTTCGAGTTATGGCTCGTCGTCGAAGATTCATGATGGGGCGAAGTTTGTCACCTTTTGGCAGTAGTCGAATCTGACTGAAGCCGAGCTGTCGACCACGAAGCGTTTGCACTGCTTCATCCAGCTTGACCTCCTCAAACATATCTGCTCTGAGACCTGCCATAGCAGGCTCTGCAATCTGTCTCCATACTTCATGGCGAAAGTAGAACACTCGGTATCTATGAGTGTTTGATTCAGTGACGTAGAAGTTGTTGCGAATAAGGGGTATCAAAAGGGTATCATAAACAAAGTAAAGAAATTCATAGAAAATCTCCAGGCGTTTTTCAGTGTCTGTTTTGCTTGGTTTCCTGCCGTTGGAGTCTGGAGGCTCGAGCCAAGACATGTCTGCAATCTGGTACATAAATTCAGCTGCAGTCAATTCATAAGCACATGGAACTAACCTTTAGATCCTGCAGTATCTCATGCAGAGATATGGTCTCAAAACGCCTAAGCTTGACGAAGTGATCGACACTTTGCATCACAGTTGATTTGTTGTGCTTCTGTACAGAATTGCCTCCCCAGAAGTTGTCTGGGATGATTTTGGACAGGACTGTTTGACAAAACGCCGAAACCTGAGATGATGGGGTGGCTAGTTCGACCAGAGATTCGTGTCGTGGCAGTGATGGCACTTCCGTGCCCGCAAGCTCGGCTTCAGGATGATTCTGGGTCGAAGCACATTTGTAGTATGAGACCGTCGATGGAAACTGTGACGACTTGGCTTGTCGTGACGATATTGGACCTTTCCTTATTCTTGCTTTCCGCCGTCGCGGTGGTCTATCAAAGACGCAGGGGCAGTGATGCTTCAAAAGCTCGATATACGAGCACCGACCATGAAAGACTTGCAGGCGCTTTACGAGTTGCTCAACATCACCGCGGAGCCGCTTGGGAACTTTTGGTCTTTTTGGTGCATTTTCTCCTGTCTTGGGTTGGAAGGTAGGGGCGATTTCTTCTTCCCGTAATGTGTAATCCTGAAACTTTTGTGAAGTCTTACTGGCGTCAACTTGAGAAGTAAAGACATTATGTAGTCCGAATTGGCGAGGAAACATGTACATCATCAACTTGATCGTCCCTTGACGTTCAAGGCTAGGATCAGTTAACTTGGGAGATGCAGGGCATCGGTTTAGTACATCTAGAAGTTGTCAATATCTTAGCTGATTGTGTGTTCCAATACCACTTACGAATATGTTTGTAACCAGGTTGAATAAGCCCTTTAGCCGTGAGCGATGGCTTGGCATAAAATATCCTGCTTCTTACCAAAGTTATGTCTGAGGGCCTGCGCACTTGACACTTCAAGCTCTCGCCAAGTGATACACTGTCTCCTGGAAGGTTGAGCTCTGCAAGCGGTATGCCTGCGAAAGTCAGATTTACAACGCCAAGAAGATAGGTGTGCCTTACCTGTCAACTGATGATAATTGTTGAAGCCCGATTGCACATTTACAAAGATAGAGGCATCAACTAAAAGGTTTATCATGATCTTCTCGCCAGATTTGCCGAGCAGCGCTAACAACTGGGGCCAAGGGGCTTCCCTAAGTGCCTTGACATGAGAGTTGGGGTACAGACTGAAGAGACCTGGTATACTGGTCGTTCCTTGGTCACCTGGGCCTGCTGATTTTCTGAAACCGTCACATAGCAGATGCTTAGGTCGACGTCCAACTTGTACATCTCTTGAGAAGAGTAGCCACACAACAAAATCCACAATCTGAGGTCAAGTAAGTAATAGTTTCGTTCTTTTAGAAACAGGATACTAACCTCGCTTTGAGAATATATAGATCCCGCAATGCCATCTGAGAGACTAACATAGGACTCATCCTCTCTTTGCGAGAATACAAGCCATTGCTCCCACCGCGTGTCATCAGCATCACATTGCTTGTCAGCAAAGCAAACAAGTGATGTATCAAGAAGTCGTGATAAGTTGTTCTCAATCTCTCCAACATCATCTCCTTGGCCTATGGATGCTACCTTTTTTCGCCGTAGCCGAGAGCCTTGGGGCAGCTTAGAAAGGACGTACTCTCTTAGTGTAGTGACCCTGCCATAACAACGTTCCAGGAGATCGCGCCTCACTGGTGTTTTACCACTGGGTATTTTGGCACGATTTTGAAGACAGGGCGCGTCGACGGCGTCAACCTTTCGTTTTTTCTCAGTTGCCATATGTTCCAGATGTGGGTGAATCGAACATTTCGCGTCTTCCTAAGAGGTTCATGCTAGGTGCAGTTCATGAGATGAGCCACCGATCTTCAATGTTGACATGTTGATATGTGGCTGATCGCTAGGTGTGGCTTTGGATCTGCGGGAGCTTAGCTTTAACGAGACTAGCGCAGTCTAAAATCACAGCCGGTTCCAGGGACAACCAAAATAGTGTGTTTAGTGTGTTTATCGTCCGAGCGTTACCCAGAATTATAACCACTAAGAATCTTGGTGAAAAGGCAGCCTATCCCATTCGACATTAAACGAAATGGCTTCGTGATTTCGTATACAGTTATTGCCCAGTAGAGAGAGGAATGTATTCGTAGCGTTTCTACTACTAACTATCTCCCTATGCAATTGGTCTGGAGAGGTCAGAATACATTGCTGACCAATATTAGGTATTCCCACTGGAAGTGGACTGAATTTAATTTCCACTTGCGCAGGTACAACGAAGCAGGGATAGAAACCAGAGCTTGATGATATGCACCAAACACAACAGATGAGGTGACTTTAAGCTGAATGATATGATCTCATGTGGCTTGGGCGGGAAACGCTTGTCTCTAGAAGGAACAATACGATCGTCGCAGGGAACATTGCGAGCAGCACGGCATGGTCCTTGGGCATGTGTATCACGATGTAGGGACGGGAAGCACGGGGATATCCTGTGCAATCGTCTGAGTAAACGTTACAAGATGTCGTGTGTCGATACGGTGTAATTGGAGATTAAACTTACGATTACCTAGCATGGGAGTCTAAATCTACTCGACTGAATCTAGTGAATCAGCAAAATGGGTTGAAACCCCAAGGACAATTGCATTTCCCTTTCGCAATAAAGCAATGGACCATGTACGGTTAGTAGTGGAGCAGTTCTATTTTTTACGTCCGAGCACAAACAGAGTCCATAAAGTATTAGGTTCAATGTGGTTGATGAAAGATGAAGGAAGTACGGATAAATCAGGGGTTAATAGAAGCTGTCAAAGACAGTGTCCACCCAGGCCTTCAACGGACTACAGTGACCTGACGATAGGCACGCGACACACCAGGATGGTATTGAATGGAAATTTTAAGAGAAACGAGACCATATAAGCAAAAAAGTAAAGTCAGCTGTCAGTGTCAATATCAAGTCTGCAACAATTGCTTTTGACCTCTAGATTAACTAACGAAGATCCACATGCGGAGTATGTAGATAAGATGGATGATACTCAAGGCATCGTACAGAACAATGAAGATCAAATCTAGATCTAGCCGAATAGGTGTGCACTTCTTTCACGTGTCGAGTCTTTTCGAATGCCTGAAGTGTGATATGCGACTCTTTTACAGAGGCAAATTACTTGGACACGCTGTCAGTCACCTAGGACGAGATCTTCCACCTATAGATGGTCCATCTAATCCCGCGTACAAGGATCTGAGGTGTGACGAAGATGCGAGAGGAAATGAAAGGAAAGAAAGAGGCGAGAAGAAAGAGGCACGACATCAGGGGCCGAGAGACTGGCAGATGAGTCGAGTAACATCGGGTGGGCGTTGAACAAACAGCCATTTGTTTCCAATCATTAAATCGCTGTAATATATCCTTGGGCGGGGTTCCCTTGCAAACTTTGATGTTTAGCAAGATAGATGCTTCAGATTGGCGAAACACCCGCCCAATACAAGGCTGTGTGTTGATAAACTCTATGAGCCAATATGGTAGCGAAATTTCAGTTCATTCTCGCGATAGGTTTAATAGTTGAATTTGGTTCCTCTAAAGCATTAGTAGCCTGGCGGCTATCACAATCAAACTGGAATAAACGTCTCTCTGCACGAACCAAGCTTGTCCAAACGTAGGTATGGAATTGAGGCTGCTGGTTCGGCTGCCACACGAAACAATTCGTTGCGAGACCAGTAATGGATTGGATCGCAATGAACCCCTGACGCCTCAAGGGAAAAACAGCCAACCGTTTTGAGTTTTCATCTACTTCGTATCTGTGGTCGTGAACGTCGATAAATGCTTTGCTGACAATTGCCGTGTCTGCGTGTTTAAGACCAATGTCGCAGCAACATCTGATCTTGAAGAAATCCCCAGCAAGTCAAGTCGTTTCAACAGTGAACAAGGAGTATCGTCATGAATTTCAAATCGATACTGTTTGCTAATTAATTGCGAATGGTCCTTGGGTTCCATCGTGAAGAAATGTCAATCTGTTGGTTCTTGTTTGACTGCATTGCAACTCAAGGTTTTCTTAGGCCGGCCATAAGAAGCGGCCACCCCCCATCGACGGTCCAATTGTTGAAGGATCAAAGTGCAGATGCAGACTTATGCAATGCGAAGACGTTACTGATGGTGCTTGTGATTGATTGCTGCAGTGCATTGTTTTGAGACGGGCCATTTACTTGATGCAATGTGCCTGCATCTCACATAATTAGCGAATAAGTTACTCCATACGGGGTACTCGTCTGATGTTTGCCCTCCTATGCTTGCTTGATACCGGTACTTGGCTACCTCCAAAGGGGAGAGCTCTACTTCACTATCTCAGACAAAGTGCGGTCCATCGTCACTCTCGAATTAGGCAGACTAAAGATTCGATACCTGTGCTCTGGGCTCTGTGCTGTGCTATGTTATGCTAGATATGCTATGCGCATTCTTCCGCCTCCTGTGACATTTGGATATATCGATATCGATGGATTGCATCTTGTCTCCCCTTCCTCAATCTAAACGTCTCTTGATGTTGTTTACTTTTCTGCTGCTGTTTCTTGCCAAATTGACGCTCTGGCACTGTCGTGAGATATCTCCAACTTGTGCAGCAATCCCATATTTTAGACCCCTATCTCTCTCTCCCTTTCTCAGGGATCATCCCCATTCGAGCCTCAAACGACCCGCTTGCTCTGTGCTGTTGTGTCCCGAGCTCTCTGCCCTCGGGATACAAGCGATTGTCGTCTGCACGCAAATACGGCTTCATCTGCGATCCTCTTTAGTCTAAGCTGCAGCGCCATACAGCCCAATTGCTTATCGTTTCACTGTCGCAGCCCCTACCAGAGAGCTGACTTGCAGAACCTGAAAAGTTGGAAGGGTCGATTCCAGTACCAAAATCCACCATCCACCGGAAGTGCCCACCCTGATACTCATCCCTCCCGTCCCCTAACGTCCAGGTTCCAGGGACCGGCACCCCATCTAGTCGTCCCGCTCAATCATCTACGGATGGCTCCCGCAGTTGCGAGCTTGTGAGAGCCATTGATATTCTCCTACCCCCCTGGTCGCTACCATCTTCGGGCCCATCTACAACTCTGCTTCGCCCTTCATTACAGCACCTACAGCACCTATGCTCACACCTATCGAGTCCGCCTCAGCCCAACGCCCGCACAACGATTAAACGCCAACGCATCGATGCTCGCTGCATGGGTCTATAGTCCCCCGACCAGTCGCTCCGCTCGACAAGCCTGACCGATGCTCAGGCCACCATGGACCACGACATGGATATGGCCCTTCACGCGGGCCTCCAAGCGGACATACAGAACGTAGACTCGGGCTTGCGAAACCCCAATCTCGAGCCTCACCACGACCTTCGTCACATTCCTCAACAATACAAGCATCAACGATCCCATAATCACGACTACGACGACGGCAGCGACCGCGAAAGTGATCCTACACCCCAAGATTATCTCCACGACCGGCTGCCTCACGACCATCGCCATCAACACTCCGATTCCTCTCATTCCGCCACTCCTGCATCCCATCTCGACTACCGCAGCGCCTATTCCCACCCTCCTGTGCCTCGCGCCGACGACCACGACTCGCTTCCCACGGGCGCCCATCATGCTTTCACCCCCGTAAATCCCGACGACTTCTACAAAAGCTATCGGGCAACAAATCAAAACCATATTGAGTCCCTGTCTATGGCCGCTGCGGCCCCACGTCCGTCATTGCGCTCAAACGGTGATGGCTCTACGCCAAAACATCCTGTTGTATCTCAAACACAAACCAACATGCGTTCCGCATCAAATCCTGTCGACAACAGACCTGCCCTTCCGGGCTACAAGCCTACTGGGACTCACCCCAGCGTGAGGGATCTGAAAAGGCGTTTTGATCAAAATGGTGCTACCCCTTCGTCAATTCCCCGTGCCCCGTCGCATACGGGGAATGCAGCTAAAACTAGGCAAGATGTTGGTGCCAGTCCACAACCTCGAAACGGTGCGACGTCTTACTCGACATTACGTGACGGTTCCAGCACACTCAATAATCAAACAGCATCTTCATCAGCCCGTTCTCAAAGATCAAGATATGTCGCTGAGGACCAGGTTTCTAACAATTCTCAATCATTTGCAAGTCGAATAGGGAAACCACGAAATACTACTAGCGGGAACTCAAATACCTCCAAGTCCACGTCCAACTTAGCACCAGGGTCTCCACAACAACAACAACAACAGCAAACGACTTCTTCTTCCATCTCCACCACACATTTACGATCTCAAGGCTTACTGTTCGGCGAGATTCTTCCCGAACAGCACAATTTCCCTACTGCTGGTTATGGCATTGAGGGCGTCCGCCCACGGAGGACCTCTGATTCCAGCTTGCACCATCCCTTTAGCCATCAAAGAAGTCTATCAGACCCACCAGATGTCCCCGAGCCTACATCTCCAAGCATCTGGTATCGTAGCCTTAACGGCGACGAAAACGACGGGCAACCGGCTCCAGCCCCTCAGAGAGGTCATAGGAGGTCCCATAGCGACGTTCCCAAGTCCCCTGCACTACTTCCAGTCTCCCGAAAAGCACCCTCTCGGAAACAGCCCACCACCAATACCTCTACTACCGGATCGTCGTCGAAACTGCCGCGCTCTGTAAGAAACTTGAATAGTCCAAGTGATTCGGCACCTTCGTCAAGATCGAATTCTCCTACTGTCAAACGACCACAGGTAAATGGCCGGACATCACGAGCAGGAACTCCCACATCGAGAGCGAAGACTCCCACAACAAGATCGAAGACGCCCACAACGAGATCGAAAACTCCAACAAGGGCCAAGACACCCACCCAGAGCGGCGCTACTCGAAAAGCGGCACCTCGAAATCTTGTCACACCAACGAACAATAATCGTCTTCAGGCCAATATCATTGCGCCTCCTCCGAAGCTTTCTCCTCCCCTAAGGAGTTCTCGACCCCGTCAACCAGTTTCTATGGCTACAACAGCAAGCTCACGAATGAGAGCAGTGGAAAGGGCCAGATCACCAAATCCGACGTCAATACCACAGTCCAGGATTGCCGAGCCATCGTCCCGTCGGCGAAAGATCTCCGTAGGGCCAATCGATTTCGAACAGCGCCGAGAGCATATCCGACTTGCGTATACTAAGTCTATCCGCGAGAGTCAAGCAGTTGAAGCACGGGAAAAGGCAGCAGATCGAAGGCGGAGGGAAATGGAGGCTGCTGCCAAGGCAAAGGCAACCGCCACTGCCACTACTCCTTCGGCCTCGAGCTCGCCAGCACTTAGCAACCATGAGTTACTAGAGGTCCCTGATATTCCACCAGTTCCACCTCTCCCGGAACACCATTCATCATTGTCAGATCCACAAGCCGGCCGTGAACCAGAGCTGAGCATGGAAATCCCGGATGCTACCGAGGTTCAAACCGCCTTAGACGTGATTGACCAAGCAAATGCTCCCAGTCAACCTGAAGACCACAATATATCTCATAATCAAGATCAGGCAGAGTCTTACGACAGGCATCCCTCGCCCTTTATAGACGACCCAACAATGAGCCCTGTGGATATTGCAATGGCACTACCGCCTGCTTCATTCATGCTATCTCTGAGCTCACAAGCAACGCCTACTGCTGAGTTTTCATTTGAGGACTTTGATTCACCAACTCTTGGGGTTCCTGGCAGCTTTCCAGCACTTAGCCCTCCCATTGGAGCGCCAGAACGACCACAGACCGCAGTTTCGGTAACCTCAGAGACTACAGAGTTTGACAACGAACCTCAAACGACCCCGCCAAGGTCTGCGCAACCACCGCTTGAGGTTCCGATCACAATTGTCAAGCCACCCAGTCCACAAACTCAAAAGCCCGCGTCTCCTCCGAGAGTCGAGTACGAATACCCGTTCCAGGACGACCCTGACTCACCAATTCGGCCAAAACCCACATCGAACGCACTACATCAGGCTGCAAATACGCCATCCGAGCATGAGATTGTGGACGAGCCCATGATGCCTGGTGCGTTTGTTGTTACTCCCCAAGCAGACAGCCACTATGAGGATATTGAGCCGTCGTACGAAACTACAATCGCTATTTTAGCACCCAGCGACGTTGCAAGACCAGTCGACGAACCTCAAGACACTGTGCCTTTCCCACGAATCGAGCCTGACTGTGAATCAGAGTGTCAGTCAGAGTCGGAATACGATGAAACGCCAGGACGCTACCACCGCTCGAATGACGATGAAGCCGTTACTGACAGCTGCACGGAAGACATGGACGATGCAAGTAGAATTGACCACAGATCGGAGGCGCCGTCTGATGATCGAGCCTCGTCACACCGGGCCTCTACTTGCGAGTCTATCGACACTAACAACGAGCACCATTATGGATATGACGATGATCAACGCCCGGAATCCACGAGCAACCTCATGGTACCAATAGTATCGGCACCAAACCGAATAAGTCAGCAGTCTACATGGACAGACTTTTCGATCAACAGTGGCGATGTGTCTCCGGCGGTGCGCTCGCCAGTATTCCCCAACATGGACGATGAAGACGACTCTGGGGATCATGGTCACGTCACGATCTTTGAAACAACATCTATCCATCGAAATAGCCGACCTGTCGAGCGACCTATGGAAATCCGTCACAGTCAACCAGAACCTCGTCCTTCTGCTGATTCGACTCGATCACCGTATCTAAGCCATCAACTTCCTGAGCTAGACACTGGGGATGGATTCTCAATTCCTTATCTCTCCAACAGAGCCAGCAAGAGCTTCTCATATTTCCCATCGCCTAATCACGAACCTCCCCCAATACCCGCTTCGACGACTGGCTCCGCCTGTAACTCACAGCGAGCATCGGGTGTCTACTATGAACCGTCACAAAGTGGAAGTACATTTGTCAACTCTGAGCGAGGGTCGCAAGATTACATACCTATGATGACAACACCCCAGTCGGTGGATAATGCCTCCCTGTCCACAAATAATCAATATTTTGCGGATTCGGCTACTCTGAACGGCGATGGAGCCTCGGAGACGTATGACAAGCATAGTCCCGCAGGAAAGGAGAAGCAGCGCCTTGTCCAGCGTCGCAACGTTATCAAGGAGCTTGTGGATACTGAGGCTGTGTTCGTACGTGATATGAACATTGTTGAGGAGATCTACAAAGGGACAGCAGAGGCTTGCCCTAGGCTAGACGGCAACACTGTGAAGCTCATCTTCCGAAACACAGATGAAATCATTACATTTCATACATCGTTCTTTGCTCAAGTTAAGGAGGCGGTTCTCCCGGTATATGCCATGCAGGGCCGCCGGTCAGCGCTTGCCAGGGAAGGCACATTAATGTCAGAGCCTTCTCAATTCAATCCTGCTGACATTGATGATGCTAAGGATCGTACGGTTTTGATTGGCCCTATCTTCAAAGCCAATATGGAGAAGATGAAGCTGGCCCATGAGGGTTTCCTCAGAAACAGCGACGGGGCTGCGAAGCGTCTCATTCAGATTCAACAAGATCCTACGGTCAAAGTGTGGCTCAATGAATGCAATGAAGTTGCAAAAGACCTGACGGCCGCCTGGGACCTGGACTCCCTCTTGATCAAGCCTATGCAACGCATCACTAAATATCCCAACCTCATCATTACATTGCTGCAACACACGCCTCATGATCATCCTGACCGCGAAGCTCTCGTTGAGGCTAAAGAAATCCTCGAGACGGCTATTATTGAGATCAACAAGACTAAGAAGAATTTCGAACTTGTTGGTCAGATTGTCGGAAGAAAACGAAAGGAATCCGATGTCAAGGCAGGCTTCGCACGTGCATTTGGCAAAAGAGTTGACAAACTACAAGCATCTGGCACTCGCCAAACCGAAGATTCCGAGTATGGCAAACTTAACGAGAAGTTTGGCGATGATTATTTGCGGTTACAGGTCGTTCTTCGAGATGTTGAGTTCTACACCAGACAAGTTTCGGCTTATGTGCATGAATTCTTGCAATATCTCTCCTCTATTGAATTGATCATGAGGCTTCAGCCAGGGAACTATCCTGAGCTGGAAAGCAAGTGGGTTCAGTTCAATATTTCAATACGCGATCTTGAAAAGGTTGCACTCGAGGAACATGTAAGTGAAACGTAGCAGTGACCCTAAAAGAAACACACTCACATGTAGTAGCTATCTCAAGTCCGAAAACATGTCATTGAGCCCTTTGAGCATGTCATCAAGGCATACGGCAACCCGTCACTTGCTATGAAGAAGCGACAGAAGCGCCGCGTGGATTTTGAGCGGTATGAACAATTGAAGCGCGCAGGCAAGAGCCCTGATTCCAAACTCAACGAGCTTGTCGAGCAGTACGACGCCCTGAATGACACTCTTAAGAAGGAGCTTCCGAAGCTGTCTGCTCTGACTGAAAAGGTGGGCAACATCTGTCTTGGCAACTTCGTCAACATCCAGACCAACTGGTACGGCATCTGGAAGGACAAGATGAAGGTGGTGCTCGGTGACACTCCCGATATGCCAGACCTTAAAGAGGTTGTGGCAACCTTCCATCGAGATTTCCCGTACGCGCAAGAGCAGCTAGCGAATGTTGGTATCCTCAACCCTATGTATCGTGGAAGAGTTTCCCAGTCGACTACGCGAAGCACAGACGAAGCGTCATCGCTCAGGATGCGGTCACGTCCATCCGAGAGTGATTCACGGGGTCGAGGACATTCGGTCAGTGGTGAACAGGTACCAAGTGTTCCATCGTCCGAATTTGCCAAGCGTCATAGCGGTTCCTACACAGCGTCGCCAACTACTGTTGCGGCAGGAAACATTCCTAGTCCAAACCAGTATTACTACCGTGACTTCTATGCGGGGATTAACAACCACCAGCAAGGCACAGCGTCGCCCATATCTCCAGAGCTTCCCGGGAGCACGCGTTCTTTTGCTGCTTCCACAAGACCGAGCACAGGACGAAGTTTTGACTCTGGTGGAATTCCACGACAGAGCTCGGAGTCAGCTACGCAGCATCTCCGAGACTCGCACACCACATACAGTTCGCAAAATCAATCACAAGAGGGACGACGGTTCTCGGGGCTGTTCCACTCTGCACTGCCGCCAGCTGATGAACTAGAGGATGGTACTCGATCATCTCGAGCCTCTTCAAGAGAGCGAGGGCCGGTGGATGATGGGTATAATGTGCTCTGGCTTGCAGCTTCGCTCTTTGAGTTCAACATTGCTACAACGAAACATGAAGCTGGCTACCCATACTTGGTGTACCAAGCTGGCGAGGTAAGTCGATTCTCTTGTCAACGTGTATGTAGACACGCATGCTAACTTGATCCAGATTTTCGATGTTCTTGGCGAGAAAGGAGAGCTCTGGTTGGCGAAAAACCAGGATGATCCAGACGACCGCGTCGGATGGATCTGGTCAAAACACTTTGCCAGGCTCGCTGATTCATAGGTTCAGCCCACAGCTGGCGGAAACATCGACACAAGTTGCAGCTAGATATTTAACGGCCTGCTTACCATTGAACTACTCAACGCATCAAAGATTTGTACCAGTATTCAAGAAAGGAGCTTGGGCGTTTATTTCACGGACCCTTGGGCTGGGATTGCAGCAAAAGGATGGCAACACGGCCATGAAGTTGTCCTTGTTCATGTGCATTCTCACCCTTACCCTATCACGGACTTCTTGTTGCGCTTTCTTTTCTATTGGTTTCTATTTTTTACCTATTGGAACTTATCGTTCGTATGTGTCATCTGATTCAGCTTTCATTTGTTTGGACTTGTATTTTGGTATTAGCTTTTCAGTTGTCCTCGAGGTTGAAGCAGGGTCCATGGGAATGATGAGAGGCATGGCTCGAGGACGGTGAGTTTGAAAGAAGGGAGCCCGGCGTTCAGAACAAAATACCAACAGTGCATGTAAGATTTTGGAGTGAAAGATGGTGGGGGGGATGACGAGAAGAAGGTTGCTTGTGTCAGTAGAGAAGAAGCGAGGGGGAATGATTCGAGTTGAGTATGGAATGAAATACCAGAAGGATAAATGATGAAGTTATACTTTAATATTGATGAGCATTTGCGTCTACGACTACAAATTGTATGTTTCGATGTGTGTTGATCAACACGATGATACAATGGAGATGGATGAGTGATTTGACATGTGACTTTGAACTAAACCCCAGACTTTCAGGGAGCAAGATGCCAAAAGTGGAACTGTGGAAACAGCCGAATTCCCCCTTGCAGTAGGACGTAACGTGCTTGCGTGCTGTATCCGTAGCTCCTTGGCCTGTTAGTGCCCGTCAGCTCCAAAGCTCAAGTGGGAAGGGCGTTGGCAACCTCCAGCTCTCCATCTCTGTTTTAACTTCCCTTCCCTTCTAAAGCTTGAAGATACCTCTCTTCACTGCCAAGTCTTTCGCTTGATTCCAAACCCCTGGCAGAAGCTTCGCGAACAAAGGAAAAAGGTACCGTTTTGTTCTTTTTTTAAGGTTCCCCCGTTTCATGACCCACCTTTACACGAGATGCTCGCCACAAGCCCGCCGGAAGAACAGGCGATCGATCGCGAGTATCAGTACCCACAGCATCATCACCGTCATCAGGAACTTGATCCGTCGCAATATAACAACCGCAATCCCAGCCACCACCATAACGAGGCTGAGTCTCCTCCATCTCAGCTAAACATAAACAATCGCAATCGCAATCAACTGAATCAAAGCTCACGGACGCACTCACAGCACCCTCCATCGCATTCTGATCCTCACTCTAATACTCGACTCGTTGTCCCACTTGTATCCGGCGCCCGCTCAACATCACCGTCGTCCTCAGTTTCGCCTTTCCCTACGCCTTCGATAACACCTTCACCCTCTGCTATATCCGTCGACGCACCATCTTCCTCGAGGGGTCCTTCGCCGCCAATTCAAACTCCCTCTTCGACCAGCGCCGAGGCTCACGGCAGCCATCCGCAACGAGACTCCCACGATCGCGACAGCTTGGACAGGGCCAGTCAGGACAGCTATACACGCAGGCCTCCGGGGCAAAACCCTGCCGGCATGACCACTTGGTCAGGGCAGCCTGCTATCAGAGGTAACTCTGAAGCAGTGCGCATGATATTATTGAGTTTTGTCACGATTGGCATAACGTATGTCTCTTCTGCTTTCAATCCGAAGCTACGATATTCCAATGATCCCTTTTTCTAACTCTCACTCATTCAGATTCACATGGGGCATCGAAATGACCTGTAAGCATCCACCTCAGGCATGACGCCTTCGTGATGTGTGCTAAAGAGTCGTACAGATTGCACACCATACCTGCTCAACCTCGGCCTAACCAAAAGCAGCACTTCGTTGGTATGGATTGCTGGTCCATTATCCGGTCTTGTAGTTCAGCCTGTTGTGGGTGTGATTGCAGACGAGAGCAAGTCCAAATGGGGACGTCGGCGGCCGTTGATGGTCGTTGGCTCCATTATCGTTGCCATCAGCCTCTTGGTTTTAGGCTTCACGCGGGAGCTTGTCGGCCTTGTGGTTACCGACGATGAAGCTGCGAAACGTCCCACGATAGTGGTTGCTGTGTTGGCCATTTATGTTGTCGATTTTGCCATCAATGCTGGTACAGTTCCAATAACACGCCTAAGCAATTTCGAGCTAACATAACTCCAGTGATGTCGTGCTCAAAGAGTCTCATTGTTGATACTTTGCCAATTGAAAAGCAACAGTCGGGAGCGGCTTGGTGTAAGTTGGAGTATCACACTTTATTTGTGCAAAGTTAACGCCTTTCTCTGCAGCAAGTCGCATGTCTTCCATCGGTCATATGATTGCTTATGGAGCTGGAGCTATAGACTTGGTGAGCATCTTAGGAACCACGCTTGGTGACACTCAGTTCAAACAACTCACTGTCATCTCCACAATTGCTCTCCTGGGCTCGACGGGACTCACTTGCTGGGCTGTTTCAGAGCGCATATTAGTAACCTCCAAGCCTGCCAAGCACGAGGGTCGATTCAAGGTATTTCGTCAGATCTGGTCGACGCTTCTCAACCTGCCACCTCGTATACAGGCCATCTGCTGGGCACAGTTCTGGGCTTGGATTGGCTGGTTCCCCTTTCTTTTTTACAGTACTACGTGGGTTGGTGAGACGTACTTTCGTTATGATGTGCCTGCCGATGCAAGGAAATCCGAAGATACTCTTGGTGCAATCGGACGTATAGGAAGCACTGCGCTTGTCATGTATTCCGTGATTACGTTCGCGGGTGCTTGGATTTTGCCCATGTTAGTCCAGTCCCCAGAAGATAACGCCTTTACACACCGGCCTCCTCAGGCCATTGCAGGCTTCATGACACGCTTCAACAAGGTGAAGCCTGATCTTTTGACAGCATGGATGTTTGGACACCTCATGTTCGCCGCGTCCATGTCATTGGCGCCTTTTGCAACCAGCTTCCGGTTTGCGACAGTTCTGGTGTGTCTCTGCGGCATGTAAGTATCACTCTGACCCCTGAACTGCGCATTAAAGCATACTGACGATAGAGTTTAGCCCGTGGACGCTGGCCATGTGGGCTCCAAGTGCCTTCCTCGGAGTCGAGGTCAATAAACTCGGTGGTGGCGCAGGGGCAGACGGCACCTATCGTCGTATTTCGGACGAGTCAGACATTGAGCTTTCTGAAGTCAGCCACGACGATGCGCCTTTGCACCTGGATCACGGCTCCGAGGTTGACCTGCCTTCAACGGCCTCTACCGGCGAGTTGTCGGGAATCTACTTTGGTATTCTCAACATTTACACGACATTGCCTCAGTTTGTGGGAACGTTCATTTCCACAATCGTGTTTAACATCTTGGAGCCTGGCAAAAGTCCTGAGCTGGCTGGCGATGCCGAGAAGCAGCCAGATCCTGATGGTCCAAATGCGATTGCGGTGTGCTTATTTATAGGAGCCATAAGCAGTCTGGTTGCAGCATATGTAACCCGAAAGCTAAAGGTTATGTAAGGTGGAGGATCTTAGAGGCTGACATGTATTACTATCGTCGTTCTTACAATTGTTATGGAGCCATGCGGTTTGGATTTGGGTATGATAACGATACATTGGCGCAGATGAATATGGACACGGTGAACATAGATAAAGATTCACGTTTAGCGAAGGGGCATGATTGGAATATGGCTTGAATATAGCACCTAAATAGTGTGATATGCATATACACAATATCGTCGCTATGATTCGAGGTATAAAGAAATTCAACCACGCTATCCATACAGGCCAAGGGGTATTCTCAACAAATCCGCTGCCTTCAACACCTCGGTGCTGCTTCTTCAATCAAATACTTTGTCGTGCACACTGCATACCAACCAGTGTATGCAGTGCTCTATTTGTCCTTCTCGTTCTCAGCCTCGGATACCTTCTCCCACTCATCCTCAGTGCTCACACCTGACTGCGTCCCCGTCGCACCAACACGCTGCTTCACCTCGCCCTTTGCCTCGACGGGCTCAAGCCCAGCGGCAGCAGCGACGTCGGAAGTCGTAGCGTCCGTGGATACCACGGGGGGGGCCTTATTCGGAGCCGGCGTGTCTACCTCCGTCTCGCTGTCATCGTCGTTGCCCGAAGCCTCCCTCTGCAGCTGCTTCTCCCTCTTTTCCTTCTCGCGCTCCTCCCGCTGGGCGATGGCGAGCTCGGCGGCGAACCAGTTGATGCTCCACCACAGGCCGGCGCACAGGACGGACAGGATGAGGCAGTGGATATTATATGTGGCGAGAAGGAGGGAGAAGAGGACGAGCTGGAGGGCGGCGAAGGAGCCGTTGGCGGCCTTGAGGATGGTGGGCGTCGGGCCCGGGGTGAAGATGTCCTCCCACAACTTGACGACAAAGGATGACATGGTTGGCGGCGGCGGTTTCTATCGCGGGGTCGTTATGCGGCAGGGGTGGGTAGGTATTTTGTTTGTTCTGCGGGAAGGGTATTGGACAAGGAGAAGGAGTATATCGATAGGACTTGATCGCGGTAATGTTGCGACTCTGTCTGGTATGTGGTGATATAAGACGAAGCACTTTCTCGTGGTGTTTCTCCCAGCTTTGTAGTCGGTGTATGTATTCTCAAAGGGACAGAGGCGGTCGCTGCCTGGCGACCAACTCGTTCGTCGCAAATACCGCAGCTGAAGACCAACCAGATGTGACCGAATATTCTCGATTTCTGAAGCAACCGTGTCCGTGAGAGGAAAAGGCGAGAGCTGTCTTCTTTATTTCGACCTTTATTTCGGTCAGGTTTTGTTGTCGAACGTAATCGGGCTTATGTTTGGTATTAGGGAGCACCAGTGCAAATGACGACAGGTGGTTGGTTGTTAGGCCGTGAATGACCTAGATCGCGTGCCGGGCTGCTATTGGATTACATAAGGCCATGGACAGGTGCGACTGGTATTCAACATGACGACCTCGTGACTGGAATGACGATGCTGATGGGGTTTGTATCACAAGAGATTGTTTTTTATTGACATGTTGGAATTGTTGGTTTGGGTTTGTTATTTGAAGCTGTTTTCTTTGTGTCGTGGAAGTGTGGGTGGTTGAGAAACAAGTCACGGATGACCATCAAACTCATGGTGAGGTTTTAAGGAAGACCTTAACTCACATTCACGAAACCTAAGTACGTAACAGCATGAGGAGTAGAATGATGACTCGGCGATAATATAACATGCTTCATAAGCTCTAACAATTACTCAGTCATGTCAAACATATTGTTTGTTCGAGGTCACAATGGTATGTCCAGAGTCAACATGCTTACCCTAAACTTCTTGAACATCAATACAACCTCATGGTATCATGACCACAGCTTGAGATTATTATACCTTGTTTTAAAATCATGAATACATAGCATTGCATAATTTCCATTGGATTAGAAGCAATGATGTTATTGTGCATATGTGTGAAACTAGATACGTGTAGAGTCAGGAACCGTCAACAAACCTGATATTGTGTGACTTACACGACTCGACGTCAACAATCCGGATAGAAATGCCCAGACTTTAACAAGGCTGAAAGACAAGACGGAAATCTGCCTTGCATGATTGCATCCTTCCAGTCTAAGCCCAAGCTCCTACAATGTGCCGTTCGTGTGACAGGACTAGGAAGTTGGCTTCCTTCAATGTAAAGTCTGAAGCATGACAGGTACAAAGCTCACACCCACGCGCGCATATTACCGATCCTCAAACAGGGGGAAGAGGATCATTCAAACAGAAACAAACGTCAATCTGCAAAACCAAACCCCCCACTTTCAATTAGCGTGCGCATGGACGGGCATTCTCCATCCTTTCTCTCATTAAACCATGATCCTTCACACAATACACAGCCACTTAGACGGCATGGGCCACCATGAGAACAGGGGGAACTCACAACGATTTCCACAGCCACCCCCGTGAATGAAAAGTCGACCCCAGTCAACAAGTCCCATAGCATGAGAATATGCAATAACAAGAATTATATCAGAACTTCACATGTTTTTGGTTGTTCGCTAAGTAGTTCAATCGAACGAGGACACTATCCCGTCAGGGTCTGCACGGGCGTCTCCCGTCATCTTCAACTCCTCGGGGGTCTAGCAGTTCATGTAGGTCGCTCTATTTTGACAGCTGGGAATCGAGACCCTGTAGTTATGAACAACGGCTGCAGACCGCTAAAGAAGAGAAAGGGGAAAAAATAGAAGAAAAAAAAAACCTGAGGGAATCGGGACATCGACCCACCCGTTGGATTGTACCGCAGAGACAGGCTGCCAATGTACCTCGCCAGAAGAGGCATCTGCAACAAACAGAGAGATCAACAAACAGAGAAACCAAGATGAACAACATGTCTAGCGTCATACCCTGAAGCTATTGCCACAATCGAACCAGACTACGGCTCTTCAGCGGCGTTGCATATGCGGATCATTGCGCCATCTCCGAGGCGGAAATGGAGACGGAGTTCGGAGTGAGCAGAAGAGAACACGGAGTTAAGTAGGTAAACTCTGATAATCCTTCCCGAAGAATATGGGAAGGAAATACAGGTGCCTAGAAGACAACGTATTCGGCCCCGGCATTCAGATGCTTTGTCGCTACTCGAAACGTTAGCTTTGAGTTAGAATGTGGCCACTTGACAGGTTCTACATACTATGTATGCAAAGGATCTAGTGCCAGGCAGCGTATACGATCCTTTAGCCTAGCTTTTATCTTTTGTATATTCACGATATGTAGTAATTTTGATTAGAAGCGGCTCAAAAGGCAGTTGGCGAATATTATCGAAGTATACAGGTGCTGATAATCATATACTCCTTCTTTTTCGGTACTTGGCACAAAGCGAGTTAGTTTGTATGCCTTGATAACTCCTGTTACAACGCAGTATCCGTCTATAGGTATCTAGAGCTAGTATTAGATGGCGTACATTCGTCTTATTTGTATCTTTAGCTTCATTTCTCTCGGAAAATCATCAACAAGCCATGGCTAGAAGGAAGATACATACGGACAATTAGTTCGAAGCAACTCCTATCCTGATCAAAGATTAGTTGATAAACGCACATAACCTACCAACATGATAGACGATGGACTCAACATGGCAGACCATCACGTGGTAGCCGCTAGATGGAATGCCGGGTTAATTCCTTTGTTGTTCATCGTCTACCCCCATTAGTTGCAACTGGCAGATCGGAGGCGTAATGAACTAAAAACGCAGGCCCTCTAGCTAATGTCAGTAGTCATCCCTGTTTACACTCAAGTGGTAATTCGGTAGTTTACAAGTGCTACTAGCAAAAGCTTGTTCGAGTTAAAGAGGCATCGCAGAAAACCATGTGTGATCCTAGTATCACCACTCGTCTAAATATGACTATGCTACATGGCCTACCTGCCTAATAGGGTACAGCCTGATAAAACTTGACCGTCACTTGCGTAGACTGTAGGCAACAGCTGGAATATCGGCCAGGGCGAGCAGAGAAATGAGCCTGAAGTATAGAGAACCATGGGCTTGTATGCACGACCACAAGATCATGCCGAGAAACGTTCCGCCATGCCATGCCATGCATGCGCTTGCATGAACACTTGCGTTGTATTTGATATCAATGATATCAAATGTGCTTCAAGAAAGTGATAGAAAAAAAAGCAAAACCATACGTCAAGTGTTTCACTAGAAAAACACAGCCTCATGTCTCAGATCATGAAAACAACAAAACGACCCCCAACTTTTTTCTCTGCATCATAGCTTTGAACATGGAGTATTATGTCGTAATGGCTGGTTCTGCAACGCAACGTTCAGGGATCCAAGCAACCGGCCCGCAAAAGTATGGAGCCCAAGCTCTCGTTACGGAGGGAGACATAAAAACTTGGTCAGTTCCACGATTTGGAGATCATTGTGACTGTCTGAGTGTTTATATCAACTGTATATCAATTCCCGATAATTTGTTGCCCGCTCGGTCCCGAGTTGGTTTCATCAGGCACAGACCACAAATGATCTACTCTTTTGGTTTATTAAGATGAAAACGTCTTAGACTCCATACTTACAGAACCCCAAAATCAGGATGATCACCCCTGCCCGTTGAAGAACATCTGGTGATAGTTTTGAATTTATTAACCTTTTCTTTCCAGTCTTTAACTAATCTAGCCAGGAGACGAGGCACACCCCCAAATTGAGCTTACGCTTTAGTGCTGCGCTTCCTACGGCACTCGAGACCAACTACCGGTGGTCAATTACCGCTGAAACTTGCTCGTGCTCTGCTTACCTGTCTATGTACCGACACGACATACGATTGAGGGGGGATGAGAGGATTGACAGCAATGTCGCGGCATGGAACAAGGCTGGGGTACCCCCTTGTCCTTTGTCTTTTGCGAGTAAAGACAGACACGACAAGGCCGTTCTAGTATAGACGTCAAGTCGACTTAAAGCAAACGTCTAACAACACCCAACTAGGAGATATGTATGTCCTACGGTCTGACTACCGAGTCCGCCAAAGCTTAATGTACGGTCATCACCGAGTCGAGCCAGGCACAGATGATGATGATTTATTGTTCACTGCTTTTCAATTGTATCTGTAGCTTCCGTGGTCGTTCGGGTATTGAAGGATTGGCCAATTGAAACCTCGACCAGGGGGAAGGGAAAGGGTGAAGATCATTGAGGCTATACCATTTAACCCCAGGCCTTTTCTCACGTTGCAGCATGGTCGATTGATCAGTGCAACGATGTACAATCTGCAGTCTGCCTCGCCCCATGATACCGGTGTTGGCAGTTTGGCGGGATGTCACACACACATACACACACACCCCCTCCCCTTTCATACATGCACAGGCCCTTCTCAACACCGAAATGGCATCGATCGTCTTTTCTAGGCAGCGACATAAATCAATCTACAGGATTGCAGTAGTTCAAACCGATTGAAAACAAAACAAGAAAACAAGACAGCAACAGACCAGCTAGCCAAGTAGCTACTGCTACCGCTACCTTACCATAGCTGGCTGAGCCACTCTCACCTGTTTCGACCGGAGCATTTCAACGGCATCACTTCACTAAGGATCGCAGCCGTTTCATTGATCTCCCCTTAGGGCCGTTTCCCGGGGATATTTTGTTGTTTTAAAAACACGGGAACCGTGGCATGAACTGAAACATGGGTGGCGCGCGCCCTTGGAATCGAGGTGTGTACTATGTAAGGTTAGATTAAGTTGGGTTAGCTGTCTGGTAGTGTAACGTGTTAGCTCTAGTCCTCTAGCCCTTTAGCCCTCCAGGACGGCCTGGACGGGTGTTCTTTTCCCTCGACCTGGCTGGTTCAGCTTTGACTCTCCAAAAGAGAATTGACGGGTGGGGATGCCGCGCGCGTAACTTAGTCAAAGCACTTCCAGATAGCTTCGACGCAAGATCCAAATTCCAAATACTTTTATGT